TCTTCGTCTTCCTCTTCGTCTTCCTCTTCGTCTTCCTCTTCGTCTTCCTCTTCGTCTTCCTCTTCGTCTTCCTCTTCGTCTTCCTCTTCGTCTTCTGAACACTCGCAATCTTCCGACTCGTCTTCCTCTTCGTCTTCCTCTTCGTCTTCTGAACACTCGCAATCTTCCGACTCATCCTCTGGATCATCTTCTGTGTCCTCTGAATCCTCCTCGGGGTCTACCTCGGGGTCTTCCTCTGGCTCGACTGGCTTCGATGAGCGACCTGAGAACTCTTCCAAGGGCAAATTGTCGGTGTAGGATGCCAACTGCACCTCTGGCTCAGTGACATTGTTGTAATACTTCTCACCTGGGATGCGGTCGAAGGGACACCTGTGGTTGGGTCTCCACATGGGTAGAATGGCGGCACACTTGATGTTCCACCAAGCGGCCCTGGCCCAACTCTTGATCCTGTTCCAGCGCGAATGGTCAGGCTCCATGGCTTGGACAAGTCTGCGATCAGTGTCGAAGCAGCCAAAAGTCTTGGGCGTCGCATAGCTCTGTGGTGCAAGTGCTGCTAGATGTTTTCCTGACAGTCTGAGGAGGTCGGCTGGGGTGCGGAAGAAGAGATATTCAGTGTCATCCAGCTTGAAGAAGCTACGGGTGTCGGGAGTGACCCAGTCGGACCTCTCAGTGGCCGAGACATCACGGACAAGAAGACACTGAATCTGAGGATAGAAATCTCTCAAGTCGTCGGGAAATCTGCTCATGGTGTTTGTAGTGTCTCCAATCGAGATGAATCTTCGGTTGGGAAAGCTCTTCATGAGTCTCCTGATGTTGTACTTGCGGGCATTGAACATCTCTTCAGTCTTGGTGAAGTTCAGTGGGCGGAAGTCGAAGGATCCTCTGGGATAGTGCTCGAACATTGTGTTGGTGTAAGCGCTGGCGATAGCCTCGGGAGCGTCTGTCAGGTAGTGGATGTGTACGTTCTGACCCTCGGCCTCGATGCGTTGCTTGAGATCGTACAAGACTTGAGGCATGTCTTTCCATGGTTGGAACTTGCGGACCAAGACATTCAAGAGTGCCTGCTTCACGTTCCACACTCGAGTGATACGTAGGGCATCGTCAAGATCGGCAATGATGGTGACACCGGTTGGAGGAACAAACAAGACCTCTGCAGAGTTGGGGACATCCTTGTCGATACCGGAGCGGAGGTTGCAAGGAATCAGAGTGACCTTTTGGGAGGGGATATCGACGGTGGACTGGTTGTTGGCGAGAGCACAAGAGTTGGACACGGTGGTTGTGCCATAGAAGGAGCCTTCGGCGTTGGTTGCGATGGGGAGGATGGAGCCCTCGTCGCAGGTATCGATGAAGGCGCCAATGGTGCCATGGCAGATGGGTACTGAAGCAATCTCGTGTGCGAGAGGTCTGCCCACGGCGAGCTCCTCTTCGGTCAGAGTGTGGTAGCCGTATTCCCAGAACTTCTATTTCTTTTCTTCAAGGCGAGTACGGAGAAGGAAACCATTGAGGATCTTGTTCAACTTGGTATCGTCGTATGGCTGTCGGTGGTGTAGATTGCCGTGGATGTGGAGCTTCCAGCCGTCGTCGGCCTTGTGAGCGTAGGTGGGATAGGTGGTGATGGTCCAGGGCTGGCGGTCGGTCTCCTTCTGGCTCTTGTGGCGGAGGCGGCCGTAGAAGAGATCGATGACACCGCGAAAAGGCTTGAGCAACAGGGCGAATCTTGATGTTTTGGGGTAGATGGCTTCTGGCGCGGCGTCCCCGACAGCGGTAGCACAGACGTCCAATGATGCTGCCGAGAGGCATGCGAGGGCCAGTATGCAGGCAAGGATGAATGGGAAACGCATGGTGATAAGAAGTGCCAATTGATGATGAAACTGATATTGATGGATGCGGTTTGGGTATGAGCGTGTGAGAAGGAGAGAAGAGGAGAGGAAGTGTCAGACAGCGTCGGTGGAGTTGCTGAAGCAAGAGCTTCCCGCTGCGACTACCTTCCTACTTCAGTCGTCGGCTTGGCACCGAGCATCGTAATTGCCTGATCGAAGCGGTCACATCCAATCCTGCATCACACTGCAAGTCTAGATTTTCAAGCGATCAAACGAGCGTGCATGTCAAGCAGTTTGTAAGATTTACTATAGAAGCGAAGCGACAGACGATTACATATCCCCATCATGGAATATATCAAGCGTCCCCTACTTCTGCTTCCAGATCCTCAGAAGCTGCATCGACGGTAGGCGGTTTGGTAGCTCTTGGTAGACCACCTGCCTTTGGGGGTGGTGGCAGACCTGAAGTGGGTTTGGGTGTAGGAGCATTGTCCAACTCACGACTCTTCTGCTCTCCCTCAGCAAAGTAGTCGTCAAGTCCACCAGTAGGCGATATAGCATGATGCACTCTTTGTTTCCTAGCACCTCTCTTCTCTCCACCCACGCTGATGCTTGCCGGTGGTGTCGTCGCGCTGAGATTCAGGTTGGCCGGTACGAGGAAGTCGCCAGTTGGAGTCGAGGTCGAGCGACGCTCTTCATTGCTGAAGCGGGCCGTTTCGAAGAGTGTCTCTCCAGGTGCTTGCGCAGGCTCGTTCAACGGAGCAGGGACGCGGTGAAGAGCTCCGTAGCCCAGAACACAGCCCAAGGCGCCGTCGCCGCCCCAACCACGCGTAGGTGTGATTGTGATCATGCGAGTCACGTCGTACTCGTTGTTGTAAACGTATAGTCGGAGCGGGCGGTTGAGGAACTGTTGTACCGTGTCAGTCCCAGGCTCCATGTCTATCATCATCTTCCCTTACATCTTCAATAAGCTCACTAAGCCCACTGTCGCCTCTCATCAGACCCTCCGGGCTTCCAATGACGTAGTCGCTGTATGGCAGTAGACCAGCGGCGTCGGCAGGCGAGTTGGGGATGACATCGAGGATGTGCCAGACGGCTTCGGTTGTCGTGAGTGGCGACCACTGCAAGGCGAGACCTAGCGGCGAGCTGTCTGACGGGACCGAGATGAAGACTTCGCGAATCTGCTGTCCTTTGGCGCTGTAGACTCCCAGGCTGATGTTGGTGCCGGCACAGTTGCGCAGTTCCTGGACGAAGAGGCTAGGTTCTGGGTTGTCCTGTTGCTTCTTAGCGTATGGACTTGCTATAGGAGAAAAGATTTGCGTGTACGATGGTGCGGCCATTGATGCCAATGATCGAGTCGAACCATGGCTCCAGGGGTAGCTCTGGATTGGTGTTGCGAAGCACTTGGAATCCGTACGTGTCAGATCCACCGCTCTGCTTCTGAGCTTGAGGATCAGCGTCAAGGCGCGAGATGAATCTGTTCAAAGCTCCAAACATGTTCGCCATGTCAGTTGTCTTTAAAATGCTGCTGTCGCATCGGCTCGAACTTGACAGTCCATCACGGTCTGTGCGTCATCTTGGTTGTTGTGCTAACAACCCTGCTGCCGTGTCCCGGGAGCTTCTACAGAGCCCGCATACATGAACGTAGGTATCCAGCTTGAGGTATACATACACAGACATGGCGAGTATGGAACTCGACTAGCTACAATGGTTTCGGTGCAGTATATCTCGAATTCGCAGCTATTTATCCCTTTCTGGAGATTTCCCACCTTTTCCCCTACAGATTGACCTAGAAAAGGTGGTAACGATCGAATAAGCAGAAATTTGCCCAATGAAGCTGGGATTCTGCAATGTTTATCGAGGAGTTATTGCTCGGAAGCTTTTTTGAACCGTATATATGTCTGGATAGCAGCAGTGTATCCATGTGCAGCGATTAATCGGCAACGCCAAATCCACTTGGAACATTCGCACGGTTCAAGTGTTTCATGTCATGATCTGCAACGGCTGTGGCGCATGTCAAGACAGCAAAATGTGGGGAAAACATATGGAATGTTTCTGCAGTACGAAAACTATCACTTTCACTGTCGAATTCACCTCTCACAAACGTGAATGTTTGTCGAGTGCAGAGTGGAAGCCAAGACTGCTAGAAGCCTCCGCCAACACGCTGCTTACATAAGCGAGCCCGGCGCGCAGCCAGCACAGCACCTCTATAAATAAAGCCCTCCTCTCTGCCTCTGCTTCTCTTTCTCATGCCACTTCAATTGGTTGATTGGAGTGTTGGAGCTTCTTACGTCGGCAACTTGATGGTGACCTCTCTTCTCCAGTGGAGTCCCTTTGAAGAAGATTATCCTCGATATCATGTTGGCCAGAAGCTGTCTGGATGCATCAATTCGCTTTGTGCGATGCGCTCTACTAACTCATCCTCCAGGACTTGTCTTTGGGGGACGCTCCTTTGGCAAGGTCATCTGGGTATGGATCATATGCCGTTGTGTGCGGCGGTTGCTTCTGGGTGTTTCATACTCTTTGGCAACTGTCCGACCACCCGGCGAGCGTACATGGAATTTAAACAGAGTGAAAATCGACAATCTTGTTTATAGAGCAATTCGATTGCGTTTTTTTCTCTCTCCTCAGATGTTATTGTTGTTCTTGTCTCGTTGCGCGTGTGCTGTTTCTCAAGTGAAAGTAGGCGCGTCTCCTTGAGTGTACCGCTAAATCTGTTCGTTTCACTGCGCTATTTTCTCTCCAGCTCGATACTTGACGCATCTTCACACCACAGACGCAACAAAAGTTGAACGTCCTTTTACTGCTCACTGTACTGTATATCACACAGCAAAGCAAGATTAACAGCGATTGTTCCGCGAGTAAGCTCTCGCAACCGCAGCACCTCTCTTCGTTGTGTGCAGTCGCATCAGTCCGGCGCCTATTGTGTTTACTCGCTCGTACTCTCATCGAGGGAGACACCCAAGTCTCGCAGTCGCCTCTGAGACTCAGTGCTTATCCTCCAGACATCCGTAAGCAAGCCAGGTTCTGCATCGTGGACTGTACTGATATCAGGTGAACAGAACATCGTGCCACCATGCTCTTACAGAAACATCCTGAGTCCGTCCCAAAGGTCGCAGTCGCCGGCATAACATTCGTAAAGAAAGGGAAAGGAGAGCCTCCATGCGAGTGCGTCAATTGCAGTTCACAATTCCTCAGCGTGAACCAACAGGACTACGACAGGTTCAGATACATGACCACAGTCACACCTGCAGCTGCGAAGACTTCACTCGCCAACTTCATCAGCCAGATCGACGCCGATAGAGCCTATCTTACCGACCTATGCAAGAACTTTGGAAACACGATCATAAGCAGATGGAGAAAGAAGAGCCGAAACAAGCGCGAGGCTCTCTTGCTACTAGCCGACCTGACTATCGAGAAGAAGCCGTGGTTCAGACTTTGGATCGAAGGCGACATTGCTACATGGCAGGAGTTGCGTGAGCATAGAAAGAGTTGGCTGCTGCCTTACATGAGCACTGCAATCATGAAGGCAAACCCATCGGTCCTTCTGAGTCTGCTGCACCAACGTGTCCATCACTCGCCAGAAGAGTGGGCGCCCTTTGACAGCCACCAATTCAGGCAGGCCTGGGCTCTTGGATACTTCGACTTGGAGTACTGTGGCAAATACTGTGTCGTCATGCATGGTGTCGACTACGGCAAGCTCGTTCCCTGGAGCAAGAAGGCCGCAGAGAGCTCGGACATCGTTGGCTATCCACGAGCTCTGTTAATCATCGAGGCGCAGGCTCTGATGTTCTCCCGACTCCGTGCCATCGTGGATCTTATCCTGGAAGGAGTCGATCGCAACACTGCGAGCGCTTCTGACAAGTGGCAAGAGATGGTACGAGCCGGATTCAAGCAGTCCAACAATATCGAGCTGTGGTCGGACTATGTCAATCAACCTTTCTCCGCCCCTCCCGAGTTTGACGTTGATTACTACTGCTCTATCGCAGAAGCTCGAATGCAGGCAGCACATGACCATCTTTGGCTCCTACAGACGGATCTCTCTTACTTTCGCCGCTTCGTGAGAGTCTTAGCGGTTGGTGAGGTATACCGGACTCCCTGGAGATATGTGCTCATCGCCAAGGACATCCATCTAGCCGTGGAAGATTATCTGGTCTGGCGCGGATTGTTTGACGAGTGGTCTTCTGTCCGCAACCACTACCGTCGGTTCCGAGACAGCATTTATCCAGGTCAGCCGCTCCCACGCCGTCTCGAGTCAAGTCTCATTCTTCTGGAATCGACTCTTCTCACCAGAGTGGACCTGAAAATCAAGCATCTATCTGGCTACATCTCGCAACGGCCAGGGTTCCAGCACATCTGGGAGTGGACTATGTTGAGCACGCCCCCAAGCAAACCGGGAAAGCAAATGTTTGCCGCAACACGCAAGACTGATAAGGGGCCTGCTTACGAACAATACTGTAAAGATACACTTGACTGGACTTTGACAGAGCTCCAGAGTAGGCCAAACGATGATTCTCGCTTTGACCATTCTGAGCTCTTTGCCAGGCTCGAGGCCCATCTAGCCGAGGCCAGTCCTGAGGAGCGCGCACGGCTAGACGAGACAGTCTACGCAAAGATGTCAGACTTTACAGCACAACACGAGATGCTCTTCGCTCTACGGCTACATCGTCCAGCATTTGCACATCCAGGAATCGAAGAAGTCCGGAAATTGGCTAAGGAGGACTCAACCCTTTCAACGAGACTCTTGGTCATAGATGCTGCGGCATACAAGTCAAAGCTGCATGCATTCTCCGCGGAAAGCATCAAACTACTCGAACAATCAACACCCGCAGTCGGTTGTAAGAACGAAGCATGGCTCGAAAGCAGGACTGCCGAACGCATAATTCTCAACAAATTCTGGGAAGAGGCGCGTGTGACTTTCCGTGGGGAATTGACGTTCACAAGCATGGAACAGGAAGAGATTGACGACGCTATCTCGGTCATCTCTGTTTCAAAAAGCACCGAGTATACCGAGATAGTCCAGAATGAGCGCTTGCAGGTGTCAGCCGCCATCGCAGCTGCAGCAGCTCTGACCAAAAACACCACGAACATCATGACTGAGGCAGCCTCTTGGGAGACCGGCCCAGACGTGTCGACACTAGCCATTGAAGAACGAGCAGTCAAACCAAAGACACGTCCACTTCAACCAGCCAGCGCATCGGTCAACGATGCAGTACCTCTGGAGCCTGGTTTCGACACAAAGGTCGAGTTCGTCGCTGATCAGCAGCGAATCGCAGCAACCACCCGCGCCCTCGAAGTTATCAGAAAGATGTATCCAACCTCTACCGAAGAAGTTTCAGCAAAGGATACAGACTGGGACCTGTTCGTCCACGCGATGAATGACCTCAATTTCAACGCTCGTAACGTCGGTGGCTCGGGTGTTGCCCTCGAGCATCCTTCCAAGAAGAAGATTATTGTCCACCGTCCGCATCCAGTGGCCAAGATTGACAGTATCATGCTGCAGTCCGTGGGAAAGAGACTCCAGAAGCACTTTGGCTGGAGCAGGGAAACTTTTGTGGGTGTTTGAAGAGGTGGGGGCGAGAGTCTAAAGGGAAACACTGATCTGCCTGCATCTTCATCGTTTGCGTCGAATACGAGAGGATCGATAAGAGAACGGAGAGAAGACCTCTTGCATCCGCGAACGCGACAGGAAGAACAAGGTCCAGAGATCAACGAGATCAAAGCAAAAGCATGAAAAGGAGGGAAGAAGGGATCAAATGGAGATGGTTGTTTTTTTCTTTTGTAAAGTGATGAGAGATGGAAATAGAGAAAGAACCCAGGTCTAGTTTGTTTTCGCAGAAGCCCTCAAAGAACAAGGAAATAAGAAACACCACTTTGTCATGAAATTCGTTTGATTGAAAATGAGAACCCATGCACCCACCAGTCTTGTCTAAAACTCAAGCACCGCCTTTTGACCTCGCCATCAGAGCATCGATCTCTGCTTGCATGGCAGACATGTCGGCCAAGATATCAACATTTCCTGCAGCAGCAGCAGCTGCTGCACCGCCATTTTCGCTAGCACGTTGCATCTCAGGTTGCGGTGTAGCATTGAAACTCCTGTCTTCGCCCGAGTCACCCTCATCAACGGTAGGGATGGACGACACAGACGATGTTCTACCTCCTGAGTAAAGACTTGCTCCACTCGATCGGCGACTGGTGTCGCTCATCCGACGAGAGCTCGGAGCAGAAGCAGTGAGCAATGTACCGTCCAAACTGCGTCGCTTGTTTTCGCCTCGCCTCGGTGGAGGCGGGGGTGGTATATTGGCTGGCGAGCGACTGTTTAACGAAGTCACTGAGTTTGTGGAGGGTGTGCGGCTGACAGTTGGAGCCTGTCCTCTGTTGCGAGACGGCGGTGGAGGGGGTGGTCGTGACGATGGTATAGGCAGGTCTGTTTCTACAGAGTGAGGTGGACGTCTCGATGGCGGTGGAGGAGGCTTTGTGGGTGGTGTCGCCGTGCCATCCGAGTGGTCGTCTGGGACGGAGGATCTTGAGAGGTTGGAACTGCTTCGAGGGCGGCCGCTCGAGCTTCTCATTTGACTGCTTCTGCGTGACAAAGGCGGCGGAGGTGCTTTCTTCAGATCGAGGTTAAAGTCCTCGGCAGCCAGCTGCGGGGATTGGGCGGGACCGTCGACTTGTATGGGAATCGCGGGAGTAGCATCAGGGCTAGGAGAATGGTGCGGCGGAGGAGGCGGAGGTAGGGGCTTGTTCAGATCGGAAGGTGACCGGACGAGTTGTGGCTTCGGCGAGGCGGGTAATGGCGAGGGTAGAGCGGGAGAGGCAGCAGGGATATTGAAGTCGGCAAACGAGACAGTCTGTGGACCCTTGCTCGGCGTGGGCAGAGCCTTGCCGTGATGATGTGCAGGTAGTGGTGGTTTGGGCTTCTTCGTCAGGGTATCTGGTGTCCTGACCAGGCCTGTCAGTTGCTCGTAGTCTGGTTCTGGAGGTCCATCGTGAAGTTCGTCGTCAGAAGCAGAGGGAGACTCGGGGTGTAGGTCTCCAAGAGAATTGGCGGTAGCAGATGGCAGACCGGCAGAGGGAGTCATGGGTCCAGGTGATGCAGATGGAGTGTTGCCAGTCAAGAGCATGCGTGTAAAGGCATCTACATCCATGGCCGGCTTAGCGGAAGCGGCGGATGTGTCCCTGGAGAGACCGACAGGGGCCGACGCGGCATTCTGAGGTTCCATAGTAGCCAATGTTTTGGCAAATGGGTTGTAGGGCGCTTGCTGCACTGACTGAGATGAGGTTTCCATTCTTTCTGGCGCAGGAGCTGAAGCTATCGGCGGAGCTGTCGACACAGCAGTTCCAGGGTTGGTGGCTCCTCTTGCCAGCGAATCGATAAAGGACTTGCGCAGCTCGCGAGCTACGTCTGTCTCTTGTTCCTGGGTCGTCTGTGGTGCAGGCTGGCCCACGGGGTTGAGGTATGAGTCGAAGGGGTCATAGTGGTCTTGGTAGGCTGCCGGCGAGTCTGGGCTAACGACTGGCGACAAAATCCTAACTTTCTTTTGCACCTTGCCTTTTGTCTTGGCTATATTGTACAGCGCTCAGTCGATGCTCGTCGGGGGGCAGGAACAGTGGGCAGCTCTTACCCTGTGTGATTGTTGATGTAGCTGGTGCCTGACTAGTGTCGATGTCGGCCGCTGCTGCTTCGCGCGCGGCGCCAACGTCCAGCGACAGAAACTGCGACTTTCTGAAAGGGTTGCCCGCCATGTTTCCAAGGATCGCGCTGTGCTGCTCTACCGGCTCATTGCTTCATCGTGCATGCGCATGGTCGACATCATCGCCGTCTCGCCATGGCCTGACGACGAGCTAGCCGTCCGTGTGTTTTGCTTCCGGACCTGCCGACCCCGCGGACTCGACTTCGAACTCTTTGCGATTAGGTGACGGCATCGCCAACGTCAAGTCATGCGCCATCAGGAAACTCTTTGATCGTCTTGCTGTTATTGCCGGTCTCTGTTCTACCAATCGACGTCAATCAATGTACACATGCCATCCGTATTCCTGACCGAACCACCGCCTGGCTAGTGCTGTGCCCATCTCGGTAGGTTGACTAAAGGCAACCAACTCTTTCGATGTAACCTTGGATAGGAACGTCTTTGCGACGCACTTCAACAGTGCCCTTGCGATGCCCTTCTTCCTTGACCCTCGAGATGTCCAGATTCGAGATATGCCAATTGCTGCCTCATCTGTGTCCTGGCTGATAGAGAGTTGCTCACTTCTTTGAGCCCCCACTAGCTCTGACGCCTTGCTCTCTTCCTCTGTTTCTGTATCCTTTTCTACATCCACCTTTTTCTTTTGCTCGACCACTCTGAAAGCCTTCTCAATCCCTTCTGCAAGACAAAGTCCCACACATCTGCCATTATCCACGTAAAGATACAACTTGTATTGGTCAATTTTCTCCTCGTATGCATCGGATGCTTTGTTGCGAGCACCTGAAGTCGCGAATCGTGGTCCCCACAGCTTCTCGTCAGGTATATCTACAGCACCCAAATCTGCTGTTGCCATTTCAAATACAGCGCGAGCTTTCTTGAGCCAGTGCTTGGGATCCTGAGAGCCGCTGAGGGATATGATGAAGTCTCCTTGCGGTCCATGCCACACAGCCTTCTCTGACTTGACTTTGGTGAGAAAATCCCGGTCCATGGGGACGCCATTGGTGTGTTGCGCGTGAAACTTCTTATGAAGAGCGACATCCTCTGGAGCTGACGGCACATATTCCATGCGGCACTCTTTGCAAGTCTTTCGCATCGCTTGCCCGAAGTTGAGTTGCATCTGGACAAGCGGTTTTGACGAGTTTGGGGTAGACTTCACGGCAGGTGCAGGCTTTTCAACATATGCCTTTGGAAGTTGTAGTTTTGGAGGAGCAGCTTTTGGAGAGACTGCGAGGCTGGGCGGTGAAGATGGAGGAGTCGATGGGGGGATATTCTCGTCAGAGAAGAGAGCCATGTCTGATGTTGGGAGATCTGAAGATAGGAACTCTGATGAGGAAGCCAACGAAGGTGGATCATCGCTCTCGTTGCTCTCGATCACCGAGATACGTCGTCGTTTGAGTATATCGTCAAGGCCATCCTGCTGCTTTCGCTTGGAGTATGTCTTCGAATATGTTCTTAATGGTGGTCTGATTCAAAGTCAACATCTATCACTGAGCGACAGCTGTTGTTCACTTACTTGGTAGGAAAGCTCATGTTAAGCACACTGCGGATATCAATAACGTGCTGTCGTCGCCAGAAAGATGGTAGACGCGTCTTGGTGTGGGACGCGTTTCTGGATTTCGTGTTCGCGTTCAGAGTGATGTCTTGGCATCTCGCAGTCCGATAGCGGATCCTCCATCATCGAGCCTCCATCATCGAGCCTCCATCATTAGACAGACTCGCACGCTTGTCATGATATTACTTTCTCATTCATAAAAAGGCCCAGCAAATTACACGAGTCTCACTGTGGAGATGCTGCCTCACGTAGTCGCGCCAAACCTCAATCTTGCGGTACAGCCCTTGACTCAAGATGCCTTTGCTGAGTTCGGCACCGTCGTCGAGAATCCAGTGAGTGCAACTGGGAGATCTCAACAGCCAAAGGTCGTCAAGGCGAACCAAGGCTCGGCTCTCAAGTACATCGACGTCTCCCATGTCACCGACTACTATTATCTGGCCCCTAGTGGGAATCCTGCCAGGGCTGTTATGAACATGTTCGTTTGTTCACCGCGCCGATTGCAGTCCAACAGTAGCAGTTCGGATATCACTCAGGAACGGACATCGAAATTTCCTGTGCAGATTCTGGAACGACACCCGTTCACCCCCCAAACCTTTGTTCCACTCGGTCTTGCGGCCGAAGATGCAACAACGGCTTACCTTGTCATCGTCGCTCCTACATGCAAAGCGATGGACCAACCACTACTCTATCCCCAACATGTCCCGAAACGACAACGGAGCTGGACCGAGATTTTCTTCAGGGCTCAACCTTCTTCAGTTGACAACTCTACACTGTCGTCGTCGGAGTCTAGCCCTGAGCCCCAGCTGCCTAAAGGTCCGGGCGAGCCAGATCTCACCCGGGCGCGCGCTTTTCTTGCCAATGGTTCGCAAGCTGTCACCTATGGTCCTGGTACATGGCATGCGCCAATGGTTGTGCTTGGCGCGAAAGCTATCGATTTTGTAGTCGTACAGTATTCCAATGACGTTGGCCTGGAAGACTGTCAAGAGGTGGAAATCAGGACAGAAACCGGATCAGATGGGTTGAATGTTGTCATTGATAGTGCTCCACTCGGTCCTAGACTGCAAGAGAGAGCCAAACTTTGAGAAGTGTACCAAAATGACTGCCCTGCCTTTCCCGCCCGTGTTGGGAACGGAACATCTCGAGCATCTCATCGATCTTATCATATTCAATTTACGCGCTTGTTACTCGATAAGTATTGCGCCAACGACTCGGCCCCTGGCCGCCTGGACCATTCGCCATTGTGAAGATTTGTGATTGCTTCTCTCCACATCAACCGTATCTCGGTTTTGAGCTGCTTGAAATTGTAGCCAAGGCACTGGACATGGCGGAATGAAATCTGTATGGCGGAAATTGATTCCATGCCGCGTGTCGACGTCGAGCGTTCTACATACTAGATCGGGGAATGATGAGCGGCCCAATTTTGGCGTCAAGCAGACCTTGCCTAATCTGAAACCAAAGATCAAGCTTCAATAAGGCACCCTGATCGTGGGGACGAGAAAAAAAGCAGCAGGGCGAAGCTCGAGCATCTGAGTCGTACAACGCTATTTTGTGGCTGATTTCGGCGTCTCACTGCAAAGGTTCTGTCGAGTTTGCATTTGTTGGTTAGCCTCGTATCTGTCAGGGAGATCGAACAACGGCCTCTGCCAAACATGAGGCAGTTATTAACCACCATTATCGCAATATGGCAAGCACATCCGCTTACGTTCGGTGATTTGCAGATCACCATGTCTGGTGTCTGCCTAAACTTCTACGATGGCCAGAAGCTCAAGCTCTCGTCGATCTTAGTCCGCTTAGGTGGCAGCACGCGAGGTCCACATGTGACGGGAGAACTAGGTAGATGCCTTCACCCTACCTGTAAGCGTGCTCTGCAGACTCAAAGTCAAGCTTTGGTCAACGACACCGCCGTCTGGCTGTCTGCAAAGTGAGTAAGAAGACAAGAGCAAGCGACTTCTGACGGTGGAGAACGGGGCAGTTGACAAGCATGAGGCTGAGATTGACCGGTGATGGGTGGCTGATTGTCCATTATTATTGTGGTTGCTCCGCTGCGAGAGTGCTCAGTTGCGAATTCGCGAGGCATCAAGTCAGCAGCGAAGCACGGCCACCAAGTCGATGAACCCAACCCGGGGGTCACGCCATACAGTCTTGCCGTCTTGTATTTCTGTTCACCGGTTTGTGATATGCCCATCTTCAGGCACCCACGTTGTTTAGACGAGAAATGCCAGGCAGACGGCCGCCGGTGGAAAGTTTACAAAACCCCGATGCGGGGATAGGGCCACAGACCAGCACCAAGCCGGAACAACTGGCTGAGAAGCACTAACCCTTCTTGGAGCCATTCCGCGAGGCGTCTTCGACCGTGGCAGCCAGATCTGAGATACCTCCCTGAGGACTACATCATGGTCTCAGAGCGCGGCCCGAATGTACCAAGAAATCACCTGTTACTACTCGAGCGCGCCAGGATATACTGGCATTGATAGCATCAATAACAGATCGGTCTCTCGGCAATGGCCTGTCGTGCAACTGCTGGCTGCCACGATACTACTGTTCCCTCCATGACGCAGACGATCCCTTTGCTGATGTTAGGTGAACCGCACATCTACAGCCGATGATAGCCTTTCACAACGCCAGGAGTACGGCCCGAAGGCTTGTCGCAAACGGCAGAAGGCTCCAACGGTCGAACCGCCAAACACCAAGCATCAGTGTGGGACGGAACTCAGCCGATCCCATTCTGGCATGGCTGAACAGGCTGCATAGGGCGCGAGACCCTGACCCCCGCTATTCGGTCGCCGCAACCACAGGACAGAGCAAGATGAGCCCTTTAATTATCGTTGCTCGTTTTGATTATTGCCCAGCCTAGCCACATTTCGGTAAAAATTGGCCGGTTGCGACCACACTTGAGGAGAATTGAGGTCACAACATGGCTCGCACGCTGTCAACAATGGATTGCAAGGGGGCTCCGTGACTGAGTGCAATCATTTTCCTCATAGAGTTCGAAGATGATGGAATCAGCAAAGGGATGAGCAGAGTAAAGTTTGTGTGACGAGATGTCAAGCAGCTCCACCCTCTCTTATTGGTTCAGAGCTGCGAGTCAATCCAAGCTTGGAAGCCTGGTACAGCGAGCGCTCTGTTCCTAACTTAGGTCTCCGCTAAGATCAATCTGGTTGCCGGCTGGCACGCGCCGACCACCTGATAGGCATGTCTTGCTAAAGGAGAAGCGCGGGTCCCAGCTGCCCCTCACCTTTACCTTCTTTTTTTTGACAGCCTCAAACTACTGCGCCAAACTTCTCACTAAACTCAATATATGACTCGAGAGGTGGGAAATGGTTGTCAACGTTGCAACAATCTCATCAAGATCTATCCAATCTCCAACGCGAGGCCCTAGACTCGGCCCAGTTGACCGGACCTAGCACAGGCATCATGCCAGAGATGAATGCAACCTTGGTCGTGCTGATGGCTCCGACTCGCATCACAAATCTTCAGTCTGCATCTAGAGATATGTTAGCTCCAAGCAGACCCCGTGCGCAGCAGTAAATGGAGGGGCAGGGGTCTGTAAGTTATGCCCTGGAGCCCCGGGCCAATTAGCTCAGGCGATGCCCGTCCATGTGTTGGTGGTTGCGTGCTCCCGCCGTTGTTTGTTGGAAAGCCCACTGCGCCTTGTTAGTGTTTAAAACCGAACCAGCACCCGAGATAGCCATCCCGGCGTAGATCCCCTCCGCCTAAGACGTCTCATGTCAATGCGGCCTATGAAAAGTAGACCAGCATCCTGTTCCCGCTCAGGTTCCCTTCCTCTGAGCAACTCTTATATCCGTCATGAACTCCCCGTACCTGAGCCCATCCTCTTCATCAGACCCTAGGACAAGAACAGACAGTATCTTCCCTATACATCTACAAGACACTGGTGGTATCAAGAAACGAAGCAATTCTCGATCAAGTCGCCCTCGCTCCATCTCGTCAGCCAACATCGAACGCCATCCAGAGCTATTGCCAGACCAGATACAAGACCGACTCAACCTGACTACCAACGATTGGACTGCCAACACACATTCTCCTCAACCTCAGCAACAGTCCACTTCATTCAGCTCGTCATCAGACCCTCAGCCCACTCAACAAGCTGGTGAAACTCTTACACTACCTGGCTTCCAATCTTTCCAAAACAGCTACAACAGATTTGATTCTGCTTCTCGCGATCTCAAGCATCCTCCTCATACCACATCGACAGACATGGCGTAAGTTGGTTCCTGCGAGTGATGAAAAAACAGCAAACTGATCATGTTTCCAGTTCTTTGAGTTATCTTCCTCCACCCCACTACGGTCACATGGCTTTCCATGATCCCTCGTTCGACCATGGTGAGTCGCGTAAATTACCTCGAAAGAGTACAGTTCGCTGATTATAGCTCGAAAGGTTACCAACAGCACGGATCGAACTCGCATATTCACCCGCCGAGCAACTTTGGCTTCATCTTCGGAACCTCAGCACCTTCGCAGCAGAGCATCTACGCACCAGGTCCCCTAGACATGGAACCGGCTTACTCTGCAGCCCCCTTGGAGCCATCGTTGAACCAAGTATCTGAGCCGACAATGGACAACCTCAACAGAGCAGTCAGCCCCTTCCACCCGTCGAACTATGACACTCTCGAGTATCCATTGGCATCCACCACGAGCCGCACACTGGCGAACAGAAGCATATCACATAGCCCGCTCTCGCAGCATATGGACCCCTTGACTCCTCCTCTCACGGCAGGAATGGACTCGGTACAACCACAACTGGCTGCAAGTCCTGGAGTGCAGACTAGCATGGACCGCATGCGATCACCAAGCATTTACGACGCACAAGCATATTCCTCATCATACGCGGCATCGGGTGTGCAAGCATCCCAGCCCCTTTTCCCAGCTCCTCCAAGCTACAGCTATCCTCCTCCAGCGATCAGCACACGCCAGCAAGTGCCCAGAAACAGCAGTGACTCTCAAGTGAGAGGAGTGGTGAACCAGAAACCAAAACCGCAATGCTGGGAACATGGCTGCAACGGACGCGAGTTCTCTACATTCAGCAACCTCCTGCGACATCAACGCGAAAAATCAGGAACGGCCGCTAAATCATACTGCCCAAAGTGTGGCGCGGAATTCACCCGAACGACAGCCAGGAACGGTCATTTGGCCCATGAGAAGTGTTCAAAGCAACGCAGAACGTCAGAGGCCAAGTAGCGCAGGCGCTATAATATGATGATCACAACGGCACACAACAACTACTACTACCGGAGGAGCCGATGCGCTTAAACATCGTGCGAACGACCGACCCAATATGATACCCTTCTCTGCCAATCCGTTATCCCAGATTACATCCGTACAGCGTCTTCTTCTTCTTCTTGCTCTGAATTCTTGAGTCACATCGCTTGCATGATCGCATGTCATATTACCGACCGATGTTTTTGAGTTTCTCCATGTCCCTTGAGGCGTTCCTCGCATATGCATCTGAGTGGCTATTGCAATCTGCAAGACTTGAAGCGTTCTGTATATTGATTACGGGCTCGGTTAGCGCTGAAGATCAGGCGTGGAGCTGCCTGTCTCCCGGAACATCCTCTTTCGCCTATCGCATGAGGCTTGCTCTTCCAAATAGCTTTTAGATGTGCTCTTTAGATTGACTACACGACATCGAGCAGGCTGCAGAATTCTGACACGTGAGTGGATTCTTCTGCATGCCGATCTCTCTTTCTCTTGACTGTGTGCCGCATCTCTTGCCTCTACTCGAGTAATATTCATCTCTTGACCACTCTCCAGCCCGTCGCATACAACTTTCGTTGCAGGCCAATGATTGTAATCGCCCTCGGACATTGTTCCCTCCTTACATAACCGATGCCTAGAAAACGATCAGATCGATGGGTAGAGCGGAGTGCTCAGCACTATCACCATGTCATTGGACTTTAGAGTCCCGAAGACGACATCATCGTGCCATGGCATGCATGCGATGAACAACGCAGACAGCGCTCTAAATTAAGCCGCCCAATCGGAGAAACTGGGTCGAGCCCTGGCCTTCTTGGGATGGACAGGCTGTCTATTGGAGTGGGGACAGCGTCTGGTGGCGCAAGCCAGGGGCTGCTCTTCCCATCTTCCTATTAGAGAGCCCACGAACTCTCCGATCTACGAGCACGCTTTACCCAATTCTGATAGAACTGCGAGGGCAGGTGTAAGCGTACACTCGCGCCGTGTTCTCCATAATTTTTCCGCCCTGCTAATCAGCGGACGGCGGACGCCAATCAAACCTCGCAACGGGTTTCGGACTGCTCGGCATTAGAGCGCCGAGCCTTATTCAGTCGTCCTTTTGATGGTTCACCGGTTAATCTAGTGTGCCAGTCTCGAGCACACCGGTCGTGCAAACGACAAGCGCAGGCGGCGACGGACTCATTATCGGATCGATAATTCAATCAATCGAAAATTTGCTTCGCCCATGACTCTGCGCTCTGCCAGTCATGCTTTTGCACGTGAACGTGAATGCTCGGTTACAAAAAAAGCACGGTCCATATGCGATAATCGCATCAGGGCCCGAGAGCCGACAATTTGCCAAGCAAAGGCCAACGACGAGTCGTCCTTGCTGTGACTGTATGGCATTGGTGTCTGCATAATTGCTTTGATGAAGATGGTCTCCGACACCGCCAGCACAATGAACGCTCAAGTCTAACATTCTGGACACCGTCTCGACATCATCTTCATACCGCTGTGCTCACGCTTGCCTGCTATCGCCACCATGCTGCCATCATCCTCAACAACTTCTCACGTCCTACTCCAGATCGCTGATTCATCATCTACAACGAATTCGACCCGAATACCTCAAGTGCATAAACGAGCACGAACCTCTTGACTTGAACTACACGCTTCCTCTTGTTTCTACATAACGAAGAACTCTGACTCACGTTCGGAGTGGGTGACTCTCATGATCGAGACTTGCCAGGTGCCATCTCGAGGGACCACGCAAACTCTAAATTACCTTTCTGCCTTTCAATAGGTACCTACAAACCACCAACACCATGGCTTCGGCATCTATATTCTCGTTCGACGAGACTGAGCCCCGAGTATCGTCTCCATGGCTCAAACAGCTGGAGTCCATGGACAGCTCCAGAACTCCTTCGCGTAACAGCAATTTTGTTGCTGATTCTGAGCCTGCTGCGTACTTGGACGAAGTTGGTCATGTCACTAGGCTCGAGGCTGAGCCTCAGAAAGGCCCTGTTGAGTACAAGCTCCATCTTCTGATTCGACCTCGTCGGAACTATACATACATGAGTACTGTAACGCGAGTTTCTGGCTCGAAACACTCTAAGTACAACGGTCCTTCACGTACGAGCTCTGGGGCTACACTGCCAGCAAAAAGTGCTTCTCCGTCTGTCACACCAAACTACAGGCAGGATAGGTTCGAACACCTGACTACTCAGCTCCTCTGGAGACTTGGACAGTCTTGTCCACATCATTCGAATGCATCGACCAGTCTCGTATTACCGCAGCTGCCGGAAAGTACCACAGAGCTACAACCACCGCCAACGCCAGGAACGATACATCCAGGCCTTGAGGAAAGCGAAGGTGCACTCTATGAGATTGGTGTATCTGATGACGGTACTCTTGTTGGCCTTGCTGAGGATGAGATGCGAGACAGTCTCAACAATCTGCGTGCTATGGCGGCAAGCCTGGGATGCATTGTTGAAGTACAGCGAATGGTGAAGGTGGGTACCTGCTCTTATATGATGCAACCTGATGGAACGAACTCTTCGGAACTTGTTGAACGGCAGAGTGAACTGCTCGTTGCTGAGGCCCTGGTGAAACCAAATCTTTCCACGACTGCAGAGATCGGTGGTTCTGGCTTGAGCAATACTCTGGCGCAAGACCACTCTTCTGAAATTAAACCCATCGAGCAGCTTCGAATATCCCTCACGGGAGCTACTATGTCTGGTAAATCGTCCTTACTGGGTACACTTTCAACATCAACACTAGACGATGGCCGAGGCAAAAGCCGTTTGAGCATGCTCAAACATCGACACGAAATCACTTCCGGCATCACGAGCTCAGTGACCCAAGAATTGATGGGCTATTCGCCGACTCCAGTAGGCGATACAGAAGTCATCAACTATGCTACCGAGGGTGTGACATCGTGGATTGACATGCATACAGCTTCTACCGATGGTCGTCTGGTCTTCGTAGCCGATTCTGCTGGGCATCCAAGATACCGAAGAACAACAGTCAGGGGTCTCGTGGGCTGGAAACCACATTGGGTGTTACTGTGTGTTCCTGCCGATGACGAAGTGAGGTCTTCAAGCAAGGTCACAGAGGTACTGGGTCCGGCTGCTAGCGATATCGACTTGTCCGCGGCGCATCTAGACCTTTGTTTGCGTCTCCAGCTGCCTCTGGTGGTCGTCATCACCAAGTATGATCTGGCTCAGCTATCTGTGCTGAAGGCTACATTGGGAAAGCTGCTCTCAGCTCTCAAGTCTGCTGGAAGAAAGCCGCTGATGATTCCAAATTCACCGGGTACTGTCTCCGCGCATGAGCTGCAAAGCTTCACTCAGAAGAAATCAGCTGGCATACGTAAGACTATTGACTGCTTGTACGACGACCCTCTATCTGCAGTTCCCATAGTCTTGACCAGCGCTGTTCAAGGTGCAGGCTTCGACAACCTACACGCGGTACTTAACGAGCTTCCTACACCCGACAGCCGAAAGCATTCTCCATCCGATGCAGATACCACCACCTCCCTTTTCCATGTCGAGGACATCTACAACAAAGCTCAAGATGCCAACACCATAATTTTGAGTGGCCATCTGAGCAGAGGTACAATATCGGCCGGTGCAGAGCTATACTTGGGGCCTTGCTCTCCATCGAGTGGTGATGACTCCGAGGACTCCGATACTCAGCAGCGTCCTCGACTCGCCCAAACTTTGCCGCCATCTCGCTCGTTCCCAGGCGCTCTCAAAGGCAATCCTCTGACTTTCAACAAAGCTTCGGATCAAGAATGGCGCAAAGTCAAGGTTGTCAGCATCAGGAATTTGCGCCTTCCTGTCTCAACACTGCACGCCGACCAAGCGGGGACTGTTGGTGTTGAGTTGGCTGACGATAAGACTCTTGACACGTGGACCACCATCAAGATCAGAAGGGGCATGGTGCTTTGCAACAAGCCTGCAACGTCGTCCAGCACTATTGTCGCACAGTTCAGACGAGACGATCTAGGCACTTTGGCAGTAGGAAGCCAAGCTGTAGTGTATCTTGCAAGCGTCCGGTCGTCTGCAAGAATCTTGTCCTGCAGGATACCAGAACCTTCTGAGGTGGTAAGCGAAGGTTTGAAACCAGAGACGGTTGATGAACACAATGGCTCGCAAGAAGGCGGATTCACCGATGAAGCTTCTGCTGGCGCAATCACACATCAGCACCTGCAAGTAACGTTCCATTTCGACTCTACTAAGGAATGCGTCGAAGTCGGCTCGAAGATTCTGGTTATGCCGGGAGGTGGTCCAGGCTTGTTCGGTGGCACAGAGCGCGGTGAAAAGGGTGCCGCCGGTCTCGAAGGATTCGTTGGAAGAGTCGTGGAAGTGCTCCGATGAAGCAACAGACAATCTTCTATACTATATCAGAAGCTGATCGATAGCATGGTGAAGGAAGCTTCAGTATGTCTTGCTTGCACAAAGGACATGTGACGTGCAATTCTTCCAGCCAGCTATCCATACATCCCTTGTGAAAGACATGTAGACATGGTAGTCCGCGAATTATCTCTCGGTCACCGATGGGATCGAAGCATATTGTGCAAATTGCATGGCCGATGAAGAGGTCTGGGAACTTGGTTTCCCATTCGTTTCGCCAGTCCGCGTATTCACGCTCGACCGCTGCTTCGTAGATGGCTTGTGAGTTTTGAGTCTGGCCTGCGCGTAGAGTTTTTGTGAATCTGTGGTCGAGGATACAGACGCTTTCGCTCAGCATCAGCGTGGTTCGTATATGCAAGTCTTGTAACTTACGCTAATATGGCTATCACAAGGAGAGCTTCGCAGATGTAGGGTATGTAGTCACCGTCCATGAAGTTGTTGCTTCGCGACCAGTTCCAGTCTGGAGAATCGAAAGTGGTATTGGCTGCCCACGCCGCTGCGTAAGAGTTTCCCATGGGAAGGGGCATATATTGCGGTGCCATATTTTTCTGTATAGCTGCCGAGGTTTGCGATGCCTCACATGGTGGTCTTTCAAGAGAACAGAGGTTTTCGACCGCACAGATTATTATTGCGATTCGGAATTCGATGACTGGATGTTATGAGTCTTGAGTCGCATGGCAAGGAGGGAGAATGCACCGCTTTGTGGCTTTTGCGTGTGGCCGTCATGTCTCGAGGTAGTTGCAGCTCAAGGACGCGTGATGTTGATCTCCTAAGCTGGCGGCTCGTCGATGATTGGCTGATGCCTGCACATAGCGCCAAAATGGTCATCTGAGAGATCCATCAAGGTATGACAGGCAGATGATTTATTATGATCTGTAAGATTGTGGGAGAATGTGTTCATACAAGAATATCCTTAACATCAACAAAAGACAAGACTCCAACCAAGCGTATGCGACAAGCAAAAAATTCGTTATGCGTTGCGATGAAGAAGGGGCATTTTTCACGCGTCCCAGCCATAAATCTTCAGAACCGGAGGCTCCTTGCGAGGTACAAATTCATCAACCCGCTCATCCACCTTCTCCACTTCCGAGAATTTGTACTCGATGTCGCCAAAACTGGCAGTGGGGAACACATAGAACCACTTCAACTCCTGCTCTCCAGTGTTTTTGATACCATGTTCAGCATCTCCAGGGATAAATACTGTGCTGCCTCCAGTCACTGCATGCACGGTGCCCTCAACAGTGACTTCACCCTTGCCAGAAATGATATAGTAGATTTCTGATTGAGTGTGGCGATGATGCGCAAGGTAGCCTGTGTTTGCAGGACATACTGCGACGCCGGCGGACATGTCTTGAGAGGCGGTTTGAGGAGCAGAGAGAAGAGTATGCCATGTACATTCGCCGCGAGAATTATCCGAGAAGCTCTCAGGTGCGGTTTGAGATGTGTGATTCGCGTCTATCACGACGGCTTGTTGTGTTGATTTCTTAGGCTCCTCTTGTGGAGGTGTGAGGGGCCTTGTTTGGTGGAGGCGGGGCGAAGTTGCTGACTTCTTCCTTGGCAAGACTGACCACATGATTGTATGATAGCTGAGAGGATATGTAAATTGAAGTAGAAGATGTTTTGGAGAGATAGAGAGCAGCTCAGTAAAGGTCAGAAGGATCGTTTCCAGATTTCACGACAAGGGTTGCTGCATGTTTTTATCGCAGCTTGAAGACAGCGATAGCCGATCTCTGTGGAGGAAGCAACCGCCTATTGCGGAAGCGTTATCCCGGTTATCCTGGGTGAGTCTATGAGAGGGGTCGCACACGCCTTTTACACAGCAAATGCTTGCCCAAATCAACAATGCGGTCCATAAAGCCTGGCGGCACGCCGTCGCAACTTCAAGTCTACAAAACAAAGCATCGTTACAAGATGGGGTTCGGTCAGCAATGGAAATAGAAGACTTTGGCTCGAGCCGAAGTTCTTCCATCTGGTGATATACAGCTTCGGTCACGCCACGAGTTTGTCCGAAAGATCGCGAGACAGCACTTTCCAGGTTGTTCGATCATCTAGTCGACCCGCTGCTTTTACGTGCGATTTCGTCAGTCTCATGATGTTCACAGTAGCAAGGACATCCTCGGGTGTCTATAGATAGGTAGGTCGAGGCATATACGCACCTCTGCTCAACCATTGCCCATGCTCCCACGCAGAATCACAACTCTCGAATACACACAAGACAGAAAGGACGATCAATCTCTGTGGGGCACTCCAGCAAATTGGTCATGGGCTCAGTCGTAAATACAACTGTGACGCAAGTGTTCGACCTATTTCCGCACGCTTCAGACATCACTCCAGAAGGTAACAAACTCTCAACTAATGAACAACACGGTCTCTGACCCAAGACCACAGAAGAAGCAAAATACGAACAAGAAGTGCGACTGGAAATGGATCGTCGCGGCAATTTTCACGGCAACGACATCTGCTGTCAACGACGACAATCAGTACCAGAAGTGGCAGAAGAAGAGCTTGAACGGCGCTTGCTGTGGGCAAGACAGATGATTCTGCAGAACCCTGCTTTATGTGCCAGATCCTGTCATTTGCCTGGTTTGCAAGCAGGATCCGAGTAGCATTTGGAATTGGGCACAATCCTTTGCTCTATAACATGTTATCAGAGAACATCACAGCGCACGGGAATAGGTTATCAGATAGGTTCTTCTTATGGATATGGGGTAGGGATTCGGATATCGAAACTGGTGAGGCTCTACAAGCATATCATGGCGCGAATCTTGTCTGCGCAGGTGCATTTTGGTTATTCATGATTCATGTTTCAGTATACTCAGATGGGGAAATTGACTTGGCCCTGTTCATATCTCTTCCGTCCCACCATCCTGGATGTTGTGTTCTCACCGAGTCTACAGCCACATGCAGCATTTAGCAATAAATCAATATGACTACATGACATGCCGCGTATAAAGCACACATTTTGACCACACTCAGCTGTACTACTTGGCTTTGCACAGTCACACGAAGGAGAGAGACAAAGGAAGGTAAGAATCGCGTGATGGTGGCACTCCGCAATGTTACGATTTGTGCTGGGCGTCAGGTGAGGCTAGCTTAAGCGCCCCGGATGAATGTACGATGTCTCCTGTCTACGAAAATACCATACGGACGCAATCGGTATATGAATCCATCCTGTGCAGAAGAATTACAAGTATAAGATCTAGAGTCTCATGCTCGCAATGTTCATAGAGTATCTCGTACAGAACTGCACCAACAAAATATTGTATCTACAGGTCTTTTACAAGATCTCGAAAACCAACCTCCATCAGATTTGACACTTCCATCCACCCTCACAGATGTCAAACTGGAATCAACTCTACGATCTTGAGCCTTTGCTCCACACTCCACCTACAGGACCCATCTCCAAACAGCACTCCTACATCACCTGCAAGCCCTATAAACGCTACGACTCAGACATCTCCTCTGTCTGTAGCTCCGAGGGTGTAGAGGACTTCGACAGTCCTATCTGGTGGGATATACTCGATCACGAAGAAGAAGCCATCGCGCGGTACAAGAAGTTCTTGCAAGAGCAACTGGTCAAGGGCCGGAGTTTGGAGAAGCAGACAGAACCAAAGGCTGCGATGATCAGGGTTGAAGGCATGTTGGTCATCAGACTTTTGCAAGATGCCCCTTACTGATGTGTATGATAGTGTCAAACAAGGCTGTGCCGCATACTCCGTCAGTGTCATTGCCGGAGAGGTCTAAGGAGAAGAGTGATCATACACATATTGTTGAGAAGATGCGAGACTCGCGGGATCTTGCTGGACCAGTCGAGTTTTGTTTTTGGAGTTTGAACAGTCAGCCGTGTCAGTGTGGAAAATGCTGATCTCGTGTCTTTGAGTCGAGTGTTCAACATGATTAGTTATACACCAGGCTGGGAAGGGTATTTTGAGTTGTTTGGAGCGGAAATGACGGAATCAAAATCTCGATAGCAGCGAAATTTCGGACAACATACTTCTCATGGATTGAGCATCTGTTTAGCATCTGCAATCTGTCTCCATGACTTTCTAAAACATAACTTTTGGATTCGGAACCGTTCTAACCATCGAGTATTGCTTGCACAACCTCCTTTGCATTCAACCATCCTAGAGCGCAAAGAACGAAACACTGTCCATGAACATGTTCGCAGTGTTGTCAGCCTGAGCACAGGTGAGGCGGATGCGTAGATCCTGAGTGTAGGCAGTAGGGCGGACATCCACATCGCGCTTGTTGTATCCAGTCGATCCGTATCCTGCGCTATCAGAAACCGGAGTGTCGATGATCTTGTCAGAGCCCAGGAAAGCTTGAATCGAGCATGGGTTGCCATTGAGCAGAGTGTGGGTGTAGAAGGTCAAGTGGTATGCAGCAGTGTTCGATAGACCAGTCAAGGTCTGCACCCAATCGATAGAACCTTGTGTAACATGGTAGATGCTGTAGTATGTATATGAGCAAAGGCCCCGGACTCGATCTAGGTTGAGAGGAGGTGAATACTTACGCATAACTGCTTCCGGTTTGAGCCGCACCTTCATATGTCCATACATATGCGTTCGAGTTCCAGTCGAATCCGTTGGGATAATCAACCCTCCAGTTGTTTTGACCATTCTCGAAGGAAGGATTCTGAACGATGTTGAGACCCTTGATGGGAGTTGCGACAGGATCCACAGACTTGGTGGTGGTAGACTTGATAACCACGTTAGTAGGAACAGTCTGGGTCTGTGTAATCATCTGAGTGGTGAGAGTGGTGCTCAGAGGGGTGGCAGCGGTCTCGGTAGCGGTGACTGTTTCGGTGCCGGTTGCGACTGACGAACAGGCAGCAGAGATACGAGAAGGAGACCAAGTTGACAGAGATGCAGGTGTTTGAACGTCTCTCTTCATGTTGCGAGTGACAGTTGCGGTCTGAATGTCAGTGGTGAGCTGAGTGCTGTAGGCAGTGTTGGTGACAAAGCTCCTCTGAGTGGAGATCAGGACAGAGACAGCTGGTGTGATGGTGACCGTCGATACGGTCGAGGTAGGAGGAACGTAGTCAACAAATGCAGTGCAGAAAGCAGCTCCGTTCTGGCTGAGGTAGGGCACATCAGATGGACAGCTAACGTCGCCTGACTGAGTCGCATTGGAAGCAATGTAGCTCAAACCCATAGTGTAGTGTACGCTTCCACGCCACTGGCCATCGTTCTTAGCATAGCTTGCATCCCATGCTTGCGTATACATAGAACTGGATACGTTAGTCGCTGTAGACCATGGATTTTCGAAACTTGACTCACCAATACTGTCCCTGATACACCCCATTTCTGTACATCGCATAGGTATTGTAGAACTGGCAAGTTCTCACAACCCCGTTGGCAAGAGGATGACGGACGTTGTACTCGCTTTGGGCGCTATTTTGTCAGTTTAGCAGGTCGGCCCCAAGGAGAAGCTCGAATTTCACTCACGTGCAAGCTGCAGCACAAAGGGTAGTATCAAAAGGACCAGTGGTAAAAAGCTTCGAGCCAAGGAAAGTGTCCTACGATTCCAATCAGCTATTGGCGATTCCAAACATATGCCAACTATACATACCAAACCCTGACAGTTCTTAGGGACACTCATGGCTGCATCCTTAATCTGAACATTCGATGTGTAGCCGTTCGACGTTTCGACCACGATATCGCGGCGATGGAGATCTGTGTCACGTCTCTGAGGAAGAGGGTTGCTCTCTACCTCTGTAATGACAGCATCAATAGCGGCTTGTTGGTTGTAGTTGCTTGAGTCGTCAATTGCCACTGTTGGCTCGGGTGACTCATCCACGAGATCGAAGTCGATATCTTGACGGCGGGCAAGGCTCAGTCTGATCGAACCATCGTCTGCTAGATACATGCCACTTGGCACGGTCATGTTCGAGACATTGTTGGATGAGACTTCCAAGGGCAGAGCCGCAACTGAGAGCGCTAAGGCAATGCTGTTCAAAGCGATGGAGGTGCGCATGTTTCAGAGGAGGATATGATGTGAGATTGATGATTGAGTGCTGTCCTGTATTGTGCTTTGGACGCACTTCAGATCCCTTATATACTCTTGCTGTGCCTCTGATACTTCTCGGCATCTCCGACACTGTCAACGGAGAGCTGAAAAGTCGTTTTGACTCTGACTAAACAGACTGGCATCGAAAGTGTAGTTCATCGAAGGCTGTGCATAGACGAAGTGTTCTAGACGGCGGATGCTTGTGCTATCATCTTGATAGATTGAGAGGCGCATCGTACGGTCGGCTGGCTTTGAGGCTACTTAGAACCTAGTTCTAATCAGTAGTATACACAAGCGACTCTTCGGTATAGTCTTTTGTCGTAGCCCTGCCCCTGTGATGCTTTGCAAACTTGTTCCCTTAGCGGAAGTGATCAACTCGTCGAATGTGGAATAGCTCGCAAGTACTAAGCCGATCATTGAGCTCAAGCTGGGCCGAGCACAACTTAGCGGTGAGAAACCTCAGATCGTTATTCTTCGCTTTGGAGACCAGTTTGATACGGAGTGTTCAGCTCTCAACTTACAGGCGTTTGTCAGAGCAACGAACTAGCAGTTGCAGTAGGTCAAGGCCTCACGGACATGCCGGTCCCCACAGTCTGTCTTTTGAACATGGCATCACGTACTGTCGACTTCGAACCGGGTCGCAAAGGCCTTGCGAATGGATTTGCCGGATACGAGATGTCGAGGAGCTGTTTTTTCCTGCATGTCCTTACCCATCACGACGGTGTTCTGCTCAGTCACCCATGTAAGCAAGACAGGCATCCATACTAGAGTATTGTTGCTCCTTCTAGAACTCAGACAAAGTTTTTCGGCATGCAAGCATAGACAGCTCGCGTGGATGGACGTTGGAAAAGAGATTCGACACCCCGGGAACTAGTCGAGAAAGAGCTTGCTAGAGCACGCGTCGAGGACAAGCGCGCGACCGAGCTTCGTATATGGCTATATCTACGCCTATATCAGGAATCATATGCAAGTTCAAGCGCATCGAAAGGGGTGTAGAAGCGCGATGGTGCTTAGATTGTTGAATATGTTGTAAAAAAGGAGATGACCGAAATTGATGGGTCTAGATGTGAGGCTACGGGAACAACCTCGGTAAACATCTGCACCGCACCAATACCAGTATCATGTACGAAGAATCTCGCAGCCATACATCGACAACCCTTTCATAACTTGATATATGATTGCGGTACAGGTGACATGCTAGTCGCGTTTTGCATGTCCAAAATCAATGACATTCTCACGTCCGTTCGCTATCCACGTGACCCTGTTCCGCGTTCCGGTAGGACTATCATTCCTCCATCTCCTCAGATTATGCGCCGGTTGAAACAAACATCGTAATCATAAAGTCGTGTGATCATAAAGAGCCATCTTCTAGCGTCGAAGCGTATGAAGCCTCTCGTCGAAAGTAGATGTTGGTGATTGGGTTCATTCCTCGTCGATCGCAGAAGACTCTTCAGACAACGATTCAACAGACCATCGACGTTTGATGTCGTCGAAAGCTTCTAGAGATTCTCGTCGGGTCGAACCGTGAGGAATAGTATGCCGTGTGCTGGAATGCCTGGGTTGGCTGTTGTTGCGCGTTGTTGATGGACCGTGATGCGGGCTTGTGGGTGCATCGGGAGACCAGTCCTTGTATGAGTCGGAGAAGGGATCCGAAGCCGACGTATCAGGTGTTCTCTCGAATGAGAGTTCTGACGCGAACCGGACGTGTCTGCAAAAATTATCAATATTGGTCTTAGAGAAGGCCTAGGTCAGGAAAACTTACTTGACAGTTCGTAGCGTAGTGCTAGCCATACTTGATGTGAGAGAATCTTGCGTGTCGATTGTGTGAGCGGTATGAGGCGCAGGCATGACGAGAGTGTATGATTGTATGTGAGGCTGAAAGTTTGTGTAGTTAGAGAGGAAGGAACGAAGTCGATGGCTATAAGTATTTCTTCCGAGCCAAATTTCTAGAAAGCGAATGACGGCAGACAACCAATTGAGGGCCCGATCTGATTTGAGCCGCGCAAGTAGTCTGCCCGGAATAGCGGAAAGAGGAGAAGATTCGCAAAGTTGTTAGGAGCGAAACCGTAGTCAGGCCGATGGTGTGAGAATAGTTGCGACTGCGGAGAAGTACGGGAACATAAGGCTGCATATGCGAGAGTCAGTTGTCATCAGACGGATGGTGCAAACATCACGGCAAGGATCGTGAAATAGGCCTGTATCGAAGCTGTCGCTGAACGCATCTGACCTGGGGATCATGATCCGGAGGCCAGAGTGGAGCAGTGGTCGTGTAAGGATGAGGCTCTTCGGGAGCTAAAAACTCTATGGCACTGTGGCCCTGAAGATCGCGACGGCCTACAACATCATTTGGTGGGTTCGAACCACCATGATGCTCAAGGGGACGACGATCCGGTGGCCACAGGACAGAGACTTCAAGGACGAAATCACTGTGTATCGTCATTGCTCATGAACAGCGAGTTCTGACTACTACGGATACCAAGCATTGAGAATTGCGTGGCTTCTCATATCGCTTGGGCAATTCATCAGAGTGGGGGGATAGGAAGATTTCGAAGAGCCCTTGTAAGACATGTTCGGCGCATGGTCGTTCGCAGGTATCGGAGCTACACATGAGGATCGTGCCATCACCCTATCTTGTTTGTGTGATCCGGGAAAAGAAAGCAAGCCCCCTGGGGGGGATTGCTGTTTGGTGCTTACAGGCAACGCATCACCCATCTACATCTGTTTCGTCGTGCCCAGGGCACACTCGAACGTTGAACGATGTCGCTTCGATGATCGAGGATGGTGTTTGTTTCACGAGCTACACGTCAGAGATGGGTGGGAACGAAGAAAACTTGGAATCGGCGTCATCGGTTGGTCGCAACCTCCGGCCTGTGCACTCTCACCTCTCACCGAGCCGCACACCGAGCATCGGCCATCTCCAACTCTTCGACATGAGCACTCCACTCTCTTGATTGAACCCGGAAATTAGCCCAATGCACATGCCTAATACAAAAAGAATCCTTGTTTCAGCCGCAGTGATATACACAGAGATCAGGCACAGCCGCACCGCCTTGTGCAGGGAGGACATCATAGGCCGCTGCTAGTAGGTGGTAGGAAATCGCGATGGCTACCCTTATTCCCAGGTCTAAGGATACCTCACCACATCATGGCTCAGCCGAATGTCGACGATCAGTCCCTGAGTTTTGGCTCCTCTTCCCAGCTTGCCACTTTGATTTCGCCCGAGCCAGCCCTCTGATCTCTTCGTTCCACGTTTCGATCTCTGCTTAAACGTGAGGGTGCCCGATCGCGCCTTCTCTACTTGGAGCAACTTTCATGGCAAATAGATGTGATCGATTCCAGCCATCTTGTCCGAATTGACGACACCTTGAAAAGACCCTCCACTTATTTCTTCGAACTCGTTCATGCTCACAAATAGGTCTGAGTGGTTGATTGCAATCAAGACATGGCTGACGTCCACCGGTCGTGAAGGATCGTTTGGGTTGGTGCCATGGCCTACAGAAGAAGATCTGGATAACACTTTACTAATGATTTCCATCATAACAGCCAATGCGCTGCCTTCTGGACTGCCCATTGGTGTCATGACACCCTCAAGATCCTTCTACAGGTCGGCTGTTTGTCGGCATTCGGCTTCCAACGCTCAGTCTGTTAGTATGTTCTCACCACGACGCTCCGCTGTGTGAATACTCCCTCGCGCTGCAACAGATGGCGCCATATCCAAGATCAAAAGGTGTTCATTTCCGGCTACGCGAGCGCTGGGCCGCTTGTCAGACATGTTTCGAATCGTGCCTGTAAATCGAAGAAGCTGTTGAGGCTGTGGTGGATTTCGTAAGTGATCAATCTAGAGCAAGCAGACGGATCAGAGTGCGGAGTACGAGTAGATTCTTGGGTGGAGAGCGCTACTGCTGGAATCAGTCCCTATATCCGTCAAGGCCTCCGTACCACATGTTGTTCCACAAACTATGACATTAATCAGGACACGTAGTGTCGTAGCTCGGTTGACTGATACCAGCGGAGGATAGTTCGAGACAGAAGCGTGGAGTGGTGTGGGGCAATCTCCAAAGCTTCATCCATGTCACGTCCATCGAATTGTCATCTCGGTCTCTTCCTGACCACCGTGTTCGGGCTTCAACATGACCTCTACTCGAGACGAATCGTGTAGACAGTGAGAAGTGGCAGCTTACTTGGACACCACCGCTGGAACATATACACAAATCTCACGATTTGTGGCATGGCCTGTGCACAACAGAGGTGAGTTAATATGAGCGAACTTTGATACGTAAAAGCAGTCCAAGATTCCCTACGACTTGCTGTTTGCTCCCCTCCCCCCGTTCATCTACCTCTCGCTTCAACAATCAGAAGAGAAACGGATACGTTCCAGAGCGATCACGCAATCACCCATCGATACTTCTGCATTCTCACGAACAACATGGATCACGCCGATTCAGACATACCGTCAGCATATATAATAAAGAATCACATGTACGAGGCAGCCTACGAAGCGACTATGCAGGCTAGAGGCATATCCCGAGAAACGAATACAGTCAACGACCCGTGCGTCGCAAGAACCAAACAAACACAGCCGATGGCAGGCTTCGAGAGAACAGAAGCAAAAGACCTTGTCGATCCGAGTCAGCGCGACGGAGCAACTTCCTGCACGAAGAACGAGGCTCCACACTCGACTATCAAGGTGCTTGCGGCAATGATGGATGGTCTCCATTTGGATACCGAGGACAACATGACACATGCGCCTCTGTGTTCAGACGATGAATCTGAAGATGGTTGGTCGGTCGTTAGTGGTGGAAGCAACTTTGTTATTATTGATTCTGCCGAGACAGCACGCCACATCTCCAATGACAGATCAAAGAGGGAGAAGCCCGAGGTACCACCAAGACCCTCGAGGAAAGCCAGACCATACCTATCAAGCGTTGATCAACAGAGTGTGCTCGTAGACCAGACTGATCATAAAGAGCCGGTGACGGGATATGCTGTAGATGTTAGCAGGACACATCAACTCAAGCATGGGCGACAACGAGACCACAAGAAGATTAAAGGTAAATGGTTGGATAGACTTGCCAGTCGTCACGGTAGATTCGAAAGGAACATGGAGAGAGCTTTTGGTTTTGAGGCTCGAGTGCTGCGGGAGGCATGTCGTCAGGAGCGTGATGGCAAGATAGATCGCTGAGGAGCCCCCGAGATCGATCAGTCCCTTGCTTGAAGTTTGCCACTTTGCTCGAGTACTGTGAAGATGGTAGCTATCAACAATGTTATATGCGATGGACAAGAGGCTAAGTTGATGCCGAAGGACCCTGGAGAGAAGTGCGGAGGGGTATAGTGGGGCTACTCCAATCACATCATCCCACAACACTCATGACCATACTAAGTACTACTTCTTCCAATACAATCAGCTCAAGTCTCAGCACGATAGTACGAACACCATGGATCACCAAGAAACGAAAATAGATCCTCAGGATGACTACGACCTCTCCAAACCACTCGCAGCCACCACCGGCCTGCGACAAGGCCTCACCTCCTACGGCGACGCCCACTTCTCCCTCTTCCTGCGCAAAGTATTCATCAAAGCAGCCGGGTACGGCGAAGACGCCCTCTCACGCCCCATAATCGGCATTATAAACACATATTCAGCATTTAATCCTTGTCACGCCAACATACCCCAACTTCTCGAAGCTGTCAAACGAGGAATACATCTACAAGGAGGTCTAGCCATTGAGTTTCCCACTATAAGTGTGCATGAGAGTTTTTCGTCGCCCACGAGTATGTTTTTGAGGAATTTGATGAGTATGGATACCGAGGAGATGATTAAGGCGCAACCAGTGGATGCAGTGGTTGCGATTGGTGGGTGTGACAAGACTGTTCCTGCGCAGTTGATGGGCGCGATTTCGGCGAACAAAGTGTGTTTGCCGCTGGTCACAGGACCTATGATGCCTGGGTCGAGTAGAGGAGTGAGAGTTGGGGCTTGTACTGATTGCAGAAGCCATTGGGCAGCGTATAGGGCTGGAGAGATTGATATGGAGGATATTGGTGCTGTTAACGAGGAGCTTGCACCTACGGTCAGTAGTGTGTCTTCATCTGATGACTGTTTTACTGATTTTGAACAGGCAGGGACTTGTGGTGTCATGGGGACCGCGAGCACCATGGCTTGCGTGACCGTTGCACTCGGTCTGATGCCTTTTGATGGTGCTTCTGCCGCAGCGGTCTCCTCGGCGCGTTTGAGAATTGCTGAACGAACTGGTGCCAATGCAGTTGCTGCGGCTGCTGCCAAAAGACTTCCTCAATCGATACTTACGAAGGAGTCTTTTCTCAATGCTATCATTGTTCTCCAGGCCATTGGAGGTTCGACCAATGCTGTTGTGCATCTGATGGCTATCGTGAACCGGCATCCTGAGGTCGCTGGATCAATCACTCTGGAAACTTTCGATGAGGTCGGCAGGAACACACCACTGCTTGTTGATCTCAAGCCGACTGGCGATAACTACGTATGTGACGCGGGAATCGAATGGGTATAACCTCCGCGCTAACGTCACGCAGATGACCGACTTCCACAATGCTGGTGGTATGCTTGCGTTATTGCATACACTCAGACCGCTTTTACATCTGGAAGCTAAAACGATCAACGGCAAGACCTTGGGCGAAGAACTTGAAACTACACCGTTCAAACCATTCAAATACTCGAGCGAGCTCATAAGACCACTCTCGAATCCGCTATATCCAGAATCGGCGATTGTGGTCTTGCGTGGAAACATGGCGCCTAGGGGGGCAGTCATGAAGGCAGCGGCTTCGAAAGATAGAAGTCTTCTCAGCCATATAGGCCGCGCTGTTGTGTTTCAAAACACAGCTGACATGGCTCAACGCATCGATGACCCAGACCTACCAGTGACCAAAGACTCGGTTCTGGTCTTACAGAGTGTAGGACCAATCGGTAATCCCGGTATGCCAGAGGCTGGCGTTATCCCGATACCTCGCAAACTAGGAGCTCAAGGCGTCAAAGACATGTTGCGCATTTCCGATGGACGCATGTCAGGAACAGCTGGGGGCACAATCGTGTTGCACGTCTCCCCAGAATCGGCACTGCCAGATTCCGTGTTTGGATGTGTAAAGGATGGAGATTTGATCGAGTGCGATGTCGAAAAGAGACTTCTCAGACTGCACGTCTCGGACGAAGAACTGGCGAAGCGTGTTGCTGCGCGATTAGCGGCCAAGAAAAGGGAAGAGCATGGCACGAGGAGGATCAGTGGGAAGCAGCGTGGATATCGCGGGCTGTACGAGCGATGTGTAAATCAAGCCGAGGAGGGCGCTGACTTTGACTTCCTTACCGCAGCAGGCCCTATCTAGTCAACCATGTAATCATGTTCGATATCATGCTCGTGTACTTGTCGGAGGCGTGCCTGAGGTGATCAAGTCTTGAGGCTCCGCATGCTCGGTCGAGGTCCGAGCTGAAAATCTTGGCAGGAAAGTCGGACTTGCCAAAGATGCGGCGAGCAACAAATCGACGACAGTAGGACACGCCATTACCACACACACCATGTCGCGGATATCTCCCTTTGGACGGGCTGTCGGCCAACTGGCGACTCCCAATGTCTCGTCAAACACTTGCAGATCTTGTCAACTACAACTAGGCGCCGCTTCGCAACAACGTCAATTGCAGACCTCCGCTGTCCGACCCGCCATCGCCGACCGCTTCAAGGCCCTCATCAGCGGCAAAAAGAAGGACAAGGATACCACCAAACTCTCTAAACCTGCCTCCGACAAGTTCACACCACGGAAGGCCGACTTTCCAGGATGGACTCTACCATTGAAGAAAAGATTGCCAGGAGGGTGGGCTGAGACACCGCAAGAGGACAAGACATACGTTATGGCAACCCAGGGCAAGGATTTGGAACACGTAGGAAGCGACAAGTGGCTCGAGCAGCAGTTTGACGACAAGCCAAAGTACAAGGGGTACGAAGCAGATTTAGTCCGATTACGCCTAGACTCATGCTGACTTGTTGTCTCAGGTGGAAGAAAGTGCACAACAGCAACGGAATGACATCCAAGGATGCTGAAGGTAGAATCCTCAAGGCCGCGACGGAGGCCGGCCTCAAGGTGGAGTCAGCTGGCTTGGATTTCGTGATCGACCCGAAGGAGAAGTTCAAGGTACGTGGAGAAGTGCTCGTAGCCATAGCTCTCGGCAATGCTAACATGACAAACACACAGTTCACCAAGGTTTTGCGAGCATCGACAAAGATGCAGATTCCAGATATCGTCATGCACAGAGCAACGACGCTCAAGGACTTCCAGCAAGCTATCCTCACCAAGCCCAAGCCTAAGAAGCTGTCTTTCGCCCTTCTCGCCAATGAAGAGCTCATGGCAAACCGCAACATCCAGGTTCGCGGGGGTCGTCAAACGCCAGTTCACAAGGACAGAGCCGTTGGCAGGTGGAAGCTGATCGAGAACGAGCTGGTCAACAGAGGCCTACCTGTATTTGGACATGGAATCAAGGCCGACAGGGGCTTCAAGGCTGGAGAAGTCGACGAAGTCAAGACCGCATAGGTCGATCTGCACGTTCGATACGATACGCAAGCAACAGAACTAACGTTTGGCAACGATACCAAGCCGTTTTGTACAAATACCAATGTAAGCATCTATAAAAACTTTGACAAACATGCTCCTGTTCATCATGTGAAACACTCAAACGAGCACTCAAACGAGCACTCAAACGCCATGGTTTCCAGCTTGGGAAGAGAAGCATCAACGCAAACGGGACGAACGTGGGCAAAGCTGAGAGCTTTGAGTGTTTTACGAAACGGAACGGCAGTTTGTGATTGCGCCCTTCTGCGGCTCCTGTGATGATAGGTAGCTTGACAAGTGAAGATACGAGTTTTGGTGTAACGTTTTGATCGCATCTAAAAACATGAAATAGCGCACGGACCAGGTTTAGCGCAAAAAGTTGATGGAGCGCTGCCCCGCGGATGACGGACTGGTAGTGAGAGGCGTTTGTCTACAGTGGAAAATAGAATCAAAGCAGGCACCTCACTCCGGAGGCGCATGTTGATATTGGTTTATTGCCTCTGGAGTACGAAGCTCGTCGCCATCTCATTATCATCATGAGCTCGAAGCCAATGGCTCGGCAGCGCATCGTCCCTGCCATTCCGCATCAACTCAGCATCCGCCGCGCAAAAGTCGTTCCAGCAGGCAAGAGCGACCAACAACCCGCCGACGACAAGGGAAAGAGCGCATCGCCTCTGGCCAGCGCAGACAAATTGCGCACAGATGGCAACGAAGATGCAGACGCGCGTCAACGCAACGACAATGCCGTATCGGTCAATGGAACCAAAGACGAGCAAGCCAAACAGGTGGTCGCTGAGGACGAGCCCGTCGCAACCAAGGAGCTTGCTGTGAACAAGGAACCTCTCGAGAAAGAAAAGCCTGTCGAGAACAAGCAAGAGCTTCCTGCTGAGAAGGAAGTGGTTGTTGAGAAGGAGAAGAAGGTGGTCAACGGTAAGTCGTACCTTCCTCGTCTCTCATACAATATGCTAAGTGATAAATAGGAGTGGCTGCACCTCCTTCTCGCCGCCAACCTCACTACCAAGACGCTCAGGCTCTCCCATTCGTCCCCAAGCATCAGTACAACAAGCACAGCGAATCTATCGTTTTTGGTGGTCTTCGAGACTCGTCCAGCGCCTCACCTGCTGCCATGTCAAACCCGGCCTTCGTCATTCCTCCACCCACATCCGCCATGGCTCCTGCAGTGGGTCCCTACGACAGCTACCTTCCCGCTCAGCCATATGCCCCTAGCATTCCTCCTGCTCCTGTGGCCGTCATGGGTCCTCCTCCATTGACCGACGGCCATGCTTTCGCAATCACCAACGGAGGCGCCGCCCATGTCGGAAGTATTGCGTCTTCACCTTCGCGCACGCCATCTGTCCCTCTTGGCGATTCCGCTGTTGCTACACCCGACGGCTATGTGCCACACAAGCACCATGCTCTCCAGCCATCTTATCCTCCTCCACCTCCTCTCGATAACAACGTGCAGCATCTGGCCGACTATGTCCTTTCCTACTGGAACCAGCACGAGTTTGCTGACTACCTTCTTGAGCTGTACTCGGGTAACCGGTCCTCAAGCCCTCTGATGCTGCCCGTACACGGCATCATCATTGCTCGTTACCCTGGTTTCCTTAAGCTCATCAACAACATGCCCCAGACTCGTACCCACTCGCGTGCTAGCATCGTCCACATGCCTCGCAGCTACTGCTTCCAAGACGCTTCTGCTTTCGCTGATGCCATGCGCTACGTCTACGGCGGCCGATTGATCGAGCCCATGTACGTCTACAGCAACCCTGCAAGCACTCCGGCCTCCCGCATGCGTTACGTCTTGTCATACCTCGCCGCTGGTCATTTTCTGGGTGCTGAGCCTATCATTGTGCACGCCTACAACATGGCTTTGCGTATTCTTGGATTCAATGAGCTCGAGACTGTCCTGTTCTTCTCAGCCTGTGGCTGGTGCCTCAGTGAAAACTGCTTGTACGGTCCCTACGCCACTCAGATTGTCTTCCAGGCTCTGTACTTGATTACCTCAAACATATACCCCGACTTTGTCTTTGATGCCTCGGCCTCCGAGTTCTCGTCTGTGCCTCGTCTTGGATCTGGCCACAACTCTCAATCTCGTCCCGAATCTCGATCTTCCTCTGTATTTGCATCCACAGACATGCAGTCGGGCCAGCGTCCTATGTCAGGTATTCGTTTCGGCTCAGCAACCCCCAGCAGCTCAGACACTTCCTCGCCCAGCTATCTGCTGTCCTCTGCACTGTTGACTCTGTCTTTCGATCAGCTGAAGATTGTTCTAGAGCACGAACAGCTGGTGGCAAACTTGGGTATCGACACGCTACTCTCCATCGCTGGCGATATTGTGCGTGAGCGTGAGCGCCGTCGTGTCGACGCTTGCAACTTACTGCACGACCAAAAGAAGAATCCCGAAGGCGTTCTTCTACTCTCAGAGGCCGCAGGTCGCGATGCAACTGGCACACGCCTCCAGCTTCGGGTCACCCACCTCGGATGATGTCTCACGATGTCAACCACCTCTTGGAACGCTTTAACGAGATTCTGCTTTTTTCGCTTTTTCATTTTCTTGTTCTTCTTTCTTGCTTTTTCATATTTTCCTCCCTTGCAGAGGAGCTCTTGGGTTTAACAGAGCGCCAGCATACGGGAGAAACATAAAAAGGAGAGAGAACATATGGCTACTTTTGCTTGTGTGCTGTTTTCTCCTTTTTCTATTATACGTGAAGCGTGGCATTCATTGGCATGGCGAAGGTGCTCAAAAAATGGGAACAGGGGACCAAACCAAAATTCAGATACCAAAATCAATTTTTCGAATACAAAAACCAGTGAGGAATCATTTGTATTGACCTGCTGTCTCGTGGCGTGTTATGGAGCTGTTCTCGCTGGCTTCACTGTTAGAGGACAAGTCTGTTGTGTTTCAAAGGTGGCCGGCCTGCTTCTCAGTGATAATCAGACACGCCAGTACAATTGATAGATAATATTCAATCATCAGGAAGAGTAGAACTGATTAACAAGCGACCAGAAACATAACCAAAGCAGTCGTTACCATCATCGTTAGCAGATGTCCTTGCATATTCTCATCAAGTTCGTATTCCTCATTTCCTTTCCTTGTCGGATCCAATCTTCTCAACCTCGTACTTCCCTCATCCCGTCTTCACTCAATCAATCACCCTTCCAAAATCTTCTTCGCACGCAACGCAGCCGCATTATCAGGTCCACCCACAGCAGACCTATTCATCGCAGCCGCATACGCCTTTGCATTAGCGAGCTTGATTTCTTCTTCATCTGATTGTGGCTCCTCCATCTCTACATCTGGTTTCTCCACTTCTTCGGTCTTGAGGTCTGCTTTCTCATCCTCGGCCTCATCTTCCGAAGACGAGGTTTCGATTTCAGAGACATCGGCAGAGTGTTTGGCTGATTCGGATTCGCGGAGCAGACGGGTTTCCTTGCCGCGTTTGCGGCAGTACCAGAATACGAAGAGGAGGACTGGAGAGGTATCAGTGAGATGGCACTTGAAGTTGATGGGAGGAGGAGGCAAAACTTACTAAACACAGCCAAACTCATGACAACATTCGTGCCCGTCACAAACGCCGGGAACCTCAACTTCAAAAAGTTGACAATATTCGTCAACATACTCGTAACCGTGCCTTTCTGCTTTGCCAAATCCTTGATGTTGGGGACTTTTCTCTTTTGCTTTTTCTTCAAGTCCACATTGATGTTTTGGGCAGAGATTGAAGAAGATGCGGTGCTGGCGGCTTCCATTTGTTTCTTCAGATCATTGCCTGGTTTGTCTCCGGCCATTGCCATGAGCTCTGGTCCCATGGATGTTGCGAATTTGGAGGGCAGAGATTTGACTAGGGTTTGGACGAAGGGAGGCATGTTTTTGAAGGTTTGCTCGAGGTGTTTTTCGTTTTCTTTGAGGAGGGTTTCGAGGTCTTCCCAGGCTGTTGGGGCGCCGTTGACGATGTCTTTGAGGATCAAGGTGAATTCGGCGTAGAGTTTTTGGGATTGGTCAGAGAAGCTGAAGACGCGGTTGTTGATTGCGGAGAGGTTCAGGCGGTCGAGGAGAACGGAGACTTCGCGTTCGTCTTGTTCTTTGGCTTCGGGAGTTTGAGAGGCTGCGGCTGCTTCGGCTGACTCTTGGGCTTTGGTGCTGCGGGTGAAGGTGGGGACGGCGGGGATATAGGAGGCCCAGGTGCGTTGAGTGGGCTCTTCAGGCTGTTTGCCTTTGGTGTCTGTGGCTTTCTCTATGCTATCCGATATCTTCTCCGTCGAAGCGATCTCGAGCTCTGACGTAGTGTCGTCCTTGGGGGTCTCTTCAGCCTCCTTGTTGGCTTCAGGTTCGGATGTCGTTGTTATGTCCTTGGTGAGCTCATCCCTTGTTTCCAGAGCGGTCTCCTTTGCGGTTTCAGCTGTCTCTAGAGTAGGCTCCTTTGCAGCCTGAGCTGTCTCGGCGACTTGATCCGCCAAGTCGTTCTTGTCGTCCTGAGTAGATCCTTGGACAGCCGCTTGAGCGTACGAATTCTTCTCCTCGGCAGGACTCTCTGTCTTGGCCTCGCTATCCTCAGGCTTTGCAGCCTCCTTCTCATCCACCTTAGCATCTCCCTTGCGACCCCTCAACGAAGCCAAAGAAGGCATAGCAGGAATCGCCGGTACCGACGGCACACCAACATTAGGAATATAACTCGCCCACGTCCTCTTCTCGCTGGTCTCACCAGGACTAGCAGGCAGAATCATCTCGGCGGCTTCCTTTTGCGATACATCGGCCTGCTTCTCATTTCCCTCATCGTCAATGACTGTGGGCTCGATGGTGGGAAGAGGAGGCGCAGGAGCCTCTTGACTGGTTATCCTCTGCAAAAATTCCTCATCATCGTCATTAAGAACAGGATTCTGAGGGTTGGTTTTCTCAAGCGCTTCGCGGTTCTTGCGTGCTCGCGTCCAGGAGAGGACGTCAAGGTATGAGGACATGTTGATTGTTTGCATCTGCTGTGTAACTGGGTAAATAAAGCAAAGAAAACAAAACGGTGTCTTAGGATCTTTAGGATGAATTTGAAGGTGTATTTATTGCTGCTAGAGAATGTGATGGGTTTCTTGATCTCTGCCGCGTTGGACTGTGGCGCAAGCTGTCAAGCATGACGTCGAGCGGCGTTCGCATGTGATACCAATCCAAAAGTCTCGACCAACCTCGTCCCGTCCCACCTTTGCTTGACGACGACTTCAGTGGTCATCAGAATCTATGTAATGCTGTTGATTCTCTCTTCGAATCTTTGAGAACCCAGACGCCGGTGTAAGAAGATTTGCCAAAACGCCGCCATGTTGGATCGCATCATCTTCCTAGCCCAAACGAGAGCATATCCTCCCTGCAAGAACAAATTGGATGGAGAAGCTCTACCCACAGCAGCAGCTGGAGCAAGCACATACGACCAGCTCAACCGACCATGAGAGAACGCATCTCATCCGTGTCTTCGAGGATATCGCAAACTTGATCTCCCAGCTCCCTCTTCGCCTGCTCCTCTTTGCGTTTCTGGACTTTCGAACTGACCTCGGCCTGCAGAACACGCAAAGCCATACCTGCCGATCTGTATGCTCGATCATAGAAAACGACAGACCATGGTGGATCCCTAGGACGAAGTGGCGCGGGCCGGCGCTGACCCATCAAGGTCAGAAGGCGTTTGAACTCAACAGCAACGTGTCGGGGCAGAATTCCGAAAATCCTCACACTAGGCATCAGATCCTCTACGCGAGGCTCGAAGTCCAAGTTGATATAGACGGTCAGCTCTTTCAGTTGTGGAAGCCGACGGCGGATGAGTACAGCGATCTTCTTTGTTTCCGTCGAATTACAAGTCTTTGTATCGAGACCGAGTTGGAGCGTGCGAATGAAGCCACAGGTCTTGCTCGACAGGCGCTCGTAGAAGATGTTGCGCAAGTCATTGTAGAGCTCTTGTGATTGGATCCGGAGATCCGCATTCGACCAAGCGAGATCCAGTAGTTCAGCCCTGAGAAGACGGCAGGTGCTAGCGAGGAACAGGAGCTCATCAATGTCGTGAATGCTGTATCTGGGTCTGCGGATGTCGCATGCACGGGTGGGGTCTTCGTCAAAACGAGTTCGCATGTAGTACTGATTTTGGTGAATAAACAGAAAATTCCCATAATAGAAGGTGTCTGTATCGCGGTAGTGGATGCGCTTCGTCCTGGACAAGGTGAACTGCAGCACGAGTCTGTAGATGGCTAAGCGAATCTCTGGTGGCAAGTCGATGAAGGACAACATTGTTGCGATGTGGATGGGTTTGGGCCAAAGTTTGTGCTTGTGGAGAGGAGATATAAGTACGACACACGAGCTGACAGTCTTACAGCCGACACGTCCAAGACAACACTTGCTTGCCTACAGTCTCACAACTCGTGATTAGCATCAACACTTGGTAAAGTCGCCCAAACAAAGCTCACTGACTTGCTCCCTCACGAAAGATGCGCCTAGAAGGACCTGGAATCACACCCTCCGAGTACTCCCTACCCTTCACTCACCAAGACAATATAATACCATCAAGTTGCCCTTCCCTCAGCAAACGTGTAAGTGTGGCCCAACCAGTCATCCGTCTTTGCGATAAAACTTCCCGAGAGTTTTCTGCAGAAGGTCATCGGTTCGATCTTCGCCATAAGCAGAAATACTTGCAACTCTGGACCTGCAAAGGTAGAATACTCTGCAGGCTGGAGGGAGTTTTCCCTAGCAGCCCAAGTGCTGCCTGGTTTTTTGCTTGTTTTGATTGGATGTTCACGGTGTGTGAATATCTTTTCTGTCATGTCTCATCTTTCATTGAGAGCTATCACATAGAGACCTCAACGAATGTTCTTGAGTTAGTCTTTGTGCTCTTTGAATCGCCATGAAACAATGTGTACCATGCTTGAAACATCTTTTTGGATGTCTCTCACCAGGCAAAAACAGTCTTGTTGCGCGAATACTCAATTTTCCTGCCCTTTTTATCCATCTTCCTACTTTCTTCGGCATCCTGCATCATGACCCACGATTAGATTGCAGTGACGCATATCTTGAATGGGGAGAATCGTTCCCGAAACGATCTTAACGAACTTTTGCCAGTTGACTTCAGACCGTATTATTGGAAGAGCTGACACCTTCTTCGTGGTGGACGGCGGAACGCAGATCCGTTGTCCTGAGAAGGCAGTAGTCAAGGTCAAGGAGCTCAAGGTCATGTTTCATCCGTTGCCTGTCAAGGGCTTTGAAGCGGTTGGAAGTGTGTATGTCTGTAAGGAGAGCCGCTAGATTGTCGTGAGCGCGGTATATGTGAAGAGTTTCGCCCGTGTGGCGTCGCTCATACACGTGGAAGACAACACGTAGCTCAAGACGCAAAAGAAGCAGTTGTGCAAAGGCTGCTTTGGCTGACTTGCCCAGTAGATGTAGTGGATCTCGATGGGAATCTGTGCGGTGCGGGAAGCTGAGGTCAAGCCTTTTCAACGCAGGAAGATGAGTGTTGATGATTTCAACAAGCTCCTTCATGGGCTGAACACCGTCTCGGTCTGAGGGATCAAAGATGCCCAGCTCCAGGTATTCGATACATTGTTTGACAAGAGGCGACATGCAGAGAGCAAGACGAGGACCAAGCAATCCACAGACCATGTTCAGTGTTCCCTGTATTTTAAGATTCGAGTTTGGCCAAGCGAGCTCCACAACTTCTTTATACAGAATCTTGCTGGTTCGAGCGAGAGAAACCAATAGCGTGATGTTGTAGAGGTTGACTGTAGGGTACTCACGACCACGTGTGACTGTTCCGCGTTTTCTGAAGATGTAAGGTCCTCCGGTTGGTCTGAAGTCTTCCCCTTTTCGTCTTGAGATGGCCATGGCGGGATGCATGTTGATGTCAACTTCAGGCACCCAAAATATGCGGTCGCCGATTGCCCATCTCATTTCCAGGAGATTGTCATAGACCATGTAGCGAAGCTCATAGGGCAGATCCAAGAACCCAGTCATATTTGGAGATTCCTGACTGTGTTCGAGGCAGAGAGTTGAAGGCTGAGAATTACGGATTGACAAAGATGTGGGTGTCCTGTCAATCCAGAGTGAAACTGTGCCAGGTAGCAACACAAGGATTGATGGAACTACACACAAAGCCCCTCCAGCTCTTCTGATCCATACAAAACCAGCTCTAGACTTGGTCAATATCAATCCAGCTAGCAGAAAAAGCGTTTCGAGCAATCAGGAACGCTCATTGTCAGTGTGCAGGAAATTGAACAGGGAGGCAGGCACATGAAAACAATGCTACAACAGCCCGAACAGATGAATTGTCTTCATGCCGATGCCGTCAAAGACAGAAATTGGCAGCTGGCATGTTCAAAACCATCCGTAGATTCGTATCAATGTCGCGTGTCATGGCGGTGTCGAGGGAGAAAAGGACGATAGCAGAAACTTTGATTTAGGCACAAGCTGAGCCCTAAATTATTACCACGCTGATGGAAAGCGCCGCCGGAATGCACAAAGCTATTTGGTAAGTCACCATAACAAGAAGGTCCGAACCGCACCGATTGGGAAAGACAAGAGAGAAAGAAGCGGCGATGACAGTAAATCCCAAAGTATCAATTTTTGACAAAACACGAATCTAGATCTAAGAAAAAGCAAAAGGTGGATATCTCAATACAACAAACAAGGTTAAAATCCAAAAGTCAAGCGTCCATAGTCATAACAAATCCTTCCCTGGTAGTCCTTAGTCCTTGATAACCCATAATCATTAAAACTTTCATCAAACAAAGACCAAATTCAGCGACCACCGATCTGGCCCTTGGGGATGGGCTTGATCCAAGCGGTCAAGACACCCATTCCCATCATGATAGCACCGATGGTCAAGAAGCTCTGGCCATACAGTGTGGTCTTGCCGTCAATGCTGTAGCGGAAGATGATGGCGAAAATGATACCGCCGAGGTTGCCACTGGCGCCAACAACCCCAGAGACGAGACCGTTGGCGTGAGGGTGAACGTGAGGAACAAGAGAGTAGTTCAGTCCGTTGGCGCCTTCGAGGAAGAATCCAACACCAGCAGTGACGAGGCCAACGAGGGCAGGACGCGAGTGAGGGTTCACGGCACCAGTGATGACCATAAACATACCCGCAAGAGTGACATAGACATGGAGGAGAACCTTCTTGCCCCAAGGTCCGGACATTCTGTATGCGTAATCCGAGACCACACCACCCAAAGGACGGAAGACGATATTCAAGAGTCCGAACATAGCAGCCCAGTTACCAGAATCTTGAAGACCGAGCTTGAGGTTGGTGCGGTAGTAGGTTCCAAGGATGCTGTTGACGGACAATTCGCAACCGAAAGTGCAGAAGTAGCAGATACCGAGGACCAGTGTTTGTGGTGAGAAGACGACAGGGATGGCGTCCTTGAAGGAAGGCTTTTGGACGACTTCGCCGCGCACGGTGTCGAGCATCTGTTGCTCGCCCATTTGAGCTTCGTTGTCGCCGAAAGTGCCGCGAGTCTCGTCAAGCTTCTTCTCTTCGCTTGCGACATCGGAGGTGGAAGGTGTGCGGGAGTCCTTGTTGATAGTCTTCTCACCGGTGATCTCGCCAGTACCGGCGACGTCGACGATGGCGCCCTCGACAGCGTGAGAGCGCAGGTTAGACTCGGCGTTCTGGAAACGATCAGCCCACTTGCCAGTGGGAGTGTCTTCGCAGCAGAAGAAGAGGGCCAAGGCAACAGCAGTGATCAAGATGCCAGGAACAACAAAGGAAACACGCCAAGCGGTGTGACCAGAGAGGCCATTGTTCTTCATGAGCGAAGTGTAGATGGCAGGCATAACGAAGTAGGTAATGCCACCACCGGAGTTACCGAGGCCAGCGGTCAAGGAGTTGGCGGTACCAACAATGTTCTTGTCATAGAAACCAGTTGTCCATACTTGGCAAGGCACGAAAGAGCCACCAAGAATACCAACGAAGAATCTGAGAACATAGAGACCAGCAGCATTTTTGACGGTACCGGCAAGGAAGGTGGGGATAGCACCGAGAAGCAAACAGCCAGCGAATGTGTATCTAGGACCGAAGCGATCACAAGCAGGACCAGCAACCAGACGGACGAGGAGAGTGGCAGTCAAAGCGATAATGTTGGAGTTGGCGATTTCGTGCTTGCTGATGTGGATGTCCTTGGCAATGACATCGCTGAGCAGTGGTGGGAATGCGTACCTATTCATCGAGTCAGCCACGGTCTGGGGAAGGTTGTGGAGATCAAGATGTGCTTACCAAGACCAGAAAGCGAGCAAGAAGCCGAACCATGAGAAGAAGAATACACGGCCATAGTTGTTGAAAGGGTTGAAGACGGGGATGGAACGAGCCTTCTTGTTGATGGGGTTGACCTCGGGGGCCGACCACAGAACGCTGATACCCATCGTGGTATGATATGTGCTATGTCCAGACTAAAGTGTAGAAGACTGCCAAAGAAGGTTCCTCAAAGCCAGAATTAGGACAAGCCTTGAACCTCTTTTGGATTGTTGGTATATAATGTAAACCGGATGGAGAGACCAATTGATGAGGATGAGGACGTCGAGGTTTAATATTGCACCTCGCACACGCATACTCGCCGAGCAGGCTGTTCAGTGTATCTCCGGTGCACAACTGATTACCACAACGCCAAAGCAAAAAACAAGTCCGCGGATTTGCGACTGCCGTCAGCGTGCAGATCTTGGGACCTCAACTGAGTCTGGGGAATGGGGAAGTCTGGATCGCCCAGCCCTTGTTTGGACTCTGATAAGAAACTGCAGTGAGAATGGTCGAAGTGCGTGTGGACCGGATGTGGTGGACGCAGAGCCGCAAATAGGTCAACAACGTGGTTGAGGAGACGGGTTGACTTCAGGCTAAGCCGTCTCGAGATAAGGACTCGGGACTTTCAGGATGCTCTACAGATCAACCCTTTGATCTGCGAATGCTCTTTCTCTTTTGAATCTTATTAAAAGATTGTTAAACATCGAAACAGTAAATCTGTCTCATAAGCTCCAGGCAGGTATGGCATTCGCACACGGTCAACTTGCTCTTCGATCAATCGACTCTGACAGGGTACTGTATCGAAGACGGCTTGGAATGAAGGTGGGTGTCTGACTGGACGAATGATTGACCACGCATTGGGTTGGCTTATCTCTGGGCGCACAGATAACCACAGCTTTTCGGCGGGAAAAGTGGATTTGGGACGTCCCCTGCCTTATCAGTGGCTTGTTGTTGTAAAACCTCTCATCATAGAAATACTTGGCCATCTTCGATGCAAAGCATTACGATTCTTTTGAATGCATGTTGGTTTTTGCTTTGTCTTCAGACCAATTCCTTTACCCTACTTGCCTGCTTCGCCTCGAAGTTTGGTGGTACAAGCCTTGCTTGCTTCTCCTTTGAGGATGAGCACAATCTTGCATTGCGCGAAACATACTTCAAGAACAACGTTGCTGGCTGCATAGGTCGTTCGTCCTTCTATCTCTGTAGATTCCGATCTAGCTGCGACAGTCATCGTGTGTGTAAAGCGAGCTGGCAGTAGAAATCTGTTGAACCAGTGTCGTTGCGTTTGACGTTGGCGCAGCTTCCCGTTAGCTCCCGTCGTTCTTATCTGAGGTCGTGACTGACCAATCAGAGCCATTTGCTTCATCAGCTTCTGAATATCTATAAACGACGATCTCACTGTAGATTCTATCATTATGTGCGATGCTTGATGATAGTAGTACATTCTATCTCTGCTATATAGAGTGCGCCTCTTGTGTCAAAGTGCAGATTTCTTGCTTCTGCGTCCAGCACAATGTGTTCCTTCTCGACCTCGAATTGCATGTGAATTTCTTCATATCAATGCCTCGGTCGTTTTGGCTTTGTAAGTGCTGTCAGAATCTGAACTACGAGGTAGACAACGGGACAAAGGAGTGGTGCTGCATGGTCCAGCCTCAAGGATAAGATCAGATCCAGGGCGTAAAGCCACCTGCATCTCTTGTATGTCTAGAAGTCAAGTCGTTGTGACAAGAGTCGTTGATGAAGAAAGGCATGGCATGTGTATCATGTCCATTCATTGGGTTCCCGCGGAAATGCCTTCGTCGGAGATACCAGAACTGCTAACTGCGTGTATTTCCTCTTTGGACAAGCGGTTTCTATGCTGTGTTGTTTGAGGGAGACATCGGACCTAGCGGATCACTTGGATTGTAGATGAGTGACGGCAGCAGTTGTTCGAAATATCCCCTTGAGTTAATGTGTTTCAACTGTCATTTTACAAGAAGTTTCTGCTGGCGCAATTCAGCTGTGTCTCGACACACAAGCCAAGACGGTCAGACAAAGCAGACCTTATCTGATATGGCCAAGATATACATGCCCTCGAAACAGACAGCCAGCAAACATTCACTGGCGCTTCTCAGGATAGAACTCACTGCATGGTGGTAGATCCGGGGAGCATACCGGAGAAACCACATTGGAAATTTGTTGAAGCAGCAGCAAGCTGTCCCTCTTGGTTTCGCTACAGCATAGACCAACCAAGAGCTCAGCCAACCCGATACACTCCACCTTCGAGATGCACTTCTCCGGTCGCGGGACGAGACGAACGATGGCATCTCCGCGCATCGACTAGGTACGTGCATCGGGTAACGACGCGGTTTGCATGAGGATCCATGGCGCTGCTGACTTGGCAGCGAGGGTGTGTTCTCCAGGGGTTCAGGCTCGCGAAGGCTGTGATAGATAAGACAAAAGACTTCTGGTTGACTTACGCCTTGTGAGATGCTACGCGATAATTCCCCTTATGCATCTCTGTTGTTAGTCAACAAAGAGTGAGAACAGTTATGGTTGATAAGTATCTGTGTCGTGTTTTTAATTTAATAGGCTGTCGCGCTCAAACCTGAGCTATTTCGTCTTTGACAGCGGCAGCCGAAGTCTCGATTCTAACAGCCGGAACCTCAATCTCCTCTTTGACGACTGCTGCCTCAGGCTCTTCGACGAACTTCCCATTGATGGCCTCCGCGGGCTGTTCTTTGGGTGCCTCAGCCTTCTTCTTGGGCTGTTCTTTGGGAGAAGGCTCAAAGATCTCGGCCAGGTTGTATCGCTTCAGTGCCTCGTAGTCGTTAGGCACTACACTGATACCGCAAATGCTCTACACGAGTTAAGTACATAAGACATTATACGAGCGATTAGATCGACTTACTGTGTAGATCTCGACCAAGATGAACACGTCTGGGTTTTTCAGGTCGACTTGATGTCCCGGACCAACGATTGAAGCAACTTTTTGTATGATCTCCATGCGCTTCATAACGGTGTGATTACGAATTGTCGGGCGGATAGCGAACTAGAGCAGCTGTCAGTGATCCGATAATTCTATAACGTAGCAAGATCGCTTACCTTTGTGGGTACACGCGGCTCTGTGTGGAAGTGAGCTGCAAGAACCTCCTTGGCTGTCTTCTCCAAGCCTTCTTCGGTTGCCTTGCCCATCAAAGTCATTGGAGTGAGGCGGTTGCAGAACCTAGTACGCTTGGGTGCGTTGTGTCTGGCAGCATCTTCACAGATTCTTCGTACGAACGAGACAGGCTCGACAGGTGCTCTAGTCTTGAAGAAGATCACTGGAACCACTGTCAGAAGAGTGACAGCGAACTCACAACACAAGATCACTCACCGCATTGTACATCCAGTTTGATTGACCAGAACAGCGGCTTGGCCTGAGGTTTGCGAATATCTTGCAGCTCTTGCTGGATTTCAGCTTCGATGTTGATCTCGCCATCGCCCTCGTCGTCAGAGCCAGCAGCACCAGCTTCCGCAGCCAATTCATCTCCGTAAAGCAGTTGAGCATACTGTATGTCAATATTAGCATAATTCATCAATTGTTGCGAGCATTACATACCTCGTTGAAGAGATCACGAAGTTCTCCTGTGCATTTGCCTTCTCTACCCTTGTCGCATGTTGCCCAGATTCCGTGATCCCCTGGAAGAATCACTTTTTGTGATGCGTATTGGTCGACTTTGCGAGGCACACGCCATTGCTTCTGTTCTTCGATTAGTCTTGAAATCGATCAGAATACGAAATGCAGAGACTTACCTTGGATTTTTTGTTGCTCTTCTCAGCACCGCCTGCAGGCGCAGCGCGTTTCTTAGACTCGTCGGCCATAGTTGTGATGATCTTCTGTGGAAAAGTTGTAGTTTGATGGAGTTTTCGCTAGATGCACTTTCAATGTCGGCAAGCGAGCGAAGTCATGCCAAGCAATGCAAAAGGAAGGCACAACCAAGCCGCTGAAGTGTAGCTCTTGCGCTTTCACGTAGACACAATAGACACTTGATAGCAATTGAGGGTTGAAGTTTTAAAGAAAATCATTCATGCGTTTTGTACAGCTAAGTATACTGCCTCATGCCCGCAAAAAGAGGCATTTTTGGAAAATCAATAAGAAAAATAATGCTTTCCCACTCTCTTTGGCCCAAAACCCTCAACGCCGACGACGCCGCTACTCCGACAAGATGGCTTTGCAAGATATACCGCCAATCTACATGCTCTTCCTTGACTTCTTCTTCTCCTTCTTGTCACCATCAACGCCCTCGCTCTTGCGCTTCTTCTTCTTTTCCTTCTTGTCGGCTTCGTCGTCCGAGTCGCCGCCCATTGACTTTCTCTTCTTGTCCTTCTTTTCCTTCTTCTTCTCGTCCTTGGACTTCTCCTTGCGGACGGCTTGCTCGGTGGCAGCGGCAGTGACACCATCGGCCATCTCGACATCCTCGGCGGCGCCAGCGGTGGGGTCCTCGACGTTGATGTCTCCAAGAACGGCGTTCATTGCGGCTTGCTATCGGATTGTTAGTCTTGTGTGTTTGGCTCAAACTCGTGCAGTGTTGCTTACCATTGCTTGCTCGTTCTTGGTGGGGGCCTCGCCAGTGGCATAGAAGTTCAGTCTCTCCTCAACCTGGGCCTTGAGAGCCTCACCAAACTTGGTGGTGGGAGTCTCTGAGAAGTTGTCGATTCTTGAGGCGATCGAGGTCTTGTTGGCAAGGAAACGGGAGATACGACCCTTGTTCTTGGCTCCGGCACGTCCAATGAAGGAAGAGTGGTAGATGATACCGAACTTGGGGGTGTTACCCTTAGTCTTGAGGGCTCTGAACAGGGCCTTCTCGGCACCGAGAATCTGGACAGTAGAGGCGGGATACTTTGCGAGGTTGGTCAAGGAACCGGCCTTGGAGATGAGACGGGCACCGACGGTCTCGCCGATGAGAGCAGCCAGGTTGGGAGCGACGATGCTCATCTTGGAGACGAGGTAGGCACCGACCGACTTGCGGTACTTGTTAAGCGAAACAACGCGCTCAGCGAACGACATGACGTTCTCCATGTCGGCGTCGGAGATGTCCTGACCCATCGAGACCTTTGCAGCGTCGATGATGCTGCGGGCAATGGCCTCGTCGTCATCAACGATGGCGGCAAGGTCGTGCATGTTGTCCTCGGTGAGAGTCTTCTTGTCCTTGATCAAAAGAGCGAGCTGGGCGTACTTTGTATTGTCCGAGACAATCTTGACCAGCTCGGGGAAGTGCCAGCCGTACCATTCGCGGACACGCATGGAGAAGAGGTTGACGGCCTTGTCGAGGTGGTCGATGGTAGCAATGGCCTGGATGATGTGGTTGTCGTTCTTCTGGACGCTGAACTTCACCTTGGCGCGCGAGTATGCGTGGCCAAGACCGAGCTGGGCGCGGTCGACATCGCCAGTCTGGAGCTGCTTGAGGAGCTTCTCGGCGTGCAGTCTCAAGCCACGGAGGAGGTCGGCGCAGACCTCGGAGGTCTCAGAGGTCTCGCACTCGAGCGAAGGGAATCCAGCCTTGATGCTTCCGGCAAGACCTCTGTCGGTAACACCAAGGACGGTCTTGTTCTTCTTGCTGGCCTTGGGCATGTTGGCCTCGAGGACGGTCTTCAGGTAGTCGGACATGATGCCCTCGGAGACGAGGTTAGCGTTCTCGAGAGCCTGGGCGGCGCCCTGGAAAGGAGCGAAGGAGACGAGCTCGACCATCTTGCCTGGAATACATTAGGAGCTGAGCGCAGACATGTTCACACGATACAGGAGGCAATACCAAACTTGGCGAGATCCTGCGACTGCTCCTGGACTTCCTTGAGGCGCTGGCCGACCGAGTCGGCCTGCATGCGGACCTTGAAGATGGCATAGCCCACACCGGACTCGTGCAAAAGGTAGTCGACAGACATGGCGACTTGATGAGTGTTGGCGGCGCAAAGGTCTTGTCTGATGAACACTTTATGGCGAGCTAGAAGAGGAAGCATGAAAATTCATGGAGGACAAATTCGAAAAGTTGGTCCGTGCACTGAATTTCAAGAAGTCGGCTTGTTCAGTGTTCACCTCCGGACGTAGGATGCTAGTATTATTGAACGACCTTGTGCTATTACAGCTACGGTACTCTGCTTAATCAACAGAGTCATTGTCAGATCCTAGGCGTAGTCGTATACACACATCGCCATCATGTCTGCAGCCCAACTCCTCAACCCCAAGGCCGAATCAAGGGTGCGTTTCCGCCAAAATAATTATTATGGCCTTGCCAAACAACAACTGACCAACTGAATACAGCGCCGTGGTGAGGCCTTGAGTGTCAACATTGCTGCTGGTGAGGGTCTACAGGGTGTTCTCGCCTCCAACTTGGGACCTTCGGGTACCCTGAAGATGCTGGTCGACGGCGCTGGTGGCATCAAGCTCACAAAGGATGGCAGTGTCTTGCTGCGCGAGATGCAGATTCAGAACCCTACCGCTGTCATGATTGCCCGCGCTGCTACCGCACAAGACGACATTACTGGTGACGGCACCACCTCTGCTGTTATCCTGATTGGCGAGCTTCTCAAGCAGGCTCAACGCTACATCTCCGAAGGTCTCCACCCTAGAGTCATCACCGACGGCTACGACCTTGCAAAGACCGAGACCCTTAAGTTCCTCGATCAGTTCAAGCTCGACCGCGAAGTCGACCGTGAACTCCTCCTCTCCGTTGCCCGCACTTCGCTCTCGACAAAGATCAATGCCACCCTCGCCGAGCAACTCACCCCTGACATTGTCGATGCCGTCCTCGCCATCTACAACGCCCCTGCTAAGCCCGACTTGCACATGGTGGAGATCATGACCATGCAACATCGCACCGCCGCCGACACACAACTCATCCGTGGTCTCGCCCTCGACCACGGCGCCAGACACCCCGATATGCCCAAGCGTGTCGAGAACGCCTTCATCCTCACCCTCAACGTCAGTTTGGAATATGAAAAGTCCGAGATCAACTCTGGTTTCTACTACTCGAGCGCCGATCAAAGAGAGAAGTTGGTTGAGAGCGAGCGCAGATTCGTCGACGAAAAGTTGCGCAAGATTGTCGAGCTGAAGAAGGAGGTTTGCGGTACCGACGGCACCAAGGGCTTCGTCATCATCAACCAGAAGGGTATCGACCCCTTGAGTTTGGATGTGTTGGTCAAGAACGGCATTTTCGCTCTGCGCCGCGCAAAGAGAAGAAACATGGAGAGACTGCAGCTCATCTGCGGAGGTATCGCTCAGAACAGCGTCGACGACTTGTCACCCGATGTTCTTGGTTACGCCGGAAATGTCTACGAGCACCAGCTCGGCGAGGAGAAGTACACTTTCATCGAGGATGTCAAGGAGCCCAAGTCGGTCACTCTTCTCATCAAGGGACCTAACGCACACACCATTGCACAGATCAAGGACGCCGTCCGTGATGGTCTCCGCAGTGTCTACAACATGATTGTCGATGGTAGCGTCGTACCGGGTGGTGGTGCTTTCCAGATCGCCGCACACGCACACCTGAACAGCGAAGCATTCCGCAAGACAGTCAAGGGCAAGGCCAAATGGGGCGTTGATGCATTTGCCGATGCTCTTCTTGTCATTCCCAAGACTCTTGCTGCTAACTCGGGACACGACGTACAAGACTCAAGTAAGTTTCATTTTCCGAACAGCCAAGCCTACATATACTAATTCGTCTAGTCGCTGCTCTTCAAGACGAGCAAGCAGAGGGCAACATCGTCGGTCTCAACCTGACAACTGGCGAGCCCATGGATCCTACACAAGAAGGTGTATACGACTCGTTCCGAGTTCTGCGCAACTGTATCGCCTCAGCCGCTGGTATTGCATCAAACCTACTACTGTGCGACGAGATGCTCAAGGCAAGACAAATGGGCAGAGCACCCGGTCCTGGTGGAGAGCAGATGGAGTAGAAAAAGTCCAAGTCAGATAAAAAGAATAATCATGATGATCATGGCACAATGCGCCCAGTCGCAGCATTCCGTGCGTTGCAGCAGATGCATCGGATTTGGTCAAGGTGAAACTGTCGATGTGTCGACTGGTCAAGAAGAGGTTGACGAAGATCAGACCGGCCTCATTTATGAGAAGGAGAAAACAGCACATATACTCGGTCTTTCAGCGATACAAAGAAGCCATCACGAGCAGCTATGCACAGCCAGCAACGCTGCAAATTGAACTGGTTCGTATTGTAGATTCAGCAACACCTCTGAGGATAATCGCCCACATGGTGATGCCGCGGAAAGGCTCAGCTGAATACGCGCTTGGCAGTGGCTAGTGCGTCGCATCACCTCGATTTGATACATTACGAGCGCTGCCTTTCTTGCTGCATTTGTACTGCGTACCTTTGCTCTCTTTCCTTTACATAGGTAGCCTGGGCTTACTGTTGTCTTGTCCTTCTCTTGTACTCTCAGTTCCCTGGTCGTTCAACGCTCCCTTTGGTCGAGCGAGCGGCCCCCGCACGCAACTTGATCGTCCCCTCTCTTGTCCCGGACTTAAGGCACGCGACCGCGCCAACATTCATATTCTACCATGCTCCGGTATAGACGTTACAGGGTCTTCATCGCCTTTACTGTCATTGCAATCTTGGCTACGTATTACTTTGTAGGACATGGTAGTATAGCCTTACCTTCAGCAATTGGCGCAGGCTCGTTGAAGCAGGCTGGCAACGATGCTGCAGCTGCCGCTAAAGAGAAGGCTCAAGCTGGTCTTGACCTGATCAAACCGGAAGAGCCCACCAAGGACGATATACTTGGAGTTCTACCACCACTCCCGACTACGAAGTCAGCTCCTGCTGCTACCTCGATCCATGCCGAAGCGCCGAAACCGTCGACGGCAAAGGCGACCACTTCTTCCTCTGCTGTCGCCGCAACACAATCGCCCACTCAATCCAAACCTCAAGATGCTGCTGCCATCTTGCCTGTACATGAGCTGGACGAAATGGCCGAGGTTGGCGAAGGCAGAGTCGAGATCCCACCCGTCTACCAAGGCGTTCCCAGCGTGCCTGCGATACACTGGTCCAGACTACCCGACCATTTCCCTGTGGCGACAACCATCCAACTGCCCACCGGCACTCCCGAGGCCGTTCCTCGTATCCAATACGAGTTCAAGAAGGAGTCTTCTGCCGAGAAGGCTGACAGGGAAGAAAAGCTCAAGGTCATCGAAGGTGCAGTCTCGCATGCTTGGAGCGGATACAGATCGAAGGCTTGGATGAGGGATGAGGTACGACCCGTTTCAGGCGGTGCTCGAGACCCCTTCTGCGGATGGGCAGCCACTCTGGTCGATGCTTTGGATACACTATGGCTTGTCGGCCTCAAGGATGAATTCGACGATGCCGTCAAGGCGGTTGGCGAGATTGATTTCACCACTTCCCAGCGAAAGGACATTCCTCTCTTCGAGACTACTATCCGCTATCTTGGTGGTATGCTCTCAGCTTATGACCTGAGCGGGGCAAAGTACAAGGTTCTGCTGGACAAGGCTGTCGAACTTGCCGACGTCTTGATGGGTTCTTTCGACACTCCCAACAGGATGCCTGTAACTTACTACCGTTGGATGCCGACTTTTGCCTCTCAACCTCATCGCGCAGGTACACATGTCGTCTTGGCCGAGATCGGTTCCCTCTCCGTAGAGTTCACCCGTCTCGCCCAGCTGACCAAGGAGCCCAAGTATTACGATGCCATCGATCGCATTACCGATGCCTTCCTGGAATGGCAGAATGCCTCCGGCTCCAATGCAACCCTGATCCCTGGTCTGTTCCCTGTCCATGTCGATGCTTCTGGATGTGAGAAGCCTGCTCAGATCAAGTCTCACTACTCCCATCCCGCTGGTATAGGAGGCGATGTTGCAGTAGGTGATGGTGCGCCAGTCATTCCTCAACGCCCTGTCACACAGGGTCAAGGCACAAGGACCGGCACCTCGACAGAGAAGGACGGGTCCTCCCAACCCGTCAACCTGGGTGGCTCGCGCATGGGTGCATCTGCGGCTGGTGGAGTGGGCAAGATTATCGGTTGGGACGCTCCTCTGACCGAAGGTGATCTTGACAGCCCTCAGGCAAAGGCTGCTGTCCTTAACTCGGACAGCCCAGAGCTCAACAAGCGTCAACTGGGCGATCTTGAAAATCAAAAGGAGAAGGCCGCTGAGGATACCTTCCAAAAGGAGACTCAAGCCAAGATGCACACTTTGCAGCAAGAGGTGTGCCTTCCTCGAGGACTAGCTTCAAGCGGTTCTGGTGGCTCCGAAACGTTCACCATTGGTGGCATGGCCGATTCACTGTACGAGTACTTCCCTAAGCAATACCTTTTGCTCGGTGGTTTGGAGAAAAAGTACCAGACTCTGTACGAGCAGTCCATTGATGCCGTTACCAAGCATCTCATCTTCCGCCCCATGACTCCTCAGAACGCGGATATATTGTTTGTAGGCGAGTACAACGCTCATCCACCTAGCACAAAGGGTGCCGTGGAAGGCTCATTCAAACCGGAGGGTGCCCATTTGTCTTGTTTCGCTGGCGGCATGTACGCCATGGGTGCCAAAATCTTTGGCCGTGACGAGGATCTCGAGCTAGGTGCTAAACTCACAGAAGGCTGCGTCTGGGCTTACAACGCCACGGCCACCGGTATCATGCCCGAGCACTTCTTGGTCTCGCAGTGTGAAAGCATGACAGACTGCAAATGGAACAAGACAAAGTACTGGGAAGACCTAGATCCGTACGCTGAATCGCGCCTCCAAGTCAACGTTGCAAACCCATTGGGACAAAACCGCAACGCGCCCCAAATCAACGGGAGAGATCTGGACGGCCCTGCCGCGACTGTCGCTCATGCCCCTGCCCCTGCTGTTCCGAACAGCGTGCCTGAACTCGATATTGCTACACCAGCAGAACAGACTCTACACGAATACATACCTCCCACACCCCCTACGCATGAGGAGTTTGTCCTTGCCCGCATATCCGAAGAACGCCTCCCCACAGGAATGACTCGTCTGCTCAGCCGCAAATATATCCTGCGCCCCGAAGCCATCGAGTCCGTCTTTTACCTCTACCGTATCACCGGTGATCAGCACTGGCGCGAGGTCGGTTGGCAAATGTTCCTCGCTGTGCAGAAGTACACTCATACCACTTTTGGCGCTTCTGCAATTGATGATGTTACAAAGTCTCTGCCTACGCAAGAGGATAGTGAGGAGAGCTTTTGGTTGGCGGAGACGTTGAAGTATTTCTATCTGCTGTTCGAAGATGAGGACGTCGTGAGTTTGGATGAGTGGGTGTTGAACACTGAGGCACATCCGTTTAGGAGGCCGGATGCTGAGAGCGTTTCTGCTGCTGCTAGTAGTGATGGTGCAGAGGAGAACGTGAGGGTGGACTGATGATCTCGATCTTGATTTTTTTGTTTTCTGGGACTTTTCCAGCCTGTACTTTTCTATTGCCCAAAACCAAAATGTTGTCGATGATTTAGCCTCACTCTACTTTCCAACATCTCCCTACAACAGAGTTCAACAGTGTGTCGTCGTGTCGTCGGAGGAGAGAAGAGCGTTGGCTAGATCCGCATCTGATTAGACTGAAGTGGGTGATGTCCGTGACAGAGGGAAGCGCGAACCGAGTCTCTCGGCTCGCACTGCCTCTCTTGTGACTGACCACTCAACCCTCGCCATCCAGGTTGCCCTTCCAGGACATATCCACCTGTGTGGAGCACCCGCGATGGTGACCAAGGAAGGAGCGATAGACGATCCGCTGAGGTAAGTCGGACTTGACAGTAGGTCTTTTTCTCTTGCCTTCTCTCCTCGTAGCACATGTCTGCCTCCTCTCTTCCCCTTCGTACTACTGCTCGACTGCAACAGATAGCCGGAGCATCTGCTCAATCATCCTATCGCCGGGTCGCAAGCATACTGGCAAGAACTTACTCAAAGACAACCGACGCCACCATGGGAGCACAAAAGACAGACACGCGGGAAGGATACGCCCAAACGCCGCTCAACACCATCAAGGTATACAAACACAGAGGTGAATCCACATTAATCTCCCCACTCCTCCATACGCTAGCTGACCCTGTTGATCTCAGCTGCCTACGACTACCAAACAATCCACTCCATCTTCGCCTCGACTCTTGTCTCCCACGTCTCCTTCATCTCTACCGACTCCGACAGCGACCCAACACCAATAAACCTGCCCTTGACTGCCGTACTAGGCCGCTACGATCCCTCCCATCCTCTACCATCCCACCCTTCTTCCCGAGAATCTGCACACCGTGCCGATCTGGACCGCCCCTTGGACCTCTACCTCCACGGCAACGTAGCAATGATGCTACGCCGTGCCATCACCAAATCCAGCGGCGCAGGCATCAAAGTATGCATCTGCTCCACAAAAGTCGACGGCGTAGTGGTGAACTTCACACCCAATGGCCATTCCCTGAACTACAGATCCGCAGTCATCCACGGTATCGCTGAATTGGTCACGTTGCCAGAAGAAAAAGAATTCGCCATGCATTTACTCACTAACCATATGATTGCTTCCCGCTGGCAAAACACCAACCCTACGACTCCCTCAGCGCTCAAAAGCATTCAAGTCATGCGCGTGAGCATCACTTCTGCCTCCGCAAAGGTCAGAGCAAAGAATATGGGCTTAGCGGACTCTTGCGATATCGCTGCAGAGAGGGATGACATATATACTGGGGTATACCCTTTATACGAGGTCTTGGGTGAGCCAGTGCAAAGTGGATATTCACCCGGCAGACCCGTGCAAGAGCATTTGGAAGAGTGGATGCAAAGGAGAAATGCAGAGGAGAAAGAGTATGCGATCAAAGCTGCAGAGAATGAAGCTGAAGAGGCAGAGACGATAAAAGAACATGTCAAGAAGATCGAGGAGATTAGGAGACGTAGAGCTGTATGAAAGCTGGACATGTTGATTTCGTACGGAAACAAAAAAAAAAGAAACAAAGCACCTTGAGTTGGATTCGAACCAACGATGTCCCGACCCGTGAGAGAGTGTGAGTGTTAGGTAAATGAGCGAACTCAGAGAACGTAGGATACCGGATCGGGTGTGCTGACCACTGCACCACCACGGCTTTCTTGGCTGTGTTAAGGGGAACATGATGTTTGAAGAATACAAAGATTGGTGTCAGAGGTGGAGCGTTATGGAAGTTGCGAGGTCGCGTGAGAGAGTTTTTGGTTGAGGATAGGCTTCCAGGACTTTTTGGAACGATTGGGGCTTTAGGCTTGACACCATTTCGGTTTGAGGATGACTGTAGCCTAGGTATAACAGACTGTCTTCTTGCATCAGTGTCATAGTGACCGTCTAACTTTTCGATAATGACGAGCATCGAAGGTCGTATATCTCGCAATTTGGAAAGTAGAGTAGTTCTCCAATCGCATGCTTGTTTCTCAAATTCGACATGGGAATTAGTCTAGACCCACATGTTTTTCCTAAGCCCATCGAAAGCGATACAAAATGAAAGTAGTGATTAACCGAGCATACACGAAAGCTCTCTATCAGGTATTCCTAGTCTTGCGTCAGCATTCCAAACAGATATGAGAAATTGATTATACAAAGACAGGGTGGCACAGACAACATCATATATTTTTTTCTGTCATTTCTAAACGTATATCAATTGCACAAACACTTCCAATGTTTATTTCTTGCCTTGTTCGTATAGAAGAGAAAGAAGGTCCCAAGGATACAAGATCAGACATGGAGAGCCAAGGGATATAGCACTTTGTATAGCAGCAGCAGCAACAGTATGTAACAGCTTCGACCCTCTGTTCATGCGTACGACGCAACTGGAAGGAACATCACATCAGAAATATCAGGAAGATGAATAACGAACAAAAAAGGTTCAATTGTTAAACTAGCTAGGGAAACAAGAGGATGTTCTGTTTCCTCTTGGGTCATCAGTGTCGTTGGCTATGATAAAAGTACAGGCACATTGGCGTCGCCATATCCTCCTCCGACGATCATCATGATTCGTAAAGATTCATATTTGATTCTTGGCTTTCATTTTGTTTTTGCTGGGATTGGTGATAATGAGCTTAAAGCTCCTCCTTGACACGGTCGGTGGCGCGCTGAGCAGCCTCTGAGGCTCTGTGCTTGGCCGAGCTGGCGTTCTCGCTGACGGCGTCGGCAGCCTGCTGGGCGTAACCAGCGGCGCCCTTGGAGGCACTGCTGGCAGCGCTGCTGGCAGACTTGGGTCCGGAAGCAGAGACCGACGAGGCGGACTTGGCAGCAGCGCTCGAGAGCGATGAAGACGACTTGGAGGCAGCAACCGAGGCGGCGCTGGATGCTGAAGAGGCGGACTTGGCGGCAGCACCAGACAGGGAAGAAGCAGACTTGCCAGCGGCATCGGTGGCGGACTTGCCAGAGGCAGCAGCAGCATCGTAGGCGCTGTTGGCATAGTCGCCAGCGACGCTCGAAGCGGACGAGGCGGAGGCAGCAGCAGCGTCAGTGGCAGCGTAATAGCCTGAAGAGCCGGAGGCGGAAGCGTAACTGGAAAGAGAAGAAGCAGAAGCAGAGGCGACGCTCGAGATGGAGGCGAGGGAAGCCTTGGCCTCCTCACCACCAATGCCGACCTGAGCCTTGGCCCAGTCGAACCAGTACTGAGCAGATCCGTAAACGGAGTCGGTAGCAGATGCGAATTGGCTGCCAGCAACGTTGGTGGCGGAGTGAGCAGACTGGGCGGCAGCACCAGACAGGGAAGAGCCAGACTTGGCAGCAACGCTGGAGGCAGAAGAAGCTGACTTGGCGGCAGCGGCAGAGGCAGAAGAGGCAGACTTGCCAGCAACACCAGAGGCGGAGGAGGCAGAGTTGCCAACAACGCTCGAGGCGGCGTTGTAGACGGAGCCAGCAGACTTGGAAGCCTCGCCGTAGAGCGAAGAGGCCGAGGCGGAAACGTTGTCACCGGAGAGCTTAGCGCTGTGCTTGCGGGCGAGAGCGATCAGCTCGTTGCGCTTGGAGCCCTGGGGAACCTTGATGCCGTTCTTGTCGAAGAATTGCTTGAGCTGGCTGTCGGACCAAGAGTTGAGGAGCTGCTCAGACAGGGACTGCTGGGCACCGGCGGCCGAAGCAGAAGCAGAGGAAGCAGCCTTGGCGGCCTGGTTGGAGGCGGTGCGAGAGTTACGGCGAAGGGAAGCAATCAGCTTGTCGCGAGTGCTGGGCTGAGGGACAGGGATGCCACGCTCGTCGAGCCAGGCCTTGAGGTCAGAGTCGGCCCACGAAGAGTAGAGCCAGTTGCCGGGGTAAGCAGAGGTCTCACCAGCCTTCTTGGCGACGGACTGGTAGTTGGAGCGAGCAGAGTGGAGCAGGGAGTCGCGGGTGCGAGGAGAGGGGTTAGGAATGCTGTGGTAGTCGAGGAAGGACTTCAGCTGCGACTCGGTCCAGCTGTCGAAAACCCAATCTTGAACGGAAGAGTAGGCGTCCGAGGCTTGGTCGGCAGTCTCGTGCCAGTACGACTTGACCTGGCTGACAAGGCTGTCCTTGTTCTGCTCAGTGCCCTTCTTGACCTGCTGGCCGGAGCTAGCGATGTAGTTCTGGAGCTGCTTGGTGTCCCAGGTGTTGTAGGGCTGGGCGAGCTTGTCGTTCCAGTTGTTCTTGACCAGATCGACGAGGTCCTTGCGGTCGGCAGGGGTGGGGTAGGGGACATCGTGGTCAGAGAGCCATCTCTCCAACTCAGTCTCATGCCACTTGTTATAAGCTGTAAATCTTGTCAGCCTCGGCGCACGTCAATCTACTTTAATGTAGCTCAAGAGCTACATGAAGAAGCTGCGACTGATCTACTGCTCGTTCCAGGAATGCCCAGAAGTGCATTCGATGGACGAGACAATAGCTAGCCAGCTGTCAACACCAAACATTCTCCACTTACCAGCTTTGCTGAACCAGGTGCTGGCGGTGACGGACTGTGCGCCGAGAGCGAGCACTGCGGCGGTCGCGAAATTGAATCTCATATTTGCAGATACCGAAATAAAATTTAGGTAGGTCGATGAGGAAGGTAAGAGGAAGAGCACGCGGTGCGAGTTTTGTCTGTTGGAGTCGAAAGCTGGCGCACAGCACGGGGCGTCACGGTGACGTAGGCTGTGGAAGCTTGATCTCATTGTGATTGTTCGAAACTCTGCACCATCCGACTCTTCCACTTTCTACAACATGGCACAGCATTGAATTCATACCAGGCGCATTTGCTCAACCAGTCTTCTCACATTCAACTACTTGGTCTTACCGTCCGACTGTGTGGTTAATATAAGACGCATTCGCGTGTTCAGATAGCCTGAACCCCAGAATTGTTCCCCGCTCCTCCAAACAGTTGACATGTGTTGTGTTCATCGATCTTGGCATGTGCCAGCCACTTCATTTCTGGTTTTGATGGCGCCATGACAACGTGAAAACGTCAAAACACGATTTCTTGTGTCACCGGCACCCAGTGAGTGCTCGGCGCTCCTATTGCAACGTACTCTCCCACTCTATCACTCGTCTACTGTTGGCAGAACGTGCCTGGTGTTTCCTTGCAGCTGCTGTAGTGACAACCATTCATATGGACAAAGGGTTCGACAGAAACGTCAGATCCTCAGACATGGTACCAATTCCAGAAAAATTGTAAGATCCAGCACAAGACCACGCCATGAGCAATGTGTGAAGATGTTATATCGCGATGCACCGCATTTTGGAGACGGCAATTTTCAGTTAAGAATTGAAGGAATGGCAATGGTAGACCACGCTCTCTTCAGAAACATAGCCGCGTCCGAAGGCACTATGTGTTGGATCACGAGTAGTCCTCGAAAGTGCTGGTCAGATTCGCAGTGACGATTACCATGTTGCCTCGCGGAGTATTGTTGATGGATGATGCTCATAAGCTAGACCTTCAAGGGAGCGAGTCGCTATACATGACAAAACACTCTGTGATCAAATCTCGCTTCGGCGAAGATCATATGCTGGCGCATACCGTAGATGTCGATCAAATCGTCTCAATGAATGACGGCGGTATTTACTATATCCAAGTTGAACACCCTTCGATTCTTCTGGCTAAGGAAGAAGCATGAACAAGGATGTCTTTGCAGTGCCTCTGGCATCATTACCGTGCCTGCCATTCCTAGAGAGAGGACTAACCAGATATCCGCCGGAGAGCACACCGTTTATAGGCCTAGAGGCTGAGAGAGGGTCGGTGTGTTCCAGCATCGTCCGCCAGGGAACTCGAGATAGGGGCGCCGGCATGTGTTGCAGCAGCGAGATCCTGCGTGATTTACTCGACCGAGATAGCTTTTTGATAGAATCGAGCCATTCAAGATCAGTGAGATCGATTATGTAGCTGTCTCACCATTCCTGTCATGATTTTGAGCATTGGGGCCTACAAATAATACGACCGAGCCGTCATCGTGATCTGGGGGTTGATCTGAATAAAATTTCTGAAGACGGTGTGGGGATACATGGGTATGCTGAGACGTGAGGAGGCTGGGTGCGAGAGCTACTCTGGCATCAACCGCAATTCATGAACCAGCTTCCGTCATAACAATTTGCTTCGTGATTCGACTCGCATATAGGTGGGTCGAGCATGACGTCGATGTGTTGATGATCATCTGTGCTCCAAGCAGTCATCTGGAGAAAGTCATACAAGTGACGAGAGGACGAATTGTGAGGACGAACTAATTCCGAGAACAAGAGTCTGGATTTGGGGACACAAGATACTTGAGCTTGGTAATCGTGAGTGGCAAGTGTCAGTCATAAAAGCTTTTTTCTGCGGCTCTTAGCAAATGTGTTTGAAGTGCAGTCGCGGAGGGACGTTTTGCGGATTTAAGCGTTGACACGTCGGTGGCGTTGAGGATCGACGAGGCTATTCGCGAACAAGCTTGTCGGAAACGATCCGTATGCTGGTGCTGCGTAAGGGACGAAGAAGTCGACGGCCGCAAGGAAAAATAGTTGGTCGGAATAGACATCGGATGGCATGACATTACGGGTTGCGGTCATGCGAGTACGGGAATGATGAACAGCTCTTTCCCTTCTTAAACGTACCTTCCGCCCTCACTCCACCTCTCTTTCCCTTTTCGACCCACGCCTTCTTGAATCCTCTCGTCCTCGCTGCCGACTTCTCAAGGGAATCAAAACTTTATCAAGCACATCAACACTTTCACCAGACTCAACAGCCATCCTCTCACCAAGATGGCGCCTGTCATCTTCGGCTTGCCTTTCAGCGAGTTCACGTGGTCCAAGTTCGGCAATGCAAACATGTGGAACAATGTCTACCACTTGAGAAGAACCAAGTTCATCGTGTACCAGCTCGCCATGATCTTCTGTGTCGTCTCAGAATCTCTTGGAACCGACGCCTTGTCAAGATTTGTCAGCCAGCAGAAATGGATCCAATCTCACGGCGGCGCCGGCGCCAACGAATACAACAACGACTATGTTGGTGTTGCATCCTACAACATCTTCGCCGGCATCTACGTTGCTACCATCTTTGGTGGCGCTTTCTTCTTCGACCTGATCTGGCCTGAGAGACACGAGGACCACGGTGTCAGAGTTGCCTGGAAGCTTTCTGCCATTGCTGGTATCTTCATCCACCTTGCCAGTTGTATCGCCATGACCGTCATTGTCGCCACAAGAAGCGCCTACGTTACTGGTGTAAGCACAGCCGATGGCAACAGACTGGTCATGGAGAACGGAAAGACTCCTCTCGACTACAGGCACAGCGCCAGAATCGTTACCTCTGTCGTCTTCGGATGGATTGGTTGGATCTTTGTCATTGCCAGCACCGTCATTCTTGTCGTCGGCAAGACCCACGATGAGAAGGTTGGACCTTGGAGCACTCATGTCCGCGAGGCCAAGAAGAACAACATCGACGTCGAGTCCAACTTCGTTTCTGGACATGCATCCGAGAAGCCCTTGACAAACCCTCTTACTGGCGAGCAACCCGAGGCCCTCGCCCCCAACCGTCCTCAAGCTGCCCATGTCAGTGAGCCTGTTCGTGGTCAGAGCGCCTCAATGGATGCCTCGAACAACCACAGCTTCGACTCGAGCGCACCTCCCGTCAACCCTTCCCACGTTTAAGCAGCTGCTCTGATATAACGAATCGAGTGCTCGGTCACTTGAGTACCGGATGGCCTATTTCGATGACGATACCCGGAATGTTGGACTAATGAAGAATGACGAGTTTTTTACGCTTTGTTTATTGCTTGCAACAGATACCCACTAGAGTTGATTTTGATGCATGCATGGCGTTTGGGAGAGGGGGATTTGGCAAAATAATAGCATACCTTCAGACGAAGGGTATGAATGATCCCAATGCACATATTCACCACAAGATAATCTCTGTCTCTTCTCTTGTGCGTGGTGTCTCACATTGCATAAAGGTGTGGTGATGGTCGAGACTCTGGGTGAGCCTGGATGTTTTTGGATGGATGCACATAGATGTGAGGAAGGTCGGTGTCTTTAATTGGGTATTGTCGTAATGTACATGAGTCGGGCAATCTAAACGGTTCTGCGATCTGACATGACGCGTACGATGGTACCGGGCCCGGCGACTTCAATGACCTGTAAAAGGGTACCAAGTCAGTATGCGACAATTGGTGGCCAGACGAGTGCAAGGGATGTACCTTCTCGTGCCAACTCAAGAAGACACCCATGTTTCCACCCTGACCTTCGGCAGTGTTGCGCGGTTGGACCTGGGAGAAGCCGGTGACTTGTGGTGTGACGTTCTTGGAGGGGTTGGAGGTGGAGGCACCAGTGGCCATTCCCTTGTATCTGGAAGGGTTCAGCTGTTGTTGATAGAGAAGGAGGTTGGCGTGGTAATTACAGGTACTTCATCAGGACGTCGCATAGCTCAGAGCCGCCTTCGGATGTGTAGATGCGCTGCAATAAAGGACCCATGTCGGCGGTGCGGACTTGTTGCAAGACTTCGGTAACGGTGTGCATATACGAGTCCTTGGACTGAGCATCGGCTCCGTAGGGAGCATTCTCGAGAGCACCCCGGAGAGCACCCTCGGCATCACCTCCGCGCCATAGTTGTCTGATCTGTTGGCTGAGGGCTTGGACGTCCTGTGGGCTGACGGGTTGGACAGCTGGGGTCAATGTGGAGAGGTCGAAGTTTGACGAGGATTCGGGATCGAGCGCGTCGATGTTGATTGTGCGCCAGTTGACTTGAGCCATGATTGCTATGTGAGTATGAGAGAGCAGTAGTGGTTGTCGGGGAATGGTGGATTAGGTAGGTACCACTTGCGTGTCCGGCGCGGAGGTGGCTGTGAGCTTGGACCTCGTCGGCGACCCTGGACGCGCAAAGGCGTCAACAACAGGCTTGAAGCCATAAACAACCCTCTCGTGCTACTCAATCATCCTCGACATTTTAATTTATTCCACCTGTCGCATCTGTTCAATCCCGGTCGCGTAGTAATTTTCAACAACTATGAAGCACACCGGACCTTTTTGCTCGCCGCCCTGGACATGAGATCATATACAACCGTCTGCGAGGGTACATAAACATCAATACTTTATTTTCGAGTCGTCGCAAACATGTCGCATTACGACGACGCCTCCAACTTTTCCGACCTCAGCTCTCTCGATGGCTCAGACGACTTCGGTCGTAAGCTGCTTCAGCATACAAAAGACGCCCAGCGCATCTCGGCCTTGACCCAGTCGCACGCCTTTAGCAAAGCAAAGCCCCTGCCACGCGCTGCCCTGAGCCTCGACAACCTCGAGCGTAACAACTTCCACAATCCGCCATCCCACCAACCCGACCACCACCCGGCCAGTCTCTCCGAAAGCACCGCCTCCGATCCGCCATTGAATCTGCCCACCTCATGGGGAAGGAAAGGAAGACCAAACCACGCTTGGATGCGCAACATACACGATCAGTCTCAGACCAACGTACAATCAAGCCCAAACATTGACTGGGCTGGCGCTGCGAACGACTCTCTGTACTCATCTGCTCATGTCTCTCCGCCACAAAGACGCGCCCACACTCTGGAGAGACAAGCCGTAGTCGAGCAGCACGAGAGTTACATTGACCATTGGGATCCAGACCGAGACTTTAGTGCCGCCTCGCTGCTAGAATCCACTCCAGCTGTACCCTCACGATCTCGCTTGACCATTGACCAGATTCGCGAGCGTGAGATTCAGACTTACGAAGCTCGTGCTTCCTCATCCGCTCGCCGCCAACCAAGACAACAATCGACAATTGAGACACAATCGCGTAACTGCCGAGATACCTATGCAGGATCCAGCTCCGCACAAGGCTCCAAGGCGGTAATTTCCAATAAAGAGAACATGTCCCTGGCACCACGGCAATCCGCTCGCGCTTTGTACAAAACTGTCGAGACGTCAGGAACGATGCCTACCATTACTCCTCGACCTCCACAGCGAAAGACAGACTCCCTGGCGTTGCTTAAAAGGCTGTCAAGGACTCCAAGCGCTTCGCCTTCTCCCACCTCGGCAAAGGACACTATACCAGCAAACAATCCTCCTCGACAGGATACCGCCTGGTCCGACAAATACCCAAAGCAGCCTACGCGATCATTGTTCCGGGGAGATTCACCACAAGTGCCCGAAGTCGTAAGGAGTCCAGAACTAGTATTTGTCGAGCAGGGTGATTCATCGCAAGCACCCGAAGTGGTTGAGATTCCAGGACCTGCGCCTGAAGAACCTCTCGTAACTCCTGGCAGGCCAGTTGAGCGGCAGCTGCCAGCAAAGACTCCCGTGGTCATGGGTGCTTGGGTGGATACACCACAGACTGCTCGCCAGTCGAGCAACTCTGCAAGATCTCAGGCTGATCGTCAGACTTCCGAGTCCCTTGAGCCGATCACTGAGAACTCTCATCATCGCTCAATCAGCGAACCGAACCTACCTACCTCTGCGTTGGATGCTATACTCACGGATGTTCGTAACGGCAAGCGACGAGAAGACGACGACCCCACTCTTGGTGACTCTACCATTGCCAGTTTGGAAGGCGTCATGGCTCCGTCTGCCGACAATACTCTCAGACTTGACCTCCCAGAGGTACCATCGGTCCAGCCTCCATCTTCAAAAACCAAAGACAAGCAGGAGACAGTCGGTACGGAGACATCGAAGAAAGAGCCAGGTCAGGAGTCTGATTCGAAAGACATTGTACCAACCTCGCAGACGGACACAGACCTACGGAAGAGATGGTCCGCTTTCGGGGGTCTCAAGAACGGACTGGGCGGCACGAGCGCCGCTTCAAAGCCCAAGTTACAGACCAACGACAATCGTGCCTTGGATGAAGCCATCGCGTCCGCCTCAAGAGGACCTACCTCCCGGCAGGGTGACACTCGGAATGCCCATCAGCATGTAGCAGGCACACAATGCGTACAATGCGGAAGACCAACCAGTGTGCTTCGTGCGGCTTGGAACGAATACTGGAGCTGGTACTTCCGTCGTGATGCTCGAGCTCCACTGGGCTTCCGACTAACCTGGCTCGGCCTGGCATGTATAGTTTTCTGGACATGGCTGGTCACCGAATTATTGCTCAGCTCCATCTTCAGTCCTCCCAGGTACGCGACTAAGATGCGCGGATATGGCGTGGATCCTCACGCGCCACGTTTTCCTTATGTTTTGCCCACTCTGGCATTACGGCCCTTTGCTCCGTTGATATCACCGCTTGTGTCTTCGGCTGCGTGGTTGTGGAAGACTGTATGGGGGCAACCGAAATACAAGTACTACCCTGCTAGTCCAGGCGCTTGGGGTTCGGCTGCCAGAGTTAAGATTGGACCCCCGAGTCCGCGGTCTGCGTACTACACGAGCCATAATATAGTAGACGATGTACGATGGACGGAGCAGCAGACTGTAGGACAAGCATGGCAGACGAACGAGGAAACTCAGCGAAATGTATGGAGCACTTGGGAGACTGACGGTGATGCAAGCATGCTCGAGGATGAAGTTGTCATTTAAACGAGCCAGTTCTTGCATTCCAAGGCGCTTTGGAATACTTTTTTTGAACAGCGACTGCACTTGGCAAGAGAGGTGTTTACAGACTTCTTGTAATGAGCATCTAACTCTGCAAATTTATCGTGCCATTCATCCATTGCTTCTCTATCCCCTCTCTTGTTGTGTGTTGGAACTCGAATCTCTGATTTGACAGTCTCGACCGTCAAAGAAGAAGATCATTTTGTCCAAGGCTTCGATGTGGCTTGTGTGGTTCATGAATCATAATCGAGTGGATTTGTGACTTGAACTGTGGGGGAAGCTCTGACCCCGGCACTGACATCACCGACTCGATGGTGCGATGATGCATGATGTAGCTTCCGTTTCTGTGGAACGACACGCGATTGCTTCAATTGTTTTTCCTGCTCTCTTCTCTTCCTTTCTATACCACAAACAAAACATCACATACACCAATTCATCATGAGTCTTTTACGCACAACCTTCATCCGCAATGCCCCTCGCACTTTCGCTCGCAGCCCTGCCTTGAGTATCAGCGGCAAACGCTTCGCTTCTTCCGACTACGGCAGCGGTTCTGGCGATCCCAAGGGTGAGAAGCCCCAACAACAAGGCGCAAACCCTTCAGCCGACAAAGAGCACCCCGGTCCTCCTCCTCCCAAGGCTGGTCAGGGCAGCGGTGGTGCCACCAAGGCCGACAGCACCGGCCACAACACTGGCGCCGCTAAGCAGCAAAAGAAGAGCTTCTCCACCATGGCCAGAAGAATGGCAACTCAAGACTACGGCAGTGGCTCAGGCGATCCCAAGGGCGAGAAGCCTCAAGAGCAAGGCGCAAACCCTTCAGCCGACAAGGAACACCCTGGCCCTCCTCCCCCCAAGGCCGGTCAAGGCAGCGGCGGCGCCACCAAGGCCGACAGCACTGGCCACAACACCAGCGCAGCCAAACAGCAAAAGAAGAGTTTCTCTACCATGGCAAGAAGAATGAGCGAAGACAAGCCCAAGTCGACAAAAGGTTTGGAGCCCAAACTCAACAAGAACAAGTCCACACCCAAAGAAGAAGACCTTCCTGAGGATGTAAAGCAGCATAACAAGGAGATGGACCAGAAGGCCGATCAGGCTGCTGAGAAGCTTGGCGACGATAAGAGCAAGAAGGACGACAAGGTTGGCAAGCAGTTCTGGTACGCTTTTGCTCAACCATAACTCTCCTGTTTCGATATATGCTAACTCCAATCACAGGGCTGGTACCGGTGGCGCTGATAGAGACCCTTGATTGGTCTTTACTATACGTCCACAATACGTCTCTTTGATCTCTTACGACTTTTCCGACTTTCTATTATGCCCGTTGACGAATGCCGACCGAGGAATTCATAACAGCTTGACATAGCATGTACTTCTACTGTATCAATGATTGCATTGGACGACCCCTCCCTATTGAACCAAAACTCAACACGGACACATTGTTGTGTGCATGGCTTCTACCAACAGAAGTGATATAAAGATGATGCTTATTTGCTCCTATGTAATTCTCAATCTTTCCACCTGATGCTTTTAGACATTAGATCCGACCGTCTTGATTGAGGCAATCTCCCCTCCACAACAGAACGTCAGGAAAGGTGAGACGGCCCCCCATGTACCTATACTTTTTGGTCGAGCACAATTTACCCACGTATGTGCTCTCGTACTCATTAGCTCACAGCAAGCAATCTTGCAAACTGCAAAAAGGTCAGCATCTTTCCACCACATCGACGCACCAAGACTTACTCGCAAGGCTCATTCTTCCTCACATACTCGAGATAATCAAAACACTCATCCCCTTTCAAAGCATCCACATCAGGTCTAAACTTTGGCAATTTCTCCACCATCCTCATCACCAACTCCTGCCCTTCGTCACTGACCCCAAACTCCAGCAATTCTCTGACTCTAGGCTGCCAGTTCAGAATCGCTCGGAAGCAAGACATGTAGTTCAAGTCTTCGAGAAATGGCACTGGTGTGTTGCCGACTAGCAATTCCCACATGATGATTCCTAGACTCCAGACATCGGTTTTGGAGGGTAGAGCGCCGGCGCCGCGTTCAAAGACTTCGGGGGCGACGTAGTCGATTGTGTCATCCGTGATGCGGTCGTGGATGTATTGTCGTGCGTCCACCAAGTCCTCGCCGCCGAATTCTGTGAGTTTGAAGAGAGGAGGGTTAGTGCGGAAGACGATGATTTTGGTTGGCTTCAAGTCGCGGTGAGAAATCCCTTGGGAGGCGAGGTAGGAAAGTGCTTTGAGGGTTTGCAGAGCGAGATCCATGACTGCGTCTTCTTTGAGTCTTCGGGCGTTGTGGTGGCGGATGAAGTCGCTGATGTTGCCGTGGGGAGTGTGTTCGACGAGGATGATGTTGCCTTGAGGCCATCGTTCGCGGAACGCAGAGACGACATTCTCGTGACGGACCCGTGTCATGGCAGCCGTTTCGCCCAGGTTGATGCGTTCTTCTCTGGCATCGCCTTTCCTGTCTCGTAGCTTCTTCAGCACGACAGGGAATCCGGTATTTTGCTTCTGCTTGCCCTTGGCGAGCGTCACTGTCATGCTGCCTGTCTCAAAGTGGAATGGTCGTGCCTGTTGCCAGATGCAATCCTCTTCTGCGTCGAGATATCTCTGGCGTGCATCTATCGGGATCCGTGCCTGGCGCTCAGAAGGTCGTAAAAGAGACCACATTGTCGTCTTCAGCTCGGCCCATCTGGATCGCGTCTTGCGATTTGCGAAGTCCAGGAATGGAAACATAAGCATCAGCGAAATGTTGCCGGCTGTAATCGTGACAGCCTCTCCTTGGTAGATTCGTGTCCGCTGACCAACTCCCGAGAGCAGTTTGTCGTCAACTCTGGTACCTCGAGGACTGCAGTTGTAAACGTCCAACTCAGGGACAGCCATGGTGTCATCCAGTTGCACCCTAAAGTGCAATACATCAACGCTGTTCCCATCCCCCTCATCCAGAAGGATATCGCACTGGTCCCGATCTCGTCCGAACCTGTGGCCTTCTGTTACATCGATGAATGAGTCGATGCTGAAGGTCAAGGCCAGTCCGGTCTGCTGTCCGTCTTCCTCGTTATAGCCATCTCCCAAGTCGGCCATGGGTTGGATTTGACAGACAAACCGTTCGTTTTCAGGACGTTCCAGGATGCCGGTATCGCTGGACTCGATGCCAATGACGCAGTACGTCTTGGTGATATCGTACCACCCGAGTGCGTCGCTATCAGCCGAGGTGGGGCTTAACATGGTGGGATCGATGGTTTCGAATGAGGAAAGAAGTGGTGCAGTTCTGGAGGCACTCAAACTATTGTCTGAATGTTTTTGTCGGGTTGGTGTCTTTACGAAGAGTCGCGGCCTCGGCAGCATTTATACTTGCACCCAGAGTCTTTTGCCTTTGCTGTAACGAAGCACCGCGGCGGAAGTTAGTCGTAAAGCGCGAGTTATTTTTTCTCCGTCGTTGCAGAGGCGACCTGTCAGTTGTATCGGGTCTAATCACGGCCTAAACAAGGAACATGGTGCTAATCGTCGACGCGCTTCCAAGATTGTTCGGCATTGATTGGGACCAGCGAAGTCGCCTTGGTAGTGCTAACAACGGGTCCAAGACTTGCTGACGACCGGGATCAGTTCATCCGCTGGTTGGGCACGCCATGATACTGTCAGGAAGGAGCACTGACGATCTATCGCAGACCTTTCCGAGGTCCAAGTCAAGAGATGCAAGCATCCGGCTGCGACTGCAAGACGCTTCATTCGGACGCCTCAAGGACGGTTCGTCACTCTGTTGACCTGCGATCACCTCCCGAGACTTCAATTAATCGTCCGCCGCAGAAGACCGGTTGCTGACATGACTGGCGCACAGTCTTGCCACCCCGCTCTCAGGCCCACGGAGGATGTTGCTATCCGGTGTCGTACAGAATCCGTCGGCGGCAACCCTGGAAAAACGACCCTTCCAGATGAAATTATTTGTGAACTCATTTACTTGCCGATAAATAAGATGGAGTCGTAACAACGGCTTGCCACCTTCTTGTGCTGTGCATATTTCGGCTACTCCGACAATGTATCTGAATTACACCAAGATCGGGAGCAGCGAGTGATACCAGTAGAGCTGACGACAAGGTCCGGCTTCTTACTTTACTGCAAAGTCTGGATGCAGAGGTCAGAAGGCTTCGTGCAGATTCTGCTGCAAGCCTTTCGACAGCAAGATCGATTGGGGTCATTTTCTGAACGCAGTCGACAGAGGTACACGGTGTCTCAGCGGTCAGCTAGTCGTGACTATGATTGGATGCTTGAGAGTCAGTATAGAGGAGACCAGAAGTTGCGTATATCTTTCTGGTAATGCATGTACATGTCCCTCCTCCTAGCTCTCGTGGCGGCTGAATGCGACAGCACCTATTACGACCCATCTATTTGTAGCAAAGCTCGTATTTGAGACGTACCTACTTCTTAGCTCTGCAAAACAAGCATTCGTGCTATCTCTGCATCCAACCATCGTGCTTGGAGGTGTTCATGCAACGGACCGACAAAGACTTCAGAAATCCGTATGCGGACGACAATCGATCGAATGATCCTCATCCCATGTTTGAACTTCGTATTATGGGTGTCATGAGTTGGAGGTGCAGAAAATGATCAAGTATGGAACAGGTTCGTCACCAACCTGAGAGCCACCAACGAACCACACTAACGGGACGACGGTCCGTTTGTATGCGCTTACGAGGTGGCAAGACCGCTGCGAAAGGGGAATGGTCAAGGCATGAAAGAGGAGTGATGAGAGTGTGGAGGAAGGTGTTGGGCTGTTTGCTTTGTTTGACGAATGCGATGACTTCCGATCTCAAGCTTGACATTCGCTCTTTCTTCATCTTTGTGTCTGCATTCATGTACACTCATCTTCGATCTTTACTCTCTCATATCGGCATACAGTGACACTGTGCGCTATCAAAATGCATGATGCTTCGCGGAAGTAAGTGGTATCCAGAGAAAGATGGTGGTCTTTGTCATCTCTGTGGCCACGCTTCAGATCTGAAAGCAATTGTGCATTTGTATAGTACACGGTATCACTGTATGCCGTTACGAGAGAATCACAACGGGCCCTGTTTAGCATGTATCGCTATCTCCTCGTTATCACTTGCAAAACTATTCACGCCATGCCTTTACTCATGATGCAGAGATACATTCGAGGTTCCAGTCACTTCTGCCCAGTAGGTTTCTTTTTCATCGTGCACTCATGTATAACTCAAAGACGCTGCGCTGTCATTCACGTCGAATATGCTACTGTAAACCAATCCTTCTGATATCTCGTTGCGCACTTTGTCGTCACTCAGCCTCGGAAAGAATCACTACAAACTCCGTACATTGGTACGCATGCGTTGAGCCAACCTTCACTGTTTTCTCAGTTTCCGTCTTACTTGCTCTCCAAAACTCTTTCCTACAATTACAAACCGCACCATAGCGGTTCTGATCCAAACAACTGATTGTCTCACCGGCCCTCACTCCAACACCCTCTCGCGCTCCGCTGTCACTCACGCTCGGGAAGAGTTCGTCCGAGGTCCGCGCGTCAGGGTGCAAACGCTAGGCTCATCCTCACAATCTTGGTTCTGGCCGAGTAGGGGTTCTCTCACCGGTCGTCACTCCAATACTGCATCACGCTCCGCCGCCATTCACACTCGAACACAATTTTCTCCAGGGTCCGCGCGTCAGAAAGCCAGCGCCAGGCTCGCTCTCACAGTTGTAGTCTTGACACAAAAGGTTGCTCTCTCACCGGACATCACTCTAACGTTCCACCACGCTCCGCCGCCACTCGCGCTCGAAAACATCCTCTTTGAGATCCGCAGGCTAGAAAGCACGCGTAGGCTCGCCTCACGACCGTAGTTCAGATATAGTAAGTTGCTCTTTCATCGGACATTGCTACGATATTTAAACACGTCCCGCCGTCACTCACGCTCGAAAGCAAACGCTGGGCTTGCCTCATAACCATAGTTCTGACCAGCAAGACCCTCTCTCTCCGGACACAACCTCGAAACTACCTCGCGCCCCGCCGCGACTCGCGTTCAAAACACAATTCTCCCGAATTGGCTACTCTCTCACCGCATACTGCTTCGACATTTGCTCGCGCTCCGCCGCCGTTCACGCTTCAACATAACCACACATAGTCACGACAAGTCACTCATCCATCTCTTGACCTAGCATCGACCTCCAAGTAACCATGTCGGAGGCACTATTCTTTGGAGCGCCCTGTAGGTACATCCCATGTGGCAGTTTTCACTCGAAACTGACAAGTGGTCGAATATAGCCAATGTCCTTGTTCCATACTTTTCTGTGGTTCCCCCGCCTCCTGATGACGAAGTTGGAGGCAAAGACAATGATGACTATATCGCCGAGATTGACAAGGTACCGACTTGAGAATGACATCTTTGTCTGCATATCTGACATGATATAGAGTTCCAACAAGAACCCATTCTGTGGTGGCAAGGACTCAAAGAAACGTCCTGCTGCGGACGAAGTCCTGCCTCCTCCCAAGCGCCAAAAGAGATACAAGATGGGTACTGCTGTCAAGGGTGGCCATGCTCCCTCGTTCAAACCTATCACTGTCGACCTTGATGAGGAAGACCAGATGATTGTCGACATGAAGCAACGAGGCTACAAGGATGAGGACATTGTTGAACGTCTGATCGAGAAGGGCTTCACTCGCTACGAACCTAGAAGTGTCAATTGCCGTTGGATACGCATCCGCAAGAAGACCCAAGAGTACGAAGAAATGTTGCTTGATGAAGAGCTGACCGACTGGCACGTTGGAGAGGTAAGTACTTGCAGACTGTAACAGTGTACCTTGACATTTGCTAATCCATAACAGGATGAAATGCTTGAGGACTCATACAATATCGCTGACAAGAAGTTTGAAGTCGAGCTCGAAAAGCTTGAGCAGAAGCGCTGGGCTTGGACAGCCCAAGCACTCAACAGGCGTCTTCCTCGTCAGCGTTTTTCGGCCAAGGCTTGCCGTCAGCGTTTCGAAGCCCTGAAGAATGGGACTGCTCGATGCCCGCCTGAGCTCGATCCCAATCCTGAAGCTCGTGCTCTCGAACGTGAAGAACGTATCGCTGCTTACAAGCTGCGTAAGGAGGAGGAAGCAAAGCGCGACGCCGCCCAAGCCGAGGAGAAGAAGCGCTCCAAGAAAGATAACACTGCTGAAAAGATCGCTGCTCGCGAACGTAAGGAGGCTCAAGATGCTCTCAAAGCTCAGAAGAAGCGGGAAGCAGAAGAGTATCGTCAATCTCTCCAGGATACAATCACCCTTGCTAGACAACGCAAGCAGGAAGCACTCAATACCGCCCGCGCAGAGCGCCACTACAACGAGATGAAGCACAAGTTCTTCACCCGTCTCCACAGACAATTGAAGAAGGAAGTGGCCGCTCTCAACAGAAAGAAAGAGAAGAATGGCGGCGTCACCCCCGAGCCGGAATCTGAGGTTGTCCATGAGCCCAAGAGCAGATACACCTACAAGAACACCGCTGAGCAGATTCGCCATGAGGATATTGATGCTACACAGGCTGCTATCGATGCCCGTTCCCATGAATTCGGCGGTATCGTCGAACCTGTTGCCACAGTCGCTAGACAGATCATGCCTACCAGCATACCTTCTGCCTCTATCACCAACCTCAACGCACATCAGCAGTCCGTCGCTGTCGCTGTTTCTGACGGCTTCCCTGAAGAACCTCGTAGCTGGTGCACTATCGACGAGTTGCAACACATCTTGCGTACACGCGGCATGCTCCTGAACCGCATGAAGGAGACCAAGCCTATCATCCTGTCCTGTCTGAAGAACGAAGACCGAACCATCAGCGTCCAACAGCTCAAGGAGATGCTGAAGGCCCGCAACGAAGATTCGAGTGGAACAAAGGTTGAATTGATGAGACGTCTGGCTATCGCAGATGCAAAGACCTCTAGGAAGTACCAGAACACTCGTACATACCGCCCATTAGACGAGAAAGGCAACCGCATCAGAGTGAAGATGCCCGTCAAGCCGACTCTCTCAAAGACGAGCGCTCGCTACAACGCTCGCGAAGTTGTTATCAAGAACGGTATCGCGGTCACTAACATCCCATCTCCTACCACCAAGAAGAGAACACCCATCAGGAAGATTCCAGCCAAGGCCGTTGCTATGAAGACGACTAGCAAGGCACAGAGCGCCGCTCCTACCAAGCAGTTCATTCCCGATGATGATGATGATGAGGACGACGGTGATGGAGAGCCTGGTCTTGTCCACAAGCCCGAGGAGGAGGAGGGCGATGTACAAGACATTGTGAGCAGCATGCTTTCTGAGGACTAGACTCCATCTCCCAGACTCAGAAGTTGAGAATGAGGACCTCCGAATCATTCTCGGAAGCAATCTTTAGAATCTCACCTGGACCTCAAGAATTCGAAAAAGGGCTCTCAGCACAGCTCACAATCTCCGAACTTCAGAGCATACGGCGGAAAGGAATGTCATCCGAATTTTGTCGCGTGGTATTGCTGAAAAGTGGCGGCGTTCCGGATCTCCATTTTGAATGCGATCTTCAGTTCCCCAGTACCCCCAGAGCTTCCAGTGGCCCGACTTCTCGACTCCGACTTGCAAGAGGCGCTGGTCCTTGTCCATTGTGTCTCCAAATTGGTTATTTTTCAAATTGGGTATTGGTTTCTTGACTGCTGCAGCATCGGCTACCCTTTCTCTTTAATGTTTCTTGCCCCTGCCCTAATCCCCTGATTTTCCTCGATGCCTCAGCATAACAGAGCATAGCATAGCATAGCTAGCAATAATAATCTTCCACGATGCCAATACTCTACTATTCGTCTCCAGAGTGACTTCACCTGTTACGAATACATCGTTGCTAATCTGCGCAGAAAGTACTCGCAACTTCCCAGATGATGATTCAACAGAAAGGCAAGACCTCTTGGACATTCTGACTTCCATGTCTCCTTTCGTTGGAGTCCCGGTCGAGCGAGATCCTTCTCAGCTTGCAGGGTCTCCTCCCATCCTCAATCACCAGGCCAAGCTCTGTTTCCAGATCACGCAGCACCTCTGGAACTGCCAAAGTTGAACCAAGGTGTCCAGAGAAGGCAGGTCTCGCGAGAGGTATACTCGGCGCACCTGCCTTTGTCTCAGAGCCGCTCTTGGCCTCCCCCGCATCCCCCACCCAAGCCGTTTCGCCGTTTTGCGGAGACCCCGGGTTCCGAGATGTCTAATTCATGAGCGAGACGTCTAAATCACGAGTTTTATCTGCAGCACGCGGCAAAGTTCCTCTGTTTGAATGCTTGGTAGGTTCGGTGGGCTCAGAGGGGGTATGCTGCAAGAGTTCGGGAAGGTAGGCCGATCTGAACCTATTGCGCGTCGAGACGATCCGAAGGATAGATATAAAGGCTATCGAGCGACTCGAGAAAAATCACAAGCTATCTCCTATCGTTCTTCGATTCGATTTGATATATACTCACATTCTTCATCATGGTACATCTACGAACAGACATCGGCGCAACCAACCCTAACGCACCAATGCATCCCGAGGAGAACAGCACATATGCCAAAGACCTCACCTGCGATGTCCTCATTGTAGGTGCCGGTTTCGGTGGTGTCTACCTTCTTCACAAGCTCCGTGACGAGGTCGGTCTGAATGTCAAGATCTTCGAGGCTGCAAATGAACTCGGTGGTGTCTGGCGATGGAATTGCTACCCAGGAGCCCGTGTCGATACTCAAGTCCCCGTCTACGAATACTCGATCGAGAAGGTCTGGAAGGACTGGACATGGTCTCAGAAGTACCCTGACTTCAACGAGCTCCGTAACTACTTCCACCACGTTGAGGAGACTCTTGACATCAAGAAGGACGTCAGCTTCAACACTCGTGTCATTGGCTCACAATTCGACCAAGAGTCCAAGACTTGGGAAGTCAAGACCGAGGACGGCCGCACTGCGAAGTGCAAGTACCTGATCAACGCTATCGGCTTTGCAGCCAAGCGTCACTTCCCCGACTGGAAGGGTTTGACCGACTTCAAGGGCGAGCTGCACCACAGCTCCTTCTGGCCCGATGAGGGTGTCAATGTCAAGGGCAAGCGTGTTGCCGTCATTGGCACAGGCAGTACCGGTATCCAAATCGCACAAGAGACAGCAAAGGACGCTGCCAGCGTTACCGTTTTCCAGCGCACCCCCAACCTCTGCCTGCCCATGCGTCAGCGCGAACTCACCAAGGAGGAGCAGCAAGAGGCAAAGTCAGGATACCCAGAGATCTACCGCAAGCGTCTCACCACATTCGCCGGCTTCTCCTACGACTACATTGACAAGAACACATTCGACGACACCGAGCAAGAGCGCGAAAAGTTCTTCGAGTCAATGTGGGAGGAGGGTGGCTTCAGATTCTGGCTTGCCGGCTACAAGGATCTCCTGTTCGACAGCAAGGCCAACGACCAAGCCTACGACTTCTGGGTCAAGAAGACTAGAGCTCGCATTGCTGACCCTCGCAAGCGTGATATTCTTGCTCCTCTCAAGGCTCCTCACGCTTGGGGAACCAAGCGTCCCTCGCTGGAGCAAAACTTCTACGAGATGATGGACAGAGCTGAGAATGATGTCGTCGACGTCAAGGAGACTCCCATCACCGAGTTCACCGAGACCGGTATAGTTACCAGCGATGGCAAGCTCAGAGAATTTGACATCATCGCTCTCGCTACTGGCTTCGACTCGGTTACTGGTGGCATGAAGAACATGGGTCTCAAGAACACCGAAGGCAAGGACTTGGCCGAGAAGTGGAAGAACGGTACTTGGACATACCTCGGTATGACCTGCAATGGTTTCCCCGTAAGTCTTTCTCATCTTCGCCCATTCAAACAGCATCACTGACCAATCTCACAGAACATGTTCTTCCTCTACGGTGCCCAAGGTCCCACCGCCTTCAGCAACGGCCCCACCTGTGTCGAAGTCCAAGGCGACTGGATCGTCGACGCAATCGCCACACTGCAGAAGCAAGGTGCGCAAACAATCGAGGCCACCAAGGATGCAGAGACCGGCTGGCACCAACTCGTCACCGAGCTCAACGACAAGACTCTGTTCCCCGGCACCGATTCCTGGTACATGGGAGCCAACATCCCCGGCAAGCCCAGAGAACAGCTCAACTTCCCTGGTGGCTTCCCATTGTATGAGAAGGAGTGCAGGAATGCACTTGATGGCTGGAAGGGCTTCGTTGTTACCTAGACCTTGGGTCAGGACCTCCTTTCTAATGAATATTAACATGTAGATATATGTATGAATGAATTTATGCTTTTCAATTCAACCAAACACACATCGATCATCTGTACAACAACAACTTCTTTGTGTTCGTGATGGATATGGTCAAGCAAAACGTGTCTCTAGGAGCACCCTGTTCCCAAGTACAAGTTTTCATCAACACAACACCCCAGCTACCTCGATCAACCTACATGGCATTGCCAGACTTACAGTTTCTTTCGTTGAAGCAGTAGGAGGATGAGTAAACCACTACGTTGTTAGTATCTGTCACATACACTCGATCTACCAAGACTGTTTCCGTGACATCGTCACATCTCAAAGGAATTCATGTCGAAGTACCGAGTCTTGTGTTTCGTGCTTTTTTTCATACAAAAAACACAGAAAATACAGCTGTAGTATGCGCCGCTGGATATATAATCATCTAAACAATAGTAGGAATGGGACATATGTACACACATGGCAATATTGTCATGATTCGCTCCCACCCGTCCGCAACTCATCGCTCAAGCAAGTCTCTTGCTCGGGCAACAATTTGGCTACCTTGTCGTCTCTCAAACTCTCGGTGCCAACGCCATGCATGGTAGCCTCTCTTTGCCTGACGAAGAATTGTATGCGCTCCTCTTTTGGTCTGTTCTCGGACAATTGACGCACACGTCTCAACTCCTTGCTCGCACGATCGTGAACTAGATCCCGTGATGCCACGACTTTGTCACCTTCTTTCTCTGCTCGGCTTATGTTCAGCGAAGCGCCTACTATGGCGAGCAGGATGACGCATAAGATGAAGTTACCGTTGGAGAGATATCGTGGTTGTTGGGGCATGCCATCCCGGCGAGCGTAGAAACGCTCCCAGTCCTCCCAAGTGGCATTATTCCAAATATCTGGGTCCCCTTGTTGTCGCCATGCACTGAATGGACCTGCGGGTGTGCCGGCTCCAGGCTTGCCACCAACTGTGCTAGGGACACCACTCCATCCGGCACCGAAGCGATCGTACATCTTGCGTTTTTCCGGATCTGAGAGGATGGTATGAGCGGCTACGACCAGTCGATAGCGTTCCAGACGCAAAGGTTGCGGGACTTTATGGTGATGGTGATGCTTTTCGCATGCGCCGGAATCGGGATGGTATAGTTTGACCAGATCGTAGAAACGACGTTTGCTGTAGGGCTCGGACTCGGTGGTCGAGAGGATCTGGTAGGGTGTTGGGTGTGAATGGCCTTTCGGTGGCTTTGGCCATGGCATATCGTTTGGTGCTGATGCTGAGGGATCCGGCTGGCCCGCCGACATTGGGTCACCAGCTAGGGTGGCATAGCTTCGTGATACGCATGCTGGCAGTCTACAAGCATTGCGTTGTCTTTGTGTCGCAGCTGCTGTTGTCGTGGCTGCTCGTGTGTCCAAGCGAGACCGTGGTGGTGATGACGTCGACGAATTTGGCGCAGTGGCGGCGTGAGGACGGCCGACGGCGGCGTGGCAGCGACGAGGGAGCGGCGCGGTCAAGAGGGTACGAGAGGGATTTGTAGGAGGCATGCCGCAAGGGTCATGATGGCCTTGTGCTTGGAAGTCGACTGTGCTGGTCCAGCATCTGCAGCAGCACAATGAGATGTGATCGGCAGCCTCTCTGACTTGCCGAAACACTTCGGTGGCCAAGCTTATCGTCCTCTCGGACTTTAGCCCTTCAGCCCGATCGAACATCTGAGAAGCGCCACGTGGGGTAGCAGCCGGCGATTCAGCAATTTACCAGCGCCACCCACTCTCAGCGGCATCATCTCGTCGCTTCTCATTGCGAAACTTGAGAACCACCGCAAAGAATCCTTCTGCATCAGCTCTGGTCTGCCGCACACAGGTCTCAGCTTTTCCTGGACATCTCTCGCGCAGAACCTAATCTGTTCCAACCCAATCTACCTGCGCAACAAGCTCCTTGGCCTGCCCTGTCTCACTTTGCTTTGCTTTGCTCGCGATGGGCGCTCCTCCGTTACTACCCGCTGCTTCGACCCACGATCGCGTTGCTCCATGTGCCTTGCATCGGCAAACAGTTCCTCAGATCTCTGCAAGATCTCGTGTTCCGAGGCTTGTCTATCGTGTGCAAGATCTGTAGATACACGTGGGTCACTGCTCGCCATCGTGGGCCGATGCATCATAGCAGCGCGAATCGCCCAACGAGCAGCTGTACGGGGTACGGAGTTGTCTCTTGCAGTCAGACAGGGTCCCTGAGGATCGCTGCTTGTCCCAATCGCGTCTGCCTCGAGGACGCCCCCTCTTCTTCTCCTCAATGCGAGGCTAAGAGCTGCGTGCGCGTCGTGACAAATTCAAATCCCCGCTGGCCCTTTCGGACGAACATGTGCCCGACTCGTGCGATTCCCATTGCTTTTTGGCTCCCTCTACTCATGCATCCCGTTGTTTTCCACCACCGTCACTGCTAGACTGCTTGTAAATTGCTGTTATCCAGGGTGAAATGCAGCTTTAAAACTAGCAATCAGAAATGAAACATTTGACATCATATTCACGTTGCAAGAATGAAGAGCGATCGGGAAGTCATGGTGAGAAGAAAAAAGAGACCGCTCTTGCAAGAAGAGCAGAACGGTCGTGTCATTGTTCATCCATCGTGAAGCTCAGTCATCACCGACCCAAGAGAATAGAGTCCATCCATAATCTTCCATCATGATCCCATAGAACACCATACAAGAAAGATCCTCCCATTTTATCCCCAGCGATTCCATTACCATGGATGTATCGTCAACACCCCGAAGCACCTAAAAACCCAGTATAGAAATACAATAGATATTAGAAGTGAACATTAGAAGAGAAACAACAGAGATGAAAGCTCAGTTTGCGACAGCAGATTGCGAGGCCTGCTCCTCCCAAGCGTTTGAGTCGAGAAGACTCGACCAATCGTTCTCGCCGGGAGTAGTCATGCCGCTCACATTGTTGTGAGAGAAACCCTTGAGCGGGTCGAAGTTGTCAAATCCAAATGTGTTTGATGGCGTAAGAGCAGAGTCGACACCAGACATCGGCGTTGGGTACTTGTCCATGTTGGTGTCAAGCATGCCGGGGGCGAGAGTCTGGTTGATGCCGTCGAAGCAAGGACTGCCGCCCTTGAACTTTGATGGGTTGGGGTTGTAAGTGTAGAAAGGTTGAGATTGCTGTTGGCCGTAGCCGCCCATAAGCATTTGCGAGAAAGCGTCGTTCTGATCGAATCCGGGTCCAAGAAGCTGCTGTGACTCATGAGGCAACGAAGTCGAGAAGGGCATCATATTCATCATGCTGGGGTCGAAGGCAGGCGAAACCTGGTTGTAAGAAGCAGAGTATGCCGCAGGCGAGGTCTGACCTGTCGGTGATGTCTGACCATTGCCCTGCTTGGCAGCTTCGTGCTTCAGGTTGGTAAGGCTAGTAGAAGATGAAGTTCGCGAGGCAGCGGTGAGGTGTGGCGGTGAAGGGGCGGCGTTCTGCTGTGATTGAACAGGAAGAGACATGCGGCGGTCCTCTGGCTTGATAAAGGTAGCGTTGGGACTTTGGACCTGGGGGTAGTTGTTCATGTTCTGCAGCTCCTGAGGCGTGGCGATGGATGCCGAGCGGCCGTGCATGGTCTGACGGAAAGCCTGCTGAGGGTAGGGCGATGCACGGAAGCTCTGAGGTGATCTGTTGGCCATCTGGGGGGGAAGCATGGGGTTGGGGAACGACTGAGGGAATTGGCCGAGCTGGTTGGCGAACTGAGGGGCGTTGGAGTATTGCTGGTTGTTGTACTGGTCGCCCATAGTCTGACCAAGAGCAGCACGCATAGCGACGTGGTTGGTCAAGTATGCAGCCAGTCTGCGGTCGAAGTCGGCGTTGGAGGTCTGGAGATGGGCTGTGAGACGACGGTACTGCATGGGCAGGTCGTCATCCTCCTCCTCGTACATCTCCTCGTTGATGACATCTTGCTCTGTTACGCGGAGCGATCTGCCAGTGCGTCTCTTGTGAATCTCGGAAGCACGGCGGGCTGACTCGACTCTAGCTTCGAGACTACGGTCACTGCGGCGAGAGGCAGCAATGTAAGCTCTGAGAGAACGTTAGAATCGAGTCTTGAGGGAAGCAGATGGTGGGACAAACCTCTCCTGGTTCTCTTCGTGGGTACGCTCCGTCTTGACGGGCTTGGCTGCGGGAATAGATCTGAGAGGAGGCATGTCGATGGCTTGTTTGTGTAACCTGGGTCCGAAGTTGCAGGGTCACGAAAGTGTCCTTGAGAGAAGGGGTCTCGGAGAATTATGCAAGAAGCTGCGGCGATTGGTTGGATATGCTCAGTAGTACCGCAGTGTTGGTATCGTGTTGATGCAAAGGCAAAAGAGATGGTCGATAAGCCTGGATGTGATGTTGTGTTTGAGTGATGAGTGGAAATCGAGTTTTGTCTAATAACAAAAGCTCAAGAGACGAAGGATGTCGATGGAAGAGAGGATGAGGATTGAGGCGGGCAGCCGGGGACATTAAAGCCTTGCAGCATCAGATCGGGGCTGGACAGCAGATCTGGTGTCATTGGCAGAAACGCCGCCGAGGTTTAAAGGCTGAGCTTCGATTCGCGTCAAACCTTTCCTCTGCTCGGGCCACAGCGGCCCAGCTCTGAGAGCTGTTTGGCTGCTCGGTATCGGGACTATCGTGTTGCTGGCCATTCTGGTGATTGGCTGATTTGGAAGTGGAGTAACGGACACGCGCTCGTAGCATTGCCTCCACTCGCGGGGAGCACAAGATCTCGTTAATCTGAGCTGCTGCACACAGGCCACGTTCTCCCGATCTCCTGCCCGCTTGGGCCTGGCTCTGCCGCTCTGCCAACCTCGTTCCTCCCACGTCACTTTTATCTCCTAAGGAGCCGGACGTTGCTTCCACTCCGCTGCTGATGCCACTTGCTGCTGTTGGCCAGCAGCTGCGACCTGTTGATCTTCTCGTCGCCCTTGATTACTGTTCGACTCCACATCTCATCCACATTGCTGGAGTTCACGACCCCTCAGAAGACTATATGCAGCCGTGAGCCGCCCTGGAATGTGCCATGTGAACAAAATGGCTCACTGCATTCACAGCTTGTCTTCGTTCTTGTGTTCCCAAAGATCGGCGTCGTGGTTAAAGACAACCCTGACGTGGCTGCTGAGGGAGGTACCGCGATCGCCCTTCGGGTGCTTGTGAGCCAATCTTGTGCAATTTCTATCGTAAGACTGATCGCCATGGCCTTCCAAATGGTTTGCTCAATCAACGCTCGGGTTGTCTTGCTCCTTCACTGTCGCTTTGACGCTTGTCAACGAGCCTTCACTCGATGCAGCTAAGCTCTCCAGTGGCCGGGTCGATTTGGTACGGTTCGCGCCAATCGCAGCAATTCCACCGCAGGCTCAAGTCACAACGGCCCGCCCGTGTGGACAGCTCACCGACCGCGGGAATCAATCCGAATACTGGTTCGTCTGCCGTCATAGCTTCAATTTCTGGAGCAAGCGTCTTCGTTTTGCACTGACGTGCCAGAGTCTCAGCAGTTTTTCTCTGCAAACATGCGAGTAAGCTTAGGAAGACTTTTCCCAGAGCTTCCTCAAGCAAACTCTCATAACGTGTGGTTCCACAGATATGAAAACGCGATGGCTGGCTCCGTTCGACGAAGATACGTACCTTGGACATTCCGGGGCAGTAATTAGAAAGTCGATTGAGTGTGGCGAATACCTCGCTTATCGAGATAATTCGTACGCCCGCATCTGCATGCATCGCACAGCAACACCATCTCCACGAGATGTCTGCTTTATGCAAGGGAGGTTTTGATAAAACATACGCGGCTCGACTTCAGGGCTATCGGTTCGAATATGAAACTCGGGAATATTGCTGGCGAGACGGCACGATATTGTGCCAATGGTACACAGTGACCCAAGTCAGCGAAACAAGCATCACCTCAGATCTCGTACTACCGCCGCTATCCAGATCTCTTGAACGAGGTACTCCGGCATAGTGGATTCGCAGCCGTTAGTGCTGTGTATGCGAGATCTGTCCCGCAGGCCTTTGTTGAAGGTGGGCTATCACTGGCTATGAAAGTCCCAGACTCCCAGTAATCTTACCAGTATCTTGTGTGTGTCTATCCAATCTCTTCTCTCTCACCACCTTGCATTGGCGGAGCACCCATGTTGAGGCTCTGCACATGACCCCTGTTGACTCTGCGATCAGCGTGTTGTCTGATGAGAATTGCTGAGATCGGATCGTGAAAACAGTTCCACAGGGCTTTGTGAATCTGCAAGCCCAGTTAGTCAAACAACCACGCCTGTTACGCTAAAAACATTGGACTCGGTGCTTGTTGATGCTAGAGCCAACGGCCGCGATCTTGATAGCGTGGGGTAAATGCGCCTAGCGTGCTGCCATCAGTCAAGCACGATGGGCGAAGCAAAAAGCAACGCAGAAAACTCCCCGAACTTCTGTGGGTTTTTCTCGGCCGCAGAGAATCCGATAGGCGCTGTCGAACGGCTGATGGGAATTTCGAAATGACGCTGGTCTTTCTGCAACTTCCGAATGCAGTCAAGAGATGGACAGGCGCACGTCTTTTTGTCTCAGACTGTCCTGCTAGCAGAGCCGCAGAGACTTGGGAAACTCACGAGGAATAACAAATAGGTACAGTTCCCTCCAATATTGATGGGGTTTCTAACGACGCAGCTCACACGTCACATTTAAGCACTTTTTGCTGATAGGATACCAGGATTGTGGGCTGTTGTTGAGCCGCACGCCTCGCGTACACTATCCCTGCCTGCAATTGCTCCCACTCGCACTGATGAGCAGCTAGGGTGACCCTTTACTCGATATTAATTCCCCTATCCTGCGAGATTCGGCGTCATGGTCCGTTGGCCCACAGCTGTCTGCGGTGTGTGGTCCGCTGCTCCGATTTCCTCGTCGTTCATTTTGGCCAGGACTGAATTCCGTGATCCGGCACAATTGTGTCACAATTACTATGTGGAAGTGGACTCCTCGAAAGAGACTTCTATGCCCCACTAGGTGTCAATCACGTTCCTCCGGAGTGCGATTAAGGATTATGGCGAAAGGTAACCAAATACATGTTGCTTCTGGCCTGACGCCAGTTACCATGTCGTCGAGGTTTGCCAATAAAGGTACGTAGACGCCATGTTTCGGCTCCCCAAGTTTTGTTAACGGCAGACAGTACAGAGAAACCCTACAAAGAAACCACAGCACGGCAGTCGATGGACATTCTCATCTGTTGAGGGCAGAGTGTTCCCTGACTTATGGGTCGAAGGAAAAAAAGGAGCGCAAGCAGATCTCGCGTGCGTTCATAGAGGACCGCCGTCAGGCGCAGTCAAAAACGTCGAAGGCGTACCTCGTACGTAAAGCTCATTGAGCCGCAATAATACGGAGCTTTATGCCGTCCCAGAGATGCTAGGCTCCGTGGCTGGCTAGTAGCTGTAGATCCATCTGGGACATCTTGTGCCGAGAAGGACGAATCTCCGAGAGGCAAAAAATCACGTTCACAGAGCACAATGCGACATTCGTTTTGAGCGAAAAGCAAGAAGATAGTCACTTAGTATGCGGTTAAAGTTCCTCCGGGAATGGCATGTCACAGCATCTCCATGGGACCGAGCGATTCGCAAGACTTGCTTCAGTGGAGTGTGGCAATTGAATATTGAGAATATCTTTGTGAATCCTTCTCCGCTCCTCGTACCTTACTAGAGGCGGGTCCTTCCCAGATAAACCCAAAAGGCTCTCTTTACCATCTTGCTGTGGATGTGGATGTGAATGTTTTGCTTGTTGCCCCAAGACCTTAGACCTGGCCATTTGCTGCATGTTCGCTTCCCATCCTCGTACTGTACTGAGACCCTGGCCCTGGAAAGTACACCGATCAAGTACCCGAGCAGCTGAGCTGACTGTAGATCGATCGTCCAACACAAGAATCCTTATCGTCGAGGAACGATACCCAATCTCTCTTTGCGTGTTTAGTGTGACAGTTGCTTGGGATGAACATACTTCCTAGGCCGCAGAACCCGTGGCCTATGAATTGCTTCGATTGGACGAGGGACAAGAAACTTCGACGAGAACAAGTCGAAAGGACCGAGCTAGGCCGCTTCCCATCTTTTCCCAGCAGAATCCATATCCAATTCAACAGCATGAGAGATAGCATCCTTGTTTTTCTGTGCACAACAGATAGCAACTCCACACCTCCACCATTTCACATCACTTTCACATGAAAAGACGTGAGATATGCACAGAGCTTGCAAGTGCAGGTGGAGACACCGAAAGTTTGGATCTTGCGTGATCACTGATTGGCAGCCACAATGGCCTTTCCAACAGCCAGTCTGTCGCGTCTGTCGAAGCATTCGCGGCCTTGCTTGAGTGCTCCAATCAGCAGGCCAAGAGACTTGTCGTTGAAGTCGCCCGCTGAGCGAATTTTGTCAAGGTCTTCGGCAAACTCGGTTGTCATTTGGCGTAGGTAGAATGAGGTGAATGCATCTTCTGCCTCTGTGTCTCCAGCTTGAGGTCCATTCGTGGTCTGATCCTCTGGAGAAGATGACCTGGAGGGTGACTGCGCGACAAGTCAATCGTTGTATCCAGCCGAGGGGCTCGTGTAGCATGTGGGTGTATTATCAAGCAAAATACGAGAAGACCTAGTATAAACCTGAAGTCTGTACATGAGGAGAATGCGGCAAGCAAAAGACCAGGACCAGGAATTAAAGGTACAATGCAAGAAATCTGCATACCTTTCGAACGGTCTTTGGCTTTGACTTCGTCTTTGTCTTTGTCTTTGCCTTGGACTTGACGACGACCTGCTTCTTGGGCGTATGCTCCGAATCGCTGCTTTCTGACTCGGACGACGAAGACGAGTCTGACGAGTCTGACGAGTCGGAGACTGTAAATTTCCAGTCAGCGATCGCGCGCAAGACTAATTGCGACCAGCACGTACCTTCGGTTCTCGCTCTACTCTTTCTTACTCTCTTGGGCTTATTTACGCTCGCTTGTCTCTTTATTGCTGGCATGTTGTTGTTTTATGGTTGGTATTGAAAAATGGTCGAGCAGGAAAAATGGTCAAGCTTGCCAAGAACAAATCATCTCAACTTCGCAGTATGGACAGGGTCACGCCGGAACGAGCATTTTATCATATTATGTTCGGAGTAATGTTATTCTTGCGTTTCTACTTCTACATGTAATTACGTTTGACGAACATCTTGAGATTGTCACTAGACGCCAGCGTCTTCAGGAGCAATATCGAGGTTCCAATCGATCACACCATCGTCGCCGTATCTCTCCTTCAGCCATTCATTTGCCTTTGTGAAGTGGCCACAGTCGAACTAAAACGTTGGTCAGAAAACCGCTAACCAAAGCTCAAGGAAGATAGAAACTTACGAAGCCCTTGTGGGCACTCAGAGGGCTAGGATGGACGCTCTTGAGGACATAGTGCTTGGAGCCGTTGATACCTGCACAACGCTTCTGGGCAGGCGAGCCCCAGGCCAAGAAGACAACACCATGAGCGCGCTTCTGACAAACTAGGTCGATGACCTTTTGTGTGAATTTCTCCCAGCCCTTGCCGGAATGTGAGTTAGCCTCGTGGGCGCGTACAGTGAGGCAGGTGTTCAACATCAGGACACCGCGATCAGCCCAAGGCGTGAGTAAGCCTCCCTTGTTCGGCGGGGGCTCGAAAGACGGATACTCTTTCTTCAATGCTTTGTAGATATTTTGGAGGGATGGAGGAGCGGGAGTCGGGGGCCTGACCGAGAAACAAAGACCGTGGGCCTGGTTGTGGTTATGGTATGGATCTTGACCGAGGATGACGGCCTTGACGGTGTTAAGCGGCGTGTGTCGCGACCTGGGTAAAATGTCAATGGGAGTGAGAAGAAGGCGGGCAGACATGAGCAGACGTACCAACTGTAAACATCTTGTGACGGAGGGAAGATTTTCTTGCCAGCCTCGGCCTCGCTCTTCAGGAACTTCTTCAGGTCGAGGAAAGACTTGGTTGTGATCTCTTCTTTCAAGACGGCCAGCCACGACTCATCCAGCGTCTCAATCTCGAGCTTGAGCAATGCTTTTTGTTCCTCGCTAAGGCCAGCGACCCATTTCTCTTTGTCAAACTTGACTGCAGGGGCAGGAGGAGGGTCGGTCGAGTCTTTGGACGGGTTGGTTGATGACGTTGATGGAGTCTTTGGAGGACCGAAGAAGCTGGTGATTGAGCTGTTGGCTTTTGGCTTCTTGGCCTCGGCGGCAACAATATCTGCCGCCTTGCGTTTAAGAGACATGACAGCGGTAGACAAAGACAATTGAGTCGTGCTTGGAGGGAAACGAATGTCACTCGATAAATTGATCAAAGGCGGACGCGCCCACGCGTTTCCAGTCCGTGCTCGGCAACCAGACTGTGGCTGAGGCTTTCCCCACAGTTAGTGGCGTCAGTAAGCGTCATCCACTGGCGGCAGGAACGGAAGCACGAGTGAACAAGGAAGCCACTAGGTGATGCAGTAAAAGAAAGCTTCCATCCAGTCACCCTTCCTGTCATCCTCATTCCTTCTCATCACCTGCGAAATTGTTTCGACTACACTCTCGCAACACACAATGGCTTCTTCATCAGCAGCACAGATCCCCAGCGATCTACCTCCCGCATACAGCAAGAACGACCCCACTCCCCACAAGACACGCAATGGAATTCCGCCAGACCACCGTCGCTCAATGGAAGACGCGAGTCGTGAGGTCCCTGAAGGCTGGATCAGACAGTACGATCCTGAGAGCAGCCATCAGTTTTATGTCGACACACGCACCGAGCGCGCCATCTGGCACCACCCCTACGACGACGACGAGTACATGGCCTCTCTGTCCCCTGAACAGCGTGCTCGCATCAGAGGACTAAGCCGTGTTCCTACCGATGCCGATATCATTGCCGAGAGCTCAGACGACGACCATGACCCTAGAGGCCCTCCTCAACGCCAGGATTCAAACCCCAGCGGCATGAAGAAGTTCGGCCGCAAGATCAAGGATAAGGTCACTTCGAGCACCCATCAAGAGCGCGAGGCTCAGCGCAAGAAGCGTGCCGAAGAGGAACAGCGCGCATACCAGCGTCACCTTGAGCTTCGCAAGGCTATGCAGCGAGCTGTCCAAACTGGCCAGCCTCAACTCATCGGCAAAGACCGTGAAGGTCGTGACTGCTACCTCACTCCTCCCCAAGGCGCTCAAAGTCAGCAGCAGAATGTTCGCATGATCAATCCATTTGGCTCTCCAATGGGTGGTGGTATGATGGGCGGCGGGTACGGAAGACCGATGCCGATCGGAGGCTATGGGGGAGGCTACGGTGGAGGAATGTATGGCTACGGCAGACCAGCTTACGGCTACGCGAGACCTTATGGCTATGGTTATGGAGGTGGCCTGGGTCTGCCTATCATGGGGGGTCTCGCTGGAGGTGCTCTTCTGGGAGGATTGCTCTTCTAGGAGTCGTTGACTTTCCTGCACTATCTCTAACGACGTAATGACCAGCAGCTCAAGGTTGATACCCTAAACATATTTAACATCCTGTAACCAGCCAGGACTTTCACTCCAACAAGTACAAATCTACTCAGGCTTCACCAGAGGCTAACGAACATTGGACCAACGCGATCGCTAGCCACCTCTTGATGTCATGCTTCACAAACGAGGCTATGTAGGTCTGATCGACACCCCTCGGGGTGTCGACCATATGCAAGGATAACACAAAGGCCATAGCATCGCAAGCATACCTATCCCCCGGTGCACTATAGTCTGCAACTCCCACGATCCTTTCCCCAAGGTATGGAGCTGCCTCTCTCGCTATTCAAAGGCACAACGATGTTCAGACTAGAGGCTTTACCAAGGAGAGCCTGAAGAACACTACATCTCGATGGATGAGGTTCAATTGCTCGAAAATTTCGTGCATTTCCATAGCTATACGCTTTACATACTTTTGCACATGGTAATGATGCAAACCCAACTCCATATACGTCAATTTAGATAAGCCAACAGGTGTCTAAATCGTCAGCTTGCGCAGCTCCTTGTTGACCGCCTCTCTGTCCCACTCAAACAGATTGGTGGCCGGGCTGCGCGTCCACGCGATCATATCCTCTTGCATATCCTCAGGCCATGGATGACCCTCACCACTCAAGCACCAAATTTCCTGGCTACGAGGCACTGCCATCGCTGGACCCAACCCGCCATCTGCCTCGCCCAAGAAGTGGATCAGATGCTGCCAATTGGCGCCAAAGTCGTACCTGTACCACACATTCATCCCACGACAAGCATCTTGACCCCAGACGTCCGAAAGAGCTACCTTGTCGGCATCGAAGTTGGTGTAAAACTGCTCTGCCCACTCATCGACGTGAGCAACTCCGTTGACGAGCTGATTGAACTTTGCAACGGTGGGTTCGCATAGCTCGCACATGCATCGAAGACGTTTGCGGCATGGCTTACAGAGCTTGAATTCGTAGGCGTGGAAACCTTGCCAGTCAAAGGCTGTGTTGATGGTTTCAGCCAATTGCTGGAAGGTCATCCGGGTTGGGACGCGAAGGACGCGAGTGACGGCGCCTGGACCTGCTTCGATCATGGGATGCGGAAGCAAGCCGACCTGGATGAGGTAACCAGTGTCGTTCTGTTGACGAGCATGAGCTCCCTGCTGAGATTCCTTGATGCGGGCGGCGGTGCCTTCTCTGTCGTTGGTAGGTGGAGTGCCGAGTCGTCTGCCCATTAGCGAATCCTCAAGGTCTTGACTGTGGCCTCCGTGACCACTGAAGTCCTCTGGGTAATCTGCATCGTACTCGCCTTCCTCATTCTCATCTTCATCTTCATCTTCGTCAAATTCTTCCTCGTCATCGCAGTCCCAGATATACTCGTCTTTATGGACCCAGCAACCTCCGTCGTCGTAATCATCATCCTCATCCTCGTCTTCATCTTCGCAGTCGTCATTCTCTGCTTCATCAATGTTCCAAGGATGTATTTCCAAGCTTGCTTCTCTTTCACCGTTACCTCTTGCGGCGTTCGAACCACGAAAGTGTGTTCCGGAGGGACGCATCGAGATCCTGTCCCGGAGTGCTTCAGCAAGCTCCGTCAACGGTATACACCCACCAACGAGAGGGCCGAGATGCCCATCAGCTCGATGGTTCAATGCCGAAAGAGTGTCATCACATATCTGTACATCTGGTACGATTGTCAGCTCTGAAAATCTCATCGCCGTGACATTCGAAGTACTGACCTTCGTCCCGACATTGGTTCATGATCCCAGCATCATACATATCGTTGTATCGTTTGTTCCTAGCTGCACATGAAGGATCGGTGCTCAAGGCAATTCCTAAGGCAGCATCGAACTCTTCTCTTCTTCGTCTGTTGATTCTCTCTCGAATGGCCCCAGACCTCTCTGAGGGGGAGAGACGAGAGTTTGAAAGAGGATATCTCGAGTTTGGAGAAGACATGTTCACAACGGTAGATCAGAAAGAAGTGATAGATCAGGAAGAAGTGCTTTGCTTTGACCATACTTTCCTCCCATTTTTGCAGTCTAGATATACACATTCGTGGCATTCAAGTTCAACACATTACAGCAGTTCAACGCATGAAAAACACGTCCAACCCCGCTCGACCGTCAGGCAGCAGAGGGCATTGAATTCGCTCAGAGGTGTTCTGATCTTAGACTTCGTCACGCGTGGGTGGGGAAGGTTTGAAGTTTGCATGAAAGGGCAAGTGCGTTGTATGGGCGACCATTGTAATGCAATTGTAATATTCGTGCTTTTGAGCTTCGGTTGCATCTATACTTGCTGAATGAGGCTGAAATCGTGTAGGGATGTTCTGAACAGCTTGTTAGATAGTGTCAGTGTTTCTGTAGGGAACGTCACTACCACTGGCACTTGACGGTCCAAAATGTTAGCTCATTTCTCTTCCTCCCTATACACAACCGTGTAAATATAGGCATGCACAATGGTTTCGACAGACGGGATAGTATCCGTCGAGAAACAATCTATCCAGAGCTCTCTTTGGTCGATCTCTGAATGGACAAACTATTATGCCTTTCTAAGGTGAGGCGTTGGGGAAGGGGGTGGGAGGTCAATAGACTGGCAGCCATGGGCACAATGGTGGCTACATTGTATTTTACGATAGTAAGGTCGGAGAGTGTTGCATGAGACTCAGCTTGACGGTTGAAAAAGATTGTTACGTGATGGCTTTGATGAATGTTCGTGAGGACAATTCTTCTTGACTGCTATTATACATCCTGCTTCGTTGTCTCTCCTTGTCATCTGCGTGTCCATATACGCCTTGCTCATCTCATCCTTCCATTGGCGTTGATCTTAGTTATACAGGGGTCTGAACGAAAAGCGTTTTTAGGAACTGCAACGCTCCAAAGTGCTTCAAACTTCAGCATTTTCAGAGTCATCACCGGCACCAGCGCCAGCCTCGGGGTCCTCCTACATGATAGTGGGCTCGCTCTTGACGACAGTCTTCTTCTTGACAGGAGTCTCGTCATCATCCTCGCTGTTGTCGCTGTCACTGGCGACCTTGCGCTTCTTGGTGGACTTGGCTTTGGTGGTGCTCTTGGTCTTGGGGGTGGCCCTCTTTCTGGGAGTCTTGACGGCAGGAGTGTTGGGAGGAGCGACAGTGCCGTTGGCGGTGGAGGAGGCAGAGTCAAACTCGAGGAGCTTCTTCTTGGTGACGCGCAACATCTCTCGAGCAGACGCGGCGGTCTTGGAACCAGTGAGGCGAGAGAACTTTTCGTAGTCAATCTTCGAGGAGGGAACATAAATGTCAGCTTGGATCAGAGTGAGAGATGATGCGAGGCACTGTTGAGATCTTTGGACTGCACTGCACTGCAGATGTTCTGCGCGTTTTCGAATACTCTATGCAACAGAAATGGAAGTGCTTACCTTGGGTTCAGCATCAATGCAGAGCCAGGCCATGGCCAGGTAGCGGTTCTGGGTGTCGGAAAGAGCAGCAGGCATCTTGGACGAGATAGTGTGATTCGCGAGTGATAGTGTTGCTGTTCGCAAAAGGTTAGCTGTGTGTGTGGCAAGGTTGCGTTCAAGTAGGCTTGGTGGACAGTGGGCGATCGACACGTTGGAAAAGGTCTTGAGTGAAGGCGGATGTTGGAGAAGATAGGAGTGGTGGAGCTGTACGCAAGAGATGACTTACAGTAATGGATGAGTGCGGCAAATTCTTGCTGCAGATGTAAAGACCAGGAAGGTCCCAGGAGAGAGAGAGCAGCGGTGGGAAACAAAGGACAGAAGTCAGAGATCTGGTGATTGGGAGTGTTGTTCGAGATGGTGAAGGGAGAGATGGGTGGACGAGAACGGAAGTGAAAAGAATAACAACACGTCCGAATGCTCGAGCAACAATAAGATCTCCTTACTCACTTCGAGACCAGCACGAAGATAGATGCTGACGCGCCGCGGACTAGTTAGTTAACATCCGAAAACACTATCGGTCTTGTTCAGTTTCACTGTTGACCCGTAGCCTTTGTTCTTGAGCCACACGTCGCTCTAGGATTTTCTGAGAGAGTATGCAGTCATACAATCCAGTACATGGAAACACCGAAACTACAAGGAGCAGCGGCACGTCTACGAGACCTGAAATGAGTAACAACTCCTTGTACACAATAGGTACAATCATGGGGGAATCTTATCATGTCAAGTCAAGCAATCTCGGGCATAGAAATCCAGAGCGATTCTGACACCAGGTCCAGATCTCATCATCTATCAGATGTCGTGATTTCCTTTGGTTCAGGCCAGTCGAGCCCCAATTCTTTAGGAGTCGAGGTCTCACACGATATCAGAATATGTTGTTGCAATAGGTCCAGCATGGTCCTAAATTCGATACTTCATCTCAGCTCTTATTTATTTGCGATTTCTGAGAACTGGTTTCGATCAGTATGGAGGCTATGATGTTTGATTGACTCGGGACCTTTATAGCAGACGATTGCAAGTCGAGCCTTGGAGGTAGAGTTTTCCAACATCAGGCGACAGGAGTAGAGAAGAATCATTCACCAAGAGACATCGACTCTCTATGAACTTTGCGACTGTCTAGGTAGAAAGAACTGGGTGTGCATTTTGGTGGCTTCATCTCCGCTTGTGCGTTGCTGCAAGAGCAGGATGGAAATAATGGAGTCCGGCACATGGGTAGGGGAGATGCGAGTTGGCTCTCGCAGGTTCGTTGTCCGACCCAAAGTGCGATTGATGTGCAGAAGAGAAGTGCTGGAGCTGGAGCTGGAGCTGGAGCTGGAGCCCGCGTCGATCAACGTTTGATTTTGTGCACGGTTTTGTGCCGCATTATTTCACACTAGGTACCTCCACCTCGTCAGCCAAGGTCGTTGGCCGGCCAAGCATCCTTTCGTTCTACCAAGAACGATACCTAGGTAATTGTCTCATGGTCCAGTATGTATGACGGCCGAGTATCTGGGGAATACACAGACACAGATGCCTCAAGGATTGAGGCATTTTGACACCAATAGTCTAGAGGTCAAACCTACTGGCAACTCACCCGACAATCAGGCATCTACATTTCGAAATCCACACAGCCTCATGTTATGGGTATGCCGTTCAAACTTCATGATTGCGACTAGAAATAGAATCAGTCGACGAAAGCCAAGAGGAGATGTGCATCAATTGACGATCATGTCTGCAAAGCAGACGGAGTCCGGCAGATCGAAGGAGTTACACCGCCACTTTTTTACTGTAGGCAGCAGCAATAGGAAATTTTGATCCTTCGATTGACGCTTCTAGAGCAGAATACGGATGTATGCAAAGAACTTTACACCCAAATTACTGGTTTGCTGAACCTCAGCCCCTCATCCTTCGCCAAGGACAGTTGAACATGCATCATGAGCTGAAGATACAAATACTGAGCCTGGCCACACGAATATTGCAAACAAGCTCATAAGAAGACAGTCTGCAACTTCAACAATCAAAATGACAATCTCAGCGACAACAAACATGGATCACAACAGAAAGACCGCCTGGTCTGGAAAAGTTCTGATCCCAATGTGGACGATCCAGATCTTGCTGATTCTAGTGACTATCATCGGCTACATCTGGTTCCTGGCAACATACAACCGCCTCGACTGGGCTTACTACTACTCCGACACAGTCAACAAAATGTCAGTATACATCCGATCTCAAGAATTAGAGGAAAAGGTAGAGGTCTGATCATCAATGAAAAATCAGACATGGCACCAACACTTTCGCGTTCATCTCGGGCGTCATCTTCCTTATACTGTGGTTTATCGCACTGTTCATGATCATCTTCCAGATCGTCAGGTTCCACAAGAAGAACCTGCCTGCCAAAACGATGCTCACGATGCAAATCATCCTCAGTGTTTTCGCGACAATCGCTCTGATAATCGAAGTCATGGGTTTACTCTTCGTTGTCATGGGTGGCGTCAAAAACTTGTTGGACTTCTTTGGAACAATTATTGCCACGTGAGTTCAAGGTACCGACAGTGTATCGGTATACAAGATGCTGACAAAGGGTTTACAGAGCATTCCTCTACGGAACTTTGATCTACACCAGTGTCATCTTCCACAGACGCAAGCTGGCAAAGAAGGATTCGCGCAACTCCTATGGCATGACAGATTACGACGAAGAAGCTGATCAGGACAAGCATCAATACAAGATTGGACAGCCCAATTAAGCACAGAGGAGAGCAGGCCTCGGCACCAATACTCTGCATGGAAGGCGAACATACTTGATGCTTTGTTGATAATGTTACGACGGTAGTTTGTTATTAATCAGAATCTATAATCATAATGCGTTGTCGCTTACTTCTACCCCTGCCATTGTAAAGAACGTATTCGTCCGGACACTCCGTTTCTCTAGACTGTAGACTCCTTAGTTCTGACATTGTTCAACTCGACATGAGTGTCATGGGTCTGACTTTTGATCAATCTGCCATTGCGAGTGGAGAGATTTCCATAGAGCCCAAGTTTGGTCTCTGTGATCCACTCGCGCAACTTGATCAAGAAGTGGACGATGACAAAGACAACCACTGCAGCGGCCAGGATACCGATACAAGCTCCAGCAATCAGGCCCCTTCCATTTCTCCTGTTACAAGGGTCAGCAAGAAGATCATTCCGGGATGGACGTCGGGCATATGCTTACGGATCCAAGAAGGGATACACATAGAAGTGCTGGGTCGAATGTGTGAGATAGGCAAGTCCGAGGTAAAGTGCGAGCAAGATGACAATAGGAAGGATGTTCAGCCAAGGATGCGGCTGCGTGCGAGGGATCACAATCTCTGCAAACGCCATGACAGAGTTGAGTGCATGCTGGCTGATGTTGGACCAAGTTGTCCACTCATTCGAAAAAGCTCCATTCGAAAGAGCGCCCCAGAACACGGCTATCGCAATCATGTCAGCTTAGCGTCCGGTACATTGATCCATTGACCAGATGTACTTACCGGTGACAACGAATGGAAATACCGTGACAGTGGCATAAAATACTGAATGCAACCACTGAAGAGATCTCGGCCACTTTTGCAGCCAGGACTCGCCATGAAGCCAGAAACTCAAAGAGTGGGCGCAAGATACGGCGTAATAAAACGCCAGTCCCCAATAGCCGAGGACAGTGAAATAACTGAAAGACTGGCCAGCAGCTCTGCTGCCCTCGTGACCCAGGATGATAAAGATGACCAGAAAAGCATAAATTGCAACGATCGCACGCCATATAGCCAGTTGAAGAGGCGAGAGGAACCATGAAGTTGCGAAGCGCGAGGTATAGTCGTCGGTGGTGGCCAGGCGGTAGGGTTCACGAACCCAGCGGTCGAACATCGTGTATCCGCAGCTCCGATATCTCAGACCCAGAATAATGTATACCAAGAATAATGTATACCAGGAGCGTTACAAGCAAGGAGAAAGAGGAATGTATCTATTCAGTTGAGGAATGTTTGTTGAAGAAAAAGTCCGAACCCCGAAGAGATTAGACCAAACGACTATCGGTCGCTGTAAGCGATCCATCAGCGGCAAGCAATCACCTCGTTATATGAACGTCAATAAAGCAGCGCTTGGGTCTGGACGCCCTTTTCTTTTTGAGTTAAGCCGCGACCACGTTTTCGGATCCACAGAGCCTAACTACAATATTTTAAGCACTGAAACACGTTTAGGTTGGTCGGTTGGTATACACGTCGGGAGAGCACACTGCGTCAGGTGGGCGAGTGCGGATGGGCTCTGGGCACGCAAAAACATCTAATCACACTGTCGAAGCCACACAGTGCGTCGAATTCTCGCATAAGACTGCTACATAATTTTGTCATGCGCGTAGAGCAAGTGCAGCGAGGCGTAAAGATAGTATGGCGCCGTCGATGGAGTGGCTGGGCCGTTGGATTTGACCGTCACGGGCAAGACACCATGTTTCATTTGTGCTTCTTCGCCTCCTCGTCCTTCACGAGCGATCCTTCATTAGACCGCAAAGGGTGCAACACCACCACATGTTCTCCACAAAGGTGCCACACTCGCGACAATTCCATCCTATAGGTTCTCTCTTGGCTTGCTTCTTTTCTGTGTGTACCGGGGTAGGACGCGCGTTTATCTTACGACCGACAGCACTAGGACCAGTAGCTGATATCATGGCCGCTGGGCGCTCCACGCCGCAAGCATCGCAGGCAAGATGCGTCTTCTGATTTATGCAAGTACACACTTGACATGCCCAACCGGCAGAGTTGGGTGGTGCCTGCTTCGTCGTGGGTTTCTTGGTTGGGGCTTCGTTTTCGTCGTCCTCGGTCAGATCGATAAAAGGTGTATCTTTTTTGTTGGCTGCTTCGACTGGCGACTTTGTCGACGACGGTGGTGGTTTGGAAAGAACCTGGACATCTCCATCCATTGAGAGAGGGCGTTTACGGGGTTGAGTGTCCTTCAAACTCTCCTGCAACGCCCACCTCATCTGTTCTTCTTCACCCTTCGGTAGGTCAGAAATAATCGTGCCGGGTCCTGTACTAGCGAGTCCATGTTCTTTTGACCATGTCAACCCACCAGCTGTCGAAGGTGTACTGTAAGTTCCCTTCATCTTTTGCGCTTCTTCTTCTTCCATGAGATCAAACAATGCCTCTGCAATGGCGCGGTTGTTGGCATCGTCTTCTTCTGCCTTGGTCTTGAAGGTATGTCTGCCAGCTTGGTCTGCTAGATTGTTAGCCTGAGCAGTGCCTGACGCACACCCACGATCGACAATTGCTCTCCGATCTGCGGCATCTGCGAGAACTCTGCGAAGATCTGTCCCTGGTGCTACACGCTGTCCTCCAATTGTCCTGCCAGAACCTTTCTGGAGCACACGACGCTGCTCTGCATTAGCGCGCGCCAGACGCCTCATCTCATGCTGCGGAGGTACAGGACCACCACCAAGCCTCTTGCCACCGGTCAAGAAACCCTCGCCAGTGTAGCCTCGCAGAATTAATCTTTCATGATCATCCCGAAGCTCATCCCATAGGCTATGAAAGTTCGAATCGTGGTCACTAAAGACGATATGCGAGAGCTCGTGCAGAAGCGTGTCGACACATTGCTCGATGGGGAGAAATGTGCTCGGTTCGTGTGTATATCGTAGACGCACACAGATCTTGAATGTCTTGTTGATATTCAGACCCAGCAAGCGCTGGTCATCGGGCAAGAACTCGCTGAGGACTCTGACCTTCCAAGAGCGCTTCCTCATTAGGGGCTTGACGAGAGACGCTATCTTTCGCAGGCGGAGCAGAGCCTCTTCAGGTTGAGGACAGTCGGCGAGATGTTCGTAGGAGCCAAAGAGTGCATCGTGTTCTTGAAATGATGATGGATATGATTTTTGGTGATTAGTAGGGCCACCCACTCTGATGTTGTTGCCTTGTGGGAACATAGCGGCTTTAGTTGCTTGGTCCCCAGCATAGATGGATTAGGCTGTTGGAGAGTGTGAACCTGTATTTGCAGCCAGAGCGTAGCGAGAGCCCATGAGCGCTCTTTCACTTGCGCCAGGTGGAGAAAGTGATGTTTATTGTCGCAAGACAGCACAAGATGGAGGTACGTTGCAACCAGAGACAACAATGACTGAGTTCGTCAGCAGTGGCGAGGCTACAACACACGACGACTCTGGAGGTCGCGCCAAGACGACTACGACAAGGCATTGGCAGCACCTGCCTATCCCGGTTACCAAGACGGCGCCCAGTTAAGCAGAGCCAGACATCATACTCGGATATCGATCATCGCGGGAATATCATGTAGCATGTTGAAAATGTAGCAGAAAGCAGGTCAGGCATGAAACGAATTGGAGTAGGTATAGGCTCGGCAAAGTTGCTCTATTTGTGAGCCCCGCATCAAGGTACTCGGCCATGACGGTGGTTTTTGGAGGAACTTGGTCGTGAGACCGACGTGCATTTCTATCAACCAACTCTCACCACAACAACCAAGCGGAAGATGACTGACGCCCAGTGGTTCATCGACTCGGCACGAAAACAGTACAATGAACTTGCTGGCGGTGTAGAGAGACATTTCGAAAGTGTCGCGACGCAGCTAAGAGACTGGCTACCTGAGGGCTTCCAACCACCTCGTCCGCCGCCACCACCACCTCGTACCTTTACGCCTGCCACGTATTGGAATCACGTCAACAGATGGGTATCGCGCAACACCGCTCTTAGTGCTGGCATCTTTGCTTTCGTCGGCACAGGTGCTGTCCTGGTTTTCATACAGAGATCGACACATGTGAAAAAGAGAAGAGCCAGGAAATCAAATAATGGTGCAAGAACAGAAGCCGTCGTTCTTGCTGGCTCACCAACATCACCCTTGACCACTGCCATCGCTATGGATTTAGAGCGTCGAGGTTTCATCGTTTACGTCATCACTAGCACCAAGGAAGACGAAGAACACCTCCGCAAGCAGTCGCGGGCAGATGTGCTCCCCTTCGACCTTGACCTCATTCACGTGAGTGCTCTGCGTGCACGACACACTACACTTTGACTGACCATGTATAGCCTGACAAAGCTGAGGGTCAGATGCAACGCTTCCACCATTTCTTGTCCCGCCATCACCATGCTTTCGATGGAGCTTCTGCTCATCGTCTGACATTAGCAGGCGTGATTCTCGTTCCTGACTTCTCAACAGTAACCGTGGGCTCTATTGCTCAGCTCTCACCAGAGGCTTGGGCGACTGCCCTGAATGCCAAAGTTCTGCACACCATTACCGTCGCAAGACATATGCTCCCTCTGGTGACAGAATTCAAGAGCAGGATACTCCTCCTCACTCCAAATGTCGTCTCGTCCTTACGACCACCTTACCGTGCAATCGAAAGCACCGTATCATCTGCTCTCGGGGCGTTTGCTGCTTCTTTGTCGTCAGAGCTCAGCCTGCAAGGACTACACGCCTGTCACTTCAAGCTTGGAAATATCGAGATTGCGGGAAGCAAACAGAAAAGAGATGAGATCAAGAGAGCCAGAAGCATGCCGGGCACTTCGATACGCAAACTCCACGAGGCAATATTCGATGCGTTGCACAGCAGCAACCCCAGTCGTACGTGGCACGTTGGCAGGGGTAGCTTGATCTACGACCTGATCGGATCGTGGATGCCAAGTGGAGTTGTAAGTTGGACGATGGGATTGCAGCACGCACCCAGAAACGAGGATCAGCAGACTCCTGAATCCGAGGACTCTTCGAGCGACCGATCGATTACATGGGAGAAAGTCTGATGGGTTGCTCGCCCATGTATAGCTCAGCAGAACAGGGTCGGTTATAGCAAGGCGCTTTTTCGGCTGGACGCTGGCTGCAAGACCATTACGGTAACCAGCAGCTGGCCAATAATGATGATATAACTTTGTTCGCGACCCAAGATTGGAAGGCGGGTCAAGACGCTGGGACGCTCAGCAACCCGTCCGACGGGAACGTTGTAACGGTAATACCTGCTCTGAGGTGACGAAGGAGGACAAGAACAATACTCTTCGAGTTTCCATTGAATTGTTTGCATGGCCCATTCGTAGCCCAATCACTCATAGCAAAGAGATCAAGTCATGGACACAGACAATTTCGTTAATTGCGACTGCGCGTCGGAACCCTTGTCAAGCCAAAACAAAAGTGGGGTTGAAAGCCGAGGCTCACTCTTCATCCTTTTTCTTCGTGGAGGCCGAATAGCACATCAAACAGCAGTCATTGGAACGAGATAGCCAGTTGCAAGCGAAGACGGTTGCTCAGGCTGTGGGTTGACGTAGAGGTAGGCCGGGGGACACAGGAAGCAGCTGAAGCGGCGATTGTTGCCATGTGCGAGCAGCGGTAACCAAAACAGACAGTGCACAAATGGGCATAGGGATGCTCGTCTTGCAAGCACGGAGGCCGTTAAGGGTCCCATGGGAAATCGCCCGAGATCCACATGTGTATTGCTGCTTGCAGTGCGCACCTGCAGTCATGGGGAGACAGCCCTCTCTTGTCGTCTTTTAGATTTGACTAGCCTCATCAACACATCGTATTGGTCCGCCATCTGGCTTCGACCAGCTACGCTTCGGTGCGGTTTTCTTCGTCTTCGTATTCTCCTAACCTACGGCACGAGACATCTGTGTTGTCTTCCTCCTCTCCCATAGCACCTCCCTTTTCACGCTCCTTTACTTCCTCGCGGCTGCCTCTATAGCGTTTCATCGCCACACGCTCTTGGCCGGACGGCGATCCAATCTTGATCTCTCAGTTCTACAGTCCACTCCTTTTGTACAGCCCCACGAACGCGAATTAGACAGCACTCTAGTCTGCATTGATTCCTCTATTTTGACCATTAATTCTTCTATGCACCTGCACTGGCCGCCGGCGACACCCACCCTTGCAGGAGATCAACACATTGCCGGCCACTCTACAGGGCAGCCAATTAACACTTTCTGGAAAGCCAATTAACCTGGAACCCCGCTCATTCCCTATCAACAATGGCCAGGCGCCCTCAAAACCTCGATCTGAGCAGCGCTCGAGGTCATGACCGCCTTCCTAGTCGCACACGCCCAAACTTCCACATGGACCTGCCATCGCCGCGAGCCGGTGAAATTCCGCCCGCTCTCTCCCCGCTCGATGCTTTCGCCCTGCACTCACGCGCCCTGGCGCGCAAGCTGGAGGAAAGTTCAAAGGCCGGAAGACGCATGAGCCGGCTACCGCACCAGGACATTGCAGACGAACTAGCAAAACGACCTGGATACTTCAGATCTGTCTCGAGCGGCGTCGAGAGTCTATATGACGACGATCAAGAGGAGGACGATGGGGACGACGAAGAAGGACAATGGCAACCGCCCCGCTTGCAGGCCCAAACACCCAATGGTGCGGTATACCGCCCTGTGTCGCATTACCCAATGCTAGGAAATGTCGTTCGAGACGACCAAGACGTGCCTTGCGTGCCAAACCCCATCAACGAAGCCAACGCTGGACACGAAGAAAAAGGCTACTTTGGCATAAAGATGCCACGCTCGTCGTCTCCAGAGCCTTTCGACTCCAGGAACATCAAGAACGACGAAGCCTCGCCTGCCTTGCCGAGTTTGACTAGCAGCATCGACTCAATTCAATCATCGCAACCGCGAACCATTACCAACGAATCTACCAGGAGACAAGACAACAGCCTGGCACCACCTCGCTCACCAGTACATCCACGATCAGCACGTAGTATCGCCAGTATAAGGTCTGTCATCGACAGTGCCGAGGAGGACAACGGCAGCCCATCTGGATCACTTGAAGCTGGTCCGTCCAGGAAACCTCGTGCTCCTTTCAGCCCGGAAATGCTACCTGTCTCGCGATCTCCGTCTGCTCTGTCCGAGTACTCTGTAGCTTCAGATCTGCCCCGTCCATCTTTCAACTTCTCCAGACCCCGTGGCAATTCGCTCGCGCGGCCAGGTGCTGAGAACAATCTGGCAGTTAGCACGCGCCGTCCTATCGAGCGACAGAACTCGAATGACTCTTCCATGTCGCAGACAGCCAGAAACACCCCCTCCGTACAAACCATGCGTGTGAGGGCGCCAGTCGAACGTCAGAACTCCGATAGTGCGACAGACCTCTCTGGTGCTCTATCAGACAGAGATTGCTTCAGTGGTGAAGAGACTCCAGTCGTACATCCAGGACCGGGTGCGCCCTCCTATGTGTATTCCAAATACTCCTTGCCACGTGGTCGTATGCTTGACAGAGATTCGGTCGAAGCAAGAGCTTCGTGGGCTCAGCATCAATTCAAATGGGAACAGAAGCCAACTGGACTGGAACCTCAAATAGCCGAAAGTCCACTACCGAGCCCGGGTCTCGATAATCCCTTGCTCAGTCCTGAACCCGGTACACCACATGGACAGAGTCCAGCATCAGCATCAGCATCGAACCGGAACAGATCAAACGCCAGCCCGGCTCCTTCACCCACACGGCTGAGTAAGAAGACTACGCCGCAAACTCCGTCAATTGCGTCTGAAAGCACGAACCGGACAATCAGGGCAGGATCGCATGTACGAAACAGTCCGTCTACTGACATAGCTGGTCTATCACCAGAACAACATCTCGAAAAAGGCATTGAGTGCCACTCATCAGGCTCCCTCAGCAAATCTACATATCATCTTCGTCTAGCCGCTAGAGCTGGTCTACCAACAGCAATGCTGCTGTATGCTCTCGCATGTCGACACGGGTGGGGCATGCGCCCTAATCAAGCCGAGGGTGTGTCGTGGCTCAGACGCGCGGTGGACTCGGCTGGAGTGGAGTTCATCGAGGACAGCAGCAGCGACGGATCGCAGGTTGTATCGAAGGAGCAAAAGGCTCGTAAAGCCCAGTTCGCACTTGCCATCTATGAGCTTGGTATGTCATACATGAACGGGTGGGGCATTCCGAAAGACAAGCCTCTCGCAGTCAGATGTTTCGAGATTGCTGGAAGCTGGGGCGATACCGATGCTCTCGCCGAAGCAGGCTTCTGTTACACTCAAGGAGTTGGGTGCAGGAAAGACCTCAAGAAGGCGGCAGAGTTCTACCGCCAGGCTGCGGACAAGGGTATGAGCATGGCAGGCAACAGTTGGTATGTTCATTGTGCACCCAGGTGGAGTATACTTCCTACTAACGCTTCGACAGGATTTACAAGCCCAAATACATGCCGGATCCACCTCCAAGAGAGGACACTCCCGAGCCGGTGAAGAAATCTCGTGGCAGATCCAGAACGCTATTCGGCCGCAAGAAGGCTACCGTGACATCGTAGCGCGTCGACAAGGCTAAAAGGTTCGTTGACACATTTGTACTTGTCGTCGGATGCGGCATTTCTTCTATTTATCCTCTTCTTCGTCCTAGCGACACATTTTTCTGGCATGATTGTAAATAGTTCTTTGCCGACGTTGAGTTTTATACATGTATGGTGGTATCAGGGTGGTGTTGGGAATGGGGCAACTGTCTGGGAGCAAACGGCTTTGCTGCGGCAGACATGAATGGCGTTTACAGGACCTCTTGTTGAGGGCTAATGTTTATTTTGTTGGTCGGCTTCTCATGACATGTGTTCAAGGATGCTATTCTACCTGCTGGCTTTGTGAGTGGATTGAACGAAGACGTAAACGTTTGAGGTAAAGGTTTGAGGTTATTCCAAATATAGCACGAGCGCAGGGTCCTGCACCCGAGCGGAGATTTGGACGGAGATATGATAAGGCGGCTGAGGGATAAGGTTAGCCAGCAGGTAGGGCAAGCCTCTGACACGCACGAGCTGCTCTCCAGCTGCCGCCATACTCCGCGACCTTGCATTGCTCTCGGCCTCTGTTCTTGGGTCCATAACATCATCTCTTGACTATTCCTCGGCGTACTAGCATCATTCCCGGACGGTCCAGCAAGTGTCGACCAGCCTTGTATCTTTGGTCCCCGAATCGCTCTCTGACAAGGTAATCCGCCGCATGAAGTCATAGCCTGAGAGGCTGCCTCCATCACTTCGTCCGCAAACATGACCGACTACAACTCGGCCGCTCGCGCTCTCGCGTTACCTATAGACGAATCAGAACGCCGCTCTCAATCCAACTCACCTGTCTTTTCTCGACGATCCACGTCGGTGCCACGCTCGAACCGTCGGGCCAAGTCAGGCGGCATACTGGCTCAGGCGGCCAAGCTGCAACGCAATGCTGCAAAGACATTCTTCGGCCTCAGCCCTGCGAAACGTATACTGTTGGTGGTCGGAGGAGTCATGGCTTTCGTGCTAGGCATCTTGTTCCTCGTCTACAACGAGCGCATCTTCCACGCCATGTCGCCTGTGGCTAAGCGCTGGAGGAATATCACTGGTGGTTGGATGATCCTATGGGCCGCAACATTCCTGGTCAGCTTCCCTCCACTGATCGGATATAGTACATGTGTCACACTGGCCGGGTTCGTCTATGGTGTACCCAAGGGGTAAGTTTTAATCCACACACTAGGCACCTGACTCGCAGCTAAGCAGACGGCAGATGGCTTATTGTAGCATCCGGCACCATAATCGGCAGCACCGCCTCGTTCCTCGCATCGCGCACTCTCCTAAAGTCATACGTGACACGGATGACGGAAAACGACAAGCGCTTCGCAGCACTCGCCTTGACCCTGAAACATGACGGCATCAAGCTCCTGATGATGATCAGGCTTTGTCCTCTACCATACTCGCTCTCGAATGGAGCCATCTCTACGATTCCCACTGTACAATGGCCGCAGTTCATGGCAGCGACGGCAGCAGCCAGTCCTAAACTGCTCCTGCATGTGTTCGTGGGCAACCAGCTCGGACGCATTGCCGACAGCGGAGACAAGATGGACGCCAAGACGAAAGCCATCAGTTACATCAGTATCGCCATTGGCCTCATTGCCGGTTTGGCAACGGGCTGGATCATGTACACCAAGACCAAGGCCAGGGCTCAAGAGCTGGAAGCTGAGGAGCGTGAAGCTGCAATCCGCGGCGAGGCACCGGATGGGGACGAGTTCGAAGACGAGGGCAGATACGAGTACTCGGACGACGCTATGGAGAGAGAAGCCACAGAAGCAATTCGCGGTGACGACGGCATCAGTCTGCGTAGCGATCAAGAATATCGCGATGATTTCGACGATGATGCCGAGGACGCTCAGGACTTGGACAAGGTGTTCCGACACGGCGATGGGGACGAGGAGGAAGGGTTTAGAGATAGATCAGGCAGGCACTAGGAGCTGTAGATTGGATTCTCGTCCATCTGGGCCGACGTTGCCGTCGCTCGGGGATTGGTATAATACAAGGCTTGGCAGATCGTCATGTCAACGGAGCCGCGTCTCGGGGCTGCTCGTATTGACAGGAGACACGCATACGCATACCTAACTTTGACCAAACCAAACTCTTCTGTCGTCCAATATGTCTGCTACCATGTCTTCGTACGTGGTGGACGTCATGTGGCAGCTCACCAACTGCTTCAACTGCTTCCCGAGCAATCCGGCGCTCAAGATCAATGGCCGCTCGTACAAGATCCTCCGTCTGCTCGGAGAGGGTGGCTTCTCATACGTCTACCTGGTCCAGTCACCGCCGTCACCAAATCTACATGCTCTGAAAAAGATCCGTTGTCCGTTCGGAGCCGAGTCGGTCGCCCTGGCTCTCAAAGAGGTCGAAGCATACAGCTTATTCCAGCCGCATCCCAACATCATCCACGCCCTCGACCATGCCGTCATTCCAGATCGCAGCGATCCCTCAGCAAAGACCGTCTACATCCTTCTCCCCTACTATCGTCGCGGCAACCTGCAAGATGCCATCAATGCCAACCTCGTCAATGGCGCAAAGTTTCCTGAGCGCAAGTTGATGGTTCTGTTCCGAGGTGTTTGTGAGGCCTTGCAAGCCATGCACAATTACAAAGTCGGAGGTGCTCCGGGTGCTAAGGGTGCACAATCAAGAGCTAGGCGGGTACGAGCCGATGCTGCAAGGGCCGACAGGGGAGAAGACCACGACAGGGACGACGATGATGAGCTGGGCGATGCGGAGCCGCTGATGGAGGGCGAGATCACCATGGCTCAAGAGGGAATGTCTGAAGGCCAAGTCAGAGCATATGCACATCGCGACATCAAGCCTGGTAAGAAACATTGTTTCCAACATGCCGGACATGACTAACCACGTCCAGGCAACATCATGATTTCAGACGACGGCCAGTCACCAATCCTCATGGACCTTGGCTCGCTAGCCCCCTCACCCACGCCCATCACATCACGCGCTCTCGCACTACAAGTTCAAGACACAGCAGCAGAACACAGCACCATGCCATACCGCGCCCCCGAGTTATTCGACGTCAAGACCGACTCCGTTATCGATACAAAGGTAGATATCTGGAGTCTGGGATGTACCTTGTACGCCTGTCTGGTCGGCAAGTCACCCTTCGAGGCCCGTAGCGAAGAGACTGGTGGAAGTTTGAGTCTCTGTGTCTTGGGAGGCGATTGGAGGTTCCCAGACGAGCACAACGCACAAGCAAATAAGAGCAGAGGAAAGCAGAAGATGCCTACCCATGCCGATGCTGCACCAACACACGATGCCCCCATCACTGAGATGATCAAGGATGTGGTGAGGAGATGTTTGAGCATCGAGCCTTCGGAAAGACCAGATGTTAATGAACTGCTCGCCATGGTTGACGACGTTATTGCAGCTCTCCCAGAAGATGGAGATCCGTTGGAGGATTAGCTTCATATGTTGTCTTGAAGTCCTTGCTGTGCTATCTAATGTCTGTATGATACTGAATTCGGAGTCCGTTGCCTGCGTGAGCTGGCTCACTGCAAGAGACTTCCTATATACGCAAGACCATGATCTTTGGAAACTTGGTGCTCGAGAGCGCGTCGAGTCCATTCACTGCATTCTCCTCACTGATGCTCCATCCTACTGGATGCTATATAGAAATGCGTTCACAGAATAGGTAAGAGGATTGGTTGTTATAAAGGCGATGTCATCTAACTTGCTAATCACGACTTTGTCTCTCCAACGTGTTGCGCGTCCCTACCTCAAAAACTCGCGTCAAACTAGAGAACGGACCAGATGTAGATACCGAAAGAGGAAGGTGCGATGCGGAGCTTCCCTTCGCAGCCTAGTGTCATCACGTCGTATATTTACCATACCTTGATGTTTGACACATCTCTTGTCTCCTTCGACCAACACCAACACAATGACTGTCAGAGCTCAAAAATTTACACCCGAGGTATTGCTCTCGGCACCACGCCGTTCAGCAGGTGTACCCAATGCAGACGGTACCTCTGTTCTCTACACCACTAGCACTTACTCTTTCGAATCTCACACTAAGAATGTTGAGCTGAGATGTTTGGATACAAAGTCCAACCAGAGTACATTGCTGGTTCAGGAGAACAGTGCTAGCGAGCCCGTGTGGTTGCCTGGTCAAAAGGACGTTTTTGTCTCCCTCAAGGGCGAGGATAAGGGCAAAACAGCTATTCTCGTTGCATCAACAAAACCTGGTTTTGACTGGAAGGAGTCCACGTATACTGCTGGATCCATTGATGCTCCTGCCAGCAGCTTGAAGATCGCCCAACTATCAGACTCCACTTATGCCGTTGTTCTGGCCGCTCAAAGCTCACCGGATGGATCGTTGTACAATGCTGAAACGGCCCCCAAGACTCATTCCACCGGAAAGCTGTACAAGAGCTTGTTCGTGAGGCATTGGGATGATTACGTTACTCCGCAGAAAAACGCCTTGTGGTACGCTACTCTGACCAAGGCCAAAGATGGCAAGTTTGAGCTGAGCAAGTGGATCAATGCACTCAAGGGTACCGGCCTCGAAAGTCCCGTTCCGCCATTCGGTGGTACAGACAGTTTTGATGTCAGCAAGTCTGGCATCATCTTTGTAGCCAAGGACCCGAAGGTCAACCCTGCATTGAACACCAAGTGTAATGTGTATTACATCGAGCTTGATAGCTTCACCGAGAGAGCTGCTCCAAACCCTTTCGAGTACACGATCCCAGGCTTCAAGGGAGCTAGTACTTCACCTGTCTTCTCTCCTGATAGCAAGAAGGCTGTCTTCTTGAGCTTGTCTACTGCTGGGTACGAGAGCGATAAGTCTCAAATCTTCTTAATCGAGGATTTGAAGAAGGACTCGGTCAAGCGTGTGTTCGATCAAAAGAAGGAGGGCAGTCTCGACAAGAGCCCACAGGTATGTTTCGTGATCTCTATCTAGCTCTCTGTCCGCGACTGACGTGGTAAAGTCTCTCGTGTTCAGCCACGACGGTAAAACTTTGTACTTCACCGCTGAAGACGAAGGGTACGGCCGCCTGTTTGCTTTGACATCTGTAGGCTCTGAAGTCAAAGTGTTGCGCCCGCTCACAAGCACTGGCTCTGTCTCTGATGTACGACCTCTAGATTCAGGAGACATATTCTACACCAGCAGCTCTCTCGTCGACTACTCATCGTACAGCATTATCGAGACCTCGGAGGCTGAAGCACAATCTGTTACGAAATGGACACACTCATCATCCAAGGACGGTTCTTCTCTTGGACTTAAAGCGTCTCAGGTCTCTTCAATCCATACGCCAGCTTCGGACACTACGGTCAACAAGACTGTGCATTCTTGGGTTTACAAGCCATCGAACTTTGAAGAGGGCAAGAAGTATCCGCTTGCACTGCTGATCCATGGCGGACCTCAAGGAGCATGGGGAGACTCGTGGAGCACGCGCTGGAACCCCGCTGTCTATGCAGAACAAGGCTGTAGGTTACATGAACATCGGATGTTTTGACACGACTGACTTTTCCAGACGTGGTCATCACTCCGAACGTCACAGGCTCGACAGGATATGGTCAAGCCTTTACGGACGCCATCAGGTAAAATACGCCCTTCTGCGAAAACCATGTTGCGTACTAATTCGGACATTAGAAAGGACTGGGGTGGCGCGCCATACAACGATCTCGTTAACGTCGTGGACTGGGTCGAGAAACACATGCCCGAAGTCGACATGACTAGAGCAGTGGCTCTTGGTGCAAGTTACGGTGGGTACATGGTCAATTGGCTCAACGGTCACGATCTGGGACGCAAATTCAAAGCACTCGTCTGCCACGATGGCATTTTCTCCTTCGCCGGCGGTCTTCTCGCTACCGAGGAGTTGTACTTCCCATTCCACGTAAGTCAACCGATGGCGAACAACGTGCTGATGCACGCAATCACTAACGAGTTTGTACTAGGATCTCGGTGGTACACCTTGGTACTCTGCATCCAAGAACCAGACTGCCGATGATGCCAAAGATACCTTTGGGCAAACTTCACTGGATGCTTGGACCGAGAACGATCCTAGTCGTTACCTCGACCATTGGCAAACACCTCAATTGGTCATCCACAACGAGAAGGACTATCGTCTTTGTATCTCAGAAGGTCTTGCAGCTTTCAATGTCCTCCAGGCTCGCGGCATTGATAGCCAATTCCTCACATTCCCTGTAAGTCACAAACAGCCACCGAGATTGTCACACCACTGACGTATTCAACCCAGGACGAGAATCATTGGGTCTTGAAGCCCGAGAACAGCTTGGTGTGGCACAAGGTCGTGTTGAACTGGATCAACAAGTATGCTGGTCTACCACCGTACTGTGACGACGATGAAGAGAGTGAAAACTTCTTCGGTGGTTTCAAAGAGGATAAGCAAGAGCTTGTCGAGATGGCTGGTATGGGCAAGCCTGAAACTTGACTTCGAGGTGACGCAAGAAAGTGCAGTACTTCCACCTCTCCTTCGAAAGTGATCTGGACGCAAGATCCCGAACGCAATTCAGGTGAAAGTGATTTCGGGCCATGTACGGAAAGTGCTGCTGTCGAGTGGCTTTTATCCGTCTAATTCTGAGTCGAAGGAGGTGACCCTGTTCATTCGATGAAAAACATAATTCTCCATTCAAATTTCCATCAAATGGAGGAAAAGGTCATCCGTACGCCATGGAAGAACACTAGTGCTCAAAGACATAAAGACACTGCACAGTCACGTATGGCAGGCAAGAGATGAAATTGTAAAATGCTTTTTCGATATAATCTGTAGTAGCAACTCTAGAGCAACACACAGACCCATGACCATCCCCGTTTCCTTGTATACTCCAGTTTCGTCCCAAACTCCCTGTGTTCCCCAACCAAGAAGCTCCCCATGCATGTAAAGAAAACCAAGTGCTAGACCATGACAACTCGAGACCACGTCGTCTACTCGACAGTGACACTCTTGGCCAAGTTTCTAGGGAAATCGACGTTCAGGCCCTCGGCAACGGCAAGCCAGTAGGCCATGAGTTGGAGAGGGATGACGTTGAGCAGACCTTGCAGAACATCAATGGTCTGAGGGACCTCGATCTTGTCGGTCTTGTCGCCGGGAAATTCGGCGTCGTCCTTGCTGCAGATGACAATGGGGCGACCCTTGCGGGCAATGACCTGCTGGTATGCGTTGAGGGACTTGGCGAACAGGCCGTCGCGGGTAAGGATCATGACGATGGGCAGAGATTCGTCGACCAGTGCGAGCACACCGTGCTTGAGCTCACCAGACATGACGGCCTCGCAGTGAAGGTATGAGATTTCCTTGATCTTCAGAGCACCCTCGAGGGCAGTGGCATGCTGGGCGCCACGGCCGAGGAGGAGCAAAGACTTCTGGTTCTTGAACTTGAGGCACAAGTTTTTGATGTCCTGGTCTTGCTGGAGAATCTCCTTGAACTGCTCAGAGATCTTGCCAAGACCCTCCATGATGGCCTCTCTTCTGGCCTGCTTGGACGAACGGTCCTCGCTGAGCGACAGAGCGAACATGACCATGCAGACGAACTGGGAGGTGTAGGCCTTGGTGGAGGCAACACCAATTTCGGGACCAGCGTTGATGTGGACACCACAGTGGGTCATCATGGAGATGGAGGAACCGACAACGTTGACGATACCAACAGTCAGGGCACCGCGCTCGAGACAGTGGCGGAGAGCCAAGAGAGAGTCAGCGGTCTCACCGGACTGGGAGACAAAGACGCAGGTGTCGTCACGGAAGACAGGGGCCTGTCTGTCGAGGAAGTCGGAAGCCAGTTCGACAGAGATGGGGATCTCGGTCAGCTCCTCGAAGATACCACGGACAGCCATGCAAGAGTGGTACGAGGTACCGCAAGCAATGAAGATGATTCTGCGGCAACGACGGATTGTGGAGATGTACTGCTTGAGACCACCCAGAGTGATAGTCTTGTCCTCAATGTTGAGACGACCACGCATAGCGTTGACAATGGACTCGGGCTGCTCGAAAATCTCCTTCTGCATGAAGTGGTCGTAACGGCCCTTCATGATCTCCTGGAGCTCGATCTCGATGGTTTGAATGGCGCGGACGTTGGAAGCGCCAGAGTCCTTGGACAGACGGTGGATGTTCAGCTGACCATCGTGGATGTGAGCAATATCGTCATCCTCGAGGTAGAGAACCTTCTTGGTGTGCTCGACAATGGCCGAAGGGTCCGAGGACAAGAAGAACTCGATGGGCTGAGGAGCGCCGTCCTCGGAGAAGAAAGCGCGCGATTGCGAGCGGTGGAGCAGACTCTTGTCGGGAGGAGCCAGGAGGTTGTTGGCCTTCTTGAGGGCAACGTTCTGGGAAGCAGCTTCGGCGGGGAGAGGGCCAGCATCGCCAAACTCGACATCGACGAAGTCAACCTTCATCTTTCTTTGTGTGCGGACACCAATGACCAGAGGCGAACCCTTACGGGCAGCGACAACCTCAGAGGGGAAGTGGATCGACTTGAGCAACAGACCGAAAGCGCCCTGGAGCTCCTTGATGACGGCCTTGACGAGGGTGGTGAAGTCGATGTTCGGGTGCTCATCGAAGATGTACTTGGCCAGCTTGGCGATGGCCTCTGTGTCAGTCTCGGTCTCGAATACGAAGCCCTTGGTCTCGAGCAGAGCTCTCAGCTCCTTGTAGTTTGTGATGATACCATTGTGAACGACGGCGAACTCCCACTTTGGGTCGGATCTGAGTAGGGGCTGCGTTAGACTGGTGTACGTTTCTGCTGCAGCTCTCTCTTGTTGCATACCTGTGGGGATGGCAGTTGATGCGCGAAGGAGGACCGTGGGTAGCCCAGCGAGTGTGGGCAATACCGCAGTGTGCATCAAAGACCTTTGTGAGATCGGGCTGCTCCTCGTCGATGAGCTGCTTCAGCTTGGCGACCTTGCCGACCTCCTTGAAAGCGAACACCTCATTTCTCTTGTCTCCGTCGATCGCCAGACCAGCTGAGTCGTATCCACGGTATTCGAGACGTGCAAGACCTGCTGTGCGTTAGCCGATTGCGCTTGTCGCAGCCCTTGTCAGAGCGCAGGGGTCGCGTGAGGGCATACCATTCACAAGAGTGTCGAGAATCGTCTTTCTGTCCTTCTCCACCAAGTAATTGACGTAGCCGAAAATGCCACTGTTGCCCATGTTAGCTCGTCCTTGTGCAGTCGTGTCGAGGTTGTTGTTGCGGTCATGGAGCGGAGTGCTTACCACATGTTGACGTGTAAATAGTGATTGAGATGGCCTCAACACCTAGATGTGGAACAGAAAAGAAGATTTGGGCCCAAGGGTCGTGTTGTGATTAGACCAGGCGGATGCAGGAGCTATTAAAAAGCGAAATAGAAGGGTATTCAATAAATCAATGGCGTTGAGGGAGCAGAGGGGGGGAGAATGGGCACGGAAGGGGCAACAGTGAGCTCTTTTAAATAATAAAGCACGGCCCGGCAAGCCAAACACCCCAGGACTCGCTGTTTCTGAGGCAATCGTCGACATGTTTCAGACTCAACAGCCAATTCGAAATCTTCCCTGTTTGTGCCTGCCTGCCTAGCTGCCCTATTCTTCACCAAGCCGCTCACCGTACACAGTAAATGGTACCTTTCAGCCCCATCTACTCTTCTCCATCTGTCTTGTGACTCTCGTGTTCCTGCATATAAATACCGTCGCTGTCCCGGCACGGTGCCACTGGTGAGCCCACCTAGGGCCAAGAGCTCTCCAGGTACTCAAAATAGCCCGCGCGTCGCCCTCCCACATGTCGACCGCTGCGCCCTTCGCCCTGTGATTGACCAGCACGCTCAACCGCATTCGACACGACTTGCTAGCAGCTGTTTTGTTCGGCTGCTGTTGAACCTGTCTTGGTTGTGAACATCTTTCGACCTCAAAGCATTGGCCAAGCTGAGCCTCTTTCGCGCTCGTAAGCTTGCAGCTCGTCGTCACTTTGGAGGGGACAAAAACAAAAACGCTTGTCATTCGACAACAATTGCTGCTGTCGGCGCATCTTTAGGTTGGGCCCGAGGTTTGAAGCTCCAAGCTGCTTCTGTGACTCGTCGACTGCCTTTCACTCTGCAATTGTATCCACAAGACAAAAGTTGCTGCTGTCTCCCCGTCCTGTCGAGTCTATCTGTTCCGTCTAGCAGACGCTCCGTTAAAAGCAATGCCTCCCACCGTCATCCTAGTTCGCCACGCCCAAGCCCGGCACAACGTCCATAATAAGTGCTTCCTTCACCGCTGAGGCTTCCTCAAGACCACCATGCCTGACTATTAGCACAAGAGTATGACATTCCCGACCCGGAACTCTCAGAGCTGGGCCAGCAGCAGTGCCGCGCGCTCGAGCAGCATCTTCGTCAGCATCTGCCGCTTGCCGACAAGGTCGAGCGCATAATCACTAGTCCCATGCGACGCACATTGGAGACCACCACTCTGGGTCTTGACTGGCTTATCAAACGAGGTGTCCCTGTAGAAGCTGATGCTCTCTGGCAAGGTAATTGACCCCTTTTCTCTACTTCTGCTCAACCAAATCAACCCGACTCGCGGTATTGCGAAAAGACTGTATAGCCGTTTCTAGCCTATACACGAGAGCCGATGCAGGGCGCAGCACCGTTGACCGTTGACTTGTTTTTGAGCATTGATGGCATGCATTGATATCGCCCTACATGTCGATCTCTTTTGTTTATACATGCGCTCGTACATCTTGCTGTTGAGCAAGCAATGGAGTGGGCTATACATATTTCCTGGATTTTCGAACGATTCCTCTCGGTGCCTGCGAGTCAGTTGTCTGAGACCTGTTGCGCCATCTCCAGCCCATGACTTGCAGGAGTATAATTTGATATCACCAGGACTGAATTCCACGGTAGCGTACTTGTCGCAATACAGATTGCATTGAGCATGTGGAGTCTGGTCCCCAAGATTATTTTGGCGGCAAAGCACTCAATGAACTGCCTGCCGTAGGACTGATATAAATCTGACTATGGAGCCGCTACCTATATACCCGCATTACCATTGGGAGACACACCATGAAGACTTACCCATGCAAATACCACCCAGACACTCAAGACTAACCTTCAACCCTTCCCAGAAAACTCCGACAAACCCTGCGACACGGGCAGCCCTCTCGCCGACATGAAACCCCTCTTCCCACACATCGACTACACAACCGTCGACTCCCTTTGGCCCTCCAAAACCGGCCCTTATGCCTTCACCCGCAGTGCAACCATCGCCCGCGGCCAATCCTGCCTGCACTCTTTGTACTCTCGCAAAGAAAAAGTGATCGCCGTAGTCTCTCACTCGGGCTTCTTGAGATGTGCAATCAGTCTTTGCAAATACGCTAATGCTGATTATCGTGTTTTTGAATTCAAAGACAAGGCAGAGGGTGAAGAGTTAGAGTTGGTGGAGTGGAAGTTGACGGAGAGCAATGGGGGTGGATTGGGGGAGAGCGAGAAGGGGAGGGCGAAGATTGAAGAGACTGACTTCCCCGAGGAGCAGGCTGAGGAGGTTGAGCAGCAGTTGGGTGGTAAGACTGATGGTGAGGCTGTTAAGGAGGTTCCTGAGAAGAAGTAGAGAGGTAGAAATATAAATTAGAGTTGTGATTGGTTCTATTACACAATACCATTCTTGGATGTGACATTATTGTCCTCCCTGTACTCCTGTGCGCCCAATGATGCTATCGCGGTCTCCACTGTGCTAGACCTTCCTAACAAGACACTTCGTTATGCTAAACCAAAAACCTCTGCTTGTGAAACACTCATCTCCTCTACAATTCCATGTCATCGTCGTCATATGACAAGATGGGGCGCGAGGCAAACCCTCGCTGCTGCTCAACTTGAGCATTCATCGCCTGCAGCTGTTCGAAGCTGCGTGCCTGTGCCCATGATGCCTGTGCATCCTCCATCTCCCTCGGGCGATCATGCTGCTCGACTTGTGACCTCCACAGCCCGCCAGAGCAGGAAGCATACACAGGCTCGCTGTGCGCAGAGTGTGCATAGCCGGACTCCATGTAGGGCTCTGCTTGAGCGTCATCCACCTGTGCACGCATACGCTCTTCATAGCGCAGTGCGGCCAACTGCTCTTCATATGCCAGGCTGGTCTCTTGCTGCCAGTTTCGAGATGGCTGTGGAGGAGAGATGCGCCAGAGCTCGAGCAGGCGCAATCGCTGGTCGTAGTCTGCGTTGGTGAAAAGCTTGACTTGCGAATTGCTCAGCGAGGTAGGTTCGATGTCGTGGTTGCGCAGCATCGATGCCAGGTGGATGGGCGTCATGTTGCCGGTGCTGTTGTCAAGAGGGCTGCCGCTTAGGGGAGAGTCGGCGCGAGGGGTTGCGGCTTGCTGTTGCTCGGGTGCTGGCGAGATGTGCAGATAGCTAGCGGGAGTGTAGTGCTGTGAGCTGTAGTAGATGGGTTGAGTACTGTGGCCGAGGAACTGCTTGTCGGGTGTGGACTGCGGAAGTGTTTGGTTCAGGCTCATGTTGTGGGCAAAGAGCCGAGCCAACTCGTCTTGCTGATACTGCGACATGATGATGATAGTATGTGCGAGGTTCTGTCACTGCTGATTTCTCTAGAACGAGTGTCAGTAGACGGCCTCTCTATCAGAGAAGGCTTTGTTGTACATATTGCAAGTGACGAGAAGTTATGGCTCAGGCAGCAGCGAAAGGTATGGAGGGAGATGCGGAAGGTGTGTTGGCAGATGCGGAAGTTACGTGAAACAGGGACGATATGGAACGAAGAAAAGAAAAAGTCGTGATCGCAGTGCTGGAATTAAACGGACTGGTACTGCTCCAACCTGATGTGTTTCTGCCCAACTGTGCTCCGCCTAGGAGAAGGCTAATATGGAGTGGAAACAAGCGGTGTCCAAGGGGCGGTGGGGTAAATGAGCAATCCAACTACAAGGAGAGTAGCCGCAGAACGTAGCAATAATGAAGAGGAATGGTGGCTACAAGGATCAGGTTCGTGAATGCTAGCAGAGAGATGCAGTGTTGTACAGAAGATATATGGTGGGAGAGGGCGGGGTTGGGAAAAGTTGGTGGGCGGAAACGGATACATGCCATCGTCATCGGCGACGAGGTTTATCCAAGTCACATGGCTCTATTGTTGGACAGAAGCAGGCAAGGAAGGGCGATACTGGTCATTCACGCCTGTGACAATCTACTGACAAAATGCTGTGTTTTTAAAGCAACGCGCAGAAAGGAGACATGTCAATATGTATCTTATTGAGTGTTGTGCATACTCAGAGTAATTAGGAGTGATGGCGATCTTTTGACAAAGTACGGACGATGACAGGGTGACGGCGGTCGGAGCCTTGGCGTGCGTCTTCCGCCGCGAGATGGACGAGCTCCATACGGGAGAGAGCTGCGTCGATACATCACAGACAGAATAGCCAAACACCACATCTTTGCATCTGCGCATCTCCATCTCGCGTATCCCCTTCACTCACTCACTCAACTCAACTCCTGTTGAGCCACCGCTTCTTCTCTCCACCCCCGAAATCTCGTCGCCTTCTCCTTCACACCGTCATCAGCCACAACCATGGTCAGTAAACGCCGCTTCCTGCTGGCGCACAAACTCAGGCTGACTGTTCGTCTCAAGACTTCGATAGGAACGGGCTACGATCTGTCCAACTCGGTCTTCTCCCCTGATGGACGTAACTTCCAGGTCAGTCCTCTAATCAGTATTCGTCGCGAAACGCATCACCTAACGACTAGCCTAGGTCGAATACGCTATGAAGGCTGTCGAGAACGGCGGCACTTGCATCGGTATCAGATGTCGTGATGGTGTTGTTCTGGCACTGGAGAAGCTCGTCACCTCCAAGCTATTGAAGAAGGATGCAAACAAGAGGATAGCCACCGTTGATCGCAACATTGGTGTCGTATGTTCAAATCGGCGCTTTACTATGGTTCTCGTAAGCTAACACAACCATAGGTCTCCACTGGTCTTCTTCCCGATGGTCGCCACTTTGTCACTCGTGCCCGCGATGAGGCCTCATCATGGCGTTCTCTCTACAAGCAACCTATCCCCGTCGCCTCCCTCGCCGACCGCATGGGATCCTACGTTCAAGCCTACACTCTCTACTCATCAGTCCGCCCCTTCGGTATCACCGCCATTATCGGTGGTTGGGATTCTGAGCTCGAAGTGCCCGTCGACGCACAAGTTGGTTCCGGCCCGTCAAGCGGCAGTGGTGGCAAGGTGCCCGATGCAAAGGAGGGTGGTCCATACCTGTACATGATCGAACCATCCGGATCATACTGGGGATACTACGGCGCAGCTACTGGAAAGGGAAGACAAGCAGCCAAGGCGGAACTCGAGAAGTTGAAGCTCACTCCCGACCAAGGCGGCATCAGCCTGGAGGAGGGCGTCAAGGAGGCAGCAAGAATCATCTACGTGGCACACGAGGACAGCAAGGACAAGGAGTTTGAGCTGGAGATGACATGGATCAGCAAGGTCGACGGCCCGACCAAGGGCAGACACGAGGAAGTGCCAAAGGAGATGCTCGAGGAGGCAGAGCGTCTGGCCAAGAAGGCACTTGAGGGTGACGACGACGAGATGGAGGAATAAACCTACCAGTCATGACATGCATGTACGATACCGCGAATGGCGGCCGAATGTTGAAACCAGAGATTACAAGCAGGCAATGTGTGACAGGGGAATGGCTATTTTACACTTTTGAACAAGACTCAATCTAACCAGTCTTAAATAGACCGGGGCCCGTGTCGAAGCGGGAGTTGTCGCCCAGCTTCTGTCTCTTCTCGACTCTGTTGTCGACGGCACCCCAGTTGATAGACTTCCACCATTCAATCAGGTACTTTGCCTTTCCATCCACACCATATTGAGGCAGGTAGCAGTGTTCCCAGGTGCTGACACAAAGAGCAGGGGTGATGAGTTCAGTGCCTGGAGGAAGCTTGGGAGCTTCTCTTCCACGAGCGGATGTCGAACCGAAAGAACCAGCCGAACCATTGTAACCGATTGCCGTGTTCTGGTCGACGCCCTGTTGGCGGTAAATGGCCTCGGGGTATGGAGTGCCGGCATTGTAGGTAGTCAAGATTCTGTATTCGGGCAGAGAAGAGGTGTTTCCAGCGGACGAGGTGGCGCGGTGCTTTGCTTGGACCAGCCAGACGAAACCAGGGCCGGTCATTGCGTTTGCGGTGGTCAACATTGTCCTCCAGAGGGTGTCGATGCTGCCGAAGGACTTGATCAGGGCGTCTCTGAGGACGGGGTATTGCTCAAGACTGTTGTTTTCGAGCGAGGGTGACAGCGAGTCGAAGAAGAAGTGCGTGTTGTGAGCCATACTGGCGGCGGCGAAGACGGAGGCCATGGTGGGGTTGCGCGCGAGGGAGAGGACGAGCTGCTTGGTTGTAGAGTTTTCGTGGTCGGTGCCTGATTGGAAAAGGACATGTTAGAAGAGTGGTCGGGCATGTCGCGCGGTGGTAATGGTGTAGCAACCTTTTGTGGCTTTGTTCAATCGGTCGACGAGGAAGGCCATGTTTTTGTTGTATGCAATGTCATATGATTCTTCGTTGAGGAAGCCAGCGACTCCCTTCTCCTCAAACTCTTCCTTGTAAATGAGGTTGGGGACCTCGTGGAGTGATGTCGGTATTGAGGCATGGAATTGTCTCGCCTGCGCCGATGGTGGTAAGTAATTGGACATGGTGTATCGACAGACTGGGAGGACATACGCTGGCGCGCGAACCAAGCAAAGGAGCCCATGCGCTTCTTGAGCGTGCTAGTCTTTGTAGAACCATTGTTGGAATGCTGTATATATGGCGACGGCGAGGTCAAAAGTCTCGAGGGCGCTGTATAATTCGCGATCGCCGGACGGAGAATTCCGATATGCAATCGCCGGAGGTTTGTGCTACTGCCTCGAACTATGATTGCAACGTCTTGGATTTCGGATTGGACTTTGTGAAAGGATAAGCAGATATCGTCAGAATATTCCCAGCTACGTATTCTTCTCGTGTCGAATGCAATGGGCGGTAACCAGCATGCGATGGAGGTGCAGGCCGGGGCTGCATATGCCGGGGCTGGCTGGCTGGAGCGATTCCGAGACTTGCTTGATGGGCATTGCAATGTCTCGACCCGCTTGACAAGTACTCCAAAATACACCATCTATTTCTGTTCCGACTCTGCAACCATGCCGCATACTTGATACGCCCACACAACCAACATTTATCCGCCTCTAGCGTGTTAGCCCTCGCATATCCTCTCTTTGGCAGCTTAGAATCTTCGCAACAACCCCTTTCCACTCTCGCACATCGTCACCTTCGACAAAATGGCTAGTACAGTCACTAAGAGGCAGCAGGCTCGCAACGAGCGCATGCTGCAGGATCTGTTGAAAGTCTCTGGAAACGACAGATGCGCCGATTGCGCTGCCAGGAACCCAGGTGAGCAAGCCTGAATAGAGACAAATTCTTCTGGAACTTGCATGCTGACATTGTACTAGCATGGTCGAGTTGGAGTGTGAGTACCACTCACTTGCGTGTCGTGTGCTTTTCTGACAACAACAACAACAACAGCTTGGAATCTTTCTCTGCATGAGCTGCGCCGCCATCCATCGCAAAATGGGCACTCACATCTCAAAGGTCAAGTCGCTGAGCATGGACAGCTGGTCCCCTGACCAGGTCGACAACATGAAGCGCGTAGGAAACACGACATCGAACCGCACCTTCAACCCGCAGAATGTCAGGCCCGACATTCCTGCCGATGCTGACGAGGTCGGCGGTGTCATGGAACGCTTTATTCGCCAAAAGTACGAGCACAAGGCCTTGGTTGGCTCAAGGCCTAGAAGTCACACGGTCGGGGGCGCCAGTGTCAGTTCGACCGAAGGAGTCCCACCACCGCTGCCGCCAAAGCCTGGCAAGAAGTTCGGCTTCTCACTCGGAGTCCGCTCATCTTCGGCCACTCACCAAAAGTTCACACCTCCACTGTCGCCCGCCTTGACTGGTAGTGACAGGAGCTCGACGCCGCCTGCTGGAAGGATGAACAAGCAATCGCGTGTGTTTGGTTCGGCTGTTGGCAATCAAGAGGAGGAGACATTCGACACGAAACTGGCATCGCTTAGAGAGATGGGTTTCCCAGACACACGCCGCAACTCGATGGTTTTGAAGAATGTGAACGGGAACTTGGACAAGGCAGTCGAGACGCTTGTGCGCTTGGGCGATAGCACGTCAGGGGCTCATGGTACTTTGACACCCATGTCTGGTAGTACGAGTGGCTCCAACGCAAACGGCCTCTACATTGAGAAACAGAGAGCACAGCCAGAAAAGGCTGCTGCCTCGACGAACCCCTTTGATGCACTGGATCTACAGCCTCCACGTCGTGCCTTCACTCAGCCCGCTCTCTCGACTGCAGCTCCGCAACCTTCATACAATCCCTTCCTCCAACCTCAACCTCAAAGCTCGGCGCAGCAACCCCTCCAAAACTCTTTTTCGGCCATGCAAATTTCCGCTCAACAGCCTCAGCAATACCAGAACAATCCATTCATGCCTCAGCAGATGCAACAACCCCTACAGGCACTTAACTACCCTCCTCAGGACACACAGCAATACCAGCAGCCCCAGGCACCCTCTAACCCCTTCTTGAGGAAAACACAGTCTCAAACATTTGCTCCTTCGAATCCATTTGGCATACAGTTATCAGCTGCTCCTCAAAATCCATGGCTGGCACAACCTCAAGGTCAGACACCACAGGCACAATCGCCTGGTGCATTCTATCAGCCTCAACAGGACTTCTTCTCCGCCCAATCACAGCAACCTCAATACCAACAGCAGCCCCAGCAGACCCAGCAGCAGCAGAACCTCTGCCAACAACAGCCTCAGCAGCTCGCTCCTCAACACACCTCGAACCCCTACGCGAACATGTCATCTCAACCCCAAACAAATCCTTTCCAGGTGCCTCAATCCAGTCAACCGGAACCCTATCAATCCTACCAGTCTGCTCAGCAGCAACAACAGCAGATGCCTCAACAAGAGCAACAGTTGTACCCACATCCCACTGGTCGCTACGGTAAAATGGACATCATGGCCCTCTACAGCCACCCTCAACTAGCGCCCTCAAGGCCCCTGCAATCTCTTCCTGAAAACAGTATGGCTCCTCCAATGATGCCCCAGCAACAAATGCAGCAGCCACCGCAACGAAGTGTCACCATGCCGGTTGGAAGCGGCAATATGAACCCCTTCGGCTCTGGCTTTGGAGCACCCCAACAAGAGCACCAGGCCACTGCAGGTGCTAGACACGTCAGCCAAGAAAGCCGAGATTTCGTGGGTATGGGAAATGCGAGACCCCATAGTCCTGATGCGTTTGCAGGTTTGAGCGCGAGGTATGCTCGTTAAGTCTTGCTCCATCTCTCGTCACTTCCAAGATATACCCGTGATTCTGTTTTTGCTCTGGACGTCTATCTTGTGTTTCTTGTCTATTGGGCAGCAATGGTCTACGAGGAAGAGGCACAATATCCTTGATTCACCTTTCCGTATACCGCCCTTTTGGCTGCTTCTTCTTCACCTTCTCTGTTTCAATTGGGCTTTGCCTCTTGGCCTTCGTCTGGCGAATCCCTATTAGGAGATGTTTTCACCTTCCTTTTTCATACCATTACCCATTCTTGTACATATACCTGCTCTTCCGTTCCTTCCTTCTGCATACAGCGAAATCACAAGGACTCTTTGGTTCGTCCAGCATTCGGCGTTCCTCGAACCAACGTTTATCAATTTCGTATCTTTCTTTGTTCAAAGTGGAATCTGCTTCGATCGTGCACCCTTGCTATTTCTGATGTGCTGCTGTTTCAGGGCATGCGCCCACTCCTTCGAAGCCCAAAGCCATTCAAATACTATCTTCTCCTCGGTTCGACGCACATGGCGTTGAGACCCATAGTTTCTCGAAAAAGACGTGATTGATTATCGATCAGATCTCGGATGGAATTTCCCCGGAGAGAGAGTCCGTCACCTTCAATGACGTCGCGTGTGAAGCCCTAAATAGCCCTCGTCTACCTATCTTAAGTATTTATCTGATCCTCTTTCCCCTTCCTGAGGTCAATAACATCTATCTGCCTATCACGAAGTCATTCAAAATGGTCAACATCTTCATTACAGGAGCCACTGGTTACATTGGCGGCGATACTCTGTACGAGCTCTACCACAAGCATCCCGAATACTCATACACTGCTCTGGTTCGCACGGCCGAGAAGGGCAAATCTGTTACAGACAAGTTCCCAAAGGTCAAGACTGTTCAGGGAGACAACGACAGTAGTGACTTGCTGAAGGAGGAAGCTTCCAAGGCTGACATTGTCATCCGTGAGTCTCTTTCCTCTCGCCCAGTCATTCGGTTATACTAATAGTAAGACAGATACCGCGGATGCTTCTGATCACGAGGGAGCTGCAAAGGCCATTGCCGAAGGTCTTGCCTCGGGCCACAATGCCTCCAAGCCTGGATACTGGCTACACACCGGAGGAACTGGTATTCTGACATACTTCGACTCATCAGCGGACAAGCTAGGCGAACACACGGACAAAGTCTTTGACGATTTGGACGGCGTAGCTGAGTTGATCGGTCTCCCCCAGGAAGCATTCCACAAGAACGTTGATCAAATCGTCATCAACGCCGGTACAAACGCCTCTGGTGCTATCAAGACTGCCATCGTATGCCCCCCTACCATCTACGGCGATGGCCGCGGACCTTCGCTCACCCGTGGCCGCCAAGTCTACGAACTCGCAAAGACGGTGCTGGAGATTCAAGCTGCTCCCATCATTGGCGGCGGCAAGGCAATCTGGAACAACGTCCACGTTCACGATCTAGCCCGCGCCTTTGTCCTCTTGGTCGAGGAAGCAGCAAACAACAACACTGATCCCAAGCTCTGGGGCAACAATGGCTACTACTTTACCGAGAATGGCGAGCACGTATGGGGAGATTTGAGCAAGGTTGTTGCCGAGAGTGCTAAGCAGCAGGGTTTGCTCAAGGAAGTCAAGAGCGAGCAGATGGATATGGAGACGGCCAAGAAAACTGCCGGGTTTGAGGCTATCAGTTGGGGATGGAACTCGAGGGGTAAGGCGAGAAGATTCAAAGAGGTGTTGGGTTGGAAGCCCCAGGAGAGGAGTATTGAGGATGAGGTGCCGACGATTGTTAAGAATGAGCATCAGAGGTTGCAGCAGGAGAAGAAGTAGAGTGGTTGTCTACTGCTCAGCTCACATCTGAACGTATGAGAGCATATAATATCAAATGAAACAGACTCACAGTACATGGCCATTCGAGAGGACGTAAAGATGCGAAAAGGGCCAGCAGGCCGTCTGATTTTGAAAGTAATGTACAATCGTGGTATGCCGATACAGAAATTGCCCCCTCATGTAATAACGCCGGTTTTGTGCAGATTGAGGTCGAAGAAAAGAAGAAAGACCAGGCCTAGCTAGTTCTTGGGCCACTTCTTCCAGCCTCTTCCGTGACCTCTCTCCTTCCAGTGACGGATCATCTCGGGCATATCAACCATAGCCTTCTCACGCTTGTCCAATCTGCCCTTCAGAGTACGTTCCCACATCTTTCCCTTGACCTTCTGGCCAACACCGGTACCCTTGACGCGGAGACCGTGTTCGGCGCGGCGACGAGCGACCTCGTCGGGCAGTTTGTGCGTGTATGGTAGCAAAGAGACGACGTTGTGCTTGATTGCGAGCTTGATGATCTCGGATTGCTTGCGGAGAGAGAAAGAGGCGGGCTGCCACCTTTGGGTGATGGGGTTCTTGAAGGGCATGAAAGGGTTCTCGGGTTTTAGGGATGGTTCGGGGACAGCGTCTTCTGAGATTGAGGTGGGCGTGTTTGCATTTGCATCGGCCGAGGAAGTGTTGGCGGCAATGGTTGTCGAGGCGGTGGTAGATTGTGACAGAGCGGGCGGAGGGTAGCGCTTGAAGAAGTTGAGAAGTCGCGGGGGCAGCGACTGTGCGAGTCGCACATGCTCTGGGTTGATTGTAGCCATTGTGATTGTGCTGTGTCTGCTGACCTCGTCGGCGCGGAAAGAGCGATTCGATGTTTCGACAATAGATTGGAGAATCTACGCGGAGTTTGCCGTTCTCCGGGGCCGCAAGCTCTCTCAAGGCGGCGGCGGCCATCGGCGTCATGCAGCGCCCGGCCGGTATGCTTGAGTTGCAACAGCTTGACAGCTAGCTAACAACCATTCAGTCCGACTGCCTTTTCAACTCGACCCTTCTGCATTCGTCATTCTTCAGGTCGTGCCTTCCTTGTCGACCTCTCATACCGAAACCACTCACCTCTTTGATCCTCGCCTGATCCTCTCGTCACAACCATGGTGAGTAGCCCATACCATTACTACCACGAATGCACTCAGCTGATCATCACCATCTAGTCCAACCCTTTCTCAATAAGTCCGTCGCATCCTCATAACCACACGTCCTTCTCTCACTGATAACCTCAACAGATGGCGGTGCCTGTGTTGCCATGGTCGGCAAGGACTGTGTCGCCATCGCCTGCGATCTCCGCCTCGGTCTCCAAGCCTTGACCGTCTCCAACAATTTCCCCAAGATCTTCAACTACGGCGACGTATACCTCGGCTTGACTGGTCTCGCCACTGATGTCCAGACTGTCAGCGAGCTGTTCCGTTACAAGGTCAACATGTACCGCCTGCGCGAGGAGCGCCAAATCTCGCCCCAGACCATGGCCAACCTGGTTTCATCTTCTCTCTACGAGAAGCGTTTCGGCCCATACTTCATCTCTCCCGTCATTGCTGGCATTAACCACACCACTGGAAAGCCCTTCATCTGCGGCTTCGACAGCATCGGTTGTATCGACTTTGCAAAGGACTTCATCGTCAGCGGAACCGCCAGCGACCAGCTCTTCGGTACTTGCGAAGGCTTGTGGGAACCCGATCTTGTACGAACCGTCACATCTGCGCCTGCAAGAGCCTTGAATACTGACATGCATATTAGGGCCCCGAGGACCTCTTCGAAACCATTTCACAAGCTCTGCTCAACGCTGTCGACCGCGATGCCCTTTCAGGCTGGGGAGCACACGTCTACATTATCGAGAAGGACAAGGTCACCAAGAGGCTGCTCAAGGGTAGACAGGATTAGACCATACTGAACCGGGTGCGAATTAGACCGCGGTCGATAAGCGTACGTACGTATTCTGTACAACACGAAGGAGGGCATTGGCATTGCGGACGGCGCTCAGGAGTTGAAAGGCCGCCATCACATGTGCGGCCGTCACGTTACGTCTTTCTTAGGTTCTTCTCATGAAATTTCACGGCCCAAATCATGGCTTTCTCAACCTTTTCCCGCCAACCTTCTTTCTCGCTTGTTGCCTCTCACTTCCGCCGACCTCTTCTTCGTCTCTGATCAGTCAAGAAGTCACTCGGTTCATCGGTGTGTATGCGGCGTCGTTCGCCAACTGTTGAGAAGTACGTTTTTCTATGAGATCATGCAACTAACAAGTCGCTACCACAACCTTGTGAGTCGTTCATCGCCTCTCCTTGCCCGTTCTAGCCGCCTGGCCTGAATTTCTCGCACTGAGTTGCGCCAGCCGACCAAGCTACCATTTGTGAGGTATGTGTGGTTTTGCATCCGGCGGTTAACAGGACAGCGCTTATCGGAAATTCTTCCCTTTCTACTTTTCCGCTTGCGTTGCACTCAAGCCTTTGACGGGCAACATATATCGTTGGTGGCACAATTCAAGTACTGCTGTTGGTTGTGGTCACGCTTCGATGATGCCTGTGAGCACCGGACTGCGAGTTAGTTGCTACCTCTTGCCATTTCTTGCACCACCACTAAGGGATTATCGATGCCTGTACCATGTATTGCCTGCTCTGCGTCGTAGATCTGTCCGCTTTTGTCGATCGTTGCAACATTTGAGTACAGTATGCTATACCGTCCTTTGACTGACAAGCCAGGATGTGGTCGGCCTTTCTGCCTCTACATATCGGTACAGGCAACAATCGGAACAATCGGACTACCTTCTACATGCAGCGCTCAGGTGACTGATCTTGCATGCTGCCATGGCATGGGCATACAACCTTTCTATGGTCGCGCATATGCACATGTCGTGTCAATCAAGACGTGGTCCGGCTGGACGGCTGCACCATGCAAGAGTATTCAGCTCTCTCTCCTTGAGCACACCTCACTCACTGTGGGTGAACTACCTTCCGTGCCCTCGGCCTAGTCCCTCTAACCTGTCAAGCTTTTGCGAAGACCAACACACCCAGGCTACTCCACCCCTCCCAACAACCAATATTGCGAATCTGCCCCTCTTGGCTGTCTGTGGGTGACGATGGAGATAACTTCTATCTGGCCGTATGCTGTAAACTTTACCGTCCCTTTGGAAAAACATAGACTATGGTAACACCTTCCTAAGCTATCAAGGCAACAGCGAGTTGCTCTGTTGCCGTTGGTGAGGAGTCTTCGTTGCATCTTCCACGTATCAAGGCTTCATGTTCATTGACAGTAGTGGTGATTTATAGGTGCTGCTTTCCTCTTCTTCCAGCCTTTTGTAAAACAAAGACACTTGGACGACGGTATTCGCTCCTAGAAAGCATCATCTACTCCGATTCCTACCTGGACAATATCGTACTTTTCTTTGAACCTTTCAGTCTATTGATTCAAACTTTTGGTTTGCTTCCAGAGTTGTAGCAACATGACTACATCAAGCGCACCTCAGACAGAGGCAGCCCCTCAGCCAGGCCCATCGTGAGCATGATCCCAGAGTGGATATCCATATTTGATAAAACAGGTTTCTGACAGGATACAGTCGCATTGTGACTGCTGTACAGACCGGACTGGCCTACGATGTCGGAGAGCTGAGCCCCAACTCCCAAAAGAACGCCGCAGAAGGCCTCCGCAACGACAGAATGTCAATGGTCCGCTGCTACGAGCGCGACGACGACTTCCACTTTGAACTCCAAGAGCGTATCCGTGTCACTGTCCCTGACGAAGGAGCCCCGACTTGCTCGACTTGTCCTGACGACCAAGGTCGTGCCTGCCGCCACATCTGGTGGGTCAACGATCAGATCTTGAGTACCGTTATTCCCGGGCAAGCTCGATCTCATTTCCAGTATCAAATTTCTCGTGATGGACAGGCTGTTCGGAGGGCTGATGAGCAGGAGCCTTTGATGTTTCATGGATTTTTGAAACAGGGGGGTCTTGAGCGTCTTGCGAGGCTTGGTGGTTGGTGGAAGCAAGATCCCATGGTTCAGCAAGATGTCAGAGAAGTTGAAGAGACGGTCACGCGTACCCTTTCGACCTTTGAGCCTTGCGGTGTGCTTTCCAAGCAACACGGTCAAGATAACTTTGAGATGTTGCAGCAGGAGTCGCAGTAAGTTTGTCCTTTGCCACATTCACTCTCGTTTCGTCTGACTTTCGTCGCAGAGCACTCTTTGCACGATACAAGAACGAAGTGATCAGACAGGTCCAATCTCAGCCCTTCCTGCTCATCGCTCTGGGCGCAGCAGTCCCCGAAGCCTCGCGAGCCCTCTTGCATCTGACCAAAATCCACAGCCGCATCGAGCGCATCTTCTTCGACTACGGACTCTGGATGGCGATGCGCACGCCCGAAGACAGCAACCTCGAAGCCACTTCCATAGCTCTCCACGATGAGATGACCTACTTGCGCTCGTTTGTTGTCAGCCACAATCCTGCCACCATGGCTGTCACTATGCAACTCAAGGTTGCTGGCATCTTGCTGTATACTCTGGAGCAATTGGTGCAGTATGCAGGAGATATCCAGCAAAATGCTGTGGTGACTATTCCTCAATACTCTGGTCTTGGACTCCAGGATAGAAGTTTGTTGCATAAGATGATTGATCCTAGATCTCCTGAGATCTTCGTACTCAATATTCTGAGGACACTCGGTGAAGAGGTTAGGTATAGCAAGATGATCCAGGAGAGAGTTGAGGCTTTGGCGGATAAATTGAGGGAAGGAGATGAGCCTTGTCCGGCGAGGTATATCGAGTTATTGGAAAAGTTTGTTGGGCTTGACGGGTGATTGTTGGAAGATGAGAGGTTTCTGGTGGTCGCGCTGACTTTTCTTGTTTCCTCTTGCTTCATTTGTTCTTTTCCTATTGTCTCTCGTTGCAGCCGTGGAGGATCGTTTTTTTCTTGCCTCGATCTAATATGATTGTTTCTTTTGTCTCTAGGACATGAGTGGTCCGTGGCCTTGGGATTGAGCTTGCCTTGTCAATCGAGCTTCTCTCATACGTGTCAAGATGACGGCGCTTCAGATGCGTCGAGCTGTTCCTTTCGTGCTCTCATTGCCTTCATGTTTCTGACGTCTTCGTAACCTTCGGGCATTATCTTGTTCCAGTCTGGGCTCTCTGATGGCACATAGCAGCTTGTGCAGAGGTAAACGTCGGGGTCGACCAGACTCTGCCAATGCAGCTTTCCGCCTCCGGTCCTTGTAAACTTGCAACCAGCACAATGATGCTCGGTCTTTTCATCGTAACGAATGGGGCGGTGTGTCTTCCAGGGCAATTCTTCTCTCACCCACGGTGTTCTCACCCAGTTTCTGATTTTAGCACGCATCGAGTAGATCTCGTCATGTTTTTCCTTGCGAGCGTAAATGGCTTTTCGATATGCCAGTCGCTCTGCGCGCCATATTGGATCATTCAAGTATCGAGAAGTCGGCCAATAGAAGTCTTCGGGTTGCTGTGTCGCTGCCCGGTCGTTGAAGCGTTCCTTGTTTCGTTTGTAACATACCCTGTCGCGAAATCGTGTTCTATCGGTCGCTATCCAGAGTTTCTGATGTGCATGGCAGAGAGAGAAAGGTCGTGTCAGAGATGGCGTCCAGAGTGGTAGGTTAACCAAGCCTTTTGGTCTCGACAGAAGTGATTTCATGATCACAGACATGACGGCCGTCGCGGACAAAAGTGAGTTCTGTGATTTTGCCAGTGGTATGTAGATGTCCAAGTGTGCACGTGTTTGGCAGACAAAGGAAGGCCAGACGTCCCGTCGCAGGATTCTTTTGCATTTAATCATTTCTTGCAATTCCGCCGCCAAGGCTTTATTTGGGCGGCGTCATTCGTTCGTGGCCTTGCAGCAACTTTTGAGTCACCAACACCACACCCCCTCTGGCTACCCGTCCGTCGTCTCTACACCACCAAACGCACTCTTTGAACCAGACAGACACCGCAATCATGGCTGATATTGTCAGTAACCCCGGGCGCATATACAGACAAGGGGAGGGAGCAGTGGCTGATGGGACTCTAAAATACAGGAAGAGCGCAAGCCGCGCAAGTCGGTCGCCTTCAGCGAGGGCACCACCATCGTCGACAGCAACGGCCAGGTCACCGAGGCCACCGAGCAGCACGGCGACAAGTCGAGCGCCGAGAACCACTCTGCCGGTACGAACAAGAAGCTCCCCGCAGCAGACCACGCACAAGAAGAGGACCCCAGCTCACCACCGCCCGCATCCACAGAAGGAGGTGTCGACGAGATGACCGCCATGTTCGAAGGCCTCGCCAAGAAGAAGAAGAAGTCGTCATCCAAGAAGGAAAAGTCGGCCGACGACGCAGAGGCCCCCGCCGCCGACGCCGAATTCGACCCCTCGGCCCTCAAGAAGAAGAAGAAGAAGGCCAAGAAGACCGAAGACGATGACTTTGAGGCCAAGCTGGCCGAGGCCGGCGCCAACGAGGAGGCCAACGACGACGAGCCCGTCGTGCAACAATCCACCAGCCAGGAGGGCGATCTGGAAAAGGGAACCGGCATCTGGCAGCACAGCAACACCACACCCATCGAGTACCCCCTGCTGCTCACCCGCTTCTTCTCCCAGCTCAACCACCACAACCCCGATCTTGCCTCTAGCGGCGGCAAGTCGTACAAGATCCCTCCTCCTCAGTGCTTGCGCGAAGGAAACAAGAAGACCATCTTCGCAAACATTTCCGAAATCTGCCGCCGCATGAAGAGAACCGACGAGCACGTCACCCAGTTCCTCTTCTCCGAGTTGGGTACCTCTGGTTCCGTTGCTGGTCAGGGTCAACTTGTCATCAAGGGTCGTTTCCAACAGAAGCAGCTGGAGAACGTTTTGAGAAGATATATTGGTAAGTTCTTCTACTCTTTCTTTCCAACCTTATCAAGTTTTGTTGCATTTCTGTGTATCTACCAACAAAAAAATGATGATGCAAAAGAGCTAACAAAGACACCCAAAACAGTCGAGTACGTAACTTGCAAGACCTGCCGCTCGCCGGATACAGAGCTCAACAAGGGTGAGAACCGTCTTTACTTCGTCACCTGCAACTCGTGCGGTTCCAGACGTTCCGTTTCTGCCATCAAGACTGGTTTCTCGGCCCAGATCGGCAAGCGCAGAAGACAGCAAGCTTAAGCGGGAAGAAAATTCGTCACGTCCTTCATGCCTTACTTTTTTCTCCATCGTTCACTCGATTTCATACCAAAAGATTTTCTTGCTCCTCTCTTCTATCTCAATGGCAGCGTTATGTGGAAGTGAATCCTCAACTTGTCCAGCCTGGAGATGTTGGTGCGGCGCTTGACCTCATTGTCAAACTCGTCTTCCAAGAAGCCGGCCTGCGGATCGGAGTCAATCACCTGATGCCACCCTGTGGGAACAAGGGGAGTTTTGACAGGAAGTTGTATCAGAGACGGGGCACACTCGTCCTCGAAGCTGTTTTCGCGTAGAATGAGACACAGGTCGCGTTGGAAGGGACGACAATTGTAATGGAACGTAGTAAACAAATCGCTTTCATGGAGTCGGTGTTGCAGGAAACAGGTGATGCAGTAGTGTGCCAGTGTCTTTGTGATTTCATTTTCGTTGGGAAGGTGTTCGTATGCGTAGGCCAGTGCTTTGCAGAGGTCTTTTGGCGGGCCTGGGTAGCTGGTTGAGAGCTCTAGTTCGAGGAATATACGCGCTTTGACCATCGTTTTGAGACTGGCGATATCGTAGGTTGATGCGAGGTGGAAGATCTCGATGTGTAGCAGGGCAGACATCTGGTCGTGGAGGCAATCGTTAGGTACGTAGTGTTCACATGTGTAGATGTGTCGTAGCATGCTCAGCACAGCTGTTAAAGAGACGTCTTGTATCGAGTACTTTGGTCCAGCCCTCGATTCCTCGAAGCTGAATGACAGAATCGGCGCTACCAACTCTATCGTGGCGAGATCCAAGTTCTTGAGCACCGTGGCCTTTTGTGTGTGCGGGTCTATGACCGTGAGAGTGGCATTGCCGCCTTGAGCGTGCGAGTCCAGGAAGGACATGTCATCCATCGTTTGTCTCTCCTTACTTTTGTCGAGGGCAGGCAACGGTGGATCGGCTATATAGCTGTCCACTGCATCTGGAAGGTTATGACTCCCATAGTTGGCTACCAACCGTCTGACACGATCCTCGGGGTCGGTCTCGTTTCTTATGCTCTCCAATTCGGCATCGTGTGTTTCGTTATCAAAGCGATCTCTGATGATAGGAGTGTCCTCAGAGTCTGATGCACTGTCCAAAGACATTCTCAGTCGTTGGCGTCCAGAGTGAGTGAGGCGTATGTTCTCTGCTATGGCGTTGTATCGTTGGTCTTCCATACGCTCTCGTGCGAGCATGTTGTCTCGGGAGTATGGATCGCTGTCCCGCAAGCCTGAATGATGCTCGAGAGCTGCTGCATGGTATTGTCGTACAGGATCGGCCGTATCTAGTGGGTCGGCGAGGCGTCGTTGACGAGAGCGTTCGAGAGACACTGCATAGCGACCCCAGTCAAAGCCACTGGTACGGGCGGTTGATGTCTGCGGCAAGGTGTCGGGAGGAGGGGGGAAACGCTGCTCCTCGTTGAAAGGGTCTTCATCTTTCCATACGCTCAATCTGGCGTCGAGCTCGAAGAGAGCGTGTTTGTTGGTCAATTGACGCAGATGCTCTCTTTCGGGTGAGCCGGGCATGGTTTTGTGGACAGATTGGAGCATAAAGGGTTTCATGGTAGTGGTGTTGAAGGAAAGAATGGAGATATTTGAAGAGAACAGAAAGAGAAAGAGCTGTGGATTGTGGCATGGCCGCAATCCTTCGTACCTACGGATGTGCAGCTAGGCAGCCGTCAGGGTGGTTCAGGTGGTGCATGTGATCAGGATGCCGCTCGAGCTACCCAATGAGCTCGACTTCCTTCACCAACAAAGTACTCGGTGAGCCGTTCCGCTGTAGGCACCACGTCTTGACGTCGGTCGAATTCCATAAAACCACGTCTCCAATGAGACGATTGTGCTTGAAGACACGGTGGCTAGCAGTGCTGTTTTACACTTTCGGCTGCCGCGGCGGACTCGACAGGGTTGCGGCTGAAATATATACAGGGAGTAGCGTGAGATCTCGTCAAGCCACCGTAGATCTGAGCGGACAAGACATGTGCAGCGATTGACAACTTGTCTCTGCAAGATTCACTCCAGGTATCTCGATGCTGGCAACTATTTGTATTCGAGGTACTCGAGGCATTTGATCGCAGAGGCAGACCGCAGGTTGGCCCCTCAATCGCATCTCGAGGATGACGAAGCCTTGGCGGCACCACCGCTACCAACGACGGTTACGTTGAACTAATGTGCATAGCATCCTCGAGACCAACGATTCTGTCATCCTCAGTTGCTTCCCGTATTCGACGAACCACCGTCCAGGACAGTCCCATCACAATCCGAACGTCCTCTCTCCGAAACAGCATAATTGGAGGCGAGCTTCCTTGGAAGCTATACAACCATGGGCTGGTACTCGCTGCTTCCTACGCACCTGAGCGACATTGAAGGCTGGATCTCGAGCATCTTTGTACTTTTCTCCTTTCTTGTTGGAAGCTGAAGATTCCGACTGACAACTCTCGGCATAGATGCTATTAGGCCTTGTGACAATAGGGCCATGGGCTCTCCTCCTCATCTACGACTTCGCCTACTACGTCTACCGCTCCTGCGCATACCATGTCCCGTTCATCGGCGGCAAAGCCCAAGGAAAGAGACGACCACGAGCACCGAGCTTGACTCAAAGACCTAGCGGTCGTAAGCGTGACGCTCCGAATGTGCCCATACCTCCCTCCACGGCCATACACCAACACGAACTCGCTCCCGAGAAGCGTTCGTATGAACAAAGATAAAGCGGTGGACCAATGCTCTCATTGACCTTCAGCCTGCAAGTCTGGCTGTTCTGCAGGAACACAACGCAAAGGCATCAAGACTGGCTCAAATTTTGATTGAGGCCTCGATGGTCACACTATCATTAACCCCCATTCTACTGCTCTCACGAGGAAACGACTATCACGAAACGAAATCAATCCAATCTTTAAGCAAAAATGCCGTTTGTCGCATGTCATTCATTTCTCTTGTGACAATAATATCTCAATTAACTAAACAGCTGCTTCGCCAGCCTTCTCTCTGAACCAATTCCTCAACCATACTCCTTCGGCAGAGTCATGGATGTTCTGGCCTCTAGGTCCTAACAGCATGAAGAAAGAGTGGTACTCATCCAGCAGTTGCTGTCGCCTCCTCTCAAACTCATCGCCATCGAACTTGTCCTCCCATCCACAATCCTTGAACAGTTGACGCTTGAGGGTAAACATGTTCTGCACAGCTCTCGCAACCTCCACCTTTGCGTTTGATTCCATTGGTGGTGCAGGAGGCGGCGCCGGTACTTCTGGAATGGGACAACCATATTCCATTGCTGTGTTGCGTAGTTGTTGAGCGCTGGCATGTCGCATGGATAGAATCTTTTGTCGTAGTGCTTTGTTGTCTGGCGCATTCTTCTCTACACCATCCAGCACCATCCCTATGCCCCAACCTTCTGGTAGCACCTGTCGGGTTGGAGAATGCTCGAGCGAGATTTGGTGCTCAGTAGCCAGCTGCTTAAGTTCGCGTGTGCTTAGAGAACCCGATTGCTCTCGACCCCTCAGGGCAGCGTTCAATGCAGGGATTCTCATTCGTGCCGCCTCGATGTGGCGACTTAATTTCGTGTGCTCGGCCTGCAACATTTCTGACTCGCCGTCGTATTCTTCGTAACGATTCGTTGCGCCTACGCCAGCGAGAAGGCTTGGTCGTGCGTGGATGTTGAGGACCTGGTAACATTCGCCCTCGTCACGCCATGGGATCCAGTCCAGACTGAGTAGCTCGTTGCGTAGAAGATCCCAAGATTGCTCTGTTGCTCGGTTGGGTTGGTGTTCGTATTCTGTGCTTTCGCTCTTGGAGGCCCAGCGTCTCATCCTTCCTACAGATATACTGTCAGCTACTGAAATAAGGGTTGTTTGTATGTTTCTGACTTACTGTCTCTTGTGTCATACAAGTACTCTGTGCCCCAGTCCCTGTCGCAGAATGTGATTTTGAACGCCCATGCTGGCAAACCGGTCTCGCCGCCTCGTAGTGGTTGTCTGGACGTTGCTATCGTATCATCCCATTCGTGACCTTCGAGATATGACATGGCGCCGCTGTCTGGTGCAATCGGTACACCCTCCTCTTGCTCCGACCAGTACTCCAGAGCTTCATTTGATGGGTAGGGTAGCAGTTCCATGAGAGCAATGGCTTCCGGTACATATCCAGCAGCCCTTAGTTGTTCAACGGCCACTGCCGGTTTTCCGGCTACTCCATATGGAGGATATATGACCTCGTCTTCGTGGAGGTATCGCATTTTGATTAATGTTGCGTAGAAGGCGTTCATGCCATTGATGAGGTCGGCATGCTTCTTTGCCACTTCTTGCAGTATCGCGCTGCGAACGTCCATGCTGTCCATCACAGGAGAGTCGCACATTACTTCTTCACGACGAGTCCAGGTGGTTGTTGTGGTAGTGGTTGCCATCCAGTTGGTGGGAGAGTTGTATGTGATGATGTCGAAAAGTCGGAGGTCAGTATGATGTATGTTGGGGTCGATCTGATCGTATGTTCAAAACAATGTCATCAAACTCGTTCACCTCAAGAGGCAAAGGCAAGAGTCTTTGTACATATTGAAGATGCGCCATCCATCCCGCCTTTTGCTTACCGGTCTATTCTTATCGAAACGAGCTATAAGCAAAAGAAAAATGGCGTAGGCACCAAAAACGTTTGTATTGGTCAACGGTTTGCGGGCTTTGTCCCAAAGATCGGAACTCGCATGCGTTATAGATCCTTGCCCGCGCGAGATCTAACTCGATACAGTGGGGATGTTGCGATGCTCGTTTCCAGAGTGGAGCGTTACCGTGACCCGAAGCTCGCAGCGACACTCAACGGGTTAACTGGTTGCTTGCTGTATACGGCACTGTCTGCTGCCTCCACTCAAACACCTCGTGCACGCAAAGTCTCGGAGCTTTGTGTTTACTCAGAGCCTCTCATAATTCGTACAATCACATGGACCTGTGTTACAAGGCCATGTCGATGCTGGCCTGGTCTTCCTTCAACGTTGACCGGCGAGATCTTGCACTGTCTCAGAGCTTGCCACACAGCGACGTTGTTCGAGATCTTGTCCTGAACGGTCTGGATCCTTCTGGCGACCGTCCTGTGGCTTGCCCAACTGTCTCTATCGAATAGTAATCGATTATTCCACTCGGACTGTCGACCGAGAAGCTGGAAACCTTACGAACATGTTCTCACAAGATAAGATGCAATAAACTTTGTTGACCATTCGTGGTGGGGAATGGCAGTGGGGAGAGGCTGGCCGCTGGTCTCTCACGCGTCCGGATCTGGCCTCCATGATTCCAATGCAATCGGTATATTGATCCTTCCCATCGTCAACCATACCACATGCACGAGTCGGTCGAGATGCTCGTTGAGTCAACATTGAAGATTGTGTATCTTCGATCCCTCGATCCCTCGATCTCGTGGTCCAACGTGATGCTCCTTGTTGAAGTCTCTAATCGCGCTTCCAGAACGGATCTCACGATACGCTATGGCCGAACACTGGACAGGGGTCATACACAGACGGCAGACCAGGTTATTCGGGCCATCGGGTCGATTGCCTACTGGAGACGCAGGCTTTTCGATATCTCAAAGCGAGACCACAACTTGGTTTTAAATTTTGATGCCATCCGTGGTCAGGGTTGGCCTCTCGACACAAGAACCATGAGAGCTATCTGTCTTTTGACCACCAACATAGGTCTGGTGTTGCTGTTGTCTAAGCATATGAGAGGCCTCTATCTGCTTATATCATACGTGGTATTGTGAAGCTGCTTGGATTCAAAGATGAGCGGTAAGAAGGCTTTTTGCGTTCTGGCGAAACTTTCTGAAGGACATCTACTCAGTTTGAATGTTTCCACTCGACTACCCAAGGCTAGAGACACGAATGCCCGAATCTCTCTAGACAATGCCTGACCGTCCTAAAAATTGTTCCTGAGAACCAAGACGCACAACACTACCACCTCACGTCTTGGACAATCACCTGTGGAGTGGAGAGGACTCAGTGGATCACGTTCGTTCTCACAATTTTCTGGAGCTCTGTATTGGCAATCACTCGACCACATCTTCATCAAACAGGTCGGTTAGCTCAGTTGGTTAGAGCGTGGTGCTAATATCATCCTCATGATATACCTGGTACGCCAAGGTCGCGGGTTCGACCCCCGTACTGACCATCTCTTTTGCCAGACCAGAGGTGAATGAGTCATCAGGAACGTTGTGGTGGGTGGGAAGAATTTTTTGCTCGATATATACACAGTTGCCGTTCTGGGACTAGAGCGTCGCGTGGGCGTCGAAGCTAGCCCTCTCGAGGTTGAGCTTGGCGCCGATGCCGAGCTTCTTCCGACATCATCTCGTGTCAAACCTCAGTATTTCCAGCTCCTCGGTCTTCTACCCGGTGTTGCCCTTTTGTCACCTCTCTATGTGATCACACATTGACCAGACCAATATCTACAACCAGCAGTATTGAAATGGATACCCTCGCAGGCCCGGTAGACAAGATCTCACAGTACTCGTTAAGTATTCGTCTATCACCCTACTGTGTAAATATTCTTCCTCGACCGTTCTCACAGAGTTGACGCCTTTATCTTCCCCAAATGCGGAGGCGGAGGGCCGAAGTGATCATCCAAGATCTCATCGGAAATGCGGCTCGAAGACAAGTGACAGGCATGCAACCTCACAGATACATAGATGTCGTGCTACCCGTATACATGAGTTTTCTCCCTCTTTTGCTCTCCAAGCCCCGAAAACCCGTGTCGCTTTGCTGTTGTGACTAGCAGTGCTGTGAGCGACTACAGCGCGTCACTCATAAAATGGCGCAAGACGATGTGAAGCACAACTCGCCGTCGAGTCTATCTCTGGACCAAGGGTACACTTCAGGATCAGAGGGCCAAAGCGGACCACACAAGGACACAAAGAAGAACACACTATGGACGCGCATCTACAGCATCATAGCATACACACCGCCGCGATGTCGCTGGGATCCTGAAAAGCCACCGGAGTTCAGTATGGCACTGAATGTCCTGTTTGGCTTTGCTGGTGCTTTTACAGTCGCGAATCTCTACTACAGTCACCCTATCTTGAATATTCTGGCGGAAGAATTCGATGTGCCGTATGAGAAGGTGTCGCAGATCCCTACCGTCATGCAGGCAGGGTATGCAGCAGGTCTTTTGTTTCTGTGTCCATTGGGTGATCTCTTGCCTCGGAGACCATTTGTTCTGTCGCTTGTCTTTTTCACTGCGACCATGTGGTATGTGTGCCCAAGATGCTTTGGTATGGTTACCTTGCTGACACGTTCATGCAGGATTGGCGTGTGTGTGACAAAAGATTTGGCTGCTTTTACTGCCATCTCTTTTATCACGGCCATCACCACTGTCACTCCACAGCTTATGCTTCCTCTGGTCGGTGATCTCGCGCCGCCTAGTAAGAGAGCAGCATCTCTGTCCATTGTCACATCAGGTCTGTTGTTAGGCATGCTGATAGCTAGACTGCTTTCTGGTGTATTGACAAATTTTACCTGTAAGTTTGAAGCTTCAGAGTGACCTACAACCGTACTGACCATACTCCAATAGCATGGCGTAACATATACTGGCTTGCTCTAGGACTTCAATACGCCATCTTCGTTTTGCTTTGGCTCTTCATGCCAGACTATCCTTCGACCAACCCGGATGGTATAAACTACTTCAAGATCCTCTGGTCGATCCTCGAAATGCTTTTCAAAGAACCAGTACTCGTGCAGGCCTGCTTCGTCACCTTCTTCACGGCTGCAACATTCACCTGTTTCTGGACGACCTTGACCTTTCTCCTTGCAGGAGCACCCTACAACTACGACTCGTTGACCATCGGTCTCTTTTCTCTCATCGGTATCGCGAGTATGTTTACCGGACCGTTCTGGGCCAAATACGTTATCGATCGCTTCGTTCCATTGTTCTCCGTAATCCTAGGCGAGTTGTGGTGCATGCTTGGAATTTGCATAGGAACGTATACCGGTCGTATCACAATTGCTGGACCAGTCATCCAGGCCTTCTTCAACGACTTTGGCCTGCAGACGGCCCAGATTGCCAACAGAAGTGCCATCTATAGCATCGCACCAAAAGCACGTAATCGTGTCAACACGGCTTTTATGGTGGCTACGTTCTGCGGCCAACTAGTCGGTACGGCTGCTGGAAACCATCTTTATGCAAGAGGCGGATGGATTGTCTCAGGCAGCTACAGTGTTGCCAGTATTGGTGCCGCACTCATCTGCTGTTTTGCACGTGGGCCATGGGCGGAAGGGTGGTTCGGATGGGGTGGCGGTTGGAGCGTCTACAAGAAGAGTGCTCAGAGTGCTGATGGAAAGGCGGAAGAGAAGCAGACCATGGGAGCAGTGAAAGCTGATACAAACGTCGTTCATGATCCGGAAAAGGGCGAGACGCAGCAGGAACGAGTCAATGATGGTCCCACGGTCGAGAAAGGCATCGAGATGCTGGGAGCAGAGGATGGCGAGAACTCCGTACGAGAAATGAAAGACCACGAGGAAGAAGGAAAGAGCACCAGCAGCCAGGACACAGATGCGGTCACACCTGTGCAGGACTCACATAGGGTTCAACGACATGAGCTTGATTAAGATTCAAGATGGATAGATCATGCAAACATTGTACGCTCGCTCAAGCTCCGAGTCGTTCTTTCCTGGCCTGATAGTCATGTTGAGTACTCCGGGCTGTGCAACTCAGCTCTGAGGAAGTCGCAGACGTGGATCGTAGTCGACCTTCCAGCGGTGTCGATGAGTGCCAATTAGCCCTCTAGTCATTGCGACAGCGGATATGACCGATGAGGAAGTTCAAACACGACGTACTACATGCCCCTCTGAAGCGACTCTCACCTAAGTGACCTAATGTTAGAGTTTGGCCAAGCTATTGAAGACAGTCTGAATACAATACATGAATTTAGCCGCCATCACGTTCAAACATATACACTACCTGGAATCCCGGCCAGGCTATTCCCTATGGTGGGAACATTCAGAGAGGGGTTGCGACCATTCGGTCGGCCGTAGAGCGGATCCAGACGTTATAATAATCCACCAGCTCTCTCGAGTAGATGATGGAATTGTAGAGCGCGAGAACCAGGTATGATGATACAGTGCTGAACGACGCCAAAAAGTGTGCATCGGTATCTCATGAAACCGAAGATGTCAATGTTGATATGAATAAAACTCAAAGTCGAAGTTCCGTAGTTGATGAGTGAGAAATAGGAAGGAACAGCCGAAGTCGCGACGAAGAGGTCAATCTGATCTGTCGGATCTAACCCGCCACGAAGGCGGTGACTTTTCTGCCACATAGGCTTTATCGCTACAGCGCTCCCTACATCGCTGCTGCCGTCGTACACGAAATGACACAGTGCAGATCTGTTCATTGAAGAAAGGCACCCGACCATCTCAGCAACCTCTACGGCTACGGCCGAGTCTGGACGAGTCCTTCGTTGCGACTGCTGAAACACGTCTGATTAGATGGTGCCTGGAGACCTTGCGTGATGGCTTGTTGCTGTGACTTGTTACGCAATTTCGACAATATCCATACTACTGTATGCCGTCAGCATCATGGATCTGTTGTCGCGACGGATGACTAGATCTACAGGGCTAGAAGGACGATGCTCTGTATTCCAGATTAGCCTGAACGACGTGGAGGCTCTGGACTACAAAATCATGCACATAAAGGCTATAGGAGTTCTCGTCGTGTTGCCTGTTTCAGCACCTTGCGTTGGACTAGCTATGTGATTAGGTTCACGAGGAAGAGGTGGCTCTTCGGCTCGCTTGATTCTGATACAATAGCTTGCTTGGCGACAATGCGGACTCCATGTACAAGCTTCTCCTCTCTCTTCCATGCCTTGTTATAGGCAAATCACCATGCTGATCAGGCCCCCTTGTGATCACCAATGAAAACACCCCTCTTATACCAAGCCTGACCTTGGCAGGTACTATTTGCTTTAACCGGCGTGCGGCCGTAGACGGATATATAAGATAGCATTGGCACGCCCTTCGAATTGCTTGTCGAGCCAAGAAAACCAAGAGAAATAGACCAACATCTACCCCATCCTTTGCATAGGCGAGATACCACAGTCAGCACCGTGTGTGGACGTTGATCAGCAAGTGGATGGCGCACAGCTTTTCGTTTAGGCTCAATCATTGTTGGTGTCATGGCGATGGCGAGGTCGGAACGAGGGCGATGAGAGAGAGCGAGGGAAGATATAAATGAGGACGCTCGCCGCCAGGAAATCGAAACATCATCCAATTCAACAATCACATTGCTCAGATCAAGCCTGGTCTTTATCAACATGGTCTCTTTCAAGTCCTTCTTCTGCGCCTTGATGGCTGCTACTACGGTCCTAGCCGCTCCCTTCGATTTCCTCACCGAGGAGGTTGACGACGGCAACTCGACTCTCCTCTCCAAGCGTGCAGGCACTCCCAGCGCTGAGGGCACCCACAACGGTTACTTCTACTCTTGGTGGACCGACGGCGGTGGCAACGCCCAGTTCACTCTCGGCGAGGGCAGTCGCTACTCTGTCTCGTGGCAGAACACTGGCAACTTTGTTGGTGGCAAGGGCTGGAACCCTGGTACTGGCCGGTAAGTTCACGAGACCTCTACTCTCAGATCCGAGAAGCCACTGACTCTTCCTCAAGCACCATCAACTACGGCGGTAGCTTCAGCCCCTCGGGCAATGGTTACCTTGCTGTCTACGGCTGGACCCGCTCGCCCCTCGTCGAGTACTACGTGATTGAGTCTTTCGGAACCTACGACCCCAGCAGCGGTGCTCAGTACAAGGGAAGCTTCTCCACCGACGGCGGCAACTACAACGTCTATGTCTCTACCCGCACCAACCAGCCTTCCATCGATGGTACCCGCACCTTCCAGCAGTACTGGTCTGTCCGCCAGGGCAAGCGCGTTGGTGGCAGTGTCACCATGCAGAACCACTTCAACGCCTGGGCCAGATTCGGTCTCAACCTCGGACAGCACTACTACCAGATTGTCGCTACTGAAGGCTACCAGAGCAGCGGCAGCTCCGACATTTACGTCCAGACCAAGTAGGGCGTCCGATATGCTGTTGGTACTCGGAACGGTATTACTGCTGAGCAGTATGTTCTGAGGTCTTTCATTCTTGATTACCTCTGCCGAGTAAGACGACACACGAATTGGATCAATGATGGACTTTGTTTGTGAATTGGGCGAGATTGCTTCGCCTCGCGCTCTTTAGTCAATAAACTCGTATCTAGGCTGAAATCCAGTACATTTTATAAGATGGTCGTGCTTCCAGACTCTGATCATGTGTTTTGTGTTTCGTAACCTATATGCATAGCCCAACTATCTTCTCCTACCAGCACCGCCGCCACCGCTACCTTCACCCCGAGACTCGAGTGCAACAACCTCACCAATGCCAGCAGCTTCTTGTTCATCTTCCAAGACTTGCATCTCTTCTCTGACATCCCACCACTTCTGTTCAGCACGTTCAAATGCACTCTTGCGGATCTCCTTGACCGATCTCTCGGTGATCTGGGTTGCGTGCTTGAACTTGTGCTCCTCCAGAATGATGTCTTGCCACTGGTGGTTGGTGCGAGTGAAGAATTCACGCAGAGACTCGAACGGACGCGGGCCAGGAAGACCGTCAGACTTTTCTGTTGCAGCCTCATCTTCTGGCTCCTCGTCTTCTGCTGCTTGCTTCTTGGCCACTTCTTCAGGCTTGGCGATTTCTTCAGGTGCAACGGAGGTGGCAGGAGTGGAAGTGCCAGCGGCTTCGTCTTCGCTTTCATCTTCCTCGTCATCCTCATCCTCGTCTTCGTCTTCGCTGTCCTCATCCTCACTACCCTGCCAGTCTTCGAGCTCGCGACGGAAGATCTCCTTGGCACCGTCTAGCTTGCCGAGATCAATACTGTGCATCTCGTCAAACGTGAACTCGCGATCACCCTTCTCAAATGTGCCACCATAGATGTAGAGAGTGTCGTCTTGGACCGCGAGCTGAGCGTTGAAACGAGGATGAGGCATCTCGTACTGTACAGGCTTCTCGATCTTGACATCCTCGTCGTCGGAGTCGTCACGTTTGAGAGGGAGTTCGCCATCGTCCAACGAGCCCTTTCCTTCGATAAGAGCGAGGTTGCGCAACAGCTCTTCTTCATCTGCTTTTCCTCTTCCACGTCGACCACCGCGCTCGTTTCCTCCGCCTTGCTTCTTGGCAGGCTGAGCACGCGGCTTCCTGAGACTGAGTTGGAAGAAACGATTACGGTCGATGTTGAAGGCCAACAGCTGGTTGAAGAACTCGCTGTCGATGCCTTCTTCATCTTCTTCGACATCGTGTACACCGCCAAATGCAATACCTCTACCCTTGTGGTGCACCATAGTTGCACCAGCGCGAGCTGGGTTGGGCGAGTTGACTGGCTTCTTTCTCTTCTCCCAACGAACGGTAGGCAACGTGTTCATGGGAGCTTCGGCAGGAGGTGGCGTGATTCGAAGGAACCATGTGTCTTGGTGTACCATGGGCTTCATGATGACGCGAGATGCCTGTCTACCTCCCTTGGACTTGCCAGCCGAGGTCGAAGTCTTGATTCTGGAGTATCCACCGTACAAGACTGCGCCGGTCTCGTGAGGCAAGAAGGAAAATGATGATCTGGGGTCCGGACGCATGGCAGCCGGAGGCAGGACCGGAATATGCCATTGAAATGTCTGGCAGTCGTAGATATAGAGATCGTTCAAGTATTTGGTTTGTTGTGACGTGTCCTGGAAACCTCCGAAAAGGATGATGTAGCGCTTGAAGGCCACCATACGGTGACCGCTTCGTGCGGATGGAGATGGTCCCTTGGTCTCGATCTTAGCCCACTCTCTGGTTGATGGCTCCAGACTCCAGAAGTCGTTGTAATGGTAGAAAGTGCCCTGCTTGGGCGAACTGAATTCTCCACCAAACATGTAAATGCCTCCAGTGTTGCCGCCTCTACACATAGCATGTCCACTGCGAGGCAAGGGTGAGTTGGGACTTGTCACTTTTCGCCATTCGTCCGAGTTGATCCTGTAGATATAAAGATCGTTGAAGAAATTCGCAATGGCTCCATTGTAGTGTTCGCCTCCGAAGAGGAAAAGTTCTCTACCGTCCGAGGGTGAAGCGATGAAAGTGGAAGCACTTCTTGGCGATGGGCCAGTGACAGTGTCTTCGGTGACCTTGAGGAATTGCTCTTGCTTCTTTGCGTATTCAGCTAGAATTGCATCCAGATCGGCCTCTTCAACATCGCTGTCGTCGGCATCCTTCTTGTTCTTGGCCTTCTTTTCAGACTTTTTGGCGACCTTTTCTTGCTTGGCCGCTACTCGGGCCTTCTTGGCCTCCTTCTTGCCCTTGTCTTTCTTGACCATTGCTGTTCAGAGGTTGTTTGCTTTGGATGTACAATCCAGGTGATTTGACAAGTTCTGTGAATATATCTTTTGTGGACGAATCTTGATGGCGGTGGAAACCGTCGGCGCAGCAGACTCCGAGCTCAAGGCGGTAGTCACACCCTCGGCTGACGGCCCCCTCCCCTCTATCGCTCATGCGTTCAGAAAAGTATTAGCGTTGAGCCAACACAGTTGTTCGTGACATCTGCTAATCAGTCCTTAACAGTACACCTATAAGTCTTGTTTATCTGTGTATCTGTGTGTACCTGATGGCAGAAAACAATGTATTGAGTGAGGCATGAGCAATGAATCGGCAATCGCAAAGCAGGGCGGGCGTCAACAATGTCGTGGGGCTGATCACCGCTCCATTATCAACTCATCCCCCACATCCTCTCTATTGATGTCTGCCTAAACAACACAAAATGGCTACCTCAATCAAAGTCGCTACAGCAAAGATCGTGGAGCAGAGGACTCATCAGATACCTGGTACGAATAGATGACTCATCCAGACTGTCGCCTCAGATGCAATATGCTCATCCACGAATGATACGTGTTGACACTTAATCAATTACAGGTAAGCTACGGGTCACGGAGCACTTCTTTGATGTACCAAAAGACTACTCAAAACCTAATGCTGGGACCATTCGTATCTTCGCTCGTAGTGTTCGAAAGCACGAGTCTCCTGTAGACCACAGCGAACACGACGAGAAGAAGAGCCAACTTCCATGGATGGTCTTTCTAAATGGCGGTCCTGGAGGCCCTTGCAAACACCCAAGTGCCTACCCTTTCACCTGGACCATCTTGGATAAAGGCTACCAAATGCTCTATCTCGATCAGAGAGGTACTGGTCTCAGCACCCCAATCACTGCCAGTACTCTGGGCATGCGCGGAGAGAACGACGTACAGGCAAAGTACCTCAAGCTCTTCCGTGCCGACAGTATCGTAAGAGACTGCGAGGCTATCCGTCAGTCTCTGACTGCAGAGTACCCACCAGAGAAGCGGAAGTGGAGCATCATGGGACAGAGCTTTGGCGGATTCTGCAGCATCACGTACCTCTCGTTCTACCCACAAGGACTGCGAGAAGCCTTCATCTATGGCGGTCTCCAGCCTCTAGTCAAGCAGCCTGATCCTGTTTACAAAGCACTTTACAAGAGGGTCGCCAAAAGAAATCTGAATTACTACGAAAAGTACCCCGAAGACGTCGACAGAGTCAAGACAATCATCAAGTACTTGCAACGCTTTGGCGACGGAGTGATCAAGTTGCCGACTGGTGGAAACCTAACTGCAAGACGCTTCCAGCAGATGGGTATCATCTTTGGGATGCATGGAGGATTCGATGCCGTGCATGAAGTTGTCCTGCGTGCTGCCTACGACATCGAGGCTTTTGGCCATTTGACCAGAGGCACGCTCTCCGGCGTTGACGCCCTTACATCTTTCGACGAAGGAGTCGTGTACGCCATTCTGCACGAGCAAATCTATTGTGAAGGGTACGTAAGTTCAGGTTGCTCGTATCTCGTCACGCTAACACTGCTACAGCGAAGCACCCAACTGGTCTGCTGAACGCATGCGTAATGAGTTCCCCGAATTCGAGATCACCTCTGATGGTCCCGTCTACTTTACCGGCGAAATGGTAAATGACCAACAGTTCATTGCGGCGTTCAAACGCTAACATAGCACAGATATTCAGCTGGATGTTCGAGGATTACAGCGAGCTTCGCAAGATCCAAGATGTGGCCAACCGTGTAGCGACAGACTCTGACTGGCCTGCCTTGTTCGACGAAGAGCAGCTCAGCAAGAACGAGGTTCCTGTATACGCGGCCGTCTACCAAGAAGATGTAAGTCTGAATGACTGAGATTATCTGCTGGCGTCTTGACTGACGACATTGAACTCAGATGTATGTCGACTATGACTACTCTCGCGAGACGGCAGAGAAGATCAAGGGCTGCAAGACGTTTACAACCAATGTCATGTACCACAATGCTATCCGCAGCAAGGCCGACGAGGTCATCAGGCAGTTGTTTGACTTGAGGGACGATGTCATTGACTAAACGAGAAACGATGATTCTGAATCATGGGCCGGGATGCTCGATGGCTTCCCATAAGATGTATGCATGCTTTGTGTTGATGGTTGCGAAAGATGGAATGATGGAGCGTGAAAGCCGATGGTAGAGATGGACGGTCCAAGCTCAGTCCAAAGCGTCAACCAACTCGGTCCTCGGGCTCTTTCCCTTTCTGCAGTCATGCAACACCGAATGCGAATCGCACCTGGTCAAACACAAAGCCCCGAAGGCTTGAGCCGCTGGCTATCGGAGAATATTCTAAATCTGGCGGCGCGCTCAGGTGTCGGGATTTGGCAATGGCGGTAAGGGCCATGGAGAGCCGGCCCGGGTAGATGATGTGAGCAGCGAAACACATGCACCCGATCCACCATGCGATACCGTACGAGTACATACGATAGTGTAGTTCTGGTAGTACTGCCTTTTTTCCACTGACGCCCAGTTCCTTCGTTTGATCCACCTCCTCCCACACCACACTTGGGCAAACCTACTGCTATCGACAGTCCTCCCAAGCTATACAGCTCTTCGGGAAAATACACAGCTGCCCTACCAGCCACTCGTCGAATACACACCCACCATGACCACAACACCACCGAAACCCGTCGACCTCACCCTCCCGCGCATCCTCTGCCTCCACGGCGGCGGTGTCACAGCCGAAATCTTCCAACTGCAAGCCCGCAGCCTCATCAAAGCCCTCCCAACCTTCCGCCTCGTCTTCGCCGACGGTCCCTTCTACTGCGCTGCTGGCCCCGGAATCGTCCCCGTCTACGAAGACTATGGCCCCTTCCGACGCTGGCTGCGCTGGCTACCCGAACACGCCGATATCGATGACGAGTCCGCCATCGAAGAAGTCATGTATTCGATAGAGACTTGCAAGAGCAGTGACCCGGGAACAGGGCCTTGGGTGGGGTTGATGGGTTTCAGTCAGGGTGCTAAGCTTGCGGCGAGTTTGCTGTACGATCAGCAGGTGCGGGTCGAAAAGACGGGGGTCGCGGATACGGATTACAAGTTCGCGGTGCTGTTGGCGGGTAGACAGCCGTTGATGCAGTTGTCTGAGTATTCGGTCGGGCCTGCTACGCTAGGCGCTGGGGAGATCAGTGAGGGGTTTCATTATGATGGGCCTAACGAGCATATCCTTAGGCTGCCGACGATTCATGTTCACGGGTTGAATGATGCTGGCTTGCATCTGCACAGAGATTTGATGAGAAAGTACTGTCATCCTGATAGTGTGACGCTCGTTGAATGGGATGGCACGCACCGCGTACCGCTGAAGAAGACGGATGTCGACAAGATATGCACCGAGATATATAGAGTCTCCAAAGAGCAGAGTATAAGGTGTTAGATGCGAGCACATTGGCTCATGGTTGAGCTAGAGATTTTGGAGATACGATGAATTACTTTTTGTACTTTGTCTATACATCTGCTTTACATCCTATACTTACATCATACAGCGGTTTCATTTTTGTTCGAGAGGGACGCTTATCTCATTGCAGCCTGTACCTTTCTCTGGATGCTTGCGATTGTGTCCGGAGTTGTGGTCATGCTAGCCATCAGATACAAAACATTGCCCAACACGCGTGAGTGAATAGCATTCTCCGAAGACGAATCGTGGAGAAGCGTATCTCTCAGCCCAGTCGCAGCTGTGGAAGTATAACCAGAGCCAGCAGGATCCTTGAGCGACATCGCCAAAACAGAGCCCAGAGCGAACACACTCTCGACATTCGATCTAAGCGAAAGGTCGCGCACAAAGTCTTGCGACCACATGCTCCACAGGTTTTGCTTGCTATCGTCTTCTTGTCTCCAAGAAGACTTGAAGCTAGTCCAGGTGGCGCCTTCATCCATCTCCTTCATAGTCTTGAGGGAGTACCTTGCAATGTCGCAGCCGACGGCGTGTGCAGTGTAGCTGTGACCATGGAGCAAGGCATCAGACTTCTCAGGACTCAAGAAGGCCTCGAAGATGCTCTCACTAGCAAGAGTAGTACAGAGCGGCAGGAGACCGCCAGTAAGTAGTTTGGCATGAACAGAAATGTCGGGCTGAACATCAACAAACGACGAACTGCTGAAACGGCCGAGACGGTACAGACCAGTGAAAACTTCATCAAAGACGACAGGAATACCCTTCCATGCTAGCTCCGAGTCTGATGTAGCTGCTGCATTACCATACAGCTCCGGGCATTGCTCGCGTGCAACCTTCACTAATACGTGTTGGAAGAGAGGATCGCTGAACAGCATACCGCCAGCACCGAGAATGACTGGCTCCATGATAAGAGCACCGAACTTCTTGCCCTCTGCAGTCAAAGCTTCGAGAGAAGTTTTGATATAAGACTCGTAACGCTCAGCATCAGCCTTTCTGCCAGCAAGTGCGAAGATCTCGTCGAGGCTAGAGAAGGAGCGGACGGGGCCAAACTCTTCCTCCATACCTGCAGGAGGCTCGACAATCCATTTGCCTGCTTGCATCTTGACGAGAGGGAAGTCAAACCAGTGGCCACGACCAGAGTACCACTCGACTTTCTTGTTGTATGTTGACGGTTCTGAGAGGTCCATGGTGCCGATGGTGTCGCCATGATAACTGCCTTTGAGGCCGAGGATCAAGATCTCATCATCCGGGGACCAGCCGTAGCGTTTGCTCGCTGCTTTGAGACCCATCTTGACTGCGACTTCCATGCCAGTGCTTCCATTGTCGGTGAAGAAAGTCTTTGTAAGACGTGGATTACCAATGTTCTGGAGCAGTGTCTCCGAAAGCGATACAGCAGGTTCATGTGCAGCACCAGCAAACATGACATGGCCGTAACGACCAGCGGCGTGTGCGGCAGTAAGCGCCAATGTGGGATTACCGTGGCCAAGTCCTTGCGTCCACCATGATGCTGAACCATCAAAAGCAGGCTTCAGCTGATTACCTTCCTTCGAGCCAGAACCACTGGAGTTATGAGTCTGGAAGTAGTCGCCATAGGCCGAGTCGATGGCCAGAATATTCTGCTCTGATCTTTCGGTGTGCTGCATGAAAGGATGCCAGATGCTACTGTCAGCTCTCTTGGGCAGCGATTGTAGACTAGATAGCCTTTTATCATGAGTCTGGATGATATTGTCAATACATTGTTCGAGGTTAGATGAGCTGCTGGCCGATTCGTAGTATTCTCTCATAGATTGCTCATCGTCTGCTTGAGAAGATTTGAGCTCAGGAGGCGGTGGCAAAGAGAGTGTTTGAATCCCTCTCTCCTTGAAGTAGTCTTTCAGATATGTGTGATTGTCGTATCTCGATTCCTCAAAGACGAGGACCGAGTTCACATCGTAGCCACGGACATGAAGTGATTCCCAGGACGAGATGGTCGTGCCGATGCCGCCCAAGCGGTGGTCACCCACGAGTAAGGTAGGCAATCTCAATGGTCTATAGAGATCTGCCTGTACATTTCCAGAAGGCGCTGGAGAGAGCACACCACCAGCAGTCTCGACGACGGCTACAGCATCCTTCCCTGTGGCATACCCAAGCAGCTCCTCGTAAACACGAGTCAAGATGCTCTGGTCGTCAATCGGCTCCTTGGAGATTCTGGCAGCAATATGAGGGCTGACTGGGTCGTCAAATTGAAGTAGCGTCTTCGATGTGATGTCTTTTGAGTATCGTGTTATATGACTACGAAAGAACTTAGCAGTTGATTTTCGACTAAGACGTTCACATGTGCATACCGGTTGTCCTGGTCGTCGAGTGGCCCAGTAGAGATTGGTTTCAGATAATGCACGTTGTAATCTGGTAGCCTCTTCCGTAGAGCTTTGCAGAGCAATGTGCTGACAACTGTCTTTCCTACACCAGTATTGGCTCCATATACCTGCACGGCTCTAAGCCTCGGCCATAGAGCAGACCCGACTTGACGCATGTTAGAATGGAGGACGAATTAGCTACCGAGTGTTACAACGACATGAATCCGAGTAGCGACTGGACAAAATGAGAGAACGAGAAGGAAATTGATGATGATTCACGACGATGTTCAATGGTCTAGGCCGGTACGCCGGCAAAGTTGGTGGGAGCATTCACCGTCTTCGGCGTACCGGCTCGGCGCTGTCGGACATCGTTTCGGGGAATTGATTGCCGATGATTCAAGCTTTGTTCGACCCTTTGGTGTTCCCTTCGCTCTTACTTACCTTCCTCGAATCGTGGATGCTCGTTTTGATAAAGTCAAACGTTTGTGACAGCTGTTTGCATGTTATCGACGTGTAGGGTCGGTCGGACAAATCGAAACATTCGCGGAGCTAGATAGGCCTCGGCGTTTGGAAGGACTAATATGTAATATGGTTGCTTGCTCCTATTTTGCTCACACGACCCTGCAACACGATATATATATATATATATGTATAGTTTATGGTGCCGAGGGCGCCTCCAAGCCGACAACCGTCTCTGGTGGATCTTCCACTCCAAGATCTAGCTACAACTTTGCTAATGGTGATCTTGTCTTTTGTTCCACCCAAGCAGTGATTCTTGATACCAGCGCCTCAACTTCATCCCTCGTATTGCCAGCGTGCAAACATACCCGAATTCGTTCGGAGCCTAGCGGTACAGTTGGCGGTACGATAGGCCTGACCACCAAGTTCTTTTCCTGACAAAACTTGGCTAGACCGCGAGGATCAGAACTGAGCACTGAGAATATTGGTGATGGTGGACACTCCTCAAGCACCTGGAGAAGATGGCGTTGGTGCTGTGGTAGGCTCGAGGTGAGAGCAAACAGTCTTTCGTGGAGAAGACTGATCAGGTCAAAAAGATGTGTGGCAAGCGCTGTTGTGTCGTCGCTCGACAGTAGAGTGTAGGCAGCTCTAATGGCAGCGAGTGCTGGAAATGACAGGAAAGTCGTGTATATTAGCGGTCGTGCGTAGTTGATAAGGTAGTGCTTTATCAACGGACTGCACAGAATGATAGCTGCATTTACTCGTCAGCAAGGATAGCAATGAATACGAATGTTTGTTAATGGACTTACCACCGTTGCAGGCCATGGCCTTGCCAAATGTGTGCAAGCGGATAGTGATCTTGTCCTCTAGCCCAAGTGCCGAGACCAGACCTCTGCCTTGCGGGCCTAGAACACCTGTAGAATGTGCCTCATCCACAATGATGTGCCCATTGCCATTGGGTAGTAGCTCGGTCACTGCTTCGACAACTTCTCTCAGTGGTGCAACATCGCCATCCATGCTGTAGATTGCCTCGACAGCGATGAAGATGCTGCGTCTTCCGGACCTGAACTTTTCATCGGAGTCGATGCATCTCCTCAACACAGCTCGTAAATCTGTGATAGAGTTGTGCATAAAAGCAAAATTCGCACCAGCACGACTCGCCCTCATGCCATCGTGTACACTGGCGTGGATGTAGCTGTCATACACCACGATGTCGTCTGGTTGTGGTAGAACAGAGAACAAGCCTGCATTAGCATCGAAGCCAGAGTTGCACAACAAGCCGTCTTCGGCACCATGGAAAGCTGCGATATCTTTCTCCAATGCTTCCGCATATTTGCTGTTGCCATCGAGAAGCCGTGAGCCGCCACTACCGAGAGGGAACTCCGGACGAGCAGCTAATTCGCGAAGATATAGATCGCGAAGGGTGGAGGAGTTGGAAAGTGAGAGGAAGTCATTGGAACTAAAGTCGATGGCATTTGCGGTGGGTAGAGTCAGGTTCCGAAGTGTTGAAGCTTGTCGACGCCGCGACAAAGCGAGGGCGAGACTTCTTTCTAGATGAGATTGTTGCGAGGGCGTACCAGAGTGGTGACTCGAAGTTGATTTCTTCTCCATATCCATAGTCGGTCACGAGACTGTCCTGGGATGTATTGATGTTCAGTGATCGTCTCCTAATTATTTTTCTGGCAGCTTGTTTGTCGGCAAAGAAAGAACGTTTCAGTCTCAGAAGCTGACGACAACACAAACAAAGGAAGGTGTACTCCACACTATCTCCAGCGGTTCACGGAAGGGCAGTAGATGTTTCTAGCTCAATCATGCTGACGAGTGGTCTTAACAAAACCGATGAGTCGTATGCTCCCTACAAAAGTGGTGGAGGTCGAGGCTCAATCGAAGCCTCGGCCCGATCGACATTTTTGGCTTCCCCGAAGACGGCACCCCAAAACTCTCCGAGAACCTTCCTTTCTTCCTTCTACACAGCATTATCGAACTCATCTGAGCAGAACCGGAAAAAAGCCTCTTTTCCTGGATTGGTTATGCTACCTATCAGCCTCCAAATGCGACACTAACAAAACTTCTCTGACCCCTCTTCTCGTCTCTCTCAATACCAGTTCTACTCCTCGCGTGAATAGGCAAACTAGCAGCACTGTATCTACTGCTCCTGGAAGGCTTGACAGTAGCACAGCTGCCCGCTTCAGAATGTCTACTCGATCGTCTCGACCCTTCACCATGTAGTGATCTCGGTCTGTGCTTCTTGCTCGAACTCGACTTTCTGGACTCACGATCATGGCTGCGTTCGCGGTGACGAGACTCATCACGTTGATGGCGAGTGTGACGAGATGCTACGCAAGATATGCTATCGTCTGGAGCGACAGTCTCCAGATCATCGATTTGAGGTATTGGATCGCTCTCAAGAAGACTTCCTACGAGGCTAGTCTTGCGAGACTCTGGCAGTGAGATGCCAGCAGCTGATGCGCCGTCGTGCACCGGCGCCTGACGCCCAAGGATGTTACCAACGATACTCCCTGCCCGCGATTCCGGTAGAGCGATATGGTGAGCCGAGGTTGCCGAAGCAGCCCTGAACATTGGCAGGGGTCTTTCCATTGCTGATACCAGAGATGGTCTCCTGGAGTCTGGCAATGGCATGTCTGCACCCGAGACAACGGATGTCTTTCTCGAGATGGGCAAGGAATATCCTGCGGCTGAAACCACTGACGTCTTTCTTGAAACTGGTAAAGGAAGTTCTGCCGCTGTAACAACTGATGTCTTGCGAGATTCAGGTAGCGCTATGCCGGCAGCAGAGTAATAACGTGATCCGTTGACTTGACTGGCTTTGATGGTGCTCGTATCGGAGCCATCATATGGTGAATCATCTCTGTGTGCACCAGAGCGAAGTTTCGATGATAGCTTCGAAATTGTAGAACGATGACTGGACGAATCGCGATGTCCGCTTGATCGATCTGGAGAGCTTGCTCGATGCTCACTTCGACGGCTTGTAACCGACAAATCCCGATGCTTGCTAGATCGATGAGAGTGTCGACTGAATGGGTTAGGAGAGCCGTCTCTTCTCTCATCATGGTGGTTCCTAGGAGAGTCTCTATGTGAATGTCTGCTATGCTTGCTCTTGCTCGAATGTGTCGAGTACATGCTCATCGCACTGTCTCGACGTGCAACCACAAGATCTTGTGATGGCCGTTCTTGGGACTGTATCGGAACATCCTCGATCTGGCGATCCGTATTGCACATAGATGGAGGTGATGTGACTGCCCGACGAGATACGATAGATGGTCGGGGCCCCACTACCGATGCTGGAATGTATTCAATTCGCCTTTCTATGGGAGCTACCGATGGTGGGCTCGAGGGGGATCTCGTCGGCACCTGAGAGACAAATCGCGATGCCGGTATGTAGACTACTTCAGACTCCTCGAGTTTCTTACTGGCTCTCGAAGTAGACGCCAGAGAAACATAGGTAGGACCGTGATAGCTCTTGGTGTCGATGGTTTGAGGTTCGGGAGCCGCTTCAATAGCTCTCACTGAGCGTGCTTTGCGTGGTCGAAGAGGAACGCCAGACTCGGTATCGCTGAACTGCTCCATCACTCTAGACGCAACCACGGAATCCGTGGTACTGTAGTTACGATGGACTCTCATCCTCGGCCGTGATTTCACACTCTCAGCGGTTTGCTCGGGCGACCGCCATGCTGTCTTACTCGTTGTCGCGGAGCTCAATTCGGTCTTTGGCTTGCTAGTCTGAGCTTGACTCGGGGCAATCTTGCTAGGTGCCTTACTTGATGCTCTGCTCGATGCAGGCCTTCTACTCACTGCTTCGGCAAAGTCTGCATCTTGTTGCGCACTATCTTGTTCGCTTTTCACCATGGCATATGCAACCGCTGCACCAGCTGCAGCTCCCAGGATAGTGCCTATGATGGCTTTGCCAGTGATTTGGAATCCGAGATCGGAGCTCGAGGCTTGCGAAGTTGGGACTGCTGGTATTGACGTAGTCCTGGCGAGGCTAGGGGTCTTGGAACGAGGTATGGGGTCGGCAACGCTTGATGTGGACTCAGCGTCGACATTAGGGTGGCTTCTTCGTGCTGACGCGAAGGTCGTTCTATCCTCGTCACCCAGGACGTTCACGATGCCTCTTCTCCATGTAAGCACACGACTGCCTCCTGAGATAGTAGTGTATGCATCCTCGTCTTCCAGTTGGTGGTAGATGACTTCGATACTGTTGCCGTCGAGGTCCAGAACTGCAGCATTGAAAATGCAATCGTTGCTACCCCTGAAGGCAGGTGCGCCATTCGGACGACCTCCAGCGGTAAGTGCGGCGGCGTAAAAGTCCCTCACCGCTGCTTTGCTCGTCGCGGAAAATGCCACATGTGCATTACTACGTGTGATACTGAAGCGATCTTGGTCAGCTTGACTACCAGAGTCCGCCTTTCTCCGCCAAGATCATACCCAGGTACTTCAGGACTCAGAAAGAAGTCAGCATCGTCGGTGCCAAACCCGACAGACTCGCCTTGGTTGCCGACGTATTTGTAATCGAGAGGCTGCAGTGCTGAGAGGAAGAAGGAACACGCAGAAGGAACGTGAGAAACAGTCAAGCCAACGTGTGATACTGGCATGACAGGCTTCGCAGAATGAGTGATTGAGAGGATGGGATGCAGAGATGAGGACAGAGATATATCACCGACCAAGAGATATCAGTGAGATACCGGAGATCCTACATGATCAACCGGCCAAAGCGGTCATATCGACTCGATCATGGACACGTTGAGTTCGCGTCTAGACTACTGCACGCTCTATATAACCCACGGCTGACAAGGAGCTGTTCCTGCGGCTGGAACACGCGCCTCGGTAAGGTCGACAACAGACAGGTTGAAGGAGAAGTAGGCGGGTCCGGCCGGGAAGAGATCCCCAGCGCCAATAGAATCCTTTGCTACGATCGCCTATATAATCGACCGTCTGTGCGGCGGGCAGATCAGGAGCGGTATGCGCATGATGGACGTGCCACGTAGAAAGTGTGCGCTTCATGCAAGCTAAACACGACGACAGACTATTGCTCGGCAAATGCCCTCGTTGGTTGAGTTTTACCGACCAGCCCATGTGGCCACCATTATCCGACAAACCCCGTCCAACAAGAGATGATCAAGTGGCCGAGGGCTTGCTGTAGTCTGCCAATATCACGCGTAAGCGGCCAGGGGCATCACTTCTTATAGAAAACATACGATTGCAAGAGCAGGATCAGGATGAGGTGGTGGTATGGGTTTGTTTTATTCGTTCTTTTGTTCGTTGGCTCTGTCAGTCAACACGAAGCGCGTGCTTGCGACAACCCAACCGAACTCCTGCTGGATATCCAAAACAAGAATCCTGCATACAAGCATGCTTTGTCTGCACCTATCAACCCAGGGCTATGAAAGAAGTGAAAGCACACGACTGGCGCATGGAGGCTATGAGGGTCCAACACAGACGTGACGAAAACGAACGTCCGAAGGGCGCACTCAATGCACAAGTGATCAAAAGCTTCCACATACTGCCGATTCCGCGGCGTCCCTTTTGTTGTTCTTGGTATATATAGTTTGTGACATGGTATTCGTGGTTGTTGTCGATTTAAATGACGTTCCAGACTTCCTCGGCGGCATGGCAGAATCTACTGCAAGCGACACTGGCACTCAGACTGAAGTTGCTGATACTGATGGAGTCGTCCTTGAACTCGTCTGCAAATGTATCGTTACCCTTGGCCATGGCACCGACAAAAACGCAGATGCTCTCCTTGGGAGCGAGATCGGCAATGTAGTCGCTCACACGGACGACGGAAGAGTCGAAACTGAGAGTGACCTTGCGGCAGTTGGGAGGGAGGTGGTCGGTGATGGGGTTCTTGATGACCTTCAAGAGCTTTTCTTGCGATGTGGTGGAGCGGATCGACAGTCTGTGAAGAAGCTGAACCATCAAACCGGCGAAGCGCTTGAATGTACGGGGAATGCGGACAGTAGGGCTGACTTCGATCAGGACACCCTTTGCTGTGTGAATGTAAATTTGAAGCTTGCCAGCCTTGTTGAGCGGCGAGTCGAGGAGGGTAAGGAGGCACTGCGCATTGATTAGAGGAGGAAGGATGTGGAGGAGATAGAGAAGTAACAAACCTGGTGGGTAATGTCGGGACGAGCGTCTGAAATGTCGCGGTTCATCTTGCGCATGACACCAATGTGCTCGTCGCTGTTGAGCAACGAGTACTTGTCGTCCTTGGCACCACCGCGGCCACCCGACGAGGCCTTGTATGTCTCGAGACTGGCATTGGACAGGACGACGATGAGGCGCTGCGAGTCCTTGTCGCTCGAGGGGATGGGAACGTGCTGCTCGGCTACGAGCTGCGGAAGAGATGGGGGAGGAAGACTTTGGGTGCCTTGAGGTTCAGGATTGATGTCAGCCATGGCGAGGTTCTTGTTGGAAGAACTTCTTGAAACACTGTGTGACGGTTGAGCAGCAACAAGTGTGCGTGTTGGAAGGAAACAGTGGACAGGAAGAAGTTGCTTGGGCTTGTGGTAGTGGTGGTGGTTGTTGGAGAAGTTGCTGCGACGGGAAAGGTTGCAAATATTGCACAGAGTGACTGACGCTGTCTCTTTGTTTCACGGCCCTCGAACGAAGAGCGTCTGCGCACTGCCGAACTGGAGTCCTCACTGCCTTCGGCATGCTCCTGGCCGGCGATCGGCTGCTCTTCCTTGATCATGTCGCTCATTTTGTCTAAGAATGCTTTACTGGTCTCTGCCTCTTGTCGTTTTCTCAAAAGCTTCTGTCGTCTTATCGTATGGGAACTGGCTCCAGAAGGCTGGAAAATATTTTCTCGTCCATGGCAGGTAGACTCGTATCACGTGCCTTAGCCTCGTCGCCCTCGCATCGCACCTTCCCTCAGTGGAAGTGACCTCTTTACCCAACCCGACCAACCATCGTGCTATCCCACCAACCAAACAGGCTGCACATGCCACCTCTATCGCGCTGATGCTATATGTTATATTGATTTAGGGCGTAGTGCTGAGAATCACCATTCTCACATCAGCATCTCTGTCAAGAAAGGCCAAGATTCGGCGGTTCGCGTACAAAGAAGCGCCGTTCTGATGACTGCGCACAAAAGAAGCATAAAATCGTTGACGCTCTGTGACGGCGTGACTGGTATGTCACGACTCACAAGCACCCCCACGATGTAATAGCGCCGAGGAGGAATACCTGCCTAGATATCCATCGTCTGTCCCTCCCTCTCGAATGCACGAGATGAACTGGATTTCCAAGCAACCATCCTCCATCCTTGACCATTGAAGCGTTTTGAGATTAGCTCCATCTTCGAGGCGATAAATTTTTCTCCGGCTTCGCCTATTTGCTACCCTCCCTCTCCGGCTGCGGGAAAACCCAAGTGGAACAAAGTCAATTGGCCTCGCCAAACCTTCAACAGTCGATTGTTCATACAGCAACCAAATTTACCAATATGGACATCAACGAAACTCAATTAAAGCAACGCAAAGCCGTCTCTGCTGGTACCTCGACTCAGCGTCTGGAGATCGACCCTGCCACAGAAAAGAGACTCGTCCGCAAACTTGATGTTTCTATCATTCCACCCGTTACGTTACTATACTTGTTCAGCTTTCTGGATCGTGTCAACATAGGCAATGCTCGCCTATATGGACTGGAAGAGGACCTCAATCTGTCGTCTGAACAATACCAGACCGCAGTGTCATTACTGTTTGTGACATACCTGCTCTTCGAGTTGCCTTCAAACATCATCTTGAAACGCTATTGTCGACCTTCAAGATGGATAGCTTTCATCTCCGTTTGCTGGGGCATCATTGCGACCCTGACCGGTATCGTGCAATCTTTTGGTGGACTTATTACTTGTAGGCTGCTCCTGGGACTCTTCGAATCGGGTCTGTTCCCTGGATTGGCAGTATATCTCTCATTCTTCTACACCAAGAGAGAGATTGGGCTTCGAATTGGCTACCTCTTTGTTAGTGCGGCCTTAGCTGGCGCGTTCGGAGGCTTGCTTGCTTATGGCATCGGTCACATGGACGGTGTGTCTGGTCAAAGTGGATGGCGCTGGATCTTCATCCTCGAAGGAATACCTACATTCGTCCTTGGTATTGCATGTTGGTGGTGGCTAGCAGATGGTCCAGAGACCGCCTGGTTCCTTACCCAAGAAGAGAAAAGGCTCATGGAGATTCGCCGTTTACAACAAACCGGCGTGACTGACGAGTTTGCCTGGCAGGACGTGCGAGCTGGACTCAAGGACTGGAAGATGTGGGCATTCTGCTGCGCTCTGTTCGGTGCCGACACTATGCTCTACGGCTACTCGACCTTCCTGCCTACCATCATCAAGAACATCGATCCCTCGTACTCGAGCGCTCTGGTACAAGTTCTCACCATTCCTTGTTATGCAGTCGGCGCAATCAGCTATCTGTTCATGGCACGCATCTCGGACTGGTCGCAGAAGCGTGGCATCTACACGATCATTTTCGGCATAGTCTCCATTGTCGGCTACGCGATGCTGATCTCAGACGGCGGCGCAGGTGTCCACTACGCCGGCTGCTTCCTTGTTGCCTTGGGTCTATACGTCGCCGTCGGCCTGCCCATCGCTTGGCTACTGGCCAACAATCCTCGCTTCGGCAAACGCACCACAGCCACTGGCTTGCAACTCATGTTTGGCAACTGCGCTGGCATCATGTCGTCGTTTCTGTACCCCAAACAGGAAGGCCCTCGTTTCATCAGAGGCCATGCCGTTTCGTTGGGCATGGTGTCCTTTGCTATGATCGTGTATGCATTCATGTGGTGGTACTTTGGGCATGAGAACAAGAAGAGGATTAATGGCGAGCGTGATTACAAGATTGAAGATTTGAACGACGAAGAGATTGCTGATCTGGGTGATGAGAATCCCAAGTTCTTGTACTCCATTTGAGAAGGTACGCCATTCCAAACGCATGACGAAGCATATATGGAATTTAATAGGAAGGCCCCTCTGTAGATATTAAATATTCCACATTTCTGATATACAACAATAATTCAACCATATGCGCAAACTATTCACAACGATTGGGGGAGTATAAGATGCCGTGTTTACAGTTTTGAAGAACTGCATGATTCAGTTTCTTGTTTTGTTCATTATGTTCGTAACAGAGCAGATATTTACGAGCTCATGGCAGAGTGCTCCTTTCTGGCCTTTGCAATCTCGTCCTCCTTCATCTGTCTGAGGTTTCCAGTGTTGGCGACTCCACCGGTGACGTTGGCGGCAACGACTTCCTTGAGGTAACCGACTGCGCCGACCTTGGTTGAGTAGTATGAAATATCTGCATCACATCAGCATTTTTGCTCTCTCAAATGCATGTGTTGGACTTGGGGGGGCACAAAACTCACACTTGCTCTTTACCTCGATCAAACTCATTCTCGGGTCATCGGCCGAACCATCGTGGACACCATCGCCGAGGTCACCAAACCAAGCTGCAGCACCTCTGCTCCAGATCTCCTTGATACGAGGATCGCTGTTTGAAGTGGTGGCGGTTCCGGATACCGAAATCCAATCTTGAGTCTTTGTGTCTTGGAAGGAGACGTTGACTTCTTTGGCTGCCTCGATGTCCTTGAATTTTTGGGAGTGGTTGTTGGAAAGGAAGAGGAAGTCCGGGCCGGTGCGCTTGGCGAGTGCCATGGAGCGTGTGACGGGCTGTGATGAGATGTGTTAGTGGTGGGTGAGAGGAGGGAGGGGCGGGGAGAGCGAAAACGTACACCGACACCAGGACGGTATGTGCCTAGGAGACCAATCTTGAGGCCATCGACAATCTTGTAGAACTCTTCGAACTTGGTGGAGAAGTCGGCTTCATCCCACTGTCTCATGACACTGGGGTCATTCTTCTCGGTAATGTCTTGCTGCTTGACGTCGGAAGGCATATTCGTGTCGTTTGAGTAAAAGCGTTCAAGTATTGAAAAGTGTAGTAGTAGTTCAGGAAAAAGACCTTCAGTACGGCAAAGCAACCTTTGTTTATATAACTGTTTTGCGCCGTGGCTGGGAAAGCTCAGCCCATTGCTCGCCATGCAGTAGGAATCGATGACAGCTATAGTGACGTGCGGGTGATGTCAACGTACACGAAACCCATACACGAATCCTCACCAGACATCAGACTCCGAAGTGCGAGATCAAAGTCCGAAGACTAGTTTACAATCAGGTGATTAGGTGGGTTGCTATGCAGATGTAGGGCAGAGCCTCAGAGGGCGTCGTCTAGGGACTTGTTTTTGGTTCGGATGGTTCGCGCACTGTCGCTTTCGTGGTTTGCCGATCTTTTTACCATCAATGTCCAGACGTTCCAGGAACGACTTGTACGCAAAGCCTGTGCCGTACAGATTGCCACCGAGCATCGAGGTATTCAATTGGGCTTATGATGCATACGAATCACAGCATGATGAGTTTTTAAGAAGATAGAGCTGAAGCATGAATGCTCAAATGATTGAATTGAACAAGCGTCAAAGCTGTGTCGTTACCTCAGATAGATAACGGGGTCATCGAAATAGCCATCAAGAGTACGAACACGAGGACCAAAGAGTTCGGACCAAATAAAAAGACTGAGGGTACCACCCGTGGTATGAAACTCCAAGCGATGCAACAACGAAAAGAAAAGCTCAATAAAGTCGAAAAGAAGTTTCTCCAAGAATAGGAAGCCACGGAAAAACTTAATAGAGTTGAAAAGAAGCTCACGGAGAAGGTCGCGAATATAGTCGAGAAGCATGTTCTTCTAGAATGGGAAGCCACCGAAGCCTTGCTGCTTGAACTGGAAGCCTCCGCCACCACCGCCTCGTTGGTGGAAGAATTGTTGATGGCCACCGCCGCCTGGGAATCCGAATGGTTGTCCTTGGAATGGGTTGCCTTGTTGTTGAGACTGGTCATTAGGGTCATCTCCACGGTCGAACCTGGCCTTGAGCTCAGGGTCGGAAAGAACTTCGTAGGCCTCGTTGATCTCGGCCATCTTCTTCTGCGCTTCTTCAGGACTGGTGCCCTTCTGAGCAGCCTTGTCAGGGTGGTGTTGGACAGTGAGCTTGCGATAGGCCTTTTTGATTTCTCGTTCATCTGAGTGGCGGTCGACACCGAGAACCTTGTAGTAGTCTTTTTGCTTCGATCTCTTGAGCAGTGTGTGGGCTTTTTGCAGTAGCTCTTGGACTTTTTGTGAGTTTTGATGATGCTCCTTGGCTTGGTTGAGTGTCTGGATGGCAGGCTCGAACTCGTCGGCGTCTATTTGTCGCGTTGCTTTGCCGATCAAGGCTGGGAGACAGTTTGGGTTGTGGGTCAGGGCCTCTTCGCAGTACGGTTGAGCTTTCTTTAGATTGTTCATCTCGGTGTAAGCCTCACATGTCAACTCGACCAAGTCGTTATACAAGCGATCGGGGGCGTTTTTGTGAATCAGACCCTCGTCACGGTATTGCTGAGTGGCGTCCTTGACGGTCTTCAACAGCCCATCGTCGTCCTTGGTTGGAACCAACATGTTGACAGCATTGACGAATCTGCTCTTTTCCATGGCCTCTTTCAGCTTCTTCATCTGCTTGTCGACAGCTTTCTCAGCTTTCAGGAGTTTTCGGCAGGGTTTGGAGTCGGGATCCGAGTGAAGGCACTTCTTGACCTGACCCATACCGTTGACGGGTTCGTTGAGAGCGTAAAAGGACGTGGCAGAGATCTGAAGGTGTTCGCTCGAGCCGGAAGAAACCTGAGCCACGTGCATCAAGTCACTGAGAGCCTCGACGACGTCGCCCTTCTCAAAACGACATTTTGCTCGAGTGTGTCTCAGGTCCATGGAGGCTCCAGCAACCAGAACAGCAATGTCTGCGTGTGCAGTACAGTCAGCCCAGTGGCCCTCGTTCTCTGCTTTCTGGGCGAGCGAGGCAGCATTCTGGGCCTCGAGCAATTCGCGAATCTCGTCTCCGTCCTTCTTCCCAGCAGTCTCGTAGTCGAGTTTTGCACCTATCCAGTCGGCGTTCCTGCTCTTGATCTTTGCTCGTTGGACCAGAGCACCTTCGAAAGTGGGCTTGATAGAGAGGACGCGGTCGAAGTCGTGGCTGGCCTGGGAGTGCTTTCCGAGTTGGAGATAGGCAGCGCCCCGGCGGAAGATGGTGAGATAGTTCTTGGGATCACGAGTGATGGCGACGTCGAAGTAGGTCAAGGCATCCTGGCCGTTGCCCTGAGCGAGTGCAGCCGTGGCCGACGAGATGAGTTGCGATACGGGAACATCGGCGGGAATGTCGCGGGCACTCAAGCCATGCACGAGAGGAAGACTCGAGACAGCAATGGCGGCGCCCACGGCCAGAGAGTGCAAGGGGAGGAACATGGCGACAGCGAGGGCGATGGATAGCAATACACTTGACAGAGCATCAACAAGTGTCGAGTCGACAAGTCCAAGCATGTGAAAGAGCCACTTGGACTGTTTGTGCTCTGCTACCGACCAGAAGCCACGTTGCCTAGAGCCAGGAAGCTGCGGCCGACGAAATCACTCCCGAGAATGAACACGACCCATTCCTCCTGCACGCATTTTGCTACTGACAAGCAGGCAGTCTCACACACATCTGTAACGATAGACCTAGCCTACCTTCTCCTGCTTCGTCCGGAAGTAGACAGCCGTCGTCTTCTACCCTTGGATCTCATCCAGTCCACAATGCCTTGCGGTCCCTAGCAACTGTTCTATACACACTCGACTCCAGAGTCTCTCCATACACTCGTATCATCGTATCTCGTATCCCTCCGCGGTGGCCGCCGGCCAGACGTCATCGAATCCTGCCGCGTGCTTCTTGTTCTTGTCCCTACGAACTCGTCTATCATTCATAATCTTGCTGTCTTTTTCAAGACTTTTCACTTGTCGTACGACCCCCGTAACCTCTCTGCATCGTGGATTCCAAGCGGTCGAAGATCTCATTTATACTCAAAACCGCGTGACAACAGTAGCGCGACTCCGATCGACTTCGAGCAACTCTGCTCAACATGCCTCTCCGCCTTCGAGTCGACGGATCCGTCTTCCGCGATGGACACAACCGCGAGGTCACTCTACATGGAATCAACGTCGCCGGCGATGCCAAATATCCCCTGAACCCAGACCAATGTTCGCACATCAAGGACAAATTCTTCCAAGGTGATGACGTCTCCTTCGTTGGACGACCTTTCAGCCTCGACGAGGCCCACACGCACTTCGACCGCTTGAAGAGATGGGGATACAACACAATTCGTTACATCTACACCTGGGAGGCTATCGAGCACGCTGGTCCTGGAAAGTACGACGAAGACTGGATCAAGCACACCATCGACGTCTTGCGCCTGGCCAAGAAGTACGGCTTCTACGTCTTCATGGACCCTCACCAGGATGTCTGGTCGAGATACACTGGCGGCTCAGGTGCTCCCATGTGGACCATCTATGCCTGCGGTCTGAACCCTCAGGCTTTCCTTGCGACACAGGCTGCTTTTGTTCAAAACACATGGCCAAACCCTGCCGAGTTTCCCAAGATGGTCTGGGCTACCAACTACCAGCGTCTAGCCTGTCAGACCATTCTCACTCTCTTCTTCGCCGGCAAGGAATTCGCTCCCAAAGCCATCATCGACGGCGTGAACATTCAAGACTACCTTCAACGTCACTTCCTTGATGCCAACAAGATTCTGGCCCAACGCATAAAAGAGGCAGGCGACCTGGAGAACGATGTTGTCATTGGTTGGGAGAGCATGAACGAACCAAACAGAGGCTACATAGGCTGGGAGGATCTGTCCAAATGGCCAGCTGACCAGAACTTGAAGAAGGGGCCTGCACCTACAGCATTCCAGTCAATGCTCACTGGTCTCGGCAGAGCCGTGGAACAAGACACATTCGATTTTGGCAATTTTGGTCCTTACAAGTCTGGCAGTGAGCTTGTCGACCCCAAGGGGGAGATCGCCTGGCTGCCTGTAGGTTACGACGATTCGCGATACGGCTGGAAGAGAGACGCCAACTGGAAGCTCGGTGAGTGTCTCTGGGCTCAGCACGGAGTCTGGGACCCTGAGAATGACAAGCTGCTCAAGAAAGATTATTTCTTAAAAGTGCCTGTCTCGGGCGAGACGATTACGCACGAGTACTACACCAACAACTTCTGGCTGAATCACTACCGCGCGTACAGAGACACCATCAGAGGCATATTCCCAGACACCATCATGTTCTGCCAGTCTTCGCCTTTCGAGGTACCAGCATCGATCAAGGGCACCAAAGATGACGATCCGCAGATGGTCTTCGCACCTCACTTTTACGACGGCATCACTCTCATCACAAAGAAATGGTGAGGTTTCTACATCTTCTGAGATGGCAATCGACTAACAGTGCACAGGAACCGATTCTGGAACGTCGATGTGGTTGGCATTATGCGCGGCAAATACTTGAGTCCCGCCTTTGCTGTAAAGATCGGAGAGAGTGCCATCAGAAACTGTTTCCGCGACCAGCTCAAGTACTTGCGCGAAGAAGGCGAGGAGAAAATGGGCGCTCGACCCACCGTCTTTACCGAAATTGGTATCCCGTACGACATGGACGACAAGTATGCGTACAAAACCGGCGACTACACCAGCCAAACGCTCGCAATGGACGCAAACCACTACGCGTTGGAGGGTTCTGGTGTAGCAGGTTTTGCTCTTTGGACCTATGTGCCATCAAACAACCACTACTGGGGTGACAACTGGAACGGCGAAGACCTGTCCATCTACTCTGTCGACGACAAGCAATTGCCCACTTCACCCGAGGTGGACAGTGCAACATACAACCCAGAGTCCCCATCATACTCAGAAGGTAGAACATCCGGAGACGCGTCGGTCAGCCCATCAATACTGAAGAGGACATTATCTGTAGATCGAATGAGCGCCTCCAAAACACCTTCTATCAGCTCCGATGGCGTCGGCATGCGTGCAGCCGAAGCATACGTAAGACCGACCCAGACAGCAACACACGGCCGTGTCGTGTCCCACGGATTCGACCTCAAAAACTGCACTTTCCATTTGACACTCTCTGCGCCTAGCCCAACGTCTGAAGATGCACCTACCGAGGTCTTTTTGCCGGAATACCACTTCCCTCAAGGCAAGACTGAAGTCGAGGTGCTGGGAGGAAAGTGGAAGATCAGCGTGGATCAGACAGAGGGCGCGTCACAACAAGTACTGCGGTGGTGGCATGCGGCAGGCGAGCAAAAGTTGACTATCAGAGGACCTAAGAGACGACAGGGTACGGCGATTGATTCGGAAGCCGAAGCGGGATATCTAGATCAGTGCAAAGAGACTGGCAAGTCTTGCATTATGATGTAGAGAGAGAAACGACCCATGGTTTTGGTGCTTGATCACAAGCAAAAGTTGTCAATACTACCTGAGGCTCTCATGTCGAATCGTTTGCTACATAAAAGTACCCGAAGCCCACAGCAGAGGCCTATCGACGTCCGTTGATGATAGGTATGAATCTCGTTCCACCTGCTCTTCTCTCAACGCGGACTTTGAAGGTGCTCTCGCCGCGAGAATGACGATACAAACGTGATCATCCTCGCCGTCATCACTCTCGTCGCTGTCCTCGACCTCGTCTGAACCGTCCTTGTCGCTGCCCTCATGCTCATCCGAATCACCATCGTCGCTGTGCTCGGCCTCATCGTCATCACCTTCCTCTTCATCCTCATCCTCGTCCGAATCCTCGTCCGAATCTTCCTGACGGGTCAAACGCTTGTCGGCCATACGGGTGATGGAGGCAGCCAGATCAGCAGACAGAGAAGGGGACAGTGACATCAGGTCGAAACCTTCGGGGCGGTGGAGGTCAACCTGCGTGTTCCAGATACGCGGGCGACGATGGAGGCCGGGGAAGTTGTGTTTGTCGTTGTCAGAGATCTTGATTTCTCTCTAAACGACCAGATCAGCAAACGTGTTGGTGACGATGAATGGAACGGAAAAAGACTTACAGAAACAATGCGGGCAACTCGATCCCTGTCCTGACGGACATACTCGTCGTCGAAGCCATTGGCGGCGCCTTGCAACAGCATGTTATCCAGACTAAGCAGGACATCGTTGTATGCACTGGGGCGTTTCTGGAGACCCGACTGCCAAAGCGAGAGGAAGCAGTCGTAGTGACACACAGCCGACCAGATCTTGTGGGGAAAGGTGAAATAGCCTGTGTTGAGAATCATGGTGCAGAAGTGGATGAAGAACTTGCAAGAGTTGTGCCCCTTCATATCCAACGCCATCTTTGCCATAGTGAGTGTGCAGTCAAGGCTGAGAATCTGTACGTTGTATTGCCAGCAGGAAGTGTCTTGGTCATGTTGTCCGTTTTCCGTAGACCAGTACGCCAAGGGAACGCCCTCTTCGTTGAAGCCGGGAGAGTCGGCCTTGAAGACGAAAGCTGTCGAGGGCGATTCGTTGTTGTCCGGAAACAGCCATCCAAGGCCGGCGATGTACTGGTAAGCGTTGCTCAGTTCCAGTTGCCTCACAGATTGATGGTTGGGTATCTGATCCAAGTACTGCTTCTCGGCCTTGATGAGGTCGTAAAGATCCCAGCCGATAGCGTCGAGCGAGAGTAGGCGTTGGGTCATGGCTCTGACCGTGCTGGACACAAGACCATGTTCGGCACCGAGTATCTTGACATTCTGTCCATGATTGACAAGCTTGGAGATGGGATCCAACAGTCTGATCTGACGCTCGCAGAGTTCGGCCTGAGTAAGATCCTGGCGGAATGGCATGTTGATCTTCCAAACAAAGTCGATATGCGTCTGGGCTGGACTGGCTGACCACTCAACAGGACTGTCACCAGGCTCTGAGTGGATGTAGATGGGAAGGGTTGGCCAGATGTGGTAGGCCAGTTTGAGATGTCTGATGAAGATGTCCAGGTCTTCGGCCATCAACAAAGCACGGGTGACCTTCTCGGGCACTCGCTGGTGCCTGACAGAACAGTCCGAGCCAGGGGTGCAGCCGCATTTGGTGCTCTGATGCTTGATCGTGGCTTCCACGGTGGGATGCTTGAAGGTCTTGGCCACATTTCCGATAGCGACGTAAGGGAGGAATCTGCCTTTGTCGATCTCAAAGGCAAACCATTTGGCATGGATGAGGACGAACTCGTTGTGGGTTCGGACATACACAGACGCGTCTCGGTTGAGTGTCTTGTTGACAAGCATGACGGAAGTGTTGAACTTATATCTGTGGCCAGGCTCCTTGCCCTTGGTGGAATATTTGATGTTCTTAGCCAAGAGGAAATGGGAGAAGATCTCATTCTTGACCTCAGTAGGTAGAGTGTCCAGGGTTCGGCCACCATAGGCGCTTGAAGTTGTTGAACGCATCGCGTTTTGCTTTTAGCAAGGTGAGTTGGAGGAAAAGCAGAGGTGGAAGGAAGGAGATCAAGTCTACCTGATGGGAGTGGCAGGTGCGGTGCAAACAGAAGAAGTTCGGGAAGCCGCAGGTCGTGTTTTATCTGTCTCAAGCTCAACGCGTGTGAAAGTGATCAACCACTGAATGAAGTGCAAGCATGCCATGGCTTCTTTGTGGGTCAGTCTGGGACATAGCCAGACAGGCCAAGATCAAACCATAAACAAAGAAGAGAACAGCAAGCAAAACTCATAGAGTATGAGGATCAGTCAGGGGTCAAAAAGCCGAACAAAAGTGTCCATTTCATCCTCAAGGCACCTACAAACGCAGATGTCAGACACAAACATCGAATACCCGTAGATTGCATTTCACAGCCAGGCAAGTCTAGGAAGACCTGAGAATATCACTTCCACTCTACTTGAGAGCACAAAGAGTAAACAAGGACAGCAGATGCCAGATACCAAATGGTAGGTCATTGTCAAGACCCAGTCAATAGAAGTACTCTTTCGAAAGCTTTCCGCTCGACGTAAAGCTGGATGAACCCGTAGAGGAATTGCGATGTTGAGGTGGAAAAAGGAAAGATTGTTAGTCGGAGTCGAATCTTGAATTACTGGATCGGGAACAGATTACGATCATGTGACATGGTGTTCGGCGATGAATGTTGGTGTGGGAAGCAGCAGCCACTGCAGTCGAGTTGTTGCAGCAGCTCATAGTATGAATCAGACAGAGTGAGACACGGAAAACAGTCGTGCGTGTCTGGATACAAAAGATCAGGGGTGGTGAGCAAGCAGGCAGACGGTCAATAATCTCCTCCACACAAACAAAACTTCCAGACCTGAGCTCTCCTTACATCAACACAGCGACTATCTCTACATGGCACCATGACATCTCAGATTGATGGAGACAGACTATCGCAAATAACACAAGCTCTCGAAGCGACCTACGACGCGCGATCGACCAACGACACACGACGAGCAGCCCTTGAGTTCCTCGATGGCGCCAAGAAGCAACCAGACGCGCCGCAACACGGCTACTCGTTAGCTAGCGACGAATCGCGACAAGCTGCCATCCGTCACTTTGGTCTGGCCCTGCTCGAGTTCGCTCTCCGCTACAGGTGGGAAGAATATGGCCAGAACGAGGCCGAAACTCTGCGTGGCTGGATCCTCAACCTCGCCCAGAACGTATCCGAATCCGATCCTCAGTATTACCGCAACAAAGTAGCCTCGCTGTGGGTCGAGGTTGCCAAAAGATGCTGGGGTGCAGAGTGGTTGGACATGGATGCTCTCCTAGTAGCCCTATGGGAGACATCAGATGACAGCAAGCAGCTGGTATACAGGCAGATGGTGCTCTACATACTGGAGTGTCTATCCGAGGACATCTGCAACAGGGAAGACCCGGTCGCTGGTCTCCGTCAAGATGTGCTTGGTCAGTGCTTGAACGAGATTGTCATACCCAGCCAGTTGTATAAAGACCACCTCGAATCGCGTGGCAGCTCGCAAAACGTGCGCCATACCCAAGACGGGTGGCTTTCTCGCATGTGCGCCTTTCTCTTCCAGTGCTCTACCATCATCTCCCAAGGCGATCAAAGAGTCGTCGTCTCTGCTATAAAGACTCTCGAAGCTTTGAGACCTACAGTGACATGGCTCAGCTTGAGAGCTTTGACAGAGACAGAGTGTGCCCAGTCTCTGTACAAGATGCTCGCCGCTGGCGATACTGCTGTGCAGACGGTAAGACTAACACTCGCCCTTTCGACAGCACAGCCAGACTGATTCGTGCCTAGGCCACTATCGACGCTCTGCAGGCCATCCTGAGCCGCCCTTACAACCCCCACTTCCATGAATCCTGGTCCCAAATCATGCTTTCTATACTGCAACCGGATCACATCGAGTTGCTCAAAAACATCCATCTAAGCTGCAACACCTCAGCTGACGACATTGACGAGCCCAAGTATACCTTGCAGAAGAAGCTATCAGAGGTACTACCCTAGAATACTGATCTTGTTGGAGAAGTGCTAACTTATACAGGTCTTGTCAATTCTGGGAGACGCTGCTGCTTCCAACCCCGAAATCTTGGCTACGCCCGAGATTTGCGCTGCCTTGGTTGATGTGATGATGATTGCATTCCAGCATGATAGTCTTCTTGTCTCCATTCCCGTCCTGCACAGCTTCACAAAACTCTTGGTCGCAAAGAGTCCGTCCATCTCAAGTACTATGGGCCAGAGAGTAGCCGTACTCCTCGGCACTTGCAGCCAACGCCTCATCAAGTACGAGTCACTTTCACACGAAGAGTTACCGGTGATTCTCTACCTGAATGAGGACTTCGAAAACCCTCCTGAGTTGCATTCGTTCCTTGGCAATTACCGAAGATACTGTATCACCGTGATCGAGAACATCGCTTACTACATGCCACAAGAAGCTGTCGGCCACATACTAGATCAGACGGTGCAGATGGTCAACTCAATTTGCCAAGAGTTCAGACCACCTTTCCCATCTACAGGTCCCGCAAAGACGCCGATTCCTGTGCTGCAATTGGAGTCACAAGCATCTGTCCTCAGAAGCACGATGAATGGCTTCATTCAGTGGTACAGCAAAGCTTCGCGACCAGAATCAAAGTCCGATCAGCACACTACCAACAACGTCTATGGAGTGACGCTTACCAATCTGCGCGACTTTTGTTACAAACTGATGACCATGAAACCACAACATCCTGAGATAGCTCGTCTCACGACCCACATCGCGGTCAATGTTTTGGTAAAGACGTTGCAAGGACAGCCCGAGTTGGTCGTGAAGATTCTTGACTACTGTCTGAGTCTACAGTACCCAGACGATCCGTCCAACAAAGACTACTCGGCTGCTGTTAAGAACTTCCAAGGAGCACGTCTGGGTGAGATGCAACGGATTGCCATGTCCTTCCCAGATTATCTTCTTGACGTCTACTCCGACCTGGAGGCCAGAGTCAACAACATGATGTCTGCCGAAGATGCCGATGAGCGCACAAAGTGGGGTCTCCAAGCATTCTTGTTCATCATCGTGCACAGAGCATCTGCAGTTGACTCACAAGCACGACTCACTCGTCTTCAACAGATCATCCAGCCGGTCGTCGACATCTGGCAAGACCCCCAGTTGACTGAAGCATTGTCGACCTTTTCCGGGTTCTGCAACGTCGTCGGTCTAGAAGGCTTGCCAGAGTACCTCTCAACGCAAAGATATGCTTCCGTCCAGGACTGGCCCAGTCAGCCTCTGGACCAGGAAGGCAAGGCACGTCAAACAGATGTTCAGATGAAAGTCATGCGTTTGCCCCTCAACGCCACTAAAAATCTCCTCTCGGCCACTACTGAAAAGCTGAAAGAGTCATCACGCGAGTACCAGATCGGTGCCCAGGTTTGGGGTCCGGCAATGCAAGCTATGCTGTCCAATGTGCTGCAGATGACCAGACACGCCACATCCTTCCCCAACAGTAGCAACTGGTCAAACTTCCCTCCTGAACTGCAAATGGTGATGCAGAAGATGCTCGTCGACAGATTTTGGCAAGCAGGTATCTCGAACGAGAGCAGAGATGAGTTTTACGCCCGAATCGCTGAGAGTGGTGACACTTATGAAGGCTTCGCCTCTGCTATCCGTGGTATCCCTCGACAGATCCGTGATTGGTGCTATCACATCGTCTATGGCATGACGAGGTTCGAGGAAGAGTTCTTTGGGCTCAAGGAGTTGCCTGGGCCAATGGCTGAGGCATTGCTCACAGATGCCTCGTCTTTGTCTACGCATCACTTGCAGAGACTGATCGCATTAGTGGAAAGACTTGTGCAGAGATGTCCAGCCCACCACAGAAGACATTTCATGCCACCGATACTATCACTCTTCTTTTCCCAGACGGACAAGAAGATCAGTGCAGAGTGGGAAGTCATCGAGAGGTCGAGTACACAATCTGTCGAGGGTGAGGATCAACTAAACGACGAAATGAAGGCTGAGAGCGTGTTACGAGCAACAACCTACGCAGTCGTCAACTTCGCCTCTACCATCCTCGATCAACGACCAGCAGGTTCGCTCCTTCCCTCTACCAATTCTCCTTCTAAAACAAGTAAACTAACACCTGACAGATGTCACACCCTCCACCCAACCGCAACAACCCTCCCAACTCACCATGCGCACCCTCGTCCTCTCCGAAGCTTCCATCCTGGAACCTCTAATCCTCTTCTGCACCCACGCCCTCCGCATGCGCGACTCCCGCTGCTGCACCCTCATCTGCCGCATCCTACGCTCCATCCTCCCCACCTTCACTACCTCAGACGCACCAGCACCCCAAGTCCGCAACTTCATAAACACACAAGTGCTCAAAGCTTGCATCACCTCGCTCAATGATCCTTACTTTGTAGACGTCCAACGCGACCTCGCAAATTTGATTGCGAATATTCTGGCTACGTACTCGCCGTTGGAGAACACGGCTAGAGATGTGTTGCTCGAGTTGCCCGACATGAGTGCCGCCAAGGTTGATACGGCGATTGAACGCATCGTGGGGACTGCTAGTGAGCGTACGCAAAGAGTCTTGGTGTTAGAGTTGTTGGAAGGTGTTAGAGGTGTCTCTATACATGAGGCGGGAAAGATTGATAGGAGGGACCACAAGGCCAAGAGGAGTGCGATGCAGCAGCAGTATATGGAGGTTGAGCAGAAACCTGCTGGTGGAAAGAAGGAGCAGAGCCCCAAGTTGGAGGGTATGGCCGAGATGTTTGGAGGAGATTAGAGGAAAGAAAAGAAGTGTTGTGATCAAAGTTTTGTTCGGCCAACACGAAAGAGAAAGATCAGCAAGAAAGGGCGAATACGATTTCTCGATGTTCGATCTGAATTTTGTGTCTTGCTGGTTTACCTCCTTGCTTGCGCCATTCGCGCATAAACTCATCATTCCGAATGTTGTGTTAACCTTGAACCTGAATTCCATCTCGCTGGTAGTCGTAAAGCGCCAGTCTGTCGACTCGTTATGTTTTGTGCATGCAGAACCTCGGATTCTCAACCATCGTCAGCTTCGACTTGCTCAGGTTCATTGATCTCCTCTTGCTCGAATTCGTCGTCCTCCTCGTTTTGCTCAGATTCATAGGCCTCCTTGACCTTGACTTTTTTCTCACACTTTCCGTTGAGAATGTCGGCAAGACAGGCTTGCATATCTTCGTCGCGATGGACGCAGTAGCTCCTGGTGGGTGCCAATTCACAGTCGGTGTGATCGTGGGCGTCGCAGATCTCCCAGAATTCGAGATACGCCAGGCTAGGCAATTTGTCTCTGATCCAAGCTATCAGAGACATGCAACTTCCTTCGAGGAGGCAGCCGCCGAGTAGTTGCAGGTTCTGGAGGGTGTCTCTCTGTCTGCCAAGAAACTCGAGCAGTTCTTGCTCCGATATCTGAAATTCGCCGATAACGATCCCTTTCAAGCATTGTGATAGAACGCAACCCAGTACCTCTGGATAGTGTTGTGGCTCTAGATCGTCCCAATTGCACAGTCTCTCCAGGTTGAGGAATCTCAAGTTTCTGGCTGTCGAAACCATGCACTTGACAGACTTCGACACGGACCCGATGCCATCATCGTACAAGCAGATGTCGAGACGTGCCAGCTGGGTGCACAAAGAGCCCAGCGGTGTTTCGAAATGATCGGTGTGCAGACTGTACTCGCTTACACAGCGCTTCAGGCCGCCCTCGTGGATCGAAAGTTCGGTCACAGTGCAACCGTGACTAGTAACTGCGTTTATGGTTCGTTCAATCGCTGTCGTCCAATCCAATATCCACATCGAGACTTGTCCAAGAGCTAGATTATTTAAGGCATCTCTTGGGCCAACCACGTTGCGCTCGTTGTCGCAAAATTCGAGTTTCAAGTGTTGCTCTCGCTGTGCAAAAGCCTTAAAAGCAACACCCAGCAATGGCTCGGCGCTCTCGCAGATCCTCGACTTTGTTAGTTCGCGGCGTATGTTCCAGTAGGTGGTTGCAATTTCGGTGGTATCAGTGCTCTCGGAAGTCCCGGATGGCAGAAATGCAGAGACGCTCAACATAACATCATATATAGGAGAGACGTTGACTTTTTCGACGAATGAACCATAGTAGGGGTGTCGGGCCAACTCGATGAAGGCCTCAAGTGAAGGACGTGACATCAGGACCGTGATGTGTTTGAAACACTCTCTAGCAAAGCGCTGCGAAGCCATCTCGCGTAGATGCTTGCAGGTGAGTCGAAGCGCACGAAGATCATTTCTGTTAAGCTCGGAGCGGCTACAGATCTCCTTGAGGATCTGGTTGGGAAGATTCATGGGACAGAAGGTTAGTCTATGGTTGCCAGAGCTGTGAGCACAATGCGCCTTGCCTATCAGTGGCGTCTGCCATGATTGTGGAGGTATAGGATGTGATGTGCAGAGGCGTGTTTGATGTGATGGCGTCGATGTGTGTATGATGAAGAGTTGGAAAGGTTGTGATGGAGGTGGGTGTTGATGAATAGTGATGGAAGGTTTGAGGTGAATTGTGAGGTTATATACAGTGATGGAAGGTTGGTGATGTGAAGAAAGTTGCGGACGCTGATGGTGAAGAAGGTGAAGAAGTGAGAGGAGCAGGTCGGCGAGTGTTTTGATCGTGTTCTCCAACTAGCCGCGAATAAAGTGAAGGAAACACGACAAAGAAGGCGCGTCTGTAAGTCTGCGGTGTGTCTCTTCCCCTTGAACACGACTCTGAATTCGATACTTTTGTGACTTTGTCCGCAGTGCTTGCCTTGTTCATAAGAAAGCACGGAAACTTACTACACTCTTCCACCACAGTCTATACCAAAGCAGCGCCATAACTTTTCGCAGGCTGTTGTTCTTTTCAGACTCCCACTAGTCTTCCTTTCTGGGATGAGCCGATCACAAGAATGAATAGTGCCAGGCGGATGGCTACAGAGCAAAATGGTCTTTGATGGTACTCTATAATAACAAGTATATATCCACGTTCTATCACCTCATCTTTTACAGCTCATCCTTGACGGCTTCTGCCTTCTTCAAAGCCTCACAGACAGCAGGCGAGCCAACCTCCATACGATACACACACTTTTCCTCCTCAAAGACCTTCCAGATTTCGTTTTGCTCGGCACAGGCCAAGATGACGGTAGTGCTACGGTTGGGTCCGTTCCAGCAGTGTTGGCCATTCTCATGTCTCATGGCGATACGCTCGCCAGAACCAAGACCCTTGCCATCGGCAGAAACTTCTTCGTCGACGGTGATCTTGTCGAAGCGGACAAAGTTGCCCATGCGTGTGTTGCTGCCACCTTTCTTTGACTTTTGGGTGGTGTGTTCCATGAAGCAGAGTTCGTAGGTGTATTCGCCAGAGTCAACGGAGATGCATTGGCCCTTGAGGGCGCGGAAGACGCCATCGGGGCCGTACTCCTTGTTCAGGTCTTCGTTGTGGGAGTCGAGGTCTCTACGTTGCGAGTTGACGGCATCTTGGACAGACTTGAGACGGTCCTTTGCACCATTGACGGCAGCTGACTCGCCGCCTTCGGAAGAAAGATCGGCGAGGATACCATTCTCGATGAGAAGAACGCGGAGATCGCGCAGCTTTTGGTCAACCCAATCACGAAGAGGCTTGGGGAGATAGTTCTCAATCTCGTACACTGAAGACTGTTAGTGGATGTTAGAGAGAATGATCGAAAGACATGACTTACAAACTTCGACATCTTCACCATCGGCCTCAAGGTATGTCTCCCAGTCGAGACCGTTGTCCTTGTCGGTCTTAGTAATTTCGTTGAGGTCTCTATCATGTGCCGAAGTATCGTCGCCACTCTTGTCACGAGCAGCGTAATCCTCCCAAGCACGAACAGCTCTCTTGACACCTTCGTCGTTAAAGTTGGGGTTGTACTCCTCCTTAAATGTGGTCAAGATAGCTTCCAGCTCCTTGACACGGTCCTTGGAGGTATCACGCTCCTGGCGAACGCGGACGAGATGATCTCTCAGCTCCTCGGTTCTCTGTTTTGCAAGACCGACCAGTACACCCATCTTGCCCTGCTTAGCGCCCTGGCTCTTGACAATCTTGCCCTTCTCACGACGTTCGACTTCAGCCAACTCTCTCTCCATATCCGTGACGTGGATCTCAGAAGCGGTGAGTTGTGTCTGCAAAGTCTTGATTCTGTCCTCGACCTCCTTTCTCAAGCGTGAGGCCTCGGCGGTGTACTCGTTTCTCTTCTTGTTGGCGTTGTTCCGAGCACGCTGGCGCGTCTCGGTCTTCTTTCTCCACTCCTTGCCAATCTCTGCGCACTTGTCCTGGCACTTGACACCGCCGACGCCAGCCCACTCTTCGCTACCATCACAGCAGAGGTCGTAGTCGCAGAATCCGTCGTTGACGCTGGTGTAGGGGACGTAGCTAGGCTGATGGCCCTTGTTCTTGCAGTAGAAACCAGGCAAGACTTGTGTAGAGTTTATCTGATCCTTGTTCGTGGTGTCGGAAAGGGTGGAAGGCGAGAGTGGGGAGAGGTAGGAGCAGGCAGAGGTGCCAGGCTCATCGGAGCCATCAGGGCAGTCGCAATAGTCGTCGTTGACTTGGGAGAAAGGGATCTTGATGGATGGATTGGAAATGCAAGTAAATGATTCAGCATCCTTGTAGAACTTTGCAACTGAGAACAGAGAGAGAAAAATGTCAATTTGAGTGTGACCAGAAAGCTATAATGGTAAACTTACACTCGGGTCCTACACCACGAGGCCGCGAAGGCTCAGCAGCGACAGACGCAATTGATGCAGCCGCAATGAACCATGCTCCAGCTGCCTTCATCTTGGATGTATATCGCAAAGGATCAAAACACAACAGACAGTCCTGGATCTGAATGCTCGATGCTTGCTCCATCACCCCCGAACCCAAAGCGACACCTTTACCGTCGAGACACGTCCGTGCGCTTATCGCATCTCTTATCAGTACCTCATCGTCCCCACACTCTCTCATGTCTCTCCATCTGCATCTTGCCACTGGGAAACATCACAACCACAAAATAGATTCAATTCATGATACCCGAAGATGAGATTGCCAACTATGAAGACTTCCGAGACAGTGTCTCCGAACTTCTGATCTCGAGACTCTCGGGCACTGCAGATAAGAAGAAAAAGAAAGCTACCAAGGGCCGCAAGAATGAAATCAAGCCTGTAACCAAGCCAGAGCAGGGTCAAGAGGACAATGATGCTCTGGCTGCTGATTTGGGCGAGACGATAGAGGTACAATCAAGACGTCTTTGTCGTTTTCTGTTCTTCTATACTGATATTAACACAACTCTTGTAGTATCTTGCTTCCGAGATATTTCCTTCGTTGCCAGATGATCTACGAGTCATCTCATATAGTGATGTCCAGAACAATTCACAGCTGGCTGAGAAATACAGCGTTCCTCTGGACTCAGACGTTTACGAGGATCTATTACAACCAATGCCATTATCTGTATCGGATTCATTGACCTCTTACGGTCTACTCTCGGACCCCACAGACCTGCCACGATTACTGGAGCCTGTCTTTACAGCATACATCACAAGCAGAACAACCGCACCGCCAGAATTTGCACCTGCGAGTCGAGCTTCAGAGTGTGAGATTTGCGAGAGGGAACACTTGCCTCTTACCTATCATCATTTGATCCCGAGAGCAGTGCATGCAAAGGTCGTCAAGCGTGGTTGGCATGCTAGCTGGGAGCTGAACAAGGTCGCTTGGTTGTGCAGGGCTTGCCATAGCTTTGTTCATCGGCTTGCGACTAACGAAGAGTTGGCCAAGGAGTGGTATAGTATTGAGTTGCTGTTGGAAAGGGATGATGTTCAAAAATGGGCAGTCTGGGTTAGCAAGGTTCGGTGGAAAGCAAGGTGATGCGAGACATCCTCGTGTGATGCTTGCATCTCCTGCAAATAATATATGAGCTTTTAATAGACGCGCTATGCTATGCAATGATCAAGATCCACGTTCTCATGCTTCGCCAAAGTTCATGTGGCCTGTCTGCTTCGCGTGCTCGGTAGCACCTTGCTCGCCTTTACCAGTCCAACCACAAACGTTGCACTTGATAGTGAACCCGTGAGTGTCGGTAAAGTAGTGTCTCTGTTGCAGGATCTGACACAGTTCTCTAGCAGCTTGCAAAGCTCCGCCATCTTCACCCTCCATACCCTCGATCTGAGCAACCTCGAAGATTTTCCTATCAAAGTCGGGACTCGTGCCCTGGCCAGGAGAGACGGCGACCACATCGTAATGAATGCCGGAGTAGATCAGAATACAGCGTCTTGATTTGCCCTCGTTGAAGCGGTCAACTCGCAAGTCCTGGACGTTGATGCTGCAAATCTCAATATCGAATTGTTGGGAGAGGATGGCGAGTTCGATACCGCCACCCCAAGAATCATCGCGCTGAATCCAACGGCAGTAGTCGTCGGGTGCCTTTTCAAGCATGCCAGCGGTATACAGGTCTGGGTTCGATTGGATGGTCTGAGCAACCAGGGAGCGCAACTGATTGCATGGTCAGTCAAGAGCCAAATCGTCAGCGGCCATAGGAACGAACCTCATTCATAGCATCGAGTGCATCACCCAAGACAGCGCTTCCTAAAGCTCTAAACATACAGCTGTTGTCGTCGGGCATCACACGAAGAACAAGAACACCTTCCAGATTTGGCACAGGCACCTCAGGCGGATCGCTCTCTACATCATTTGGCTTTCTCTGGAGGGACAGCGGTGCAGCTTGTTCTCCTTTCGTCTGACCAGAATGAAAGTCACCCGGCTGATGTTGAGGCGGTTGGATGTTCTTTAGCGAAGGCAAAGTTCCATGGTTTTGAGGATCGACATGGCTGGCCATGGGGTTATGCAATGACTGTTGGACATCGCGTGGCAAGATGATGAGTTGTTCGCCGTCGAGTTTGATACCGACATCGGTCAGTTTAGTATCGTTGTCGATGCTTGTTGTGTCCAAGTTTTGCGGTGGGTAGCCGTACTTGACATCAAAGTCGGCGACAGATGTTTTGGTGGATATCTCGTGCTTGAGTTCACCCCATGTTGCCGTGTCTGGCATATTGACTTGGGACATGCCCGAAGGACCACGGATTCGGATACGCATGCTGCTGAGATGTGTCTAGTCTTTGTGAAGCTGTGTTGTGTATTAATTGTACCCTTTTGAAACGTGTTGTGTGGAAGACAAGAAGAGACGGATGTGTCAAGGATGTGTCGACAGTTGATAGTGATAGCTGAGAAGACGTCATTGAGGCCAGGGTCTACCCCTCGGCATCATCTTACAAGCATCCGAGAGCCATCACCTCAAACATGTGCCTTTCAGATGTGGAATGCTACAGAATATCGCTTGGCATCTGCTTTGTTGAACGCTTTCAAGCCAAACACTCTCTATTCACTTGGGTGGTTTCCAACAGGTACATACAGGTCTCTTGCATTTGTTTCGTTTGTTGGAGCTTTGGACAATCTGGTGGAGTGAAAGATGGTCTTGATTATGTACTTTAGGTACCCTGTATCTACAAGACGAGATCAACTCAGAGAGATTTGTGATCCAACGATACATAACAACTGAAATTGAAGGACAGCAAGGAGCAATGGATGCTCTTTGGAAGCAATGGGAGCTGATGAGAAGAACAACCATAGCTCTTACGGGCAACGCGGCCCGAGACGTCGACCAGGATATGGCAACTATAGCCGGGCGATGTGCCAAGAGCGCGCGCATCGGTGAATCGACGACCGACGCGCCCTCGGTGGACTCGCGACTTGTAATCGACAGAGGAATAGCTCTCATCGAAGACACTCGTCGATCAAGCACTGGAAACAACGAGTCTTCGCTCTCCGAGTTGCGCATCATGGCGTCCGACGCCGCAATGAGTCAAGACAACACACCCGTTCCCTCGACTGAGGGAGCAACCCAAGGTCAGACCATGTCTGAAGCCGAGCTGGACCAGATGCAGAGCATCCTCGACTTTGTCTACGACTACAGAACCCCCGAGTATGCGCAGTTTAATCCACAATCTTACGCGACTCTAAACTGACACGTGTACAGCGGCCATGACCCTTCCAAAGTCTTCCACCGCAAGGTTAATAAGCGCGCACTTCCACACTACTACGAGGTCATTAAGGATCCCATGGCTATGAGCACTATCAAAGCAAAGATCAACACCAAAGAGTACAAGAGCTGGTCAGAATTTGTGCGCGACTGGGCTCTGATCTTCCACAACTGTCAAACCTACAACAGACCCGACGCCGGCGCATACCAGGATGCCTTGACCCTCCGCGACGTCGTCAGCACCGAATTGAAGAAGCTCGTCCAACTCAACGTCATCTCAGAAGAAGTCGCCAAATTCCCCTACCTAGGCGAGATCCCGCCCGCCGACGACCTTGCCGAGGAAGATGATGACGAGGAAGACGAAGACGATGAAGAGGATGACGACATAGGCGGCGACGATTCAGACGAAGATGGCACCAAACGTAAGAGGAAGCGTGGTCGTCCTTCAAAACGCGACCGTGATCTGGACAAAGACGACGATCCCGAGACCAGAAAGAAGAGGGGCAGACCACCAAAGGTGCTCACTCCCGTCGAAGCTCGCATCCAAGCTGTGCTCAAGGGCATCAGAAAACCCAAGGGGCCCGGTGGACTGAAGATCGCAACGTTTGAACGCCTGCCCGACAAACAAGCCATGCCCGAGTACTACGCTGAGATCCGAGAGCCCATGGCATTCGACGTGCTGAAGCGCAAGCTCAAGAGGAAAAAATACCAGTCGCTCGAGCAGTTCATGAGAGATGTCGACCTCATGTTCAACAACGCAAAAGCATACAACGAGGATGACAGTCAGATCTACAGGGACGCCGTCGAGTTGCAAACCGAGGCGCACCGTCTGGCCAATGAGGAGCGCAGCAAGCCCGACACCGATTATGCTATGGACGAAGGCAGAATCCCTCTGCCCAACGGAATCCTCTACAATGGCGAGCTCTACAAGGTCGGCGATTGGGTCCACGTACAGAACGCAAACGACCTGACCAAGCCCGTTCCCTGCCAGATCTACCGCACCTGGCAAGACCCCCAAGGCGGCCAATGGGTCAACGTCTGCTGGTACTACCGTCCTGAGCAGACAGTGCACCGCTTCGACAAGCACTTCCTGGAGAACGAAGTAGTCAAGACGGGCCAGTACCGCGATCACCGTGTTGACGAGATCGTTGGCAGGTGCTTCATCATGTTCACCACACGCTACTACAAGGGCCGCCCTCGCCGTCAACCCGCAGATCTGGACATCTACGTGTGCGAGGCTCGCTACAACGAGGAGAAGTTCAAATTTAACAAAATCAAGACGTGGGCTAGCTGCTTGCCCGACGAGGTGCGCGACAGAGACTACGAGATGGATCTGTTCGACATGCCGCGCAAGATGAGGAAGGTACCCAGTCCGATTGCATACCTCCTGAAGGACACAGACAAGGAGACGGACGACATGCCCAAGCCTGAGTGGGGAGCGGAGAATGCTCCTCCCAAGATTGGTGCTGTCCACAGACGCTCGCGCGATCCCAGAGACTCTCCTCCTCCAGAGCCTACACCCTCGCCTCCACCCGCGCCAGTTGTTCCTCAAGTCCAGGCTCGTCAATCTATGCAAATGTCGCCCTCCAATCCTGCTGCCACCATGCAAGCATATTCGCCCATGCAGGCACAGATGACGCCTATGCAAACGGCCGTCCAGCCCATCCGTCCCATGCAATCCATGGCTCGTCCTTCGCACACTCCTGCTGTTCAGCACTACACACAGAACCATTCCGCTTCTCCCGCACCTATGCCTAGCCTCCATCGCGGATCTTCTGGCTCCTTCAATCCCGCCACCCCTCAACACACAACCACCATGCCTCTGCCTCGCACCACCAGCCACACCTCGACCTTCCAAACACAACCTCCCGCCATCCCACCTGCTCCATCCGCCTCACAAACCCGCTCTTCATACCGCGACCCCGCACCCATCGAAGTTTGGACGCTGCCCGACTCAGCAAACGCCAGCATCCCACCCGAGATCCGCAACATGTACCAAACCGACGATCAAGGCCGCATCCTCTTCTTCCCCACCCCTCCCGTCCAGCTCGCCGACGAACCCAACGACCCCAACAAGAATCTCGGCCACAGCCTCCACTACATGGCCGAAAAGTCGCGCCGCACTCAAGAAATCGTCGCTCGCCGTAAAGCCTACGAACAAGGCAAGCTCGCCTTCGCAGCCCAGAAAAAGCGTCAACGCGAGATTGATGACGAGATGCGCAATGCGGACTTCGAAACTCAAAAGAACAGAGCTTTGCAGATGTTGAATGAACATCTCACTCGCAGCACTGCCTGGGAACTCAAAGCCATGTATGGAGAAGAAGGCTGGAAGGATGGCATGAATGCTATGCTGGGTAACTTGGAAGAACAGCAGAAACTCGCTGGGCAGAGAAAGGTGCTTATGGAGAAGAATGCTGCTCTCAGGGCTGCTGAGAAGGTGTCCCTCAAGTCGAATGGTGTTTTGTTTGACAAGGTCGAGGAGGGTTCAACTTTCTGAGGAGGAATAGACAAGAGATGATGGCATGGAGTTGAAAGCGTTCGGTGCATCTGCATTTTCGAGGGAGTCTATGGTGTTGCACTGTGTTTTGATGATTACTAACGATACCCCTCTGAACTACTCGAGGAAAACGCAAGGAGGAACAAGAGGGTCACGGAAAGAAGAAGAAATGGTTGTTCAAGCTGTTGTTTCCAACCCAGCAAGCAGAGCCCACATCCTCAAATCAAAGACATATTTTTCAAACCGATCAGTTTTTCCTTCCTCTGATGATTCGGCATCTTTTGCATCTGACCTTTGATGATCAACACCGTACTTTCTCAGCGTCTGGTATATGTTTCCCGGCAAGGCATATCTGCACGCTTGGGCAGTGCATAGAGTAGATCATCACGATGATGAGACCATCACGTGGTATACGTGCGGACAAGGCATAGCACAGCAAATTCACGGATACAGGACTGCAGAAACAGGAGAATGCGAAAAGTATGCCATGCCATCATAGTACAGCACCACCCAAGCAGTAGGTAAGAGCAGGATCTGAGGCAGTCGCATGAGACACGGCTTCACGCATGGCCTTTCGCAGCAGATGAATCATGCCTGTATGCATTGCAGCATCACCACATGTCTGAGGCTCACAGTCCCATGTGGCCATCGGGTCAGCCGCCATTCAAGCAACCGAGTGTAACACAAGCATCGGAATGTGTAAGGCTCCGCATTGAAGCTACGCATATGCGCATAGAATAATCTACTCGATACCTGTCCGTGCGATCAGAGTCCTGCAGCGGCGACCCGGCAGGTTCCTGATCACTCATCTCTATGACGCAGACTGTCGTCGTGATATCACGACAAAATATACCGCAATGCCCACACCGATGGCATCGAGTCCGAGTGCTAGACACCACGCCCCTCGGATCCCCCACAGGCCGCCGTGTTTTTCACTTACGTATCTCTCAACGGTGCCTGCAATACCCAAGCCAATGCTGATACTGTAATTGACTACAGTGGACACCAAGCTGGCAGAGATACCTTGGTGTTCCTTGGCCATGGCATTGCTGAGCAAGATAGTGCCTGACGGGAAACTCCAGTTCATGCCAATGGGCATGACAAGCACACTCCAGAAAGTAAGAACCCAGTAAGTTTGGTGGACGGGGACAAATGCAAGGAACAGTGTGCCGATGAAGAAGCCGAGCATAGCGCACAGCATGATATATGATGTTTTGAACTTGCGGGCCAGCCAGCCAGCGGACATGGCGAAGCCGACTCCCGTGATGGCAACAGGAGATATCTGTGCTGCGGCGGCAATGGCGCTTGATCCGCGGAAGCGTTGGACAAACTGGAAGAGGTAGAAGAGCCAGATTCCGTGGCTACTCCAGCCAGCGGCGATGCATGAGAGTGCTAGCACAGCTTCTTTGCTTAACCCTCGGACGGGCACCAAGGCTTGCTGTGCGTGGTTCATCTCAAGATAGACGAAGGCGATGAGTAGCATCACACCCATACCGAGGGTGAATGGTATGTACGCTTTGTCCCAGCCCACTACAGGTGCCTGGTTGAGTGCAAAGTTGAACAGCACAAGCCCTGATACACCAGTGCAAGCGCCAGCGAAATCGAATGTCGAGGTATTGGTCTGTCGTGGAGGCGGACAAGGTATGACCATAAACGATAAAACTGCCATACCAACACAGAGTATAGCGAGCACCCAGAACGCCCAGGGCCACCCTAACGACGTCAGCTTGCATCTTGCACAGGGAAAGAGGTGAATAACTTACACGCGAACTGTGATAACAGAGCGGAGAAGATAGCCCCGAACACAAAACCAGTGGGACCGCAGGCGCCGAATGCCGAGAAGACCATGTTGCGCTTCAAGCCGACGGGAAAAGTGGTACCGACGAGCGCCATAGCATTCGGCACCAGGATGGCGGGTCCTATTCCCTGGAAGCCGCGTGTGACGCTGAGCATTATAGAGCCGTTCGATTTGGCCGCATAGCTGAAGCCTACGATCACCGACGTGACAGCATACCAAATCCAGCCGACAATGAACATGCGCTTGTGTCCGTACATATCTCCCAGACGACCTAACCTGGGTTAGCAAATTATTGCAAGCGTGAAGTGTGTGCAAGACATACCGGCGGGCAGTATGAACGCGCCGACTGTCAAGCTAAATGCTGCAGTGTACCAACTCATCGTTCCAAGATCCGTTGGAGCCACTCCCAAGTCCTTGCCAATGATGAAAAGCGGTGCTACGGACTGGCCAAGACCGCCGAGCGTAATGAACTGCGCCATGCAGACGGTGACGATGAAGAGGAGTTCACGAGCATTCAGCTTGGCCTTTGCAGGTGTCTCAGGTAAGAGAGGAGGTGCTGTGAGATCGCTCTTCTCAATGCGAGGTTCATCGTTAAAAGGCTTTATGACTTCGTGTGAAGCACAGCCATGAAGAGTCGGCACCTTGCTCGTATTGAGTGAGATATTGTTGAGATCGAAGTCGAAGGAGACAGCCTGGCCGATGGGTGTTTGTGGCGGATAGTTCGAGGCCTGTCCGAGGGTCGTTTCGGAACGAGCAAAGTCAGTCCTTGATGTATGGTTATCGTCGAAGGAAAATGCTTCGCTAGAAGAGTCTGCAGGCATCCGCTCTGCATGGCAGCCATCCACCATGTGTCGCGGGTAAGGCGAGTGTCCGCCCATGGTCATATGTCTTGGTTGTATTGGTGCTTTCTTGGTCAGTATGCCTTGTTGCATGCCTCGTTTCGCAGAAATGAGACCAAGTGCAGCCAAGTCCAGCGATATATAAGATCTGCTGGGCGCCTATGCGCTTCAAATGCCCTCCTCAGTTGCGTATCGCCTTCTCGGTCGTTCGGACAAACCGATTGGCACAGCCATGTCTTGCTATTTCCACATTCCTTGACGCAGCCTAGCAGCCGTAGGTTCAAGTCAGCATTGTGGTGCGCTACAAGATTGTAAGAATCTGGACCAATTCATAGGATCGAGCCTGTTGGTCAGAATCAAGACACAGAGCTTGTAAGCTGTTGCATTGCCAATCTGGACATTGGTCCGAGGCTTTTGATCCTGCTGGCCATGGCTTCCGAAGAACGATGATGGAACACCTTGTGTACATGCGAATGTGTCGCACAGCTTACCCACCCTTTTATCTCGTGGTGTTTATTCTTAGAGTCGCAGGGTTATGCTGGAGGAATCCGCATCCGTCTAATTGGATATGCGTTTGAGCTTTCATCAAGGATGGTATGACTGCGTGGTAGAGCTGACAACATGTTTCGACATTATTCTGACCAGAGAGCTCTTCACTGTCGGAGCCAGATCTGACGTGCTTAACTAGCGCCAGTCTCGCGGCGTGATCAGTCGTCCGACGGATGTATCATCTTTAAGTGATGGGTTTGAGGCGCAATAATGGTCTTCAAGTTGAAAGCTTGTCATGAAGCCAAGTGTGAAGTATACAAGTAGAGAGTAGTAGCAGGCAGGTACCGATCCCGGCACGCCGCATTCCGAGGTCGGGCCACTCTTTCCCTCGCTACTCGCATTCTCCAAAGCTTTGTTCGTTTCCACGATCATGCATCACAACATAGTCCGGATCAGAAGTTACGCCTTGCCCATGGCTCCTGCAGAAGGGGTCTATCTTTACATGGCCACGATGCTTTGGGCTCGTTTGATCTCAAGAAACGTGAAGTGTGCCTCATCTTTAAGCTGCATGTGTGAATTGTCTTGATGATCCCGAGCACCTTTTTACGACAAGCTCTAGCTTACTCTGTGGCCTGAACAGGCGTGTAAGGACCGAATCACTTACGAGTTCTTTCTTGGGATCTGGAGTAAATTCTGCAGACCCTTGTCAATGCACCACGTAGGCTTATCCGCATTTTCGACTACACTACAGCCTTGCACGTTATGCACAGACATTGGTACAACATCATCTTCACCCGATGAACCATGTATAGAGTTGACTGGAATGACCGGTACTGAGCCTTGCTCTACACTGACCCCAGCCTGGCAATAGCAAATGGATGTAGCCTCAATTGATACAAGGGTTTTGTACTCCTTGGCTAGCCTGCTCCTCCTTCCAGTCAGACGGGGATAGCCTTTTATCAAATGTTTCTCTTTTCAAAATAAACCCTCACGGCTCTGCGGCACGAGCGATGACAAGCCCTTTTAGAGATCATCACACTACCGACTAGTCGTTTACTGTGCTCAGCAGGACAATCCAGGATCACCAACCGGCCTTCCAAGCCTCGACCAACATGTAGTATATACTGCCACTGTCCGCTCCGTCTTTCATCCTCTCATCGTGAGAATTGGCAGATGTGCAACCTCTTATAAAGAACAGCGAACACTCGTTGATCTCAATCCTTTTAGTGTGGTCTCGGCATCTTACATCTCGTTTCTTTTGGTTCTACACCGGCGATGTTGTCTTCTACAACACTAGCCTATTGCTTCGTCTGGGCATCTCTGACCCAACATATCGTAGCAGGGGGCTCAAATGAATATGACTCTTGGGGACACTCTTACGGAGACTATCAGAACGGGTGGAACTCTCGCTCCTCTTCGACTTGGCAGAGATCTACGTCTCGAACGAAGGCTGCCAGTCCGGTGACCTCCGCCACTAGCGGTCTCACTGTTTCTTCGACCACCCATGGAAAATCTTCGTCTGACTGGCAAGATACATCATCCTCTTTCAGGTCAACTGCCACCACTGTCACTGCCAGCCTCTCCAGTGTCGAATCGACCACAACATGTTCATCTATCGCTACCTCAGTGCCTTATCCTGCTACTAACTCAACCGTCTCTGGCACCTCAGCATCTCCTTCCAAAACAGGCACGGCTCTCACCGGTGATGCTTCCTCTACCTCTGGCAATACCGTGACGTACGATTGGAATATTGGGTGGGTGATTGCCGCACCAGATGGAGTTGCTCGTCCTGTCATCGGCGTCAATGGTCAATGGTATGTCCATCTTCTGGTACAGACTTAGCACATGCGTGGCTAACTACCTACAGGCCATGTCCATCCATCGATGTCATGCAAGGTGATCGTGTGGTTGTCAACGTCTACAATGGCCTAGGCAATGAAAGCACTTCCCTCCACTGGCACGGCATCCACCAGAGAGGCACGAATCATATGGATGGCGCCACTGGAACGACCCAATGTCCCATAGCTCCAGGCCAAAGCTTCAGATATGAGTGGATTGTAAGTCAACACATAGTATGTGAAGAGCCGATCACTGACATGACATGTTCAGGCCGACCAGGCAGGCACTTACTGGTGGCACTCTCACAATATGGGTCAATACCCTGATGGCCTCTGGGGACCACTCATTGTTCGCGACCCCAACCCACCCTACCAGTATGACGAAGAACTCATCATCACCCTCTCTGACTGGTACAACGATCAGATGCCTTACATAATTCATCAGTACCAGTCTACTGCTGGCGAGGCTGAAGATGGTACCCCTAATCCAGTAGGTGGAGCTTTGATCAACTCTGCAAAGAATGTCTCGATCCATGTCAAGCCTAGCACGACATATCTGGTCCGTATCATCTGCCCTGCTGCTTTCACCGGTCATGGCTGGGTCTTTGATGGTCACAATCAAACCACTGTGGAAGTCGATGGTGTGTACACTGTACCCGTCGTTGCTACTGCTGGCGGTAAGAATGTTCGAATCGCTCCTGGACAGAGACAATCGTTCTTGATGAGAACCAAAGACACCACGGACAAGAATTACGCCATTCTTGATTTCCAGGATCCCAATATGCTTTTCATCAATAAGGGTCTCACACCCGACCCTGTCTATCCACTCAACGCTACTGCCTGGTTGGTTTACAACACGAGCGCAGATTATCCACCTCCACCAGTCCTCTACAACCTTGGAAATAATGATTTCTTTGACGACGTCAACTACGTTCCCTTGGACAGAGAACCTCTTCTTGGACCAGTTGACCGACAGTTGGTCATCGACATGTCCATGGAGAATATTACTGGCATCTCCAGGTAGGTGCCGCCAGATTTCACTTATCATTCGGTATAAGAGACTGACAGCGATTTCAAGGTATATCTTGAACGGACACACATTCATTGGTGCCAAGGTGCCTACCCTTTACTCATCGCTCACTGTCAATGAGACTGAAGTGTCAAATCCAACAATCTACGGAGATGTCAACCCGTATGTCTTCAAGTATGGCGAAGTCGTCGAAGTAGTCATGAACAATCTGCACAGTAACTTGGTAAGCTAGATCTGGATCCAGTGTCGTTATATCATTTACTAATGCTTCTTTCGTAAAGCATCCTATGCATCTTCACGGTCACCAGTTCCAGATTATTGAGAGGTCTGATCCCAAAGCCGGCAAATTTAGTGGTTCATACTCCAAACTGCCAGCCAAGCCTATCAGGAGAGACACAGTCATGGTCCAGAATGAGGGTTATGCTGTGATTAGATTCAAAGCAGACAACCCAGGTCAGTGCAACAAAATCAGAGGAGATATACAAGATACTGACAGGCATAGGCATCTGGCTCTTCCATTGCCACATCGAGCTCCATGTTGAAGCCGGATTTAGCGCATCCTTCATCGAAGCCCCAGAAGAGCTCGCTGCTAGTGGATTTACCCTTCCAGGAGACCATATCAATGCCTGCAAGACGTATCCTATGGACTACGTTGGTAACGCTGCTGGCAACGATTACAATGCCCTCAATTTGACAGGCGCACCAGATACAGTTCCAAAGAATAACTGGGGGTAAGTCCTCCAATGGGATTACACCAATGTTGATGTACTGACAAGAGCTAGTGCTATATATCCGCCCACCGAGGACAGTGCTCACAGTTAGATTTTAGATTGGAGTGGTTGGGTTGATACATAGGTGGCGGAGTCTGATAACCGTTCTGCAGCGATTTTGTGTTTTGTTAAGTTTGAATCATCTGTTTCTTGCGACCGGGTCTACAGTGTTCCCTGCCATTGTCATCATGTAAAGATACTCGGCGTCAGCCTGTAATCAATCATCCATTGGCTTCAAACATTTTTGGTTCGTCGAAGTTATTGCGGTTATAGATTCTCGTCAGCACAACTTGTTGATTGGATCAACGAGTAACAAATGAGGTCTTGCATCCTTGATGTTGGTCATAAGAATAAAAGAATAAGTTGGCAGTTGGCAAAACTCTTCGGAGATTGGTGAAACGCGACTGCCGATGACGTACACAATTTCGCGCCTGAACGCGGCAACCGCGAGACTCTCATACTGAAGATCCTTACGAGTTGAGATAATATCTCACAGTATCTGGAGTTTCAATCGAGCTGTCGAGTATGTCACAGTGTCAACCGCGTCCGCCGAGGTCGCAACTGGAGAATAGACAGGCTGCCAACAGGAGTACAGCGATCGTTGTCCCGGCTTTGTTGGTCGGAATTGTCGGATATGTCACCTGGGTTGTGGTCGTTCTTATAGGTGGTAAGTGCCATATCTATCTTGGACAGGACCAAAACAACTTGACCAATTGAAGCCTCGCACCTCCAAGTCTCACACGAATTGAGAACCTCAAACTGACTTTCCTAGCCAACTATCTTATCAAACATCAAAGTCGAAATGGCACTGGGATTGCCATTATAGTGCTGTACTTCATATTTCTATTTCCTATGGCATCAACCTATCTGCGACTGCTCATAACCATACCACATCCCGGATTCATCGAGAAAGGAACCCCCACTGCCGCAACTCCAGTCAAGCCCGCAACGGAAGCTCCACCTCAGCATACCATCCAGGCCTCATGCGCAACTACAAAGGTGCAGGATGGTACAAATGAGACCGACAAGAAAGCTCGACCCGCCGTTCCTCAAGAACCTGCCGTAACTTTGTTGGACACGAAAGCCATTCTGAGTGGCGAGTTACCGCCGCCTCCAGGAACGGAGCGCTTCTATTCCAAAGAAGTCTTTGCTTGCGATCAGAATGGCCTTCCGATATGGTGCGGTGTTTGTAATAACTGGAAACCTGATCGATCACACCACGGAAGCGACTTTGGAAGATGTGTATTGAAGATGGATCATTTCTGTCCGGTAAGTTTAGGTCATGTATCCTTGTGGGAAACTACGCCAACATGTGTCTTAATCTAGTGGGTTGGAGGAGTCGTAGCAGAAAGAAACTTCAATTTCTTCATCCAGTTTACCTCTTACGCTGGATTCTACGCTTTGTTCGTTATGATAGTTATGGCTATCTTTGTCGCCGAAGCCAGGTCCAAGGTATGTGTCTCACTTATTCTCTTTTTCTTTTGTGCGAATGCTGATTCGATCATAGGGAAACTCAATCGGTGGTAATTGGATTGCTGGCATAACCCTCGGTGCTGTTTTCACACTTTTTGCAGGCGGAATGGCCATGACTAGCATTGGCCTCGCATTGAAGAACTTGACAACGGTTGACAATATCGGCCATCAGAGGAGGGTCATGCATATTGCCGTGCTAGTCGATTCACCGCAACAGCGCCAACCGAGACCCATGTCAACCGGCCATCTCAAACCATCGCATGGCTCAGAGGTTGACGAAGATCCTTGGCAGGGTACCATCACATACCCGTTGAATGTGATGCATGACGCATCTTCAGAGACCACGTTGCCACCACTAACCTCATCGCCGCCTAGAACGTTTGCCATCTTACGGACGCATCCTGGCATGAATCCCTGGAACCTGGGAGCGTTCAGGAATCTCAAGTCTGTTATGGGCCATCATTGGTATGACTGGTTCTTGCCGTTGCGACACTCGCCTTGCTGTAACCACGATCGTGGGGACAGCATGTATGAACTTGGACCCGATGTCGAACGTCTCAAGGTTGATGCGGGTCTTTCGTCCTCGAGCGGCAGGGATGAATCCGGCAGACGTAAGCATAGGAAGCACCGACATCGCAGAGAAGACTCTGACGATGTTGATATCATGGGCTCGACGCTTGCAAACGTCAACGGCTCGACGGGAAGAGAGCGGAATAGCTTTGGATCAGCTTAAAGCTAAGTCTAGTTTTCGCATATACATGATTCGATACACAATTTAGAAAGTGATTTCAACAATTCGTCCCACATTGCAACAATCGACCAACGGATCAAAAGAAGAGATACAACCAAGGTAAGTAAAGTGACCGCTAACAGAAACTCAGACAAAGCAAACCTCTCAAACCATCTTCGACCGCCGCAGCTCCCACTCCTCAGCTCTCCTCAATTCCTCCTGCGCAAGCCGAATAGCCTTCTCCATCGAAGCTCTCAGTCTTCCCTCAATCTCCTCAACCGGCGTCTCGCAGTTCATGAACCCAATGAACTTTCCAAACTTACGTCTCTTGATAGCAATCCTCTCTGCATCCGTAAAGCCCTCAGTAAACTGCACACTGGGCCTTCTCTTCACCATGACCATGTTCTCTGCTTCCTCTGCAGCTAGCAAAGTCTCCCACCATTGATTGCTTTCCACCTGAGAAGCGCTTTGGAGGTGTTGGGCTACGCTTGCTCGTCGCTTGGCCAGCATTTCCTTGTCCCAGTTCATGCAGGCCGGGTATTGGTGTGTGTAGACGCTGGGGGTGGATTGGTGGTAGTAGGAGGCGATGGCGTCGAGTTGTTCTTCGCTGAGCAAGTGGTAGTCTAGCAATGTGCGAGGGAAGTCTGGGTGGGGAGAGCCGGTGGGCAGAGGCACGAGAGGTGCGAGGCGCAGCTTCAAGTGTGCGATGCGAGCGGCGAGATGGTCCTTTTTCGCCGAGGTCGACATCTTGGGTTCTTGCTGCTGGGTGGTTTGTGTGGAAAGGATCGTTTGAAATTGGCTTCCGTGATAAGTGACGTGTGGTTGTTGTTGTTGTTGTCTTCTTCTGCGTTTTCGTCCAGCGAAAAGAATATTTGACGAGGAAGTAATAACTGGTGAACAAGACAGATAGCAGAAGGAGGAGGAGAGATGGCAATGAATGTTGGCAGAGGGTCAGGGGTAAAAGCAATACTTATTGCAGCCTTCACCGCGTCTTTGAAGACATGTCTTTTGTTCATCACGACGCTGAAGACATGACCAGCCACCGAGACATGCTTCTGCCCAGGACAAAGGATGGTTTGAGATTGAACACATGCTGTTTCTTTGTTGTGGAGATTTGAGATTCTGGATCATGTACTCAGAATTCATTGTCTCAAAGCTGAACAGAGACACTGATGGTAGGTGATCCGCCGTGAAGGCCTGAATTTGATACAGAGAAGCCACGATCAGATTGTGTACGTGATAGGGTTAGAGAAGGTGCATCCGAAACAGCGTGCCCCTGAAAGTCGAATCTCAAGTGAAGATCCTAGCCATGAGGACTTATATTGATGCCAATCTGCTTTATCTACATCGAGCCGTGGTCTGGCACAGCGGTAAAGTAGTGTCCCTTCCGCTCAGTTGGCCTATGGCCACGGTTCGATCCTCGGCAAGGCCGATCTCAATGCCATGAGGGGTCCCAGTAATCCTCGCACGACAAAAACAAGGAAGAAAACCTAGTGCGTTTTCTCTTGACCAATCTAGCAACACGGCGGCTAGGGGGTTTCGGTTTTGCGAGATCGTATGACTATCCTTTTGTGAAACTCGACGGTCCAGCTGATATCATTGATCAAGAGTGATGTCTCTCGAGGAATAAGTGTAAGTATTGATATGCATGTGAACTATTTGCACTTCTACCCCTAAAGCCAATCACCATCCCTGCGTGGCGGTGTTGAAGGCGCTCCTCCAAGTGGATACATTCTTATTGTCTTCTTCAGATCCTCCCTCCGTCTGTTGGCTTTACTTTCGCGTCTTTGGCCCTTGATCCCTGCGAACACGCTTGGACGTTTCTTCGCAGCATAAGCTGATGGTGCTTGTAATCTAGTTGGATCGTATGCCTCAGCTGCTGATATCGGTTGTGGTGCACTGATGACTGGAAACGATGGTCTGCGCTGCTTGAAGTTCTCAACCAGGCTTGAGAGCCCTTCAACTGCACTGACGGACGATTTTCGCACATTGTTACTAAAAACTGAGGCTACCTTGTGCGTGAACGATTTCAAGGGCGGTTTCGATCCCTTGGAGGGGGCTCCACTGCTGATTCCACTATCGTAGGACTGCTTTCTCCTTCCGTAAGATGCTTGTGACGAGCTCTCTAGAGATGGACGTGAAAAAATGGTAGGCTGCGAGTTCATCTCGAACGTCACTTTACTGCCAGGTTTATTGTATTCCTTAGCCAGCTGCTCGGCATCGGCATTGATACGATGATAGAAGGCCGAGAAGCTATCAGAGTCGTTGATACTTTGCTTCCTTTGCATCGAAGCCGGTACTTCTTTTGTCTTCGCAGGTTCGTGCCCAGGGAACGGTGGAGAGATGGGTATGCTACCGCTTGTGCTGCGACGAATCCTTGCACCTGTAGACTCTGGTGTGAGAGAGAGCTTGTACGGGAAATCGAGAGTGCGCTCTTTGCCTCTCGGGCTGTCGCGCTGCTCGCGAGGTGGAGCCCGTGAATTCGGAGATCTGCTGGCTGAAGGCGTGTAGGTCTTGTTGCGCGATTTCTGATACTCAAGCTCACGTTGCTTCGAGATCTGTCTAGGGTTGAAGAATAGCGGCTGTGGCACGAGCTTCATCTTTTCCTTGATACTAGCAGACGACGCACTATGCTTCCGGGTACCTGCAGCTCTGGTATCTTCTTTGATCAAAGCATGGTACTCGTTTGCCAACCGTTTTGCTTCATCCATCAGGCTCTCATTCGAGGACGCATCCAGAGTTGTATCTTCGTATGCATCGATTACCTTGCTCTCGTAGTTGTCAAGTCTCCTACTGGATCCTGTCCGTGACTGTTGACGAGATCTACCCCGAGGTTCGTAATCTGACATCGGAGGCTCTGGAGGACGAGTGATGGATATCTCAATTGGTGATCTCAACTGCCTCTCAACAGGTGACATCGAGATCCGCTTCTCTTTAGTCATATTGAAGTACTCGTCAGACAGTTTTGAACCCCTATTCGCTTGCAAAGGCCAGTCATACGGTGTTGGCGACGGCATACTCGGACTTGGAAGGACGAGAGAGAGCACTGGACCTTTGGGTGGCACAATGCCTTCGAATGACCTACTGCCTCGTATGATATGTTGTTGGCTTGCTTTCCTGGCCGCAGCCAATGCTCTCATTTCCTCAGGGAGAAGATGCTGTGCTCCGGGCGAACGCAGAGCGGCCTTTGCTTTGTCCAATGAAACAGTCCTGATATGTTGTGTTGCTACACGGAGCATCTGGGGCGAAGGAGGCAGAAGTCTCTCTCGCCACAAGCTATCTGGAGGCGGTGAAGGAGTCGATGTACGGCTCGGGCTTGGTGATGGGCTGGTAATAAGTGGTGCACATGGCCTCGGTGGCACGATTGATTTTGTGGTATCCGCTAGAGTGAGCTCAGGCGTACTCAGGCTATATACAGATGGCTGCAGAAATAAGGTCGGCATCAAGTGTTCTTTGTCTCTCCATGATTCGGGAGTTGGTGCATATTGGGAGACGGTGCGACTGTAGATGCTCGAGGTACGTCGTGCCGAGATTCGAAATGCTTCTGAGGTCTCGACAATCGGGATAGGCGGGAGAGGTTTCTCTTGATTCGGTGTTGGTGTCTTCCTGATGAATGACTGAAACGATGGAGCCGACCTCTCGAAGCCGTTCGAGCTGAGAGACGAAGACGAACGATTGAGAGTGGCTGGTGGCCGTCGCAGTTGAGGCTTTGTTTGCTCCATCTCGTCGAAGGAGCTCCTTGAGCTGTGCGAGCCGCCAGAGAACAGAGAAGTCGGCTTCGAGTCGATAAACATGCTGTATCTTCTACACTACAGAAGGAGGCCGAACCATGGCAGGCAAATGCCTGAGACACAAAGAGATACATATTGAAGGTCGATGGAGAGATTCGAACACTATGCAAGACAATGAGGATGGTAAAAGACAAAGAAAGAGGCATGGGAATTCCTGCTTCCGGGGAGAAGATTGAAGATATCCTTTGATCTCGAAGCTGGAATGGTAGCCTCGGCAAAAGTGAGTTGCATTCCTCAGAACATCAAGCCAAAGATGCGATTCCGCTTTCAACAGAGATCGACTTCCCCAAGTAAATATGCATTGAACGCGAGACGATCTTCTATCTACCCGCGTCGAGTTTTTGGGCTGGCAAGAGGAGCTAATTTTTTGTTCTGTTCATCCGCTCCAATGCCAGAATTAGTGCGATACAGTCTATCATCAGATCATAAAATCGTGGAATTTTGGTCGTGAATCGTTATGCGTGTAATTGAGAAGGCTCATTTTGCGTGGTCAACGACTTGTTGGTAGAGGTCTTCAGGAAGTTTGCGCACAAAGCTGATAGCCATGGGCTTGATCTTAGAGGCTTGTAAGGGCGGAAATGATCTCAGAATCTGGTTTGGACTGTGATCGTTGTGTTAATGGCCAATGTGTAGCATTGTTGAGAAAGAGTTGACATACCTCGGGCTGGTGAGAAGCTGATCTCTGATCAAAACCAACTGAGCGACGATGCATAGCAGATTCAGATGCGGGCCGTAGGCAAAACAGAAGTCCCACAGTTGGAGAACTTCAGGCAGAGGCGGAGTGCAGGCGCACATAGTCAGGACGCTGGCGAAGGCGTAGATGCGAGCTTCCATGCCTTTGCTTGCCAAGTAGGCAGACAACTTGGGATCCACGATGGCGAGGATCTTGTCGACTAGAGCCAGACCTCTGTGAACGCCATCCATGGAGCCTCTTACGTAGCCAGGGCACTCTACTGTGATGAATCGGTCGAATGCAGCAAAGGCCTCAGCCTCGCTACGAGCGGCGTACAGAAAAGGGGCAGCCATGACATTCATGCCCTGGACATAACCGACATGAGAAGCACCATCGCCAGCCTCAGAGCCCTCGGTGCCAGTGATGGATGCGCGGTGTCTGGAAGTAGGCGATGTGACCTGGTCCGAGTGACCATCGATACTCTTAGGTACAGACAAGGTAGGTGGTGACATCCAGCCATTGACGCGAGCCTCGTGAGCATCGTGCAGCTTCCAGGCTATGGCATTGAGAACACGGGTGAGACTGTTCTCGGTGACGCGACGGCGGAACAGAGGGTCTGTAGTCAAGGTACGGAAGGTGTCGTTGCGAATCTTGGTATAGGCAGGCGAGGCGCCTTGTCGCACGAGATCGAGGTAGGCATCGGTGCGTAGCGGAGGTACATTGAGCAGGATGAGCCAAACATAGATGCGCAGCTCTGACTAGAAGGGCCATGTTAGGCGTGCCTACTCGGATAGCATGGCTTTGTTTACTCACCATGCCATCACTGTTGCTGGGAATGCCGTCCGACAAGATGGTGTAGCGCAATTGCTCCAGACCAACCTCTGCGTCGCCTGCTGGGCCTTTTGCGAGCAATGTCTCGAGATTCGTCATGTTGTGGCAGATGATGCAGTCGTCTTCTTGGTCGTCCTTGACCGTAGGCACACACGCGAATCGATCCCGCGACGCGCGCATCGTGTAGTGATTACCTGTTGGCATGTGCCTTCGATATCACGTGATGTTGTGGCCGAGGTTGACGAGTCCGCTGCTTCTTGAAACTGCCGGGGAAGGCGCCGAGAAGATCCGGCGTCTGAGCGTCTCCTTTTGCTTCTATCGAACTCTTTTCTACATCATCGTCGCCTCAAACGCTCAGACAAGTCTCCGCGCTGCCAGCAGGCCGTGAGGCTCGAGCCTCCTCTTGTGGGGGTATGGAGCAAAGAGCCCATATTCTGACATACCATAACATCACAATATCACCTTCTCCTTGCGACACCGATGTCTAGCATCCAGGACTTTGAAGATCCTCTCCCCACCGTGTTACGCCTTGCCAAACTCCAAAAGCACCAAACTCCCTTTGGATTTGTCTGCTCCTATTGTTCTTCTGATCGCATGCGGCTCTCGTTGACCTCCGACGTCGTCAAGCATACCGGAAATGCTTTGTTTTCTGCTTGACTGCAACCAAGCCGTTTCTCAGCCTTGTGTTTTCCTTGAGGTTGCCTTCTAGATTTTGCTTGTTCAAGCCCTCGCGCCATATTATCTCAGCAATTCAGAGCACCTGAGAGGCTTGCCCTGTCTTCGCGTTGCTTGAAGTCGCAGAGAATATCGACCTTTTGGGATGTCGTCAACCTTCAACAAAGCACGCCATGACAGGCGTTCGTGATTGGGTCTGAATTCAGCGGGGATCGGTACCACACCAAAACGTCTAATCCCAAATTGGTATCACGTCGATGATGTGATATCAATGCTTTGCTGGGCGGCCCACTACATCCATACGACAACCAAAGCTCGACATGGATTCAAAGCTTGATGACTGCCGGTTGAGATCTGGATCGATTATGACCTCGTCGTCTCTACCGCATTTCTCTCCCAATTTGGTTTTTGTCAGTCGCGTTTCTGCACCTTCTTTCTTTCGTGTGCCGCACGCCTTGTCCGTCTTCTTCGTTGTTTGCGTGATTCGCCAAACCCGTTCGCCGTACAACCGTCCGGCTTAGTTCTGGCTCACCTCTTCGCCAATCTTCTTGACCTCTGGCGTTCTGGCTTGCAGCCCTTGCCTCATCCGAAGACGCCTCCCAGACTTTTCCAAGTCAATCATTTCCAGACCTTAGATTCCTCATCCAAGCCCTCTATTGGATAATACAACGTCCGTTCTAGGGCAAGCGAGGTCTATAAACCCTCACCTTGTCTCTTCATCCACCCCTCCTTGTTCATATCCACTTTATATATCTTTCCACTCGGACTCTGGTGTGTTGATCAACACTACCTATACGCTCCTTCAACATGCCTACTACTGGGGCTAAGATTGGCCATGGCCTGGCCAAAGTCCTAGGCATCAAACTCGACTACCGTCAGGAGATGCAAGCTGAGAAGATCACCAGAGGAGAATCCGTCTTCTCTGTCTCCAGCGCTGACACCTTCGTCGAAGCCGAGCCCACAGTTTGGGAGTGGTTCAGAGATGTCACCCCAACCGGGTCCAGCATGATCACCTACGGTCGCAACCTCTTCCCATTCACCCGCTGGATCGGTCGCTACAATCTGCAATGGCTCTACGGTGACCTGGTCGCTGGTATCACCATCGGTGCTGTCGTCGTTCCTCAGGGTATGGCTTATGCAAAACTTGCTGCGCTTGACCCGGAGTATGGTCTTTACTCTTCCTTTATGGGTGTATTGATCTACTGGTTCTTCGCTACCTCAAAGGATATTACTATCGGTGTAAGTAAAGATTGTCTTCGTCTCAAAAGCTGCTTGCTAATATCGCCCACAGCCTGTCGCTGTCATGTCCACCATCGTCGGAAACATCGTGCTCAAGGCTGAAAAGAGCCATCCTGAGTATCAGGGACATGTCATTGCATCCTCGCTTGCGGTCCTCGTCGGTGGAATCGTCTGTTTCCTGGGTCTCGCTCGCCTTGGCTGGATCGTCGACTTCATCTCCCTCACCTCGATCTCGGCCTTCATGACTGGATCTGCCATCAACATCTGCGTTGGTCAAATCCCCAACCTGATGGGTATCACTGGCTTCTCGACCCGTGATTCAACATATCTTGTTGTGATCCATATTCTGGAACATCTCGGAAGAACCAAACTTGACGCCGCAATGGGTCTTACCGCTCTTCTCTTCCTTTACCTCTTGAGATTTGGATTCACGTACGCCGGAAACAAGTTCCCCAAACACCGCAGACTTTTATTCTTCTGCTCGACTCTGCGCACCGTCTTCATCATCCTTCTGTACACTATGATCAGTTGGTTGGTCAACCGCAATGTCCCTAACATCCACAAGAAGCCCTCCAAGTTGGCCAAGTTCAAGCTTTTGGGAAACGTTCCTCGTGGATTTAAGCATGCTGCCGTACCCGTTCTCAATTCTGACATCATCAAGGTGTATGCTAGCGAGATTCCCGTTTCGGTCATTGTCCTGCTTATTGAGCACATTTCGATTGCCAAGTCCTTCGGAAGAGTCAACAACTACACCATTGATCCCTCTCAGGAGCTCGTTGCCATTGGTGTTTCGAACCTTCTTGGTCCTTTCCTCGGTGCCTATCCCGTCACTGGATCCTTCTCGCGTACCGCTATCAAGTCCAAGGCAGGTGTCCGCACACCTTTCGCTGGTGTCATTACCGCTGTCGTCGTCCTGTTGGCCATCTACGCCTTGCCAGCAGTATTCTTTTACATCCCCAACGCTGTCCTCTCCGCTGTCATTATTCATGCCGTTGGTGATCTCATTACTCCGCCCAACACCGTTTACCAGTTCTGGAAGATTTCGCCGATTGAGGTTATCATCTTCTTCGCTGGTGTCCTCGTCACTGTTTTCTCCTCGATCGAGAACGGCATCTACACTACTATTTGTGTGTCTCTTGCTCTCCTTCTCTTCCGTGTTGTTAAGGCGCGTGGTCGTTTCCTCGGCAAAGTTCAGGTTCACTCTGTTATTGGAGATCATCTTCTCGAGGGCAAGGATAAGCCGAACGGCCAACCTTATGATCACGAAAAGGCAGACCGCAACATCTTCTTGCCCCTCGAGCACGATGATGGTTCTAACCCGATGATCGATACCGACTCACCTCACCCTGGAGTCTTCATCTACAGATTCTCCGAAGGCTACAATTACCCCAACGCCAACCACTACCTGGACTACATGGTATCCTCTATCTTCAAGCAAACTCGCCGTACCGACCCCAACGCATATGGTAGACCTGGTGATCGTCCTTGGAACGACCCTGGCCCGCGCCGTGGTAAGGCTGCCATCGTCAACGAGCATTTGCCTACTCTCAAGGCTATCATTCTGGACTTCTCTTCCGTCAACAATGTTGATGTCACTTCCGTGCAACATCTCATCGATGTCCGTAACCAGCTTGATCGCTACACTACACCCGAGAAGGTGCAATGGCACTTTGCCCACATCAACAACCGCTGGACTCGTCGCGCTCTTGCATCCGCTGGTTTCGGTTACCCTACTGAGGAGGGTGACGAATTCCAGCGCTGGAAGCCTATCTTCAGTGTTGCCGAACTTGGTGGCTCATCAAGCGCTGCTGCTGACGCTGAATACGCTATGAACCACCCCGAGCACAAGAAGCATCGCGATGTCGAGCTTGGACGTGAGCACAGCGGAGAAATCACTGGCGAAAGCAGCGAAGCTTCAAGTGATATAAACCAGGCCATCCAGAACAGCAAGGCATACGGTTCGCAAGTCAACCAGAAGAAGATCGTCGTACATGGTCTCAACAGGCCGTTCTTCCACATCGATCTCACCAGCGCTCTGCAAAGCGCAGTCGCGAACATCTCACACCCCTCAGCTACCGCTGACGTTGTTCAGGACCAAAAGCTGAGTTGAGTGGTCGGGTTTCTATAATGTCTTTTTCCAATGTTTTCTGCCCGTTTTGATGTCATAATCAGCGACTTGGTCTTTATTTCGGATTGGGGCTGTGGAGGAAGGAGCGTTCAAAAGCAAGCATCGATTCTGTATATATGTGTGTAGATGCTGCACTTTTCATTTGGCTTGTAGAAGTATAGGTTGTTTCGTATGTTGGATACACATACCTGGTCACTGTGCACTTTGCAATTATTACCTGCATTCTTCCAACATCTCCCAATGACTTCTCATCTATCCTGTCGTCTCATGCCTATCATCTACCACGGTCGAGTTGTCATTGATGCTCACGCATTCGGATCGCAAGATGTGCCATCTATGGGACCCCAGGCTGCTAACTGCGACCCTTTCGCTGCATCAGGCGTGTACCTGACTATGTTTGTAACGCTCTCTAGCCCCACCTTGCGGCACGTCCTGGCGTAAGAATCTCGTTCATGCGCCCGAAGCATTCACGCTCCCGGGCTTGGTCCAAGACCATCGATACCATAGACGCATCCCATCGCACTTCGCACAGCAGCTTCCTCCAAACGAACCATCTCAAAGTGTCAATGGCCAATCAACGGCTTTTTTCGCTAACAACCAACAAAAACTCGATGAACCATCAAAGCACACTCCCCCTTGAATCATGGTTGATCTTACATCACGATCATCCCTGCGTTTTTGAAAAAGACTCTGCTGCTTTCCTCAACCAAAGTCCGTGTCGCAAACGTGCCGAGTGCACGCCGTGACGTTAGGCGGGCCTTGGTATTCCGTACATCCCTTGGAAATTTGGTGAAGTGATGATTTTTCTTACGCTTCTCACCGCGCTTAGCATCCTTTTATTGAAATGACTTCATCGGCTCGGAACAAAGAAAACTTGGATGCGGGAATATGCGGCTGCATGGAAAAGCGTGGAGGTGGATTTCGCCTTAAGCGGAGACAAACCCCTGAACGAGAGGATCATCCCCGAGATATGACCGTCGTTGATGAAATCTTTCCGATGACGGTGGTTTGAGAGGATGTTTGCCTCGGTATAGCGCGAATCGGGAGGAAGAAGTGGATGTCGACGAGATGTTAGGGTGCAGTATCAACATTGGTATAGATGAATTCTGCGGCGAGAGGATGTGAGAGAGGCAATTGAAAGTGTAGGAAAGTGATGCGTGGTCTGAGCGGCTTTCCCAGTCAGAACTTTGAAGCATGCAATTGTTTCTAGCGATGAGTCCTACCTACTTCACATGACATATCACACACATGTTATCATCAGGAATATATCCAAAATCTTCCCTCGACTCATCAGAAACTGAACCAACGCACATCTCCTCGCCATAATCACATCACATCCCAAACTCGGCCCAGGGGGACAACCTCCAACACATATCAACCATGCCATCAGTCCCAAATACCACCCAAGTAGTCCCCGGCGCCTCCGTCTCCATCGTCCTCAAAGCAGATCAACCCACCGGCCGCCAAGTCCAAGGCCTCGTCCAAAACGTCCTAACATCCGGAAACCACCCTCGAGGCATCAAAGTACGGCTCAGCGACGGTAGAATCGGTCGCGTGCAAAGAATGCACACTGGCGAAACTCCACCCCAAGAAGCCTCTGCCGCGCCCGCTTCTACATCAAGAACCACAAGACTACCTAGAGAAAGAGACAACAGGCGTTCAAAGTTTCAATCTAGGGATATCAGGTTAGATGATGATGGCGAGGCGCCTGCCGAGGAGATTGATCTTTTCGCGTATGTGAAGCCCGCGAAGCAGAAGAAACGAGCAGGAGCGAAGGTGCAGGAGCCGGTGCAGGAAGAAGAGGTGATCAAGGAAGCTGCGTCTACTGCGGCTACTGCTTCTTGTCCTGTCTGTGGAGAGTTTGAGGGCGATGAGATGGCGGTTGCGCATCATGTTGAGTCACATTTTGCTTGATTGGACATCATCAATGCTGTTGAACGATCTCCATCGATATATCTTATACGTTGCTCAGGCTTGCCATCTTCGTCGGTTACAGAACTACTCGACCTACACCAAGCTGGCCCGCTCTCAAAGACTAGAAGATCTTAACCGGTGGTCTCGCGGATCCTTGTGGACAGTGTCCAGAGAGATTTGCTCTCAATGCCCTGGACACTAGATGGACATATGGAGCCTGGCTTGCAAACAGGACAAGATCGGAACTGATACTAGTGATTTGCTCGCCCGTTCCCCGTTACCATTGTCACGTTAATTGCACCCCTGATGTCTGTTGGTCAACCTCAGAAGACACTATCTGTGGAGAGTATTGCCAGAAAACGGGTCGTGAGGCCACCAGTCGTGCTTGTCGAATCTCGCAAAGTCAACAATATATACTCAATGACGGAGCGACCATAACCTAGACTCACATCACTATATAGCGCATGGAGGACGATGTGCAGTATAGAACGGACCACCCAGCGTGATCTAGATATCTGACAGGCCGGCGAGAAGAAAGATAAGCGAAAGTGTACACAGAGACAGGGTTCTACCAGCAGCAGCTTTGACTTGACCAAAATGATCATCGCTGTACTGCATGCACCATTCCCATTCATTGCGAAAGAAGCGGCAATGTTTGGAAAACCCAAGTCAACTACCCAGAGAGGACAGGAGTTAACAAGGGTCATGATTATCATCAATTCGAGCATCCCGAAAGAACACCGCTCACTGCATGCCCAACCTCCCAACCTCACAGCTAGTCTTGACACCCCTGATCAACTCACTCATGACAAGCCCTGTACCCAATGACAGCGAAATACCCCAAGGACCATGTCCCGCAGCCACAAACACACCATCTCGACTCTTCATCTCTCCCAACTTCTTCTCCTCAACCCTACACAAAATCGGCTCTCCACTAGACGTCACAGGCCTGAAACACAACCCTTCCCTCATCACCTCGATTTCTTTACCATTAACCCCGCACATCCTCTGTGCCGTCTTCTTCAACTCTGCAATAGCTTCTTCCTCGATTATAGTTTCTGTGGCTAGATTTGGTAGAGGGATATCCGCGTCGTTCAATCCGGCAATGTAGATTTCTCCGCCTACACGGCTGATGAGTTCGGGGCTGTAGCCTGAAGAAGAGGTACTGAAGATTGCATGGCAACCGGATGATTCATGAGAGGTTGTCCAGTGGGAAGAGGAGATTACGATGCTGTGGCCTGCGAACGGGGAGATGGGAATGTTGAGGCGTGAGGAGGGGAAGAGTGTTGAGAAGACTCTCGGGGTCCAGGCGCCGCTGGCGAAGAGGAGGGATGTACAGGGGACTAAAATGTGTTAGCTATGGCGGCATGCCGGGAAGAGTGGGAGGGAGAAGACATTACCCTGCCTTTCTGAGTTATCGTTTAGCCTGATGGCGAGGGCTGTGATCGTGTTACTGCTATCTGTGATCAGAGATATCGGTGTTGCCGGTTGATGAATCTGTACATCTCTCTTCCTACACTCATCCAACAGAAACATCGATAGCCTCAGAGGATCTCTGTTTGTGCGATTAGTCTTTGGTCTCAACACCAGCCAAAGCATAGACTCTTACACCTGAGCAACAGTTTCGTCAGCAGATATAACATCATACCCATCCCCCTTCCTCCGCATCAACCACGCCGGCCCTTGACCCTCACAAAACTCATGGGTACCCGCAACTTCAGCTCTACTCCTGCCACCTTCTAACCACTCACCCTGCCTCTCGTCTTCGTCACCACCAACATACTCACTCTCAGCGAACGAAGCACCGGTGCTCCTCGCATACCCCCATTTCCGCACACCATCGTGTTCATCAGCTAGTCGCTTGTGGAGTTTGAAAGACAATAGACCAAGTGGTGCAGATGCAGGGCCGAACCAGTCTGCAGCGAGAAACCCACCTGCTTTGCCCGAGGCAGAAGCGAAGAGTTCGGGGGATGGGTCGACGAGGTGAATGGAGGTGCCTGGGAGGGATTGAGAGAGATAGTAGGCGGTTGATACACCGATGATGCCTGCTCCTAGTATTACTGTCGATCGTGGTGTAGCCATTTGGGAAGGTTGCCGTGTAGAGAGGACCGATACAGGGGAAATGATGCACACTACAGTAGTTTTTGTCCTTAGCAGCTCTTGGAAGTCGAGGTTCGAAGTGTGAACACTTTGCAGTTCAGAAACTTTGTACTGCTAGTAATACCTACTTGTATATACTGATGATACAGATATGGATGCTGAGGCGAAAGAGGAAGGTGAGCGGAAGGGACACTGGGTGACGTGTGCGGGGATGGTGGGGCCTTCGAGAGCGTCGACTTCATCCAAAGTTTTCTGGTCCAACCAACACAGCTTCTTGTATCAACAACCAACAAACATCATCATGGCCGCCAACAAAGTCGTCATTCTCACCGGAGCATCGCGAGGTAAAAAGAAATTGGACACGGAAGAGAGGACGGAGATTGATGGAAGACAGGCATTGGTCTTGCAATTGCACACTATCTGCTTAGACAATCATGTCGCGTCGTGACGGTTGCCAGGAGCCGCGAGCCCATGGACAAGCTGAGCCAGCAATACCCTGGACAAGTCGAGGTGCTCGCTGGTGACCTTTCTGATCTCTCGCTCGGCCAAAAGGCAGCAGACTTGGCCAAGTCCAAGTGGCAGCGCCTGGACAGCATCATTGTCAACCACGGCATTCTTGACCCTGTCAAGAGAGTCGCTAATGTCGACGCAGAGGAGTGGAGACAGTTGTTCGACGTGAACGTCTTCTCGGCCATCGCTCTGGTCAGTTGACCCTCCACTGTTGAAGTAGAAGACCAAGACTGACCACCGACACAGGTCAAAGCATCCTTGCCAGCACTCCGCGAGTCCAAGGGCAGTATCGTTCTTTGCTCTTCCGGCGCAGCCACCGGCGCTTACTCGACCTGGGGAGCCTATGGCGCATCCAAAGCTGTGTTGAACCACCTCGCCATGACTCTTGCAGTCGAGGAACCCGATGTGACCACTTTGTCGATCCGCCCTGGTGTCGTGGACACAGATATGCAAGTTTCTATCCGCGACAAACACAACACCAGCATGGATGCAAAGGATGCAGCCAAGTTCAAGGAGCTGAAGGAGACTGGAGGTCTGCTCAAGCCTGAGCAGCCTGGTCATGTCATGGCCAAGTTGGCATTGGACGCACCCAAGAACCTGAACGGCAAGTTCTTGAGTTGGAACGCTGAGGAGCTGGCGGCCTTTCAGGAGTAGCGAACTAGAAATTTACTTTTGAGACGTTAGTCAGATATACTTCGAACAAGTTCCTGAAGTGAAGATTGAATGAAGGAGTGCAGTCAGTTGAAAGATGAAAAGCAATACATATAATCACCATACGGCGTAAGCCTTCAGGTTTAGCATGGAATGATTTTATTCATCACGCAAGGAGGGTGAAATGAGGGCAGAGAAAATACTAACCTTACGATATGCAGAATTTGGGTGAGGATTGAACTCAGTGTTTTGTTGATTTAGCTGTACCTAGACATGTGTTAAAACATGAAACTGACAAAGATTGATGAACAGTGAAAGTAGAGAAGAAGCGTTTCAGGTAATCGAACCATTATTTTATTCCTCAAGGATAATAGGTGGTGTATATAACATAATTTTCTCATCATGTAAAAAAGAAGAGATGATGCTCGATCATTACTAACCTTTGTATTTGCAGCCGAGTGCCGCTCCACGCGCACACTCAGCACGTGCAACCAGGTTCAACCCTTCAAGCTGCTATCTTGACAAGGTGCATGACATATGCAGGGCTCGAGCAAAGCGGGAGGTTGAGGAGACTACCTTCATTGCAGTGTTAGCTGACATTCATCATAAAGATGGTCTTGAGAAATGAGCGGGTTGTGCAAAAAGTAGATCAGAGAGTCCGTTTGGTTGAGACAGGTAAATCACCACGTAAAGGTAAGATAGGGGCGACACGAATGTTCATCCTTGAATGTGCTGAGGGAGAAGAAGAGGAAAGCGATCACATACCTTTGGCGCTGTTGTTGGTTGGAAGGAGGAAGCAGAAGGAAAAAAGTCGCGTCCGAAGAAATAGGCTGTAGAAGCTCGGACGCGTTGGTGACGGAGGCTGCCGGGCGTGGATGGTTCATGTGAGACTTAAAGCTGCTGCATTCCCCCCCGAATGCGCCCTGCTGCTATAGGATGTTGACATCGACTCTTCTTTGGCCGAATCGTTGAACCCACTGTGCAGTCAGCCTTCATCGACCAACCCAATCATGTCGGACAAAGAATTTGCTGGTATGGGAACACGAGTCACAGCCAAACTCTTTTCGCGTCCGAGGCATGCTAACATTTTACAGGCAGTGACGAGCTCACTCTGCCCCGGGGTACGTGCCGCTTAGAGAACGAGACCAACCGATCAACGCGACTGATATAGGAGCAACACAGCCACCGTCCAAAAGATCATTACCGAAGTACTGGCCAATGACCAGGGAATGTCGTTCGCCAAGGAGACTCGCGACTTGCTCATAGAATGCTGCGTCGAATTTATCACCATGATCTCCTCCGAAGCCAACGAGATTGCTGAAAAGGACGCAAAGAAGACAATCGCATGCGAACACATTACCAAGGCCTTGGAAGAGTTAGGATTCAATGAATACATCCCGGACTTGCTCGAGGTCGCACAGCAGTTCAAGTCGCAGCAGGCGGTGAGTTGGATATGGCTCAGGAATATTGTGTACGAGACATGCTGATACATGGCCAACAGAGTCGCGAGAAGAAGCAAAGCAAGATCGAGCAGTCTGGCATGACTGAAGAGGAACTGCTTAGACAGCAGGAAGAGCTGTTCAGATCAGCGAACGAGAAGTTCAACGCTGGACCTGCCGAACCCGCCGAGCCCGCAGCATAAAGAAGCACGAAAGAAAAGACACAGCAGCTGGGAGCACAGGCGTCATGGGCGTTTGGGACGATACGATTCTTCTTTAGATACCCCATCTCTTACTGTTTATGATATACGAAGATGTAGTAGCATGGCGAGAAAAGAGCGAAGCACAATATCACAACTTTCCGATCAAGCATCCATTCACAGAGGTCAACTAGGTATCTGTGAGAAGGAATTAAAGTCGACAAGATGAACGAGAAGTCAAGACGCATGTGACAGTGACGAAAGCAAAGAACTCGTGGCCAAGACCCCACACTCTGATCGGCCTCGGCCGCCGCGCATCATCGTCCATCCAACCAAGCACTCCACCAAGCACAACTGCCACTTTCTCGCACACCAAAGCACACACCTACCTGTATGCTCTTCAACCCTCACGACTAACATCTAGCCATCATGTCCGGCCTCGAGAAGGCTCTCTTCAACCTGAAGGTACACCCTCCCTCAGCCCACCCCTCCACCTCGACCCCACTAACACACGTCTCTTCCTTACACAGTTCACCGCCAAACAACTCAACCGCCAATCCGCCAAAGCCGGCAAGGACGAGAACGCCGAAAAGGCAAAATTGAAAAAAGCAATCCAGCAAAACCACGGCGACATTGCCAAAATCTACGCTCAGAATGCCATCCGCAAGCAAAACGAGAAGCTCAACTTGTTGCGCTTGGCCTCGAGGATCGATGCTGTGGCCAGTAGAGTCCAGACGGCTGTGACGATGCGTCAAGTCACGGGAAGCATGGCGAATGTGGTAAAAGGCATGGATGGAGCTATGAAGGCTATGGATCTGGAAAAGGTGAGTGGTGATGTTGTTGCCTTGAGCTGTTGCTTGAGGTAGAGGAGGGGTGAGATGATAACAAGAGCGCCGGGCTGACAAGGAGGATCACGCAGATTTCAGCCGTCATGGACAAATTCGAGACGCAGTTCGAGGACTTGGACGTCGCAACCGGATACTACGAAAACGCCACTTCCAGCGCTACTGCTGTAGGCACACCCCAAGAAGACGTTGACAGACTCATGTCACAAGTCGCCGACGAAGCCGGTGTCGAGCTCAACCAAGAAATGGCTGGTGCAACTCCGGCACAGGGCATCAAGGCCCCTGCCAACCCTACCGAAGTCGAGGAAGACAACTTGGGCGAGAGACTGAGAGCCCTGAGAAGTTAAGCAAGGAAATGGCGATACTAGAAGATATGAAGGACACCTTTGAAGCAGCGGGCTCGGAGTTTGAGGCGTCTTATCGATGCTTATGGGATGGCGTGGTTTCGATCGACAGATGCATACCTACTGACTACTTGTGTATACCAATGTTTCTTGTTTCACACCGAATATCTACCTGAAGGGCCCCGAGGCACTCATTGCAGAATGGGATAAGCGGATCTGAGCTGCAACAGTAGCTCACAAGCCTGACTTTGATCGAACCGCTTGTCAGACTAATTCACGTCCGCGAGATATGTTCATGTTATTTTTGGGGGCATTAATTTGCATTTCGATATGGCCTACAGGCCTTTTGTCTATCTTCGTCTCGTGTCGCAGCAGAATCAAACCCATTACAACTATGTTTGAACGAAGAGAGATGCCTGTGCTCTCCTCTGGAAAGCAGTCTTTAAGAAACGAGCGTATCATCATCCAATCTTCAATTCTTCGTACTTTTCATCCATCTTCAGACGGTGTCTCAGCTATGCCTTCGAGGCTTCGCCAAGAGGTGGTAATCTGCTTCTAAGCAAACTTACCGTTGGCACCAGCCTTCTGCAATCTAATCGAGCCAGAAGCAAGGCGATTAGCCTCGGGTCTCTGGTTTGGAGGTGCACCAGCCTTCAATGCCATCCATTTGTCCTCAGGGATGGTCAAGCAGTTGATGCCCAGGTAGTTGCAGATACTGTTGCAGACATAGACAGCCCAGCGCGCATATACGACAGTTGCGAATGCAAAGTATCCTCTCAGGAACCAGAGTTCGGCGCTTGCTGATAGACCAGGGAGACCGATGTAGGGCAGGTTGACGAGAATGCTGCCGATGATGAGGGGAGCCAGCATCACTGTCCACATGGGGAAGTCCTGGCGGGTGAGATGGGCAAGGATGATCTTGGTCGTCATGCGACCGAAAGCTGGCGAGAGAGTGAAACAGAGCAGGGAGAGATGGTTGTCCTTCAGCAAATGCGAGTAAGGTGATCCAAGCCATGCGCACAACGAACCAGTGAAGAGGAAGATGGGAGCCCATTCCAGCAGCGCAGGTGTCAGAGGCTGGTTCCTGCCCTTTCGGGCCTTGTATACGTTGTTGACGCAATCAGGAATGTGAGCGAGGCAGAGTCCGAGCAACAAGATGGGAGCCCAGAGGTCCAGGAAGTTGGTCTTGCCGAGCAACTGCTCGTTGCCAAAGAGAGTGGACAGCGGAGAGGTCCATAGTGTAGGGCCGTAGTAGCCAGAGAGGATCATGATGAGCGCGGCGATAATGAGACCTTCGGTAGGACCATTGAAGTAGCCAAGGAACAGGGTGTGGGTGTGGTATGTTTCCCAAGTCGAGAAGAACATGGGCAGCGTGGGAATGAGTGCGGTGAGAGCACCAAGGCGTGTTGAACCAAGGCCCATAGCCGATGTCTCGAGGAGCGATGCGAGAGTGCAGTTGAGACTGTCGATACCGTGGCTGTGTATGGCAGCTTTGTCAGAGTTGCTCCATCCAATTCGAAATCGAGGGGTAGCACTTACTCGAAGAGCTCACCCAGAGGCGACGATGTTCCGGTGCGGCGTGCTTGCTTTCCATCAATGTTGTCCATGGTGCTGTAGGCCCAGATGCCGAGGGCATAGCTGTAGTAGACCCATGACGGAGCGAGACCGGTCAAACCAGGATCATAGATGAGCATGAGGATGACATTGCTGAGGATGCAGAAGAAGCCCAGCAGCGTCACCATGTTGGGCGCCAGCCATAGCGGTAGGAATTCGACGCATGCGTTCCACTGTTCAAGCACACCGCTCAAGTCAGCCCTTGTTGTCTTATGCCATCTTCAATGCCTGTTTGTATGCAGGGTCCCGGTATGCCCTCTCCCATGCTCTTGCTAGGAGTGTGTGATCGTCCTAGTTTTGCCGCGAGGATCCGAGGAGTGAAAGGTCGCCATCAACGTACATAGTGTTTCAGGACATAGCGCGAGGTAAACGACTTGTCAACAGACGAGTACTTGTAGAGCTTCAGGTTGGCCAAGGCGTCTTCTGAGAGAGGGCCCTCGAGTGTTGACGAATCTTGTCCCGTCAGCCTCTTGTATTCTTGCTGTACCAACCCGCTCATGCTGTGAAAGGATAAGAACTTACTGGAACTCATTTCCAAACTGGCGAAACTAACAAAAAAATAGCCTTAGTCAAGCAACAACAAGGAACCGTTCGGATCGCAACGCAACCGAAAGCCCGCACTGTTCGCAATCCTCTCCTGAACCGGACACGCTGCTGTACGCTGTGGGGACGCAACCACAAACCACCATCTTCTGCCAAGGAGTGTTTATTATGCAACAACTAGCGACTGTGATCTCCAGTTCGAACATTTTTGGGATTGAAGCTATAGAAATGCAGAGTGTTTTTGAAGTATAAGCCATATCCAGAGAGAGCTTGAATCCGTCGGACTCTCTCTGGAAGCAGCTCAACCTGGAACAACACTGTGCATTTTAATAGCTTCGGGACCTCTACCAATACCAGAGAGATCATGGAGCAGCAACAGTAGTGATGGAATAACAAGAAACTGACCCGACTTATCAATGTCATATTATGTGTCCTCGATCTAAGACGATGCAGGACGCGATACATATACGATGATTGTCTGACTACGAGACGTAGGATCTTACAATGTCATAACAAAAGTGACCAGGCAGTTTCACTTGACTTCACACCGTGCACATGGATAGATATTCTTTTGACATGATTGTTCATTGAAGTTTTTGACTGCTTTTCGTGTAGCTTTTGATCTCGCAAAAAGCAAGCCAGCAACACCCTAAACTGCCTGTTTGAGATGCCCGCTGCCATGCTAGCGTCACCTGCATCTCAGAAAGAAAAATCGAGCATAGCTTTTTGAACCCAGCTGTACCAATCTAAAACACATGAAGAAAGAAGAACGCCCATTAAACCGTCATACGATGCAAGACGTTTACCTGGTCGACATGGCCTTGGTAACGACACGCTTGAGGGCCAACTCCTTCTTCTTGAGATCGTCGGCAGAGGAGTCCTCGATCTCGAGCTGGGCCATGGCGTCGCTGAGAGCAGACTCGATCTTCTCCTTCTGGTTGCGCTTGAGCTTGAGCGACATGGTGGGGTCCGAGACGATCTCCTCAACACGGGAGATGTAGGACTCGAGCTGCTGGCGGGACTCGAACTTCTTGGTGAAGGCCTCGTCGGAGGACTTGAACTTGGCGGCATCCTCAACCATCTTGTCGATCTCAGCGGAGCTGAGCTTACCAACAGAGTTGGAGATGGTGATGTTGGCGCTACGGCCGGAGGTCTTCTCGGTGGCGGTGACCTTCAGGATACCGTTGACATCAACCTCGAAGACACACTCGAGAACGGCCTCACCAGCACGCATGTGGGGGATGGGAGCAAGAGTGAATTCGCCTAGAAGAAATTGTCAGTCATTGTAAGAAGTTTTGAGCTGTGAATGTTACATACCCAATGAGGTGTTGTGGGCGCACTCGGATCTCTCACCCTGGTAGACGGGGAATTGTACCTATTAAAAGAGTCAGAAGAATGTTCAAATGATATACAACAAGTCGTGTTGCGATATGGTGAAGCGTGGTGAAGATTTGGTGGACCCTGAACGGCGAAGCTTCAATGGAAGCCGTGCCAAGCTTTCCACCCATCAAAATGCACAGCATTGTTCAGAACATCAACCTTCCCAAAGAGAGTCATACAATTACGGCCTCTCCTTGGATGATGGATTGAGTCAAACAATATGTTGAATTGCGATGGGTTGGAAGCTCCTCGCGTGTCCATTGAGAGCCGTGCGATGACGGGCTCTCAATGGAGTCTCGCGACGCCAGCATGATTTTGTGCATTGTGATGAAGGTCGGTGACAGGGAGCTGAGCATGGGAGTCTTACAGTTGTCTGGCCATCGGCCACTGTGGTGAATGTACGCTTCTTGATGGCTGTAGAAAGAACGCAATCAGTACGGGGACTCCAGCATGACATGATTGGCACTTAAACTTACTGGGAACGGTGGTACCGCGGGGAACGACGGGAGCGAAGATGTTACCCTCCATGGCAACACCGAGGGAGAGAGGGCAGACATCGAGAAGGAGGAGGTCAGCGGTGTCGGCGGAGGTGGCCTTTCCGGAGAGGATACCGGCCTGGACGGCGGCACCGTAGGCGACGGCCTCATCGGGGTTGATGCTCTTCTCGAGCTTCTTGCCGTTGAAGAAGTCGGAAAGAAGCTTCTGGATGCGGGGGATACGGGTGGAACCACCAACAAGGACGATCTCGTCAACCTTGGACTTCTCAATGTTGGCATCCTTGAGGACCTGCTCAACAGGCTGGATGGTGCCGTTGAAGGCCTTGGCGTTGATGTCCTCGAAACGAGCACGGGTGATGTTGGCGTTGAAGTCCTCGCCGTCGAACAGGGAGTCGATCTCGACGGTGGCCTGGGTACCGTTGGAAAGAGTACGCTTGGCACGCTCGCAAGCAGTTCTCAGACGACGGAGGGCACGGGCATCGCCAGAAAGGTCCTTCTCAAAGTCAGCATATGTTCGTAATTCAATAACAAGTGTTCTCAGACCTTCTTGGTCTTGCGTGTGAATTCTTTCTTGAAGTGGTCGAGGAGGTTGGTGTCGAAGTCCTGGCCACCCAAGTGGGTGTCACCGGCGGTGGCCTTGACAGTGAAGACACCACCCTGGATGTGGAGGAGGGAAACATCGAAAGTACCACCACCGAGATCGTAGATGAGGACGTTGCGCTCCTTCTCGGACTTTCCGGAACCGAGACCGTAGGCAATGGCGGCAGCGGTGGGCTCGTTGATGATACGGAGAACGTTGAGGCCAGAGATGGCACCGGCGTCCTTGGTGGCTTGACGCTGGTTGTCGTTGAAGTAGGCAGGGACGGTAACGACGGCCTTAGCGACCTTCTTGCCGAGCTTGGTCTCAGCGACCTCCTTCATCTTCAGGAGGACCATGGAGGAGATCTCCTGGGGGGAGAAAGTCTTGGTCTCGCCGAGGTACTCAACCTGGACCATGGGGGCACCAGCGTGGTCGACGATCTTGAAGGGCCACGACTCGATATCCTTCTTGACGGTGGGGTCATCGAATCTACGACCGATCAAACGCTTGACATCGAAGACAGTGTTCTCGGGGTTCATGGCGGCCTGGTTCTTGGCGGCCTCACCGATCAGACGCTCCTCAGCGGTGAAGGAGACGAAAGAAGGGGTGGTGAAAGAACCCTGCTCGTTGGCGACTGTAGGACATGCGAGTCAGAAATTGCGCGCTCAATGCAGGCGAAAGCTGCAGAAACAGCTCCAGAGTGTAGACATACTGATCTCGACATTGTTACCGTCGTAGTTGGCAACGCAAGAGTAGGTGGTACCTAGAGGTCTGTTAGCAATTTTGATCTTGTGGGCTCGCGCTTCGGCAATGGGATTGGGCGCAAAAACTCACCAAGATCGATACCGATGGCACCGTCGTAAACCTCGTCGCTCATATTGAAGGATATAGAGGGGTATAAAAGGGAAAAAGATGGGGAGGGATGGAAGGAGGAAGAGGTGAGAGGTGTTGTGAGCTTAAGAAAAGGCTTGCGGGTAGGCGATTTTCGATTTTCCACGGTCTGTGCATCTCATCTTTTTTTCACTTCCCCATTTCGTCCGAGGTCTGGATGCCAAGACCTTACTCACTTGCACTCCCCCAGCAGTCTGCAGTGATCCTTGGTTGATGCGGTTCGTGCAGAGTTGCTTGATTGCTGAGCTGGACCGAGTTGATATTGAGCCAAGTGAGGTAACTGCCTGTCTTGTCAAGGCACCTTCCTCATTGCAATTAGTTTCGAGAGGCAAGCACGAGTTCCTGCCTCGCTTAGCTCACTAAAGCTCATTGTACTTCGCCACTCCAAGCAGAGGATTAATTCTCAGTGTGCATCTCTCACTGTCAACATCTCTGGGACAGGTAAGAAATGCACTCAATGCCGAAGTTGATTCAAATTCGCTCTTCTCGATCATATTAGAATTGGGCATGTTTACTGCGAGACCAAGTCGGCCTGCGCTTTGGTCATTCCAGATTGGTGCTGCTGTCATGGCCGATATATGGAATGGCCGAATTGCTGAAGGCTCATAGGTCTGCTACGTGTGAGCGATTGCCACATATGTAGTCGACGACTCACATGGGAAAAGCGATCCACGACAAGGTTCGCCATCGACGTGGTCATTTGCTCTAGCAAGGACGACCAGCTGCGACACGTCGAGGAAGGAGCGACCATTAATACTACTGTGGCCTTCACCGAAAACCCGAAAAAGATAGACTGAGATACGTCAAATTTTTAGGTAAGAACAACAGCTGAGGCAGTAGCTCCTTCCTCGATAGGCAGTAACACTCGAATGTATCGAGCAAACAAATAGCATACAACGAGGGAACATAGCAGGCCCGCTACTCTTCGTCTTGTCAAGTCGTTCATCCACACCTTTCTCCACCTCTTACGCCAAATGCTTCCGTAATATCACTCAAATCAACACCCACCAAGACGTTCCTCCTCTATTCACGAGACGGTCCAGGGTCTCCAATCATTCACCACGGCCAAGTCAAACAGTTGAGCATTTTCGTCACCTTTGACTTGCCGATGGTTCTGGATGCAGAATCGGATCGACATTCCCGAAGGTCACTATCAGCTACCTGCAGCTATTTCCAACTCTTGCTGGGCCCACTTGGCTTCATTCGTTGCGTAGTACAAGTTTTCGCACTGGCCTCAGCAAGTTCAGACACATCAAGATATATTGGGCGAAACCGAAAAGGCAAATAATCAGTACAGGACACATCAGACAGAAGCAGAGTGGAAGCACACTCCATCAAAGCCGCAAGAATGTATGCTCCAGGGATGAATATTCAGATTGTAGTCAATGTCTGATGGGGGAAGAAAAGATTGCCACAATTCGAGGAATTATCCCAGACAGACAACTTGAAGCCCGAGAGAGGTCTAATCTCTGGTCAAGAAAAAGCTTGACTTGATAGAAAGGTCAACTGTTCATTATGAGAGCCCCAGTTGCTCTGCTCAACGCAAGGCTATAAGCACACTCTACTGTTGATAATCGACAACAATCACCATGGCCGACTCCTTCTAGTATATACCAACGATTCAAAGAAAAAAACTAAAGCCCTCGCTTGCTGTTCGTACTCTGCTGAGCAACTAATCGTTCTTTCCTCGCTCGTTGGACACCTGCCTCTGATAAATCTTCCGCCCTCGTGCCTCTCTGAACCAGCAGTGGATACACAGGGCAGGTGCTTCACGTCCACCACAATGTCACAGCTGACAAAACATATTTTGATAATTTTGGATTCTCGAGCATTTGATGCCGATTCGTTCATTTTGCACAACTAATTACCCATCTATGACCTTTGCTGAATCCTGTCCAGACCCGAAAACTCCATTGCAAAATACCCCAGCTGCACAACTAAGATGCGTGACAGACTCAAGACTTGCTCTACCTAATTCTGCCGAGCTTGATTCTGTTCATGGCAATCTCATCGTCGACATTCTCAGTCTGCAAAGAGAAGAGAAGTTAGTAAAACAGCGGAACAGAAAAGTAGAGAAGGAAAAGATAAAGCCTACCTTGCCGATGATGCGGTTGATATGCTTATTCTGCTCATCGAGTTCATCGCCCATAGCGTTACCGATGGTATGCAGCGTCTTTGCACTCCTATGCAAAGCATCCAAGTTTTCCTCAATCTCGCCTTCCATGGCTTCATCCTCGCTATCGGCCTCGAATTGGTATTTAGCTCTGTTGGCCAGGGTTTGTTTATCGTGTGTTTTGCCAGTGGCATTGCGCATGGTTCTCTCTTGACCTGCATGACGTGCAGTTGTTGACCAGGCATTTGAGCGTGTGTCGTCTGCACGTTCTCTCTCTACTCTGTGTTTCTCGAGCGCGATTGCGTTGGCAGCTTCCTCGCGCTTCTTCGCAGTGAAAGGGTTGGAGACGTGCATGGCAAACATGCTTCTGTTGAGTGTCTTCAGCTCGCGGGCTTTTTCTTCGGCGAGACGATTTTGGTGTGATGCCATATCCAAATTGCGTTCGGTGTTATGGATGCGCTCGCCTTGGACACCCAGTCTTGCGAGGGTTTCGCGACCAGTGGCTTCTGCTTGTTCGGCGATACGGCGGGCGTTGCGGGTGGAGGATACGTCTTGTTGTTTGAGGAATTTGATCTCGTCTTTGGATGCTTTGACGTCTTCTTCTTCTTGTTCTTCGGCGGTAAGGTAGCGGTCGGGTTGGCCGTAGAGTTCGGAGGAGCTGCCGCCGTAGCCGCCGGGCATGTTGTTGTTACTGTTTGCGTAGCTGTTGTCTGAGGAGGGTTCTTGTGCGGCATCGTTGGCTTGGAGTTGTTGCTGTAGTTGTCTTTGAGGGGCATCGCCGAAGAGGGCTGCTCTTCCTACATCGGTGCTGACAGTGTCTTGACTGGCTCGTCGTCCAAGACCACCGTATCCACCGGCACCGTAGCGAGACGCTTGTGGTTGTTCGCTACTGCCGTAGGGGTTACTGCCGTAACCACTCTGTTGTGCGTAGTTTCCAGAACCACCGTAGCGGGGTGTGCTGCCACCATAACCACCGGGCGGTACGGGAGATTTGTCACTCATTCCAGATGGTGCAGTGCGGTTATCGTAGGCAGGAGGGGCAGGTGAAGCTGCAGGTTTGGCGCCATAAGGATCGGGAGTAGATTGAGCGGCGTAGGGGTTTGCTGCGGGAGCTGCTGCCTTGTCCTTTCCTTTGGAGCGAGAGAACAATGACGAGCGGGAAGCCTTCTCCTCGGCCTCCTTTTCTTTCTTTCCCATTCCAAAGGGCATGTTTGTGTTGTGCTGTCAGGTAGTGTATAACAGAAGGAAAGATCACAGAAGATCAAAAGTTGGAGGGGAAGTTGTCGAGAGGGTCTGATGCCCAATATAGATGAGGCTGTTCACTGACTGTGCTCCGCCCCCGGACTTTTGCTGAAACCACCGTTTCGTTAGTCACATCCAGAACACCACAGACTGACACACGAGGGAACAACAGATCGAAGTTTGATATGAGAGCAGTAATGCGAAAAAGTCTTTTGCAAGCAACAGCTAAGACTGGATTGCTTGACTTCTTCCTATTGTACAACGAAATCCTTGCTTTTCCATGCCCAAAACGTCTCTCGAGAAAGAGCACGTTGCAAGATTGCCAATATCTTCCATGTATCAGATTGTCGTTAATTTACCATGCGTTAACATCAAAGTACTCCTAAAACACGAATTAGCAAATGTCACACTCGAGTGGTTTGATGCGTGATCACGAACCTCGCCAAAGAAGGTGACGACCACTGTGCGGTCGGCGAACTTTCTACCAGCCAGAGCACGTAGAGCCTTTGAGGCAGACTCATTGTTGTCGTACTTGACATAGATTTTGCCAACACCGTTGGACTGTCTGCTGCCGCCAGAAGGACGAGGAACCTTCATCTCCAGTACTGATCCGTACTTGCTGCACTCTTCCTTGACGTCCTCGACGATTTCTAAGCACCTGTTAGCATGATCCGTGTAAGTGTTGACGGCTTGCTCAACATACCTTCGTATTCATCGTTATCCAGAAGCTCCTCTGCTGTGACCATGTTCAACAGACAGAGCACACGACCTTGCTCAACGTCTGCGCTTGTGGTACCAGCAAGCATGCTCATGGCATTCACGCTCATGTCACCACCAACCTGCTGCACACCGACAGCGGCTCTTGCAGCTCTTAGCGCACCGTCACCCAACTCGATGCCGTTCAAGCCTGTGACAGCCTCATCGGTCTTTGTGGGATCCATGTACTCGAAGAAGGCAAATCCGCGGCTTGCGCCAGAAGATGTGTCTTTGGCAAGGACGAAAGACTTGAGCTCACCAAAAGTCGTGAGAAGCTCCCTGACTTGTGCGTCTTCGATGAATGTGGGGATGTTGGTCATTCTCAGCTTGTTCTGGGTATCAGGGACATTCTCAGAGACTACGCCTTCCATCTGCTCGCTCTCGTCGGTCACAGCAGGAACAATGTAGTCCTTGGGACGGCGAATCTGCAGACCAGCCGGTCTTCCGTTGGCCGAACCATTGGCAGAGTCGTCGTTCATGGAAATGCCATCCAGGGCCAAAGCGGTTGTGGCGTCCTCGGGAGTCTTGAACTCACACAGAGCAAAGTCTTGCTCGGGCGAGATCTGGGCAGACAAACAGGGATCCATACCCTTGACAATGTTGAGGCCATTGAGTTGAAGGTTGAAGAAATCGATAATGTTATCTTCTGTCGAGGTGGAGGGGATACCGTGAACAAAGAGACGTTTTGACTGACGAGCGTTGGAGGGCTTGAGAGCAGTGTTTGCGCCAGCATTAGCGGGCTGGTTCATGAAAGCTTGGAGTCTCGTGGGGTCCATGGGTTGCTGGCGAGGAGCACCGGGAAGAGGGAACATGCCCGAGAGCTTGGCCTGCTCAGCTGTGACATTCTCGTAACCAGGAGGCTTGATGTCCCATTGAGTGAGGCGGCGCTTGCGCTCGAGGATGGGGATGATGTCGGTCAAATCGGGGGTGGGCTCCTTGGGCTTTCTCGGAGGGCTGGGACTGCGCTTTTGGTCGATGGATTGTTGAGGGGCACGTCCAGCATCGCGGTCGCGACCTCCTCTACCACCACCTCTACGGTCGTCGAACAGGTCGCCTCCACGGTCGCCGCGCTCTCTGGGACCTCCGCGGGGGTCGTCACGGCGGTCTCCTCGTCGCTCGGCGCCACGGTCTCCTCTGTCCCAGTCGCGACCACCTCCACGTCTATCCCTTCCAGCGTATCTGTCTTCTCTTTCACGCTCTCTGTAGTCGCGGCTCGACGAGTATGTATCTCCCTGGAACTCTTCTCTGCGCGGGCGGTGTCCGGGTGAGCGCGAGCGTCTGCGTGGTCTTTCTCTCTCGCGTTCTCTGTCACCACCACGGTCACGGTCGCGACGGTCGTCTCTGGATGACTGGGCCTTTGTTAGTGGATTGCGATACTGGAGGTATGACCAAACATACATAGTGGTCGCGCGAAGACGCGTGTCTGCCACTGGGACGATCTGAGCATGAAAAGTTAGAAAGTGGTTAGAAAGGACACAGCAAGCGCATTACCGCGGCTGGAATATGAATCACCGTTCATTGTGGCGGAAAGTATAGCACAAGTTGGGCGATGACAATCCAATGAAGGGTTCTGGACGAGTTGTTGTAATTGCGAGCGATGAGATAGTGTGCTCGATGGATCCCTTGAGCTTGCGCGCCGCTGCAAGAGCCAAAGAGCCAGAGCGTCTAAACCGAGGGAGGCCAAGCCGCTATCCCCAAAGAGGAAGCATGATTGAGCATCAACCCGGCCATCTCTCGCGTCAAGGTCGTGACCATTCTCCGAGACTCGTTCATTGTCCATGCCAGAACCATGTTGAACCTGCAGGAATGGCAGAAGCTCCCAATTGGACTCGGCGAACTCTGCATCAACACTACGCTCCGTTGCGGCCAGTGCTTCCGATGGCGCAAATCTGATCAAGGTGTCTGGTCAATCGCCCTTCACGGCCGCATCCTAGCATTACACCAAGATCCCGAATATCTTTACTACCGTTCCATCGCTCCTGCAAAACAATCGCCAACCGCAAAACCAACCTCTGACCACGATGCTCTACCACTTCTCAGACATTATCTGAATCTTGGTCCCAACCTCACTCAACTATACACCGAATGGTCTTCTGCAGATGCAAACTTCAGTCGCAAGGCTCCCAAGTTCGCCGGCATCCGCATCCTCAAGCAAGATGCATGGGAAGCCCTCGTAGGCTTCATCTGCAGTTCAAACAACAACATCGCCCGCATATCTCAGATGGTCGAGAAGCTATGTACAAACTATGGCCCACTGATCGGTCGGTTTGACGACAAAGACTACTACGACTTTCCCACTCCATTATCATTGGCCAAACCAGGCGTCGAGCAACACTTGAGAGAGTTGGGCTTCGGATACAGAGCAAAGTACTTGTACAAGACAGCGTGCATGGTTGCAGAGAAAGAAGATGGCTGGCTGGACGCTCTGCGGAACCCTGAGAACCCTGTGCTAGGCGTGCAGCCGGCACCAGCAGGCGAATGGGCAAACGAGGGAAGAGAAGGTTACAGAAAAGCACATGAAGAACTGCTTGCACTTCAAGGTGTAGGACCAAAGGTCGCCGATTGTGTCTGTCTCATGGGTCTAGGCTGGGGGGAGGCTGTCCCCGTGGATACACATGGTAAGATCTTGTCGTTCTGCTTCTACTCTGGTTACGACTAATAATCTTCCAGTCTGGCAAATCGCCGTTCGCGACTACAAGTTCGGCAAAGGCAAGCACTCGAGTCTGACCAAAGCTACTTACGATGCTGTTGGAAACAAGTTCCGTAGCCTCTGGGGTCAAGAAGCAGGCTGGGCGCATTCAGTTCTCTTCACAGCTGACCTCAAGGCTTTCTCTGAAAGACTCGTTGCCAAGACAGAGGTCAAGGAAGAGGTCAAAGAAATCAAAACTGAAGATGGCGTGCCTGTAGAAGAGACCACCGTCGAGGAGGAAAAAACTCTGATCAAAGGCATCAAGAGAGAAGCTGAAGAGGATGAAGAAAAACTCGTCGAGACAAAGCACAACATTGTCAAGAAAGCGAAGAGAAGAAAGAAAGCATCATATTGAGCACGCTATATTTGACACACATCTGGCCACCAATAATTTTTGCGACCGGGGTCTTCAAGTTACCAGCTCGCTCTACGAGCTTCGGCTGTGTAAGACATTCTTGCCGCATCAGCTCGTTCGACGACTTATTCGGCTTCTGCGGGAGCTCACACGATGCGTCCTCTGCGACTCTATCAATTGTTCGAAGCGGAATCATGCGTCTCCATTCGGGTAGCCGCCATTCGTCGGCCATACGTTGACCCAAGGATGACTGGTTGTTATCGTCTGGCAGAGCGATGGGGCGCAGCGTAATATCGAGGACCGCTCTCGGAATTAGTATTCCCACTCTTGTTTTCAACAGAAGTTGTGATATGCCCAGATTCTGCGATCAGCTTTCGGTAGTGGCAGGCTTCTGGAAACGGCCTTGCATCCAGCAACGATACATCTTCAGCTTTCTCTGCCTGTTGACAAGCATTCTGTTGTCAACACCCAAGTTCAGGATCTCGAATGCAGGCAGTTTGTTCTCCTCTGAGATATCGGTCTTCTGTAACTTCTCAGCCAGCTCATCGTCATCGGCTTTCTGTTCCGAAGCGTCAATCTGAAAACTGTTCTCGGGAAGTTTGCCAGACCAGATATCTGCGAGTTCATCTCTTTCGAAGAAGTAAACACGAGTGCCGTCGCCACGGATGTAGAAGTTCTCCTCGAGGTAACGACCTTTCTTGAACCGGACCTGAGCCAAATCACCACGACCGTAGTCGCGGAAAAGAACCAGACCACCAGGCTTGAGGACATTCCAGACATTCTTAACAGCCTGTGCCCATTGTCTAGGTGACAGAGCAGAGAAGATGAAGATCATGACAACCACGTCGACACTGCCAGTTTCCAGACCAGGAGGCACGGCGTTTTCACCAGTTCCTGCAGCGTCCCAGACATCTGCCTGCAGAGTGGTCTGGTTCTGGTATGCCTCCTGTGTACGGATAATCTCAATAGCCTTCTTGGAGTAATCGCAAGCGTGGATCTTCAGCAACGGGTTCTTGTTCAGATTCAAGACAGGGTATGCCGTGTTTCCTGCGCCAGCACCGACTTCCAACATTGTTGCAGCGCCATAATCTTCCTTGGTAATCTCTCCCAATACGGGAAACTCCTGGGCCAGCCATTTTCTATCCTTGAAGAAGTTTGCGCGATTGTTGCTGTAGAACTTGTCCCACCACTTCTCGGGATGTTGGTTGAAGCGCTTCTTGTCAAAGTCGGTGACTGGAGCGGATCGTTGGAACTCTTCTTGCGTCTTGATGAACTCTTTGTATGTGTCGTCAGTCTCGACGTGGTCCCATGCGTTGTGTTGGAAGATGTTGTCGCCTTCTTCCAGATAGCGTGTGCCAAATTGAAAGGGGTCGGCACGCTTTTGGTCGTTGTTGGCAGAATCGGTCTGAGGCTTTCGGACGGGCTGAATCGAGGCCGGTACGCCGTATGCTGGTTCTTCCTCGACATCGGCGGCCGAGTCGGTGAGAGGAGTCGCAGGAGCGTCGGGGACTGTGACCCACTCGCGCATGTGCTCCATTCCCTTGGAGAGTTGCTGCTTGGGAGTCTTCTTTCGGTCTGCGCCTTCCGGCTGTGTGTTCTGCATGTCGGCCATTGCTTTTCGATACTCTTTGACAACCAGGGAACCCAGAAATCTACTTGTGTGTCTCGTGGAGGAGATGGTGATTTGGCGAGAAAGACTTGTTACACAATTCGAGTATCTCAGCATCTGAACATGGTGCTCAGGATTGGAAAAAGTTCAGAGTCGATGGAGCGCGAGGGGTCTGGCAGAAAGTCACCGCCTTGAGCGGCTCGGCCCGCAGCCAGGTACAGATCGATCTCTCGCCGATTCTCCGCAGAGTGTCAGCGCGTCATACAGCCAAACATTTGATCTCTTGACCAAGTCGTTTGTGAACCTTACGGCTCTTCCCTAAGGCATACAAGATATCACGTCCTCCACGAGCCTTCTTCGACACTTTCTCTGACGATATTTCACCCATTGACCCACACGACACTCAGAATGAAGTCAATTCGTGCTACTTCTGCTCTGGCGTCACAAGCCTCGGCCACGACATGCTCACGAGCAGCAATCACATCCCGCGCTACCTCGTCTACCCAAACTCGTTCCTTCTTCCCGAACCCTTTTGCATCTCAGAGCCTCCAAACATTAACAGCATCCCGAATCCTACCCTACGACGCAAAAACTCTCTACGCAATCGTTGCCGACATCCAGAGCTACCACAAGTTCCTTCCCTTCTGCATCTCCTCCAATGTCACCAAGCAGTCCTCGCCGGATGTCGAAGGCAAGACATGGCCTGAAGAAGCAGAACTGGTTGTGGGATACAAGGATGTGATGCGTGAATCCTTCTACAGTCGCGTCTACTGCGCACCCTCCGACTTCATCGTCGAATCAGTCAGCGGAGAGACCAACACCTCCGTCCCTGCCGTACTCATAAAACACCACAACGATCGTCCTGATGCCTCTCAAGACCCCGCTCGTAACGCTACCATCCTCACCCACCTCCGCTCTCGCTGGACACTGAGTCCTTTCCCCTACAAACCTGGTCCTATGGGCAACGAAAGACCACAAGAAGTCACATCGGACATCCCGCCAAGAATGCAGACGGAAATCAATCTGGTGATTGATTATCAGTTTGCGAACCCGCTTTACACGACATTGAGTGCGGCTGCTGCGCCAAAGGTTGCTGAGAAGATGATTGAGGCTTTTGAGATGAGGGCAAGGGAGATGTTGGATCGTCCTGCTACGAGTCAGACGCGAAAGTTCAAGGGGACCATGAGTGCGCCTGGGATTGGTATGAAGGCATAAAAGCTTGTGGTATCAGACCTGTTTGATGAGTAGAGATAGATATATCTTGTAACCTACAAAGCAGAGTAGTATGAGCCGAAAGCGCTGTACCCAAACATGAATAACGAGTCGAATGCATCGCTTCACACACTCGCATCAATACTGCCGACATCTCTCCTGTAGATTCCACAACTCTCCGACGCACTCTTTGCGGCCTATGACTGGGGCGGCGGACAAACCTGGAAATACACTCTAGAAAAACGAGTTCAATCCTCTTCTGCCACGGTAGCCTCCACCGAGTTTCCAGACAAACAACGGACACTCGCACAGCTCAAAAGCCTAGATCTAAGCACATCCACACGGCCCACCTTCGATGTCGCCACCATGGACACCAAGCATGTGCGTTTGATGGAAATTTGGCATCGTACCCAAGTCCCTGAGATCAGAGCTCTAAAGGTGTTTTTTACGTATGAGTGTGATGGGCCACATGTGTGGTATACATCGATTTCATTCATGGGTGTTGCAGATGGCAATTTGCAAGCTGTGAATCTTGGGATCAATATTGATGAAGGACAACAGATTTGGTGTGTGGGTGGGAGTGGAGCGTGTATATCGGAATGGAAGTTAGACGACAAGACAGTCGAAGGGAAGACTAGTAGATATGAGTGGGACATCGATTTTCATAATGCGGAGTTGGCTGAGATAGAGGTTCGTGATGAGTCGTGGTATGCATAGATAATGTTTCAAATTTGTACGGTGTATATGTATGAAGAGAGGGGAGGCCAGAACGATATAGTTTACGGATATTCAAGTCGACTGCCACCTAACATCCCAGATCTTCACACTTCCATCAGGAAAAGCAACAGCAATCTTCGCTCCACCTTCAATAAACAAGACCTCGAATGCTGGAGGTCCGCCTCTACATCCATTGCTATTCCAAGAATCTCTGGCTCCGTCTTCGGGTTGGAGAGCCAACAAACAATCTCCACCCTCGACATCCCAGATTCTGAAACCGCATTTTCTGGCACCTACCATCACAACTCTTCCATCCAGCGAGAATACAGGCGCAGAGACCTTCCTTGTAGTATCGGTGAACGTCTTGATGACTTTACTGCTATCAATGTCCCAAAGTGCTATCTCATGACCTGAGTAGGTAGCGAGAAGCTTGCTATCAGGTGAGAATGTACTCGGAAAGACTTCTCGGTCTCGGTCTGAGAACTTCAGAGTGCTGTGTAGCTGCCAAGTGGTCGTCTCGTATATCCGCGTGACCCTGAATGTATCACTCGAGACAGCAAGAAACTTTCCATTCGGTGAGAGGTATACCCAATGTCCTCGGATTGTATGTTGCAGCTCCCAAGTCTCGGTGCTCCAGATACAAACCATGCTTGTGTCCGGACATCCAGAAATCAATATTTCGCCATCATGGGCGAATATGACTTGAGAGGTTTCTCCTGGTTCCATGTACTCGTTTCTCTCCATAGCCGCTGTGATTGACAAGGAATTGTCTTCCGGAGGGGAAAGTGTATGCATCAAGTCTCCAGTTTCCACATCCCAGATGCTCAACACTTAAGATCATGTCATCTACATGTCATCTACATCCTCGAACTTGTGCAGAAGAGATCCCGTGCTGACATCCCAGAGTGTGAGGGTTGAGTCGTCGCATGCGGCCAGGGATTTGCCATCTGGACTGAAAGATAGCCTGGCGACTTCATCGGTATGAGATTTGAGTGTGTGGAGTAATATCGCTGAAGCTTGCATGACAGAAAGGAGCGATGTGAAAGATAGGCAGTTTCCTAAATGGAAGGAGCAGGACTTGGAGATATTTGGTATTGCAAGGTCGAAGAGTAGGCATGTATTTACCTTATAAGCGATGAAGCGCCGCGGAACATGAGTTGGGAGTCATACTAGAACCTTTCCGAAATGGGACACCGCTAAATCGCAGATGCTCGCCAGATACTTTTGAAGGATTCGATTTCGACTTCATACTGCTCCTAGGACAAAACCATCGCGATACGAGGACGGTCATCCATTGCGGACAAATATCTGCATTGGACGAGGTCATCCTTTGCGGAAAGCTTAAACCTGCCGTATGTTCCGCTTCAATTCTGACAACTCGAACAACATCAATCCAGAGATGAGTGTTTCGATATGGTTTCTCATACGATTTGACCATACGTACTCCAGTAGTAAATCCAGATCAACACTTCATATTGATGCCCTTCCTCTTCTCGCTCTCACGAATCTCAAACATGACTTGGACACCGACAAACAGCGTACCACATGCACCAACAAGGAAAGCCCATCCACCAAGACTGCCCACGATATTGCCGACCATAGCCTTCAAGCCATCCACTCCGAGAGCAAATCCGACAAGATTAGCAGCCATCATCATAAGAACATTTCCAGTAGCGCTGACACCACAAATCCAGCGATAGACATCTGGACTATCCTTCCACTTCTTGGCTGGGAACAAAAGTGTGCAGATGACTTCAGGAAGAACGAACAACGTGATGAGCCAGCCCCAGATGAGTAGTTTGAGGTTGATATCATGCCAGAGCGCGACAAAGGTAAAGACAGCGAGGAAGTTGCCGATGGCGCGTACTTTGCCCTGTCCACTGCCACCGATGGGAATGTAGATATATCTGACGATCCAGCGGTTGAAACTCCTGTGCCAGCCGCGCCAGAACGCCAATGCCGAGTAATTGTCACTCATGCAGCGAACCATGTTCTCTGGCGGATCGATGCCATCAACGAGTGACCACAAGCGGAAGAAGCGCCAGGGAATCAACAACTTCAGCCAGATAATGTGGAGATTGAAGTACCCGAGCATGCTCAATTGCATTGGCGAGTAGACCTCCCAAGCTGGCTGGGCTTTGCTGATGGCCACAGCGTACAAGAAGTGGAGGCATAACTCCATGGTGAGTACACAGACGAGGAAGCGGATACCATACATCAAGGTACGTTTGGTGTTAATGGACGCAAGTGGGTACCGCGACTGCGAGATGTAATCGTTGAAAGTCAGTATGGGCCCTGCAAGGTATAGAGGCGAGTAGAGAGCGTAGGCAAGATAGTTGCGGAAGCTAAAGTCCGCTGACTTTGCAGGCACGGAGACTCTGTCACGCTCTGATAAGTTCGAAGGATCGAGTTGCTTCTTCTTCAGGCTGTCAGCTTGTGTATCCATGCGGGTCAAACGGAGAGATGAATATATAACATACCTCGATGGAAGAAGGAGCACCCAAACTCCAGTAGTAATCAAGGTTGAAGCTGATCAGGCGAAGCACGGTGATGTTGAAAAGAATCTCCCAGCGTGGTAGGATACCGCCATAGCTATCAATCCAGCCAGCCCATCCCGGTGTTTGATTACTTTTCTCGGCAGCACTGGTTTGAGAAGGCAGTATGAGAGCAGCAACCTGAGCCATAGGGTAGCCATGGCACAACTCATTTGCGAACAAGACTCCAACATTGAATATCCACGTGGCAGCTGGTACGTACGACTTAGGAAACTGAGTGGCCAGCTTGTAGTTGACGAACAAGATAAGAAGAACTTTTAGTGCGGAGAATCCATGCAACGCAAAGATGAAGATGACAGCAAACATGACATCGAAGGAGATTCTGTGCTCCATTCTAGCATCTGCGGCTGCAGAAGGACTCAAGCCTTGCGTGAGTCCAGAAAGCCTGCTGTTCGATGGAGCAGCTTTGGTATATGAGTCGATACGCCAGAAAGAGTTGTAAGCCTTGCGGAGCAATGGATGCAAGATCAAGAGAAGTGTCATGTATGGAATGTTGTCGCGGAAGCCAGCATACTGTGAGTCTGAGTTGTCCTTGACAAAAGTTAGACTAGGAAGCCTTTGGAGTCATCCTAAATACATACGACTTTGCGGCCAGGGATCCAGCCGTCTGATAATAGATGAGAATAACGAGAGTGGTTGGGATGGGATTCTTCAAAGCCTGTTAGTGGAGGGACTTGGCTTATACACAACGAAAACTTGCCCTGGGAAACATCATACACAGCTTTTACCATAAAAAAGGGAATGGTAAGAAAGCAGAAATAGTAGCAGTAGAATTCTGGAGTGTTCCATTTTGATGGTCGAGTGCCTGGCAGAGCTTGACTCTGTCCTGATTGCAAGACTTCCTGTGCGGGAAGTTTCGAGTCTGCTATCGAGTCTTCGTTTGTGAGTTTGTGCGGAGTCTTTGTCGATGAGGTGAAACGGGTGTCTAGTGTGTCAAGAGAGTATAGCTTCTTTATAAAGAAAAGCCACGACATCTTGGATCAAGACCCATAAGATTAGACCGAGGGGAGAGATATCGTAATGTGTCGAGAAAGGGTTTTGTTTTCTCCAAGTTGGAATTGATTCTCACGATGATATGTCAAGAATCAGGGGAGATATGTGGTGCATAGACCCTTAGACCGAGGGACGCGGCAAGCACATGTCAAAGGCTTGGCGAAGCGCGTTCCAAATGGACGAGCTTCAATTGTTGCAACTCTCGTCCATCGCATTCTACACAACCGGACTTGACAAAGATGAACTCGTACAACGCACCTGCACCGCAGGAGTATGCCGGAGGTAGGATGCCTCTCCCCGCGATACGGCGACCATAGGACCCCCATTGACGCGCCGCAGATGAGATCAATGCCTTGGTCCTCGACCCCGGTTCATTCACCACTCGCGCCGGCTTTGCTGGAGAAGACACTCCCAAGTCCGTGGTTCCCTCCGTTTATGGCTCAATCGCTGGCGCCGATGCCGACTCGAAATCGCGTTACCTCTTTGGCGAGAATGCCATCCACAACCCCCAATCGCATATGGAGATTCGTAGTCCATACGACTCGGATGGCATCGTTGAGGACTGGGACGCTGCTGCGCGACTGTGGGAATACAGCATCACTTCACGCTTGACCGGCACTCGACCAACGCCCGCTACCAAGAACGGCCTTAATGACGACAAGAAAGAAGGAGACGAAGCTGAGGATGGTGACGGCGATGTTGCTATGGAGGGCATCGAGGAGCAAGAGAAACCCATGAGTGAGCACCCGCTGCTCATGTCAGAACCTGCTTGGAATCCTGCGAAGCATCGCGCAAAGTGTATGGAGATTGCCCTCGAAGACTGGGGTGCTCCTGCTTTCTGGCTAGGCAAGACTGGTGTTCTGGCAGCGTGAGTGCATTCGATTCGCAAGGCAAAGTATATGTTGCTGACCGTCTCATAGATTTGCTTCAGGGAAGCCCAACGCTCTTGTCATCGACATTGGAGCTAGCACAACCTCGGTTACTCCTGTCCATGATGGCTTTGTTCTTAAGAAAGGTGGGCTTAAATCCTCGTATCGGATACCGCTGAACCATGGCTAACGTGTCCACAGGCATTCAAAAGTCGTCATTGGGCGGCAACTTTGTCTCGGACCAACTGCGTCTACAATTCTCCAAGATGGATCCCGTGGTCTCATTTACACCCCACTTCATGGTCAAATCCAAGTCGCCTGTTGATGCTGGTCAAGCTCCCAACGCTACATACGCCAAGTTCGATGTCCCACCGACCGACTCGTTCAGGAAGAACGAGGAAGAGCGCATCTTCACATCTTTCAAGGAGAGCATGGTGCAAGTATGGCAAGGTCCTGGTAAGCTCGACGTGGTGGATGGCATGGGTAACCACGTCAATGTCGACACGATCAAGAGCCTGCCACCACGACCATTCGAGATGCCAGACGGTTGGAACCAAGTGTTTGGCATTGAGCGCTTCCGGGTCGCCGAAGGATTGTTCGACGCCAAGGCAGCTCTCACTGATGACAGTCACCCCACACCGGATCAGAAGCACACCATTACATCGATGGTTCAGGCAGCTTTGTCCGCTGTAGATGTCGAGATCAGACCTGTGCTGCTGAATAACATTGTGCTTACAGGAGGTGGCAGTCTGCTGGATAAGCTCGCGGAACGTCTCCACAGTGAGCTCTCGGCACTGTATCCCAACCCTCGTGTCAGAGTGCATGCCAGCAACATTGTGACCGACAGAAAGTACGGATCATGGGTCGGTGGTAGCATTCTCGCAAGTTTGGGCACTTTCCACCAGGTAAGCTTCATATCATCTCATGCTACGCGACAGAATATTGACAAAAGTAGATGTGGATCTCCAAGAAGGAATACGAGGAGCACGGTTCTAGCATTATTGAGAAGCGATGCAAATAATGAGATACGGAAGACAGGCGAACAGGCGTTTCTCAGGCATACCATAGCAAGTCAAAAAGGGGGCCACGTTAGGCGGATTGGGGGATACCAGACGGATGGAGAAACCAACCAATACCATATTGATCTATCAAAGAGACCATGAGAACAGTATTGAGACCCACTGATTGAATGTGTTGTGTGTGTGCTGCTGAGGCAAGTATTGACGAACAACTCGAATCATATACCATAAGCGCCAAGGCTCGAGTGAGTCAGTCGCTAGCGTGGGTTGGTTGCGCGACTGGCAAGCGCGAGCAGCAAAGCTCAAGTGAAGGTCGAATAACTTTTGTTTGCCATTTCAACACGCCCTCTCAAACAAGCATTACCGCACTTGTATCCAGCTTCTGATAGCTTCAGTATCCGACTCCGATTCAGGACCACCACAACAGTCAAAGAATTTCACAAACGTCACGACCTTATGCGCATCGCGCGCGCGCATTTCCATCTAGCCTAGAGCTCGTTCCTACACACCACCCATCATGTCGTGGGGTTTCGACAACGTCGGAAACGCCGCAAACACAGGCGCACAGGTGAATGCCTTGGCCGATGCTCAGGAGATCTTCCAGGACGCTCTCGGGTTCAAGGACATTGGAGGAGAAACAAAAGTGCGCCTGTCGCAGCCATGGCCAGAAGACAAGCAACCTCCAGCTTGGGCCTCACTCTTGTCCATTGCCTCTGGTAAAGGACTCATCGCCGCTGGAACTTCGCAATCGGTCATATTGGTCTCGTCCGAGACGGTGCGGAAGACATACTGGGAAATTGATGCCACTGGATCCGAGAAGAAGCCCAAGGACATTCCCCCTCAGCTCTCGCTCTCGGTCCCACAAGTCTCACACGTTGCCTTCTCGGCAGATGAGAGTTCACTGGTCATCGCTGCTCATGAAGGAGGTGGCCTTGCCGTCTATGACGTCCAAGCACTTCTTCAGGGAAACAAAGATTCCGCATTCCAACTGGCTACCAATGGCATCTCAGTCCGCGCACTCGCACCAAACCCAAGCCCCGACAATGCTCATCTCTTTGCCATAGTCCTTACTGATGGCAAGCTGATGCTCGCTGACCTCAAGCAACGCTCGTTGATCCACGCTGCCAATGGTCCTGTCTTCCGTGAGGGTGTCAGATGCGTCTCTTGGAGTGTCAAGGGCAAGCAGCTTATTGCTGGTTTGCAAGATGGCGGTGCTGAGCAGTTTGATCCCCAGGGTAATCTCAAGGCTCAACTTCCCAGACCAGCCCAACTTGATCAAGCAACACCTATGTCGAGTATTGTCTGGATCGCAAACGACGATTTCCTGGTCATCCACACTCCAGACTCATCGGACGAGGCAGCAGACTCAACCTACCACATGCTGCACAGAGAAAAGTCGTCGGGCGCCTTCACTTCCCAAAAACTTTCCGGAGATCCAGCCTTGCCTGGCCTCGACGCCAAGCGGTTCCCTTCACACTTCCTTGTGTCAAGACTGAGGAAGTTCCCACCAAGCTTGGATGACATGGTGATCCTCTGCTCCTCTGCTGGCAACGAGGCGGGTGTCATTGCCAGCTCTTCGCAATCGTTAGTGGCAGACGGACTTGCCAACACTTACACCGTCGCCAGTTTCGAAAGAGACTCGGCCCGTGCAACATTCCCCATGAGCATTATAGATGGCATGTCGGATACGTCTTCCGTTGGAATGGACCTTGATCTTTCTTCAAGGGACAAAGTCATGCAGCCCATCCCAGGAGACGATCTTGAGTCTTCGGGCCCTCTCCCAGCACTCATGGTCTTGAATAACGAAGGTCTACTTTGCACTTGGTGGATTGTATACAAGGACGCCGTCCGCCAAGGACTCTCCTATCCCGGTCTCACGTCAGCGGCCTCTACACAAGCTCAGCCTGTACCCTCCGCTCCAGCTACGCCCGCTACGCCGGCTGTTACAGGCTTTGCAGCCTTTGGCAAATCATCTTTCGGCCAAGCACCCAAACCTGCATTCGGACAAGCTTCTACACCTGCCTTCGGAAAGCCATCGACACCCGCCTTCGGACAAGCATCTACCCCAGCGTTTGGACAAGCGTCCACACCTGCATTCGGACAAGCATCTACACCAGCTTTTGGAAAGCCATCAGCACCTGCCTTTGGCAAACCATCTACACCCGCATTCGGCCAACCTTCGCAACCTGCATTTGGCGCACCTGGTGTGCCAGGTATGGGTGCTGCCAGTGCTCTCGGAAACAAAACTTCTCCATGGGGACAACCCGCTAGCTCCCCTACTATCTCAACCCCGCCCAAGGGTCAGGTCTTTGGCTCTGCTCTGGGTGGCGCCACCGGGAACGCAACCTTTGGATCCTCTAGTGGGCTGGGAAATAAATCACCAGTATGGGCAACCTCATCACCCGGTTCGCAGCCTGCTTTCGGAAAGCCCTCAGAATCCGGTGCGTCTGGCTTCGCAAAGTTCAACGCACCGGCCAAGGACGAAAACAAGCCTTCTACATCGCCTTTTGCTGGTATGGGTAACAAAGATCAGAACAAGGCTCCTGCCTCTCCGTTTGCAGCATTCGCTCCTTCGAAACCCTCGCCGCTTTCTTTCGGTTTCGGCAAGCCTAGTTCTGCTGCTATAACTCCTGAAAAGCCAGCAGAAGAGACCAGGGAGGAAAGCATGGAAGATGAGTCTGCAGAGAAAAGCCAGGATGAGCCTACCACAGAGAAACCTTCAACCGATGACGTCGAAGCTCCCAAGGCCCCTACAGCCACTTTTGGACAGTCATTCGGAAAGCCACAGTCATCTGTCTTAGGACAAACACCCGACATTTCAAAGACCTCGTCGTTATTCAGTTCGACTCCTGACAAGCCCAAGACTTCAACTTTGTTCGGACAATCTACTGATAGTCCCAAATCTCCTGCATCGGTATTCGGATTACCTGCCAAGCAGACCGGATTTCAGTTTGGTAAGCCCTCTGGAAAACCAGCTTCTCCTCTTAGCAGAGATTCGGATAAAGCCTCCAAACTACCAACCTTGGGCGGCTTCAAACTTGGTTCCACGTTCCAAGGAGACGGAAGCGCAAAAGACGACTTGCCAGCTCCTAAGCAGGGTGGAGGATCTCTGTTCGGAGCCGGTTTCAGTAACATGCTTGGCGAAGCAAGCAAGGAGACAAAAGCAGCTACACCCGTCAAGAAAGAGCCTGGCACTGAGGTACCAAAGTTGAATGACATCCCATCTCAGCAGGCTGAAGAGCCAGAAGATGCTCCTCTCCCTCCAGACTTCACATCATCTAAACCAAAGCAGTCGGTGGAAGAAGATGTGCCTCCAATCGCAGGCAGTCCCCCTGTCGATCTTGGCGATGAAGCCGGTCAGCTGCCGGCAAGCGACGATGACGAAGAGGATGAGGAGGAAGATGGATCGTGGGTTCAGGATGACGGTGAAGAGTCTGAGGGAGACGAAGAGGAGGGAGATGAAGAAGACGATGGAAAATATGACGAAGAAGACGACGAAGATGAAGATGAAGATGAGAGCGATACTGAGGAGCCAGAGAACACATTCGGCACGGAGAAGGGCTCGAAGACCTCCTTTGGCTCTCGTCTCGAGTTTCCCTCGCTTTCTCACTCAACTGGCGACGCTAGCAAGCTGCTACGACCAAAGTCTCCAGTTCCCTCTACCACTCCGGCCGGCCTGCCTAAGGGACCCTTCTTTGCACCGCCATCGAAATCACAAGATTCGCCACGCTCGCCTTCGCCCATCAGACAAACCTCAAGCACCCCAGCAGGCCATCCAGCATCCAGACAACAAATCACTGTGCCTTCGCTGAAAAAGGGACCTTCGTTCAAGAACTCCAAGTCGTCTTCTGCAAAGCGATCCGAGTCACCTGAGGTTCCTGATGCTGGTGAGCTTAGCGACGAGGAAGATGTTCGCGTGCGTGAATTGCTTGCTTCCGAAGTCGAGCCATCCATGGATCTCGAGCCTTTCATCGCCCATCAAGACTATGTCGGTCGTGTCAACAAGCTCGGCATTGCAGGTCAGATCGAGAAGGTCTATCGTGACATCAACAGCATGATTGACACGCTTGGCTTGAATGCACGCTCGCTTGAGTCGTTCATCAAGGGTCACGAGACTCAATACAAACAAGCTGGCCGTGAACGCAGCGATCTTGAGGAGGCCGAAGGATGGTGCCTTGTTGAGATCAACGAGCTTGGTGTCGTTCAGAAAGAGATTGGAGAAGACCTCGATGCCGGAAAGGTCGATGGCGTCTCTCAAAAGCTCGAAGAACTTGCCGAGCTACAAAAGGATGCTACAAAGCTGCGCACCAGAACTGTTGACATGAGAAAGCAGATTGGCGCGCGTGCCGATCCCCAACAACGCGCGACCCACCGTGCTTCACCACTTACCAACGACGCTCAAATACAGCAGAACGAGCTCAGGGAAGGTGTTGCCAAGGTACAGAAGCTGCTACAAGACGCTGAAGAGGCCCTCAGTGTTCTTCGTGCTGATTTGGCTGCCGCACCTTCTCAAGGACCTGCTGCTCAGCGCGTACCTACCGTCGAGGCTGTCACCAACACCATCATGAAGATGACTGCTATGATTGAGCAGAAATCAGGCGACGTCGACGTCCTGGAAGCACAGATCCGCCGCCTGCCTGGTGGACTTGCTAACCTCAACATCTCTGACGGCAGCGATGACTTCCTTCGTAGCAGTATCCGTAGCGTCCGTCCTTTGGAGCGCTCGACTAGTGGCAATCTGTTTGGTACACCACCTGCAACCCGCGGCAAGAATGTCGCGAACGGCGCTACTCCTCTCGGTATCTCGGGCATGCTCGGTAGATTCGGCGGCTCGTTGCGAAGGGACAACTCTGACACTGAGTTTGGACGCAGTAGTATTATGCTAGAAGGCACACCCCGCAGAAAGATGGCGGATGTGAGCGTCGACGAGGTCAGAAGATACCAGGACAGAGCTGCACAGCGCAAGAGAGTGCTTGCCGCTTTGAAGCAGACTGTTGAGAAGAAGGGCACCAGATTCACGGGTACTGGAAAGAACTAAGGTCGTGAATTATGAAGGAAAGTGTCGAGGCATGGGATATGTTCATCGTTTCATTCAGGTGGTATCGTTAGATGAGAACGAGGCCTATGTGATTCCTCTCAGATGAAGACCTATGTATACAACCTACGAGAGGCCATCGGAATAAGCAGAAGCAGTAGTTAGTGAGACATGATAATCTCCAGTTCAAGATCATTTCGCTTGTCGGGTTGTGAATTAGTTCTTGGCAATCCACATGTTTTGAGATGTATACCGCTCGGCCGCAGCTTCCCCGAATCTCTTCGATGTCATGACCAGAGACGAGCGAGATAGAATCTGAAACGAACACGATATACCAGTATGGCAGCCGCAGACTCGGAAGAGTCGTATATCGACTACGAAGCATTTGCGTCGCCGGATTTCCACGCACCAACCTTCGCGAATACGCTCATCCTGTCCACAAACGATGCCAACGACGCATTCCTTGACCTCTCCACACCATTGTCGCGTGTATTGTTTGACGTTCAGGAAGTCGACACGCACATTGATTCTCTCACAACTTCATCCGCATTGCCTCTACTGAAGCACACATCATCTCGCGCAAAGGCCAGCACACACGTTCTCGACACTCTCGAATCCCAGGTCCAAGGATTACAGCAGGCGTATACGAGGCTACACCAAGATGTGGTGGAAAGATATGAACAGGCCGATCAAGTACGTCTTGCAGCGGACAGATTAGCGAACACACTACGGCTTGCCAGGGCTGTCGCAAGATGCCTACAGATTGGCCGTACACTAGAAGGAAGCGTAGCCGATACGGACAAGCCGCGTGAAGGTTATCGGGCCCTTGCTTCTGCAGCTAGAACAGTCTTGTCTCTTCGACAGGCCTTGGTTCCTGACGATGTAGCTGAGGCCAGGTTGTTGGCACGAGTGAATGCCATTAGCACGCTGCGGGCCGAGTTGCTCGACCCGTCCGAGCGGAGTTTGCTAGCAAAAGCACAGCAGAGCGTGCGTGAGTTCAGCATGTCGACTCTCACGGGCTCCTCTGCAGGAGCAGGCTCGGTGTTTGCACAGCACGACGATACAAGAGCAAGGACGCTGGCAGCATTACACACACTATACTTGCTCTCTCCAGTGAGCTTACCACCAAAATCTTCTGCCGTACAAGGAGCCACATTCAATCCAACTGTTCTCGTAGCGGCGTTGCAGTCGTATCTGCAGACCTCTCTTACAGCATCAGCCACTTCTTTGGCACGTGCTCTAGCTACTCTTCCAACACTCGATCGGACTTTGCTCGACATCAGCGCAAGGTGTCAGAACATAGTGGCATTAGAGTCGCTGCTATCAACAGCGAGACCTCCGGCCCACCCTCTTCTACCTGAACCGGCAAACAGCACTACGCCTGCATCGCTCGAACCTCCGTCAAACTTTTTGGGCCCCCTTCTGGCAGCTTTAGACACTTCTTCTCTACCATCTTACTTCTGGCGCTCTTTGGCCTCTTCTCTAGCGCCAAAGGTCCAGGAGATCATTGCTCGTGGAGGTGTTAGCGCGCGGACACTAAAGACGAATAGAGACAAGGTTCGTGATGCGGTTAGAGAATGTGTGCACAGAGGCAGTCAATTGCCCTCTTCAACAGGCTCAAAGAAAGTAGTAGGGAACTGGGAGAGGGAGGCTGCCGTCATGGTGGGTAGTATAATTGGTGCTTTGAGCCGATAGTGAGTGACAGGATATACTGCTCGAGAAACAACATCGTCGAGCTTTTGAGAGTCTGCACAAAGCATGCATAACTGTGAAATGTTGCACATGCAAGAGCGGGAGGCTCGAGCCGAAGCTGGGGCCTCGACGCGTCTTCCCAAGCGCGTGCCTTTCGACCTTCGAAGTGGCGGGGCTCGAAACTTTGAGAATCATCTCCATCATGGATTCTGATGAGGAGGATAATGGTAACCGGCGAGGAAGCACCGTGGATGTTCAGGACGATGACTTCGATTCATCTCCTCGGCCAGCAAAGCGCCGCAAGACGACTATAGCTCCAGCGGCCAAGGCCAAGAAGCAACCAGCACCTCGCAAGACAGCTGCCACCAAGAAACCAAACACAAAGAACAAGACCGTGAACGAGGATCCAATTGTCGACGGCGAGGAAGATGCATTCGATCCTCCGGTCGTTGCAACGAAACCAAAACGCAAGCCAAGAGTTTCCGAAAAGACCTCTGTCAAGGATGATGCAAGTCTGCTCGGTGATTCCGACGACACACTAGGACGCAGTATCACAAAGTCAAAACGCAACCCACGGAAACGCGTTTCCACTGGATCTGGTTCTGAGGATGCCGACGAAGAGAAAGCGGTCAAGCCAAAGCATCGTATCCATGTGCCGGCTATGCAAGACCTTTTGACGGATCGATTTGCAGATGAAGAACCACCGGAATCGTCTGCTCCTTGGAGTATCAGAGGCCCGATCTGGAGAAAGGATGTTTTGGCTCCGAAGCAGTCACCCGTGATGCCAATGCCTACTCGTCAGCCATCGCTACTAAAAAGCACCCTCAATCATTCGGCACTGAGAAACAACGATGGCGCTCAGAACCGTACTACGCCAATTCGCAACCCGACTTTAGCGGTGAATCCTGTTCTCGTACAGCAATCTGCTGTAGAGCAGGCACGCCCGCAAGACGTATTCGCTAAGACACCTACCACACATTCGGACGCGTGGGGAGACTTGAGTGATGACATCGATTCTGAACTCCTGATGGGTCTGGTAGCGGATCAGCCTCAGCAGAACAACAACGTGCCGAAGCTGCAACCTTTCATGGAAGATCCAAGTAGCGACGATTTCGACACCGAAGACCTCATCATGCTAGACGCGGATGCTCCACAGCCGAACCAAGCAGTCATTTATAGGTCACCAACGCGCAACTCGCCTCCTGCAAAGACAACCTTCGCCAAACCTTCCTCTCCGCCACCACGGAGGGCAGTCTCGCCGACCGAAGACTCTGCAGATGAGCTTTACAAATCACCGACACCCAGCCCGCCTCGTGCAAACATGGTCACCTCTAAACCCTCCTTCCTAGCACGAGTCACAGCTCCAGCACCACGGACGGTAGCTCTATCGATCGCGGATTTCGCAGACGAACTTGCAGATCTACCATCAGACGCCTTCGACTCCGACGATCAGACTCCGGCTAAGAACCTAGGGGGTCCGATACAAATCACCTCGTCACCGCCAAGAGTTGCAGCAGCAGCAGCACCTAAGCCGAACCTTGCTCCTCCGCGTGGCGGATTGGTACAGAAGACGTTGTTTGGTGGCACCGTTGTGCCAATGGGCCCGGCTACTCAGGCCAACAAGAGACACGCATGGCCATTAGCAACGCAGAGAGAACCGCCGACTCACCACAAGCTCAATGAAGAGGCTACCAGAACCTGGATATATCCCACAAACCTAGGAACCACTCGCGACTACCAATTCAATATTGTCAGCCGAGGCCTGTTCCACAATTTACTGGTTGCGTTGCCCACGGGTCTTGGTAAAACGTTCATCGCAGCCACGATCATGCTGAACTGGTTTCGGTGGACGGAAAGTGCGCAGATCGTCTTCGTAGCACCTACTAAGCCTCTTGTTGCTCAGCAAGTTGATGCCTGTTTCAACATTGTAGGTATTCCTCGTTCACAGACTGTCATGCTCACAGGTGAAACTTCACCTGGCTTGAGAGCGGAAGAGTGGAAGACGAAAAGAGTGTTCTTCATGACTCCACAGACGATCATCAATGATCTCAAAACAGGTCTCTGCGACCCGAAGCGAATTGTACTGGTTGTTGTTGATGAAGCACATCGTGCAACAGGCAATTACGCGTACGTCGAGGTCATCAAGTTCGTTCGTCGATTCAACACAAGCTTTCGCGTGCTTGCATTGACTGCCACACCTGGTTCTGATGTTCCAGCAGTACAGCAAGTCATTGACGGTCTTGACATTTCACGGTGTGAGATCCGTACAGAAACTTCTCTGGATATCAGACAGTATGTCCACAGTCGTGACATCGACGTCATCAAGTTTGACTACTCGGAAGAGCAACAAATTATCATGGAGCTCGCTGGAAACGCTATACGCCCTGTACTTCTGAAGCTTGCGAGTCAAAATGCCTACTGGAACAAGGATCCGATGAAGCTGACGGCCTTCGGCTGCACCGAAGCTCGAAGGAAGTGGTTCGCTACCGATGCGGGCAGAAAGGCACCACAACCCGTCAAAGGCATGGTCAATAGCATCTTTGTAGTACTCGGAAGTCTTGGTCACTCCATATCTATGCTCAGGTTCCACGGCATCACACCTTTTTACAACGGAATGGTCGAGTTCAGGAACAAGGTTGATCAAGGCGAGCTCAAGGGCAAATATGGTGCACAAATTCGCGACGATGAGAACTTCACCAAGATGATGAACATGATGTTGACCTGGACTCGCAATCCTGAGTTTCTTGGACATCCAAAGTTGGAACATCTCCGGACTGTGGTCTTGAACCACTTCCTCGACGCCGAAGAGAAAGCAGCTGCACCAGGAGGACAACCCTCGAGCACAAAGATCATGATTTTCGCGGCATACCGTGACAGTGCCGAAGAGATCGTACGTGTTCTGAATAGGAATCAGCCTATGATCAGACCACATGTGTTCGTTGGCCAAGCTGACTCCAAGAACTCGGAAGGCATGAACCAGAAGCGTCAACTCGAGGTCATCAAAGAGTTCAAAGAGGGCAAGTACAACACCTTGGTTGCAACTTCCATCGGTGAAGAAGGTCTGGATATCGGAGAAGTCGATCTTATTGTCTGCTATGACGCTTCTGCATCACCAATCCGAATGCTTCAGCGTATGGGACGTACCGGAAGAAAGCGCAAGGGTAATATCGTCTTGTTGCTTATGAACGAGAAGGAAGTCCCCGATTTCGAGAAAGCCAAGGACAACTACGAAAAGATGCAAGGCATGATCGCTTCTGGCAAGGACTTTACCTTCCACGATGATAGATCGCCTCGTATCCTCCCCAAGGAAACCCAGCCTGCTGTGGACAAGAGAGTTGTTGAGATTCCTGTGGAAAACTCGCAAGCTGCGCTTCCTGAGCCGAAAAAGGGTCGTGGCAGAGCTCCAAAGGCGCCACCGAAGAAGTTTCACATGCCTGACAATGTCCGGACTGGATTTGTTGCTGCCGGTAGGATGGATGACGAAGACGCGGAAGAGCTGGCTCCTCGCGGCAAGAGTAAGGCCAAGAAAGCAACTGCTGCTTCTGTCAAGAAGATGTTTCGCCAACCTCCAGGCATTGAAGCAGTTTCTATACCATCGCTCGACGACGTCTACTTGAACAAAGTCTGTGAGCGTGAGCTTGAACGCAAATACAAGCAAATCCAGGACACGAGCGATCGCGCTCCCACGGTCGGTCTACCACGACTAGATCGATTCTCGAGCTCCTTTCCAGGACCGACCAAGTACATCGCGCATGGAAGAGCTTTACTAGCAGCTTCGAATTTGATGAAGCGCTTGGGCGGCATCACTGATGATGTTGTGCAAGGTTTCAAGGACAACTTCCATCAATCCGATCTTGAAGCCGATGTGTCAGAGATGCTAGGAGACCCGACTGTTGTAGAGATGTCTGACACTGATCTGCCTGTGGCTCAACCTGCCAAAGCAAGAAAGGCACCCGCTAAACTGAAAGCTCCTAGAGCCCCCAAGCCGCCAAAGGAGCCAAAGGCACCAAAGGCTCCCAAAGCCCCGAAAGCCCCCAAACAACCGCCTGTGGCGAAGACGCCCAACCCTCGTGGTCGTCCAAAGAAACGACCAACATCGCGTAACAGCTCAGACATGGAAGGCGCATCTTCCAGCCCAGGACCCACACCCGCCCACCTTCGTCTCGGCACCCAAGGCATCGACCTCGGCTCTGCAGACACTTCAGGCGAAGAAGGCCATGATCACGAAGATGAAGCCGACTCTGAACTCGACGACTTTGTCGTTGGCAGCGATGCACCTATTGAGTTTGCCTCGAGCTCTCAACCCCTTACTCACAATCCTCCGAAGAAAAACAGACTCAATCTGTTTACTCAAGAGAATATTGCTGAGGAGAGTGAGGAGGATTTGCCTGACTTTGGTCCGTCTAGTACGCTGGATGAAGTTGTTGAGGTTGAGTCTGATGATGAGAGGGATGAGGAAGTTGCCCCTGTTCGCAGACACTTGGGAAGGAGAAGACAAGTTGTCGACGATGATAGTGACGAGTGATTGGTTGCTGTGTTCGATTCGTATACCATAGCTTCTTACTGGTCGTTGCGATTGTAGTCTTTGAGCTCTGCAGAGTTGCTAATCACTATGCATTTTTTGCTCATGCTTGCCGTGCTAATGACTGTGTCGTGGAGTTCTGCCTCTTTGTGCTCAGAAAAACGGCAAGCCTTATAAGCTGCATGAGGAGATATGGAAGGCTTGGTCGTGACTGCCTCGTTGCGAACAGTATAGCTAGGCTAGTTGATTACTATCACCACCAACTGCCCCCAACTCTCCCAACTGCCCCCAACTCCACCAACAGCCACCAACAACGTCAACACCTTATCGCCTTGATGTCGTCATATGTCGTCTCTCATTCGCAGAGCTGATCAACTTCTGGATCAAATTGCAACTTTTCGCGTCAAGGCCGGCATCCGCGACCTGTAGCAAAGAGCGACTCTGCTACTCACCAACCAGCATTGCCAACAGAATGTCGTCATTTATCTGCAGAGCTTGCCTCAAGGACTGTATAAGCGCCACGGAGTTTGAAAACGCACGTGGAAGATTGTAGTGCCAATCGGCTTGCGTATCTCAAGATCGTGGCCTTGAATCTTGATTTAGATGGTGCGTGGCGATAGCTGGTTAGTACTTCCAAGCATGCTGACGACCTCTCCAGACACAGGGGCCCAAGAGAAGCTTGGTCTACGATACAACTTTACACCAGAGTTGGAAAAGAGGAGACACGATGAGTCCTGGTGCTTGAACATCATGGCGTCGTACTTATGGGACTGGGGTGATATGTGGCTTCTTGGTGACAGAGCACTTGACGAAATTATAGCGAGTAGAAAGCGCAAAAGAGATGCTGCAGCAGAAGACGATGTGCGAGCTTCGAAGGTGGCAGCACTACCCGATACAGATGCCAGCATTAGTTCACATGGTACACATCACGCGCCTCATCCACCGCCTTTGGTGAACTCTGGAATCGATCTGCCAGCGACAAACACTATTGACTCTACCTGCCCACCAGCTCAGCGTCCAACCTCCCAACACATCCAACCCAACATCACACAACAATCCTTTACAAGTCAGGACTCGGTCTATCTAGGTGACTTCAGGAGCAACTTCGACTTTGCCTTTGCAAGATGGATCGATGAGGGGAATATTACAGAAGCTGCCATTGCTCGATTGTTCAAGGATCCTGCACTAGCACCGCTCACTCAGAGTCTGAGTTGGAAGTCTGAGAGGCAATTGGAGGAGAAGGTTGACCGTCTTGATTTTGCTAGAGTTGAATACGACAGGGTTCGATGAAGGGTGAAGCTGTATGAAGGCAAAAGGATTGGAAGGTGCTTTCCCTTGTAGCTCTAGAGACGGGCTGTTGTTCTTGCCTTGCGTGTCTCAAGATTCAGTTGGTCACACATTCATCGTTCCTGCTTTGTGAGTACTTACCCCGTTTGTGTTTGTTCTAGACATCATTCGTCTCTTCGTGTTCAGCAACGAACATCAATATACTCCAAGATCCTCACCCCTATCTCTTCCCTCATCTCGAACAAACCGCAAGACAATTTACGTCCTCTCCGCTCACCCCTGATTCGAACCCTCACCCCTCCCACTCCAGCCCTTATGTTCCTCCAAAGTTCCCACACTTTCAGTAATCGGCTGAGTGGTGTAACGGCCCAGATACACTCACGCCTTCAAATTACTGCATTCGGTAATAAAATCACCCTTCAAATCCCGCCGTGTACGCCTTAAAGATGTTATAGCCAGACGACCGTTAGTCCTGGTGGCTTTGATCAAGGGAAAGAGAACTGGGAGTTTTTCCAGACTAGCTCTGGTTTTTTTGCTATTTTGGTAGGATCCTTTTTGCCATCTTGAATCAGGTGGAAGGAGTATGGGCTGAAGAGGTCGCTGTGTACCGTGGTGTTGCACAAGTGAAAGTGTTCTTTGTTGTTGCGATTTCCTTCACTTTTTGACCACGACACGTTTGTTGTTATTGTTGGATGGGTCTCAGTTGACGCGCTTGTTGTCTTTGGGCTCTCACACTTTCCTTTCACGCTCGATCGCGATAACCTTCACGTCTTCGATCACATCAGTCTGTGACATCCACACTCTCTTCTCTCTGACCTCATCTTCTACATCAACCAACCGGTGATCCTACCAAGCATGAAGACAAGATCAGCAAGCGCCAACTCAGGCGCACAGAGAGTCGTCGACGGCATCAAAGAAGAACCTGCAGATGAGTATGTCTTTCCCTCACTCCTCATAGCTAAATCAAAACTAACTTATCAGGACTCTGGCTCAAGTTGATCACGACCTTCAACCCCTTAACACTGACGCCGACAACCATCAAACCGATACCCATGCAGTCGCAGAGTCCAATCACGACCAATCCAACACCTTCGTGTCCCGCATGATGACCAGATCCTCGAGACTCAACACCCGCATCACATCGCCCACTGCCCCAGAACCAGGCACTCCCACTTCTACTCCCACTGCCAAACCCACCAAACAGACTCCCACCATCAGTACTGGAAGAAAAACCAGATCAGTCTCCGTTCCCACAACCACCACTACTACCGCCAAAGTCGCCAAAGCCACCAGAATGCACAAACCTCTACCACCCATCCCAGCCGTTCTTGCTCCCGCCCCAAACGCTCCCAAGAACTCCACCTCCACTTCGAAAACCTCACTCTTCAGAACCCTCTCCCCAGCCCAGAAGGTCAGCCGCAAACGCAAACTCTCCACCATCAGGAGTACATTGAAGCAGAAGAGTGTCGAGCAACTCACCGATCTGTATAACAGCACCGAAGACCCTGATTTCCAGACGCTGATGACCGAGGTCTATCATGAGAATTGCATGAGTAGGCTGGACGAGTGGGAGAAATCACTTTTGGATGAGGATTGAGGATTAGATGGAGGAGGATGGTATGGAGTCGGGGGCGCTTTGAGCGTTAGAGTCGGGATTCGGATTGCAGAGGTTCGAACGTGGAAGTGGTCTTGAAGTTGAAGAGAAAGCTTTCTACATCAGAGGAAGAACCGGGCAGCTCCAACTGAGCATCTCGATATTGAGATCAAAGTGAGCAGCCGCAGAGACTTTGGACAAACAGGAGGCAGAAGAAGGAAGGCATCAAGGACAAATCGTCCCGAGTGGAGACTGAAGTACAATTATGAACAAGAACACATTACCACGTTGCCTTCTTTACATCCAAGCATCTCTAACACCTACGCTTCATGACACACAGGGCAAGAATATCCGCTCCTCTCGTCCTCCACCAAAGCAATAACCCCAGCCATTTCCACCTCAAGACAAACCCTATGCACAGTATGTCTACAAGCAAAAACCACCAGCGTCATTTTCTTGACCACTTCTTCTCTTTCTTTAGTCCTGTGCTCCACATCCCCGCCAACTTGCACACCTTTGCCTTTCCCATTATCGCCTGGTTGGAAAGTCTTGATTTTCTTCTCTGCTCTCTCGCTCTCGAGACGTTCGAATTCCTCCCAGATGGTTTCGTGGTCATGTTCCACGGCGCCCACTCCAGTGCCCCATGTACGCTTCTTGCATAACTCGCAGGTTTGGGTTCGTGGGCGCCAGCCTTGGTTCCGTAGGTTGTGGATGCTGTCCATGTCGGCAAAGACGTCAATGTCGAGCATAGAGGAAGCTAGATTCAAGACGGAGGACTCGTGAGCATAGGCTGTAAAGACATCGAGAAGGACGGCACGCAGATCGGATAGGGTAGGTGCGTAGGAGGAAGAGGCACGAGATAGGAAGGCGCGGAAGATGTGCAGGAAGGATTGGTTGTGTTGACTGCGACGCGGTGTGGCGTGATGCTCATCCTCGTCAGATTTCGTTACTGTGGTTGAGGTGGCGCTGAGAAGAGCCGTGAAAGTTTGCTGGACTGTGCTGCGAAGAGCATTGTTTGTTCTGTCAATGTCGAAGGAGTTGTCGTCGATGAGCTCGTTGGTTTCTGCAGTTACGAATTTGGAGACTGAGACGACAGCGTCGATGAGGTTCAACCAAAGCAGTTCGTCGAGCTCAAGGTCGGTCTCTTTGACGTCCCAAGCGACGTTTGTGCGCTGGCGTGGTTGGCGGTATTGTTGCATTGCCGCGCTCTGCCCGTTGCAGAGCCAGATGCCTAGACGAGTGTACTTCTCGATGGCTTCTATCAAGTCGTCGGTGGCTTCTTCTGTGCTTTGCATGTCTGGCGCCTCTGCCGCTGCTTTGATTAGACCGCAGATGGCTCTCTGCAGTGTTTGTAGATGCTTGCAGAGTCGATCAATAGCATTTCTTGCCAGCCCGTCCTGAGCCATGAGCAAGACTGCTGCGTCGACAACGCCATTCTCTTCCATTGAAGGAAGCACACGGTCGAGATCCAGATCGCCAGATTTCAGTAGTCCAACATAGTCAGCTACATGGCGAGGGTCGTGAACGCACATGAGCTCAACATACTGCTCACAGAAGCGTGAGACCAGAGCTTCTGACACGGGTTCGGTTGCGACCTTCTTCGCACGATGGCTAAGCAACGAAGGCTCAAGCAGCGTGCGCAAGAAGTGGAATCGGGTATATGATTCCTCCACAGCACCGACGAACCGCTCTAGCATATCGTCAGTGTACATAGCAAGTGTATGTGCAGTTTTGGAAGTATTGATGGCTGCCAGCTCTTGAGCATGGTCACATAAGACGTCCTCTAGTTGTGTTTTCTGCTTATCATGTGACTCCTGCAGACCGTATGCCAGATCGTTGAAGATGCCGTCCTTCCCTTGCGGGTCTTCGAAATATGTGTTGATGAGATCGACAGGTCTGTGCTCGGTTCTGTACAATGTCTTGAGCACACGGTAGAATCGTGCTTCTCGGAGCTGGTTGATGAGTGCAGTAGTGATAGGAGGATGGTACACTGAGAGAAGATACTCGGCACTGAGTTGACAGTCATCAGCCAACTCATGTTCACGGAAGCTACACAAACGATCCAGGACTTGGTGCAATGAAGAACTCGACAAAACCATGAATTGTGGGTACTTTGGCAGATTTCTGGCAATGAACATGTCAAGATAGATGGTTTGCTCGGGAATGAAGTCATCTGACGACATGACATCGAGTAAAATACTGACAATGTACTGTCGAGTGATCTTTAGGCCAGTACCGTTGGTGCGCGGCTGAACAGATGTGGTGTCGTCTTCTTGCGAGCCGTTGAGATAAGGGTCTTCGAAGGCTTCTGTCATCATGCTCATGAAGCTTGCCGAGTCATACTCGAGCAAAAGTCGTAGATAGGGGAAGGCAGGTTCGTCCATATGATTTTGCCTGGTTCTCAGAATGAACGAAGACCCTGTTGGCCATGCAGTAGGTTCGTGAGAGAACAGGTAACGGTAGATGTTTCCCTTCTGTATGTCGGCTTTTTCATCATCAAGGAAGTCCCCTTGCGGGTACTTCCTTCCTGTCAGGACGAATGCCAGATAAGGGAAGACTTTTACGGCTGACTCCAACGCTGCTTCCTCGGCCTCGTCTTGGACGTCTTTGACATCGCGCAGGAGTGCCAGCAGATCAGACAAAGGAGTGACGTAGTCGTTCAAGGCCTCGTTCCAGACAAACGTCAACGCATCATATAGATAATGTGTTTTGCAAAGAGTCGTAATCTGGTCCAGATCGAAGGTGCGTGGGTCCAGCCGGCATAGCAACTCTTCTAGATGAGTGACCTGGTTCATTGAGATGGCATATTCCACCAGATCTTTCACTAGTGGGGGTGGTAAAGCTGTGACCTCTTCATCCATGATATATGTTTGCAGAATTTTGAGGAACACCTCTCTCTGGCCCGCGTCTCGTAGTGGCTCGTAAATGTCGTCAAACAAAAAGCTCTGGTTGTCCATGCTCACGCAGGCATCGAAGCACTCGGCGACTAGATCAGATAGCGGCCGACCACTGGTGTCATTCTCCGAGAAGGAAAACAGAATTGATGCAGACATGAGTTCGAGCAATCTTCCGTTGACTAACTCGTGACGAGCATCTGCATTGTCTGGCAACCCAACTGTGACGCCACCAGCTTGTCCAGTATAATATGCTCTAGCAAGCTGAATAGCTACAATGTAGTCACCATGTTCGATCAATGCAGTCAACCGATCGGCCCAGTTCGAAAGAGTTCCGACGGAAAGATCGCTTGCTCCAAGAAGGAACAGTCTATTCTTGTAAACACGAAAACTCTGATAGAAAGCATCTGCAATGACTCCATGCATTTCCGAATGCTCGTTGTCAGCCTGTTCGACAACGGGGTGGAGTTGCTTCGAGAATATGTCACGGTGATGTATTTGTCTGTGCAATAGATCCACAGAGTCCATGACATGTAACTCGCCGTCTTCTATGATGATCATCTGTTGGCTGATGGTAAGTACACCGATGACAGATCGACTCAACCATTGGACCGCGACAATGGCTTCCTCGCACTCCCAGCTGCTCCTCGAGTGGAAGAACAAATTTGGAGGCTTCTCCTTGTCTGCTGGATCTTGTGACACATGGACGTCGACGTCAAGTACTGTCAGAACGTTCGACCAGCAATACACGAGTTTGGTCTCCGACGTGTCTCGCTCAGTGGTACTGTTGCTGCTCTTCAGCTTGACTGCTGGAAACCAAGCAAGACAGCCACTCATGGCACTGTGACGAGATATTGATTTGGGTCTTGAAGCCTTGTGCTGCGTTTGAGCGATCGGTGTCGTCGATACAATAACAAGCAAGTATGGGGTTAATAAAGCTGTGAGACCCATAGCATCTGTAGCCTGCTCTACATTTCCTAGAGGCAGTGGCGCGAAAGCAAGCACAGAACTCGGCTTTATCCTCGCCTCTTCTTGCAGATTAGGAACGGGGTAGCGTCCAAGCAAGCGAGCAGTCTTGATCGAACGAGAAATTGCGCCCATTCCACGAGAAGCGAGGTGAGAGAAGGCCATGCCGCCATCATCCGCAGAAACGAGAGCAGTACGCCGCGTACCAAGAAAGCCAATATGCAAGACTGAACGACCGGGTACATGGCCATCAGGAGAATGGGGCAGGCCTTCCCTTGGCACAGGTGGGATATGTAAGAAGGGCTTAGCGGGACGAGCAAGTTCCCAGGTGAAGATGTGGCCTGTGGCATGGCCGGCAGCAATTGCGGAGTAGTCGGCAGAAATGGCAAGGGCAGTGATTGCACCACATTCGACGGCTTTTGTGCCTTGACCGATGATGCCCTTGAGAGTCTGGTGGTAGTCAAAGAGCAGAATCAGGCCTTTGGATGTGCCAATGGTGATGGACGATGAAACAGCCAAACAAATTGGCTGGCCAAAGTTGCGTCTTCCGGCTTCTGAGAAAGCTTGTGATGTGATCTTCCGTAGTCTTGTCCATCGAACAACTTCCCAGGGAGCATCCGGGGCATCTGCAATATCGCTACCTCCTTGCGACAGGACAATCTGAGAGGAGAGGGAAGACTGGCGAGAATGTGGGGATAGAAAGGCAGGAGATGCGGCGCGTGATGAAGGCGAGGGCGAGGTGAACCTGGAGCTGAAGCGTCGCTCAAAGGGCTGCAGAGCACCAGAAGGAGTACGAAGAGTGTTTGTCGAGGCACGCGGATTGAGGCGAGGACGACGGATAGGTAACGAAGATGCTAGGGAGCCTTGGACGGAGGGAGTGTCATCGGGGATAGAGGCAGACTCAGAGGGACTGGCGAGGTCTGGGATTGTTTGGCCAAGATTGACGATGTCGCCAACATCGGCGATGTCTTGTGCACCAGATTCATCCGCGAGAGAGGCTCCGGGCTGTTGTGGGAAAGATACGGGGCTTCCGGAACGGCTCACGGTCTCGTCGGCTGTCAGGAACGAGTCCTCGGGATCCTGATCGGCGTCATGCTGGGACAAGTCGTGGAAGGAGGCATCGGTTTGTTGGGTTGGAAAAGGGAAGGTGCCATCAGCGTCATGGCCATGCAGGTCGCTGTGGTCGGGCGGGGAGCTCATTGACCAACGTGTCGGCCTGTCGACATTGCTTGCTTCCTCCTCTCGTCACTGATCTTGTACGACTGCGCCGAGTCTTGTTTTTCCTCCAGGCTATGTCTCCGGGGAATGGGCGTGTCAGATATGGCTTACAGCGGGTGAACAGAGGCGTGGTTGTTGCATACGGGCTTGTGGAGATAATGCCTGGACAGTTGGAGCCTAAGTCCACGCCAGAGTCGACCACTGGCACTCCGAAGTTGAAGCGATACCGATGACGCGTTTCGAATGCCAGACAATTGTCAACTTCCATCAACAACATCCCTCACACATCAAGTCATCATGTCGGCAGCAGGTCCAGAGCTCCCTCCACACCTCCTGGCCAAGAGAAAGCGTCAACAAGAAGACGCACAGAAGGATGAACCCTCTACTTCTTCCGGCGCAAACCAAGAGAGTCCGAAGCGCCAAAGAGTTACAGGTCCAGAACTCCCACCATCAGCCTCGGCGACACCAGCAGGACCCGCTTTACCACCAAACGTCTCCTCACCTTCAGTCGGTCCTACGTTGCCGCCCTCAGAACCACAACCTGTCCGACCTGTTGCTGGCCCTGCACCGCCGCCAGCTCCTCTTGATGAGCGTCCACCTGCACCTCTAGACTCCGACGACGACTCCGACGATGATGGCTACGGCCCAGCTCTGCCTACCGCTGCCGATCTAAACCCATCGTCCAACGCCGGACCATCGATACCACAAGAAACAGCAGCTCCTGTCAGAGCCCAGCGCGACGAATGGATGACACTGCCTCCCCAGCAAGATGACCTGGCTGCTCGTATGGATCCCTCCAAGATGCGTGCAAGAGGCTTCAACACTGGCAAGAACGCAAGAGGTGGAAACACAACTCCCGCTGGAGGAAACATTGCCGCCGCATGGACGGAAACACCAGAAGAGAAGCTCAAGCGTTTGCAAGACGAGGCTATGGGTGTCAAGCCTGCTACTGCTGGACACATTGATGCCAAAGAAGCTGCCAGGAATAAGGAGAAAGAGGCAGAGGCGAGACGCATACGTGACCAGACTGTGAGTTTCCTACCATCTGATACAATGCACGTTCAAGCTGACATATCTCTGAAGGACAAGGCAAGAGGGCCATCACTAATGGCACAGCACAAAGAATCAAATCCAGAGAACAAGGACGACGATCCAAGCAAACGAGCCTTTAACAGGGAGAAGGATATTGGCGGTAGCTCCCTCGGTCTTGTCGACAAGAAGGACCTGCTCAATAAGGCTTCCAACTTTGGTTCTAAGTTCTCTGGCGGTGGCTATCTGTAACTGTAAACAATTCATATGGACCATGAACACAAGCAATGTGAAGATTCATCAAGACAGAATGCATGCTCCTCATCATTACTATACTACTATACACCCTACTTGCGACCCCAAGCCCTCTTCTCCATAGCCGCCTCAACAGCAGCATCACCAGACAACATCCCCGTAGTCACAATAACAATCTTCTTCTTCTCCCCCAACTGCTCGCCCATGAACCTCAGCGCCGCAACCTCAGCAAAAGTGACGCCACCCAAGAACACCACAATCGTAGTCTTGGTGCCGCCTCCACTGCCACCTCTGAGTGTTTGTCTCGCAGCCGAAGCTTCAGCACTGCTTCCCTTTTGCACTTCGTCAACAGTAGCGCCTTTGATCCTCTGCAATACATCCTCAAAGCCCTTCCATCCTGCTGCTTGTGTATTTGATGTGGCGCTTGCAACAGACGCATTGGCATTGGGCGTACTCGACGATCTCGGGTTGGAAAGTCTTGCCAAAAGTTGTTTCTGCAGCACACACTGCACCAACCTCACGCTCAGTGGCGCATAGCCCGAAAACACATACGAAACATCCGTGGGTTCCTGCTCATCCACCTCGTCAACGAATAGCTTCAGCGTCTTGCGCACAGCATTGTAATCAGTGTTTCCAGAATTGACTCCGCCCATGGGGTTCAGATATCCGGTATTGCTCTGTCTGGTGGTCACCAAGCCCATTTTCTCGAGTGCGGCAAAGGTGATCAGGTGTTGATGTCCATACGCATACATGACTTGTCTCTTTAGGTTTTCGAGTTCGCGGGGGCGGATGCCGCCGCCTACACATGATTCCAGAGATAGCAAGCGAAGAATGGTAGATAAAGGAACGTCTCTAGCAATCAGTTCTTCCAAATTGTCATTCATGCTGTTTGGATCGGCGCCAGCTGCAAAGTTCTGTTGCACCTCCAAGACGCGGCCGAAGATTTCGCTGCGGGTGGTCTTCATGATTTCTTCGGCCATGGATGTGTGGATTTTGAGGGATGCTTGCTCGGCTTGGTAGGAAGGCAGTTTTGCGACAAAAGTCTTGAGGTCAGAAATTGATTGATCGGTTTTGTGGCGGGACTCGTAGTCGGCTTGGAGACGGCGAGCGGTTCTGTTTAGCAAAGGGCCTACGACGGCGAAATTGCAGTCGCGCAGTTGAGGGTACAGTTTGTCGGAGCTGTCAAGTACAATCTTGCGCTTTGTGGCGGCTTGGGTGGAGTTGCCTGCTGCGGCTGCTGCTCCTTGGGGTTTCTGTTGCTGGGGAGCTGCGCCGACGATGGAGGTGTCTACTTCGGTTGAATTGTTACGGACGCCAAAGACTTCGTCAATCAGACCCTCGTATGTTAGTTGGGTCATGAGAGGGGTGAAGAAGTCGATTTCGCGGTCGATGATGATGACATTTTCTACAACTGCGCTGGGGGTGAGGCCAAAGGTCGAGGGTGATTTGGAGGTGGCAGAAGATGCGCTGACTTCCTCTTCGGAACGCATACGAATCAGCAGATCTGCAAGTTTCTTTGCATTGTCACCTTTGCCTAGAATACGAGGGAAGAGACCGGTGGATCGTTGCAAGCGCATCAGTGCTGTGGCAGTTAGGAAGATTGAGGTAGGATCTTTGCGCTGTCTAGAGGTCAGTACAGCGTGGATATATATACTCTGAAGTAGGACATACCAGATACAAGTCACAGAAAGCATCTTCGAGCTCCAGAGATAATAAGTCGGGCTCCAGAGGGATCAAGAATAGAGGACACTCGCCAATGGTCACCTCTCCCAGTACACCATTTTCTTCGAGGATTCTATCACTGACAAGGGTACGCCTGGGCACCCAGAAGACGGAGAAATCATGATCGACTTTGCTTTCTTGACGGATTTGACTAATCTGTTCTATGGATATGTTAGCATGTAATGATAACATCTCTCGAGACGGGGGCGCAACAGAGAGAGTTGATGATTCATGCTGCATCGACTGGCTGTCAATGTAACGATTTTGATGTAGGGCACAAGACTGAACGTGCAGGGTAGGTGTAACCTGCGCACTCTACTTTAAGGCCCATGTGTGGTGGTGGAAGGGGGAATGACTAGCTATGACTATGCAAGAGAGGAAGACGTGGCCTCGTGACTACCACAAGCAATCATGACCTACCAGCTATGAGTTGAACATCCTTTGGCTTCTCGCCTCTAGCGAGGAAGACGATGTTGCGTTGAGAATCGTCGACATTGCGGTTCTCTACGTAGAAGACCTTGTCGACGCCATACTCCTGCAAGGTGCTGAACTTGACGAGCAAGCCAATTGGACCGGCAAGAGACTTTTCAATCACAAGATTCTTCTTGCCAGGAACCTGCACAATGGGTGTGAGCAGATGGCAGGATGGGATGGACTCGCAGTATCCAGGTAGCCTTACGTACGCCTTCGAGCAGTTGGAGCAGGTCTCGACGAGCCCTTTCGGTGATGTCCTGAGGGTTTATCTCTGCATGGGGCGCCATCACATCCTGCAATCACGAAGGCGTGGAGGAAAGGAAGACAAGTTGGTTGTGAGTAGCAGATCGAAGTTGGAGGGAAACAAACGTGTGGACTTGACATGGCCGTGAAGAAGACAAAAACGCCAAGCTCATGACTCGGCCTCTACCAATTCCTAGAAATCGTGCCCCTCCATGCTCTTGTAACTGTTTCTGTATACCGCTGACTGGCTTTGCATGCTTGCATGAAGGCTTCTATACCATTCGCAAGGACTTTCTCTTCTCGACTCCATTTCTCAAGGCCGACACTTCGGTACTCAGCCGATCGCGCAGTTTCAACATCAATCTATCGTTTGGACCGAAGCGAGCATTTCAACATGGGCAAGGACAAGGGAGACAAGGGCGGCTTCCAGCTCAAGGTGCCCAAGGGTACCAAGGACTGGGAAGGCAAGGATATGGTCATCCGCGACAAGATCTTCAGCACCATTACCAACGTCTTCAAGCGTCACGGTGCTGTGACTATCGACACGTGAGTCAGCCACTATGGAAATGATCATCTGGCTGGTATACTGACTCTGCCTCGAATAGCCCTGTATTCGAGCTCAAGGAGATCCTCTCGGGCAAGTACGGTGAGGACAGCAAGCTCATCTACGATTTGGCCGACCAGGGTGGAGAGCTGTGCTCTCTGCGCTACGATTTGACCGTCCCCTTCGCCAGATGGCTCGCCATGAACACTTCCGTCCAGAACATCAAGCGCTACCACATCGCAAAGGTCTACCGTCGTGACCAGCCCGCCATGACCAAGGGCCGCATGCGCGAATTCTACCAATGCGATTTCGACATTGCCGGCGCCTACGACCCTATGATTCCCGACGCTGAGATTCTGAGAATTGCATGCGAGATCTTTGACGAGCTGGGCTGGAAGGGCAAATACACCATCAAGCTCAACCACCGCAAGATCCTCGACGGTATCTTCTCCGTGTGCGGTGTGCCCACCGACAAGCTGAGAACTATTTCGTCCGCCGTGGACAAGCTCGACAAGTCGCCATGGGACGAGGTCAAGAGAGAGATGACCGAAGAGAAAGGCCTCGACCCCGAGATCGCCGACAAGATTGGCAAATACGTTGTTCGCAAGGGTGGAAGAAACCTGCTCAAGGACCTCCAAGCCGATGCAACTCTCAGCGCAAACGAGTCTGCAAAGGCCGGTCTCGACAACATCGAAATCCTCTTCAACTACCTCGACACTTTCGGCGTCCTCGACAGAATCTCCTTCGACATGTCACTCGCCCGCGGTCTTGACTACTACACTGGTGTCATCTACGAAATCGTCACCGAGGGTTCAGCCCCCAAGACCTCAGAAGGCCAGAAAGTGCAAGCAAAGAGCAAGAAGCCCAAGAACGAGGATGAAGACCGTAGCAACGACCCCAGCGTCGGCGTCGGATCCGTCGCTGCAGGAGGCCGTTACGACGAACTCGTCGGCATGTTCAGCGGCAAGAGCAACCTCCCCTGCGTTGGTATCTCATTCGGTGTCGAGCGCATCTTCAGCATCACAAAGGCCAGAATGGAAGCCGAAGGCAACAAGGCCGTCCGCACAAACGAAGTCGACGTCTACGTTATGGCTTTCGGTGGCAAGGGCTTCGACGGCCTCCTGCCCCAACGCATGGAAGTCGCCAAGCGTCTATGGGATGCCGGCATCAAGGCCGAGTTCAACTGGAAGGTCAAGCCCAAGCTTCCCGCACAGTTCAAGGCTGCAGAGACCAACGGCGTTCCCTTTGCTATCATCCTTGGTGAGGAAGAACTCAAGGCTGGTCAGTGTAAGCTCAAGGAGATGGGTCTGCCAGAAGGTCACCCCGAGAAGGACGGTGTGCCCATTTCCATGGACAAGCTTGAGGAGCAGGTTGCCGCCAAGATTGAGGCCAGCAGACAAGCACAGTTGACCAGCGTCGATGCTGTTGCTGATAAGCTCGATGCAGCCAACCTTGATGAGGCCGCTGCTGCCGCCCCCAAGACCAGCTAGATGTGTTTGAAGGCATAAAAAAGATGATATATCCGAAACCAAAGGCACAAAAAAGTTATATAAAGATACCCCCGGTTCTGGGTGATGATGCATGAATAGCACTTTCTGTACAATCGTAGCAAAATCTTGCCCCCTTTCTTGAGATTCTTACATCGATGACTTGAGAGAGTGCTGTCTTGAGTCCGGAGGTGATGATAGGTCTTGCCCTTTCTCTCCCTGGAGAGGTGTGCCATGCAAAGCGGTGTTATCTGATCAACATATGCCTTCCCTGCATCATGTACTTCGTGACCCTACTGTATCAGGAAGGGGTATCTCAAGCAGGGATGATAGCAAGCTGAAAGTCATCAAAGAGAAAGTATAAACGAGAATCTCGGGACGATCAAACACCACCGAGATACGAAGTACGGGAGGATCAGCAAGCACCTTGGGGGAAAAATACATTGATACATTCTCACATGCAAGAGTCAGTCATATCATGAGGTGGATGTAGAAATCAAGGGGTTCAGATCGTATTTGATTAATTTCGTTTAGAAGCAAATGCAAGCCCAGAAGACGCCTTTCCCATGATTGTGCAGACAAGATGTTTCTTTCCCCACCGCTAAAACCTCCATATGCGAATGGAGAAAGAAAAAAGGAATGAAGAAGGTCAGGTATCGCTAGTGATCGCTTGCTATGCTTGGTAATTACAAAGGGAGTGTGAGTGTGGAGGTCGAAAGATCAGAAGGTTAGAAAGGGAGAAGATAGAAGACCCAAAAATGGTGTCAAGAGACTCAGACTTAAAGAAGGAGAGCAAAGCCGCCAAAGATACCAGCCGCAACGGCAAACAAGCCATAAGCCTGACCAAGCTGCAGAGCAGCAGCTGCACCAGTCGAGCTGCTACTGCTTCCAGTCTGAGCAGCGCTGCCACTGCCACCAAGACCGCTGAATACAGTCTGGCCAGCAGAGTTTGTGGCCTGTCCAGCAACAGAGCCGGTCTTTGATGCGGTTGCCGACGAAGAGGTTGTGGTGTTGACGCGCTTGGGGTTCTGAGCACCGCAAGGGTGTTGAGCGCGGCAGTTGTACTCGCAGTCGGTGTTGCCGCCGCATTGGGCGATGCACTCAGTGCCCCATTGTGTGCAGATGTAGTAGGGGATTGTTTGGGAGTATTCGGAGGCGTTGGGAGCGATGTTGTCGGCACAGATGCAGGAGTAGTCGAGGGTGTCGGGGTCGCAGTCGTTCTGGAGAAGAGGATCAGTATATGGTTCAAAGGACTGCGCGAGCTTCGATGAGTACGTACCTCGATGGTGTCAGACGAGTTGGCGGGAGTTTGGAGACAGATCAGAGGGCAGGCGTTCTGCTGGTTGCTGCACCAGATGTCTGTGAGAGGTTAGATGAGTGTTTGCATAATGAGGATAGATTGGTATCACGAACCTCTGGTAGCCTCGGGGACAGCGGTGACATTGATGTTGTACTGAGACTGGGCAGAGGCCAGCTTGGCGACTACGGGCAAGAGGAGAAGACCGACACCACGCATCTTGATGTATTTTCTGTGTGTATAGGAAGATAGAATAACTTTTGTGGTGATTAAAGTTTCGAGCAGAAAGATGTTCTTCAGCAGCGAGAGTGGGTGAAGACAAGTATTAGAAGTGAAGGACTCGACTGATAACGAAGGAGGCTGGGAGTGATATAGAGAGGTTGCCCCAGCAGGACACACGTTGAGGTCTTTATCCTGTACGCTGAAAGGCCATAGCTCGCCGCTTGCTTCACGTCCTAGAGCATAAACGGGGATGGCGGGCGGCGAAAGCAGTGGTCAACGCCCTTCCCGTATCCCCATGCATTTCTGGGGTCGTTCGACCGCGGGTTAGGTGCATCCAGGCCTATCAAACAGCGGCATGCTTTGGCAAAGTGGAGTCCCGACACATACTCTCTATCTATAGAACGATAGAAGGCCCGGGAAAAGTGCCTCTTTGTCTCTCGTTTCCACCGTGAGGTGTGTCTGGACAATGAGCAGGCGTTTGTTGAGTGAGGCCATCTAGTTGCATACCACGGTTGATAGCGAGTCAGAGGGGATTTCGAGAAACTCGGAGAATATCAGAGCCGAAAGAGAGCTGTGCCTACCTAATCTACTCGAGTAATTAGTCTGCTGGAGACGAGCCGATAGGGCGAGCACCCAGCCAAGCCTTCTGTAGCGGCTCTGCTTCTCCAACCTCTCTTGCCATCCGATCGCACTTCTTTTGCGCTAGTTGACGACCGAGCGGTTTAACGAGCACAACGCCTGTGACCAAGGGACTGGGCCGCCTTCTCCAAGAAACCACCTCATCTGCCTCATGGACAGCCAACTCTCTTCAAACAACAGGATCAGCTAACCCAATCTATTCTCTTGTATCCTCCCAACACGGACTGATGGATGGAGTCTGCGGAGGCGGAACCTCTTGTCAACGGCAATCACCCCGCAAAGGACCAGCCTCTGGCCGCTGATGCCGCCGCCACGTCTGCTACTACACACGAACAGCAGGGTGCAAACGCTTCGGATCACACAGCCGCGTCATCAGTCACACTTAGCGATGCACCTCCTCATGTAATACCGCCATACTTCAATGGCGGCCGACTTGCGCGCACGGATTCAGCTACTCCGGCAACTCATGGTATAGATCTTGTTGATCAATCTGATGAAGATCATGAAATAGGACGAGCGTGCTGGGCAAGCGATGTCTCTGTTGATGACTACGTGGTAGTCGGTGGTTCAACCGGGATAGGTGCATATGTCGTGTGGAATTGTACTATCGAGACATTCAAGGGTGGCAGCATCACTCTTCGGAAAAGGTTTGTGGCTTATACATGGACTCCCTGCCGGCATATCGAGCTGACTCATGATAGATACTCCGAGTTCGATACACTTCGGCAACATCTTGTGAGAGCGTTCCCACTTTCCGAGGCCTCTATCCCAGAGCTGCCCAGGAAGAGTCTTGTCTGTATGCTGATATCGACGGCCTATGAGTTTACCGATCGCTTACTCATCTCTTCGCAGCACGATTTCGCACCAAGTTCCTCGAGCAGAGGAAAGCAGGTCTTGCTCACTTTCTCACGTACGGTAATTCATTAATCTTGCAGTAACGATGATGCTGACTTCTGATTGACAGATGCATCCTACTCAACCCACAATTCTCACGGTCCCCGATAGTCACGGAGTTCATCAACGCCTGAACCTCCTTGTCATCTGTACATATACGAGCCGGCTGGACCTTAGAACCTGGCACTAAGTTTAATGGCTAATCCGTTTCTTTCTCAAGCGTTGTATTATCAGCATGTACTTTGACATATCAGATATCTGGTCAGGGTTTCTCTGGCAACAAGTCTTTCCAACAATATATTGACTGTATCACGTTCGACATCATGCCCCGAGGTGTTAAACAATATACCAGACGTCTCAAAGTCGTTAGAAAACACAGTTTCACTCCCATGTGATCCATGGTCTCAATGGTGGTCGACTGATGGCGCTTGACACGAATTCCAATAAGCTCTGCTGACATGAGGCTGCCAAACACGCCGGTACGTATACGCCTTCTCACTCTCAAAGCGCAGATCGGAAAACCGTGATTTCGAGTTATGCCGAAGCCTCCTGAAGCCTGCCTACATGTCGACTTAACCATACGGTGATATATAGTACTGCTGGTTAATATAGTGACATGCCGCATGCCCTGTGCAGAAGAGAGGGGGAACGGCCGCCAAGAATACGTTAAAGTCGCAAGGGAGACGCGAGAGTTCCATGACCTGTAACGAGTCGGCTCTCGTTTGACGTGACGATAGCCAAAACTACAGATAGAAGAGGAGGTTCAGGGCTCAGGATTGATTCGCAGCCTTCTAGTGGGACGGCCAGATGTTGTCGGATGACTCCTCTCCAGATCTGGCTGTCAGGAAAGGGTTCTGAAAGCAAGCGCGAAACAGGTGCAGCAGCGACACCAGGGCAGCAGGATTCGAGCCAACAGCACCCAGGCCACGCTGCGACGGACCACCACGGCGCAGTCGAGCAAGAATCATGGTCGTCTGCCATCAAAAGCATGGTCAATTCTCTCAGACCCACCTCGACAAGGTCTCCCACTCGTCGCTCCTCCGCCAGACACCCTACCCCACCTCCCTCACACCTCTCCAGCACATCGCCGCATCCCCCGTCCAACGACAATGAAGTGCCCGAGACGCCGACCCGGGGCGACAGACCTGCAAAGCGCCTCAAGCTGACGCTCAAGGGCCCGAAGCTGGCTGCGGTACCCGCTGACGTTGGCGACACAAACGCGACCATCCCGTCTCCGAGACCGCCTGTCAAGCTGACCCTCTCCGAACCACATGGTCCTCTGTTGCAAACTACCAACGGCGTACGCAAGACTCTGGACGTCACCGAAGACTCTATACCCGCCAACACGTCACCCTCTACAACTCCGGCTCTAGCTCTGAATCCCGAACAAAGACAAACGCGAAAGGCTTCAGAAAGGCGTAGTCTACGCTCTCACGATGACGGTCCACGATTGAAGAGCGAACTTGCTGTATACTTTCCCAACTACGAGGACATCATCTATGACTCCAACAAAGAACCTGGTAAGATCAAGTCAAGCATATCTCATGACCATTGCTGATCAGATACAGATTTCATCACTACCGACACCATCGTCTATGTCAGCGACGAGCCATACAAACCTACACAAGAACCGAACTCCAAGTCCGATCCTCCGGCAAGCAATACGAAGAACCAACGTGCCTCGATTTCTTCCACAAAACCACCACTCAAATATAATGGCGCCCAGGTTATCGACTTTTCGTCTATCGAGAAGAGTGTCGGCCATCATCCGAGGGACCCCTTGACGGACGCATTCTACTTCAAGTCCCATCGTCGAGCAGAGCGTAAGGAGAAGCAGCTACGCAACATCGAGAAGGAGAGGGCGATGCACGAGAAGGCTCAACTGGAGAGACTTCTGGAAGCCTTGCAAGGACATGACTGGCTGCGTGTCATGGGCATTGTCAGCGTGGCCGATGCAGATGCCAAGAAGTACGAGCCCAAGCGAAAGTACTTTATCGACGAAGTCAATGCACTGCTGCTGAAGTTCAAAACATGGAGAGACGAAGAGAAACGTATTCGGTATGAGAAGGAAGCCGCTGCCATGGCGGAGATTGATGACGAAGAAGAAGAGGAAGAGGGAGAAAGCGAGAGCGAGGCGTCCTCGGCCGATCTGGATGCCTCAGCAGCCCGCCAACTACAGGTCGAAGCCTCAGGAGGTGCCAAAGGTGGGAAAGACACTAAAGCTGGGAAGCTCAAAAGCAGAACGCGGACTTCTGCTCCAGTACCTGAGCCTGCACCTGCGCCTGCACCTCCACATCCAGCACCTATGCCGACAATATATCGAGAGCCAACGCCAGATGGTCCTTTCGTCAGCTTCTACTCAAAACCTCACCTGCGAGCAGCAGCGTTGGGAAACACTAGACATGGGCGAACACTAACAGCATTTGGTGTGCCAATACCCGAGACAGACGAACAAGACTTTGCTCTGCCAGAAGACTATGTAACACCAGAAGCACTGAGAGACAATGCAAGGAAGCGCAGGAGGATGAAGCGAGAGACGGCAACGGATTCGGGCAAGGCTTGAGAGTAGAGACGGGGTGACAGATGTACAGGATGACACATTGTTAGCATACATGGAGCGGCGTTCTGGCGCATGGACATAGCGAAATACCCTGAGGGATGTTGTATTGAGGTTGCTTTATTCAGACACTGACATTATAAAGTACATTTCGAGTGTTGTCTGCTCTCTCACGCGATGTGGTTGTGCCAGAAGAACGGTCAAGCAAAGTGTTGTGATCCTCCTTCACTTGGAGTCAAAGACATAGGAGTGTTCATGACAAGTGAAGATCGTCCAAGTTATTCAAACAGATGATATGGCGGTCTTGATGGAGGAGAGTTTCACAGTGAGCAGGCGCTGGAAAGGCAGGCGCTGCAAAGCTTGGACCTCCGTCGCCGAATCGTCACTTCTTGAAGTGGCCGCCCCGACTCTAGAGAGCTCGTTCACGGTTGATCCAGAGCCTCGCGCGCGCATCAGAGTCAAGCATCTCTACTCGCCCTTCCTTGTCGCCTCATCGTCTACTCGATCATCTCACCTCTCGTCTTCTCACCCGCCACCGAGCGACTACCGCACTCACGCGCCGACATCGAACGCCGCCCCACCACACGCTACCAGTCGTCCTTTGCTCGACACACGCAAGCGCGACACACGACCGGACTCAGCGAATCCACGCGACCGCATCGCGCATATCTTGTGGCATGGGAAATGCTAACTGAGCCGACACTTGGTCAAGAGGTTGCGCGCAGCTGGCGCCATGCCGGGCTACTTTGACAACGCCCTTCCAACCGAGCAATCGCTGGATCTCGGCTTCTCCGTTGTTTCGCAAAAGGTTGATCTCACCGTCGACTTTGCAAGGCGGGCCATCTCTGGCTCTACTGAAATCACCGTTCAACCCGAAGTCAAGGATCTTAAGACCATCCGCTTGAACTGTCGCCAGGCCCGTATCCTCAGCGCAAACATCGAGGGCTCCAAAGCAGAAGTTGCCTACTCGGACCCTTACCAGAAGATCAAGCTTTCAGGGAGGACGACTGCCCACCAGCATGAATATCTCCGCAACAGGATCGAGGGTGCTATCAAGCAGTCGCCGGACCCTGAACTGGCCTTGGAAATTCCATTACGCGTCAAAATTAAGGAGCTGAACACCGAATCCTCTTCGACTCTGCCCAGGGACAGCCTGAAACGGCAAGAAAGCGATTATGCCGGTCAAGCCGAGACTCCAACTGGATCACATGCCCAAGAATCAGCACTGAGATATGCTCCTTTGAAGATCACCATTGATTTCGAGGTTACAAGTTTCCGGGACGGGCTACACTTCGTTGGATTCTCGGACCAAGACTCACGCTATCCACATCTCTACACCAGAAATACCCTAGGACCGGGTGCTATCTGCTCCGTCTTCCCCTGCGTTGACGATGCCACAACCCGCTGCATGTGGGAGATCTCAATACGATGCCACAAAACGCTAGGCGATGCCTTCAGAAAAACGCCGCAAGGGAGTTCTGCTGAGGCGGACGTGGACATGACCGGGACCGACCAGAAGGACAAGAAGCCGCGGGACGAATACTTGATCAATCTCAGTGAGGAAGAAAAATCTCTGGATCTGAGCATCGTGTGCTCAGGGGAAACGACCGACGATGTATGCAGCCACAAACATATACAAATAGTGCAATACCTGACAGACTTCAGATTCTTGACCCACAGGATCCTACTTGGCGGACCGTCTCCTTTGCCTGTTTTGCTCCTGTTACCGCTCGCCATATCGGCTTTGCCATAGGTCCTTTCGAGCACGTTGACCTTACTGATTTTCGAGAAGTCGATGAGGACGACAAGCTTGGCCAAAACGCCATCAAAGTGGACGGCTTCTGCTTACCAGGCAGAGCAGAAGAGCTACGAAACACATGTATGCCAATGGCCAAGGTATGTGACTCTGTCTATTAAACGCGCTTGAACATTTACTGACGATTTTACCAGGCGATCGACTATTTCACCGTTAACTACGGATCTTTCCCCTTCTCCAGCTACAAGCTCATCTTTGTCGATGACTTGGTTCAAGACGTGACACACACCGCTTCTCTGTCAATATGCAGCACGCGACTACTTTTCCCAGAAGACATCATTGAGCCTTTGGATGCAAACACCCGCGTACTCGTCCATGCTCTTGCAACTCAATGGGTTGGCGTGAACGTCATCCCTAAGGAAGCTCGGGACATGTGGGCCATCACCGGTATCTCTGGATTTATGCGAGACACGTTTATGAGGAAGCTCGCTGGCAACAACGAATATCGCTATCAACAAAAACTCGCCTCTGAACAAGTGTTCGAGCAAGATGTCGAACGATACAGTATTCATCAACTCGGCGCTCAGCTTGACATCGATCCTTCAGAATATGATTTCATGGCCCTCAAATCGGCAGTCGTGCTCTTCATTCTGGATCGTCGACTCACAAAAGCAAGTGGAGCTGCTGGTGTTGCACGAATCATTACCAGGTTGTTGTTAAACGCAAAAACCGGCGATCTTCAGAATGGCGAACTCTCTACAGACTGGTTCCACCGCCTGTGTGAGAAGCTAGGTCACACAAAGCTTGATGCATTCTTCAGGCAGTGGGTTTATGGCGCCGGCTGTCCTCTGTTCAAGGTGAACCAGCGGTTCAACAAGAAGAAGTTGGTCGTGGAGATGAATATCTACCAAACACAGCGCGAGCGAAAAATCAAGCCCGAGCTCCAACCCTCGAATTTCATGAGAGAGGCAAAAGAGCAAGTCTCGGAAGTGTGGGCTCCTGAAGTGTCGGATCCTTTCACAGGACCTATGACCATTCGTATTCACGAAGCTGACGGCACACCATACGAACATATTGTGGAGATCAAGGATACACACACCAAGATCGAAATCCCTTACAACACAAAGTACAAGCGTCTAAAACGCTCAAAGCGTGCGAAAGAGAGAGCAATGGCGACCAACGGCATGGAGCTTGGCGGAGAAGCTGAGAATGATGTGCTGCTCTATTGTCTCGGTGATGTTCTTCAATCAGAAGATGAAGTTAAAGATTGGCGTTTGGTTGACTGGGGCAAAGAAGAGGAAGACCGAATGGGCCAAGAAAGTTATGAATGGATCCGTATGGACGCCGACTTCGAGTGGATTGGCAAGATCGACTTGATCATGCCCATCTACATGTACGTCAGTCAGTTGCAACAAGACAGGGATGTCGTTGCACAATACGAGGTAAGCAGCTGTGGGCTATGTCCGAGTGGTTGACACGACGCTAACATGTTCGCAGTCCCTTCAGCACGTCTTGAAACAGAACGCGCATCCTTTGATGTCTACCATTCTCGTCAGAACATTGATGGACCGCCGCTACTTCCACGGCATTCGCACGCTAGCAGCCGAAGGTCTCACGAAATGTGCTACACCCAGCTTGAACTGGGTAGGTCAGTATCATCTCGAGAGAGCCTTCCAGGAGTTCTTCTGCTTTGCCGATTCACCCATGCCTCGCGCCAACGATTTCTCCGATCGCATGAGCTATCTGCTTCAGAAAGCCATCCCAACCGCATTATCGCATGTCAAAGACGAACGCGGCAAGGTACCAATGAGTGTGAGGAGATTCTTCGTTGACAAGCTAAAGTTCAACGATAACTCCAATAACGAGGTAACATCCATGTCCTGATGCAAGTCTACCGCACACTAACAGGCAAACAGTTCTCTGATTGCTACTACGTCGCTACGCTAATGCGATGTCTCGCTGAGTCTTTGGTCACTTCTGCAGCACTGCAGCAGACTTTCGCCGTTAATCCTGACGATGAAGATGACTTGATGCAAGAAAACCTTGAAGACGAAAAGTTCCAGAAAGAAGCCATCAACGAACTTGAACGCTATCGCCGCATTGACGAGTGGATCTCTTCTTATCAAAACATCTATTCTGTCACAGCCCTTGAATGCATGCAACGACTTCTGGAGCATGGCGTGGTGAAGAACAAGAAGATAGAAATTCTGCAATACACACAATCAGGCAACGCCGATGAAGTGCGTTTAGCAGCGTGGGATTCTCTTGTCCGACTGAATCTTGCAAGGCGGCCGCAGATTCTCAAATATCTGCTGTACTCTCTGTGCGATGATCCTTCGCCTTACTTCAGAGACCAGCTCCTTCGGGTATTGGGCCGAGCTCTGGGAACGATTGCTCTAAAGACACAGGAAGCTGAGAAGCCGGCACCGAAGCCTATCGAGATAGGAGGTCTCGTTCTCGAGCAAGAAGAGCCCTTGGCTGTTCAACCAGTACTGCAAGATGCTCTTGGGAAGAGTCCGCCAGAACTTGCTCTGATCGCACTCAAAGCCGCCCTAGTCGATGATGGAATGTTCAAGGCAGCACTGTGGTATGTCATACAAGCACCGACGCTGGCCATACCTGAAGTGGTCTCGTTCCTTGATATCGCGGCGCTGATTTATGACGCCTCGAACGGTCTTGTTGTACATCTCCGTCTGCCTCGCTTCTACACTGCCAAAAATCTTGGCAAGGGTAAAGTGCAATTCAAGGAAACAGAGAAACATCGTACTGTACCAGTCACAGGTCTCGGCATGGACGAGTTCGACATGGTGCAGCAGCACAATCTCAAATACACCGGGCCGCTCTCAAGAGCCGCCAAGGATCACATCAAGACACAGAAACAGGAGAAGCAGAAGTTGGAAAGTCAACTCGCTGCCGCACAAGAGTTACTCCAAAAGCAGTTGGAGGCGCAAAGTCACGCCCAACCTCCTGCAGCACCAAAGCCTTCGCATGTGCCCACAACAGCCATGTCTCCACCACCTCTACCTGTTTCAACTCCGGGTGGGTCTATGAAACTCACTCTGAAGCGCAAGCAGAGTTCAACGGCCGAACCACGCGCGGGTAGTCCAAAGCGCCCCCATCTTGTGCAGCCTGCTACAAATGGTACAGCGGCAACAGCAAAGGTTGAAAAGAGCCCTAGCATCAGTCTAGGAAAGATACACGCGCAAACACCATCGCGAGCAGTATCTGGTGCTTCCGCGCCTGGCTCAGCTGCACCATCCCGAAAGCCGACGGCAAGCGACAAGCCAGGCAAAGCCAAAATTGTCCGTCTGAAGGTCACAAAGCAAAAGCGTTTGCAAAAGATTCTTTCACAATCACCTCAGCCCGGCTACAGACCGCAAAAACCAAAGCCCATCATCCCTGCCAAGATCAAAACTTCATCGTCCGCACGCGCCAGCCCTGCACCCTCAGCAGGCGGTGGCTCGCACGCTCGCAGCGGCAGCAATGGCGATTTTTTCGCCAGCCCTGAAGTCACCACTGCACTCAATACTGGCGCCAGTGTCGGCGCATTCAGAAGCTGGAATGGCATGAGCTCGATCAAAAAGGAAACAGACTCGGCGCCGATGAGTGCGGTCAGTCCTATGACTATGACATATCCAGGAAAGAGCAATGGGGCTGCTACTGCTTCGGACACGATCAATGCGCGTCCGTCCGAAGGGGCCGAGGAGAAGAAACCGAAGTTCAAGCTCAAGTTTGGCAAGAAGCCAACTGCTTGAGGGAGGCGATCTGTTCCTTCTCTGTCTTTCATATCCTGTTTTCTTCTTTCTGCTTGTCTCTTCTCTTTGCTGAGAGGTTGTGCTTTGATGCGAAGATGCATTCTATTCAGCATGGCGTTGGCGGGAACTCGGAACGGGCAAGAAATTAAAAAAGTGAATACGACCGAAACAAAAGACCGAGAGTGCAGAAACCAAAATAATTGAAATCAAATACAAATTCTGCTTTGATTCTGATTTGTATATGTTTGTGATCTTGTGTCATCTTCATTGCTTAGTCTTTGAGGCATCACGTTGTGACTGATGTCAAGATGCAGATCATCGTCATCCATGTTCTACGACCTGCTAAAGAAGGTGACAATTTGGGTTGTAGATGCATGTTCAGCAGACTTCCAACGGTATATCCTTCGTGCTTGGCATCAGAGAGATACTAACATAAGTTCTACAACGTGAAATGTATGCCACCAGGAGCACGCACTGGTAACACGCCCAAACCCAAAGGCTCTGGAATAACCACTTGACAGACATATCCACAGCTCTCTCAGGGTCCGTTTGTACCAAAGATCGGCCAGTACGGATCACTTGCACGACATCAGCCTCAACATCAGCCTGCTTCTGACGAGAACAACACAACAGCCAAGCGTCGACGACCCGGTTCGCGACGAGTGTGTTACTGGGGTGCCATTAGCTGCGAGGAAGAGGAAGAGGAAGAGGAAGAGGAAGAGGAAGAGGAAGAGGAAGAGGAGGAAGCTGTCAATATAGCGAAGGAGATAGGGATGATAGATGTAATAGAGTTAGGCAGGCGCCATGATGAGGGACACTTATAAACTTGTCTCGCGAGATGGACGTCCGTACTTTTTTCAAGAACGATGTAAGAGATCATTTAACGGGTGATAGATGTGCGTTGTGGTTCGGAGTTGGATGCAGTCCTAGGTAGCTTATTAGTAGACGGTTCCACGTTCTTTATGCTTGATTGAGCGGAAGTATAGTTAATAGTAGAAGCAAGAAGTTGGCCCCTTCGAGAGAACCCATGAAGCGCGAAGCTATGTTCAAGCGACTAGAATTGGCTGACGAGATTGATGCATTATTATTATTATCTTTTGATATCTTGGAGTTTAACGTTTCTACTCTTCAGAGACACAGAAGGCCTTGAATTCTGTCCAGGCCTTCTCGAGGTCGTCGTTGATTATGACCTTGTCGAAGACACCGGGGATCTTTGCGAATTCGAGCTCGTTCTTGGCCTGAGCAAGGCGCTGGGTGATGGCATCTTCGGAATCGGTAGCGCGGCCGCGTAGGCGTGACTCGAGGATTTCGAGCGATGGTGGTTGGAGGGAAAGGTAGCGTGCGTTGAGGTCCTTCTTCTTTACTTGCTTGACACCCTGTGATGACGCGGTCAGATATAGGCCCAAGAAGACAAGGCAGAGATGGAACGAACCTCCATCTCAATGTCCAGGATGCAGGTGCGGTTCTTCTGAGCGACATCCTTGACAGCCTGGACGCTGGTGCCGTAGTAGTTGCTGCCGAACTGAGCGTGCTCGATGAAGCCGTTCTGGTCGACCAGCTCGAGGAAGTCGTCCTTGGTGACAAAGTGGTACTCGACACCGTTCTGCTCTTGGCCTCTAGGTTGGCGAGTCGTGTCTTTTGGGCATAAAATCAGTCTCCAAAAGGGATCAAGGTTGCGGTGTTGATATGTCCGTACGAGAGATTGAGAAGCCGAAGCGATCGGGGTACTCTTTGAGCAGACGATTCAAGTGAGTGGACTTTCCAGAGCCAGAGGGCCCGGAGATGACGATGGGACGGTTGGCTTGTTCTGGAAGGGATGATTCATGTCAACCAATGGCCTTGACTCTGCATGTGTGGCGGTGTAGACGGACCGGTGGACATTCTGGCGGTAGAGTAGGTTCGCGACAAAGAGTGGGATGATCTCGAGAGGAAGGAGCGACCGAACATGAAGAGCAGAAGTCGGTGGTCTAGATTGTTGCCAGCATCCTGGGCGCATGTGAAATCTAGGGGTGTTATCTTATCTCTTGGTTCCATCTTGTGGGATCCTTCCCGCCTCGTTAGCTCCTTCCTTCTGAGAGCCGCATTCCGTCTTCCGTCCGAATTTTGATGCTGACGTTGGTCGTAGAAACCACGACACCTAAACGACTTGAACATGGCGTCTACAGCTGGCGCAGTACAGTATGGCTGTTCTAAACCCTTGATATCGGTTGTTATCACTGACGACGCTACTGCAGGGTGTCGAGATCAGACCTCAATGCATCACCACAATCATCGCGAGCTTCCTCACCAGATCTGGATACCCTAGAACGACTAGGCGCAAACCTGCAATTCGAGATAGTCGATAACACAGCCCAACCTCTACAGACAGTCGAAAACCAGGAAGATGAAGATGAAGAACTCGTGTTCCAATTATTCGCTCCAACCAAATCCACGACCGATGCCTCTGCACCTGCTCCAGTCGCTCAGAAGATTCGTATTCGCTCCCCTTCAGAAGAGGCCAGAGAGCCAGGTATCATCGGTCCAGGCCGTCCTCTGAGCTATTATCATACTGGAGAGCTAGACCCCACTCGTGCTAACGAGTACAAAGTCGCTGCCGTAACGGGTGCAGACGTGCTGGCAATGTCTAAACTACCGTGTACCGGTTGTGCTTACCCTTGGAAACTCGTCACAATTCCACCATCACAGGCCAAGGCAGCTATTGCAGCAGCCGCAGCCCAGAACCCCATAGCCGAAGCTTTCCTGCCTGATGTACCAAAGAAACGCTCTCGCTTGGGAAAGAAGGACAGAATCAAGAAAAGGCAGAAGCTGGCTGCTCTCAAGGCCAAGAAAGAGGAAGACAGCAAATCAAAAGAGGAAAAGGAGAGACTCGAGCGCGAGAAGAAGGCCAGAAGAAACAGAGAAAAGAAGTTCAAGAAGAGGGCAAGAGACAAGGCCAAGAAGGCCGCTGGAAAAGAGGGCGATGCTGCTGATGGAAGTGACGATGGTTCTGATGCCGAAAGTAATGTCGACGTCGAAATGGCCTCATGAATTCAGTCTGGTCCTGGATCTATGCTTTGAACCCCACTGCTGCAATGTCGAGCTATCAATATGCACTTTCGGTTCTCTTGGTCCAACGCTCAACTAAAGGTCTGATCCGGAGAAAGTTGCATTGGCAGAGGACGTCGCCAGGAGCCGCCAACGGTCCGCAGACTCAAGGATACGAGGCTTTTCCAGATACAGAGCTGGATCTTCCTCCTCTAAAGGCATTGCATGCCAGCACTGCTTGCTGTCGATCGACATGAACTTGACATGGTACGATGTACCCGAGAAGAGCTTGTCTCATCATCATGCTCAGATCAGTCAGCCTGTTTGTTGTAGGACTTCTTCTCCCACCCTGGCTCAGAAGTAACTATCGCGATGCAAGAACACAATTGTACTTGCTGTTCCTTCTACCACGTCTGTAACAGCTGTCAGTCTGTTCCTTAGCCATAGCTATATCTCCAAACAGAAGATAGCAGCAAACAGCAATACCAAAATGCATGAAGCAATACACCAGGAGGAACTCTTCGCTGAGAGCGATAGATCTTGATCTGCTTTCGCAAGAAGAAAGGATCATGTGAAGCAGTTTCAGCAACCTTCACGGTACTCCTTGGCCTTCACGCAGTCGGGTCCTGGATTCACATGCCTTGGCAGATCTGAATATGAATTGCCAAACCAACAATCACTCAGCGGACTTTTGCTCGCTTGCGCACGGACCCGCGACCAGCAACAAAACCAGCAACAGCAGCAACCAACATGGATCCAATCCAGATCAACCTCTCTGCTCCCATCTATGGGAGCAATGGCACCGGTGTCGTGCCTAACCAGGTCGGCGAGAGTTTTGAGGTGCCCGACAGTCTCCTTGTCGCCCTCACCTCTGCCTTCAAGCGCATGCTTGCTCAGCCCGGTCCCCATGGCGCTACCCTAAGAGCCATGTTCGGTAAGCGACGACCCTCCCCTGCCTGACCTTCGTGCGTGTCGTCAACTAACACCAGTGGAACGTCTTTGTAGGCAATCACCGATACAAGTTTGTTGGTGAGATGCCCGTGGGATACACCCACGTCAGGTTCACGCGCGATGATGGTCGCCGCGACATCCGGGTCTACGGCCACTCCTCTGGTCTCTGCTACAATTCGGCAGCCCAGTTCTTGCCGCACGTCGTTGCCATGCTGGTTCTCAGTGACCGATGCTACTGCAATCTCTGCCATGAGTAAGACCCAAGTAGTTTGTAGTCGACCCAGACTCAAGGAGCGGTGGAGTTACTGCGCACGCGCAAGAGGGACAGTGGTCGAGAAGTGTGGTGGTGGAAGAGAGCAGGATAGTTGATAGATCACTTTGTTCGTACCAATTTGATCGAAGACTTTCCAAGAACCTGATTTCATTTTTGATGGAATTCGTGATGGCAGTCCGGATACTACTTGTCACACGGGGGATGTGCGCCTCGGGTACCGCATCGAACGACAGGGGGGTTGTGTACCGATACCTTCTCTCTCTTAACCCCCATACTCCCTCCCTCTAACGTCTACACACTCGGGTCTGTCGACATGCACAATACTGTATAACATAAGGGTCGACACCAAGGAAAGCTATGACTCTGTCACGCTCTCAGTGAAACAAGCTGTCAACGTACAAAACTCGTTGCATTTCTATACAAGAAGACTCAACTACCATCGACAGAGGAAACAGGTACAGTTACCACCCCTGATACGACTGCTCTTTGTAGATGCCCCTGAATCCGGCCCACCCAGCGAACAGTATGTTGTACTCCCCTGTGCGATACCTCACCCTCTACGCTCAGCCACCTTGACCGCAAGAGAAAGACAACAGGGGTGTGCACGGTCAGGGACGTTATTGCTTCATTCGGTGTTTCATGCCTTTGCTGGAGAAGGAGCTGGTGGAAAGACCAACATGTGACGGTTCTGGTAGTGCTCCGCAAGCCCAGGAGTGAGATGCGGCGCTGTACTGAGGAGCCTGAAAGATGGAACTGGAAGAGAGATGGAGATGAATATATAGATAGAGTGGGAGGCAGAGTACAAAGGGATATTGCAATGCAGAAGCTTGGACAGTCACACATTCAACAGAGTGAAAGACAGGAAGAGGAATGAATAGCTTGGAATATCAGAATCGTCTGGTGTTTCTGGAAAGTCCGGGAGTGGAAGTTGGCACTGTGCTGAGGAGTTTAGAAGACGAAGTGCAAAGGAATGAACATGGCCATGCATAGTGGGAGGTAAAGTAAGCATGCAGTATTGTAACTCGTAAGCTTGATGTTACAATCAGCAACAGAACGGGACACAGACAAAGAAAAAAATGGGTTGGAACATCAAAATTGATTTGACAAACAGCGAGTGCAGCGATCATGACCTCTCGTGAACCAGTCTTCCGAACTTCCACACCTGATCAACCAATAATCGCCTTCCTTCTCCATCGATTTCTTCCGACAAGACCAAAAGATCAGCATCCGCATCAGCCTCCAAGCTTCCCTTAACACCCTCCAACCCCAACATCTTAGCCGGCGTAACAGTAACAGCCCTGACAGCTTCAGGTATACTCGCGTTTGACCAATTGAGGAAGTTGTTCACGCAGTCCAGCAACGTCGCACACCCACCAGCAATCTTGTCCGTACCAACCAAAGTCAGATTCGACCCTTTCTTGACAATGCTATCGCCATTCGTCCAGTTGTAAGTGCCGTCAGGCAAGCCAGCAAGACTCATGGCGTCTGTGACTAGAATCATGCCTTCGGAGTGGGCGGCATACGCGATCTTAACGGTAGTGGGATGTAAGTGGATGCCATCAGCAATGACGCCAAAGAAAGGCGTATGTGTGGATGGATGACCCAGAATACCAAAAACACCTGGATTTCTGTGGTGCAGAGGTTTCATGGCATTGAAGAGGTGAGTGATCATTTTTGCTCCAGCGGCGACTGCTGCAGAGGCCTCTTCGTAGGTGGCTTCTGTGTGACCGATGCTGAAGATGATGTTGTGCTTGACCACTTCTGGGATTATGGAGGTCATGTTGCCGACTTCGGGTGCGGCGGTCAGTTTCTTGATGTTGGGCAGGTTGTGGGCGCCGTAGCAAGTCTCGAGGTCGGCGAAAGAGGCGGCGGATTGGAGGACTTCGGGGCTGTGAATGCCATTCTTGGTTGGGCTGAGGAAGGGGCCTTCGACGTGTGCGCCTAGTGATTCTGCACCTTCATCTGCGTCGCGGGCTGCACCGGAAGGACCCAAATACGGCAATGCGCTGTGATAGAGCTCTGGTTTCTGACTGGTGATGGTAGGTAGGTATGATGTGAGGCCCGTGCCGATCAATCGTTTGTTCAACTCCTTCAGACCCTTACGATGAGAGACAGGATCTTGTGGTGCTTGCGAGAAATCGAAGCCAAATGCGCCGTTGAATTGGACATCTATGAAGCCAGGAGAGACGATGCGCCCACCGAGATCAATGACCTCATCTGGGGCTGCTTGATGCTCGTAGAAGACTTCTTGACTGCGGAGGATGCGACCTGTGACTGAAGAAAGCCAGAGATCTTCTTCTACCAGTGTGTTGCCTTTGACTAATCGGCATCCAGTCAAGCGAGTGATACCACTTCGAGGTCTCTCGGGCGAAACAGCTGCTGGCATGATGAGAGAAAGGCGGAGAAGTCAGGTAGCGACTTTGGTATGATCGAGATCACAAGAGGTGTAGAGAGTGATGGGGATGTCGGTCTGAAAAAGAGGAAGCAGCAGGTAAGTTGTTGATAAGGTCCGAGTACAGAGAGCGAACAAATAGAACAGCCAGATCGACAACCTACCAACGATGAAAACCCAAGGAGTACATCCACAACTCGGAGCTTCTACAACGAGACTACACATACCATGATCCACATGTTCTCTGTCAGAGTGGTTAGCTCGTCGTTTCTGCAACCTTGGTGATCCATTGATTAGAGCCAGCCTTTCCGATTAGGAAGCACAGCAGAGTGTAACATTCGAAAGTTGCGATGGAAGCTTGATCCTTCTTCGAGTAAGATAGCCGATCACCACACGTGGGGCGGGCAAGCTCTCGCAATCAGGCGGAGTCGCCCTTGAGCCCCCTACAAAACAATGTTCTCCATGTCTGGTTGCCTCATAGTGTTGTATCCGACAAGAAGAAGGAACGATGAACGATAAGACGTTGTTGTGGTCGGCGCATCGCACGGACTGTTCCGGCACGTGGTCCACTTTTGCCGGTGTGCGGAGAGGGCGAGAACGAGGTTACATCGCAACCCCAGCTGTGTGTGCTTATCATTACGAGAGCACATTTCGTTACCACTCCACAGAATGAACTGTTTCCTGTCGGATGCCACGCTGCACCGTCAACCTGTGATTTAGCGACTCGCGACCGTGACCGTACCGCGGATCCTGTCGGCAAGCCTTACGAGGTTTGAAGCTTCTCGGCGCGTGGTGGACGCATGTCATCCATCCTAGAAGATACCAAACATGGGGACTTCCGACGCTAGCACGTCGAGTGGGCTCTGGGAGAACATGGACAGGTAAATTGCCACAGTCGTGTGGGAGAGCATGCGATCATGCATCAAGTGCAATTCGCTAATGATGGCGTTTCTACCAGAGCCCTGGGCCAGTTGTTCATGATGGTAAGGCTTACTGTTGGCATGTCCGTCATCAGTAGTTGACGATTGCGTGTAGGGCTTCGATGGAACGGCAGTGACTCCCCAAATACGTACCCTCATACAGCAACATCATCTCGGATCGATCCTTCTGACAGCTAAGAATCTCAAGTGTAAGTAGGCATTTTTTATGTGACTGCCTATTGGGTGATTACCACCCTATGTATACGGTCTGTAAGGCCGTGATTGGACCGTATTGGTTAAACATAGCAAGAAGGTGTTGGCTAGCCTTGCAGAAGGACTCTATCCTCATGCCGTTGATTACCCCCGGATTATTATGATGATCTTGGAATAACTTATACATCTGCTCAAATGTACTAACATTGTCTCCAGCTGCCGAAGACACAAGCGCACTTGTGTACGAATTACAAAAGTGTGCCTTTGACGCCGGCCACCCAGTGCCTCTATTGATTGGCATCGATCAAGAAAATGGAGGAGTCAACTCTCTATTCGACGATATCTTCATCCGGCAGTACCCATCAGCCATGGGTATCGCCGCCTCCGGAGATCCTGACCTCGCGTACAAAGTCGCAAAGGCCAGCGCAGAGGAGATTTCTGCATGCGGAGTGAACTGGATAATGGGACCCTGCCTGGATGTCCTTACGAATACCCGAAATCAGCCCCTTGGAGTTCGCACGACTGGTGACGATCCAGTGCAGTGTTCAGAGTACGGGGTGGCATTCATGAAGGGCTACCAGGAAGCCGGTATCTGTACGATGGGAAAGCACTTCCCGTCATATGGAAATCTCGAGTTCTTGGGATCTTCTCTGGATGTGCCGACGATTACAGAGTCCTTGGAGCAGCTAAGTCTGAGTGCTCTGATACCCTTTCGCGATGCCATCAAACAAGGTCTTGACTCCATCATGGTTGGGGGTTGTGCGATGTCATCAGCTGGACTGAATGTCATGCACGCCTGCCTCTCAGATCGAGTTGTTGATGGACTTTTGAGGAAAGAGCTTGGCTTCGATGGCGTCGTTGTCAGCGAATGTCTTGAGATGGACTCGCTCTGTCAAAATATTGGAGTCAATGGTGGTACGGTCATGGCTGCCAATGCTGGCTGTGATATTCTATTACTGTGCAGATCATTCCAGCACCAACTCGAGGCTATCAACGGCTTCAAACTTGGCTTGGAAAACTCTATGATCACTACGGACAGAGTTCGTCGATCACTCAACAGAGTATTGGCAATGAAGTCTAGGTGTACATCTTGGGACAAAGCTCTGAATCCGCCAGGCATCAATCTCTTGTCGAGACTGCAACCGTCACATACGAATCTCTCCACCAAAGCATATAACTCAAGCATTACCGTTGTCAGAGATCAGAACGGATTCTTGCCTCTGACCAACATCATTGAGCCAGAAGAAGAGTTGCTTCTCCTTACGCCGTTGGTGAAACCGCTTGCTGCATCTGCAGCTTCGCGTGCACTGTCATCACACACTTCTATCGACTCGCCGGAACCTCAATGGGAACGAGGCAATCCGGGCCTGAGCGGTGAGAGAGTGTTTCGAGAACTCGGCAGATCGCTCGCTCGTCAACGTACCGGCCGAGTACTTCATACCAGCTACACGGCTAACGGTGTTCGACCTCAGCACGAAAGCCTGATCAATAGAGCCAGTGCGGTCGTTGTCGTCACAGCAGATGCCAACAGAAATATGTACCAGAGCGGTTTCACGAAACACGTTTCCATGATTTGCAATATGCAATACACGGCTGGCGGCGAGAAGAAGATAAAACCATTGATCGTTGTGGCAGTCAGTTCGCCCTACGATTTCTCCACGGACACGTCCATTGGGACATATGTTTGCACCTACGACTTTACAGAAACTGCAATGGTGTCGCTAGTCAAGGTATTGCATGGGGATGTCACACCGACCGGCTCGCTCCCCGGCACAATCAGCCGCAGCGCAAAGCTCACACAGTCAAAGACACACTGGCTAGTCGAAACCTTCAACGAAGAACGCGATGGCCTCGCCTTGGACACTCTAATCAAAGAAATCATTGACTTGACATCACCAAATCAACGCTCAGAACTCCGAGGCGCAACCTCAAACTCCTTCCTCCTCCGCCAGCAAAATGTACTAGAAACTCACTTCGTGGTCCGCAACAGCAGTACCTCAGCTCTCTACGGCTTCTGCTCAACCTACTTCTTCAAGTCTACCGGTACAGGTGCCATCGGCGCACTCTTCGTCGACCCGGGCAGACGCAAACTCTCCATCGGACAAAGTCTGCACGATCGCGCTATTCGGACGCTATTGCAAAGAGAAGGCATCAAGCGCTTCCAGCTAGGCTCCAGGCTACCTAGCATATACCTCGGCATCCCCTCCGACCACGGCACCGAGCGCAAACGCCTGCGCTCCTGGTTCGCCAACGTCGGCTGGAACACTGCTCTCTCCCGCCCAGTATGCAGCATGGTAATGCGTTCTCTCCAATCCTGGTCTCCACCAGAAGGAATGGCACAGTCACTACAAGGCTCTGGTGCAGAGTTTGACTTGGTGCGCGGATGGGAACACTCGAGAGCAATTCTCGATCATATCAAGACCAACAATCGACAAGGACTAGCCGAAGTCTATAAACTCGCCTTGGCGGACCCGACTTCTTGTGGTATTGTTCGCGCCATACGTCCCGAAGACGGAAGTATAGTGGGGACAGTGGTCCTCTACAATGCCACTTCCTCACTTGCCGAGTTTGTTCCTGCACTTAAAGACGAAGCGTCTGCGGAAGTTGAAGTACAGGTTAGTGGTGGCGTCAGCTCTCCTGTGATTTCACCCTCAGCAGGCGAGTATGCTACGATACTTCAGAGTTTGATCTTGTTGGGAGTCAAGCAAGTCAAGAAGCAGGGTTGTGCGTCTTGTGTGTTGGATTACATGGACGGAGATGGCAATTTCGATGGCTTGTCGGCTATGGGATTCGAGGTTGTGCATACGTTTGAGGAAGTCTCCTGCGATGCGGCTACGATTACTAGGGCTAAGTGATGAGGAAGGTCACGGTGTTGGATTCTCGACTTGTTTGTCTGGACATCAATCATGATATATCAAGCACAAGTACGAGAATGCAAATCTGTTGTTGTTGAGACGACTCAGCTTAGAACTCTTTCACCTCATCTTCTCGCTAATCTGGATTCTCCATTCTATGCTCTCTTTGCAAGAAAAGACGTAAAAATGCCCTCGACAGTCGAGACTTTCTTCACCACCACCAGCCTCCGCGAGCAGTATATATACTGGCCTCCCTATCAATACAGTACACCTTTCCCTCTCTTCAATCCATCCGTCGCTCTGCCAACAAGAGGGCCGTCAAGGCTCCTCAGCACCCCACCGCTACCCGTGTTATCTGCAACCAAACTACATCTGCTTCGCCAGTCGCCCGCGACGTTTGCGCATCGGGTCGATGTCGCGATACTTCCCTCTACGCCTTTGCCGATGGCCAAAAGGGTCGTGAGGGTACGGAAACACTGCAACGAGACGTTGATGCTAGATGGGAGATTAAAGATGGATGGTTTGACAGTGTCTTTAAGGTACGGAAATGGTTGTTGGGTACCTATCGCAATGCATAAAGGTATCTGCAGATGAGCTCTCGGCCAGTGAGATAGGGTGACTTGTAGGACTTTCTTTGGAACGCTTGTCTGGATCAGAGAGTATTGTGCATTTCTATAGATACGTTTGGCGGGATGTAGTTGCTGGGAGACAGTGTTGACATTCGTTGTTCAGTGTTTGCTTCCAGTGGTGCTGGTATTTGATCTTCTACGCTATAGAAGTGCACAATGATCTCGGAAAGAGAAGCGGTAACCAAAGAAAGCACTATCACCGATACTTCTCACTGGACCTTCCACTTTTGAATTCTTGTTCTCGTGACTCGCATGCGTGACACTCTACGGCGGTTGCTCTCATAAAGGAGCTCTCCAGGAGCACCCTCAAGACAGTCCCTCGACCCTGAGGCTGAGGATATTGACCACGAGAGCGGTTGTGGTGGCCAGGGAGATGCAGCCGGCGGCTCGCGGGATCTCCAGACTTCGGCCGGTCAATACGCGCTTTCGAGCTGCAAATGACTACCTACACTTACGCAGCTCCAATCGCAGAATGTGTTAGGCTCTGGAAAGGCGGTCAGCCATGACCTTTTGCTCTGGGCCGTGTTGTCGCCGTCGTTCATGCTTATTTCTGACGCCTTTTGGGCTACACGCACGAGCGGAATCAGGTGACGCACTGTGGGCCGGCGATGACTCTCGCTCGAACCGGTTGTGGCAGACCAACAGACAGCAGTCAAGCGCGACACTTGACATGGCTGAGGCATGAGGTCGGGGAATATAAAGTGTAAAACCGCTCGCTCATCCAACGTCCTCACTGAAGTAGCGTTTATTCTTGAGACGGCTCAAGCGATCGCGAGCCTTGTTCTCAGGCAGGGGATTGATGTGATGTACAACGTGTGGACGATACACAGCATCCACAGGAGGCTGCCAGTCATCCAAACTAAGAGGAAAGTACTCGTACAATAAGTCTGCGCTCTCGTCGGGACTGCTGCCCACTTGCAAAGCGAGGGCAGAAGGTGTACTCGCTGCACGACCTGCTGCTGCACGCTTGCCTGTGTTGCCAATCTTGGGAGGACTCATGGATGATTGCTTGGGCTCTTCTTCGTCGGTCAGGGAAAGCTTCTGCGGCACTTGAGCTGGTGCAGGCATTTTCGATGCCTGCCGTAATAGATCCGGGGACGAGACAGCGTAGTCCTTGGGTTCTGAGAGTCGAGCAGTTGGAGGTATTGCAGTTCTAGCAGTTTGCTGGAATGTGTTGTTGAACAGTGGGGGTGCTTGGAAATTTGTGTTGTCGAAGGCGACAGCCGGGGTCTCGTTCCTGGGAACCGTGGTCACACTGTTTCGAGAAAGTTTTCGGGCATGACCAATATCTGCCTGGGACGCTAGACGCGGTCTTGGGGCTGCTGTGGTAGGCTTCTTCGTGTGCGTTCCATTCCCGGTGAGCAGAATGTCCTTTCTTGATTGGAAGTTCCTCGGGCTTCGGCCTCTGACAACGATAGGATTCGATTTGGTATGGCAAATGGTGACTTTACCACCTGTTGCCAGCGTGGCTACGACCTTGAGATGGACGATGAAGTGTTGTTGTAGCTCTTTTCTTCTTCCGTTATTCGCTGTAGCGCTGCGAAATTGTAAGCGCTTCCAATGGAAGGGAAAGGTCGCAAAGTTGGCGTCTCCCTCCTGAGCAGTAGTGGGATCCAGCGGTATTGACGGAGGTTCCTTCTCGGATCTCTCCTCAGTGGTAGCATTTCCGTTAGGCGGGGTCTTCCAAGGAACACAGATGATCTTGGTAGGACTTCCTTCAGCAGACTCTGTGGCCGAGATGATGAGCTCTTGGGAGACGATTGGGATCTGTTCCGTCTGCTCGGTAACGATATTACGCAGAGCTCGAGGGACTAGGACGCTGCCCGAGACCTGGAAGATGTTGCGACGGTAGCACATCAGCTCAGTGTTCTCGGCTGGTTTCGCCCAAGCCGACTTCTCGGTGAAGAAGAGTCCCAGCAAGTCGGCAGTCAAGCTTACAGATACCTGGCGGAAGTTGTAGTCGAGCAGAGCATAGTCGTACTCGGGCGGAGTGAACTTCAGATATGTGTGACCTTGTTCTATTGCTATCTCTTTCGCGTCTTGTGTATCGTGAGCATCTTGGGTCCCCGTCTCGGCAATCGTCTCAAAGGCACCAACGGCATCGGAGAAGGCATCGTCGAAAGTGCTGGAGAAGCGCTTGAGAGAAGGCGTTGTCTGTGGAGGCGGCAGTTGATAGTATTCGTCTCTGTAGCGAGGGCAGTCAGCAAAAGTGTGGTGCAGTAGAGAGTTGCACTTAGATTGCAAGTACCCTGGGTAAACCGTCTGCGAGTCGTAGGTCGAGTATTGTTCCATAAAGTCATTCGGCATCATCATCATGTTGCTGTACATGTTGGAAGCTGTCGCAGCATTGTCGACGGGCTCAAAATTGGTGGCCATGTAGGTCATGGATATCGGGTCGAAACCCTCCATGATTGCGGGTGTGTATAATGTCCTTGCGACTGCGATATGATTGTCGAAGCATGCGATTATGTTGTATGGGAAAGGTATATAAGACCAAATGTTGCGTGGGAGCCTAGAGGCCCTGTCAAGCGTGACGACAGGCTAGTGGCTCCAGTTATGGCAAGGTCGACTCTTCATAGAACAAGTCGATTCAGGAAGTCGCGGTTTGCTCGTCGCGTGCGATACGTCGGACCGTCTGCAGTGCCTGCTTTCTGCTCACCGACTTGGTTCAGGTTCAGTGTGTACAACCCGACCTTTCCGGTATATGGCGATAGTCTCTTGCGACCTTAAAAGTTGCAACACTCGTGCCATAGCGTACTATGGAAGCACTGGTAGAGGGGAGAGCGGATGCGACCACCTTGTGCGGAGACCGGAGGAGACCCTTCCCCTCCCAATCTGGCTGTCCCGAAGCCAATCCCGAATCCTACCCTGCCGACCCCGTGGCTTATCTTATCGCCTTCGGCTCAGTGAGAGAGCCCGTAGTATCAGCCTCTCAGGACATTGTGATACCCACCATGTGTCAAAACACCTGCATGGAGTTTTGACCAAGTGCTTGAGTCATGCCTTGCATCTCGAACCCAGCTCTTTGGACGACAAGCATACCTACTTATCACGACTCTGCTATTCTCAAAAATGAATGACACGTCCTATTTCGCCGGTGTTATTATGCGGTGACTTCTTCTGTGTATTAATACTGTTGATTTCTGTATTGTCTTGTCGCTAATGCCAATTGTACCACTCGGCTAGATGTGGAACCTTCTACCTGCATGTGACATGCAACAAATCCCCAAATGCTCCAATGTAGCCCAAAACGCCTCCAGAAAAGACCAAATGCAGTTCGCTCAAATGCAAAAGAGTTTCTCGAGCATCGAAGATACTAAACTTCGGACTCTGACGCGGCTGCGACAGCTGCGCCAAATACCGAACTCTCTGGAGCCATCTCGATCGAAATGGCTCCCCGACTCTGTCCGCTCATGATGGCCAGCTCATCGAGGTGGTTTTGACACCTCGAGCGGAAGCCAGGATACTTCTCCATCACTGTTCCGTTGCAAGCTACTGTTGCATGCGTTCGAGGTTGCTGTGCAAGCTGTGTGTCAACAGTCTTGGGCGAAGCTACAAGGCTGTGTTGAAGCGACCAGAGCGCATGAACGGCTGTAGCCACCAGTGCAGCTGCACGTCCTGATACAAGCCGGCTGACTTGTTTGACAAAGTAGAGGTCTCTGGTTGAAGGCATACGACCAGCCGGTAATGGATGCGCAGAGGCGAAAGCAATTGCAGCCTTGCACAGAGTGGAAGTTGAGTCACTCTCGAACACTGCGATTGTCCCAGTGTCTAGTGAGTACGGCTCCTGAAGCTTGGCCGGCATCATGCCACTGAACAGATCGGCAGTCTCGATAGCTTCGATCAATATGAGGCGCACCAATTCGCCGAGATATCTTCCGCTGACTCTGTATTCAAGCGGTTGGAAGTCTGGCATGTGGTGGGTAGCATTCAGATATTGATCCCATCTCGAGGCTGGAAGCACGTCCTTTCCGAACATACTGAGCTCGGTGTTGACTAGCACATCTTTGGCCGATGCGTGCCAATCCTCTGAGCGACTTCCATACTTGTCTTGCGATAGTGCAGAAACCGGTAGATATATAGCCGAGTTCATGCCAGTGCCCAAGATGAGCGAAAGCCGTGTCGAGGGATCCCGATAGGCCTGTGAGAGTAGTGTCGCCGAAGAATCGTTGATGATTGCTTGGAGTTGAACTTGGAGATTCCGTTGCTTGCAAGAGTCCATGAGAAGCTCATACAGATCTTGGCCTTCAACGCCATGGGTGGCACGAAACCCTTTGCCCATGGTCAGGATAGATCCACTGCGCGTAGAGGTCTGCTCGATAGGGAACGACCATGACATTGCCATGGACAGTGGTACAGTAGCACTCTTGTCGGAGCCAAGGACTTCCTCTATCCTGGCGGCCATCCAGTCAAAGAAAGCCTTTCCTTTCAAGTCCCGTATGGGCTCGTCTATGACGAAGCTCTTCATTCTCTTGATGTCCATTCCCTCTCTGGCCGACTCCTTCCCACTGAGATGTACGATTGCGATACGGAAGGTCGAGCCACCAACATCCAGGGCGACAAAGTCGCCAGATTCATGGCCAGTGGGCAAAGCGTAGTGAAATGATGGCAGCATGCATATGTTTGAGGATTGTAGTTTTGTGCGAAACTCAGCCTGGAGTTGTTCTGACATGGCATGCAGGCTCCGTGGGCGCAGCGGAGCGTCGAAGAGAGACTCGACGTCATGTAAGAGTTTGTCCATGCTCCTTGTGCGCGAGCTCTGTGTTTCTATGCCAAAGGCATCTTTGTTGGGCGACGGCAGTTGTAGAGGCTGGATCAACGAGGCTAGCATGGCAGTCAGACAGGTGCGTGACGCTTCTGTAGGACTTTGACGAGTAGTGAATAGCGACGACAGCGGCTGATGGGAGTGATCCGGTCGTGGTGATAGATGCTTGGTCGACGGAAGAATGCTTGTTGACTTGTTGACCAGTCAGTTGCGTTAGATGGACTATTCGGTTATGTATCACACAGCTGTGAGGAGGACATGAGCGGCCCACAGCAGATGTTTCGGGAAGCGCAGGGATTAGCAGAAACGGAGACAATACGAATGCTGCCAGACGTGATGGCTCGCGTCCAGCACGGCATGGGGCATGGTCAGTCAAAGTTGCAACCGTAACAGGATGCTTTGGTTGCAGCAGCAAATCACGACAAGTGGATCAACGCAGCGGCGGGGGGGGAGTTCCTGACGCTTCACCGTTCCATCAAGATTCGTCCCTCTACAGCCACTATTCAACAACAACAACACACACCCACCGACAATAGCCGCTCGCTCTGTATACCCTGATAGGGATTGGTCATGCCCCTAGCCACGACACCATTCCACACTGTTGCAATCTTCAGCCTGCCCTATGCCTTTGCGCCGGTCATCATCAACACTTCTTCGATGATGTTACATCGGCAATCCGCGATCGGCACCAACCACCAGCTTGAGGCCCGTGATCGCTCGCCCACGAATGCTTTTTACCCGTTCTAACCATGCAGAGCCGCACCTTCTTCCACCTTTTCCACGTCCCGAGGTTTCCTTATAGCTGTCATATCGATGTTGCACATGTGCTACGAGGCCCCTCTTGTTGTTGTGAACTCGAGATTCTCCAACAGCGCGTGGATCAGGCCAATAACTCTGCCAAGCATTTTATGTTACACTGGGTCTCTAGCCTGTACGTATTGGATACTCATAAATTTGCTTGCATCATTACAAAGTAGTAGATAGGTATGCTATACGAGGGAACTAACAGCAGAACCGGTTCGCTTTCGTGGTCGCGTCCGGCCACGCCGAGAAGCAGGATCAACCCGCACCATCATGAAACTGACTTGCGATCTTAGACCTTCTCGGAGTCATGAACAACTGCTTTGCCGTCTTGTGTACCGATGATCTCTTCGACCGTCTCGTCCGAGAATTTCACATCCTCCTCAACACTGACATGGTCTGTAACTCTGATGAGCAAGACTGGCAGAGCACACACCAGAGCGCCCAGCAAAAGTGCCCAACTGGAGGCGAACTCGCTCATGTATGGCAAACTCTGCGAATCAAGACGCCAGATAACGGCAGCTCCAGCGGACTGGATACCCTTGTAAAAGCCAGCAAAGTTGGTGAGCTTGCGACCGTTGTTTGTCAAAGATCCCATGAACCAGTACACACATGTCTGCCATGCGGCATCGTAAAAGCCGTAGAAGATGTACAGGAACATCGGACCAACATAGCCAGCGTCGCTCCAGTCCTTGGATTGGAAACCTGAACCCTTGGCGACGGACTCGCGAGTATAACCGGTCTGAAATGCATATCCACCACCGAAGACTACGAGAGTCAAAACCAGGATGGCGACCCAGGCAATCTTTGCTCTGACGGTGCGGCGGATCTTGGAGTAGTCAAGACAGAACCCGAAGACGAATGCACCAACAATCTGGGCAGTCCAGTAAAGGGTGTTGTTCAGAGCACGAGTTCTGGTGTTGAAGTATGCAAGGTTGACACCATTGAATTGGTAAGTGTAGAACCAGTTGGAGGCGAAGAACATCGGGAAGAGACAGATGATGTATGGGTCGCTCCTGATGGTCTCCCAGAGTCCCAACAACTCGGACTTCCAGGTAGGGTTCTTCATGAGGATGATGCGAGAACCATCACTGCGGACAACCGATTTTGCATCCACCAGGAACCAGGCCAGCCCAGCACCGCAGGCTGTCAAGACAATGAAGCCGACGTAAGTTCCGTCGGAGACGGTGCCACTGCTAGTGGAGTTGATGTTCTCACCCAGGGGAATCAGACTTCCTATGACCGCACCAAGGTTGAAAATCATCCAGAACCAGGAAATATATCTTCCCTTGGAGCTCTCACTTGGGTAAGACATCATGATAGCACCCTGAGCTGACCACAGCATACCGGCACAGCAACCGAGCAGAGCGCCTGCGAAGATATTGAAGCCTGTGTTCTGGGTGTGGGTGTAGCAAAGGAACGAAGCCACGTAAACACAGTAGCCTAGACCACCAAAGGACAGACTCCATCTGATGCCGATGAAGTTGACGATGCTGCCAGCAAAGAATCCTTGTTTCGGTGTTAGACATGACTCGTCAAGATTTGAGTGCATTTCACTCACCAACGACAGAGAAGCAGGCATAGAGGGCAATGTTGGCCTCGTCAGCTGCTTTGGCAGAGACTTGACCACCTCCACCCATACCCGACAAGGCATTGAACATGCCAGGGCATAGGAAACAGACAAAGGCGACGATCACAAGTTGTGTGGCAGGGCTGGCGTAGTGAGGCATTGTTACAGGACCAATTTTGACGGGTCTGTACTTTCGGCCCACAGGCATGACAACGTCTGTGGTGCCATTGTCGACAGACCCACTGGCCGACTCGACCTCATGTAGGTTCTTCTCGGTGGATTGAGCCATGTCGACTCGATTCGGTGACAAAAGTCTTGGCGATAGCAAGGAACAAGTAGAAGAAAAGGTCCAGTGTCGTGTGAGACTCAAGGTGGTATAATAAAAGACAGTCAAATGCGGGGGCGGCAAGGGCTAGGTTTTTTGGGTCTGTGAGGAAGGGCCCAAGGAGAAAGCTCGAGCGAATGGTACACACGCGACTGGTTGGATTGGAAACAGCGGTGGGAGGATGTGGTACTTTATTTCAAGTCCGTGTAACCACTGCAAGGCTGGCTCCAGTGAGAGCGTGAATTGAGATAGGTAAGGAGAAAGTGCGAAGTGGTCTCGTGTCAGCACCGCCTGCAGATAACACCCATGCATCGCATGCATTGGACCGTCGCGTGCCCCGGCCTTGCAAGTCTCCGCAAGGTTGACTTTCCCACGCCCGACCAGCGAATCGCAGCTTATCGCACTCTCCATATTTTTAGCCCGGTCTTGGCCTCCTTGCGCCGATGCCCCGCCGTTATCAACCGACTCGCAATGGCGATGCAACCACAGCACGGTGACAGCTTGTCTGCCGCCGCCCATCTCCATGTAACACCTTGATAGGCACGTTGGCACCACGAGGATCCATCGTGATACAGCCCTGTCGAGATGGAAGTCTTCGACCACTTGGGTATTCCAGAACCTTATCTCATCGCGACAGTTGACCACATCCTTCCTTTGTGTAGCATTCTTGCGGATGTTGCTCTGATCTTCCCTCGGTCTGCGAATGCAACCGTGACAGTCCACCGGTCAGCGAAGACGAACCAGCTTGACATGTGTTCTAGTGGAGAGTAGCTTCTCGATGATGTAGGTAGGTTGCCTCAGGTGGGTTGCTGCTTGCTTTCTTTCGTTCGATATAACCTCTTGTCCGCCGTGGTGTTCCTATCGTTTCAGTCCGCTCCTGAAAGATATACCCCCTCAAAAGAAACATATCACTTCTCATTCACAACACCCAAGATGCGTCTTATCATTCGTGACGACAAGGATACGGCTTCGGCATTCATCGCCAGCTATATCATTGGTTCGTGAAAGATCCTGCAGGACAATCTCACGCATGCTAATCATACCAGATCGTATCAAGGCTTTCGGTCCAACTCCGAGCAAACCGTTCGTGCTTGGTCTTCCTACAGGCAGTTCGCCTGAAGGCGTGTACAAGAACTTGGTCACTCATCACAAGAACGGTGATATATCCTTCCGCGATGTAGTGACATTCAATATGGTGAGTCAAAACATGTGTTCCTTCTTTGGCGCATCAACAAAAAGCTGACATTTGATTCTTCTATAGGACGAATATGTTGGCCTCCCTCGCGAGCACCCAGAGTCATATCACAGTTTCATGTACCGACACTTCTTCTCACATATCGATATCTTGCCTTCCAACATCAACATCCTAAATGGCAATGCTCCTGATCTCGAGGCAGAGTGCATTGCCTACGAAGAGAAGATCAAGCGTGCAGGTGGCATCGAGCTCTTCTTGGGGGGCATTGGCCCCGATGGTCACATCGCTTTCAACGAGCCCGGATCAAGTCTTACATCTCGTACCAGAGTCAAGACACTTGCTTATGACACAATCGTCGCAAACTCGAGGTTCTTTGGTGGCGATGTCGCAAAGGTGCCTCGTATGGCACTGACTGTGGGTGTTCAGACAGTAATGGATGCCAGAGAGGTCATTATCATCATTACTGGCTCACACAAAGCCCTTGCACTCCAGAAGTGTATCGAAGGTGGTGTCAACCACATGTGGACGTTGTCGAGTCTACAGATGCATCCTCACGCCATGATTGTCGCTGATGATGATGCCACACTAGAGTTGCAGGTCAAGACTGTCAAGGTGAGCAAGACCCCAGCCCATCAAAAAGTCTATACTAATGATATGAAACAGTACTTCAAATCCATCGAACAAGTTGCCTCTACGCAAGGCTTCACGCAAACCTTGCCTGATATCAGCATCACCACTTCGAAGCGCGACTCAATTATTGAGAAGCTCGATAGCCCTCGTTCGCCAAAGTCATCGTCGCCATTCGTCATCACTCAAAGCTCTGCACCGACCTCTCCCACATCTTTCGGCAGTACAACCAAGACTCTTTCTGTCCACAACAAACACGCTAGTGCGCAACGACCAGTGACACCTGAGCCAGTGCTCGAGCGCATGGCCAACAGACTGCCACCTTCGCCATCTCCCAGCAATGCTAAGTTGTCCGTGAATACTCCAGTACAACGACCTATCACGCCGGAGCTGGTACCGGATCGCATGTCAGACAGACTTCCAAGGACACCTGAGATGAGAGCGGTGACTCCCGAGTTGGTACCTGACCGTATGGCAGACAGACTTGCCAGGACGCCACAGGTCGCAGGCCAAGGTCTTGATGGTCTAGTGATAGATGAAATGCCCCTGAGCAGTATGGGACAGAGGATTGCCGTTTAGATTCACCTGTATTTTCATGTTACATACGTACAGCTTGCACGATATATTTCAAGCTTTGTCATCCAGTTCCGGCTTTGCTGTCGTTTTTGACGAAGTCAATTTGCAAGGAGTATCACCCTGTTTCTATTTCGATGCTACTGCCATATCTTGTAGGGGCTATCGACCGCGAAGATATTCTGATAGACATACTAAGTGTATTTCTGAGTGTCTTGTCAGAGCATCTGGGGGTGTGTAAGTATACCGTATCAATCAAGACATGCTCACATTGATGTCTATCTGCAGACTGCACTCAGACATATACCCATGACCTGAGGACTCCCCCCCCAGAAACTCCCTGGGGTATGTCGCCGCCTCCATTCTGCGTCTCGACAGAACTGATACATACAGTCCGACTCCCGTCTCATTCCCACAACAACTTCCTTCATCTATTGCACATCAGAAAGAAATAATTTTGGATGGCCTTCTCCACATTGGACCCCATCCTGCACCCCACGTTGACGATCCACAATCCGACGGGTCATTTGTTGCCGAGATTCGAACCTTGCGTCCTCCGACAAAACCATGACAGCATGCAACTCAGCCACCAACTTCTGCAAACCTTGTTGTTTCTTGCTGCAACATCATCGACCACGGCCAAGCAATTGAAGGATGCAGATCTCTTCGCGTTCGGCTAATATAGAATGAGGGGTATACCATTGCAGTGGATTTGACCGACGGGGTGTGGTGATCGCATGCAAAGGACAAGGTAGATGTCAATAGATCAGGCGAATATCAATCGATGTATAAGTATGTCGTAAATCCCCAAGGTGATGTCGAAATAGAGAAGCTTCATCAGCACAAGAGTCATGTTTCTTTGCACCAACCTGCTCACAGCAGCCATTGGCATCTCTGCCTTTGCAGCAGAGGCCTCAGCCGCCCTACTGCCAGAAAAAGATGACATCCCCTCCCTCCTCTACACCCGCAACGAAGCAAGCAACTCCTCATCATCATGGCCCTACGGTCCCTTCAGCACTTCGGGCAGAGATATCCTCAACACCAAAGGCGAAGCCGTAACCTTTGCTGGAGTAAACTGGCCTGGTTCTGGAGAATCCATGGTACCCGAGGGCTTGGAGTGGGCGAGTATCGAGGATATTCTGAACCAAGTGCAGAGTGTGGGTTTCAATTTCATTCGCTTGACTTATGCCATCGAGATGGTTGATCAGATTTATGAGCGCCACGGTGAGGATGTGGGTTTGGAGATCAGTATGATCAATGCGCTGGGCTATGAGAATGGGTAAGAAATCAGCTCTCCTCTGCCATGTGAAAAGAGGAGATTTTGACATTCAAAAACAGTACAAAAGTCACCAAAGAAATCATCGCAAAGAACCCTGCTTTCAACAAAGACACCACACGTTTCGAGATTTGGGACCACATCGCGTCCGTCGCCCTATCGAAAAATATCTACATCCACCCAGACGTGCACGTCGGAAAAGCGCAATGGTGCTGCAACAACACAGACGGCAACGCCTGGTTCGACGACTACAACTTCCCAGTCGCAAACTGGAAGCGCGGATTACAATACGTCGCTCATTGGGCCTCTGCACACAACAACGTGGTATCCATGTCTCTGCGCAATGAGTTGCGACGAGCGATCAATGAGACTGCGCCTACGGAAACACTGGGCTACAATTGGGTGACCTTGGTGGGAAACTACACAGCTGCCACCGATGCCATCCATTCTGCAAACCCGGATTTGCTGGTTACCTGGTCGGGCATGCAATATGATCAAGATCTATCTGCGTTGATCCAAGGCAAGAACTTGAATACAGCTCCTTGCTATAAATGCGATGCTATCCGCGATGGCCTCCGCAGAGACCCCATTGTGTTTGACCTGGCCTCGCACCCTTGGGCGAACAAGGTAGTCTACGAACTGCACTTGTACAGCATGTCCGAAAACCTGGATACCGGTTCTTGCCCCATCATCTTTGCCGAACTCTACGCCGCGGGCTTCAACGCGATAGGCATGCCTCCGCCACCTGCCTGCAACATTACCAAGGATTGCCCCACCGCTGCCCGCAATACTCCAGTGATCATCTCAGAGTTCGGTGCTGCGCAGGATGTGTCGTTGTTTAACGATACTTTGATGAACTGTCTGCAGGACTTTACGCTGCAGAATAATGTTTCCTGGGCCATGTGGAGTTTGGCGGGCAGTTATAGGATTAGAAGTGGTGCGCAGGGTGTTGGTGATACGTGGGCTTTGGGCAACTATAACTGGACTGGGTGGAATTATCCAGAGGGTGTTGAGAAGTGGTGGAAGCCTTGGGTGTCCTCGATGTTTTAGTTGAGGCGATAGTGAGGGCATATGTAGAATGCGATTCAGACTTAATTCATGCTGATTGCGAGTCCTTGCCCAGTTTTGATTTTGAGTCTGATTCTGATTCCCTTGAGCATAAGATTGTCTCGAGCAGAAAGCCACGAGGGTATGCGCCGTGTTGGTGCATCGAATTCGACCCAAACAGAGATGGTAAGCTTGATACAATGCTGGCTCCAATTGTGCTCTCCATGGTCGTATGCTTGTGCCATGCAGTGATGCCGCCAGTATATGGGCCGGTTTGTTCACTTGAATTTGCTTTGAAAAAGGGCGGTGATCTCAGAGTTCGTCTACTCCCCTTGGACCAACCTTTGCCTTCAAGGTATCCTTTCTGGCAGCTCTCCAAGCTTTGTCCCATGCATCGACCTTGCCACCGAGAAGCTGAGTACTATTTGGCTCGAGCAGGATCACACCTCGTGCAATGGTTACATTTTTTAGGATGAACTTTGCGCCAATGCCCAGATTCAAGTCGATGCCGTCGACATCAGTGATCTCGAAGCCGTAGATCTTTGTGCCCTTTGCGTCCTGTAGAAGTAGTTTGTGAGGACCGTTGCTTTTGATGACTGGAGCAGTACCGTCTCTGGTAGGATCTGATTCCTCGCCAGGCACAACACGAATGACTTCCCTGCCTTTTGTGGTCTCACCGCGTTCTTGAGCCTCGATGGCTTCAACTTGACTCCAAGCGCTGCGACCTATGTCTTCAATGTCAAGCACTTGGACAGGGATGGTATCCGGCATGCGAAGTTCTTTGACAGTAGGATTCAGAGCATTTGGTGGCAGAGTGTTGGTTGGAGTGGCTTTGATGGATGATGTAAGATCGGAGGCCAGTATGCGGAACAGAGCCGTCTTTTGCAGGGCAGGTATGGGAGTGCCTTGACGCGTGGAACTGACAAAGGAATCAAGCCATGCTTGTGTAGCAACAAGACCCTTTGAGTCTAGAAAAGTCTTGATAGCCGACTGGGCCATGGTGGGAATGTTGTGTTGAAAACCTCCCCAGTCTATAAAAGTCGGTCAAGCGGTAGACGCGTTGGCGTGGAAGATGTGGTAATGATCCAAATGCCACCACAAGACAAACAGGTCAGCTTCCCACGTTGCAACTGGCGGACAGACGGAGCAGCTGAGGTCTGAAACGCCTTTCAATGTTGGAGCGTTTGTGGTAGAGACCCGAAGAGGATTGGAGATGATCTTGTCGCTGTCGGGGCGATGAAGTCACGCGCGCCGGCCATGTCCGCGAAACATGGGGGTGCATGATTGATGATTTGATTGTTCGCTTTCCTGCAAACGCAACACGAACCTTTGCCAACTGTTCACCTGGACTATCCAGCAGGCGCTCTGGCTGTCCTCGAACCGCACATCTCTACCTGTGTCTGACTGCCCGCTCCATCGCCAAAAGAATCCACCTTATCCCAGACCCTGTCAACCGACCCCGCTATCCTCCCTACGACTCTCGCATACCTTACTCTCTTCAGCATGGCCGACTTCATAACCAACCTCTGGGAAGCCGTCTTCACCCCCGGTCCCACGCCCGCCCTATTGCTGGCTACCAACATCACCTTCGGTGCTCTCCAGCTTCTCCTCGCCGCTCTCCTCGCCGCTACCTACAGTATCCACTTCTTCGTTCTCAGCGTTCTGTGCGGCGGTCTCTGGTGGGCCATCAACTGGTTTGCCTACGAGTTGCAGCAGGCTCAGCAAAAGGAGGCCGAGGCCGAGCGTATCAGAAAGTCCAGGTCGCCGAACCAACCCGGAGACACAGCCGACGACGAAGCCACCGATACCGAAGTCCAGACAGCTGCCGGCGTCAAGGTCAACGTCTCTCATGCCGAACTTGACTTCAATCCTACCCAAGAAGACGAACAAATTAGATCAAAGATCCTCAACGACTTCAAGAGCGGCACGGCTTCGACGACTTCGGCTGGTACGACTGGCTTGCAGCCCTCAGAAGGCGAGAGCAGACACCGCAAGGCTCCCAGTGATCTCAGTGCTTCGTCCAACGACTTTGGCACCGATAGCGAGTGGATCAAGGTTGACGAGGAATGATTTGGTTGGCAAATTGCATTATGGCATGGTTTTGGATCGAATGGAGTTTTTGTTTTGATGCATTCCTGAATATACCCAAGTCGAGAGCAATCACATGGACACAGTCTTCAACACCTTGCCGGATCTCTCGTCGAATGTGTTGCAATGCCCAAGTGGCAAGTCTTGTCGGTATGCACGTCGGTAGTTTCGCTTTACACGCTTAGATAGCATATCTCCATCATACATCATCAGTTGAGAGATGGCAGCATTGCTCCTCTACTCCCTCACCATTCTTAACTACTATGTGTTCGTGATAGAGACATCAGGCATGATTGATGGTGAGCATTCATCAAGGTTGCACGTGATTGTCGGCGAAGGCTGGTGCCAAGAAGCGCCGGGCGTGGGAGAGGAAGGAGCGTCACAGCGTGCCGAGTTGAGAACGACTGCGAACGCGACCGGCGGCAAGCAGCAACCATCACCGAATACCCATCGCCTTGTCCACAATCCTCTCACAACCACCGCGCATTTCTTTACTGAACCACTGCGCCCAACATGAAGCTCGTCAGGTGCGTTTCTAGCTTCGCCATCGCTCGTCAATGCGCAACCTGGCCGTGTCGCAATATAGCTAATACCGTTCCAGGTTTTTGATGAAGTGCCAGAATGAGACGGTCACTATTGAGATGAAGAACGGTTCGTGCTCGCCCACTCGCGCATGCTCAAATCTGTTACTGACCGATCCACAGGCACAATTGTCCACGGAACTATCGCATCAGTCTCTCCGCAAATGAACACAGCGCTGCGAACAGTCAAGATGACCCCCAAGGGTCGCGACACCATCAGTCTGGACACCATGAACATTCGCGGCGCGACCATCCGCTACTACATCCTCCCCGACTCGCTACCTCTGGATACTCTCCTGATCGACGACGCCCCCAAGCCCAAGAACAAGGCCCGCAAGGAAGCTGCAGACAGAGGCGGCCGTGGAGCAAGAGGCGGCGGTAGAGGACGCGGCGGCATGGGCGGTGGTCGCGGTGGTGGTCGTGGAAGAGGACGTGGCGGAAGAGGCTTCTGATCAACCAACGACCAAAACACGGACTGAGAACAGCCTACCTTTGGAAGCGCCCTCAACCCAGATCCAAACTCGTCCTGGAACAAGCAGAAGGCGAGAACGCCATCCATACATCAATGGTGTCCAAAATCTCTGCGAGCAGGATATCACCAAAAGCCATACCAATGGACAAAGACTCGCTTTGTCGTTGCAACAGACCTGGCGACTGTCGCCAAAAGGAAAAACTTGCCTAGGAATTTCTCAACCAGTGCATATCCAAGGTTGTTGTTTCCTCTACTTTTATGAGCTTCAGAAAAAAGAAATGCAACCTCTTTTACGATCAAGACCCTATGGGCTGTCTCCTTCCTGTCTGAATATTTACTAACGCCAGGGACTTTCATGACTCTCTCTGTTTTTTCTTTTCTTCTCATTGTCTACTGTCTTTCATTGACACAGCGCGCTTGTTTGCAAAACAGCTTAGGCTTTGGTGCCGATGGTATCCCATTTCGGACATCGGTGCCAGCCTGCTTGCTGCTTTGCTGAATCCTAAGCCTCCCCTCAGACATCATGACTTGAATCGTCACTGCAGAGCAACCTCACAGTGCTGGATATGCACGGGCCATATACGGTGTAATATCCAGGCGGTGAGAGTTTGTGATATCTATGCTTCAGAGGTACAGTGACGATTCTACGACTACAAATACCTCTCTCGGGTCTTGTGGCCTCGTCAGAAGAGGATATACATGCGAATTGTCTCATTCATATCAACTTGTACTTTGGTACAGAGCTTCTTGTCTCATCAATGGCAAGCATGTCTCTGCATCAGGGATGCTTGTGGTACAGAGCATGATTTTGCCGGACAGGCTCAAGCAAGTGATGTTATTACTATGAAGGTATTAAGAAAGTGACGACGCCCTCTTGGATGATAGCTATGACGACCGGCATCCATATCGCCGCCTCTTGATTGGTCCGGCGAGTCAGGGCCCGTGATACCGACAGCGAGGTAGCCTGTCAGCACCGGCCCGGCGTTTCTCGCGGTGAATGTCAACAACTACTGCTTCAGTACTCTCTCTCACTTCGAGTCGGCGCGATCTCAATTTTCTCTACCCCTTCCGCACCAAACACGCACCAATTGCCAGTACACATCGTTCCACGTTATATCCTCTACCCTCTTTCAAGAATACGCTTCAGATACAAACACAAGCATGTCTTCTGTTCTCAGCCCCCGCGAGCAGGAGATGATTTGCTATGTCTGGCAGAGCTGCAAGACTCCTCCTGATGTAAGTTTCATCCCCTGGTCGCTGTCTATGGCTCTCCTTCCACGATCTCATCCTCTGCCACTGTTTCCTTCTCACGATCTCTTGCTTTTGCGCGACGAACGTTGCAATTCTGTTCTCGCTGCTGCTGTTACTTCTTCTCGCGATCTCTCTTCTTGCACGCTGCAACACATCATGGAATCAAGACTGATCGTTCCCTTAGGTCGACCTTGAGAAGCTGGCTTCCTTGAGCGGCCACAAGTCCAGAGCCTCGGCCAACAGCGCCTACCATAAGCTTCGTGTCAAGATGTCAGCCTTTGCCAGCGCCAAGGACGAAGCTGATGATGAGGACGTCGATGCTGATGGCGATGCCGATGTCGAGGGTACTCCTGCTCCTGTCGGCAAGAAGGCTCGTGGCAAGAAGGCCGTCGCTGTCAAGGCCGAGGAGCCTGTCACTGACGAGGACGATGAACCCAAGGCTGTCACTGTCAAGCCCAAGGCTAAGGCCAAGCCCAAGGCCAAGGTCACCAGAGCTTCTGCTGTCCAAGCCAGCACTCCCAAATCTGCTCCTAAGGGACGCACTACTCGTGCTTCCCTGAGAGCTCGCCAGTCACTTCCAGCCGACGAATCTTCCGCAGATGAGGATGAAATCAAGAAACCCGACGTCGGTCTGAAGGGTGGTCGTGGAAAGTATCCCAAGATCGAGGATGTCGAGAACGACATCACTGCCGCTGTTGCTGTCGACGACGTCGCTGCCGGTGCTGAGGTATGTCTTCTTCCACTCTGCTTGCACAAAACCATGCTAATCAAACACCCAGGAGCCCGCCGCCGACACCAATGCTGTCAAGCGCGCCGCCGAGCCCGCTTCTGACCTCGACGAGCTTGCCGAGCCCGATCGTGTCAAGCGTGTCAAGCATGAGGACAACGCCGACCACGACGACGACGATCTCGACGCTGCCGTTCACGCTATCGTTGACGCTGCTTTTGGCGAGACTCCCGCCGAGCCTAGCACCACTGTCGTCACCGTTGTCTCGACCAACCCCGTCATCGAATCCTTTGTTGTCAACGACCCTGACGCTGTCGACATCGCTGATGACATTAACATGCGCACTGACGCTGGCGCTGAGGCTGAGGATGCGTCTGACATCCGCTCTGATGTTGCTTCTGCTGCTGACAGCGGTGACATCCGTTCTGATGTTGCCTCTGCTGCTGACAGCGGCGATCGTGACATCTGATCGAAGTAGAATAGCGCAACAGATGGAACTTTGAGGTCTCTTTTCGGGCTGGCGTTTGGTCGTTTCAAGTCGTGTCTTTTTGAGAAGGAGACGCAGGTTTTCTTTAGGTCATGAATTGTGGTAGTCAAAGGTCGTTATGATAGTCAATGAAGACTTTCTGCTGTGCGCTGAGCGCGGCTTTATACATTATCGTTTGCGTGTCCTGTTCGCCGTGACTTCTAATTCTCGTCGTAAGATTTCGTTGCTCTTGCCCACTTTTTGCATTCACTACCCCTTACTCTCTGGCTTCTGCATTCATTGTGTCAAATTTCGATCCCAGAAAAACTTGCTGCGTTATTAGGTGACTATAAAAATGCAGCATTGTAATCACATTTCCAAGCCTCGTCCGCCGAGAGCCCCATCTCTCATGCCAATGTCAGGGGCTCTCAACGGATACTGTCTGTTTCCGGAACACCTTGGTGACTTCTTATAGCTTGTTTGTAGGATATCCGTGATGTTTGGGATGAATGAGATCTCGAGCAAACATACTGCATATTTGAGTAACTTTGAAAAGTCACAAAGATGTCATGGAGACGCGGTATGTCCATCGAGAGCCTTTCATGCTAGGACGATCTGCAGGGCACTCGATGAAAAAACGCCCGATCAACTAACTGAATATCTTTGTGACTTCATGTATGCCGTCTCCAATAGCATGATCGATACTCGAAGGTCGGTGATTCCCAAGCAAGCATAATGCATTCTTAGCGACTATGGAGTGTCACAAAGATATCATGGATATGTGACGTGTCCATAGATAGAGAGCCTACAACGCCAGAATGATCTCTAGGGCTTCCATTGGAAACGCTGCAGATCAGCACATCTTTGCGCATTCTCGTAACATGCATTTCTCGCGTCTGTTCGTGATGAGACACCACACCGAAGTCCAAACAACTTTTTTATCAAATCCGCAGCAAGTGGTCTTATCAGATGCGTCGAGTCGCCGTTTTGCATCGCAAAAGGAAGCGCGAACCGAATCACCCTCGGCTCGCGCTTGACTTTTGGAAATCTTGGACAGCGCACACACCGACTCCACTGTTCTTTTGCTGGCAAGTGGCTCTTGTGGTTACCTATCTGCTCGCTTTTTTTCCGTTCCCGTTCAACAGTTGCCAATTGCGAAATCGGGATGTGTTTGTGATGCAAGGCGCACTCGTGATGGGGTCCTTCGTAGAAGGAAGTTTCTGAAGATATAAGAGGTAGGGGGTCCGCTCTACCTCTTCAATTCATCTTGTTCCAATCCATACTTTATCCTCTATTTGCACACTTTAATCTGTTATGGTTACACCTTCTTCGCCTTCCTGGCAAGACGTCGCTGCCAGAAAGAGTAAGGAGATTTACGATGCCATTCCCTCAGCATGGCTAGTCGACGAGCATCTCCTCCAAGGCCATAACTTCATGGATCTACCCAAGAAGTGCCCGTCAATCATGTCTGAAGAAGAACTCTCCATTACCGAACAACGAGCCGTAGATATCCTCGCTTGCATCCATTCCAGGAAATGGTCTTCATATCAAGTAACTCTTGCTTTCTGCAAACGAGCTGCCCTAGCCCACCAAGCTACCAATTGTCTAGCTGTTGTGCTGTTTGAGTCTGCATTGGAAAAAGCAAAGGAGCTAGACGCGTATATGGAAAAATATAACAAACCCATTGGACCTCTTCACGGCCTGCCCATGTCAGTAAAGGAACATATCTTCCTAGCCAACACACCCGCAACCTCTGGCTTGATCTCTTGGGCCGACGCACCCAGTCCAGGCGACGCACTAATTTGCAAAGTCTTCAGAGAAGCAGGCGCAGTCTTCCACGTCAAAACCACTAATCCACAAACTCTCATGGCCTTGGAAACACACTCGAATCTGTTTGGCCGCACTACAAACCCATTCAATGTGAATCTTACTTCTGGAGGAAGCTCTGGCGGTGAATCAGCATTGGTCGCTATGCGTGGCTCACCTCTAGGTATTGGCACAGATATCGGCGGCAGCATTCGTGGTCCTAGTGGCTTTTGCGGTGGGTGGGGGTTGAAGGCGAGTGTAGCGCGTATCCCACACTCTGGACTCAGTGGTCTGCACTCGGGAATGGAGAATATCATTGGATGCGTGGGACCCATGGCAAACTCACTCGCCGACTTACGACTTTTCTGCAAAGTGGCACTGGATGCACAACCCTGGGACTTTGAACCCAGTCTGATTGATTTGCCATGGCGGGATGTCAGAGTTGAGATTTTGCCAAAGAAACTCAGGATAGGCGTGTTGTGGCATGATGGGGAAGTCATGCCTCATCCACCAATTACACGCGCTTTGAAGGATACAGTCAACAAATTGCGCAACGCAGGTCACGAAGTCGTATCCTGGAATCCTCGGTTACATACCCCGTTGCTCAAATGGATAAACACAGCATACTTCCTCGATGGCGCCGAGGAGTACAAAAACACTTTGCTGCAGGAATCAGACCCTGCAGTCCCGATTATCCAATGGCTACTGGACAGCACAACACCCACCCGCCACACCGTGGAGCAAACCTGGACGCTGAATGCTTTGCGCGATAATCTACGCACTCAATTTTCGCTTCAATGGCGAGAAACTGGCATTGATGCTTTGTTGTGTCCAGTAAATGCCTCGGTGGCTTCTGCACACGATGAAAGCAAGTACTGGGGTTACACTGCTGTGTTCAACGCCACCGATCTGCCGGGAGTGGTATTCCCAGTGACCACGGTGCAAGATATGGATGTCTGGGATAAAGATACAAAGGCAGCGATGGGTGAAAGGGATGAATTGTATAGAAAGTTCTGGGATGAGGGTGGTGTGGAAAAGTATAGAGATGCGCCAGTGAATTTGCAACTGGTGGGGAGAAGATTGAGGGAGGAGAATTTATTGGCTGTTGCTGAAGTCGTGGAAGGTGTTATCAGAGGTGCAGATGTGGAAAAGAGCCGTCAGCAGTCACAATATGAGAGAAGAGATGAGATGATTCAGAGTCGTCTGTAGGAAGGAGCAAAACAAAGGGACCGACAGGAAAGGGCAAATAATCATTATATCGAAAGTCAAATCATTATATACATCCGAGAAATCTCATGACCTCAACTAGATCCTCTCAAGCACTGTAGTTTGGCTTACTCCCATCACAAAGATTCTCGAGATACTTGACATCCACATCTTTGACCGCCACCCCATCACCAAAGTCTCTGACCGTAGTCTCGCCAAGGAACTCATACTCCTGCCATCCGGTCGACTCAATGCCAGTCATACCTCCCTTGGCAAACGCTACCCAGGCATCTTGCATAGCAACACTAGTCTGGTTCTCCAACGCCGGCCCTTTACCTCTGTAGTTGTCAAAGGTGCCAAACAGCAATGGCAACTCTGAAGAGTGGAAAGCGCCCAACCAAGGTGCAGGAGCAATGTTTGAGAAGTTGCCGCTGTAGAGGTAGCGGTAGGTGGGGCGGTTAGTCTGTTGACGTAGACGAATAGACTCGGTAGCGGGGCAGAAGAATGTAGTGAGGAGGGCTAGCTGGGCGAGTGTGGCGTTGGGGCCGGAGGGACTGTAGGGAGCAAACGGTACGCCGTCTTGAGCGTTTGTGCCGATGATAGCTGGCAAGTTTGCTTGTTCGCCTGCTAGTGCACGTTCGGTATAGTTGCTGAATACTACTTTCTCATCGGCGCTGGGAAGGAAGCTGATGGCGGGTGCGGTGCCGTTCTCCTGGTAGTTCTTGACAAAGTCTTCGATCGTTGCGGCAGGAAGCTTGCGTACACAAGCAAGCTCATCTGCAGGCGAAGAAGAGTTGGCACAACCGAGTTGCGAGGCAACGAACGTAAAGTTGGTGTGTTGGGTGTCGTCGGTTGTGATACCGATGAAAGCTGTACCAGAATCCATACTGAATGCTGACACGATTGGATCCTTCGGATAAGCAAAGTTGTAGTAGTCTACGCTCGCAGATCCTGCCGACTGACCCCAAAGAAGCATGCGTGAAGGGTCGCCTCCGAACCTGAGAATGTTGTCTCTGACCCATTCGACAGCTGCTCTTTGGTCAAGCAGACCCACATTCTGATCAGACAGCCCAGCGGCGTTCGGGAAGCCAAAGATATTGACACGGTAGTTGATAGCCACCACAATGTGATCCTGAGTACGTTCGATCCACTGGCTTGGGATTTGGTACGGGACGTCTTGACCTCCGGTGACGAAACCTCCACCATATACCCATATGATAACGGGGAGCAATTCGTTACCACTGCTGCAGGACTGATTGTTGTTGGTAGTAGGAGCCCAGACACTCAAGGTCAGACAGTCCTCGCTGATATCTCCAGTGCCGTTCTTTCCTTGGAGACCAAACTCGAGGACCTGGCTGACGTATACACCAGGACTGACGGTGTTGAGGTACTGCATACAGCTGGGAGGCAATTCTGTGTTTTGGATGACCTTTTTGGACGCAGATGCTGGAAGAGGCTGAGGAGCTGCAAAGCGAAGTTGTCCAGTAGGAGGTTGTGCAAATGGAATACCCAAAAATTGGCGGACATTGGGATATCTCGAGTCCTTGTTTCCATGTACAAGACCAGATGACGTCTGTACAGTCAAGTCGTCATTCACAGCAACATATTTCGGCCATGCAAGAGCCCTAATGGCCAGCGAAGAAGCAGCAAGTAAAGAAGAAAGATGCATCTTGGCAATCGATGTCTCGAGGAAGTTGTAAGTGCATCGGCAGGCCACAAAGACCTACCTTTATAGTTTAGAAGTCTTGCAATTGCTTCTTCGTACTCACAAGGGTTTTCGGCTCTTGGCTAAAATCGCGACTCCACCCAACCCAACCCCTCCCTCCCTCCAGAACTTGATATGCAAGATGAGCAAGACGATCTTCGTTCAATGGCGGGGAAACTCTATCAACACCTTCGAACAACCGAGCCGAATACTCGCCGGCTAAAATGGCATTCGATGGCGTGCCATATCCTTGGGATCATTGGAGGTTCTCTGATGCTTGACAATTCGAGAGGGGCTCTGCTGGATTTGTCGTCTGCTGTCTATGCAAGTGCAGAGAGGAATGAAGTCGAGTTTTGGATGTGGGAGTGTGGGTAGCCGCGATGGGAACCTCACTCACGTCATCGAAATGTGGAGAACGAGTGTTGGGCTCTGGTTGCCATCCAGCACTTGCTTCCACGTATCGGAGAAGACTCTTACTCTTTATGGACCTGCCAATAACTTAGAAAGGACTGTGCATTGTTATAGTGTTAGTGTCACCTACATATGACTATGGAAGTATCGCGGCAATCACAGAAAGCAGTACTTGTGGCAGTCTGTCTAAAGAGCAGACGACAGCACAACTCTCAGTGAATCCTCACCATTCGCGGAGAGGACTCTGCACTTCTATAGCTACATCGGGTACGACTTTGCACACGAGGAGAGCAGCTCATTTAAAAATGAGAGTAACAGGACAAGTGAGTACGGGCAACAGGTTGGATCAACCAATCTCAAATCATCATTCGCAATTCGTCTATATATTTCAATGGTGTCATGTACAAGAAAGCTTTGTAGAGACCCATCAGTCTTCCTCTCAATCGTTCAATTTGTTTGGAAAGAAGGAAGCAAGACAACGAAAACATTTAAAAGAGGCCCTAGCCTCTTGCCAAAAAAGGTCCAAGATGCTCCGTAGATGCAGATTACAAGGAAGGCCCCAGGAATGCTGAAATGCTTGCACGCTGGCAATGCGAAAAGGTTTGCCGAGTCATCGACTCGGCGAATGCAGAAAGGGAAAACAAGAAGAAGATGCTGCGCAAACAAAGGGGGTATAGTGCGCTGCTGTTATTCGGCATTTGGGGTTGTACCCTGTTGTCGTGATCGTGATGCATATGTCGAAAATCGCCTGTGACTTCGTGTCATGCTTTTGTTATGTCGTGTCGTTGCAAAGATTATTCATCTGTCAGTCTGTCCAGGAGATGAATACTTAGAATCATGACCAATAGACCGATGGTAACGATGAGTAGTAACGCAAAGCTGAACCAGCCTAACACCATGGCTGATGTTCCCACTCCTGATTTGATGCTCCCGTTACCCATGTCTTGAGCGACTTGCGCTGCTGCTACTGAGGCAGTATGTTGCCATAGTACGGACACCAGAACAAAGACTGATGCAATGAAGACAAGTGCAAGAGCTGACTGGGAAACCGGACGTGATGGAAAGGGCTTCACGTCGACCTCGGAACCAGTGGCACGGTCACGCTCCTCATGCCAACCAGGGAATGAAGCGAGAAGGAGGAAGCAGAGGAAGGCAAAGATGATGGCAATGATACTGTTCGTACAGAGTTAGCAAGGTTTGAACCTCTTCAAATCGTGATTGTGTGTACTTACATCAACCAGGGAAAGACGACTGAATTCTTGAAAGTGTTCGCGACCCAAATCAAGTTCATGGGATCTTTGTCAATGCTGATCTGCTCGGCCAGAAGGGTGGCATTGTTGGAGCAGAGGTAGTTGCCAGCATCCGAAGCGATGCATAGACCAAAGTATCCAACTCTTACTTCCAGTTGAGTTTGTCCAACGATGTTGGCGATAGCAGCAGTGACACCGGGGTCCACTTGCGCCGGGTCATACGTCGGTGTGTACGTTTGATAGTAGAAGTCAATTAGGAAGATTCCTGGTATCAACGGTGAACTGGAAGAGCATCCGGCCAGTAGTAGTGCTGTGAGCCATGCTTGTTAGTGGTGGGTAGACAGTGATGATATCTGGCCAGACTCACAAAGAAGAATGATGGCAATGGCAATCAGGATCATAAGAATGTGATGGTAGCCGATGAACGGTATCAGACGTTGGATGCCGACAGCAAAGCCAATACCAGGAGCCATGGCTTTCTCTGGAATGTCCTGTCCTGCTTAGACAATAGCCTGCGTCCTGCCGGTGGCCGATGGAGAGGTTGGAGGAATGCAGATGCCTCTTCACACAATGGAATCTGGATCTTGTCGTGCCCTTTTGCGTGTCTTGACTCGTGGAATGTGGAGGTTCGGGTTGCCTGAAGGTGGAGATGGTGGATAAACGTTGCAAAGCCGCTAAGTGATACTGTTCAGTTTATCGTCCAGAGAAACGGATGTAACGCAGGTTCGTAGGAGAAGTCAAAGGTGAAAAGAGGAGATGGAGCGAGGCGCGTGTATCCCTGGTCTCTTTTGCTGCAGAAGGAAATCGCGAGGTTGGTAAAGTGCTAAATGAATTTCCTGCCACACCCAGCCTCCCACGACCAGGGACCGTGATGATCGTTTTGTAAATACTCGGTTGCGTGGGGAACCACGCCCGACCGCGCTAAAATCAGGGAAGCTCCCGCACCCGCTTCCCGTCGGCCTCTGACGTGCGCACAAGCCAATCGGGGTGTTTTCGCTCGACTTGGTTGCATCTCGAGAAGAGACGGAAGATGTTGAACGACAAGAGTCACATCATACACACACAAGCAAGGTGTTTTATAGATCAATTGTAGGTTGTCATATCGCTTTTATTCTAGCACTGGAAACATAAGCTTCCTGGTATCATAGCAAGGCACAGGTTGAAGCTGTCTCTGCTTTTCGTAACCGAACACCCCTTCCTCCGTTTTATCATCCCATGTTGAATATCGTGTCATCCCAAGACGCCATTTAAATGCAATCAAAACTCTAGCATGCAAGCTTGAGCTGCTTAGATGGGCAGAGGGAAGGTGGTGGCCCACTGGGCAATCTCGGACTTGAGCTTCTTGATCTCCTCGACCTCGCCAGAGGCGACCTTGGCCTTGAAGTCCTTGAGCTTGTTGTTCTCCTTGGGCAGGTCGGCCTGGACAGACTTGCAGAGCTTGATGGCCTGGTCGATGTAACCAGCAATGCGCTTGAAGTCGTCCTCACCCATACCACGAGAGGTCATGGCGGGGGCACCGATTCTGATACCGCAAGGAGTCAGGGCAGACTTGTCACCAGGGGTGGTGTTCTTGTTGCAGGCAATGTTGATCTGCTCGAGGACAGCCTCAACACGGGCACCGTCGAGAGCCTGGGGCTTCAGGTCGATGAGGACCATGTGGTTGTCGGTACCACCGGTGACGAGAGTGTAACCGAGGTTCTTGAACTCGTGCTCGAGAGCCTTGGCGTTGTTGATGACCTGCTGCTGGTACTGTCTGAACTCGTCAGACTGTGCCTGCTTGAGAGCAACAGCAAGAGCGGTGATGGTGTGGTTATGAGGTCCACCCTGGTGACCAGGGAAGACGGAGAAGTTGATAGGACCCTCAAGGTCGTAGAGGGTCTGGATCTCCTTGCCAGCCTTCATCTCAGTCTTGCGGACACCCTTGCGGAAGAAGATCATGGCACCACGGGGACCACGGAGCGACTTGTGGGTGGTGGTGGTGACAATGTCGGCGTAGGGGAAGGGAGAGTCGTTGACGCGACCGGCGATCAAACCGGAAATGTGGGCCATGTCGACCATGAGGTAGCAGCCGACCTTGTCGCAAATCTCGCGGAAGCGCTTGTAGTCGATGGTACGGCAGTAGGCAGAGGTACCGGCAACGATGACCTTGGGTCTGTACATGAGAGCGTTCTGCTCGAGCTGGTCGTAGTCGATGATGCCAGTCTCGAGGTTGACACGGTAGGGGAAGGTCTCGAAGTAGGTGGAAACAGCAGAGATCCTTGATAGCGTGTTAGCGAGGCTCTAGACTGGCTTGAGACGATGCATTGGTTGCTTACTTTCTCTGGGGAGTCTGGTAACCATGGGACAAGTGACCACCGTGGGGCAGGTCAAGACCCATCAGACGGTCGTGAGGGCGCATGATGGCCTGGTAGACCTGGAGGTTGGCGGGAGAGCCGGACAAGCACTGGACGTTGACACCCCACTTCTCAGAGTCGAGGCCGAAGGTCTGGAGAGCGCGGGCCTGGCAGGTGAGCTCAATGGCGTCGATGTGCTCGTTACCGCCGTAGTAGCGGGCACCGGGGTAGCCCTCGGAGTACTTGTTGCTCATGGGCGAACCCAGGGCATCGAAGACAGCACGCGAAGTCACGTTCTCCGAGGCAATCAGAAGAATAGACTCGCGCTGACGCTGGATCTCCTTCTTCATGATCTCGGCAATCTCAGGGTCGGTCTCGACGAGAGACTTCTCCATGAGCTATTCATAGTCAGTACTCAAGTCTGGTTCCAATTGTTGCGTTGGTCACTAACATCGCGATGGCTTTCAGGGAGGGCGTAAGTCGACATGATGTGTATATGTGTGTGTAACGACTGGTGGAAGTTGAGAGGAACAAAGAAGGGAGGCGACAGCTATGAGCAATAGTTAAGTAGTAGCAGTGGGGCAGGATTTTTTGCCCATGCGGGCGCGGTTTGACTTTCTACGTGCTCCGGACGCGGAGTCCCAGTCTGGCAACAGAACCCTACTTGGCATTCATCGAACGAAGCCACATTGGCCTTCCTGTTCCATACATTGAGCTGTGTTTGTGAGGGGCATCCTGACTATATACCGATTCACGGCAGTTCGTCTGACCGGACCTTTGCTTCCCATGAGGAAAGCGCTTGCATTGTTCGTGGTATGGAAGCTGACTTTGTCGTCAAGGAGCTTTACGGAGCACCCGCTGCCGCAATCGGTCCGGGAAACGCACTGACTTCAATGCTGACTCTCGTTCTCTCAACCTTTACCACTCGACTCTGGCGGCCTCTAAGGGTCAAGTATGAAGATGGTACAGTACACTCCAATTAGAGTCAATGGAGAGGTCATTACAATATACTTTCCGGGCCAGTAACCTCAGACCCTAGTCAGTAGACTGCTGTTCTGCATTATAACATAAGTTCTGTTGTCAATGACTTCCAACGGCGCGATTACGCACACGGTTTACTCTACATTCCCGAGTCTGCACAGAAACTCTCGAAAGGATACTTGAAGACACTTTCACAGGTCTTTGATCCTGTTGACGGTACCGCCAGTACAAGAAAATTTCTGCTTACAAACATCCAATAATGTTGTGGGCATTAAATATGTCTGAACTGCCCAAGGCTCGCGGACTCATTCATATAGGGTTTATAACAGTAGTGAGTATTGGTTGGAGAACGACGATGTTTGTCTGGACAGAGTGCACGACGACGTTGAACCGCCTTTGACCACCAGGTTACGGTGTACCCACCTTGTGTTCTATGTCCTTATTGCTATGGCCTGGCCTCACCTGTGGAAGACTATGGGTTGACGTACCCGGTCAGATTGTTAGAAGGCTGTCACAGAATAGCCAGAAGCCTGGCAAAAGGAATGGCCATTGACTGATGGTCAAGGGGACAAAAGATATATCGATGCCGCTTCTGTGGATCGAACACAGTGCCTCCAGAATACTCCTAATACAGGAAGACGTGAAGTGGACTTCAGTCTGGCGCTCTCCCAGATGAGCTAAAGCGGCTTGTTGAGACGAATTTGAGATTGGTGGCTTTAAGAGGACGCCGCGGCTGATAGTAGCGAGCTCCTGTGGAGCTCCAAGCATCCGGCTTTCCAGATACTGTGTGTTCGATGAACCAGCAGTGAAGACAAGGAACAACTGAGCAGATGATAGAGAAGATGTCAAGGGTCGTGTATGGAGAGATGAACCGGCGACGACGGAAGAAAAGTCTAGGTCTGACGGTCGAAAAGAAGAAGGTGCGGTAGACGTCACACATCAATCAAAGCCGAATTAGGAAAGCACGATCGACGCGCCAGAACGCGTGCTTTCCAAAAGTGAGTGATGCTTCAGACAAAACATCGACGTTGCTTCCAAGTTCACTTTCTGCATTTCCGCATTTACCCTCACACTCAGACGCATCTCTTTACTTCCATCACATCCGCACCAGACGCATCCTTCCTCAAACCATCTCCACTGCATCTCTCATCTCCATCACATCCATCAACATGGCCGCCGTGTCGCTGCTCAACGTTGCTGTGCGCAACAACCCTGCCCCCTTCACCTCGCCCTACGAATTTGAGATCACCTTTGAATGTCTCGAGAAATTGGACAAGGATCTGGAGTGGAAGCTCACTTATGTCGGCTCTGCCACCTCGTAAGTGTCCCAAACATCTACATCTCCTGGTCTCCACGCTGACACATCTACCCAGCTCCGAGTATGACCAAGAGCTTGACTCCCTTCTCGTCGGCCCCGTCCCTGTCGGCGTCAACAAGTTCGTCTTTGAAGCCGACCCTCCAGACCTCAACCGCATCCCCAACAGCGACATCATTGGCGTCACTGTCATCCTCTTGACCTGCAGCTACGACGGTCGCGAGTTCGTACGCGTCGGCTACTACGTTAACAACGAGTACACCGACGAGGCACTCATCGCCGAGCCTCCTGCCAAGGCAGTCGTTGAGAAGGTTCGCCGCAGCATCCTCGCCGAGAAGCCCCGTGTCACCCGCTTCGCTATCAAGTGGGACAGCGAGGCCAGCGCCCCTGCCGAGTTCCCTCCCGAGCAGCCTGACGCCGACAACCAGGAAGACGACGAGGCTGCTTACGGTGCCGAGGAGCTTGAAGAGGACGAGGTCGAGGCTGAAGGTGAGCCCGAAGTCAAGGAAGGAGAAGATGCTGAGATGGCCGAGGCCAACCCCGTCGAACAAGCCAAGGAGGAGGACGAAGTCTCAGATGCTGGCAGCGAGGACATTGAGGCCGAGAGCAGCGCTAGCGAGGATGAAGACGAGGAGGAGGAAGAGGAAGGTGAAGGTGAAGCCGAGGGAGAGGCTGCCGACGAGATGGACACCGACAACCCTGCCCCTGCTAACGCCACTGAAAAGCCCCAGCCTGTCCAGCAGCAGGGCGATGTCATGGTCCACTAGAAGATGCACCAACTTCTCATCTCTCTATGATTCATGCACGGCGCTGTTAGGAAAGGATTCAAAAGCTTCACGATAATGGTTTGGGAGTACGCATTTCTGGGTGTCTTTAACTCGATGGAAGAGTTGTTTTTTTTCGTTACGATACCACTTTAAGAATACATTGACATTGTCTACATTACTATCTGTCCACCTACGTTGCCATGTCCCTGTGTCACTAATGGTATAGCCTTGCTGATCGGAGGTGCATATTGACCGCTGGCTGAGAGATAGAATATCGCACTTGATCGCTACCGGGCAACAATCGTGTTGCTAGTTCACATCACATAATTGTTCGAGCTGAAGAGCTTCCTCATCACGAGACATGGTCATTTGTGCTTTCTTTCTACAGAAGACCATATTTGACAGTCGCAATTTGCGATCGACCCCGTCTTCATATCGTGACGCGTCAGGTCATGAGAGGAGGTCACAATCCACCAAAAATCCTGGAACAGTGGAGGATGCCCAAGCTTCCATGACTTGGCGAGCGACAAGGAGCACCTAGGCAAACCACTTCTCCGACAAGCGTGAAAGCAACCCTGAACTTCATCTTCTTAGTTTGTTGAAGAGGTAGACTGCCCAAGCTCATCAGGACATCATGGCCGGCTTCATTCGGAGCAAGCAGGCGGGCATACAGAACGACCTCTCTGCCGGACTAACGCCCGAGCATGTCGCTATCGATGACATCGACCGCTATGGTATCAACAGTCAGATAGGATCCATCGCTTACGATCCTGTGCAATCACTGCTGGCAGTGGGCACAAAGGACAGCAAATTTGGACCTGGGCAAATCTACATCTTCGGCAGAGGCAGAGTCGCTGTCACACTTGACCTACCCCAGCGAGCATCAGCCAAACAGATACAATTCTGCGCCGACAAGCTGGTCTGTCTCGACTCGAAAAACGACCTGTCGTTCTATTCGCTCGAGGCCAAGAAACTTATCGGTTCACATTCACCGCCGGGTGTCGCAACATGTATCGCGACAGATCCCGCCTTGGACTATGCTTTGATTGGCATGCAATCTGGAGACGTTCTTGCTTATGATATGGACAGAGAGGGCGCAGCTCCTTTCCGGATCCCAAATTTATGGGCTGAGCGTGACTCAAGAGTACGAGTGTCACCAGTCGTCAGCATACAGTTCCACCCTAGAGATATTGGGAAGCTGTTGATCGGCTACGTCCACGGCGCTGTCACCTTTTCCTTCAAGCTGAACCAAGCTCAAAAGTTCTTCCAATACGAGATTCCTGCTGGAGCACAAGGCGGCCATGCAGATCCTGCATCCTCAAGAACACCTCGCTGGCCAAAGCTCACCCAAGCAATTTGGCATCCTACTGGCACATTCATTCTGACTGGACACGAAGACAGCTCGATGGTATTCTGGGATCCCAAGGACGGCAGAATCATCCTGGCCCGAACGACTAGTGAGACACATATCAACATCCCTGGCAAGGGTGCCACGACTTTGGGGCCCACAGTATCAGTGAGAGAGCCTATATTCAAGGTTGCCTGGTGTGCGAACAAGGATCCCGACGACACAGCTCTTCTCATTGCCGGTGGGGCAGATTCGACTATGCCAACAAAAGGCATGACATTTTTCGAGATGGGACGAACACCAAACTATGCTACCTCAAGTTGGGATGTTCTTGCTGAGCATTTGGAGAATCCACGCCGTCAGAGAGTGCTTCCAACCCCACCCAATGCCGAAGTAGTTGATTTTTGTCTCATTCCCCGCGAGTCGCCTCACTTTGCTGGTGCTCAAGACCCCATCGCCATCCTAGCGCTGTTGTCGTCTGGAGAGGTCGTTACGCTAAGCTTCCCGAGCGGCATTCCAATCACACCTACCAACCAGTTGCACGTATCCCTAACCTTTGTCCATCCTTTCATCAAACGAGCCAACGTCACTACGGTCGACAGAGTCAGATGGCTTGGTATGACTGAGACTCGCAACCAGGGCCCTCAAATCTTGAAGGGTGGTGTAGAGCAGACACATCCTCTCAAGAGATACGAGAACCGAAACATCATTCAGACTATGCATGCAGATGGTACGGTCAGACTGTGGGATGCAGGTCACGGTGATGAGCTGGAGAACGACAAAGTTCTGGAAGCAGGTGTTGGTCGAGCTGTGGGACGCATCGAAGGTGTCGACATTACCAATACGTCTCTGGCGAGCGCCAGCGGTGAATTTGCTGCTGGTACGAGGAGCGGAGAAGTCGCAGTCTTCCGCTGGGGCCACAACAGAAACTTTGGCCGCGATGTGCCTCCATCTGCTGGGGGCAATCGTCCTAATTCTCTCACCAATATTGTGGACAGAGCCGACCCGAGTCTGAAGGAGGGACTGTGCCCGTTCACATTGCTAGACATGCAAAGTGGCCCAATTACTGCGGTCAAAGTCAGCGAAGTCGGCTTCGTCGCGGCTGCCTCTGAGGGAGGCAAACTTGCTGTTATCGACATGCGTGGTCCTGCTATCATTCACCTCGGCACGACTGCTGAGTTTGGCAAAGGTGACAAGCTCGGCACACTACGCCGAAAGAGCAGTCATTCAGGAGACAAGCCAGAATGGGTCACAAAATTGGAGTTTAGCGTAAGTATCGACATACGCTCGCAGCTGATAAAATTCTGACAATTGCTAGGTAATGACTCTGGAAGACGAGAATTACTCTAGTGTAAATCTTCACGCTGGAACCAATCTAGGCCGACTAGCAACCTTCAAGCTCATTCCCGATAGCAGCGGACGCTACTGCGTTGACTTCAAGGGCGTGACTTCCTTTGATGGCCGTATCATCCACATGTCACCCGTCAACACCCACACAGGCAGACCAGCATCCGCAACTCCCGACGCTGTCGCTAATCTCCGCAACGGCGTAAAAACCGATGGTGTCCTCGTGGCCGTGACCACGTCCGAAGCCCGCATCTTCCGTCCGGCCACCGCGAAAGGCGCTCACAAGACGTTCGACAGCCACTCCTGCGAGACAGCCGCTGTGGTGAGATTCCAAGACCAAGGATACGTGCTTTGTGGATTGTTCGGCGACGGCACTGTGCGTGCATATACATTGCCAGCGTTGAAAGAACTCAATTCGATCAAGATCTCGCATATCCTGGATACCAGACGTTTTGCAGATTCCATCATCATTCCCAATGGAGATATCTTTGGCTGGACTGGTCCTTCTGAGATGGCTCTCATCAATATGTGGGGTACAGGTCAACTACTGTAAGTCGCCAGATTCCATCTAAGATATACTTACTAACAACTTGCAGGTCCAGGTCACTGGACAAACTCTTCAACCCGCAAGCCCTCATCCCACCCAGACCCACAATTTCAAACTTCCAATGGGTGGCAGGAACACAATACGTGACACCCTCAGACATGGACATCTTGAGTAAGCCTCCTTCCCCTCACCTCCTCTTCCTCTCTCTCCCCAACATCTCACTGACTCACCCCCTCACAGTCGGCGGACCCGACCGACCCCCCTCAAAGCGCATGCTCGCCCAATCCCGCGCAGACGAAGCCTCCCGCCTCGCTGCCTCCCGCACACCCGCCTCTGCATCTTCATCCTCTGCATCAAACGAAGGATGGGGAGCCTACATGCAACGACAACTGCAAGAACGAACAGAGAAACTGAATATCATGGGTGATTCAATGGAAAGTTTAGAAAACAACAGTCAAGGGTGGGCGGACGATGTCAGTAAGTTTGTGGGTAGGCAAAAGAGAGGCGCGGTTACTGGGTTGATTAAACATAAGTTTGGGTTCTAAAAGGGAGGGAGGTTGGACTGCTAGAGTGCTTTCAATGCTTGATCCGTGGGAAGGTAGATTTGGCAGTTATGGTGATCGTTCATGGCAGCCGAGAGGAGCGAAAGCGGCTTCATCATGCGTACCATTCTATGGACTACATGTTTCATTCCTCTTCTGGACCTCTCATTACCCTCATCAATGCCATAAGACCAGTTTGAACAAAGCAAAGCCGAATGCACCTCTCACTCTCTGATCCCATTATCCGCACGTTCGCTAGAGATCGGGCAAAGCTATTCTACTGCCCACCAGCATGCCTGGTTTCTAACTCACCTGCCAGCTCAGCCTGCAACTGCGCATCCGCATCATCCCCGTAAATCTGCGCCCCATACATACCCCCATGTCCCTGTACTTCCTGCTGTGTCGCCTCAGTACCAAACGCATTATTCTCCGCGCCCGCATCAGTGGCGGAAGCAGAAGCATAAATATCACTCATGATAGCAGGATCCACGGGTATATCCTCGTAATCGAAACGCGAAATGTCCATTTGATCTTGAGTGGCGTGGTCTTGTTGCATTGCATTCTGCACTTCTGCGTTCTCAACGGTAGCGGGAGAGAGGATGGAGGGTTGGCGGTCTGCAGCGCCAGGGCTGGTTTGCGAGGTCTCAGATGCTTTACTGGATGTAGGTGCTTTGGCCGGTTTAGCAGTTTCCTTGCAGTTCGTACAGTTGCGGATAGCTTGCGACACCGTCTCCTTGATGCGAATCCAATGGTAGCGCTCCGCAATCGATGCAGTAGTCTTGTTGATACCTGCATGAGTAGCAGCGTGCGATTTCAACGCAATCTCGTATTGTTTCTGAGGGTCACTGATGACTTCCTTGTCTTTGAGCATGAGTTTTTCTTCGCCGCCGTTGGGGTCGGAGACGAGACGGTAGTGGGCGCCTGCGCTGCGGAGTCTGCTTTTTTCGGCGCGGTCGGCGCCATTGGGGTAGTTGCCTGTCTTGAGGTAGTAGCGGATCTTGTCGAAGCGCTCTTCGGACAGATAGTCCTCGGCTTCGCCGTTGAGATCGCGGCCGAAGATGATGGCATCGACGAGGTGGTCAGAGGACTTGAGGTTACCGCAGCCAGGCACGCGACCAATGCGCTTGAAGCCCAGAGCGTCCCAGATCCTGGCCGAGGCAATGTTGGTCTCATAGACGAGGTTGAAGACCGAGTACGAGTATCCCAGCTGTGGAGCCCAGTCCAGATATCCCTCACCCATCAAGCGACCTACACCTCTGTTTCTCGCAACGTCACTAACCAGGAAGCCACCATTGCATACATGGCTGGAGCGACCAGGGTAGTTGGGTTTGATGTAGAAGCTGCCCAAGCATTGCTTGGACCAATCGATGCCCTCCTTCTCCATGTGCCAGACGTGGTCGACATTGGTCACATTGCCCAGCAGCATGACAGCACCAAAGTTTGCGAACCAGTAAGGGCCGAATGACTCGAGTGGAAGCTCATTGATCATAGGGTATGTATCGCCCTTGTCGATCTCGCGGTTGAGGAGAGCGCATAGGTAGTGCAGCAGTGTCTTGGGGACTTGGTCGGGAGAAGAAAAAGGCACGAGGGTGGCCGTGGTTGAACGATCGCGCAGAGTGACCTGGCGAGGGACGATGTTGGCAGGCAGCGGGGCATATGGAGTGGGATACGGCGCATCGCCAGACGTGCGGTAGATGGCGGGCGCCGTAGGGTCATCCAGCATTGCAGGCATCGTCACGTTGAACTACAAGGCTCTGCGTATCAGCCATGTTTGAAGCGCGAGTGCGGTACTTGTACATTCTTGTGCACAAGAGCAAGGAACGACCGACTCACAGTGTGGATAATACTGTAGGTCCGAGGTGCTCGAGTATGCTGGAGACCGTCGCTGGTCCCACATCTACACTGGCCCCGCTGACGAGTCCACGTGACCTGCCTCTACCATAACACCTGCACTTGCTGCTACTCTTCAACCTCTCACACACATCCTGACACGACAACAACCATGTCTGCATATGTACTGGTGATTTGCATTTTGAGCCTTCAAGTCTAACAGTGATAATAACCAGTTCCCAAAATGTCTTTCCATCGAAACTGAAAAGAATAAAAACAAAGACAAATAAACATCATTATGCTGCCCAATCCCCTGACCAGGCCTGCCTATGTGAGCATTTACTCGACATGGCCACTTGCTGTTTTACACAAACGCGCTATAAGAACGTCATGAATGCCATGATTGTTGACGCCCGAACTGCCGCCCAATCTATTATCTAACTTGATTCGCATACCCCATTTAGTACATGAAGTGGGCAAAGCGGCGCGCTGCTGCAGATGACGCTGCAGAGCTGCCATCCGAGGTAGCGGCGCCGTCTGTTGCACCAGCAACCGCGGTACCAGTCGTCTGACTGGTAGTGTCGTTGTTCTTCAGGTTGGTGGGCTGCATCAGGTTCATCGGAAGTGTCGTGATCGGCAGATCTCCAATGAACTTGCCAGCGACCATTGGTGCGACGATCAAGACGATGAACAGGATGAACAGCGTGAAGTACAGGATGGCGTAACGGATTGTACGACGTCTGCGAAGCTTCGACTGCTTGAGCGAGTAGATGGGAGGACGGATCTGGCGACTGTGAAGATTTGTTAGTAAAGACTTCAACTTCAAGAATCAAGAGAAACATACCTAGGACGAAGCCAGAAGAGCATGACCGAGTGGAAAGTATCAATGTAAGGGATCAAGAGAGGAGGAAGCATGAAGAACAACAGCAGGTGACCCAAGCAGAAGTCCGATGAGAAGTATCCCAACTCGGTAATCTTACACAGGAACTCACGACCTGGCTGAGAGAAGCCCATCCATCCCATGCCGTACCATTTACCAGTCCACCAAGCGACGTTGGATGAATCGGTTCTGAACTCACGAGTGAGAGTCAGAGCAATGATAAGCTTGTAGATGAAGCGCTGGATGGCGAGCGACGCGATCATGCCGATAAGCATCTTTGGGAAGCTCCATCCCTCGAGGAAGAACATAACTTCCCACATGACGATGAGCACGATGACGGCGATGGCGTGAGCGATGGCGGCCAGAACGGCACCGAATTTCTTGCAGCACATGCTGAAGATAGGTCCCATACAACAAGCCATCATGAAGAATACAGCCGAAACACCAGCATTGACTCCGATGGGAGCAAAGGCGACAATGGCGATACGAATGAGGGGATTGGTCGGCTTCAAATCTGCGTCACTGGCATCGGGGTTGATGGCGCGACTAGCTCCGGTTCCAGAGTTGATGTAAAGGTAGGGGATGAGAGTCACAGCAACAAGGAAGAGCGGACCAATGACCTCGGCGAAGAAAACGTTACCGAAGCGGGCACGAGAAGTATCGCCAGACAATTTGGCGGACGGCTCACCAAGCACCTTCTTCTTAAATCCGGTGATGCGGGTACGCGAGAGACGGACGAAACCAATCCACGATGCCGAATGACCCTTGGTGTTTCCACGAGACAACCATCTGAGGAACTCGCGATAGTCGATGAAGAAGTCGCCCCATGCGAACTGGTGAGGGTTGAATAGGAAGGGAGCGATACAGAGGGCGAGGAGAGATACCCAGAAGTAAAGAAGCCAGTATCCCCAGATGGTCAGAGTACCGAACAGCAACATGAGAAGCAGACGAATACCAAGGTAGATTGAAGGAGCAGCGAAACGCGAATAGAGAATACCGAAAGGCATACGAGCAGTGGCGAAACCACGGCCGGTACCAATGTAACGGGCACCACCATATGACAAGTTCTGCTGGAGAGCGTTGGTGTAAATCTGACAGACGAAGACTTCGAAGAGGGGAGAGAATGAGGAGAAGTGCTTAGCGAGACGGGTAGCTGCACGCCAGAATCCACGCTCGGTCAATTCCTGAACCGTAAGAGGGACGAAGGAGATGAAGAAGACGATGAAGATGGAAACACAGCAACGCTGGATCCAGTCAAGACAGGGGCGCAAGTTGGCACAACCCGTGGGCCACTGGGGATCGGTGATAGGAGTGTTTCTATTGTAACGGCAAATGATGGTTTCGTGTCTCAGGGCACCCAAGTTGATGATACAGAACATGAAGAGCTGCACCGACAACATGATGAAAGTGTTGTTGACGTGGAAACCAGCGTGAGCGTAGTAGAAAGACAAGAAGCGGTCCAGAGGAAGTTGAGTGCCGAGGTAGTAGTATTCACGAGAAAGCATCTGCTCGCCCATACCAGTACCAATCTTGGTGGTGAAGTTGAGAATGGAGCCGAAACCTAAATCACGACCCTTACCACACTGGTAGTATTCGCAGTGCTTAATTCTGCCACCACGAAGCTGAGCAGTCATACCGGCGTAAATATCCTCGTTCAGATGGAGACCCTTCTGAGCCTTGGACACACCACCGCGAGTAGTCATGAAGATACCGTTGAGGAAATCGGGATGACCATAATGGAGCTTACCACCGATTTCAGCAAGAGTACGAGCGAAGAGAGTACCGAACGTCTGTTCCTTTCCAGCAGCGACGTCACCGAGGATACCGATGTTCTCTGAGAAAATGTACTCGCGAGCACCGAGAATGGCAACAGGGTCGAACTTGGGAGTGGCGAGACCAGGAGTGTAAGGGGAGACGTTGTCGGTAGTCATTTCTTCGAACTCGGCAAGGACAGAACGAATCTTCAAACATTCCTCAAGGTAGTTGTCCTGGTTGGCGTCGATGAGCTGGATGTACTCACCACGGTAGAAGATGATGGAGTGGTTCTGGTTGTCGGACTTGCCGTCACCGAGAATGGGGTTACCAGAGAGCATGATACGGAACTTGGGCTTGCGGAGACCGTTCTCCATGATCTCAGAGTGACCATCAATCAGAGCAGAGTAGAGGCGAGGGTCTTCACCCTCGTTGGCCGGAGGTTCTTCGTCCAGGTAGGCAATTTGAAGGTCGGGGTAAGCACGGAGCAGGAACTCGGCGTTCTCGCGCTCTTCCTTGGTAAACTTGGCGTAACGTTGCATGGAGACGCAAATCTTGAACTTGCGGCGAGCCATGCGCTCCAATTCTCTCTCGAGCTTATCAGAGTTGCCGCCGAACATTTGAACAACCTCAGGGTTCTCAACACGGTACAGGAGCTTGATAGCACGACTGTAGTTCATGAAACCAGAGATGGTACGGTAGAGGGTCTGAGAACGGAGCGATGCCCAGATGCGGGTACGGAGAGTGTACTCGGGAGCAGCAGACTTGAAACCAATGCAGTAGAAGGGAAGATCGTCGATCTTGGCCTTTGCAGTGTCCTTCTCGGTCTTCTCGTACTCGCCGTTGAATTGGGAAGTCTCGTCAGCCAGAATCTTGGTGTCCTTAACAAAGCAGTCCCACTCGTGGGGGTGGAGCTGCTTGAGGTACTCCAGCATGGTGACACGAGAGTAAGGGTCGTCCTCACGAATGATCTCACGAAGAGAGAGAAGAATCTTCTCACCGTAGTGGGGAATCATGACGGAGAAAGTGGGCATGTTGTCGACGGGGACGGGCTCGGGGATAGGAGTGGACAAAGACTGGGCGAAGAAAGAGATACGACGCTCAGCCTCACTCTGGCTGGGGAAGAACTCGGTCTTGAAGGAGTGGTCTTCCTGAGAAACGAAGAAAGTAGGTGCTCTGAGAGTACGCTTGCCCTCTTGCTCAGAAGGAACCTGGTGGTAGAGGAGCTTCTGGACGTGGTCGATAGCGAGCAAATGCTCACGGTACATCGAAATGATGATGGCGTTCCAGATCTGCGAGATCAAGACTTTTGGCTTGTACTTAATCTCCATGTCGGTGGTTGCAAGGACTTTGGAGTAGATACGCTTAGGCAGGCGCGAGAAGATGTTTCTCCAGGGAGTCCAGATGGACACACCGAGGTAGAACGAGCGAGCAACCGAGTACACAGTGTTCAGAATAATGTACCACAGATATGTGTCCAAGAAGAACAGAATCAGATCGGTGATGTACATCAGAACGAGAGTGACCGTGGCCTGGTGGTAGCAAAGTACGTCACCAACATACACGATACCAATGCAGTACTTGATCTTGAGGGTCGACAAGATACGGATGGGGTCACGAAGCGACAGAGTAAGGTAGAAGTAAGACTCTGCGAGCTTGGCACCGAAGACCATGATCCAAAGACCATAGGACATCCACATAGCATTGCCCTTGAGGTGAGGCCAGCTGGCAGTGAATGTCTGACTGGCAACGTAGCGACGAGACTTGCCAGTGAGATAGCTGCCGAAGAGACCACCCAGAGGCATGATCGAGAAGAAGAAGAAAGTGATCAACGCGATCAGGAATTGCACGATACCAAGGATCAGCGCAATCTTGCCCTCACGCTTCACGCCAAAGATGTAAACAGAGGGTGCAACGTTGATGACAAGGACAAGGAGGAGGAACATAAGACGCTTGGTCAAGTGCTGAGCACCTGCCCATCTTCTCGGGACATAGGACCATTCGGCGAGCGTGGCGAAAACCATGATAAGGGATGCGACAGTACCACCGAGAGCGACAGCAGAGAAGTGAGCAGGAGTGGTAGGAGAGTTGTTGCGCTGCTGCTCGTAGTTCTTAGTGTAGAGCGTAGGCGAGTTGAAGGCAGTGTAGAACCAGTAAGCAGTAACGTGAATTACCCAGATACGGTTGAAATTGACCAAGTTGTGGAACCATGATCTAGTCTCCTTGAAAGTCTTAAAGAAGCACTTCTTCCAGATGACGTCCTGAAGTCTCTCGTAACGTTCAGCAGGAGGGAGATCGACCAGACGGGACTTGTCCTCGAAAACGATGCGCTCGATACCCTCGGGGTACCAGAAGAGCTGGTTCATATCATCGTAACCGATGATCCTGTTGTGGTCACGCTCTCTGCGAACGTATTTGCCATCAAAGATCTCGTAACCCTGGTCTCTGCAGTAGTTGTACAGAGGAGTGATTACGTTGTTGAGGTAAGTGAATTCCTCAACGGGCTCAACCTTGTTCTGGCAAGCGGGAGAGTGGAAGTAATCATCTGCGCACTTGAAGATGAAACACATCAACTCGGGCATGAAACGGACCTGATTGGCTTCACCCCAACAGAGAAGGTAAAGAGCAATCTGTCTGACACGGTCGTGCTGAGACATCTTGTTCATACGCGACTTCCAGCGGTACTCAGCAGCCTCAAGACTGTTGTCGCCCTCGAGACTTGAAAGTGTAGCCTCCTCGTTCTCAGAATCCTGAGCCTTCTTCTTGGCGGCCTTGCGGGCCTTGCGTGTACGACGGCTGGCCTTTCCGAGGTTCATGTTGGCGAAACCGACCGCATCGTCGAGATCAAGATGAGCAGCAAAGTACCAACGGCGGTAGTTGGCGTTGTCACCACCGATGTAATCGGCGTGCAGGGAAAGAAGGGCTTGGTTGGGCGACATACGAGAAGCACGCGAGTCGAGCAGAGTCATGAAGTGGTCGAACATGTTTCTCATGCTGTCACGCTGGAAACCGAACTTGGCTGTGAGGTCCAGGAAGATGTCCTCAATCTCCTCCTTGGAGAGGGGGATCTGAGCATCAGAGGTCCATGCAGGGTAAGGCTCTCTCGAGCGCTGTCCAGCAGGAAGAGCGTTGGTGTAGTCCATGCCGTAAACAGGAGTCGAGGCACCCGAGGAGCGGTTGCCGCCGTACGAAACCTGAGATGATGGGGGGCGGAAGCCGGCACGGCCTCCCTGTTCACCGTTGTAGCTGTTGTAGCGCTCGTCACCACGACCATAGTAGTCCATCTCGGCAGCGCGGGCCATGTCAGATCTCATGGTGAAATCGCTGAAGGTCTCAGAGTCTTCCTCGGAGTGACCTCTTGGCTGACGGGCCCCTTGCTGGCCTGCAGCGTGACCTTGATCGTAGTATTGGTCGTTGTAGTACTCGTCCTGGTAGCCATTGTGGCCAGCGTCGTAGTAGCCATCCTGGCCCTGTTGACCATGGTAAGGGCCGGCGTGCTCGCCCTGGGCGTATTGACCGGTACTAGAGGATGCCAGTTAGCGATTGCACACAAGGTATGCTTGTAGAATTGACGTACCCTTCGTCATAGTAGCTATCTTGGCCATTGCCATAACCTTGGTTGTTGTGGTCGTAATAGGCCTGGTTCTGGTCGTCTTGGTAGTAACCATCATTGCCGTGGCCGTAGCCATCGTCGGCATAGTGGCCACCGCCCTGTTGAGGGTGCGCCATGCTGGAGTCAATTACAAGAAATTACTTATGGCGAGTCAGAAATTGGTCCCGTTAGTGGTTTGCTGTGATGGGAGCTCACCTCAAAGCAATGACATTCGCCGTAAAACAAGAGATGGGCTGATGTTGTGAATATGTCCAAAAAGGCTGGGTCGTTGTTCAGAGATACAGCGAGTGTAATAGTCCGGAGATTGGACTGATGCAGATGCAGCAACAGCTATGCCTTGGTGGCAAAGGCGATGTTGATGTTGTTTTCGGACCGGAGGTGGAGGTCGAAAAGTGGCCGCAGTTGTTGCTGTGAGAACGCGCGGCCGCAGACTCGGCAGGTGTGTGGAGATGCAAGAAATAGACTTCTCAGTCAATGCGGGATTGCAGCTGTCAAGCAACCTCTGTTCAATCCGACACCTTGGATGAGGGTGACGGCGATGGAGGAGGAAAGGGAGACAGATGTGCAGCCGGGAGAGGAACACAAAAGAGAACGAATGATGTTTGCACGAAAGCAAAAAGACGCTGGAACAGAAGGCGCGCACGAGGCAGGGGCGGGAAAGGGGGGCTTTCGGTTGATCGTAGTCTGCTGTTTCAACGGCTTGGAGGCGAAAAGCCGCACCAACGCGATTCGACCGAGAGCACTTGGCCAGGAGCACCAACAACAGAGCAGCACCAAGAATCAAGCGGTCCCAGCAGAACCCAGCGGCCGGATCCCGGGCACAGAGAGCACACCGGTGACCGCAGGCACAACGCCAACACAAGTCTCTCCCTGATCCCAAAACAACGCTCGGACCAGCTTTTACTCTAGCTCAAAGCATTCGCGGCAGGCCGAGTCGCGCTATCACGCCCCAGCCAACTTTCATCTCGCGCCGCAGTCCCGCACACCAGCCTCCCATTCGCTCGTCGTATCACTTCAAACATGCATCCTGCCATTCCTGAGACTGCCTTCTGTGAAATCATTTCCGCCGCGGGCCCACCAATCGTCGATTTGTTCTGAGAACCATGGTCCTTCCATAGGGGCTTCCATCTCGCCGGCTTGAGCAGGGCACAAACTCCGTCCTTGACATCAACACAATTCGGGCTCGACGATCGCTTTCAAACTACCGGACCGCATCGCTTGCACAGCCCTGTGCTGCTTTGCTCGTCTGGTTTCGTGGCCGACCCGCCAGACTGGATGGTTGATTTATTGGCGGCTGTAAGCAAATAATCAGACATTTTAACACGATCGCTTCGTAGCACAACTCGAGTACGGCAGACGAATCTCTGGATGTGCTTGCTAACCTTCCAGTGCTATTTTCGGCTTTGTCATTCATGCGCCTCACACCTCATGCGGGTGCTTGTTGAACGGCTGGCTGCTGGTCGTCAGATATGCTTGAATGGTGCTTTGACGGTGGCTTGCACTCGAAATCGTCATTAAACTTTTGTCATGCCGAGAGTGCTTCAAACCGAAAGCTCCGTTGTAAAGAGATCGACTACAGCCTGTGAGTACTCCGTACAGATATTTCACAATCGATTGGCCACGAGATTGTGCTCATGCCGCGTGTCCGTATGTCGGAAGGAGGTCTACATACGAGTACGGTAGTGCTTGTACAATATCGTGTACTATTTCTAGCTACATGCCGCGACTCTGGATATGACAACGTAACGCCATATCTAAATCCTTCCAGAAGGAGTCTGCGATATCAAAGACAATGCTGTTTGAGGATAGAGTCTCGGATGCTCGATGCCATGACCTGTGTGATAATTTTCCACCAGCAATCTCCTCTCTCATCATCCTCAATTCTGAAACGCACGCTCAAACATGACATAAGTCATGTGTAGAATTGCGCCGGCGACAAGATCTGGACATTTAGAGACTGACGTAGCAGAGGTCGGAGCGAGTTTGAATGTCTTGAGAGGGGTCGACATGCATCTACAGACTGCGAGCAGACATGGGCTCTGGGTCCGGCTGCTGCAAATACCCAGCTACGGAGTTGCTACCTTTGAAAATGTCTCCTCTGGCATGAGCAGAACATTCGCAGATCCCCCAACGACCCCCAGTGATCGTGACGACATGAAGTGTTTTACGGAGACGATGACACAAACGTTGAGAAGCTGTTCAAGGAGATAAAGGTCGATTCTATCCGAAGAACGCAGGTTCGGCGACGCAAGACAGCATTTTCTTGACAAGAAATCAACAGAGCAAAGGCGACTGTTTACAAAGTCGGCGGTTTGTTGACCGAGCTAAGAGTGATACGCAGCAGCCGTTGAGACATGCAAAGCTTGGTCCGGCTGCTCGGAATGGGGTTTCGTAGAGGACGTGCAAGGGCAACAAGGAGGAAGCAGTCGACTCGAGAGGTGTTGCGCCACTGATGCATGCGTTTTCGATAGATGATTCCCCATGGTCGACGGTGGACATTGCAGGCACGATTAAAGAGATTGCGGGCTTGAACGGTGGCACATAAAGAGACAGAGACTTGACATGTGGACGAAGCAGCAGAAGCAATGGAAAGCTCCTGCGCAGACAAGGCCAAGCTCTGGGCAGGGGACTATGGAAAGTGAGAAATAAAATAGGACGGTCAATATTCCAGACAATCGTGCGGGCTCGTGTTGTTGTGGCGAAGTAGCTCCTCGGGGAGATGAAGATCTGATGGGCCAGGGGAGGTGCGCTTGCGCGGCCACCTATCTTATGTAAGGCGCTTGCCTGTCGCCACGGTGCGCAACATCTACCGGCTAGCGACCCTTCTTGTTTGTCCATCTTCTCCTTGTGCTATCCTGGCTATTATTTCTCTGTCCTGTGACGATTACTTCCTATCGACTTTCGTTCACTCATTGTCCACCACTTTGCAGTCTTACTTAACCGCTCGTTCGAAGCTTTTTTTCCTGCGTCTCGCACCTTCCGCTTCAGCCCCTGATTACCTGTCACAGGCGGCTGCTTGAACCACCACACAGCTAAACAAGCATCTACATTTCACTATGAAGGGTTTCGGTGTTGCTACAGCCATCGCGGCTGCGAGCATGCTCGTCTCCAAGGTCGCTGCCGATGTCGACCCTATTGTCATCAAGGGCTCCAAGTTCTTCTACAAGACCAATGGCACCCAATTCTTCATGCGCGGTGTCGCATACCAAGAGGATGTGTCCAACAGCACCGACTCCTCTTACACCGACCCTCTGGCCGACGCATCCGTCTGCTCGCGCGATATTCCTTACCTCACTGCTCTGCGCACAAACACTATCCGTGTCTACGCCATTGACCCCACCAAGAACCACGACGACTGCATGAATATGCTCGCAGATGCTGGCATCTACGTCGTGTCTGATCTTTCCGCCCCCGATCAGTCCATCAACCGTAACGACCCTGCCTGGAACGACAACCTGTACGAGCGTTACGTCTCGGTCGTCGATGCTCTTGCTCCCTACTCCAACACCCTCGGTTTCTTCGCCGGTAACGAGGTCTCCAACTCCAAGAACACCACCGAGGCCAGCGCCTTCGTCAAGGCTGCTGTCCGTGACACCAAGGCCTACATCAAGAGCAAGAACTACAGACCCATGGGTGTCGGTTACGCTACCTCGGACGACTCGGATATCCGTGTCAACATGGCCGACTACTTCGACTGCAGCTCTGACAGCGCTCTCAACATTGACTTCTGGGGATACAACGTCTACTCTTGGTGCGACCCTTCCACCTACCAGACCTCTGGTTACGCTGCTCGTACTGAAGAGTTCTCGACCTACAACGTTCCCGTCTTCTTCGCCGAGTACGGCTGCAATGCTCACCGTCCTCGTACCTGGGGTGAGGTTGCTGCTCTCTACGGTGATAACATGACCGAAGTCTGGTCTGGTGGTATCGTCTACATGTACTTCGAGACCGAGAACGAGTACGGTCTCGTCTCTGTCACCAACAACCAGGTCAGCACACTTGGAGATTACTCCAACCTCTCCAAGGCCATGGCCACCGTCTCCCCATCGGGCGTCAACAGTGCATCTTACTCCCCCACCAACACCATCGCCTCTTGTCCTGCAACCGGTACCGCCTGGGCCGCCGTTGCCAGTCCTCTACCCCGACCGCCCAACAAGGAACTCTGCCAGTGCATGTTCAACTCTTTGAGCTGCACCGTCAAGGGAAGCGTCGATGCTGAGAACTACGGCGACATGTTCGGCTATGTCTGTGGTGCTGACCCCGGTGCTTGCGCCGGTATCCAACACGTAGGTTATTCAAGTCCTATCCCATAGATCAAAACTGACACCTCTACAGAATGCTACCACTGGCACTTACGGTGCTTACAGCATGTGCAACTCCACCGAGCAGCTTGGTTTCGTCCTTGACCAGTACTACTCTGCCCAACCTTCTGCCCAGCGCGCCAGCGCCTGTGGCTTCAGTGGTTCCGCTACTCTCAAGTCTGGAGTTAAGCCTACTGGTGTCTGCTCTTCCCTCATGGCCCAGGCCGGTGTCTCTGGTAAGGGAACTGTCACTGCCTCTCCCACCACCGGCTCTGGTGCCGGTGCTACTGGTGGATCTGGTTCCGGTGGTTCTAGCAGCAAGGCATCTGGCTCCGGCTCCAAGGGTGCTGCTGCTGCCATGTCTGTTCAGTCCGTCCAGGTCGGTCCTTACACCGTTGGACTTTCTGCTTTCATTGCCATCTTCTCTGGCGCTGCTGCCCTTCTTCTGTAAACGCCTTGACTCTATCATGCATTGCTGGTCTGTGGATTTGATGGTTCAGAATAAACAAAGGCTCCGCCGCAGAACATTGGTGGACATGTTGGATCGGCTATCAATGCGTTTTTCATGTTTCTAGTATCAAAGACGTACGCGTCCCTGTTCTATTTCATACTTCATTCGGTTTCACCTTGATTAGGCGTGCGAATAATACGGCTCCCTCTTCTGACCTTACAAAATCGCCCTCATCACGTGTCAGCAACAGGTCCCATCGCATTGCACCATTTCGTCAACTCCTTACTGATCCGGATCGCTCTATGGATCCATACTAATACTGTGCCACAGGTCTAAGTCTCTTATATCTCCTTTGCCTCACGGCTGGCCACTCATACATAGGCAACTTCCCCATTCATATCCGTTCCAGTCCCACAGGCATGACCTGAATCAGGTAAGTATGCTCTGTGGCATGTGAGTGACGCAGTCTCCAAGCTCTGGTCAGATCAGTATGCAGGGCAGGGATGGTGGTGCATTCCTCATCATCTTGGCCCATCAAACTATAGGTATGTTTTTCATTCCTCGACTTTGCTTGGTCAATCGCGTGCACAATGTCTTGCGCGCGGATCGCTCTCTTCCTTTATCTTAGTCGTTCCTTTCAACTCGTTACCTGGTTGTGGTACCACATTCGCTTCAATATACTTCTTCATCTCGCTGTCCAGCCTCTAGAGGCAGACACAAGATGATTCCCCGTCAATTCCTCTCAATCGCTTCCGCGTTGTCCTTTTTCTCGCAGACGTGTCGTGCTCAGACTATTACTCTCACAACTCACGTCAGTGCCTGTAGCGCAACTTACACATCTGGAACGTCCACTACTGTTATTCAGTCGACTGTGACTGTTCAGCCTACACCATGGACTGATGCAGCCGCCAATGGTGGTGCGCCGTTTGTGATTCGACTGCAGCAAGTCGACGTATCTGGTTATCCGGACCAAGATACTGCTCCGTACTGGCTGACGGCCAACGGAAATACGACTACCAACTCATCGCTTGCAGCAGTCTCCACCATCAACGAAGGCCGACTTGCTACTCTGAACGGCAGTCATGTCGCGACGAACTTCAATGTGGTTGATCAAGCGTTTAGCACTACCGACTATGACCTGCCGATCAACACAACCTTCTCCGTCAACAACAGAATGCTGAACTGGACCAACCCGTTGTTCTCCAACGGCACAGCCCAATTCTACAAGCTACCTCCGGGTCTGCTCGATAATGCTTTGATTCTTGCCAAATTTCTCGGTCCTATGGAAGCACAGAGAAGCTGGAGTCCAGTGATACTCTATGTTGAGCCTTTGGTCAACAATGGCGCTGGGGTCGTATCGTCTTCTACTTCTTCTGGTGCTTCTGGCGCTGCCTTGAGTACTGTGTCTGGTTCTCTGCCAAGTGGTAGAAGCTCTTCAGTCGCCTCGGGCTCGGGCTCGGCAGCTTCATCATCTGCTGCAGCTGTTGGCTCCTCGATTGCATCACAGTTGTCATCTCAGTTATCCTCCGTGTCATCTTCAGCCTCATCGGTCTCCTCGTTGGCCTCGGTTTCTTCCGCACTGGCTTCTGTACTGTCTTCTGGAGTAATGTCTGCTCCCTCCATGATGGAGTCGATGGCATCATCATCATCAGCCGCTTCCATCCTGTCTTCGATTGCTGCTGGCGTCTCCTCTCCTCTTGCAGGAGCATCTAGCTCTGCCGCTGGTAGTTATAGTTCCATCAGCACCAGTTTGGCATCAGTTAGTGGAATTGGCCCTGTCATTGTCCCCAGTTCGAGCACATCGAGTGCTGCCGCTTCCACGAGCAGTGTACCTCCTCAGACGACGTATTCGTGCCCTGTCAACAACAATGAGATGGTCGAGTCCAACATGGGTGGCATGTACCAACTGGGTTGTAACGAGGGTCTGTCTGGAGCGGATACCCAACGCGCTGGGTCCGCGACTAATCTCAATGACTGTATGACAACCTGCGACCAGACCGATGGATGCACAGCATGGACGTTCGACGGCACTAACAACTGTTACATATCAACCGGAACCTCTTCCTCTGGTATCACCTTTCAACCTTCTTCTACCCAAGGTACAGTTTCTGGTATCAGAAACGTACCAGCTCGCCCTGGTGGCGTTGCAAATGCCTCATCAAGTTCCTTGTCAAGCGCCTCGATGGTTCCCTCTGCTCTTTTATCCACGTCCTCGGGTACTCCTGTGGTGTCCTCTGCCATTTCGTCTGCGGTTCAGTCTGTTTCCTCCGCTAGCCAACTTTCATCCTCGGCTCCGAATGCGGCATACTCACCGTCAGTTGCCGGAACTTCCTCATCCGCGGCGCCAGTCCTGTCTTCTGCAGGTTCTAGCTCGTCGTCTCTTGTAGCTTCAAGCAGAACTCCTATTGGATCGTTGAGCACTTCATCCGCCGCTGGCTCTACTACCGCACCACCTGTGTTTTCCACTCAGCCCGTGTCGGCTGCGACATCCGCCAACTCCATCTCATCTGCCCCATCCGCTGTCGTATCGCAGACCACATACTCGTGTCCATCAGTCGACAATCAAACGGTTGCTGACGGCAATGGTGCTACCTACCAAATCAAGTGTGGCTCAGACACAACTCTAGGTGGAACTTTGAGTGGCGCTTCTCCAGACTTCAATGGCTGTATGACCCAGTGCGATGCTGTTTACGGTTGCGGTGGTTGGGTCTATACTGGAAGTTGCTACCTTAAGATGCCTGGCTCCAACGGAGGACTCACTTTCCAGCCTGCTGCTGATGCGAACTACGTTGCTGGTATCAGAAACGGACTAGCTTATGGCAGTGGTCCATCTACCACGACCTCGACAGTTACCGCCACACCCACCGGCGGTCCTCCTACATGTCCATCTATGAACGGTACGACCATCACGGATGACAGAGGTGCGGTTTATTCTATCCTCTGCGCTCGTGACGGCCAGGGGTTCCTCATTACTACGACACAGGTCAACGGGAATGGCATCAACGGGTGTTTTGCTGCTTGTGACAGTACTCCTGGTTGTGAAGCCTTTACTTTTTCAGGTGATAGCACAATGACTGGAGGAACATGTTACCTCAAGGAGGAAGCTGGCGATCAGAGTGATACTTCAATCGCAGACACCATCGCTCAGGCAATTCTTGTCTCTGCTGCCACTATTTCCGCATCCGCTTCTTCGTCTACTTCTGTCACCGCTGCCTTCTCTTCTGCACCTACTGCCTCGAGCAGCGCTGGTGCCGGATCTGGAACGTCGACTGGGGGTGGTAGCGCCGCCTCATCTTCAGCTGCATGTTCTCCCCCTCCTCTTCCCTCTAGTGCCGGCAGCCCTACAGTCGTCAATCCCGATGGCTCGACATCCACTTACAACGGTCTTCTTGCCAGCCCGACTCGTTGCGATTTTGGAGATCCGATAGACACCGAAGAGGATGACTCGTATTGTGAGATCGACCTCCCCTTCAACATGCAAATCTATGGAGGATCCTCAACTCAAACTTTCGCATCTACCAATGGCGTACGTGATTTTCTGACATACCCTGTTCTCAAGACTTGCTGACTTTTGACTTTAGCTACTTACTCTAATCGACGGAACCGTTAGCTATGATAATGGACCTGGCCTCCCTAATCCATACATTCCTTTGTATGCCGCAGCACCCTTTTTCGACGACCTGATCAAGATGGCCAACAACCTCGATCAGGGTATCTTCTACGAGACCACATCCACCACCGTGACTTACGAGTATCGTCTTGGTCGTGGTGGCACTTACGAGTCTTACCACTTCACAGTCAGCTACGACAGTACCAACCCTGGTGTCTTTGTCTATAGATACTACGAAGTCGGTCAGGATCAAGGATCGGCTTCCGCCAACATCGGTATCCAAGGATCGACTGATGGAAGCACGCAAATTGCAGTCAACTTCTCCAACCAGCGTGCTGGTGCGGTTGTGGTGAACTCGACGTTGACTTGCGACACTGCCACCACACCGGCCACTTGTGTCCTTCTTTGTGCTTAGGGTGTTCCTGAGAGTAAAACTTGAATGGAGGTCAGTGAACATCATGGTGGATAGTTTGGCAAGGGAAAGGAAGAGAGGTTGGGCATAGCCAGGATGTGTGTGTGTGTGTGTGTGCGTTTCTCCTTTCCCAGATCTCTTGTTCTTCTGCTTCTTTCTATCAACTTGCAACCATAAGTATTAGTCATGTATTCTCAAATCGAATCGAATGATCATTCATGAGCAAGTCTCAGTGCGCTCTTTCTTTCGGCCACTTGAGGATATGCCAAGACATTTTCGAGCGTCCGCGCACTGACAGGGTCGGACCTCAAGCATACAATATTGCAACCTCGACAGCTAATGATCAATATTCTAGTCCAAGTCCATCGTTTTATGCGGCTACGGCTATATGAGCAATCGAGTAATGGTATTGCGGTGCTATATGTGTAGCTTAGTAGCGAATTAATGCTTCGGTAGCGACTTATACTCGATTTTCGACATTGAGTATCGTTTTTCGAAACAGGCCCTGACAAAACGTACAGTATCACGTTGTCGTTCATTATAAACAAGAAGATGCTATAAAATATCGAGTCAACCCAGCATACACCGAAGTGTCGATACACGACGGCGTTGGTCAGCCTATATAGTCCTCACAATACATAAAGAAAGACGATCGAGTCATGTTTGGCCACGATGCGGTAACAGAGGGCATAAGGTCAGGGTGACACACTGTAACCAAAGGCCTTCGGTCGCGCAGAATCTGACAATCAGCCGGAGCTCGGGTCAAAGCACTCCGCGAGATTCCCAGCCACCTCATCTCTTCTCCCAACACGTCCGTCCTCAATTCTTCCACCGAACGTCGAATCCTGAGGCGCAGTGCGATGAATGACAAAACTCTACCATGACAGGCAAACATAGCACGTCCTCTACCTCATCTCATTCGTCCAAATACACCGGTCGATCCTCCGAGAAGCCTTTGCACTACACTAGAGCACCTCCCCTGATCCATATAGAAAAGCCACCTGTTCGGTCTCGGTTGACTACCAAGCCATCTGGTTTATCGTCAACCAGAGTTCCTCCAAAATCACCAATGGATTCGGCTTCATTCGGATGTCGAGTAAGCATCTAAGACAATCAATAGAGCTTGGAGTCAAGCCACACAACGGCCTGGTCCTTTTGCTCTGTGCACTGTCACAACGGTTCGATCACATCCCTGTTTTCGGATCTTGCTGACGACCGTGAGGATGTAGATGGCTTCTTGGTATGTGGCTTGGACTATTGTGTCGGCCGGAAGACCTGCTCGGTTTTTGGCATACTTCGAGATGTTTGAGCTCAAAGGTCTGTGAGGCCCTTCTCGCCTGCAAGTAAGGGTCTTGCTGTTGAGCCTCACCTCAAGATTACACAGAGGACCATTTTACGCACTGCTTTGATGGTCTTGTATTGTTGTTGATCTGTATGTTGATGACGGATGACTCTGACGACACAGCAACAGATACGCAATGCGAAACTCAAACATAAAAAAAGATTATGATCAAGCATCTTTTCATGAATCGACCAGGTAAGCGTTCTAGAAGAATTCCGACAACCACCCCGCCGATCTTTCGGCCGGTAGACGAACTAGAGCGTTGACAATGTGAGACCCGATCCATCTACCACGAGGGTCGAGATCTTCACGAAGTTCGGTATAACAGATCCTGCTGTGGTGGTTCGAGTATATATGTGCCGTTGATGTACCTTCTGTTCTGTTCTATCATCAAGCAACTTAACATTCATTCGCTCTATCAATCACACTCTCTTTCCAAAAGCTCAAGGCTTCAGTCACTCTCTATACCAAATCATCACTGACCTCTCTACCAACTACCACCACACTCTCTTCCAACAACAACTACACGATACAAACTTGCCACATTACACACAATGCGTTTCCAACTCTTCGCCCTGCCTGTCCTGGCAGCCATCGCAGAAGCCGCAGCCATCTCCAGCAAACCCAGCAGCGTCTGCACAACCTGTCCCGTCACCATCCAAAACACCGATGCAGCCATTGCTTCCATCCTCTCCCAAATGTCTGCACAAAGCCCCAAGGCTGTGCTGACCACCACCTCCATTACCGGCTCTCCTGTCGCTGCCACTGCAGTTGCCAAGATGAGCACTTCCACTGCTGCTTCCTCATCAGTGAGACCCACTGCTTCTTCCACTGCAAAGGCCACCAGCACAAGCAGCAAGAAGCGCCAACGTCGTGCTGCAAGCACAGCCTCTTCCTCCGTTGCTGCCTCCGCAACCTCAAACACAGCACAATGTTCCCCAATGCCCAACTTCGGCTACACCTACACACCCACCAACCCCGCCCCCTCCGCCTTCCTCAAAGACTCCACTCTCCGCTCCCAATACATGTCCGCCTCCGTGCCCGCCAACTACACCTGGCGCTTCGCAGGCTTCTACGCTTCAGTCTCTCAAGCCGGCTACCTCTTCTACACTGAACTTTCCTCCTACAACCCTGCTCAATGCGCTGCAATCTGCGATGCAAATGCAAACTGCAAGGGCTTCAACATTTACTTTGAGAGAACTCCCAAGCTGGTGCCTGCAGAGGGCTGTATGAGTCCTGCTCCGCAGGTGGATGTCAAGTGTGCTTTTTACTCGACTGTGGTGTCGGAGGCCAATGCTGTTAATGTGGGTAGTTGGAGGGCTGGGTTCAATGTTGTTATTACGGGCGGAAATGGCTATTCCAAGATGTAAAAGAGGGGAATAGGTGGCGAGGATGATTTTTGCGCTTTGTTTGAATACCCTGTCTTTTGTAGGTCTCTTAGTCTTTTGCATGATTGAATGAATTTATCTTCCTCTCTTCTACATCACTCCAGACTCTCTAACATATGCTCTTGATTGACTTGTTGAGATAATAAAACGCACAGAAAACGAACTTCTAGAATGCTACAATAATTTTTTCTGAAACGAAAAAAGCGTTTTTGTATCTCGGCTGATGCTTGAGACGCAAGATGCTCAAGCATAATATCTAGGCTCATCAAAGACGTGGTATCTGTGACCTCTGACACCCTCGCCCCTGAACAAAGCAGGGAAGCGCAGGCCCTCAGGTACTTGATCCTCAGAGATTTGCTCATTACCGCCTTCAGGCTGGCCAACGACGAACTTGCCGACCTGTGAATCACAGTTAGTATATATCTTAGAGATGTCAAGAAGGGCAAAGACAAATCTTACCTGGAGTTCAGTATCAGTAATGGTACCTCTGGAAACTCTGGCATATCCAGATCTTCTCAAGCCCTTGTACAAAATGTACTCGCACCATCTGTCCCAATCATCGCTGGGGTCAATATCTTTCATGCCACTGCGCTCAGAAACATAGGTGTTGTAATTGCCCTGGCCAGTCTTGGTAACAAGGTAGGAGAGCAGGATAGAAGGACGAGGGGTCGAACCCATAAGATCAGCCAGATACTCAGACTGCAGGCGTCTGTCCTCGGGATCTTCTTCTTGTCCAGAGTGGAAGACAAAGACATCGATCATCTCGCCGTAGGCGTCGAGAGTAGCGTGAATAGCAGGGGCAAGCTCACCAACGGGCGAAGGAAGCAAGTGATGAGTGGAGTTTACGATCGGGAACTTGGAGAGCAGAGCGCAGCCCCAGGTGTGCTTGTTGGGGCCCGGACCGTAATCTACATACATACCAAGCTCCTCAGCGAGGTATTGAGTGGAATCGCGGTTACCCATGATGATACGCTGGGTATCTGATTCGAGCAAGCCCAAGACATCGAGCTCCATCTCTTTGACAAGAGCTCCAATACGACGCTCCGATGTCCACATGGGGTTGTCAAGACCGAAGTGCGTTGTCCAGATACCAGCTGTAACACTCTTCTCCGGTGCGTGATAGGGAGTGTAATCGTAGGTAGGGAAGCGAAGGTACGAGATAGAGGCACCGAGAAGCTGAAGGCCAATTAGAATGTAGATATAGTGGGAACGTTGCTTGCGAGCGTATGGGTTGGCAGGGGCAGACTTGGAGCGCTTAGTCTCGGAAGCGGTAACAGAAAAGACTCCGCAGCCGATGAAAAGCATCATGGCTGTCATGACCCAGTCGGTATGCTCGCGCATAAGAGGACCACCGGGTACGAAAGCGTATGCAACGACCCAGACGTGAGCGAGCACCAAAATGTTGTAGAACATGAAGCCAAGGAAGAAGGTGCGACCGGGTGGGTAGCGGGCAGCGTTGCCGATCAAGGCAGGAGCAGCAGCCATCAGGTAAGTTGCAAGAGCCAAACCACCGTAGAAGCCTGACCAGTGGGAGAAGGCAGTGAGGAAAGCAGCACCAAGGGAACCAATGCCATAGAAAGTCCAGCTGCGGGCAAAGGTAGGGTAGTAAAGCCCAATGAGCAGACCGAGGCCCATGGCAAGGAAGGTGTAGTTACCGTGGGGTACAGCGATGGGACCACGGATAGGGAAACCTTCCCAAACCCACGATATCATGGTACTTGAATCTGAAAGAAGAGAGTGCATTCCGAACATCAGACCGGCGAAACCAAGAGCAGCAGGGAAAGAGGAACCGGTGACAGCCTTGTAGCCAGGCACATCACCACGAGGGTCAAGCGGCTTACGAGTGACTCTCAGGATGGCGACAATGGCAAGGATGAGGCCAGTGTAGTTCCAGCCACCGTTCTCGGCATGAACAGCAGGCCAGATTGGATTATTGGTTTGGCAAGCATACTTTGCAACACTCGAAGTAAGCAGACCAAGGGAAAAGGCCGAGATGCGAGCTTCAAGACGTGCAGGCTGAGCACGCTCCGACCACCAGGTAGCAGACCATGCGAGGGCAGACATTGAGATGGAGAATCCAACAGCGAACAGACGGTACTCGGGCTTAGGGATCAAGAATGCCACGAGACCTGAGAGCGAGAGGAAGTGGACAACGCGGATGTTGTGGACAACGAGTCTGCGGAACGAAGTAATGCCCAGTAAGAAGGGAGAGATGGGGGCCATGACGAAGGCTTCATAGCCAGAGATACCCATGTGCCAGAGAGGGAAGTACCAAATCAACAAGCCCAAGCCAGTCAAAACGGACCAGAAGGTGAAGCCAAGATAGACATCCGCCAAGGCATCGAACATGTCGCCCTTGGAGTAGGTAGTAGCAAAGATCTGGCCAACGGGCTTGTCCTTCTCAGTCTCGGCAAGCTTGTCGGCGACTCTTTGGTTGGAGCTGTTCGAGGACTTGGTTAGCGACTCCATACTGGGCAAGCCTTGTGGTTGCAGCATACCACTATTTGGGAAGCCAGTTGACATACCCTTTGCTGGTTCCCTTGGTGTCCTTGACGACCAGCTCGAGGCTGCTGAAGTCGAGTGCAGTGACAGCGTCGAAGGCGACATCGAGGAGGACGAGGGCCCACTCGAAGAAAGCATATATGGTGTATGCGCCGGGCACCTTGTGGACCTTGTGCTGGATGAAGAAGTAGACCAGAGGCACAAGGGTGGCGAAGAAGGCTCCACCGAAGACCTTGCGGTAGTAGATGGCCTTGGGGTTGTTGGGGCTCAAGGCAATGCAGCCAATGGTCCAGGGTAGAGTTGCGACCAGGTACGAGATCATGAAGATGTCGTGCCAGTCATGGTCGTCGGTCGACGTGACATAGGTCCAGCCTCCGCAGGTAAAGGTTCTGAAGATACCAACACCCAGAATGAACTTGGGGAGAGTCTGGTTGGGTCTCGATGTCAAGATGTACCACAATGCGACGAGCAGGAAACGAGGACCTGGACAATTGTTCAGACAAGGCTCTTTCTACCAATCGAGGCTTCTACTCACCAGACGTGACTGCGATGAAGAGTTGGAAGACGGAGCGTTCGGGGTATCGGTCGCCAATCGTCGCAGAGACCGAGGGGAACCACTCGATAGGGTAGCCCTGTGCAATTGTCAGCGAGGGTGATGCCGAGGACTTGACGGCAAGACGTACGAAATGCTCATTTTGCACAATCTTCTCGTAGTGGAGGCCACTGGACTTGTCAGCGAGCCGGTCAGGATATGCAAGAGAAATCACACTCACATTCCAACAATCAGAGCTCCCAGAAAAGCAGCATAAGCCACTATGGTATGCAACCAGGAAATGTATTGCCCAGGAATCTGTCATGGGTTAGTGATTGGAAGTTGTCACAATCGCCACATCTTCTTACCACAGCGACAATGTCGCCATCTTTGTGCTTCGGAGCCATGTCTTGTATCTCGACAAGACAAAAAGGACAGACGACTTTCAACCTTCAACAGCTCCGTCCCCTGAGCTCAAGACTCGGACGCGCTGCTATCCGACGCCTACCACGGCAGAATGACCACGACTTGGCAAGGCGGTGAGCTGCAAAGCTTCCTACGCCTCGGCTCAAAGCTTTTTCTTTCTCTTCCACCAACGCGCTTCTCCAGCATGCTCATCTTGCGACTCTCGACAGCACGCCTGTGTGTGTTTTGCAGGAAGCTGTCGAGTAGCATGCTTGATAGTCGACACTGATCTGTGACCACTGTCGTCACTCTTCCACCTCGTGGTATGCCTCCTCTTTTTCTTCTCACCTCCAACACGCATTTCCATGATGAAACCCATACCACATTCGCAGTTTTCACGCTAGCCGTCGCCTAGAACCTATCTTAGACGGTCGTTGAGCGCAACATCTTCCTTGGATGTCTGATTGAAATCCCACATATACACCCTGCAGCTTTTCATACCGCTCTTTGCCAACATTGCTGACATGTCGCGTATAGTTACTCAGGCTAAACGTCTATTGCACATGTCACTGTACTCCATGAACCCATCTTGATCTATCACAACATGCATCTTGCTGCATCTCGCGTGATTTATAACTGCTATGATATACGTTGTAACGATACAATGATACTTCTTCACTCAGTAATCAGGTTTTCCACCGCCTCTTCTTGAACTCTTCTTATCGCTGTGCTTCTTCTTCATCTTGAGCCTGCCCTCATTTTCTGCTTTTTGTCTGCCACACCTGTAAGCAGGTGCTAGTCTTTGTGTCGTGAGACAAGTACTTACAATTTCTTCACGCGCTCCATCTGCTCAGCACTAGTCTCGCCAGGCACCACCTCACGTCCAGCCTGTACAATCATCTCGTTCAGCTTGACGAAGCAGCGATGCACATTCTCGTTCTGTTTCCTGCTGTCATCGGCCTGTATCACCAAGTCATCTTTGGCGCTATACCGAGACTTGGCTACCGCAGGTCGAAGAACAGCAGGTAGCATGGGCAGCAGCGCCGATAGCGGCAGTCGCAAAGTAGCCTTTGAATTTACTCTACACGTACTGTCTCAGCATCTATCTATCAAAGCTCCAACCTCTTGTGTTGGTCGCTGGTGGGGTGCATATATACTTGTTCACATTCTGACCGCCAGGCCCAGAGGATCTACTGAACGAGACGTCGCAAATGTTTCGCGGTATGGTCTCGGCATCGAAACTTGCCAACCAGCGCCTCGCCACGTCTAGCTCGTCGTCGCTGCCACCATGCTCACCGCTGCCGGCTCCCGTTTTTGGCTTGGAAGCCAATACACGCGTCGACGTGCAGAACGAGGTTGGTGGTGTCCGCGTGACGGAGAATCTCGACTGTGGACGCAGAATGGCGATGGACCGGAACATTATGGCGCGCGAGTCGAAAGTATGGTAGAATGTCGAAAAGGGGTTGTGGCAAGGCGGTATCGGGTAAGTTAGGATCACGGATCACTTTCTGAGTATCTGTTACGAAAAGTTGCTTTTGGTCGAATCTTTGATGCGTTGTCCAAAACCGAAGTAAGGCGCTGCGGGAGATGGTCGCTTTCGGTCGCACTTGCTTGTTCAAGATTAGGCTTGGGAATACAGGGATTATTGTACACTCTCAGACGCAGGTTCTCAACGCCTATATTGACGTGTCCCTCTTTGCGGCTGAGAATTTCCCTGACTTCTAGAAACATGGAAACATATTGGCATGGGAAAGCTCACGCCTCTGGCCGAAGTATGCCCAAGTGCCGAGAGTGTGGTCTGTCCTGAGCTACGACCAAAACGCTGCACTTGAATGCTGAATATTCCATCGCCTCACGCTAGATACTGAACGACAACGCACATGAAGGGGGAGCAGTGGTCGTCGGGTTTAGCATTATCCATTAGCTCGAGCAGATGCGATCCCAACATGATTCGATGATCCGGTGACGCTTAGATGGCTCGTGCTCATGCATACAATGGCGCGTTCTTGGGAGGGGGATGGCTTTGAGTCTTTGCCCTTCGTTTTTGCGCTCTAATCTCTCGTGTGCAGACACTCGTTTTCCACGGCCGCTTTGTGAACAAGTTGCCAGCAGCTGCTTAGAGAGCACAATCTCATAGCACGTCCTCTGATCATTTCGGTGCGGGGAAAGCACAAGCTAGCGCGACTACTGCAAGCTGAAGTGAATTTCAAGCCTCGACTTTCACGTTTTCTTTCTGTTGGTCATACAGCCATCATCTCGACGCTCTTCCCATCATCGTCGCGTTGTCCTTTTCGTTCCTGCCCTTCTCCTCAACTCGGACCACTCCACTTGTCGCTGCTGTTGCCCGAATCTAGCATGTTGGCGCATAGCGCACCTCGCCTACATGACATCTGAAGAAGCACCCGAGTATACGAGCGAGCTCAACATCCTGAGCCCAGTGTCTCCCAAGCCTGTCCATTTCCCAGTGCCCTCTAACATCCCCGTTCTTGAGAACCAAATCGACCCCGTCTTTAACCAGACTGGAACACACATGGTCGAGCCTCCCTCCCAACAACTTCCGCCTCCAATGTACCTCGACCACCAAGCTGGCACACACAATCAGGACCTCCATCAACAGCAACAGCATGCCCAGCACTCCCAGTCTTATTCTAACCATCCTGAAGCCTACATGACTCAACAGACAGGTCAAGTCGGACTGGGTCAGACCCAAGCTCCATCCCAAGCGCAGAATCAGGGCCATCAAGCTTATCATCAGGCGCAAGAGCAAGCATCATCGATTGGAACGGATAGTCAGACCAATCAAGTTCCTCCTGTCGTTCATTATGACGAGAAGTACTCTTATCAGCCTGCTGCCTCTGGCGCTGTGGCCTCTTCTGACGCCCCTGCCACTGCATCTGTGCCATCTGACCTTCCTTATCCTTCTACTGCTGCCCATCATCTCCCTGCCTTGTCAACCCAGTCCAACAACGAAGCCTCGTTCCACAGCAACTCCTTCCAAGCTCAAACCCACGCCAACTCGTCGGCCGCCAACGCTGGCGCCTCGGAGCTCCCTCCAGGTGTTGAAGCCAATAGTCTGCAGAGCCTGCTCAACAACTTGTCACATGCCAGCCATAGCCAGGCTCAATCCACTTCTCCCTCCTCCCAGGTCGCCCAGACTCCATCTAACGCTGCAAACCCAGCGAACACTGCCCAACAAGACCACGCCTACCCGACCTACACGAACAACATTCAAGCTCAACAAGCACAACAATCGCAGCAACAGCCACAACAAACGAACGGAGGGCACACAAGCAACCCTGTAGGAGCCAACGGTCTACCACCCCCACCCGTAGCCTCATTCCAGCAAAGCGTCAAGCTCGAAAGTCAGCGCGAGAGAAAGCAAGCAGCAGGAGAAGCACTAGACGAGGATGATCAACCATGGACACCCGAAACACAGCTCCGCTATGACAACTTTCTGACCGAGGAAAGAAAGTACGTGACCGAGGGCAACTGGGAACAATTTCCATACGGATCGAGGCTGTTCGTGGGCAATCTTTCTAGTGAAAGGGTGACGAAGCGCGACATTTTCCACGTTTTCCACAAGTATGGCGACTTGGCTCAGATCTCGATCAAGCAGGCGTATGGCTTCGTGCAGTTTCTGGAATCTAGCGGATGCTCCAAAGCCATCAATGCCGAGCAAGGAAAGACAATTCGCGGCAAGAAAATCCGTAAGTCTGAGTTCATCCACGATGAGTAGTCCGTACTGACAAATCAAGACCTCGAGGTCAGCAAGCCTCAGAAGAATCGCAATCCCGATCCACGCGCCCCTCGTCGTTCTCGATCGCCCGATACTGGCCGAGCTGGTAGCTCATCAGTAGTCCCAGATCGCTACGCAGGCGACAGAAGAACAGAAAGAGACCGAGATAGAGACAGAAACAGAGACAGGAGATCTCGCGACTACCGTCCTGGGAGATCTCCTTCGCCGCGCTCCCCCAGATCTCCTAGGTCGTACCGCGGTCGCGACCGAAGTAGGGACAGATACGACGCTCGATACAGGAGCAGATCCAGGACGCCGCCTTATGGCAGTCGTAACGCTCGTTTCCGCAGCCCTAGTCCAAGACTCTCGAGACGCAATAGCGACGACGATCTGCCTCTGCCGCGAAGAGCTCCACGCGACGTTCCAGACGTTCAGATTATTGTTCTGGACGACCTCGATCGCAACTTTATCGCCTGGCTGGAACACTCCTTCACCCTTCAGGGCATCCGTGTTGATGTTCTGCTTCTCTCTCCTCGCTTGTCTGAAGCTGCCGTCGTTCGTCGTCAGATTCTTGAGGGCGTTCTCGCCGTCTCGCGCATCACTCGTATCAACCAACAAACGGCAAAGATACCCCTACAAATCTTTGATCGTCGAGCTGGAATTGAGAACGTTCGCTTCGATGAGTACGACAACCTTGACCCTACCATCGCTGCTCAGCTGGTTTTGCGCGCAAAAGCTGCTCCTGCCTATGCACCACCACAGCCTGTACCTGCTCCAGTGCAGTATGGTTATGGCGCAGGCGTGACTGCTCCCGCTCCCAACCTGTCCAACCTGATTACCTCACTTGATCCCACTGGTTTGCAAAAGCTGCTTGGTGTCATGCAGCCTCCTGGTATCCCAACTGGACCGCACCCTGGCCTCCCTGCTACAGCTTTGACACCAGATCTGGCCAAACTACTTGGCAATGCCGCCGCAGTACGCCCACCACCACCTCCATTGCCTTCACCGGGCATTCATACGCCTGGCGTACAGTCCCCACCTACCTACGCTCAATTGCCTCACCCTCATCAGGACCCACTTGCTGCGTTGAGGAACAATCCCGCTCTGGCCAGTCTGCTCGCCCAACAGCAGCAGCAGCAACAGTCGCCTCAGAATATTCGCATTCCTCATCTTGGTGTTCAGACGCCTGATCTTCGCTCTCCCATCCAGCCCCAGCGACAACACGGTCTACCCAGTCCTGGACAACCTGATATGGCAGACATTCTTGCTAAGCTAGGATCCTACAGGCGATAGGTCCATTTTCGAGACTATCACAACATATATCAACACTTCGCTATATCTTCCTTGTATCTTTCGCAGGCGCATACACATAGCGACTGTTTCTTGTTTGAATTTATCGTTTAGGGTGTTCTGGGAGGCATGGAAATTCTGCATCATCCGAATTCGTCTTTGGCTCATGGGGTCCTTTTTGATCTTTTTCGGAACGGTTGCATACTCTCGGTCTCTCTTTGTTTGTTCAATAGCATGGTGTATGGGTTGTTTGATTTCTTCATGGGCGGGCGCTTGTTTTTTCTATGGAGTTTTTGCTATTGGGAGTTTGGGCGTCAGAATGTTTCTAGGGATAAGGTTTTCTGCTTCAGACCAAGAGAAGAAGAGCGAAAAGAATCAATCTGCAATAGGTATGAGTAAACAATACAAAAGTCAATAAACTATAAAGTGTAATGATTGCGTGTATCGTTTTGTGACTCTACTGCTCTAGTCGATTCATCACACTTGCCATCTATCTTCCAGCTTTGATCGCCATGGCCAGGCTATTATCGTACCGTCCTCCTTTCCATTTCCGTCGGACAAAATCTTTCACATCTCGCGAGAAATAACGCCTTCAGCAGAATATCTCACCCTCGTCGTCTCGCTTGACTTTCAGGTAAACACACCGCCCTCAAGTCCAGGAGCCAGAAAAGGCGAATTGACAAAGTAGTCTTCCTCGAGGTTTCCAACGTATGTGCGGTCATCGACACACATACCTCCTCCCGAGGGACCGATGTGTGGACAATGCACTTCTGGTCGAAGCGGCACCATGTTTTGATGGATCTGTGTTCATCCTCTGTCAGTATCCACCATGATCTTTGCGTCCCGAATCAGGAAAAGAGAGAACAGAGAAGACGACCATCGACTCACCATACGACAGCTCACGGTATCCATCCCCCACTCCCAACCCTCTCCAAACCTAGTCTGATTGAACAGATGATTTTCACAAGCCTGCTGGCTCTCATATTGCAGGTTTGTGCCATTGCAGAATCTTGTGGCTGTGTCGCAGATGCTTGTTGCGAGTTTGCTGTGCAGGATGGGTGTGAGATCGGCAGCGGAAGAAAGGTTCAGAGATGTGGCGATGGTGGAGATTGTCGAGGTTAGTTGCCATTGGAGGTAGCGGAAGTTGCTGATCGACCAAGTGTTAGGTTTTGCCAGCAGACGAGAGAGAGAGAGAGGCAGAGGCGGGAAAAGGAGAGATTGAAGCAAAAACTTACCCATCATATTGCGAAATCTCGCCCTTGTCGTTGAAAGTGACCCAGAAATCCAGCTCCTGAGGGATTGTCGTCCTCGTGACAGGTAACATGTATTCGACGATAGCAGCAAACGAGACTACATTCCCACTGCCTGAGAATCTCGTGAACGTATAATTGACAGGATACCCAAGCAGGGTGAACGCATCAGGATTCAATGCAATGTTTGCGAAAAGACCGAATAGGTATTCAGTGTTTAGTTCGCGGCCTGCGTAGTCCCGGGTTGCGTCTACGCGGCCGAGGATATCGGCAGAAAGCAAAGAGGAGTTTATGGATGAGGCTTGGGCGATGTTGAGGGGGTACATGTGGTTTTTGAGGAAGCGGTCGGTGAGAAAGTAGAGATGGTTGAAGGTGAAGTTGGGGGTTTGGGAGGATGGGTAGGTGATGTTGGTGGTGTTGGGGTAGAAAGATGGCGAGGGGGTGCAGAGAATGGGGGTGGGGAGGATGGAGAGGGTGGAGATGGTGAGGAGATGATTGAAAATCATGTTGGAGGGAGTGGGCTAGTGGGCTGGTTTTGGAGTTGCAGCGATGCAGTATGGTATGAGATGAGCTGGAAGATGCGGACACTCACATTGATATAGAGATCTTGGTAGAAGATACTGCACACTTGAAGGATCAAGGGCTGAAACACCCATACACCCCCCTCTCCGAAGAAGATACCGGATGCAGCGATTCAATAGCACACCCACTTACAGATTGGATCCAAATTGTAGGGCATCAACCCACCACTAACAACGTGCCTGGGGTTCAAACCCGAGAAATGCGCTCATGCAAGATATAAGAAAAGCATCCAATTAACGTACCTCATGACTTTGCCAGACTGACCAGGTTAAGGCGGTAGTGTTGACTTACTAGGATCTAGATCTACCAACATCTCTGTGAGATACTATAAGCCCTGACTCTTGGATAGCACATACGAAGCGCGATTGGAGAAGTATGTCCGAAGGATTCAGGACAGAATGCAACGTGAGTGCTTCCCCAAATTCGTGCATGAACGCCAGGTGTTGGATGGCTTACCGTACTTCTCTAGCCTCTGAATCCTTCCTCGGTTGATTGGACTTACTTTCTCCGATCGCAGCAGAGAGACTCTGCTAGGATAGGAGACTGAGATGAGCATGAGTCGAGTGCTCTAGACGCTGACATGGAGATGGAATATAGATTGAGCTGCAGTCGAAGGATTGATGGCTCGACGCTGACATGGAGATGGAATATAGATTGAGCTGCAGTCGAAGGATTGATGGCTCGACGCTGCAGTTGATCAAAGGGTGCTTTGATTGGTGAGTTCGGATCTTGCTTCTAACAGACAGGAATGATATCCAAAAGTCTCTGACAAGGCGGCCATTGATCAGGAGAACCATGATCGAGTTATTGAGTGGGCAAAGGGAAGACTGTCTGACGGAGAATGATTGATTCAAATGCATGCGGGGCCGTGCTTGATTAACGAGACTCTATACATTGATTGACCGATTTTTCTTTATCATACCAGCCCTGCTGGCGCAATGGTAGCGCGCAAGACTTCTAATCATCTTTCTGATGAACCGACATCTTGAGGCTGCGAGTTCGAGCCTCGCGTGGGGCTTCTACTTTTGCGTGCTTACCAACCGCAATCCGAGTGGCCGAATCTTTTTCGCCGAATCATATGCCACTTGGCACTGTGGGCTTTGCCGTGAAAGCCATCTACAGTTACTCGATACTTGGTATGCCTACGGATAATTTGCGAGGCTTCGTTGCCTCGGTAGGTAGCCCAGTCCACCTTCGGGGTCATGTGGATTTGATTCCCACCCTACTCACCGCCGTTTTTCTTGGTGGAATCAACGTCAACGAGGGGACCAACGAGGGGATCGTAATGAAATATGTAGTTTTGCACAGCCCTGAAGCACCCTCAAGGATTCTTCGGTGCTGCTCGCCCACATGCTGGGCATATAGAAGATAATGTGTAGAGATATGGAAGGCGATAACCGATGATCCACGCTATGGGCCGGGATCACCGAACTGTCTCCATCGTCAATGTTCTTGGAGTGTCGAGAAAGACCGATGATATCGGTATCGAGTTGCCTTGTCATGAGAATTGTTAGAGGAGGAAAGCGAAGACCGAGAGGGACATCTAGATACGTCAACCTTCGTAGAAGCGATAAGCAGTAGCTCAACAATAACTATCACACTTCATCTGTCATTCGGTATACTCTTTTTTGGGATCCATTGCGTTCGAACGAGAAGCCCATCCCTGTCACAAATCATCATGAACCGCTCACCAACACTTGATCCTCATGTCCTTACCATTGCAGATCTCAAAGAGGCAGCATGCCGTGATATGCCGGCAATGTATAGAGGTAGCCATGAAATCTCTGGATACTGTCCGTGTCATTACTAATTGATAAACAGACTACTACAACGAAGGAGCCATGGATCTGATCACGTATGTTCTCGTCTAAGACATTGAAGAGATCCTTGCTTATCGTAGTATATACAGTCTCAAGGATAACGAAGCAGCTTTTAATCGGTACAAGATCAGACCTCGAGTCTTGGTGAATGTAGCCAAGATTGATCTTGAAACCGAGATGTTTGGTATCAAGGTGAGAACAGATACGTCGAAAGAGAAGCCCGAACGACACTTACTGATCATGCTAGACTTCAGCACCTTTCGGATTCAGCCCAGCAGCTATGCATGGACTCGCTCATCCAGACGGCGAGCTTGCGACTTCTCGTGCTGCAGCAAAAGCGAACATCTGCATGGGTTTATCAGTATTCGCAACACAGAATCTCGAAGACGTGATAGCCCAAAGCAGAGGCAACCCGTACTTTATGCACATCTCTATGATCAAAGACAAAGTGGCGTGTGCAAGAACGATTAAGCGTGCTGAAGGTCAGTATTTGATCACGTCAATCATTCAGATTTAGACTGACGGAAGCACAGCTGCTGGATACAAAGCCATCTTTCTGTCTGTGGATGTACCAGTACTCGGACAAAGATTGAACGAGCACAAGAATAAATTCGAGCTACCTGAAGGACTCCAGTGGCCAAATCTAACCGCTGTAGGCGAGGGGCTAGAGTATGGTAGGTATAGTGTGTCGTTTCTTTCGATGGCTCGAAGCTGATCGTTGGCAGATGCGACGATTGAGTGGCACACTGCGATACCGTGGATGCGATCACAGACTAAGCTGGAGATATGGCTGAAAGGCGTTGCATCACCAGAAGACGTTGCTCTGGCAATTCAGCACAAAGTTGACGGGATTATGATCTCCAATCATGGTAAGTTAAGCGATGCAGATGCCCTTCAAGATCCGAGGAACACCTCTAATTTGCATTCTTCTTAGGTGGTCGACAACTCGATGTAAGTCATACATGACTTACCCTGCCTTGCTAATATGCTGATCAAAGTCCTTGATTCAGGGCGTTCCTGCAACACTCGACAGCCTTCGAGATTGTGCATCTGTCGCGAAAGGTAAGATACCGATTGCGTTTGATGGTGGCGTCAGAAGGGGCAGTGATATCTTCAAAGCGTTGGCGCTAGGTGCCGACATTGTGTTTATGGGACGAGTGCCGATATGGGGACTTGCTGTAAGTTACAGTTGAAGAAAGAGAGGTGATCAGGGACTGATGATTTGTGCAGTATAAGGGGCAGCAGGGTGTTGAACTTGCTGTTAAGATCTTGATGGCCGAATTACGTATGACCATGGCATTGGCTGGGTGAGTGCATGTTGAGACACTCGATGATGAGGAGTACTGACCCGATGATAGATGCCGGACTGTAAAGGAGATAAATAGAGGGCATCTTGCGGTATTGAAGGGTGACGGTATGCTGTGTAAGCTGTGAATGACTGATCAATACAATGGTACAGACACCACGGCGGCGACTCGGAATAGTCCCATCAAGACATGTCTTGCTTCTTCCTCCCTCCACATGGGCGAGGATGGGTAGCTATAGAGATGCACAATTCTTTCACTAGACAGGAAGCATCCAAAGAGAGCCGTGGTCTTATCGCCTCTCCGTGCACTTTGATCCCGTGCAGAGAGACCTGTGCATTGTGATGGCTCCAGCTCCGCATGTATGTTGTTATTATGAGAGCCCGATGTGAGTGGCATAATCTAGCACGTGGGGGGTTATATTGAGGACGTCGATGTTCGTTCCCCCTCGTCGGGAGATATTAGCTCGAGAGATGTCATATCTCTGTGAATATCATAGACGGCTGCAAAACCAGAGCATCGTATACTTGCCGGGTACTCGAATATGAAGACAAAAACCAGCCAGCAAATCGATCTGGAGTTTCGACTCGTCACTCGTACGAGCCAATCCAGCTGGAGTGCCGATTGTAATCGCTCCTTCTTGTAGTCTTTGCAAGCTGGCTTACATCGGTAGGGCCGTCCGCTAACCTGCGTCTCGCTTTGTCGCTGTCAGTAAGTCTATCTCGGTTGGCCGGCATGGCATGAATGCTCAACAGAGAGTCCTAAGCGAGGGTGGATAGGAAGCAAAGTTGGTGATGATTGGAACCAAGATCGGATGGAGTTGAAGCAATGCCAAGGCCAAAACACTTCACCAAAAGAGTCCATGCTTCCTGCCTTTCAAGTCTCCACTTAACTTGCCCTCACTGATCTCGCTGCCCTCTTACTCGGTTGAACAGGCCGAATAACGTCTTGACCGTGCTCCGCCGAAGAGAGCATCATCGACACGAGTAGTGTTCCATTCTTTGGCAGTACTCCGAGTAGACTAGATGGATGTCGAGGCATATTCTCTACTACGGGCCACGGCAAGAAAGAGGTTAACTAGGATTCGACCACATACGACAGGATGACACGCATTTGCCAATATCTTGCAGGTTGTTGATGAGAATAATCGCTGAGGTTGTGTGATGTGGCTCTGGATTTCGACAAGGTTGCACGGCATCTTTTGTTGTGCCTGCCTGCCACCAGCCACAGTGCGTGCTGCCGTGCATATGCATGCATCAAACTTTGTTATTCCCACCGGGGCAACCACCTAATTTTCAGGTACCTACCAGCCGCAAAGCGATCCACGAATCCATCAACCTGTTCCTCTCGCTTGGATCTACAACTCTATCCAAGATAAGAAGTGCGCGGTTGGGATTACCTCTCGGCTCCCCTCACGGGTCTTTCTATTCGCAGAGCCGCAGGCCAGATTGAGAGTGGGCCTAACCACTACTTGCAGTTGATCCGCTGTTAAAGGTCTTTACCAGCCCACTCATTGTGTCAGCAAGCCTGAGGTATGGTCGTGTGTGCATCATCCCGCCCCTAAGTTCCTTGATCTCGGGTCAGTCGTCTATGGGTTGTGTACTGAGTATGGCAGGGTGGATCTTTCCCAACCATGCAGATTCATCGCGATCCTTGCCTTTTCGTGCGAGCCGTAGCTACGATATACCAGTGGTGGCTAGGAGATGCAATGTCTATATCAATACCGTCAATCTCTGCATGAACCTGCAAGTGTTCCAACAAGCTTTCTTTCATAGCATCTCTACACTCGTTCAACTGAGATGGTTTCTTCCACACTCCTCCTGGCCACCTTAGGCGGCCTTGTCACTCGTTCTTTCGCTCAATCGCTGTCCGACAATGTCAACGCAGAAGTAACGCTTGCGTCTGCGGGCACCTCGGTGATCCTCAGTGCAAGCCCTTCTTCTTCAGGCTCTGCCACATCAAGCACAGTCCAGCCTGTCACTCAGATCTCTGATGGCCAGATCCAATCGCCAGCTCGCTCCACCGCTTCGCCCAATGGTACTCTGACTGCCACCCCTGGAATTGTCGCCTCCAATGCCACATCTACCGTTGATGTCGCCGCAGCCTCCATCAGTCCCAATGGAGGCATACTATACATCGCACCCAACACTACTACTCCGGATCAATCGAAGCTGGCGGCACGAAGCGAATGCCAGGCTCTCATGGATAGCCAACTGCCTAGCAAGAATAGCATCCCTTCCAACTACAACTTCTCTGGCACTGTGAGAACATACTACGTTACTGCCGAAGAAGTGGCCTGGAATTATGCACCTGATGGCTGGGACAACTGGCTCGGGGTACCCGTTCAGAACTCTCCCCACGCTGCTGCCGCTGGCTACCTCAACCTAACTGGATCCATTGGTGCAAGTTGGGGACTCGAGTTCCAGAAGGCTGTGTACAAGGGCTACACGGATGACAGCTTCACTACCCAGACCGAGCAACCTGCCACCAATGGTATCAACGGTCCTATCCTTCGTGCCGAGGTCGGCGACATGATTCAAATCATGTTCGTCAACAATCTGTCAGAGAACTACGCGTCAATGCACAGTATGGGACTGTACTACGGCAAGCAGTACGAAGGGTCTCTTTACCCCAACACTACTGATGGCTCCACACCCAACGTGCAGGAACAAGATGCTGTCCCTCCCGGTGGATGCGCTGTATACAAATGGATTGTCAGCGACTCGCAAGCTCCAGCCCCAGGTCAAAGCAGTCGTCTATGGTCATACCACAGCTTCGTCAACATGCCATCTGATATTTCTGCCGGTCTATCGGGTCCGATCATCGTCTACAACAGCGGCGAGATGAACAGCACCATGTCTGCCCACCGAGAGTTTATCGTAACAACCAACACGCATTACGAGGCCAAGTCATTCATGGCGGGCAAGAATGCAAAGAATGCCCATGTGGACACCAGCAGTCTGCGTCAGACGGGCCAGCTTGTGCAACCATATATCGGTAACGAGAGCTTTTGGGTTCCACAATTGCGAAACTTCCCTGAGGTATTGCTCAGCGATGCTCAGGGACCTATCTTCTACACGATGAATGGGTACGTGTTTGGCAACGGAGCACCATACGAGATGTGCCGTGACGACCCAGTCATCTGGTACGTCATGGCATTCGGAGCAGCTTCGCACGTGTTCCACTTGCACGGTAACAACTTCCAGTACAATGATATCTGGCAGGCTAGTCAGAGCGTCAATGCTGGTGAGATGTTCACCTTCAATATGAACGCTCAGCTGCCTGGCGTTTGGCAGCTTCTGTGCCACGTGTCTAGCCACAATCTGTATGGCATGCAGCAGAACTATGTCGTTCACGGCAATGAGCAAGATGGACAGTCTTGCCCTCTGACGCCGTTGACAGCAAAGTTGGCTGGTTCGCCTTGAGCGATGGGAGGATGTGGAAATGTAAAGATTGTACATACAAGGGCGGATGTAATTAATGTCTAGACAGAACAAGCCACGATGATCAAGTGATACCAAGTTCTGTTGCGGGTGCTGTAGAGTGTCACAGTGATTGTCTTCTGTGTCTCGACAACAAGGACTAGTGCTATGTTGTGCATGAGATGGACGGGCGCTCGGACCATCTTTTGGGAAGCGAGCGCGAACTCCCTTGACCCTTAACTGCCCAGCGAAGGACGCTGAAGTGAAGTGAAGCGCGGCCAACGGTCGTCGAGCAAACGACAATTCATTTCACTCCCTGGCCCTCTTCACATCGTCTAACCAACACCGCTGTTTTGTCTCCGACCGCAACATTCGCTCCATTTCATTCTATCACAACGACATCATACCGCCATAATCCATCCGACTGCACAGCACAGCGCGCCAACGAGTCGTCGCCAACCGTATCCAGGCGTGCGACACGTCAACCCAACATTGCTAGACACAACAACACAACAAGCCACATACAACAATGGCTCACCGAACGCCCACGCCCGACATCACCATCCAGCGCAACCGTCTGCCCAACCTGTACGAAGTCCTCAGTCGCCAGACCAAGCCGCCCGTCGATCTGTTCAGCTTCTACATCTACATGCGCGATGCTCAACGCAGCGTCGACTATCTCGATTTCTGGTACACAACAACTCCGCTGGTCGCCTGAACATAGCTCGTCAGAACTAATTCTCAATCACAGGCTCGATGTATCTCAACACATGTCGCTCTGCCGACACTACGTGCGCGGTCTTCACCGCAGTGTGCTAGCAGAAACACCAGAGCTGGAAAAGGGTGGCAGCAAGCGTAGTTCGCAAATCCTCGACCACTACGATGACAGCGGTCTGGCCGGTCCCAGCGCCAACGACAAAGATCCTCGGGTTTCTGCCTTCTTGCGCGGCGACAACGGCAGCATGCACTCGCCCAGCCAGTCCCTTGGTAGCAACACTTTTGATCCGCAAAACCCTCGTCGTAGCATGGTCGACAGCACCCAAGACACCAGCCCATACACTCAGGATCAGTCTCCTACCGGCACCACCGTTTCTAGACAAGACATCCGTGCCAGCGCTGAGAAGATCCTGTACACATACCTCCTACAAGGCTCCGAACGCGAGATCATCATCCCTGTCGGCATCCTCGAACATGTCACCGACTCGATTGAGAACCAAGGCCGCGATGACCCCGAAGTCTTTGATAGTGCAAAGGACTACGTCTTCCAGGCCATGGAGCGCGATGCCTTCCCTGGCTTCCTCCGCGCAAAGGCCCTGGGCAATATTGTTCAACCTAGCATGATGCTGAGACTGGTCGTCGGTCTGGTCGCCTTGTTTGCTGCCATCTGGACAGCTTTTGTCCTCATCTTCCTCGACATGAGCAGAAGCACAAGATGCTGGGTATGTTGGCTTTCTTTTCTGCCATTGACGAGTCTTTATTGACGTGATTTCAGGTCATCTTGCCCTTCACCATTGCTATTTACTTCCTCGTCTCACATCAATACATGCTTGACCCCATCCAAGCGCTTCTGGGCTACTCGGAATATACCTTTGCGAAATACTTCAAGGTCAAAGAAAACTTCGTCCACCGCCTACTCACACGCAGAACCATGATGTGTCTAATGTGGATTGCCATCATCGACGCTGCCGTCTGTTGTCTCTTCATCTTCGTCCCTGGAAAGAGACTGTGATCGACCCGACGACTGAAACAGCCCATCGCTTGAGGTGATGGATGATACTCTACCTTCAATTCTCTTACTTCCGACCATTGTTACGCCCTTCGACGCTCCGTCACTCTACTTCATGTCATTGTTCTTTCTTCTGTTCTTCTTCATACCCCCATCTTACTCGATACCTCCTTTTTCTTTTCTCTATTCAATTGCTTTAGAGGCGAGGCGTTATCTGTCGATTTGGAGTCTGGAGCAAATAAAGTCTTCGACTGTTTATCCTTCTAGTTTTTCTGGTAGAATGAAAACTTGGTTAATGTCTTTTCTCTTTTTCGCCATTTGAACTGCATGATGTCGTTCTGATCGTACTTGGCACAAATGCCCATTAACATCGAAGGCTCAGCCCTTCGTTCCATGCATGACCCTTCGCTTTGACTATAGGAATGCACAAAGCTTTTAGGAAAAGGACAGTATCCATGGAAAGCCACCGCCGTCCAGAGCTTTCTCTGGAAACACTTGTAGCCTCAATCCTGACTCTACTCATGGTTTGTTTCGCGCCCTAAGCGTCAGTTTGCGGAACACTACACTTGAAGAACAGGGTGACTGACCTGCTCTGTCAGGGCCAGCTCAGAATATATACTATCCGTATACTTGTCTGCCGGTCTGTCTGGTCCCATCATCGTCTATAACAGCGGCGAGATGAGCAGCACTATGTCTGCGCATGGTGATTTGTTTCAACAGCTCATACGCATTACGAGGCCAAGTCATTCATGGCGGGCAAGAATGCGAGGAATGCCAATGTAGATGCCAGCAGTATGCGGCGGGCTGCCTCCAGGTGAGACCACGGGGTCCCTAACAAGAAAGCAGAACAGCGTCACATTAGTGGCGTAGGGTTGGGACAATCATTGTGCATCTCGTCAACGTGAGCCCAAGGGACACACCCGAGTGGAGGAGGAATCTCCTGTGCTATCGCAAACCTGGTCTCTAGTTGTTGTGGGAGTTTCTTCTGTGCTCTATTGTCTCCAGCATCTTCCATCATCTCCATGCCATCTGCACTCTTCCTTGATGCTCCGGAACGATGGAGAACCACCATGCATCGCCTCGACAATGAACGAGTCCGGAACATTCTACTGCTGTCCGTCTCGACGACTAAGCGATGAGGTTGTCCAAGGATATAAATCCAACCTCCACCATCACCATCACACACACCTCTTCGAAGTTATCCCAGCCCTTCAACCCTCCTGGACATTGACACCATGGCTTCTTCTTCTTCTTCTTCTGCAGCCCCTCAACCCACCACCACCGCCAGCGAGGTTTCCATCGCAAACCAAAGCACCTTCATCCTCTGGTTCCACAACTGCTTCATCGGTTGCCCCTCCCATTGGCACGACCTCCCTTCCTCTCCCTCTACCACCTACATCCTCGCAACCTTTGAGACCGACTTCTTCGCCAACACCAGCATCCTCAACGCCAAAGACATCAAAATCTGGAGATTGGACTTGCTTGCCAACAGCGACGGAGACGCGACAAAGAGGTCATCAAAGCAGGGAGATGTGCTTGCTGAGGAGGAGTTTGTGGCAAAGTGGTTGAACACCGTTGAGAGGGAGTGTGAGAAGTTGTTCGATGGTGAGTTTTCGCGCTACCTCTACCTTCTTCGTCGATGTTGTTTTTGCATCGCCGTCGTGCGTCGCGACCGAAAGAAAGGAGAGCTGACAGAGGAGAACCAGACTTCACATTCCCTCGTAACGTATACAACCCCAATGACGACGGCACACGAACCTCTCGCCAGCGTCAAGGAGGCACGTACATCTGGAGCAACCCCACCGACACACTGCAGAGCTTCCCTCCTGGCTATGCATTGATGCACCGACCTCGCGACGATGATCCTCACCGCGAAGGAGATGTGTACCTCTGGGGTCACCCTTCTGGCAGGAGTTATGATTCAGTGAGCAAGTTCGTGGTGCACTTGAAGCGGTTGGTCCAAGGAAAGAACGGAGAGTGCGAGTGTGTGCTTTGTAAGCCTCCACCTCCCAGGCCAAAGAAGGAAAAGGGAAAACTGGAGGATGGCAAGAAGGGAAAAGAGGCAGAAGGCAAGAGTGGAAGAGCCAGAAGCACAAGACAGATCAAGGCGTGAAGGAGAATTGAGGTAAATAAGAGGAAGAAGCAACCGAAGGAGAACAGACAGTGGCGTTTCATATTGCTGCTATGGTCATGATGGAAAGAAAACAAGGAGGGGGTATCGCAAAAATGAAGAAGTCCAAGGGATCAAGGACAGAGAGAACAGAAAGAGCCACAACGCCAGGCCAGAGCAGACCTCCTAAATGGTTACAAGAAACGAATCAAACTGCAGCTTTTCACTTGCCAACCTCTGCAAAGTGCTCCTGCTCAATATAACTCCACTCGGGCACATCCTTGACCTTCTTCCACAACTCCTTTTCCAGCTTAATAGCGGCCTTGTGGTAGGGAGTTTGCTCTGCATTGTAACGTCTGCAGTTGACACAAATAAGGGTGGCGTCTCTGATAAAGTCTTCGGGGGTCTCGTAGGCGTCATTTTCGAGTTTTTGTTCCATGGTGCTGAGGTCCATGGGCTGCTTGATGACTTCGTAGTAGTCGAGGACTTCGTCTTTGTTGACAGGTTGGAGGAAAGGCCAGGCGTGAGTGCTGTTTTGGAGGGCGGAGAGGAGGTGCATGAGTTGAGAGTGGTTGGGGTTGTGGCGGGGTTGACGAGCGAGGGCGTCCATATCCAGACTCCAGCCCGTCTCTTTGATGGCGGCTATTGTGAGAGGGTCGATAGATGGAAGAGCGTCGCCTTTCTTCAGACCTTTCCACTGAGCTGGCGGAGGGTGGACCTCAAAGGACTTTGAGACGGCCTTGATCTTGGCATGGACGGCGGCCTTTTGTTTCAAGAGCAGGCGGCCGGACTCGAGATAGCGGATCTTGGGGAGCATGCTGCACTGCATGATGGTTCCTCCCTCGTAATCCTTGATGTAGCCCATCCAGCGCGGCCTTTCGAGAGTGATCTCCTTTGTGAAGCCTTGCTTCTTGAAGTAGCCGATGGCATAATTGTCGGCGTAGGTCAGGAAGTGCATGACGTCCGAGGTGGCCTTGACGTAATCTTTCAAATGCGACATGAGGTGTGCGCCGTAACCTTTGACTTGCTGATCGCTGCTTATAGCGCAGAAGACGATTTCGGCGAACTGACGGCCCTTGAAGGGCCTGTAGGTGATGCCACCTACGACTTCCAGAGGCTTCTTGACGATGGCCATGGACAGATGGGTGCGATCGTAGACGAGACGGGCAATGTAGTCCTTGGGCATCTTGGGCAATTGTTTCTGGAAGATACACTTGAGGCCAGTCAGGATGATGTAGCTCTCGCGGTCGCCATCGTTGTTGACGGCTCGGAACTCGATTTCGCCATTGCGTTCCTCGATGACGGCTGGTTTCTCTGGGAAGGGGACAACGCGTGGTGCTGTCGACTGGACGGCGTCTCGGGTGTCGTGTTCGAGGGTGGGCGTGGGCGACGTCGACGACTTGAAGCGCTTGCTGTCCGTCACGGACTCGTCGGGCGACTCGGCTTTGCGCTTCGCTGTGGACGCGAGCTCGTCCTTTACGGCTGCTGGCGCCATGATGCGTTAGTCTTTCTTTGTCCTGGCGGTCGCGCACCGCCGCTCGTCGTCCGTCTCTCGCATGTGAATGTCCAGGAGCTCGGACCCGCTGCCATCTGTGGAGAAGTCTCTTGGCATTTGCCAACTGAGTCACTTCTCCAGACACCGCCGCACTTGCTTGTCTTACCACCAAGCAAAGACCCTGAACAAACCCCTCTCTGCTCCGTTGCTCTGTAGCTCCAAGCAAGTCTCTGATGAAATAGCCCTGTGCCCACGTAAGCTTAATCGGAGGGTCCATCTTCGAGTTTCACTGTAGGCAGCAACCCGTGACATGCTCAGACATAAATGGTAACTACCTACATATACTGCAGTCTATGTACGGCTCTTTCTTCCCTCGTCTTTCTCTTCTTTCAAATCTACTTTCACCCAGCTTCGTGTCCAGTTGGCAAAGTCCGACAGCAAACACCTCGCGCCACGTCTCACAACCCCTTCCGCCGTCCACTTTCCGACTTATAAAGTCTCCTCAAACTCCCAAAACGCTCATCTATTCATCACATCTCCTCTCTCACTAACCATCGCCCACCATGTCTGTCGGCAACCACGTCTGTGGCTGTTATCACATATCCTCCTTCAACAGACGCACCTACTTGCCTCAAGTCCATCTGGACTCCCACACCACCATCACTCCTCTCTACTCCTCCACCAAACTCTCTCAAACCTTCCAGAACCCCACAGAAATCCAGCTTCCTCAGACTCGCTACACATTCCCCCTCTATGATGGTGTCATCGTGACTGCATTCTCCTGCACTATCGGCGACAAGGTCATCAAGGGCCATGTTGAACAGAAAGAGCAAGCTCGCAAGACCTTCAACGATGCTGTCAGCAGAGGCGAGACCGCTGGCCTTTTGGAATCTCTTCCCACCGGCGTTTTCGGAGTCACCCTCGGAAACGTCCCTGCCCACACTTCCATTCAAGTTGACATCGTCTACGGAGGCGAACTCAAGCACGATGCCCAGATCGACGGCTTGCGCTACATTCTGCCAACCTCAATTGCTCGGCGTTACGGCTCCTATCCTGGAGAATTCCTTCAACCCGATTCAGCCATCGCCAGGGGCATGAAGATTACTGTTGATATCGACATGGAAGGCTCCAGCATTCGCAAAGTTCAATGCCTCTCCGGTCACTCCATCGCCCTGGACATGAACACCCTGTCTACCACCATTGGAGCCACTCCCGACATGTCAAAGGCGTCGGTATCCTTGACCCACGGCACGACCGAACTTCTCACCGATCTTGTCTTGCAAATCTTGATCGACGACATTGGCTCACCCAAGGCTATCCTCGAAAAGCATTCCATTTCTGGTTGTCAAGCTCTCATGGCAACATTTGTGCCGCGCTTCAACCTCAAGCCCATCAGACCGGAAATCATCTTCATCGCAGATCAGAGTGGTAGTATGCAAGGCGCCAAGAACACTGCCCTCATCGCTGCTCTGAAGACATTCCTCAAGTCTCTGCCACCCGGCGTCCGCTTCAACATTTGCGCTTTTGGATCTCATCACCAGTTACTCTGGGAGAAGAGCGTCTCTTACAACCAGGAAAACTTCGACCGAGCTTTGTGCTTTGTCCAGGGCTTTACCGCTAGCTATGGCGGCACAGAACTCCTGTCTGCTGTTCAGGCCTCTTTCGAATCGCACTTCCCTGACATGCCTTTAGAGCTTGTTGTTCTGACCGATGGTGAAATCTATGCTGAGTCCCAACTCTTTCAATACGTCAATAGCCAGATTCATGAGAAGAAGGTCGATGCTCGTTGCTTTGTGCTTGGAGTCGGTCGTGATGTTTCTCACACCTTGGTCGAAGGCTTTGCTCGCGCTGGTAACGGCGTTTCGCAGTTCATCACTGACGATGAGATCATGGACTTCAAGGTCATCCGTATGCTCAAAGCCGCTTTGTATCCACATGTCAAAGACTATCGTTTGGAGGTCAAGTACGATGATGCCGAAGACTTCGAGATGGTCGAGAGCGTGCTCCCCCAGCAGATGGCCGATGCTGCTGATCCTTTGATCGAACCACCCAAGGCGCCAATCTCGCTGTTCGACCCATCTGCCAATCTCAGCGGTACACCCGATGAGAGTTCTGATCGCTACGCTCATCTTCCCGACATCACTGTGCCCGGCCTGGTCCAAGCACCTCATGTCATCCCTCCTTTGTTGCCTTACAGCCGTACCACCGTGTGCCTACTTCTACAGAACATAGACAAGGCCCCCAAGTCTATCGTGCTGCACGGCACCTGTCCCGATGGTCCATTGATGTTGAAGATCCCTGTCAAGAAGATTGACAACCCCAGTTACACTGTCAACACTCTCGCAGCCAAACGAGTCATTCAGGAGCTTGAAGAAGGCCGAGGCTGGTTGAACACCGCTCAGCAGGGTACTGAGCTAGTCAAGGACAAGTATCCTTCTCGTCTTGACGAGCTTGTTGAGAAGGAAGTCGTTCGTCTCGGTGTCGATTACCAGGTCGCCAACAAATGGTGCTCCTTTGTTGCCGTCGAGCCTGACCAGGAAGGCAAGAGAGTCGTTGAGAACGAAACCCAGGAGGTCTCTGGTCCGCGAAGTGGGCGCGCCAAGAAGAAGTTGATGGCATATCCCATGCCTAATCGCTCTTTGCTTGATGATGATGAACATGACGCTGCTGATGTGCGTCTTACGGGTGGCGGTAGTCTCACAGGAGGTACGAGAGGTGGTGGCCATACGGGACGCGGTCGTCTTACGGGAGGTGGCGGCCGTGGTTCTGGCCTCATGCGTCTTAGCCGCCGTGGTGGTCCTCCCGATCACGACGGTGATCATGACGTTAATTTGTCGGGCGTCATGTACAGAAGAGCTATGCATCCCAGCGCTTCCACCCTTGTGCAAGCTCAGTCTATTGCGCCTGTGAATCCCAGAGCCTACGTTGCGCCTGCACCCCTGACCATGGCGTATGGGTCTCCTGCAATCTCTGCTCCTCCGCCTGCTTCACCCTCGTTTGGTGGTTTCGCCCCTACTGCCGTCGCATCTATTCTTCCTGAAAAGATGCCTTCTGGTCTCGAGAAGGTTTCTGCCATTCCTACCGACGATATTTTGCCCGCCGTTCGCGCTCTTGTTGATCTTCAGTCCTTCGATGGTCACTGGGACTGTAACGAGGCCCTCAATAGCTTCTTCGCCAGCGAAATCGTCAACATGAAGAATACTGGAGCTCAAGAGAACGCTGTCCTGGCTACTGCGCTGGTGCTAGCATGGTTGAAGATCTCAGCAGCTCAATACTCTGATCTGTGGGAGATGGTTGCAGACAAGGGTACTGCATGGCTTGCTACTCAGGAAAACTCAGAGTTGCTCATGTACACTGCCAGGAGCACTATCCAAGACCTTACTTGAGATTCGGAGAAGAATTATCTCGGCAACAGGCGTAAAGTAAGAAGAGGAGTTGAACAGCCGAGCACAACGAGTGCAAGTGCATGAAACTGAAGAAGGATTGTAATTCTATAGGTCTTGGTGTGGTAGTCTATCGCTGGAGAGAGCTGGATACAGGGAGAAATTCTACTAGTAATGCTCAGTCGTGCTTTTTTGCAGATAAGATGGAGGCAGAAAGTCAGAAGAATTGCTCCAAACTGGTAGTCTCAGATAGCTTGCGAAATACATGTTTACGCAACAGTCCCAGGTACGATTCAAGTGATGAAGGCGTGGGTGACAAGACAGACTGCGAGTGTGCTGGGTCTTGCTGTTCGCTCTTGAGCTTGTTTTATCTCGTGAACCAAAATCAGCTTCCAGAACACTTTCAACTTTTAATCATACAACACCATAGTGACTTCCTATCTGTCCACAGAAAGATCAATCGTTACGTAGAAATTACTGTCAAGACAGCCAGCAAGAATCCAGAGCCTTGGGCTCTTCGAGAGAGCTCCCGTTGTTGTCCCTTGATCGAATTCACCTGTTGACGGACACCAGGCTGCTGTTCAGCTGATATAAGACAGTGCACGACGAAAAGAATATCTGGGTTAAACCTGTAGACTAGAAGAGAAGAAAAAGGAGGTTGCAGAGGTGCGACCTAGAAGTTATCAGAGACCTCATGTTGGTCTGACACTGCCGCTGCTGGCGCATGCCTAAATCAGGTGCGCGCACACCTGCCAAAGCGTAGTCTGCCGCGAATTGGTAGGAACTACCAAGCGAACAAGCAGTAGTCAATCAGATTTGATTAATGCGTTCTCGTTAGTCCTCGCTTTTGTCCTATACGCATCCATTCAGCCTTTCTCCTTTTACGCCATCCCCCGCTCTTCTTCTCTTCAGGCCAACCGTCATCGCTTTGTGATACACTTTCTACGACACAGGTCGATATCCAGAGCCAAGCCCTCGAGATGAGTTCCGAAGCAGCATTGTCGTCGACACCGGACTCCGTCTCTCTCTCAGAAACTGCGCAATCGATTCGCTTTCTTGACCTGCCACTCGAGATTCGAATCATGATCTACATGGAGATCACCAAAAGACCAGAGAACCACTACGAAACCAATCAAGACCATCCTCGGGAGGTTCTGTCCGCCATATTTTGTACCCATCCACAGATCACACGCGAGATCTACCAGTCCTGCACATTGACGGCACACTTCGGACACCATGGAGGGCATTACAAATACAACATCTTCGAGTTCCTCGCCACCAGGCATTTGAAGCAAGTCGCAAAGACGCTGATCAACTTCAATGCCCAAACAGACCACAAAGGAGCTGTATTGAACATTGAGCTCAGATGCTGGGATCGACACTGCTCCAGAGAGGAGCGTTGCAGAGAATGCCAAAATTGCGCAGAGTACAACTTCATCAGGCCAATTGAAGCGATGGGTCTCGAAAGACGATTAATCACACTGATATAACCATCGGCGTGTGATTTCGAAAAGATATCGCAATGCAAATAGTGGCCTAGAGTGGCAGCACCGTAGCTTCCGACCGGGACCAACTTCAGCTACCGGGAATCATGATCGTCCATTAGGCATGACCAAGTGTTGAAGGCTAGGTAGCCCGTTCGACGTCTTCGAATATCTTATCCAGATTGAGGAGAGCGAAGGAGCGGACATCCGTCTTCCTGCTCCAGGCTTTGAAGGCCGCAGCTGCAGCAGGGATACTACAACGGATGGGTAGACAAAACATTCGGCAAGACCACCAAAGAATCACGCAGGCTTTGAGGACATAGTACTATCTTCTCTACACAGCTTATCAGGTCCGCACCATCGTCGGTGGAAGCTCTCTGGACGGCTAAATGTCGGCGTCATGGCTTAGTCATCATACTCTGATGACTGCATCTCCTTCGGCTCCATCACGTCTGGCTTCTACAAACTCTAGATATATCGATAGACAAAGACACCAGCAGTGTGATACATTTACTTCCAAGAAGATCCCAAAGTATGAAGATAATCTGCTTCCTGCTTAGTCACGACTGTCACAACCAAACACAAGAAGTACAACCTTATTCCACCAGCGTCGCTAACATGAACATGCCGATAAGCTCCCTTGTGATATCCTTGAAAGTGATGTGTATTGTTCATGTACAGTTTCAGGCTCGCTTCAAGTGCCATGAGCGTTCTCCGGATCACCTCTATCGTCGCGGCAACCCCTTAGCTACCAGGTGCCTGGCTTTGTTGATCTCAAAAGCTTTCCTGGTCCTCCTGATCGCAAACACTCAAAGCCGACGCAGAATCAAGCAAACGCAAGTATCGAGTGCGTCTCCTTTCAAGCTGTGCTGACCCGCTCCTGAAGATGACGACTCAGCTGCATACAGATCCTCGCCAGCCTAGGTCGCTCGCGGATATGACGACTCGTTTACTTACAGCTCTCCATTCGGAATCCCGATCTGTCTACTCACGTCTCAAATTGAGTCTCGAAGTCGTTGCGGAAGACCGCTGGTACAGACATGCGGAAATGGTCGTGTGCTCCATCTTTTGCGCACATGAAGACGAAGACTATGACAGTTGGACTGCGCGAGCCATCGACTCCGAGTGGCACAAAGACTCTCACGGTTACTCCATTGACATAGTCGTATCAAAGATACGCACCGTTCTTGAAACCAACGGCAAGAATACCCCTGTGGTCCACAGAATCAGATTCCTTGTCTGGTTGGGTCTTCTTACGCAGTGTTGGCACGAGGCTGAGGTATGTATCCACCTGCATCTGAGTAACACCATGCCTGTTGTTGATGTCCGCATAGCTCCTCAAATGGCTGGCTTGTCAAGAGTACCTGCTGTATCTATGCCGCGGTGGCACAGTTGACTTTGGTATCGACTTGTGGCTGGACACACTGTGTAAACGCACTAAACAAGCACTGCCACGCCTGCACTCAGACCTATCAGTCCTATTGACAACCGTGGGTATGAGATCCAGAAAAGGCACAGATTATGCCATCACAGAGCCCAATACCGTCTTCCGCGAACCGAGGATCGTGCAAAGCCTAGCCAGCGGTCACGGTCTGGATGCCTGGCCCCGCAACATATCACCACCTACAAATCAGCAGGTAATGAAAGCCACGAGATCCTGTGAACAACTATTGACCTATTTGTCAGATCAATAATAAGCCCCAGATCGAACTGCAGACTGCGGTTCATCTCCGAGCACTCCAGGACAAGGAAGTCATGCTTGAAACAGCGCTGAAAGTCTCTGGATTAAGACTCTTGAAGAGAAGAGACGACCTTGCGGCCTACTGTGAGCAGATCGACAACATCCCAACTTGCCAGGGCCAGGAGCTGGATACCATCATGCCAGTCTCCAAGTTTGCGCAGGCCGCAGAGCACAACGACATGGAAATGTGGCGCCGTCTCGATATGGAAAGACAGTCCATCCGCATCACCATTGGACGATTGCAGAAGCTTTTGGGCATTGAGAAGAAGATGAACCACAACAGAAACAAGAATAAGAACAGGGCAGCAAAGAAGAAGGAGAAGAAGCTGCAGCAGGGCAAGGCAACAGCGAACCAAGGGGACACCGACCACGAGGCCGAGGCCGAGGCAGAGGTGGAACCCCCTTCCATCTAAGAATGTCACGGCAGTGGAGGAGACACATGGTTGACCATGATGCTCGACGGACAGGCTACTAGTGGTTGGGAGGATCTGATAGGTTTGGTTGTTGGAAGAGGGTATCGGGTCGATTAAGAGAAGCGCAGTAGGTCTCGATTCAGCCCCCTGAAGGCACGTTGGCAATGTAACTCAAAGAGCACGTATTGAAAATGTAGACATCCGTGCATTGTGACGACCAGTACATCTATCTTCTGTCCATTGAGAGTCTTCACAGTGTCGTCTTTCTCTGGCCGTATGCTCAACTCGTACATTACTGTGCATTTTTATAGCTGCAATACTTTCAGAGCATGCGAAGGAAGTAGCTGGTGGTGAGTGCCAGAATTCGAGACCCGGGTTCATATCGATGCCTCTTTCGGCGATGCATCCCATTGTGTTATTTACTAATTGTGAGGGTCATGAAGTCACTTCAAGAGGGACAGGCGTTTGTGTTGTCGTGGTGCAAGAAAATGGTTCCTCGGCGTTTGCTCGTTGTGTTGTTCTCGTTTGCAACCCCCACTATCACTCACACACCCAACCACCTTATCACTTAAGCTTGATTCCATTCTCCGTCCTCGATCGAATCTCAACTTCTCACACTCGCCAAACTTACCAACATGGCACCACACCGTGGCACCCCCCTGTCAGACCTGCAAGAGCAATACGTGGGTATAGGCAAATCAGACATCTCCGATTGAATACTGACTAGCAACAGGTGCGAGAGCAAATCATGTCCGCCATGTTCGAGCATGTCATGGACGGCACCTCCGGCATCATCTTCGAATGCGCACCAAAGCAGACCGAGCAGCAAGGAGAGCAAGAACAGCGCATCTGGGAAATCGACAGCGACGAAGAAGAGAGAGAGGAAAAGAAGCGCGCAAAGACAAAGAGAAAGTACCAGCGCAAGAAGGAAAAGGCTCAGGCTGAGAGAGCCGAACTTCAGCAGCAGAAAGCAGAGGAGAAGGATACCCTTGCTCAAAGCCTGGCCGACATGTCTGTTCAGGACGCGCCTACTGTTTCTACCGACGAACCCAACTCAAGCAGCGACGCTCCCAACACTGCAGCTGCTACCCAGCCCAAGCTCTCGAAGCGTCAGAAGAAGACTTTGCTCAAGAAGACCAAGCAAGCCCAAGCCGCAGTCACAACTCCTGAACTCATTCACTCATCCAACGCTAGCGATGTCGCCTCTGACTCCAGCAACGTCAAATTCCAACCCACCAAAGACAAGAAGAACGAGGAGGGAAACAAGATCAAGGACAGCAGTGTTCGCGAGAAGCAGAACAACAATTTTGAAGGCAGAGGAGAAGCACTCGCTACCGACTCCGAGGTGGAGGCCGTCATGGAGACCATCGCAAAGCGTTTCGGTCAATGAAGAAGGACTTCTTGTAATGAGGGAACATGAAGGGCGGGCTTTTAGACCCAACAAGAGAATCCTAGATGGAGGGTGGTTGATTCTTCTATTTTTCCTCCGCAGCCTTCACAGACGAGTCAGGGGTCGTTTCGGCCTATCTTAGTCCAACGGATAGGTAGCTGTCACCATCAAGAAATGTCGGTCTCTGTCACTCTTGGCGTGAAACACTATGTCAAGTTCTTGAAATATTCAAAGAGGGACCATACCATCGCGAGCAAAAGCTTTTGAGCCGCCTACGTCGTACACTGCCTGTATCTTCCATATCTTCCATGCTCGTTCCTATCGTCTCTTGCAATCCATACCTAACGACCATGACTGGTTCACTTGAATGGAAAACTCCTCGCAAGGGCCGTGTTCTATACGACGCCCTTCAATATCGCAAAACTGGCGGCGCTCTTCGAAAACTCACGCGGATGAAGCATGAAGCAGGAGTCGACTGGCCTTACAACGGCAGCGTACGGACCTGGCTTCAACAATACGATACTCTGGCAAAACACAATCCTCACAAGTCTGAGATCGAGCTTCTGGATGAGGCATCTCGTCGTCGTGGTCGCACGAATCGATTTGGACGTCCGGTAAAGATACCTGCCGATGTACTCAATGAAATGGCTACTGGTCCACCGCTCGAGAGTGGAAAGCCAGTTAAGTACTGGATGGAAAAATCGAAGGCCAGCAGGTCGGTGATTAAGCGTGCACAAAAGCAAATGGCGAAGAGAGCCACCGTGGAAAACTGCACGACGCGGGCTCAGAACAGCGAGTCGGCCGAACCTTTACGGTCGTAAATTCTGCACATCTGGAATTCATCGTGTTGCCGAGTCCGCTTGTCTGAACTGTGTAGGAGAAACATCCGTCCTGTACAAGTCTGCAGTAGGAACCATCAACGACGTGTCGCAAGAAATGATTTGACGACGATGATCAGTCAACGAATCGGAGCAGGTCGCCCGTGCGGGGCTCGAGAGAACCTCCAAGATCTCGGCCGTATCAACCTGTGCAACTCTGATGAGTCAACACCGCGCATAATCTATACCGCAGAGTGCCTTGAGCGATGGATGTGCGGAGGGTCATCTCTCCGAACTGTCCCGCACCATGCGAAAAACTTCTCGCAGTCGGGGCGCCTGTCGCACCTTCTTTCTAGACAGAAGAGTCCAGACAATAATTACCGAGCGTCTAAGAAGCCTTGAGAGAAACTGTAATGGTTGCACCGCAGCACCGGATGCGTCTTGACCGGCCGAAAGATTGACGCGTCCAAGGTAGGTATATAATCTCAGTCGCACTTTCTGCGGTGTCGCAAAGAGCTTGCCATACTACCCTCCTCAAGTCGAGAACCTTTACGAAGAACCACAGCTCGCAACTCAGCAAGAATTGCGACTTCTTTCTCACCGACCAGAACACAAACCAAGAACATCAGAGCACTCAATCAACAATGTACAGCACACGCTACAACCCCGAAAAAGACATGCCGGACCTCTCAGGCAAAGTCATAGTCGTGACCGGCGGCAACAGTGGACTCGGCAAAGAGAGCATCCATCAACTTGTCAAACACAACCCCTCCAAAGTGTATCTCGGCGCCCGATCAAGTCAACGAGGCAATGCTGCGATCGAAGAGATAACATCAGCCGTGCCCTCCGCCAAAGGCAAAATCCACTTTCTCGAAATCGACATGGCATCCCTCGCATCCGTCAAGCGCGCTGCCGAGCGCATTATCAAGGAAAACGACCGTCTGGATGTTCTCATGAATAATGCTGGTCTAGCAGAGGCACCTTCAGGCTTATCCACCGATGGCTACGAAATCCAATTCGGAACCAATTACATGGGACCCACTCTCTTCACCAAGCTCTTGCTTCCTCTCTTGCAACAGACAGCCGCAACCCCCAACAGCGACGTCCGCATCATAAACCTCAGCTCCGAACTCTTCAAAATGGCGCCTACCCAAGGCATCGTCTTCACCGACCTTGGTACTCCAATGCGCAAAATCAACTCGGTGGCCCGATATGGTCAATCAAAACTTGCCAACTATTTCTTCAGCAAGATCTGTGCGGCAAAGTATTCGAACATAACATCAGTGGCGCTTCACCCTGGTGTGGTCAACACTAGTATCTGGGAAAACATGTACAAGAGACCGTATGTCGGATGGTTGTTGAGCGCGGTGATGACGCCGTTGCTCACCAACGTGCATGATGGTGCAAAGCTGCAGTTGTGGTCGGCCACGGCTAGCGAGAAAGAGGTCAAGAACGGAGCATTCTATACGCCAAGGGGGAAGGAGTATACTCAGGCGATACTCAAGAATGATAAATTGGCAAATGAACTGTGGGAGTGGACAGAGAAGGAGTTTGCAAAGCAGGGATACTAAACCGGTGTTTCTGGATGTCAAGTAGCGTTTAGGGTTTCGTATTACACTTGTAGCACCTCTGATCGATGATTTCACGTTACCTCTACAGGAACGTTTCAGCAAGGACCCAGAGGCTCGCAAGTCGACATCTAACAGCTGTCATGGACTGTCCGCTCTCAGCTTGCTATGGACTTGATCATGCACAATACTCTGTCGGCCGAACAGATGTGGATGAACCGGGACAAGAGATGCCCTCTGTGTATTCAAGATCCAACTATATCTCAAGCCGACAAGGAAAAGCATTGGGTCAAGAAGCACCAGCTCACTCGCCACATGCAAGGCGAACAGCACTCCAGATACTTCCAACTGCGCCGTCAACTGACTGCACACCACGCAGACCATGATGAAGGCGACCGCTGGACTTGCATGTATTGCCCTGCCGGCGCTGCTGACCACTACGAGCTGAAAAGGCTTATTTCCCAACATTGAAAAGAGTACTGCATCTTCTCATGGTGACGAGCACGACAAGCTCAAGCGTACCGCTGGCTGGTATGAGACTGACTTCTACGGCGAGCACTCTGATGAGTACAAGGGCGAGGTTCGTCGCAACATCCAGACTCGTCACTCCAACTTGGGTCTGGATGTTGAAGACCCCCCTGAGCTTCCACACGCAGTCCCTCATCCGACTCGTGTTGGTGTGATGCTGGGTCCTAATCCTGTCCCTGTTCCCGACTGGATCAACAGCGAGGAATCAGTCAAGTATGGCCCCATGCCTAGCCATGTGGACGCTGAACAGCAGTTGGAGGCCACCAAGGCCAGTGTCAAGACTTGGACTGACCAGGGTCTTATCTCTTTCGGCCCTATGCCAGACGCTTCTTGGCCTCTCCCTGTGATTCCTAACCACCTCAAGCGCTCCGTCGTAATCACAGACGGCCCTGGTCCCCTTAGCACAAAAAACCCCTTAAAGAGAGCTAAGAAAGATTACGCTCCCAAGGAGTAAGGCAGAAAATGACACAGGACTGATGACTTTTTTGTACAATAGAGTTACGCTAGCTACCATGGCCAAACAATGATTGGTTTTGTTCCATGACCTGAACACTTTGTGCTAGTGACTAACCTCTGATACTGCCTTCTGCACCGACCATCCAGCTCAAGCGGCAATTGCATGGTAAGATGCCTTTCTCTTGTCGATGTTTTTACTCCAACTTTGGTGCTGTCCTCCAAGGCCATAGCGAGTCTTTCTTCGTCTTCTTCAAGTGTTCGTCAGGATTCTTCCTTCTTCTCCGATGCGATAAAGCCCTTCTCATATCTCTTCGCTGTCTTTGAATGTAATGACAAGTTCTTCTCATACTTTTTCGTTCACTTCAGATGTAATGACAAGTTCTTCTCAGAGTTCTTCGCTCGCTTCCGAGACTGAGTACTTCGACGAGGAAAATCTGTTCCAGCACATCTCCTTGTCGGCTCAGACGCGATGGTGGCCATGGCTACAATGACCGGTTGAGGCAAAAGATAATAGTCAGTCTTCCCGTACCTAGAGGCGTTATCACATAGGGAGACATGCGGTAGTCAAGACACATGATCTTCGTAGAGTCTATCAACCACGACTCCACTGTAACGTACTTCTGCTCTGACGGTCTAGAGCGATTTCCCCACTATAGAGGTACACAACGGTCCTCTAGACTCAAGACGCGCCCGGAGAGAACTGGGAGCATATCCAATCTTAACAAGCATCGTCAGCACCTTCCACGCTATTGTACATATCTATAACTGTATGCAAAACATAATCTTCTACGTGGAGAGGAAACTTCTCGGCCCTGTTGATAGGTTTGGCAAGCCGTTGATGAGAACATCGGTTCGACTGCACTCTCGCAAACGTAAAGAGACTTCGCTCGTGACCGGTTCATGGCAGAGCGAGAGCGAGAGATTGTGTGTGTGTGTGTCTTTGTGTGTGCGCGCATTCAGCGAGTTCCTCTTCTTGTAGGTATGTGGTTGATTCGTGGTTTTGCGGGTTCGTGCCTCGTTGGATCATTCGATTGATTCGTCTATTGTTCAGGTAGCTGTAGAACAACCTTCCCATTCTTCTTCCTCTTCGTAACCAGCGGCATCGACTTCCCGGTCATGAACAACTTCGTCAAGAGCAACAGGGTTGTCGGCAAGAAAGTCGCACGCGGCAGCAAAGGCTTGAGCTCTCGTCTGGAACTGAAGCATGGTGACGTTGGTGAGCACCAGGGCTGGTTTCGGAAACCACTTCATTGCGGTCTCGAGGATGACTCGGGCGCGGAACTCCAAACGTTCTTGACGCTATGGGTCGTCGTCACAGCCGTCGATCATCAGCGCAGTGAGGTTAAAGGTCTTGGGGCCTTGACTTCTTGAACGACTCTTTGACGCAGAGCCGGTGCGGTCACGAAGACTGGACAAAAGGGGTTAGCAGATGATCATCTCCTCATGACAACAAGGTAACAGAGCAAGCTATCAAAATGCACAGTCTTCCCAGGAGACAGAGTCCTTCCACTGAAACCAACCAAGAACATCGCTCTCAACGAGTACAGCAAGGTAACATGTCAAGCTCACAAAAATAGAGGGGAAGCGCAAACTGGTCAAAAGGGCGACAAACAAAAAAGGAGAGATTGACAAAGGAGAGCAGTGAGAGAGAAATACAGAAGAGAGAAACTTACACCCTCGTCGCTCATGACAACATCGGCACCGGCAGGGGTAAAGTCTTCCTGTATCCGCTGTCAGCAAGCGAGTCACACACTATTGAATGTTGAACCTTACATCGCACATTCTGGTTGCTTTCGATTGCTTGACCACACTGGGATCGTATGACTGAGTGGATAGTGGATAGGAATAGGTTGAGACGGAGTGGTGTACTTATATCTGTCCCAAGACATGCCACAACATGATCTGTCATCACGTCTTAATGCATGATGCAAGAGCTTGTCTGGTCCGGGCCATCTATTGCAAGCACTTGCAGCTTCGGGTTGAGATTGTGCAGGTTTGCTGCAGGCAGAGACAAAGAATATGGGAAGAGACCGAGCTGAGCTCAGCGTTGTTTGAGGTACACACGTCCAAGTGCATGGCCCTGATGCATTCATCGACCATCTTCATTCTACGACAAGATCTTGTTGATGTCCTTTTGAAGTCTAGCGAAGCCTAGGTGGTTGCTGAAGACATATCTTTGTGCAACCCATGTCATACCAAAAGTGTATTGATTTAGTCAAGTGAAATTGAGCATCGGTGAGTGCAGACTTACAGGATTGACACACATGCCACATGTACGCTCACGGGAGCCCGCCAGAAAGGACCGTGATTTGTGTTTGACATTCTGATCCACAAACGTGCATTCTCCTTGTTTGTCTTCCCGGCTGGAGTTTAGAGCTTGTCAAACGGTAATAGAGCAAGGAAGCTGTTGGCTTCTACAGAATTTCTTATCTCCAGAGTGTACGACACTGGCAAATTTGAATCTTGAAGGTGGATCAATCGATCCGGGTGTGAGGCCCAAGGGTCGGTTGTTGGTGCATCTTACGGGTTGGTGCTGCGCTTGCGTGCATGGGGAACCAGCCGTCTTGACAATCATCTCTGTAGATGGATCCTAAGCAACCACTCAGATCGATGCCATAGCTTTCAGGTTCAGTCGTTGATGCCTCATTCCCTATGGGCGTCATGTGGGTATCCTAATTGCGGATTGACGGTGAGGCAATGGAGTGGGGGTTAGGCCTGACGTCCTGTTGGTCATTCAGCTTCCTCAAAGATGCTTAGCATAACTTGTAGATGGATTGAAATCACTTGAGTAATTGCCGACCTACATAAAGTTTAGGCCTGGGACGTTCGGTGGGCTCAGTGGTATGGAAAAAAGCTGAAGTTGGGACGTAAAGTATGGCTAAGCTTGTAGTAGAGATATATTGTATATTTGTTGACATTGACGATAACAATAGCCCTGCTGGCGCAATGGTAGCGCGCAAGACTTCTAATCTGAGATCTTGAGGCTGTGGGTTCGAGCCCCACGTGGGGCTAGCTTTTTGCACTATGTCACATCGTTGTATCTTCTTTTTGCTCCTAAACATGCGTAGATGTGGTCGGAATCGTGGTCGAGGTGATATTCATGATTTTGTAGAGATTCGGAGATGTGGTGGGAGCGGCGTTGCGAAATCTTGGCATGAGTCAGGGTCTACGTGCCAAGACTCGATCACGAGGAGTCAACCATGACCTTTCGCTGTGGGAAAGTTGACAAAACCAAAAGATGGGAATGCCCTGTGATGTAGGTAGAACATAGGCACATGAGAAGGAGTTCGACCAGAGGACGGTACGAATGTGTCGTAGGCCGTTGCGTCTGCTCATAAAACTGCTGGCTACTCCTTCCCCTTTTGCTCCAGTCGTTCCTTGCTCCTTAGCACAGCATACTCTGCGTCTCCGATCAAGACTGGCTGATCAGTTGCCATAATAAACGTGAGGATAAAGCACGATGGCTTCGTTGACAAGAGATGATCCTGGTCTCTAAGTGTTAAACCTCTCCAGGCACGATGGTCTGCCGAAATCTGCTTCCATACACCCATGTTCGTCGTCGATCGACAGATCTAGCTGAGATATAGATGCTGCTGTCGAAAACTCTTGGCATAAGCCGCTTTAGCTCATCTGGGAGAGCGCCAGACTGAAGTCCACTTCACGTCTTCCTTTATCAGGAGTATTCTGGAGGCACTGTGTTCGATCCACAGAAGCGGCATCTGATATTTTGTTTTGCCTGGAGGCAGGCCTGTGAGATGTCATCTTGCCAGACATGTGTTAGAGGCTAACATTAGAGGAGCGGGTTGGCCTCTGTCCCGGATCGCAAAGATTTCGCTCGTCAGTATGGTGTTTGAACTCTGAGTTTTGCATACCTGTATGGCTGCATGGGGGAATAGGAGAAGTAGTTGTGACACTTACCGTGAACATCCAGTAGTCGACTCTGTTGTGTCTGGAGATCCATCGGTTCTTCTTTTGATCCTCTCTCAGAGTGACGTCTAATCGTAATGTGTGCTTGAAAACAATCCTCATCATCATTAGTATTTCAACAGTAGGTAGACTCGACAGTCATCGATCATACTGCGCTTAGAGGGTGATAGCAACAAGCGAAAGAGCTCGACTAATTGAATGGGTAGTTCAAAGAAAGGATTGGATATGTATTTGACTCGATTAGTGCTCGATGATGGCACCTGCCAGGGTGTTGCTGTCAGCATGAATGCCGTAGCTGTTGACGCTAATATATTTTATGTTGCAAACTATCCTTACATCAAATCCGATATGGTCTAGTGGCTAGGATTTCTCGCTCTCAAACCGTTCTTAGCGAAGAACAACTAGGTCCGAGGAGGCCGGGGTTCAATTCCCCGTGTCGGAATCACCTTTTGCCTGTCATCGACAAGTCGCGTTTCCTTTTTCCTAGGAGCTCTATGGTGTTGACAATCTTTCTTGCTGCAGCAAGCTCCCTTCGAAGCATCACATGGAACTTATGCAACCACACGGAGCAACTCGACCCCCGACCTCTTCGGATCTGGTCGTCCTTGCGAACGGTTTGAGAGCGAGATTAGGTAGTTAGGGAGGGCACGGGCATCGCACTCATCGCTCGCGACGGAGGTTCCGCGTTCCGAAGACGACCTTGTCGGCAGGCGCGGCAAGCGATGAACGACATACGGAGGACTCGGGTGTTGGGATGCGTGCAGTGAGATGATGAAGTCATTGTGTTGTCGTCCATGTGGCATGGCGCGGGTCGGAAAGACGTGTATGCTGTTGCTGCAGGCTCAGCTTACCGACATCTACCGATGCTGCTTGCATTGATCAGATAGGAAGATGCAGGTAACGTGGATGCAGGAGGTGATTTAAAGACCACGATTAGTTGTCCTTACTTGTAGAGTGGTTAATATGGACATGGCTATCTGAGGATATGAACACTTGAAACAGAAGAGTGGGAGAAGAGGCTCTCTGTTCGTTAGCTCTTGATGACAGCGGCTTCGTACAGTATAGTGTGCATACGATGTGCGTATAGTGTACACCAGAATAGGTGGTCTATTTTAGAAGACTCTCATATCGATGAGATTTGATTGCAGATGCATCCACGTTGTCACCTGGGAGCACAGCATACACATTCGGTGCATGATCTAGTCTTGACCAAACTCGACGGTCGCGTGATCATCGTTTGCGAACATTGAACGATATGTTCAATTGTCCTCGTGCTGTATCTCTGGCAAACAGTAGGAGAGTATAATTGTGTCTGTGTGTGGGATAGTTCTTGCGCACATCAGACCGTCGATTGTATACATATAGTCTCTGGTTCGCTGTAGCATTAAAGGAGTGATCATACTCAAGACAGCCATGCCACTACTCGCTCTGCCCCTTACAAGTATACTGGTCTTACAGGCGGCCGGTCGATCGGGACCCGTTATGCCTCAAGGCATTCAATTCTTTGTCGCCCTCTCAAGGCGTATATACTAGACGTACTACACCAGGGACCGCCATTCCACAGCTGACGAGTCCTGTCTTGGTACATGCTGTGCGTGTCACACCAAGACTGGACCGTCAAGCTTAGACCGTCGAAATTTATTCTCTTGAATAGTTAGGCTGCTTAGGCGGGAAGTATTGCGCGACTTACATCAGAAAATGGCGAATGGAGAAGAGAGAATGCCTTTGCGCCATCTCCAAGATCCATGAACCTGGAGTTCGGATATCGTCGATTTGCTTGCAGGATTGGGATGCCTGAGGAAATGCAGTTCATGACAGATTAGGCAAGTCCAGGTTCGCGGGTATAAAGCTTGATGAAACAACCTACGCTGCACACCGCAATGCAAAGACCATAGACCAGAAAAAGGGTTACGAGGTCCAGAAGGTGGAGTAGGTTGAAAAATCTTCCTTCGTAGGCCTGACCTTCCTTCATGTTCCGGACGGTGATTGCTAATCGCAAGCACCATATTGGTGGCACTGCCGTTTGAGATGTAATGTGCCCTGGAGATCGGGATGATCCAAAGTCTGAGACTCGCACAGTCCGATGTGATTTATCAGTTTTTGCATACGGTAAAGTTCCATCACATGCGGACAGGATTGACAGGTCGATCAAAGCATGACATATATGGCTTTGCTGGCCCTTTGCATCACTATGGCAGTGTGGCAGACAAGAATACAAAACAGCCAAGGGACGTTATGCGCCAGCCCAGCTCAGTCTGAAACCTCGGCGCTGGGCTGTCATGGCGAAAAAGCCGACGTTGTGACGGAGACGCTGTTCAACCGAGTTCAATCCGGAGGCTCCGTTGCGACATTAGTATGCGAAAACAACGCAGCGTCAATTGGAGAACGATAATCAAGGATCGAGAAAGAAGAAGACAAGCCCAACGGCTGTCGGGGGAGAGAAGACAGAGAGAGAGAGAGGCACATGGCAAACATGCGGGTGGCCAGAAAGGTTAAAAGGCAGTTGACGGCAAGCAAAAAAAGACAGGTGATCAACGAAACGCGACTGCTTCGTACAAAGTGAGATCGTCGGCAAGCGGAATACGAGTGACACGAGAGAGCGTGGGCAGTTGATGCAGAGAGGATGAGAGCGACGATGAATTCATTGCCCATTCTTTCCATATTCCCCTCTTCCCCATGGCGATGGATGTTTCCCTGCAGGATGTTGTGTCTTGATCCTGTCATTTTGAGAGATGTTGTGAACGGTTTCTCGTGGAGGAAAGAGGGAATTAGAAAGACGGAGCTTGGCGCTCACAGTGGCCGGGTCAAGAAGGCAGCCAAAGCATCCGGCCGGAGCAAAAAAAGGACAGTGCATCGAGATTGGCATCAGGATACGCGAGGGTACGCGTTTTGACACAAGGGGGGTCTAGAATGGATGTGCTGTTGGGTGCAATCAAAGACGGTGAGCAGCCATGCAGAAACGAAGGGTTGGTCGAAGGATTGAGAAATGGGGCGACAAGGTTCAACAGACAGAGGGTAAACAATGGGATTGTTGCTTCTGGTCAGCTCTTCTGCTCGCAGACAGACGGAGAAGGTTGTTGACATGGACGAATGTTTCAATATTGACCAGGGGTGGTCAGGGAGACTAGGCTGGTTCCTGCCTTAGCGCAACGGGCAGGGCGCAACGGGGCTGGGTTGATCAGTGGACGAGGTGGACGGAGGGAGCGGGAGGATGCACTCGAGCAGTCAGGCAGGCACACGGACGTCGCTGTTGGCGGTCGTGCCTTTCTCTTCTTTGATTGTTCTCCGTCCTCGCTCCTTGTCCAAGTTTCCGTCTGTTCATCATCAACTGCACTAGCCAGACCCCGTCCGACACTGCCTGTTCACCTGGCAGAAGCCATTCGCTATCTAGATATTCTTTCCCACGCCACACACACGCATCATCCCTGGTATCCGACTTTACATTCCTCGAGCGTCTGTTGACCAAAACATCATTCCACCCACCCTCGGCAGCTTGCGACACTTACTGCGGCAAACTCGAAACCTGGGGGCTTTCTGCAAAGCTTCTACTCTCTACCGAACATCACACACATCGCCGTGCTGGTCACGATCGTGTGCTTTTGGCTTGGTCAATCCCGACACGAGGTTGGCATCTGACCCGCTCACTACTGGTTGCACGACACCGCAACTGACGTTACTCAAGTCGCACCATCCGACACTCTCACATCTTCTGCAACTCTCTCGACCGACCTTCCTCCTTCTCCACTCACACCCACGCCTCATGTTGTCAACAATGCGCTCCGTGACAGCACTCACCCTCGCCCTGTCGGCTCTCTCAGCCCAGACAGTATCCGCACTCGTCGCTGGCCCTGTCACCGATGCTGGATGCTTCAACGACTCTACCGGCCTCGACGACAACGGAGTCTACAACTACCAGTCCAAGGGCCACTGTCAGGAGACATGTATCAACGCCGGTGCTACCGTCATGGCTATGACCAACGCCAACGAGTGTTGGTGTGGTACCTCTCTGCCACCAAAGAGTGCTCTGCAGAGCGACAACTCCAAGTGTAACAAAGCTTGCGTCGGTTATCCCACTGATGTTTGTAAGTAGACACGCTGTCCACCAACATGTGAAAGCACTGACCCAGTTACCAGGCGGTGGCAACGGCTACTGGAGCGTTTATTTCACAACCACCGACACCGACATTGATTACTCTGGCGGCGGCGGCTCGTCTGGTGCAGCAGCAAGCTCAGCCAGCTCATCATCATCCGCGGCCGCAGCAAAGTCTTCTGCAGCTTCTTCATCCTCTCCTGCATCATCCCCGTCGACAACAAGCGCCACATCCGCATCCTCTGCACCAGGCAGGGCCACCGTCATCACCAGTATTGCTCCTGGCACGACCGTCATCATTACTCAGACTCCCATTCCTCAAGTAACCAGCACCTCGGAACCCAAAGAGTCGAAGAAGGGAGGCTCCAACACTGCTGGAATTGCTGCTGGTGTTGTTGTCGGCATAGTCGTTATTGCCGCACTCATCGGTGCCGCATTCTTCTTCTGGCGCCGCAAGCAACGTCGTGAGGCAGAAACTGGTCACCAGCAGCTCAACGACTACTCAAACACCTCTCAAAAACCCATGGCCTTCAGACCCACCTCAGGCCCTGATTCCCGCATCGACCCTGATGCTATGGCTTCAAGAAGAATGAGCGACGGTAGCATTGCCGATAATGAGGATTACTCGAGGAGGATATTGAAGGTGCGTTGAATGCTGCCAATCAAAACACACTCGAATACTGACGTGTCCCAGGTCACCAACGCTTGATGATCCGATGAGCGCTCGACTCTGCAACATCCACGACCTTGAACGACTTTACAAATATCGACCGTCCTTTCTCTTCACGCTTTCTTACAACCCTTCTCTTTTCCTCGACTTGTTTTCTGGATAAAGGCGTCACACCACTCCAGCGCTTTTTGTGATATTGAATGATGAGGAACACTTTACTGTGCCATCTTCGTGTTGGATTGGAGAGAGCATATTCCATGTTGCTCTATTCCGCCAGAGAACATTTTTTCCTTTTGTCTTCTTGTGTTTCTTTTTTCTTCTCAACTATTCCCTTTCTCTCTTGTCCATATAACAACCATCATCCACCGAGACCCCTTTTTTCACACATGCACCCAAACGTCAGAATGGTAGACGCACATAACCCACAGCTCTGTAATGGACTCTGTTTCTCTTCACAATGGGTGCGAATCAAGAAGCTCTTTTGACCAACAACGAGTGAATGTCAGTTTTGGCCTGATTTTGTCGTTCCAGTGTTTCTGTGATGTCTCGTGATTGCCCCTGAAAAAAACTCGCTCACGCGACCTCACACCTCCCGCAACGCTCCATTCTACCACCAACCCTTATATTCTCTAAACATTCTGCCTCCCATCAGACAAGCCAAGAAGCCGTGGTGGTGCAGTGGTCAGCACACCCGATCCGGAATCCTACGTTCTCTAAGTTCGCTCATTTACCTAAGTCTCCAATACACTCTCTCACGGATCGGGAGGTCGTTGGTTCGAATCCAGCCCATGGTGCTTGATTTTTTTTTTCTCCTATGGAGGTGTCGATGTTGTGTTTGATAGATGATGTCGATTGGCGTACCTCTCCATGACATAAGTTCCTCCAGACCAGGACGAATTGACGATACACAGAGAGCTAGCTACATAGACTGTGTTGTTGTCAAGCAATACGATATAGACGATGCAGCGTTCAAGCGATTCAATACCTCTCAATCAACCATGCATGTCGTTCCTTCTCGTCCATCTCGTCAAGCATTTCCCTCTCGGCCTTCTTCATGACCACGTAATCGTTGATTAATCTCTCATTCAAGTATCGCTTCAACATCCCATCTTCCTCAAGCTCTCGTAGTGAATCCTCAAGTGAAGTAGGCATCTTCTTCGCGATACCGAGTGTATTCAATTGAGCTTCAGTCAACTGTGCTGGGTTTGTGATGCAATCCTTCATCACCATCTGCTTTTCAGTCTCCACACCATTGAGACCAGCAGCAAGCACAGAAGAAAGAGCAAGGTATGGATTCGCAAAGCCATCGAGACAGCGAATCTCCCATCGTCCTTCGCTGACTCTACGCAGCGGCACTTCTCTGTTTTGCGTGCCCCAAGCCACCCAAGTCCCACTGGTCCACATGTCATCGGCGATGCGGGTGTAACTTGCTTCGTTGGGAAGCAAAAAAGCACACAGAGAAGGTAGATGTTCGAGAACACCGGCGAAGAAGGAGAATTCGTTCTTGGCCAGATCTTGGGGGGATTGAGCGGTCGAGTTGAGCGAGATATGAACGTGTTGGCCAGAGCTGACACCCTTGAGCGGCACGGGGTGCAGTGTAGCGCGGAGTTTGTGCAAGCGAGTAATCTGTTGAACCACTTGGCGGGCTTGTACCAGTGTATCAATTGCCTCGACGATAGGCAAAGGCGGCAGCACGAATTCATATTGTCCAGCACCAGACTCGGAGTGAAATTGTTGGACATCGATACCGATATTTGACAGCTCGTCAGCAATTTCTGCAAGTACCGGAAGTGCGATTTCGAATTGCTCGGGCGTAAACGTTCCCCAGGCGTGATTTGTGGTCCATGGACTGTACTGGCTTTCCGAATCCTGCTTGAGAAAGACCACTTCGATCTCAAACCCAGCAAGGAATGTGATTCCATGGTCGTCTGAAAAGCGATCCACCAGAGTACGAAGAGTGTTTCTCGGACAGCAATCCAAGCGACGACCGCCCTCATTACAGAAAGACCCCAACACTGTCGCTGAAGCTAGCGGATCTCGAGAATGCGTGATTCTCAACGTCGAAATGTCAGGTTCGACATAGATTTGGCCGGCGGATGAGATTGCCGATGTGACACGGTCATTCTGTAGAGTCCCTGTATTGCCCAGTGAAATGCCGATACGCTCGCCGTTTGGAATCAAGCGGCGAAATTCAGCGATTGGCATCATACGAACACGTAGCGTACCAAGGTAGTCAAGCCATTGGACGTAAACGAACTTCAACTCTGAGTACTGTTCGAAAAAGGTCGCGAATGCGTCCAAGTCGTAAGGCTCCTTTTGTGACTCAGGCTCCTTCCATGCGAGCTGCGGAGGCTGAGGAGCTTGCATGATCCTAGCTTCGCGATTGCTCTGTGCTCTGGCTCGTCGTGTAAGAGCGTCCTGTTGGATCTATCAGCAAAAGTTTCAGCCATTGGGTAGACAACATCCCTGTAGATTCATACCAAGTCTCCTGATCGCGTAGATTGTTCTGGTAGACCTACGGGTTGCATCTCTGGCAGCTCTACGTCAAGATTGTAAATCCGTTTCGAGTTGTTGAAGTAGATGTCCTTTGCAGCCTGAATGGCCTGCGTAGCCGTAAGGTCATCGTTCTCTACATACTCAACCAGAACCTTTTCAAACGCTTGTCTGAACTGCTTCAAGGCAAGCCAGTAGACTTCGCCAAAATGATGGGCGTCAGTACTGAAAAGCAGTTTTGAGTACGGCGTAATCTCCATGCATTGACGTAGAATAGTCTCTTGCCCGTTTCTGCTGACCTGTGGGAATACTTCACCAAGGTCAAGATAGACGTTCTTGTAGACCGTCGCTAGGTAGCCGGCTTGACGCATGTAAGGGTAAGACGCGTGGAGAAGGATCATCTGAACGTCGGGGAAAGCAGTGATGAGAGGCTGGAGATGTGATGGGTCGGACAGCAGCAGATCAATGTCTGCATCACCAAGACCTGTGTGGAACTGTAGCGGTTTGCTGATCGAGTCTTGCTTGGCCGCTGCGCTCAGAAGTCGACATGTTGAAATGACAAGACTATCGTTCAATCCCTTGGACCCAACACGGAAATCATCTTGCACGCATTCTGGAAGATAGCCGCTCTGGAATGCCTCAAGGCCACTGGTGGCTACTTGAACATCTCCAGCAATCTTGACGTCCAGACCGGTTCTGTAACAGATCACAGATTTGAATCCAGCGACATCCGGATCGTTAATTTCGGTGACGATGGCGGTCTCAAAAGCTTGGAGAAAGGCAATCCAGGCTTCGGCACACATGTCGTCGTTGTGTATAGCTGGTCCAATAGGAAGAGTAGCCTTCCTGTGCATCTCACGCAGAATGTCTGCAGCCAAGGTCTCGATGCGAACGATCCGTAGTGTCTTGTCAAGGATGAAGTCGTCGTGCCAGTCGTACAAGTAGACTGTTGTGTCGTCCAGACCATCGTCCATGAGGATGGTGTGTATGCCAGTAAAGCATCTCCGAAGGAAGCTCTCGAAATCACCTTGTAAGAAATCTGTCCTCTTTTCCATCAAGTCATCCCATGTTGCACTATCATGGAGATCATAGAGCTCGCGCAACTGGCGGACAGCTCGGATGTGTGATAGCGATGTTTTGGTGTCTTGGAGAGCAGCTCCATGGGCTTCTGTAGTTGCGGTCAAGAGGTCGTGAGCTTCCTGTTTCGAAGGAAGCAGAAGGTTATGCGCGTGATTGTCTATCACTGGGCAGGAGCGGACAAAATTTCTCAAGTCGTCCAATGTAGCCATATTTGCTCATGGGTGATTGTATTCACGTTGAGAGATGCGCCAGAGAATACATAGGTATCACCCAAAGCCTTATCGATAAGCTGACGTCGTCCTCAGATCCACTCTCAAGTCACATCTGGACGTCTTGAAGTGACACGAAACAATCCTTACGAGACTCGAGTATTGATGGACATTTTTTAGAGATTGAAGAAATCTGTATCATGGTATTCATTAGACGAATTCCGGTTCGTCGTTACTTGGCTTCCGATCCATTTCCGAATGCTGCAATCCGACCACGAGTTTACTCGTTCTTCTTGATAACCTTCTTACCCATGCTGAGACCAAGACCGTAGTCATAAACGAGAGTACCGCCAAGATTCGCTCCGAACATCAACAGAGCTCCCAGCACAATGCTAGCGCCGACCATCCAGTTCTGAGGCTCGTAGGACATAGGGTTAAGTCCCTCCTTGATGTACTCCAAGCTAGAGGCATTTCTCCTCTTGTACCAAATCCAAGCCGACACAGCAATGACAACATCATTGACAAGGGCGTGTGCAATCAAAACCTTTGACTTTTGCTTCAGCTTGCCGCTCTGGTCGTAGAGACCTTGGTTCTGGACCATTTTTGCGCCTTGGACGATGCCGGAGGCGGCCGAGGGGAGAGCAGTCAGGATGCCGAGTCCGAGCGCCCAATAGCCGATTCTTGTGGTCTCGACGACGGTGGGGAGATAGTTTGTGGCGATGCTGGGGAGGTATGGGCGGATGACGTGGAGGGCATCGAGACCGTAAGCTGTGGACAGAAAGGCGATGGGGAAGTGGACGGTCGCAGGGTGGACGGGGTGACTACGCGGGTAAACATGTCAGCTCTGTTGTAGCTGAACGCGTATCCATCACATTGTTGTCGTTGATCAACAAGAGATAGTGTGGGGAAAGCTCTTGACTTACTCGAGAGACATGATGGATGAAAGTTGTGGATTATCAAAACTTGGTATGATTCTGAGGAGTAGGACAGAAGACAACTGTCGGAGAATTTAGCTAGGATGTCGAGGAAAAGCAAACAAACACCTATCGATAAATATCGAGTCCCTGGCCCGAGAAATGGGTGAGATGTTCATCGGCCCCTCCGCTTCCGGCGAATCGCAGCTTCAAGAATGGTAAGAATGGTCATAATGTGGTCATCAATACTGCACCCTGCTGTGACTCGTGGCTTCACGACATGACAGAAGCAGGACACGAACAGTGTTCCATCATGCGCTGGATTGCGCAGGACGATATCTATTCATTCCGTGCTACTCTTACATTCTCTTCGTGCAGCCGAATAGGATGTGCAGAACAAAACACGAGATAGAGCTTGGGCCAGGTCGAAACAGAGAGCTCCGTAACTCCCAATTGGCAAGAAAGTCACTCCAACCACCACACCAATAGCAGGATCAACGAGAGCAAAAGGAAACATGACAATCTGGGAACCGAAAGACAAGTTTTATCAAGGTCGTACTGGGGCTCGAACCCAGGACTCGAGAAGCTTTTGAGGACATGATCAAAATCTCGCGTGCTAACCGCTACACTATACAACCGTGTTGCTGAGCCCAAATCCGTCACGTTGGGTTTTAATCTCTACCAACAAATTCAGAACCATCGATAGCACAAACTCATCGATGTCCATGCATTATCTCGGACTGTCAAAGACACACGGCAAAGGTGTGAAGTGTGATGGGTGAACCGATCCTTTACCAACGTGCTGTACACAGGTCGTCTCCTACTCTATCTCTTCAAGCAATTTCATCATCATAACAGTCATATTCCTCATCAAGGTCGTTCATCTCCATACATCCATCGTGCCATCCATCCATCAGTACCTATCCCACCCAACGACACACCCATCATCCTCATCTTCATCGCCACTATGCACGGCATTATCATCACTCCCACTCTCATACCTCTGGTCTTCTTCATCAATGACACCATTCCCATCCTCAATCTCCGGCCCCTTTTCAGCAATCTCACTCTCAATCAAACTCTTCAGAAGACCGCAGAACTCGGCGTGCAGACGCACGAAAAAGTACTCGTCGCCTACGATTTCAGCCAGACTGCGAGTCTTGGGAACGTTTGCTAGCGGAGAGGCTGCGGACAGAGAAGAGCGAGGATAGCCATCCGGATCCACTGATTTGGCGGATAGAAAACTGGACACGGGCGTGACTGCCGCAGGTGTAGGTGTTGACTTTTGAGGGTGGCTGGTCGAAGACGCAATAGACGAGGCCTGCGAATCCGTACGTCGTGGTTGTGGAGGAGAAACAGGCGAGGGAGTAGGTTCAGCTGATCCCATAGACATTGGCGGCGAAGGCGTGGCACTTGAACTGTAGCTTCGCAAGGACCCAATATTTGCCGCAGACGCTTCTATCGGCGAGTCTTGTGTGCTGTCTCCTTGTTGTAGGGCTGACAGATGTGTCTCGGCGAGCGTGATGATTGACTTGGCCCACGCCTCAAAGGCACGGCGGACGGTCATCTGGTGTCGGAAGAGTGACCGCGAGCCCACAGCTACAAACGCATATGCTCTTCTCTGTCCCCTAGCTCTTGGATCTGGCAGTCGGAAGACGTGTGCGACATTGACAGTTCTAGAGTCCTTAGGTCCTTGTGTCGCCAGATCGGTGGTCAATGTGATAGAGCCAGAACTCTGGCCACGGGGAAGAGATTCGACGGCCAGGGCTCTTGTACAGGCATCACGTAGTAGAGGGTTCGAGGGCGCTCGAGTGGTGGCAAAGGTGGAATCGCGCCATTTGCTGCGGAGTACGGGGGGAGTTGTTGTCGCGGCTGGCACGTTGTACGAGCAGTTGGCGCAACTCGTGCCCGTTTCGTTGGGCGGCGGCGATGTTGCAGTCGGCGACTGGACTGAAGTGGTCAAGAGAGCCTGCGGCCCGTGGATCTCGCAGAAGTGTCCCAGCGATATCAGCGTGTCGGCCATGAAGGTTGATGACCAACGTCAGGGTCAGCTTGCTTTGGCTCGCGTGGCATTGGCTGTGGGGGCCGATCCACATGCGCCTCGACAACGTCCTGCATACAATACAATCTCTTCTCCTTTGTCACAACACCACTCTGACGACAGTTGGCAATATTGAGCAATCAAGCTTCATTGGTATTCTCAAGAGACCCTCAAGAAGCTACCTATCCATGCTCCATCTAGAGCCCAAACCTATACTCGGCTGCATGTAGCAAAAATATCTCATAACCATGCTGATCAGCAAAACTTGCACTCCCCTCGGACTCTCCGCCCTCGCTGCCATGTCAATCATGTCAACCGTCTCTTCGATCTCCGAATCCTGTAGCATGTGCAAGCCGCCTTAGCCCTTCATCTTCTTTGTGCCTGTCTGGACGTTAGCAGCTGATACTGTCAAGACGGCGGAACATGCAACTCACTACCGACAATCATGAACGTGGCCTCGTTCTCGGCCGAGTCCTTGTCTTGGAGTTGCTCTTGAACGGCACTGGCAAACGTCATGTCACTGGTGACGAGCTGGTTGAATTGTCCCCATACGACCATCTCTTCAGGACCGAGTACTTGCTCGCCCTTAAGCTGACGCAGAAAGTCCGCAAATGACAAGTCGCGCAAATCTTGGAGGGCCTCTGGTGCCGCATCTCTTCCGTTTACAGCAGTCTGGCACCGCCACAGTGGGAACGAGAACAGAGTACGGCTCCAGGGATCAGACGCGCTAGGTTTGATCACGACGATAATCTCACTCAGCTTGGGCTTGGAGTAGAATCCACTCAGACTGTTTTCAACAGACTGGTGAACTGAATCCATTGGTGATCTTGAAGGCTGGCCGAATGGCCTGTCGAAAGGCGACTCGGAGAATCTGTCGACGAGTTGGTCACTGGGTGACGGGAGCTTCTGATTGATGGGTTTGAAGCTGAATGGACTGTCGAGCCCGCGGGGACGCGCTGGGACAGGTCTGGGGGGACTGTCTTCTTGCTTGAGGAAGGGGACGATATGCTTTGCTTGGCCCAAGTCTGGCTTCAACGCGTCGGTCTTCTTGCTCCTTCTGCCTTTGGAAGCCGCCTTGGTTGCGCCGTTGCTTTCGTTGTAGGCGAACAGGTAGTTGGCGAGAATCTTGCGAATCGAGCTCATGGTCACTTCCTGCGTAGTCTTGGTCCAGTCCCATTGACCGGCGAACTGAGCGAAGATCTGATCCTTGTGGGAGGTGTACAGTGCATTGCGATCTTTGCCGATGGGGGTTGGCGCGATTGTCTTTGCGGAAGCACGCAGAGCCTTCTCAAGGCGTTCCTGCTCGGCTGTCGAGAAGTTGTGTAGTGCAGCGAGACCTTTGCTGGTACTAGCCAGCTTGGTCTTAGTCACGTCCTTGGGCATGGTTGACGTGGAGTAGTGGACAGATGATGATGAAGAGGAAAGTGGAGCGGAAACAGGAATGGATTGTGCTGAGGTGAGTGTGGTGTTGAATGTCTGTTTTGAGATTGGAAGGTAAGTGACTTGATTGGCACGTGAAAGCTCCGATGGCGACTTCCTCGCGTAGGAAGGCCAGACCGTCCAGTTCTCTCTCTCCGCATCCACCTTTTGGCGTGCTTGTCGTCCTTAAGTTCCAAACATTGATTGCTGAGAGAGATTCGGGCTGAACTGTGCAATGGGCGAGCAGCTGTAGGCTCAGCACCCTTGACAGACTAGTCTCTTCACTATACGCAACGTGATCAACACATCGCATGTTGTCAAGACGGTTCAAGTGAAACTTCAGCGGACTAGACAAGTTCGTAAGGAGACATCATATGTTGACATACATGTATGTATTATATCTATCTACAACGACCTGAATCGCGACATCATAACCGCGATCATAACTTCCGAGACACGCTCTCATGATACTCAACACAAGTCAAACTGCAGAACAGTAATGCTATACTTGGGCACATCCCAAGACCAAGCGGATCCGTTTGCCGAGCTTGCTGTCGACTCAACCTCGGCAGGACGAGGAACAACCTCAGTCTTGTTTCCAACATAGTTGTACGAGTTGAGATCACTAGCAGTGATGGAAGTACCATTGACGCCCGAGTATGCCGAGGGAATGTTGACGCTGAGAGGCACAGTCGAGTTCAGAGTGTTGATGACCTTGAGGTACACAGCATTGTTCTCTCCGTCAATACTGGCAGCCCAGAACAGAGGGTTCAGCTCTCCCTCGGTGGCAGTGACGGGCAATGTCTCGGTGCCGCGGTAGTGTGCGAACAGCCACTGTTGCCAGTAACTAGCACTCAGTACGGTGTTGTCATGTAGAGCATCGTACGAGATCATGTCGGGAGTCCAGTTGGTGAAGTTACGGTTCTGAAGCGATGGTGCGTATGAAGACATCTTGACAGTGTTGGGGTTGCGCTCTGCGCCGAGTGCGTAGACCCCCTCGGCGATGGCAGAGAGGAGACGAGGGTACTGAACATGGACATCGAGAGGGTAAGAGTAGTTGACGATGCCAGAAGGTGTGTCGATTTGGATAACCGAGTATTCACCCAATAGAACAGTGACGTCGGTGTTGTTCGTCTCCTCCTGCCAGTTGTCCCAAAGGTCGAAGTTGGCCAAGAACCACGAGGGCTCTTGGTAGCCATGCCAGTCCCACATGTTGCCCTCAGGAATGCTGATGTTGTAGTTGGCGGCGTTCTCGTTGAAGGCAGTGCTAATGTAAGTGATGTTGGGATATGCCTTCTTCAAACCATCATACATGATCTGGAAGCGGTAAGGGTAGGTCACACTGAACCAATCCTCGTTACCAATCTCGACAAAGTTGATCTTGAACGGCTCAGGGTGGCCATCGGCGATACGTACGGCACCCCATCTGGTGGAGTTGTCGCCCATGCAGTACTCGAGCTCGTCCAAGGCTTCTTGCAGAATTTCAGGCATTTGCTCAGGAGGGTAGGAAGCACCGTTCTGTCCATAGACGTCGAGAGAGAAGCCAGCGTAGACAGCAAGAACAGGTTCGATATCCATAGCTTCAGTCCACTCAAGGTATTCGAGCAGACCAAGGCCTTGAGTATTGTAGTAGTTCCAGTCACCGACACGGCCAGGGCGGTCCTGCAACGGGCCGAGAGTTTCCCACCATTTCCATCTCTGGGCAGGGCTGAAGCCTTCGAGGTTGTTGCCACCAGGGAACCTCAAGAACTGAGGGTTGAGATCGTAGAAGCCTTGAGCAATGTCCGGCCGGAGTCCATTCTTGTATCCCTTGAACGTCTCGGGGAATACTGAGACCAAGTTGAAGTAGAATGTTTGTCCAGCAACCTGGGCACCGTCGAAAGTGATGGCGAAGGTGTTGTTGGCGTCAGGAGCGGTGGCGTTAGGATGAAGAGTAGTCTCGAGCTGTTTAAAGTCGATGTATGTTGGTGTAACATTCTTGAAAGTCGAGCTTGCCCAAGTTTCACCAGTGACGTTCGAGCGGAAGGACACGGTGATATCGCTCGCATTGCCTTGGGTGTTGCGAGGGTAGTTGTTCAAGTAAAACAGAGAAGCGTTGTATTGCTGGGGACGGACATCGAAGCCCCACCAACCAAAGTTCTGGAAACCAACCTCTCCTGTGGCATTCAGAGGGAAGTCAATTTGGAGGGAAGTTTCTAGAGCATCAGAAAGAGGGTGGAGAATATCAAGAGTCATCCGCACTCCATCACCAATGGGCGCCCAAGCAGTCATGACAGGATCAAACGGAACGACCTCATTCTCAGAGCTCGTCACATATGTGCCAACATAGCCATCGAGTGCGCTGATAGTAACACTTGATCCTGCTTCGCATGAGTATAAGTCGCCAGCTACGAGATGTTTTACACATACCCTGGAAAGCGCGGTTGGCGATCATTTCTGCGTAAATTCCGCCATCTCCGGAGTGGTTGATGTCCTCGTGCATGATGCCATAGAGGTAAGGAGATGTGGTATTGCGCTTGCTGCAGTCAAGCGTGTCAATGTGCAAGGCGACCGGAGAGTTGTCATTGCGGGTAGCATTGATGTACGGTTGGTATGAAGGAAGTGATGAAGATAGAGCTGTATCATTGTTGAACTGGCGTGGAGCCACGTGAGGCAACCTTCTGGCACTGGCTACACCGGCGCCGGTGAGGGCGAGAGTTACGAGACCAAGCATCTTCGTTTAGATTCAACGTCGAAGAACGAAGCTGCCAATGGTAAGAACATTGTGGGAATGCTTCGCTCTATATATCGAGCCGTCCGTTATTATCCTGACCATATCGAGCCAAAAGAGACTTTGTCCGCGATCAAGGTGGAAGGAACCGTCAACACCGAACTGTTCTCATGGAGACCATGTCATGACCATGCCAAAAGGCACGAACCCCGCCGGTAGCGGCCATGTTCCTGCAAAGAAGAGATCGGATCCACCAATGATGAAGAAGAAGCGCTGTTAAGGTGGAGACTGGGGAACGCGGGATCGTGGAGAGCCAAGGTGCGGGGACAGGAAACCATACATCACGGCTAAATGTAGATCGCTATACCACGCCGATGAAGGCATCTTGAAGCAGATCAACGGGCAAATAGGGTTCGCCACATTGACGACCAGCCTACAAACAGGTTGCAATGAGCCGGCGTGCAGCAACATCAGAATGCATCCTTGTTCGGTCTTCACTACCTCATCCGCTCTCCTGTAGGTGGCTGGGAGGAAGCCGTCCTCATCCTCTTGATCTGCAAGTGCAGCAGAGAGACAGATCTCAATTCGTGTGGGCTAAGATATTCATTGACTCCACCAATGTCCCGGTGTCCTCCTGTTCTGACCTTTCCGACCGAGGGTTGAGCTGGTATTTCCATTGGCTTGAGGCTTTTGCGCTCCATTCCCACCCATCAATTTCCACCACAACTCTGCAATCGGAATTCGCTTTGCTGGAAGCATGCTATACTGCATACTGTACAAGCTCTTGCGATGGATTGGCGGCACGAAGCGACCTGTGAGTAGGCACAAGAATACACTAGGCGAGAGGTAGTGTTTGCGGATACGATCTGCGAGCTGTGCATATTGAGAGAAAGTTTCAGAGAAAGGTAGGGGCACAGACTGTGTCAAGTTAGGAACCAATTCAAACCAGTACTGAGCAGTTGTTGTTACCTGTAACTGTACATGCGAAGTGGGTGCAACTTCAGGTTTCATAGAACCATGCTGACGCGAAGAATCGAATGCAGAAGGGGTATCACGAAGTTCAAAACGTATGCCACCTGGTCAATAGATCAGAAAAGTTCCACATACATGTGGTTTGGATGCTCATACCTGGTAATCGCCGAGAATCCTTGATTCTCAGCATGAGTGCGAAAAGAGGAAAATGGTTCAAGCAAGCCAGCCATGTGTCCAAAGCAGCTTTGAAAGCAATTATACCCATACGCGCGCCAGCGAAAGTTGCGTAAAATACACCAATGGTAGGGAGCAAGAAGGTCAAGAGTGTGAACAAAATCGTGCCTAGGAGCAGCTGGTCGAGGTCGTAATCGCACGAGTCGATACGGTTTCGAAGGACGTTTCGTTTCTTGCCGCGGAAGAGGTGGAAGAGTGAGACTATTATGGTGAGCTGCCAGTTGTATATGCGAGCCGAGGCAATGTAGAATGCGTAAACGTGAATCGTCAATATGGAAAGTAGATCTGAGAAGAGCGAGACAGGCATACTTGCACCAGCGAAGCTCGAAAAGCCTATGACCTGGATGACATGCGGGAGCAGAGGTCTTATGCTCTTCATACATTCAGCCCAGTAGTCGATGATCCAGAGGAAAAGATCACCAAGGAACAGCGCCAGATCCTTGTTGAGTTTGAGACCAGCAGGATAATCCATCAGCCAACAAATCATGCGTTGAAGACCATCAATGAACCAAGAATCGACAATGGATTCAACTTGAGCTGCGACGTAGTCTGAATTCTCGATAATAAAGGAGCCGATGGCAATGCCGATGATGATATCGTTTGCGACGAGCCACAGGCTGTTGTAGAAACGAATATACTCAGGGTGACTATTCGTGACGCTTCCCCAGTCGGTACGTCGCTTGCGCAGGGTGAGATATTGAATTGGCCAGTAGCAAAATTGCTGCAGACGTATGTCGATTTGCTGGGCAGTGGCTGAAATGTCTTTGAGAGCGGCGGCATCTGGGATAGGTCGCCATTCGAGAACTCTCAACCACGCTTCGCCAGCAATACGATGGCTGACCAAAGCCAGTACGAGCAGCCGGGTGATGATTGGATAGACGTAGGCGAAGAAGGCGTGGTGTATGCCGTAGCGTGTGTAGTCCCAGAGGTCGGCAGCGGACTCTGCCATGCGCTCACTTACGCTCATGCTGCGCCTCGTGCGTTGACCAACGAACCTGACGTTTTTGCGCATCAACTCGTCAATCTCGTATGAGCAGTTTATTTGGTTCAGTATCACGGGTAGGGCGATTTCCATGGGAGTGCGTGCACGGTGGACAACAGTATGCATGCGAAGCTTGTCCACCAGCTGCTGCTTGCGCGCTTTGTCGGCCGCCTCTTCTGCACCAAAGTCTCCGACTTGTGTTCTCCTTGCTCTTTCTTGTGCATCTGACAGGGTGAGGGAGATTGGCGTGAGGGACAGGTATTGCATATGGTAGGGATTGGGTCGATCGAATGTGACAATCTGCAGCGAGATGGATGGCTCGCCAGGGCAATGCACCTGGGGGATCGGATCGCCGGGGCGGTAGTAGACCTGGATGGAGGAAGGGTTGAAAGTGAGAGAAGGCGCGCGCTCTGAATTCAGCGTTCCCAAAACCTGCAACGGCAAGCGACCGCACCTATCGATGATGCGATCGATGGGATGGGGGCTACCACGAAACAGATAGCCCATCTTGAGAGCAGTGTCAACATTGCGTGCCTGTGTTTTTGTTAGCCCAAGTAGAGGCGAATGCTGTCACCGCTGTGGCCGAGACTGACATCAACCTCGAACAGGATGGTCACGACAACCATGTCGAGATCCGAGTTCCTCCATCCTAGAATGACACCTGCTTTGTCGGAGCGAACAAAGTCGGTAGGCCAGAAGATGCGCATCAAGGCATTGGGGGCAACCATGAAGGTCTAGAAAGAGCCTCGTCGTTTTAGTTGTTCGCGGGCCGAAAGACCTAGAGCTGGACGAGGATGCTTCAGAGTGTCAGGAGAGGTTCCGGGCGATGAGACGATTGCACTGACTATATCGGACTCGCGGGCAGCTATGCGCTCGATGGGGACGATCAGGACGACGAAGAAGATGCTAAGAACCAAGAAGGCCTTCAACGAGCGAGTCTGCGCATAGCGTTAGCTGTGCACGGGCAGAAGGAGAAGAGACGGACGATAACACCGTAGTCCCAGGCAAAGATGGCCAGTTCATACAGGCGAGTGACGAGATCCCAGCGAGCGGTGGTATACCCAGCTACAAAGATGCCAAGCGTGAGGACGGAGAATGGGTGCATGAATTGCCTCGCTCATGACCAGAGTCGATGTCTAGCTAAGGTATATCGCGGATGATGCGCGCCCTCTTGGCAGCCAGGCGCGAGGACAGGAGACGAGGGGAGGGGAGCCGTGCGAGGTGTATGAAGAGGCAGAAATCAACAGCGGAGCATGACGATGAATTGTTCAGAGCCTTTTGAAATTGCCTTCCTCCCTAGGTCGTTCGCAAGACGACGGGAGGGCAACGACCGCGGCTGCCCGCCAACAACGACGACCACCAACCCTGACTGGATTTCTGCACGTGCCTCGTGCAAACCTCTACCGATTCCCAAAGCGGAAGCAGCGAATCGCGACAAAATCCCTTGACTGCTTTTCCACCAAAGACAGATTGTTCTCATCGACCTGTTACAGGAGCATCTACATGCTCTGAATCTGGTCGCATACAGGTCGTGCCTGCCGTTTGCTGCTCGTCTAGACGAATTCCCATCACTCGCTTGTCAATATCCCGGGTTATGCTTGGTATTATGCAGCAAGCCTGTTGATTGTCAACATCAAGTTTTGATCGCCGGCTTTGATCAATCTTCTATGATCCATGTTCGGTCGCGTTCAGCACGGTAACGCCCAAGGTGGGGGAGGCGGTGGTCGGGTCTGCTCCTTCTATCAGCAAGGCAGATGCAGATTTGGAGGTAAGCTATTTTGTTTTCCTATATTATGGTTGATCCTGTCCTGAACCTTCGACCTAGACAACTGCAAATTTGAGCATCCTGGCGCCAACAAGCCCCAGGATAGCGGAAACCGATTTCAGACTCTGCAAAATCAGGGCAACGGCTTTGGTCAAAGGAATCGCAATAACCAGCGGCCACCTGCTCCCAATCGCGGCCAGCAATACGCAAGCACGTAAGTCTCAGACCTCTTTGTAGCAACAACTGAGCTATATCACTATTCAATTGACGACCACTCCATAACAACAGCTTACTGACCATTTCTAGCTACCAAGTGACGAAGGATGGAATTGAACAAGACCTCAAGAATGAGAAACCTCAATGGCCATTCTCCGCTTACGGCCCCGGCAGAGATGCTCCGACACAGCTGTTCGGAGGATTTCCTCTAGAGCAGAGCCCCGAGGAGATGCGAGTTCTCTACTATAAAGCTCTCGCTAACGGCAATCCACAACCTGCTGTAAGTGCTATGGTCATTGGTATTGCCACTCTTGGTTGTCTGACTTCGCACACAGATCCAAGCCGAACAGGAACTTCTCACGCAAATAACGCAACAAGTAGGACAGATTCTTGGCGATCTAGCCGGGGCAGAGAAATACGTCTTGGATGGCGAGAACCAACATCCAAACCGCATAGACGGATGCCAGGCTTCTGTGGGGAATGTTTTCCACAAAGGTCGAAAGCTGAACTCGAAATTTTCTCCTAACATTACAGCACCGGCAGTCAACCAGCCTGCTCAGACTGGCGCTTTCGGCCAACCCTCTGCAATGAGCGGTGGCGGAGCCTTTGGTCAACCTTCGAACCTAGGAGGAGGTGGTGGTTTTGGTCAGGCATCTAGTCTCGGCCAAAGACCAAGTCCATTTGGTCAGTCAGGAGGTACGGCACCAGCTGCTGGAGCATTCGGTTCTCCATCAGCTCTCGGTCAGAAGCCTTCCTTTGGTCAGCCATCTGCTATGGGAGCCAAACCAAATCCATTCGGACAGCCAGCAGCACCGACGGGCGGATTCGGACAGCCATCGACACTTGGTCAAGGTGGCGCGTTCGGACAGCCTTCTGCTGCACCTCAAGCAAGTCCCTTTACTCAGACGGGACAAAGCAACCAAGTGCCGCCATCGCCTTTCGGACAAAATCCACAGCAAGGAGGAGGAGGGCTGAGCCAGGCTTCAGCACTCGGTCAACCATCGAATCTCGGTCAGCAACAGAATACTACCTTTGGGCAGGCCTCTGGATTGGGTCAGCAACCTCAGCCAGCATTCGGTCAGCCCTCAGCACCTGTTCAGCAAAATACAGCATTTGGTCAGCCCTCAGTGCCTAATCAACAAAACACCGCGTTCGGTCAACCCTCAGTCGCGGGTCAACACACGGCATTCAATCAGAATCCAGCACCTTCCGCAAATGGAGCACCTGGATTCGGTCAACCAGCAGCAAACGGGCAACCGCCAGCGCCTGCACAACAAGCCAATGGATTTGGGCAGCCCTCAGCCCCAACGCAGCAACAGAACGCTTTCGGCAAGCCTTCACCGTTCACTCAAGCACAAGGAAATCAGCAACCACAGTCACCCTTTGCACAAGCCGCAGCTAAGTCGACTACGTTCGGACAACCGACACAGCCTACGAACAACCGGACCTTTGGCGGCGGCTTCGGGACGGCGTCCGGGCCACAAGCACAACATCAACAACAGCAGCAGCAGCAGCAGCAGCAAAAATCATACGCAGATCCTGTACCCCAAGGTGACTGGATAACTCGACAGCCCAATGGGCAACTAAAAGGCTTCAAGGGCGCACCTGTGCAGTATCTTGGCACGAACGAGGCAACATCAACTCAAGAGCCACACTACAGAAAGGGCGATGGACAGATGGAAAGAATCTGGCACCCCGAGGGCAATGCGCCGCTCAGGGCAGAGGTAGAAGCACCGGCAGAAGCCTATACTGCCGAGGTTGAGGCCGCGTACAAGTTCGTGGCAGAGCAAGGCGTCTTCAAGGACGGAGTGATGCCAGAAGTACCGCCCAAATGTGAGTGGATCAGGTGGGATATTTAGAAGCGTCGAAGATGTAGTCTTAGCTCAAGCAATTGAATGCTAACGCGGAAATGTTTCCGCGAGATGAGAGTTGTGTGCCAAACCTTGTTGCTTTCCAGTCGATCAGTGTAAGATCGAACGGTGATAAATAGAAGGACGACAGAATTTACTGCATGTATTAGTTGGTAAGATGTCAAGTCATCGTACGACCAGACGAATAGGAGAATTGGCTATGACGGAGTGAGTAGTTGTTTCAAGAGCTCTTGGCCAGCAAGCAAAAGGGCTTTTCCCCACAACGAGCATGATGCGTGCTTGTGGATGTCACGAACAGAACCACGACAATGGAAGTGCGAAGACGACTACCTCGCGAGAGGTCCTACATACACGAGAAACAAGAGCTTGCTCCAGTCTCCGAGAGTCCGGCATCCAAGTCTGGACATGGCATGATCAATGGCTTGCTGGTCTGGTTTGGGTATCTTGTTCAACTCCTGAGATCGATCGTGTATGCATCACGGAAAGAGGACACGCGACAGAAGGACGATGATGACGAGGACAAGAGCAATGAAGAGACGGTGCTGTTGGGACACGTGTGTCGTGGAGTGATGGCGGTACACGAGCGGCGACGAAGGAGGAGCACCGCTCTTGTGCTGTCCAGCTGTCGCCCTGGAGAGACGCCTTCTGCACTGAAGCACGCGGCAGCTGCATACGCCTTTTTGGACTCGGAGACGCATCCCAGACTTCTCCGGTATGGTCCTACTCTTCGTCTCACGCAAGCTCCTACTGACACAACTCTCAGCTGCCTCTCATCTGGCCCACCGATCGTCCTCGAATATGCACCCCTCGGCACCGTCTGCGCCCTCCTCTCCTCCAAAGCACCCTACCCTTCGCTATCTCACCCCTCAATACCTGCCAAACACGCCTCTCTCGCCCTCCCACTCTCCTGGCTCCTCCAAACCTCCTCCGCCCTCCGCTTCCTCCACGACCAAAAAGTCACCCATGGCGCCATATCCCCATCTTCGCTATTGCTGCGCTCCGACATGTCCATCGCCATAACAGACTTTACAAAATCCACAATCAACGGCCATCACAATGGCGTGCCCACCCGAGCACCCAAAGACTTTGCGTTCCCCGTCGATGCACTGCGCTATGATTACTTTGACGGCGAGCTCTCTGCAAACTCTCAAGCTTTGGGTTTGGCCATCGATGCCTTTGATTTTGCTACCTTGGCTTATCGCCTGTTGCTCAGAAGGACACCAGACTGGACACTACCTACTGGAAATGGGACTTGGGCATTGGAGGAATTGCATGAGGCGTTGGATGAAGCGGCGCCAGAGCTGGGAGATGAGATTGTGGTGGGCTATGTGGTGAGGGATGCTTGGTGTTTAGTTTATGAGGAGGGAAAGACTATGCAGGAGGATGTTGTGCATGCTTTGTTGAGGCATGGATTTCAGGTCAGAGGTGATGATATCGTGGGTATCAAGGAGGCTGTCAGGGAGTTTGCTGAATCGTATCATGCTGCTTGGAGGTTTGAGGGGTGATGGTGGCGTGACACTTTACAGTCCTTCTCTCCTCTTGTCAAGCAATGTCGGAAGACTACTCTGTTTACGACAGACGCGCCGCGATTTCGGACGTGAATCGTTGAGATGTACATGTGATGGATTACAAAAGCTACCAAGTCTCTGCAGGAAGCAAACTATCTCCTCTCGACCTCCTGTTCCTAAACACCGGGTAGGCAGAGCTAGTCTCGCTGATCTGTCTACTGCCTCTCCTCTGTCGAATCGTGTTCATGTATCCATTAGCCCAAACGTCATTTCCAAACACATCATCAATATCATCCATCTCATCCAACACACTCTGCGGCGGCTCCTCGTCAAACACCATCCCCAAATCAGCATGCGCGCCAAAGCTTTCCCAGAAATCGAGGAAAGCGTGGCGGCGACGGGGGCCCAGCTTTGAGCTGCGTTGCCAGAGGTATCTGCGTTCGTAGAGGGCGATGGCCAGCAGAAGCGGTGCGTTGAGTATGCGCACGGCTGTCACGTTCACTTTGTGGAACCAGCGGGGTGTGGTGAGGAATTTTACTGGCACGAGGATGGCTAGGGCGGCGACGTTGAAGGGGGGTCGATAGTGGAAGAGGGTGTCGGATTTGACGCCTTCGAAGGTCAGGACTGCTCGCCTGAATTGGATTTCGGCTGTGGCGTTCTTTGCGAGGTTGGAGTAGGTGTTGCTGAGCATTGAGACCAAGATGGTCAGGAAGAGAGTGTTGCCGATGAAAGCGAACATGACCATGAGGGTCGGTCCTAGCCAGCTGTGAAACTCCACAGATTTGGTGATGCCGGTACCATCGAGACCGAACCAGATCCAGAGCATCCATTTGGAAATGACCAGGAAGCTGTGAGAGGCGTAGCCTTCCTGACTCTCGCTGAGCCAGCGCATGGCGAGCAGGAATCCACCAAAGCACCATACGGAAATCATGGTAAGGAAAGTGAAATCTCCCATCATGGTTCGTAGTGCGATAAACAGCATGTTCTCGGGCATCAAGCAGAATGCAAGTCTCGGCATTAGGATCGGTGCTCCCAACGAGAGAATATCGAGTGCTTGTTTGCCCACGTGTCCAGAATTAGTCCTCAGGCCATGCATACGAAGGCCAAAGTAGATCAGGTAGATCAAGGAGAAGGCTATGTCCATGAAAGCCCACAGATTTTCAGTGTGCACCGACCATCCATGTTCTAGAACCGACGCAAGCTCCTCGAGCACCCAACCACTACCGTAGACAACGAAGATGAGTTCTACCGTCGTGAACTGCAGATGACCGGGTCCAAACTCCTTGGCCTTGTTGAACATTGTCAGCAGATACAGACCGAACAGCACAAGAAACTGTACGATCTCGATGATCTTGCGGTTACGAGGGACGATGAGACGATATTGGTTGAGAATTGGTGCTTTGCGAGGGTCGTACAGAGAAATCCGGCGGTTCTTGTATCGGTCTGGCAGAATGTCAATAAATGCAGTAGGCGTGTAGATGATGCGGCCTCTGTAAACCGCATCTACGATTTTCTGGCAGGCGGATGCCGCCAAGAAGCTCTTTGACTCCGAGATGATGGCAACCTCGAGTGCTGTCAAGACTCGTTCGCGGCCTGACTGGAACCAACCCTCGGCCAGCGCAGAGTGAGGTCGACCGCCTCTGTCGACCGAGGGAGGAGCATTTTGGAACGGCTCAAATCCGGATACCAACACATTGGCCAGGGTCAGAAGTCCTTCACGACCGCTATGGTCCTCATCGAAGCGGCGCAAGATGCGACTGGCCAGAACTTCGCACAGGTTGGCGCGAGTGACATTGACAGTCTGGTGATGAGCTTGAAACGACTGTTGACGCAGGAATTGCACGCGGTTGACCAGAAGGCACCAAACTGATAGGAAATCAGAGTTGTTACAATGTGTAACACAAGTTTACTTACCGATAGATACGTCGTCGGGGTCGTAGAGATGATCAAGTAGCGGCCGTACAACGGCAGTGTTCATGCGGGGACTCTTGAGTTGATCAAGACTGTAAGGATCATCTGCGATTCTTTAGTATGCTGCTGAACATTATAGGTCGGGATCAATGTACCAATGCATGCAATCACAAGTCTTCTGATGCGATGGATCGTCGTATAAATGGGCAATTGTCTGTGAGGATTGGGCTGCCAGGGAATACTGTCTTTGCGAGGTGGATAGCATCCATCGTCGTCTGCTTGCTCACCATCACCGTCATCGTCAAGAAGTTGTTGCTGTTCTTCACGCGACATTGCAAGTCTAACGGCCTCGCTTATGCTACGAGAAGACTGTTCCCTCGCAGAAAATCTGTCCGGCAACGACGGTCGGGACCGCCCTGGCGAAGGGGTGGTCATAGTGATATGTTTATCGCTATTGCCATTTTGCTGGTCTGGCGACTCGGCATTATTGTCGTCGTCCAGTGGGGGCGGCGTCTGGCTGCGATCACGCTGATGAGGGCTCACTAGGTCTGGCGCCAGATGGAACTGGATCGCACTTGGGCTCGGACTCGGCCGATCGTCCATCTTGACAACTGTTATACGCCCTTCGCTCAATGGCGCGGAAGTCTGGTTGGTAATGATGTTTTTGTTCCTGTCACAACCCGGAATTCCATGACATCAAATGTCAAAGCTTTTGTCACTGCCGAGCCGCATCGGCGTTGGCTTCAATCGTTAGCAACGCATGTGTTTGCGGCCGAGATAATCCAGCTGATCATGCAGCACACTGAGAAGTCTTGTTCGAGACTCGGTGAGCTTTTCCAAGCAGATTTACATCCGCATGATTGTCTGCGTGGTGCGAGATATATGGCTGTGCAAAATCTCGCATGAGGGAATATTGAGCCCGCACGGATCGCTCGATGGCAACAGATGAAAAGATGGCAACACTCTGACGATGGCAACACCGAGCAGTGCCGGACCTCTGTTTGTCCGCACGCCCGTCCTCCTCGCCCGGCCAAGTTGGCCGAGATAGATAACACTGTGATAAGTTTACCGTGTCGCCTAAGGTACTCAAATAGTTTTCCCGAAGATCTTGAAGGTTCGAGAAGGTCAACTCCATCGTGACCTCTTCGTCTTCGACAGATATATCAATCGACCTGCACAAGACTCGAATCACATTGATTCAACCGCTTTTTGACAGTTGCCCAGCATGTCCACTTTCTCGGCCCCCTCGTTCTATCTGTCGCCGTCCAAGGCGGCTTTGCAGCTGCAGTATGTTGGCAAGGATCTCAAAGATGTTCCAACCCCAGCAGCTGTTCTGGATCTTGCTCCGATCAGAAGGAATTGTGAGGCAATGCTCGAAGCAACTAAAGCTCTTGGACTTGGTTTCCGTGCCCATGTAAAGACACATAAAGTAAGCCAATGTGTATATCTGTCCCTTTCAAATCGGACGACTGACTTTTGCAATAGACCACCGAGCTCACTAGATACCAAATGGGCCACGAATCCAAGGATATCAGACTGATTGCTTCTACTGTCTCGGAGATTGAGAATCTTTTGCCATATCTACTTGAATGCAAATCCGAAGGCGCAAGAATCAATGTGAGGGTCTCTACCAATTCCGTGATATTTGTCACCACTGCTGATCTCTATAGATCCTCTATGGCTTACCTGTTGCTCTTTCCCATATACAACGTCTTGCAGCCGTTGCTCGCGTTCTAGGCGAGGGAACTGTTGGACTCTTCGTTGACCACCCTCGTCAAGTGGAAGATCTCGCAAGCTTGGATGACTCTAGCTGGCCAGGTCGCATACCTCTCTTCATCAAGATCGCCGCTCCCATCTCACGAGCTGGATTACTTCCTGAATCTGCAAGCATCAGACCCCTGGTACAGGCTATTGCGAGTACGCCGAAAGTACAATTGGTCGGAGCCTACGCTCATATGGGCGAGAGCTACGGATCCAGAAGTCCACAAGAGGCTCTCGAGTTTCTCATGAACGAGGTCAAAGATGCGAAAGTGGGGGCAGATCAGATCCTACAGTCTATGCCAAACGAATCATCAGGAAGGCTAACAATCTCGCTCGGTGCAACTCCAACAGCCACGGCTGTTCAAAACGCTCTTGTCGAGACCGAGTGGAACCAGAAGTTCCGATCTTACATCGAAGAAGTCAAAGACAAGTATGATGTCGAGATTCATGCTGGTGTCTATCCGGTACTGGACATGCAGCAGCTTGCGACACGCGCCCGCCCGACCAGTGCAGAGGGCAAGCCATTGCTCTCCACGGAGAACATGGCTTTACGTATTCTGGTCGAAGTCGCAAGCACATACGATGAACGAGAAAAGCCAGAAGCTCTGATAGCAGCTGGCTCGATAGTGCTTGGCCGAGAGCCGTGCAAAAGTTATCCAGGATGGGGAGTAGTCACAGATTGGAGCAGTAGCTCAGCACATGCTGGTGCTTCTTCAGTGTACGATCCTGAAAACTCCAAGACAGGCTGGATTGTCGGACGTATCTCGCAAGAGCACGGCAATCTCACTTGGGAAGGATCTACAAATGGCATGCGTGAACTCGCGGTTGGTGAGAAGGTGATGATCTGGCCCAACCATGCCTGTATGGCTGGACCAAACTTTGGTTACTACATTGTTGTTGATGGCGAGAGTTCTGAGCCTGACAAGGTTGTGGATGTATGGTCTCGCTGGCGTGGATGGTAATTTATGTAGGGCGGTGCTCGCTGCATTAAATTGTGCATACTTGGCAAACTTCTGCCGCGATCGCGTCTTCTTCAAAGCTACCACATCTATAGCACAGTCACTAACACATCTCTGGTCGAAACATGCCTTGATGAAGCTGATGTGTGAATGTCATGACACTCAAGTCCACCAGCGCAGGCAATCAAGTCGACCGATGTGACTGCTGTGGTCCATGTGCAAAGGTCGGCAGGGTTTGTCGAGCCACTTCATACAGCACGACCCAGGCGTGGATTTTGTTTGTGAGGATCTGGAGACTGAATGAGAAAGCTACCAATCCTGACAATGTAAAAATCGCGCCTTTACTCAAGGTAAGGAGGTGTGGGTCAGCTTTGCCACGACGAGAATCATGGTGAACGTCAGTTGCAAACCCTCGTAAACTTTCCACGATGCGACCGATCGCTTGGAAGGAGCTTTCCATTATATTTGTTAGATTGGGGAGATGGTTCCTTCCATACCCAGGCTTCGAACATCGACTCGGTGTTATCGGTGGTTGCGACTTCCAGTATTTGCTGACTTCGAACTTGTATACACCTTGGCTTCGCAATCTGTACTCCTCAGCAGTGCCATACACTCGATCCGTTGTTTCAATCCCTTGTCAACTCAACCTCTTCGAACGCTGTTGGACGAGGCCCGATAGCTGGTTGTCGGTCCAATGGCACTTTTGAGTCGACAGCGATCGCTCGACGGACGTACCAGCCGTTCATCAACCACATCCGTACAATATAAAGCACTGGGACCTCAAGCTTCTCAGGGCTCCACCGAGATACTGAACGCCGCCGCTCCCGGAGTGCTTTCTATGCTCAAGACATCGACCGATGTTGGAGATGTTGGCGAGTTCTCTCACAATACAGGCCGCCTCCCAGCCGCTCTTCGTCCTCCCCATCAACGAAGGAACCACCCTTCCCGCTTATCCAACTCGTCGAATCAATCTGCATACACCTACCACACTAATCACAGTCGTGTTCCTTCTCATGGCTCCAGGAAGGCTTCCAACGCCCACAACCCTCAGGGATGGGATGCCATCTCAGCCATGTCCGGCGGCACAGGAAACGGCACGGGTGGAAGACACGGCTCCATGGTCAGCCTTCAGACGCTCGCAACTATGCCACCATACGAGCACAGAGCGCCTTCGATGACTCGAGGTCCCCCCATATCATCACCGTATGGTCCTCCGTATATTCAGGATGGACGCTCGTATTCTCTGACCCAGTCCCAACATGCGCCCTCTCTCAAACCAGCCAAGTCTGTGACAAGTCTGAGGAGCCAGAGGGGTCCGCAATTCCAACCTCCACGTCCTCCGTTCGCTTATCCTCCAAGACACAAGCGCACTGGTTTCCGAACTCCTTCCCCAGCCCTGAGCGACTATACTGGCGGTACATATCAAGCCTCTTACAACCAGTCTCATCCCTTCGAGCATGATTCGAAACTCTTGAACGACCATCCTCCGACTTACTTTGCTCCAACTGATCCCGCGTACTATTCTCATCTCGCGCAACCTCAGGAGTCGTACCAAGGTCCAGCATCGGGTCGAAGCTACGGACCAGCGCCTGGCAGAGGCATGCATCGACCTAACTTGCCAACGTACAACGGCGATCATCCCTATGTAGTACCTCCTGGACCGAGATACACGAACCAACAGCCACCGATGATGCCTCCTTCCACACAACACAACTATCAGGAGCCCAACTACTACGGTCAGTACGGTCCTGTGATCCACGCTTTACCCTCGCTGGGGTATGGATCAGCAGCAAGAGTAGGTACTCCAAGAATGGACACTACACCATCTTTCTCGAGACAAGAGTCGTCATCGCCACTCTCCTTGAACCCGCCCACACCAAGAGACGCAACTGCACCCCAGGCCACGATCGATCCAACTCTTGGTCAACCCACATTGAGTGAGCTTCCCGAGGAACACTCAGAATACAAGAGCGTTCAGAGCTATCTCAGGTATACGGAGCAATCTACTATGTATGAGCTTGATGCTTCTCAACCTGCTGCCATCGAACTCGAAGCGAATACACCTACTGCAAGACGTACTGGACTGGTGCAGCGCATCAGAAATCTGCTTGAAGACCGTGCTGCAAGTCAAGAACATCTTCCGTCCGGCCAAGGTCAGTCTCAGCAGGACGTCTCGAAGCTCGTTGTTCCGCAGCCATTCCAGAATTTGAAACAAGAGCCTGCCGAGCTGTCTGCCAGCAAACGATCATCCATGCACGAGCCTGTCGAGCTTGACGTCCCTGCCAGGATCACTAGACAGCTGATTCAAGCTAACACGGCACCTTCTTCTTCAGAGCAGAACACAACGACATCGCTTGTTCCTGAAGAGACGGTTAAAGCGAAGAAAGAGCAGGGAGTGGAAGAAAGGCTTCTCGGGTCTTCAAGAGGCAACTCGGAGAAGACGACCAGTAGTGATAGACCCGGCCATGGACTGTTCCTCAACTACTCAGACAACCAAATATCTGGCTCTCCATCAGAACCCAATAACGCCGGATCAGGTGTGCAGATCGTGCTTTCGGAGCCACTTTCTTCGTCCAATACCACTGACCAGCTTGCAACAAAAGACGGTGACAGGACGAGGCAGTCCGATGGAGACTTCCAGAGTGGTGGTGTCAGTCCTCTACGTGCCGATGAAAGGGTAGCCAGAGATTCAGTCGTCAGTCCAATGGCCACTCAGACCCTGCAAATTACCACCATCCAAGAGCAGCCGAATATCCTGGGCCCTCAATCGAGGAGCAGAGAAGCTCCACTGTCTGATCGTTTATCGAGACAAACTTTCGACACGAGCGAGATGACTTCGGGCATATCTTTGCCAACAGGACCTTGTCAGACTCTGGATGCCAGCCCATCGTCGAACCATATCACAGACGTCGCTATCAAGTTTTCTATACCACGCTCCTCCGATCACGGCAAAGCTCAGTTGGTCAACCTTAGCAATCTGTCTGATACTCCTGTTCGAACATCGATGGAACTCAAGAAGACTCGCTCTGCTAAGGACAACAGCTTGCAGAGCGCTTCGCTGTCAAGTGTCGAGAAGGTAGCTCCACTTCGTATCAGAAGGATGGAAAGCTTCCTACCTGTGGCCACGGGTCCTGAGGGAACAGATCTTTCTTCGTTCATTCGTCGCTCTTTTCCTCGCAAGCGATCGATGTGGACCACCACGCAACCTGATCCCAACAGATCGTCTACCGACTCCACGACTGATCTCGGAACAGCAATGTTCAAGGTGCGCCCTGGCTATTTACCCGATCTCAATGAAGACTCCAAAGAGGACATAAGCACCAGAAACACAAAGTCTTCGTACACCGGCTTGAGACTGTCCAATACGCCGTCATTGCGACTCAAACCTTCCCGAGATGCTATACGACGATCAGAGGATATACCTCAACAAAGCTACCTGTCACCTCGTCCCCCAAGAATGTCTCTTTCAGAGCTGAGAGAGATTCCTTCCCTCAACTTCAGCCGGATGGATCTTTTTGACAAGCTGAACGAAGAACTTGAAACGCACATATCTCGTTCGTCCAAGTCTTTGGCTGGAGTCAAAGGCGAGAGAAGATCAGGACCGCGCCGCTCATTACTTCTGCATCCAGCGTCAACTGACCAGATACGCGAGAGATACACCAGTTCCTTCAGTGACCCTGAAGACTCTGAGCTGCTCGAAGACTCCATCACCGGAGCTCTTGATACGCAGAGTCCATTGCAGATATTGCCTGAGAAGAAGCAGAATGAGGCAGACATTGTGTCCACCAAGTCTTTCGCCCCTTCTGTCAGACCAATCTCGACACAGCAGATGTTGGGCATGGCTTCGGAGGTCAACCGTCTTCCTGTGCCTTCCGTAACCGCTCTGTCAGAACGACTATCAACACTACTGCCTACCATCAAGCATCTGCATATCGACTGTGCTCCTGTAGACCAGACTGCAGTGAACGACGCAATCGATAGAATCCATCACCTTGGCCAATCCGAAGGTGAAGCTGGTCAACTCTTGAGATCCTCAACAGGCCTCCATCAGCTAGCTGCTATCGCAGACAACATCGCGACGAATGGTACTCACGACTCTGCTTTTCTTGAAGTTCAGAAGAGCGGACGCTTGATGAAAGAGCTACCACCATTACCGGAGGATACTGAGAAGTATTCATTGAGCGACTCCGGACTTGACCGCAACACTACACTCATCACTGAGGGGCTAACAAGCAATTCAGAGCTTGAACCTCCAAAGCCTGCTCTACTTCGTGGAAAATCACTCAGCGTGATCAAGAGTAAAGAAGAGGACTTCAATCCTGGGGTCGCCTCCAGACATTCTCTCGTGATATCAGGACAAAACTTGCGACCTTGGAACCATGACGAGAACTACCCTTGGTGCGGCAACAGTCCTGGCATCAAGATTGACTTCCATACACCAGTGCTCCGTCGCCACTCGTCTCCTCCCAAGCTCGTTCACACGAAGAGCAGAGATTCCGTCAAGACTAAGAACGGATCTGAAGAAACTCTCGATCCGAACAGTACTCTTCCATCGTCACCCATGGTCTCGCACAGCGATACTATCACCCCCACTGTCTTGACTCTCCACGATCGGAAGTCGTCAAAGAAATCACTGATCGGATCCTTGTCTCGCCGTATTGGATTGAGCACGCGTGCACAGTCTGGCATCATCTGTCGGGAAGGAGCCCTTGCCGGAAGAGCCAGCCCTGGCGACAGGTACCCATCCACAAGCTTGCAGTCGCCACACGGGAACATAGAAGACGTACGGTCTTTCTTCTCAGATTCTACAGAGGAAGAGCATGATGGTGAGCAACGCAGTTCCTTCCGCAAGCAAATCACATCTTTCCGAGACAAGTCGTCGAAAGTGCCAACCGGACATGTCTCTACGGCCTACTCACAGTCGCTGGACACCCATCGAGGCCGGTCCCTAGACCAGTACGGTCGACCTTCGAATGCTCGTACTAACGGCTCACTCTTTGATGACCGCTTCACCGAACCTGTCGCGCCTCAGAACTACGATGGCATGGCCGGTATGGGCCGAGTCGAGTTTCGTGTGAAGCGTGTTGCCGAACGCTTGAGACACATCTGGTTGAAAGGTGGCGAGATAATTCGTTCTCTCAGCCAGCGCAGCCGTCACACAGAGAGACAGCACAGGGAGAGAGACACTGAGTCGGACAATTGGCTTGCGGACAGCCTCTATTCCCGTGATTGAGAACCAGGACGCGTATTCTGCAGAACCATGGTCAGGTCGCACAATGGAATATCTTCATCTCTATTTTTTGACGACTGCATGGCTATACAATACATGATAGAGGATTGACAAGGAACATGGCATGGCGTATCATGAGATCACGAACGAGCTCAACAATGACGAAGCAAGATTATGGTATAGCATCTGTAGACAGCATCTGTAGACAGCATCTTCCACGTGAATATGAGCATCTCAGAAACTGTGTCCTGACAAGGTGCAAACTTGTTTCGGCAATGGTAGTGATACAGCATCTGCCGGCTCTGGTAAAAGCTGGGTCCGGAAGTTTGGGACTGGCATGCTTTGGTATGATAAGGTTTCTCAGGTTTGGCTTTAGTGAAGGGCGTCATAGTCACCAGTGTTGCTTGTCAGACAAGAGTCAAACCCTCCCTGAATCTTGAGCAACGCATGGGCCCGGAGAGGCCCGACTTGCAAGTTTTGTTACATTCGGAAGAGTGCTAATAAAACCATGTGGGACACGTTTTTCGGAAAGGGACGCGAATGATCGTCAGAGAAGGAGATCGTCCGAGGGGCATTGGGGAACAGATTTTTGGGTTGTCTTTGACAGGCTTTTTCTCTCAACATGCTCTGCAGCGCTGGAAGGTACCGTGAAGCTTTATTGTGAGAAATCGAGGAGGTTGGGTGTGTCACTTCTGCGGAGGGTTTTGAGATGCGTACGTACGTATGCTGAACTAGCTCTGGTATGCGCGGTATATCGAGGTGTTGAGGGGGGGTTGGTTACGAATGCATGTTAGCTTTCGCGAGATGAATGGTGGAGAGGTGGTATGATAGGTATAGATGTTTTGTTTTCTGTGTTCTGCTCCTCGGGAGCCGCTTGACTGGAGGGAATAACCAGGAGCTACTCAAGTGCCAGGGTTACCAATCACATGTTGCACAGATGAAATCGCAGCACGAGGACAAGTCGCCGCGCAGTATGAGAACAGGTTCGCCGTGGACAGGGGGGCATGACGATAAGGTTGGCCATGTGTGCTCTGCGGGAGCTTGGTTCTTCCCCTCGGGCCCCACCCCAATTGAGAAGTTTCGCTAGACACTGACCCATGGGGCCCATTTGGAGCTTTCTCCGTTGCGCAATCTGAGACCTTCACTAAAACGCTATAATACCTTAGTGCATTTTTGGATAAACAAGCGTAGACAAAGAACAACACACACAGGCAGTGGCTGGCGCCCGTTGCAATGGAGAGCATCAGTAACGCTTATAGTTCTGGAGAGACACACGTTTGTGGAAGGAATAGGCAGGCAGTCTGTTGTGTGCAGGTCTTGCTCTTGTCACTCGGAAACCCATTTACCTGTTTCTGCAATAGCGCAAAAGGCTCTCCTTCGGCGTGTCGGTACGACAAAAAAAAAGAAGGCATGGAAGGTTTTTTCGCTATCCCTACTGCATTCCCCTGATTCGTAACGCAGAGGCACGGTTGTCTCGAGATCGAAGAACATCACAAACTGTCCAAAAGGATCCATTTGTGATGCCATAAATCTGTCTCAGCAGCCGGTGAAGCTACAAAATGGTATACAAGTAGCGAGAAGCGAGAGATCGACATGGTTGGGGTGATGGAAACCTGGGATCACAAGAAAGGAGAGGAGACCACGCGGCCAGCCTGCAGTAACCCAAAAGGTCATTACAGGTGTGGAGTTTTTGCTGCTCATGTCGAGGTTTTGCTGCCATGTGTAATGGTCCCAGCAGAAGCAAGCCGAGGCGAGAACCGAGACTGATCATGACGATCTCCCTTTTCTTAGCGTCCGCGGACCATCTCAGGGATCTATGATGTCAGTCGCACTCCTCGACATCTCGATATTTTGCATGCAGAGGCTCCTTCTTGCTTGCGCGTACGCAGTGAAAGTGAGTTTGAGATTATGGCGTTGGAAGGACTGGCACATCGTATTGTTTGGAGGCTCTTGCGAACTCTCTGGTATTGATGGACGTGGACACGAGGAAAAGGTTACCATCAATGATGTCTACTGATGCTGGTATACGATAGTCCAGGGCTCCAGAGCTTGCGATCTGCAACCCACAGTCGATAGTCTCCACGCGCAAGAGCCTTGGCTGTCAACAAGGTACCAAAAACTCAGAATACTAATCATTGGAATACGCACAGCTTGTCCGCCCGGACCAAAGTGCATCCGTGAATCCGAGCACTACAGTTGATAGACATGTTGCACATGTATCACGATAAGCGTTCTGCTAGGAAATATGATGCAACGACGAAGTGATCACTAGGCCGGAATTTGCCCTATTTCCTTTATAAACTTACATGGCTTGATCTGTGGAGGTTCTAAGCTTCGAATCTTCGATTGGTCGAGGTATTGGTATGGGGCTTCAATGTTTTGCTTGCAGGTAACTACGCCAACGTCACCGCTCATGAAAAAAACTGTGGTGTTGTATGAGTCAAGCTTAAGTGAAGGAAAATTCAAACCTGCATTCTTTTTCGCTTCCTGAGGCTGTTGTTGGAAGCCAGCCGACGGTATGCTTAAAAGAAATCGTTGTAAGTGGCGTCCGACTATTAGAAAAAGTTTAGAGTTTTCGTTCAGCGAGACCAGCGCATTGGACGAGGGCTGGTCCTCGGCTCATTGTTATGGTATCCACACACACACACACACACACACACACACAGATCAAAGGATGCATGTTACATCTCATCGCGACTCTGATCGGAGCCTCCTTGTAACGGAAAAAAGAAAGTCAATCACTACTTGCTGTCGGCAACGGTCAAGCTGACATACGGCAGTCAACTGTTGTCAGTAGCATTACCGCCATCGTGGGATCGGAATTCGCTACCACGGGTGGCTTGAGACCGCTTCTCTGGATTCTGCAAGGAACAGGTAAAGGGATCGGTACTGGTGCAAGTTCAGCCGACTCGATATGTTCAGTACATGAACACGTCGACACCTCAATCAGGTATAATACAACTTTTCGGCGAACAAGCTATATGCTTCAATGATGAATTAGTTGCATCTGTCGAGCCTTTTGCGCACTGTTCTCATGGGTACACTCTGACACATACTCGCAAGGTCTTGGGACTAGTATAGAAACAAAAAGTTCGTGAATTGTTCATGAGATGTATCTATGATGTACATGACAGTCATGGCTTCCTCAACAACCCATACGGTTGCTAGGTATGTAATGACAAATTGCGTCTGACGACAGCGTTCACTCTTTCCATCCACGGTAGATAATCTTGCTTCCGTAGGTTTGACCCTTCTTCAGGAGAACCATCTTCTTCCAGTCGTCGTTGTTTCCAGCATCAATGTAACGGCTGGGCTCGACGCAGAAACCGGCACGAGCGCCGCGTGCCGGTGCGCCGTCCACAGCAGGGATGTCGATGTACTTGCCAGTGTAGAATTGGAAAGCAGGCTCTGTGCTGAGCACCTCAAAGTGGAGTTTTGTCTCAGGGTGGAAGAATGCGCACAGTGTGCGCATCTCTCCCGATCTTGTGTCCAAAGGTACGCTTGAAGCATCGGTGTTGATGACAAAGCAGTGGTCGATGTCGGGCTCTACGGGTCCCAGCGTGAAGGCCTTCTTTGCTTCAACGCCGGGGAATGACTTGATCTCGCCAGTGGGAATGTCTGTGTCGTCGACAATCATGTGCTGATCAGTCATCAAGGTCGCTTCTGTGCCCTCGATGGTGTCCTTTCCAGAGATGTTGAAGTAACTGTAGCGCTTCGTCAGCTGACCGCGTATGGCGAACCCCCGCGCGAACAACTTACCTGTGGTTGGTCACCGAGACTAGAGTTTCGTCGACCTCATCTCCAACGAGCTCAACCTCATACTCGATTTCGAGCTGGGTCTTTTCCACACCACCATCGCTCTTCTTGCTTGCGATGTACCAGACGCGGAGCTCTACGGTTCCAGGGTAACCCTCCTCGCCATCCTTGCTCAGATACTTGAACTGAACAGCCTCTGTGCCGTTTCTGCTGACAGGGGTAGGTCCATCAAACGTTCTCTTTCCCCAGCCAGCTGGGCCTCCGTGAAGAGCATTAGGTCCGTTGTTCGCTGTGAGTTTGTAGGATTTGCCGTTCAAGTTCTGGATTTTGGCGTCCTTGATGCGGTTGGCGACGCGACCAATCGTCTCGCCAAAGTAAGCAGAGTTCTTGGTCTTGTAGGGCTCCGCGGTAGGGAAACCTTGGACGATGTTGTGCCCCGCAACGCGGAACTCCTGGATGATGGCGCCCTGAGGCAAGAATGTGAATGCGTCTTCGGCTGACATGTTGTGCTGTGTTGTTGATGATGATGATGTCGAGTGAGTAGTGATGGAAGAAAAGTGAAGAAGTTTTGAGACGACACGTGGAAATACCTTGCGATCACGGTTAAACAGGATTCTTCTGCCTCATCAGTGTCATCACACAGCCTGGACAGCTATTAGGCGGGGGTGGGCTTCTGGTGGGGTGGAGGGGTATTTCAAGCCACCGTTTAGCCTAATTTTGCATGTCGCATCCATCCCCACGTGAGAGCCTTGGACGTTCGCGAAGCATGCATGCTTCTGTCGCAGCATTTGGACAGGCCAAGCGGCCGAAGTCACGGCGACGAGAACGATTGCTCTAAGCTCTTCTTGTACACCGACGAACGCTGCCGGGTTCTGTGCGATAGACTTGTCGCCGAGAGTGGCTGGCACGCAGGACGTGGATTAGGAATTGTGGCTCACCAGCAGCGATACGGATACGCGTTCGCGATAATCTCGGCATGGCTTTTTGTTTGCTCAGTGCAAGCATTGGCAAAACTCCGCTCTTCTCGGCAACAAGCCCGCGTTGACTACACGCGTACAAGGACTCGTCCTGCGGTAGCAAACGAGGCACTCGAGCGCTTAATTCAATGTTTGGCCATGGCTGTCAGTCAAAGAGGCAAGAGACGGCTCAAGGTTCTCGACCGCGATAACACGATGAACCCATGATCAGTGGATGCAAAGCAACGCGATAACGAAGGATGGACATAGGATTGATCATCGATCTACAATGAAACGGATTTATTGGCCATGGGAGTAAGTTAACTCCGGCGCAAGTCGAAAAATCATGATTACAGCTCCGAGGAGCAATTTTCCTGTTGATGGCCGCTGTCGCTGCAGCCACCATATTGTTTTGATTGTGGTTGCCGCCCTCTCCTCGATGTGGATTTCCTACACCTCCCAGCAGTGAGGACACTCCTGAAGTGATGGCAATCATCAATCGCAAGCCGTCTGACCAAGCACGGGGTGTTACTCCGGAACTCACGATTTGAAAAGAAGGGCGGAAAAAGGTCCGCCGGACGACACATGGTCATTCTTGCGTATGAAGGGATGCTCTTGGTGTACAAATGTAGGCATTACATCGCATTCTGTGACCTATGTATCATGAAACGATCGTCTAGATATCTATCCCGCATCCGTTGCTCCAATCATTTTTTGCCGATGACCAAAGTCCATGAGCTCCTGGTGTGCGCCGTCACCCGCTATTGTTCGCAGCCCCATACGCCATCCTTGTCGGTTCCAACACCGCAGAAAAATCTCGCGTGCGTAAATTGCATGACATGTTGATCGTGACCTGCGAGATACCCCGGAGGACATCTCGACCGTAAACCTCTTTTGCGATTGAGCCGCACATTTGTGACTAATCCGGAAAGAGGCGATAATTAGAATAGTAAAAGTACAATGCTGACGTGCAGATCACGTCGACACTTGGACGAATTTGCTGAAGTCAACCTCCATGGGCTCGTTCATCCAATCCTGGCCTGTGAAGGCTCCAAATCCTTGTGCCGGGGTAGCGTATGTCGGACTGCCGAAAGGCATCATGTTGTCGTATTCTGGTTGAGGTTCAAACGCGTTGCCATAAGCGATTGCGGCTTGAAAGCCATCCTGCATTACTGGCGCTTGTATGGCAGACTGTGATCGCATAAGGTCGGCAGCTGATAAACCTTGCATCGTATATTGGTCTGTCCAGGATGGCATCAGGAAATCGTCGTTGTTGATAGCTTCATTATGCAGTGGTGAAGGTTTGATCGGCGATCTCATTTGTGAGAACTTGGGAACCGGGCTGTGAGATACTGGTGTTGGCGAAGCACTTTGGTGGAAGGTAAATTTGTCGTCAAAGATTGGCGCAGTGTTTGTCGGTATCGGTGTGCTGCGAACGCTTGAGTGGGAGGATGTGCGAGCGTGCTTGCGAGGAAGACCGTGATCCGATTCTGAGCTGACAGAACTCCTCCTGGCACTGAATGAAGCACCTTCCGAGATGAGTCTTTGTTGTAGTTTCTGGCAGTCCTCTTCGAACTGTTCGTGCTCTCCACTGCCGTCATTCTTGGGCTCCAGAAGGTCCAGTCTTGCAAGAATATCATGAGTAAGAGGTTGTCCGCTAGCTTCAGAAAGAGGTTTTCCAGGCCAGACATTTGCATCTACTAGGCGACGATATGTTTCTTGGAGACCAGCGACCAGTTGTGTTTGTTGTTGCTCAAGCATCTCTACGTAGCTTCACAGGAGTCAGCTTGTGTGATAAGGTGGGAAGGCGAGATGCATACCCTTTGGGGTAGATCTTGTCGTGAGACTTCTTTCTCTCGCCGAAGACACAGATAGCATTGTCGGCCTTGCACCTTGTGCATGGATGGCTGCCATCGCACTTTGACTTCTTCAAACGACATCTATCACAAGCCTTGCCGACGCGCTTTCTGATGCTATCTGTGGAATCCGAAGAGGATGTCCTGCGGACAGCTGATGGTGGCATGGTGTATTGAACCAGTTGCTATGGTGAGGGTCGATTGAGAAAGCGATGACGATTGGGTTGGGATGAGACACGAGTGGAGCCAAGGAATGGCTTCTAGATATATTCACTGTTGGTCAGATATGGTCGGAGCTTGACATAAAACGCGGGTTCCCTCTACGTGACGTGGGAACGCATCAAATATATGTATGAGTAGGATGGGCCACCAAGCGTTGGCAGGAATACATGATGACGCTATCCCATTGGAGGCCACATTGTAAACGCCTGTTAAAATTGTATGGCCTGACTAATTGTCAAACTGTTTCAGTCCGCGGAGGCAGAATTTAGATTGGCGCGGATTGCTTGGTCAGACCTCTCGAGATCATGATGGAAAACGGAAACAAGCTCAAGGACAAATTCGGCCGATCAATCGGGACCGGGAACATCAAGATGCGAGACCTCCAAACCCCGCCGAGTCATGCAACGGCAGGCTAACGACGGTCAAAGCTTGGTCACCTTGGTAGGTACATAGCTGACCTCTCGACCTTCGATCGCAGGCCCATCGTCCCTCCGAGGCAATCGTTCACGATATTCAAATATCAGATCCTACTTCTTGGAGGAGAGAGCTTTTTCCATCCAACAGCAATAGGCGTTGTCCAATAGCGGGACCGGTGAAGAACACGCTCGCCGGTCGCGACAACAGGCAGCAAGGTTTGTACATACAAGGTACAGGCAATATGCCTGTCTTGTCATCTTCGTGGCTCATCAGCATCCTTCAAGTTCTAGAGGATGTTTGGCTTGTCAGACGCTGCTTCCATGGCATTGCCAAGCACCGCCAGCCCTAACAATGACTTGTCTGTACCTGTGCTTCTGCGCATGATGCGATTTCTGTATCGTCGTGCATCGCATCCAAGCCTTGGGTCCATCTCAGCTTACAATCTAGAACTCAAGCATCCCTTGGGTCTGGCAAAGACTCGCCGATCTCGTATCCATGCATGCTGTCGTGGTGGAGGAGGAACGGTTGCGTTTGATTCCATACTCGGCTACAGCTTCCTTTGCATATTCCACACCCGAGGAACCTTTCATAGCGTGCTTGTCAAAAACGCAAGCCACCATGTCTCTGCATACGGGCAGCTCGCATTCCGTCCGAGGTTGCTGTCTCGGGCCCCGGCCTGCTTTTACCTCCGACAGCACTTTCTATCAAAAATGACGAACATCCGCACCCGCAATACCCTTGTGCCAGAGTCCGAGAGATGAAAATCAGGGGCGTTCGAAGACCTGTGGAAGAACGCACTGCCCGTTAATTCGATCCTTCTTCGTCAGTGTCAAATGATCAGCTAACATCCGAGAGGTACAAGGCAGCCATATCGGACCCTGATTTCCTCCGTCGTATCCGTCTCCGAGAGGGATTCTTCCAATCTGTTATAGCGTGTGGCAATTTTCAAAACCCACCCACCCCTTGATGCCGGCTTTCCAGTCTTCATACCGACTCCCGGTTCGTGAGCGGCGGTGACTTATGACACCCGCCGGTACCGGGTTCCACAAGGTCATTCGTCCACGAGCAAAGAATGACAACTACTACAAGATACAACTCGCTCGGTCGGTCCCGGATTCTGATTGGCTCGGAAGCCGAATCCTCGACTCTTGTTCGATTCCAGAAGCATATCGAGCCCAACGTTCTCAGCTACCCTTGCTGATCTCGATGAACGTGGATATCGGAAGCCCTAAACAGGGCAGACGAGATCATGAACTGATCGTTGCATCTGATTAGTCGCTGCTGGAATTTTGCATCCGAGGACTCGTTCGACGCCTCACCCTTTGCAATCAGATTCAGATGAATGATTATTGTATGCCGAATGCCGAGGACCGTGAATCCACCACCTGGCATCATTGTGTGGCATGTGAGCATGCTCAGAGCTTCAGCCATCCGCCAAAGGTATACGTGACCCTGTTATGGTTCATTCAATTCTCCACAGCCAGGTTCAGTGATTGCATTCGCTCATAGGTGAGGTTGTGCCACGCAATCCCAGTGACATATTAGTCTACTTGCCGAATGCCAATCGCAACAATGATCTCGAAGAGCAAATATCCTCACTACAACATTGACAATACTACCAAGCCTGCACTAATCACCACATCGCGAGATGAGCAAGACTTTTGCGAGTCACCACCGCGCGCAAACTTACCACAAACGGCCCTAAGCTAGCTACCGACTACTGTTGGATAGTGATTACTAGCTCTTCCTGCTCCTGAACCTCAACCCGAATTTGTACCGAAGACCTCTCGCCTAACAATACAAATAATTGCCATGGCGTGCAGAAGCCATCAGAGGTGTTACTCATGCAGCAGGACCAGCTGAATGACGACGTCCCGAGTTGTCGGGCTTCAGATCTGGAGAAGTTCGAAATTTTGGCAAGAATTTTGAATGCGGCTGGTACGACCCTGCTGTCGGACTGATCATCTCTTTGCTCCACTTCACAGGCCCTTGGAGATGTCAACTCAAACGAGGAAGGACGGCCGTGATGTTCGTGTATCATCTTCATGAATGTCAGGTGTCCTGGCTGCCATAAGATGTTGTGGAAGATGATTCTGTGTTTTGCCTGCTCCCCATCAAAGAAACAACCTACATTCGACACACCAGTAGGCATATCGTCATGACCATTGCCATATAGAATCACAAACCAGGGGAAACCCTTCAAATGATTAGGCCCTATTACAAGTAGACCGAACGATAAAAAGAAAACCCATCGAGGCTGTTATACATTGTCCATCAAACCACCATATTCTGGAAGGAACGCTGCAGTGCACACACATCTCGCACGCTCGCAAATCCTCAACTACCCTTGATGTACAACGGCAAGAACCACAACCATACCATGACATGTAATGAGCTTGCACATCTCCAGAGCCAACTGGTTGATGCACTCAGCTGGTTTTGTCGAGGACTGTCGAGGTTCGTATCTGGACGGCAATGACTCGTCATCAAGTGAGGCCGGACGAATCTCTCGTTATTTTCGGAGAAGTTGATTTCCCTCGCAACCCGTTTGTGATAAACTCCTGCCGTCTGAGGTTTCTCATGCTTGTGATAATTACCTCCTACACAATAGCGATCCTAAGCAGAATGGAGACCAATTGTCATCAAAGGAGTCCGGATGAGTCAAATTACACAGCCAGCAGAACAACCACAACCACCGAGCTCTGATAAAGTGATGACAGAAAAGTGTTTTATTGTTGAGATCTGTTTTGTTCTGCCCAAAAGTCCCATCTCTTTCAAGCCATGGTACTCTCATCCAAAACATCCTCCAGCAACCCCCGCCTGCAAACCTCTGTATCCGGCACGCCCATACTATACGTGGCCTCGTACGAAAACATACTCAACTGGCTAAAGAAGGGCTGCAACACACTTCGCAAAAAGTCGTCTTTGGCCATTGCTTTCGTGTCTGCCCCGTCCATGACCGAATTACCCAAGAACGGTTTTCTAGCACCCGCTTCGCCAGGTGTGTTGTTGGAAATAGTCGGTGGCGTGAAGGCGGAATGTTCAGAGTTCTCCATACCTAGGGCTTCGGCTGCTTCGTCTGTTAGAGCGACGGGATTGAGGTCCACGGGTCGGTATACGGCGTCGATGGTGTCGGTGATGTAGAGCCATTCATGCAGTTGAAACTCGTCGGGTGATAGAGTAGTGAGTAGATCGAGGAGTTTGCAGGCTTGCAACAACGAAAGATTGCTGTAGATCTCTTGATCGTGGCCGCCGGGTAGGCATGTCGTGATTGCCTTTTGCAAATTAGAGTTGAGGACAGGCCAGACGGCGGATAAGTGTATGGGGGAGAAGGAGAGCACCATCGCCCGGAAGACCATGAAGACTTCTGCTCTAGTGGTTGATGATGGCGAGGAAGAGGAATCGGCGGTGCACAGATCGACGAGCTTGTCCAAGATTTGTGTTAGATTACCCACGAAGGTGTCTTGTTCGCAGGCAAGCATGAGGAGCATTGTTTTTCGCAGAGTAAGCTGCGTCCTTCGATCGGCTTCAAGACGTGCTGCGTTGGCGCCTACGCCGAACATGATGCCAGCTGTAGAAGGAGCGGTGATCTTGGACAGAAGCTCAGGCAGACGGTCTTTGTCACTGAGCGCCCACTTGCGCAACACAGGGTACCATCCGTCGTGCATCAGATCTGCAGAGCACATTAATAGTCGGGAGTTGTTGAAGGCATCTGCAATGTCCTTTTTCCAGTGCTTCGAGTTTGGTCCCTGCTGAGCGATGTGTTCGAAAAGCCTCAGCAGATCTTTATTAATGTTCTCAGGGAACGCTTTTGCATGTGAGGCTGGTGTCATGACATTGCCCGAAATGGTGTTGACAGCAGTCGAAACTCTGTCGTTACTCTGGAGAACGACCGAGAGCTTGGGCATAACATACAGAAGACTTTGAACAAGATCACTCACGCCACTAGAAAGCTGCGACCCAGACGCTGGAGTCTCCAAAATGGTGCCAAGCGGTCGTGCAGTGAATGTGGCGGTCAACAACCGGAGGAATATATCACCTAATTCGCGACGCATCTTACGCAGTTCACCAAAGTTGGTGTTGTCAATCTTCTCAGCGAGCAAGACCGTGAACTCCAGAAGAGACGGCAGTATCTGCCTGTGAGGCAGCGGGTTTGAGAGCACATCTCTCAGGAAGATCGTACACTCGCTCCAGATCTCATCGGTCGCGTCGTCCTCGATTGCGCGTGCATAACCAAGCAGGAAAGCGGCCACTTCTGTTGTAGACAGATCAGATGTTAAGCTTGACCTACGTCCAGTGTCCAACACATCAATGTTTGTGCGACTGTACAGCGCATTAATGATGACAGGTACCGTATTTTTAGGACGCGACCCGTCCAGAACCAGCAGCAGACTAAAGACTGCTGCAGAATCGGCTTCTTGGGATGGCTTGGGCCGAGACCATATCAGAGCCAGTGTTTCAAGGCACTCCAACTCTTCCGCCGCGAAGAGGTTTTCAAGGATCTTCCTTGTGCGATTCCTCAACTTGAGTGCATTCAGTGAAATGGTTGCCGCACATGTAGCGTCCGATCGACCGCTTTCATTGCTCGCCCATGACCAGATGGAGAAGCAGATCCGAATAGCGTCTTGGAATGACAATATCATGGTAAGTCTGCTGTTGATGCGGCTGGTCTTACTCGGAGGTGCGTGTTGTCCATCTTGTGCAAAGACGCCGGAAATGTTGCCGAAGAAGCCTTGTGACGGCTCCGGAGATTTTGGTATGGGGCTGACGATTTCTTCGCTCTGGAATTGGCGATGGACATGAGCGAGAACAAGCTCAAGCCCATGCAACAGTGAAGATAGTGTTGATATAGGCACGGACTCAATTCGTTCCTGTGTGGAGTGCGAGATATGCTTCACATATCGGAAAGCACCTGAAACCTGCTTGCAGATACACTCAACAAGCGGCAACAAATTTGCAAAAACTGCATCTGCATACAGCGGCAAGACTTGATCAAGAAATTCAACCCAATGCTCGAGAAACAAGCGACTTGAAGGTGACGACAGCCCGGTCCGGAGGCAGCTCAAGAGCTCCGGTGGTGGCGTAGAAACTACTCGTTGTGGTAAATTCTCTGGTACCTCAACGGTAAGTGAAGGCCTATGAGAGGCGAGTGGACTCCGAGGCGGAGCAAATGTGCTCTGCATTGGCGCTGCTCGCAGTTTGAGAGCTTTCGATATTGTTTCGAGGTAGACAGTCTGTAGCGCTCCGATCGGACCCTTCAGAGCTTTGCTCAGAGTGGCGATCAGTGCATCATCGACCTCCATCTGCTTCATGAGTGATGCATCGGGACATGTCAGCAGCGTCTGAAGCACAGTCAAAGATGCATGTTGTAGAGACGGTGGAACAGTGCATCCTTGTAGAGCAAGTGTCTTCAAGCACATTCTTGAGAGAAACTCTATGGCATCGGTCTTTGTGATATCACTCTTTGAGTTGCTCGAAAAGCCAAATTGAAGATTTGAGAGCGTGAGCCACATGTGCTCGTTGGGGTTGCGCAGGAGATTTCTCAAGTGCTGGAAGCAGAAGTAGACACCATTCAGGCTTTGCTCTGCGTTCCTTCGTGTCCGATGCCGAGCTTCTTTCTTGCCTGCTTCGTAAGCGAAATTATTCATGTCGTTCTGTAACTTAGAACATATGATGTAAAATACTCTATCGAGACTCGAAAGACTTTGCAGCCACGAACGGACAACATCAGCCGCACCTGTGCCCTCAACGTTCAGCGAGTCTAAGAGCAATAGCAAAGGCCTCGTCAAGACCCTCTCTGGGTCGACCTCGCCACCAAGCTCGCCAGACGTAGGCATGACGCTAGGTCTACGAGACAAGGGCCTTCCAGGGCCTTCTGATCTTGGGTTGAAGCTCTGCATGGTGTGCTCCCAAAGGACAGTGAATCTGGAAGCTATTTCTGGGCCATCGATCTCGGATTGGTCACCAACAAGCAAGGCTAAACGGGCTTCAACTTGGTGTTCGGCTTTGGTCAGATTCTCCAACTGCCAGATCAACCTTACTGCCTCAACGTGGTACTTGGGTCTGAACGGCGATAGATGATGCCAGATACCGTTGAGAACATTGGTTTGTAACTCCATGATTTGTCCATGACTGAAGTACTGCGACTGACCCCCAGAAACACTGGCGACTATTACTGACATTATAGAGCTGATGACCAAAAATGATGACTGCTCGGTCGCGGAGTCTTGTAGCAGGCTATCTTTGTCAAGCGCGTGTTTGAATGTGTCGTGTATGTCCGCATCGCGGAAGGCCTGAGAGTTCGGCGTCTTTGTGATAATGCTGACGAAACAATCTGTGATAAGACCCAGCTGATTCATCAAGGTATTTGATGTCAAGATTAGCCTCAAAACCTTGATGACGCTCTGCAGTATGTATTCAGCAGTACATCGGCGATCGAGCTTCTCGGTATCGATGGTGATGTCTTCAAAGTCATCTCTTGTGTACTGCTGCGTGAGTGACTTGACGACCGAGGAGCAACTCTTAGATTGCCAAGAAGATTGAGAGAGACCATCATTCCTCTCTTGTCCGAAAGCACGTGGGGGCAGGAGACGTAACAGCCGTTGTGCGAAGCTCAGCACAAGAGCCATGAAGCGTTCTGATTCATTCTGCTTCTCGCTCAAGACAATAGCAAGGCGGGCAAAAAGAATAAGGACAGTGTTTGGAATATGCTTCAGAAGCATTTCTTCGTCACGCACGTCGAAGCGATCCATGACGAAGTGTAAAAATTCGAGACCATGTGACGACTCCCTCTCCGCAGAACGACGCAAGTCAAAGGATGAAAGCAGCACACTGACCAGGCGCGACCATATTAGACTGCTCTCAACGCCATCGAAGAAAAGGCTGGCACTGCGAACGACCTCTTCAAGTTGCGCTGGTGAACTAGTATGACTATACTCAAATGCATTTCTGAGAGCAGGCAGTAAAACCTTTGGAACGATCAAGCCGCCAACCTCCCAACGGTCCATCAAGGACAAGCACACGCGGAAGGGCTTCGCGCGGGTTGTCGGGTTGTGACTTTGTTGAGCAAGCATGTTCATGATGCTCTTTTCTAGAGATGCTGCACCATGTTTCTGGAAATACAGAGCTTGTTTTTGCGAGACGTTACCACGGGAGTCTGTGGGCGAGAGAGGAGCACCGTCTTCGAGCTCTGAAGCTGTCGAATCAGGGCCAAGAAACCACGACCACAATCTACGGTTCAGACTCATGTCTCTCCTCAACACACAGTTGGCAGCAGCAGTAGTGATCAGTACCATGTCTTTTGATCGAACATGATTGCGGAAGACAGGTGAACTGAGAGGCAAGTGGGTGACGAGTAGATCGAGGAAACCACGCTGCACAAGAATCTGCGAATCCTGGAGACCAGCAGCGAAACAGCGCACTAGTAGACCGGGCTCGGGATTGATGGCAGCTTGTGCAGCCAGAGGTAAAGCACTTTGCTCCGTCTGACTCGGATCTGAAGGCTTTTCCGACGGGGTGAAGTTGGGAAGTTTACGGGTCAGGAAGGCCAAAGCACCTTGCCTGCGAGACGGATTGGTGATGACAGCGAGGAAGAAGCACTGCCAGAAGTAGCCATCCTTTCCTTCTGTATCAGAACCATCTTCAATGTCGCGAGAAGAAGACTTTCGCAGGATGTCAAGCATGTGGAAAGCTCTGTCGAAATCCTCGCTTGTTTCATCTTCGATACCAGGCAACAATGACAGGATCAGAGATTTTGTAGCAGGACGGATATGTTCAGAGTCTAGCTTCAAGATGTGGTCCTCGATGACCGAGTAGAATATGGGCCGTACGGATAACGATGCGAAGGACAAGACAGGAACCAAACCAGGCAGGTATACGTGTAGCGTTTGACCAAGAGAGGGAGGAGGGAGGAAGGAGAAGATGGTCGCATAGACGTCGAGAGCCTTTTGATGGACACCGGAGGGCAGAGCAGGGTTGAGACATTGTGCCAAACGCAGGGCAACATTGTGGGCGTGAGGAAGATATTCAAGGTTCGGTGGAGGAGGGTGGAGGGCCTTTTGCAGGCGGGCTAGAAAGGCAATGTAGTCGGCCCATTCCTGCTGAGTACTATCGAAAGACGAAAGAGCACGTTCTATGGCAGTTGCATAGCGTCGAGTTGTTTTATCTTTTTGGGCGACAGCTACTTGGAGACAGGGTCAGTGACGATAGTCCGGCGACAGGAGGCACGCAAACGCACATACCGTCCTCGAGGCGGCGAGGAGCACGGAGGGCGGGCGAGGAGCGTCCGGTACTCAGCGGCGACACTGACCGCCGTCCATCACCAGGTTCAAACATCTTCACTCAGATACATGGAAGTTACGATGCTTGGTGATATGGTTGTTCCAGCGTGTTGCTGTATAGCTCGCGCTTGGCGTGGGGAGACGTGGCTGCTTCAGGTACGCGTCTGATAATACTTCTATTTTGCACAAGCATTGACAACCTTCTTGTCGATCGTGTAGACCAGAGATGGTCTTTACGGGCTTCTCATATGAGGGAGCTTCATCGTAAATGTCAAACACATGAACAAGTGGACGTATTCGTGTTCCAATGCACTTAAGCACGGAAGCCCTTACTTGTCAGGCGAAGGAGCGCGTCTTCGGCGGTGTGTTTGCGTTCTGTCATGACTGAGGAAGGCACGCACGTCACCGGCTTTGCTCTGACATAACAAGAACGAAATTAATAAAAAGCAGCGTTCAACGACTGTCGAATTTGTGAAACTGACTAAGGAAGGCTTCGCTTTTCTCCACTGTCATGCGACATTCATCCAAGTCTCCTTCTCCTCCCACTCGCACGCGCTCTCCCTCCCTAGGCGAATCCTCCTCCTCGGCCATCGATACACGCGACACTACCCTATCTTCAGACGACAACGACGACGCTCAGCGTCGAGACAGCGGCAGCGACAAGAACGAAGAATCCAGCTTCTTCCACCACATTGCATATCCCGTCTCGTACACCCTCAGTGGTCTCCTCCGCCGTCTCAGCGCAGACGAAGCTCCTACACCCCTCGCTCGTGCCCTGTCAGCCAACTACAACGGCGCCATGAGCCCTTCTGCCGCCCTGTTTGACGCTCCTAAACGCCGCCTCTCGCCTTTTCAGCCTCCGCCCCTGACTCCTCTGACCTTGACGGGCTACAGAGATGGCACCCCGCTGCCCAGTCGCTTGCTAGAAAAGGCCCTGGCAGAAGAGATTCGCTTGCTGATGCCGCCGCGAGTCCAGCTTGTTGATGAATGGAAGCTTATCTACTCGTTGGAGCAAAACGGCACATCCTTGGCCAGTCTATACAACTTGAGCGACGATTACAGAGGAAAGAGAGGTGGCTTTGTTCTGGTAGTTAGAGACGCCAGCCAAGGGGTCAGTCTCGACGCATCCATAAGTCATCTTACCAATACTGACACTGTGCTACAGATCTTCGGCGCCTACCTTTCCGACCCACCTCAGCCCCATCCCCATTACTACGGCACTGGCGAGTGTTTCTTGTGGAGCGCTTCCCGTTTACCTTCGATGCCCGATCTATCGTTGTTGCCTCCGCCTCCGTCAGCAGACACCACACACATGCAGCGTAGCACAACAATCGCTACTACAGAAAAGCCCTCTTTGACCCCTTCCTCGAGAAGTGGTACATCTACACCCGACAGAATCCGGTTCAAGGCTTTCCCTTACACCGGCGAAAACGATTACACAATCTTTTGTCAGCAAGGCTTCTTGAGTGTTGGTGGTGGTGATGGTCATTACGGACTTTGGTTGGACAACAATCTGGCCAGGGGTGTCAGTTCGCCTTGTCCTACTTTCGAAAATGCTCGTTTGAGTGATGAGGGCGAGAAATTTGGAGTTCTCGGGGTTGAACTATGGTACATTGGCTCTTGATTGAGGCGAGGCACAATTCCATGCTCTATGTTGCGTGGCATCCTTGGGGTGCACAAATTGCAGCAAACCTCTCAGCTGAACATGTCGGCAGTTCTTGCGCAGCTCTCTTGGGGGATTGAGCAAGCGCACAACAAAAACTGCATTCGAAGCTGGCAAACTGACACGACGAGAACACTCGATGATCACTCGTTGAAAGTTTGCAAGAGTTCTTGACTGAGCTGTCAAGAAACCCACCCACAGGACCAGTTGCCGGCGGCATGAATGACTCGCCCAGCTCTGATGCCAGCGACTTCATTGTCGCTGACTTAGAATATTCTCCACCTGAGTATTGAGGGCCAGACGGCTGGCTCATTCTGTGTCAGTCACGAAGCCAAACTGCTGTTGGACAAACTAGCAATGAATATGCCGAATGAGCCGTTGATCTAGCTCTGCCAAACCCGGGTCTATCAAGATGATAGGGCTGGGTAAGGCATCAATATGAGCGAGGTACACCGCAATGTGCCCTCGCATATTCTTATTGCACTCCTTGCTGATACTACTTTCTTGTTTTGGCACAAGCTATCGTGCGTACGGAAGATATGAATACTGCGTCTTGGTCGCTGGTGTTTGGAAAGACGCAAGGCGACGAGACGCAACCAAGAACCATCCATCTTTCAAGCCGAGCATGCAACGTTCTCGACCTCGAATGGATCTTTTGTGGAAACGATAAACAATTACCCGATACGGAAAGAGCTAAACTTGTATGGGCGCAGGGCTGGACATTGCAACGGTCTTTGATCCGACTTCCAACGGTCTTCCTCCCAATTCACTGCATCAACCCACATGGCCTTCCTGAGACACTCTGCCTTTATTGATAGCGTACGGTACATCGCTCTGCCGGCAACGGTGAAAATGGTTTCTCGTATACTGGTGACACAGAGGCTTCGCTGCAAAATATAACAGCACGATGGTCCGCCTAGTAGGATCTGTAGCCCTTTTGTTTATCGCACATTCGTTCCAACCACGCCTCACATCTCGCAAACTTGCCAATCGTACAGTCGTTTATTCTCCCGAGAAATCAAGATCAAAGCGTAAGGAGCGATGCGCGCGTCGAATATCTTTATGCCTCTGGCGGCCGCCGGCATGGTCGCCGGCTCACCTCTGGACTTCCAAGAACGTGCGGCCAACACCTGTACAGTCAAGAGCGTTCAGTCTGTGGTCACCAAACTGAGTCCTTCCGTTGCCACTCCTTACTGCCAATCTCTCCTCAAAATCTCCACAAAGACCGTAAACAAAACCATTAAGGCCCCGACTCCCTCGAAACATGTCGTCACAGCGACCGTATCTAAGACTGTCACCTCGACTAAGTATGTTAGGACGTACGTGATGGAAGGGTGACCAGATCGACTAACGGCAAGTAGGAACGTTACCAAGAATGTCACTTCCACGACATCTAGCTCGTTCAACGCTTCGGATACGAGAATCAAGACCAGCAAGAGCACAAGCACATCCAGCAAGAAAAGCAGCAGTTCTCTCAAATCCAGCAGCAGCTCTATCAAGTCCAGTAGCAGTTCTACCAGGATCAGCAGCAGCAGTAGAACTGTTGGTAGCTCTTCAGCTTCACCATCCTCGACCTCAACGCGATTGAGCTCGACTTCAAAGAGCCTGTCAGCATCGCCGACACCAAGTTCGATAAGCAGTGTCCGCTCAAGCTCGGCATCGTCTTCGAGCAGCATTGGAAGTTCGACATCGGCGTCATCAAGCAGTATTCGTTCCAGTTCGTCTTTGTTGTCTAGTGGCCCGGTGAGCTCTTCAAGTATGAACTCCATGTCCAGCTCCAGTAGTTCGATCGAGGGAAGTCTACGCGCAAACGCCATCATGGGTACAGCTTCGGGATCCTCCTCTGCATCGAAAACCGCTTCGAGCTCGAGTATTAGCTTGTCATCGTCTTCGGTCATGACCTCTGCGTCAGTGGTGCCGACCGGCTCAAACTCGACGAGCACATTGTCCTCGTCTTCAGCCGTAGCGTTTGTGTCAATGTCGGAGACTGTTTCGAACTCGACAATCGTGTCGTTCTCAACTTCGGCAGTAGAGGTCTCCACATCGGAAACGACTCCAATGTCAACAGCTGCTTCGTCTACGTCCTCAGTCATGGCTTCGGCATCACTGTCAAGTGCCAGCGAACATCCAACGCATCATCCCTCGCCCAATGCTACGACCTCTACCAATGGAACTTTGTTCTCAAACACGACAGCGATGAGCGGCAGCAGCACAGCATCATCCACCGGATTTGCCGACTTGTCGTCGAGCTCTGCAACAGCTAGCGGAGGCATGAAAAAGCGTGACTTGGAGGAACGCGCAGTCTCAAGCAAGAAGACATCGAGCGCAAAGAAGACGAGCACGAAAAAGACGACAAGTACTAAGAAAGCAACTTCAACCAAGAAAGCTAGCACTACCAAGAAGATGCAGATTGTGAAGAAAGCAACGAGTAGCCCAAAGTCGTCAAGCACCAAGAAACTCAGCTCGTCGAGCAAAAAGCCTACAACCACACCCAAGGCCAGCACCAGTCTGAAGAAGACAACAAGCACAAAGAAATCAAGCTCGACCACTCCCATCAAGATTGTGGTCAGCAGCAAGAAAGCCACGACATCCTCAAAGCCTGTCTCTACATCAAAGAAGATCAGCAGCACGACATCGAAGAAAGTTATCTCGAGCACAAGCTCTGTCAAGACATCGAGTGTTCCCATCAACAAAGGCCAACCTTCACAGTTCAACGGACTCAACAATGCACAGCAATCAAGCATCTGTAGCTGCTTGCACGTACCTACGCCCACCTTCACCAGGAATGTCTATGTGGACACATTTACCACCGTGACATCGACAACGACCGCTGTAACAACTCTTATCAGCTCCAAGACGACAACAGCATACCACACTGTAAGTGTACAAAACACGAATGCATTGGCACAAGAGATCTAACAAGACAAACAGGCAACCGCAAGCCCCGATCTCTTCTACATGCGCGCATCAAGCAAAAGCAAAACGTCAATCGACGGCCTCTACGCAGTCCTCAGTGATGGGGCAGAACTTCTCGGCTTCACAGCTGACAAGTCAAGCGGCAGCAAGTTCTTCTTCGCCTCTCCCAACCTGCTCGTGGAATCGGCATCGAACTGGCTGGCGAATATCGAGGAGGGCAATTTCGTGTCGTCGTTCTGGATGAACTCGGTGGACCGTATGCATACGGTCAACGCGGTACCGTTGGATTGTAGAAACAATGGTGGAGAGCTGTCGTGTACGAGTGGTGAGTTGGAGCAGCTGTACTGGTGCTCGGTTTGGGGAACGACATCGTTGGTACTTGGACCGTCGACTTATGATAATGGGTTGTGTAAGCCTGTGTCGCTCGATATCGTAAAGGCTTAGATGTTTGTAATTTTTAATTAGATTGCCAGTAACATGGTCCATTGGTGATTTTATCGTAGAAATCAGATCAAGGCAGCAACAGTATGCCTCAGGCTCGCAGGCGTTCGGTCATGGGAGCAGCAGTGGTGCGGAGAAAGAGAGCTTCTCCAGGTTCCGCAGATCGCTCTGGTGGTCATGAGCCAAACACACGCTCGCACACCCTCATCCTCCCGAACACACCCTCATTGTCGCAAAAGCACCCTCTGCACCGCCCATACACGTCTACGCAGCTCTCACACACCTCACAAATACACACACACACACACAATGGCTTCACGCGCACTCTCGCTGCCGGCCCGCCGCCTGGCCGCCGCTCTCTCCACTCCCGCCATGACCCGTCGCAGCTTCCAGAGCTCAGCACGCTTGCTCGAAGTCCCGGTTGGAGCCATGCCTGTCCGCAAGCCCGTTGGCGCCTTCCGTGGAGGGTACGAAACACCTTTCTCCACAATGCTATCTCTCTTGCACCTTCCGGCTTCCCTCACCTCTTGACTTCTGCCTCTTCCCATCCCACTTCCCGAGCCCAAAAGCCGTCGCGTGACCAAGACTGACATTGCAACTTGCCAGTGTCCTCGGTTTCCTCTCTGGAGCTACCATCAGCGGCGGAGCTCTGTACTACTATGTCATTGACGAATACCGCGTTTCCAACGAACTCTTGACCGAAGACATCTACGTGAGTCCCGTCAACCTTCATCCCCAACACGCCTTCTCTCCACACGCAGACCTAGAGAGGGGCACAGAGGCTAACAGTTGTGCGAACCACAGGCCCTTCAATCCGCCGTTTCACGCATAGAAGGCTATGTCAAGTCTCTGGAGGAAAAGGTCCGCAAGTGATGCTTCTGTGCTTCTGCTTCGCCCCAAGTCACATCATACCATACCCTGACGCGCCAATCGTTGCAATTCCTCAATCTTCTTTCCAACTGTTCGATCCTTGTCATCCCTCGACGCCCTCCTCCTTGCTTCAATGCATCTCGCCAGCATCGTCCTCTATCTCCTTTCCTCTCGAAACGCACACAATCCTCCTCTTCTCGCCTTCTCTGGCTTCTTCAAGCATCTCTTGTACAACGAATCAGATATCCTCCACAACCACGCAATGCAAAAACTTCATTACCCCACTTTGTCCGAATGAATGAGAGAAGAAAGAGCCGAGGACTACACCCGATGCAATGAACGCCGTACAAGCAGACAGCGAAGAAAGAGCTGATCTGCCGTCTGATGCGGTCATGAGGACCGTCGGTGGGCTGGAGTCAAATAGCGTTTGTCTCGTGCCAACTCCGACTGCCACCCCGTCCTCTGAGTCGCAGTCTCAGCCATTCGTCTCGTCGTTGTAGTCGCTGTTCAGTGCTGCTCGTCCTTGTGTAGTCCTGAGCTCTCATCAAAGTATGTCAATGTTAGTTTTTGTATGACTCTGCGTTGCTCCTCTGCGTCTTGCTACTCACCTCGTCGCCGTGTGTATGTGTCAGTCTTCTTCTTTTCTTTGCTCCCTTTGAAAGTTTGGCCTCGGCTGCTTTCTCCTTCTTTTTGCATCTTTCACAGCCAAGTCTCTGTATCCACCCAGGGTTTCCCGTGTCAGCTGTAGTCTTGTCAGTCTCCATCTTGTCAATGTGGCTTTCTCGTACACTCAAGGATAAAAGGTCGTGAGTATGCAATGTAGTTGTTCGAAGGTTGCTGTGCTTTTCTCTTTCTTGTTGATTCTTCTCCAGAGTCAGTATTCATCAAAAGACAATCTCCATCAAACTCAGTCGTCACCAAAATCACATGTCGAGTCAGCATCAGTGTCACATTCACAAAGAAAGAGAGGAAACATTGTATGAAAGTCAAAATGTGCTTTCAATTCAGAATCAATCTATTTGTACAATAATGTCATGGCTCCCAATCGCTTCGTTCCCAAAGGAAGGAATCCGAGTGGTGAGACATGTTGCAAGAAGAAGTAAAATTGGTCCCAAAGAGCTCGCCGGCTCAGCTAACCACGTCCCAGATCAGTCCGGACTGGCGCATCTAGATGTACCACATGCCAGGGTTCATGACTGCAGGGTTAGCCATGGGCATGAGAGGAGGGAAGGCCTGGGGATCGCCCTGACCAACAACGGTGCTGTTGTCGTGGATGGAAGTAGGGTCAACGCCAAAGCCCTTGCTGTGGTGAGCGCCACGCAGAGAGGCAATGTGAGCGTAGTACACGGCAGGGAAGATCGAGACAGGAGTGGTAGCACGAATATACTGGTAAGAGTGCTCGTAGATGAGCGTCTGGATCTTCTCGTTGGGCCATGCGGGCTCGTTGATGAGAACGTTGTAGTGGACAGGGCGTGCAGTACCCTTGATGGCGGCGTGTGCACAAAGGTAGAAGTCGTTCTCGTATGGCTGAGTGACTCCAGACTCGACCAGAGTGCCAGGTAGAGCATTGGAATTCTTGTCGCCGCCGCTCTGGGGGAAGAAACGGACGTGGTGACGCTTCGAGGCAATGACGACGAGGAACTTGGGCGAAGCGGTCCAGAGCTTAAGGAAAGCCTTCTTCATGGCAGCCACCTCCCGATCGATGACTTGAGCAAACTGACCCTCAGAGACACCATCGCGGAAGTAGATGACGGTGGCGGGAGCTCTGCCTTGGGCAACCTTGTTGGACCAACCATTCTTGATGAGCGACATGATGTGCTTCTCGATGTTTTCATCAGTAATCATCTCAACACGGTGACCGTTGGTCTCGACAGCAGCAGCATAGCGAGTAGCCTGGACGTTCATCGACACAGTCATGGCAGCCATAGAGGGGCCGGGAATGCCAGGAGCAGAGTGAGATACATCGGCGCCAATGACGACGGTGCTAGCATCAAGAATACCCTTGGCAGTCTGCGCAGTAAAGGCGGTGTTTGTGAAACCACCAAGCTTGGCGTTGAACTTCATCAACACGTTCGAGATGTACTGAGGCTGAGCCTTCTGAACGTGGCCGTACTGGACACACTGAGAAGGAATACCAAGCGCACACTCGCAGTAACGCTTGATTCTGCCATAGGTGATGCTGTCCTTGTTCATAAGAATGAACATCAGGATGTGGGGTCTCTTCTGGTGCTTGTTGCCAGCGGCAGTGAAGGCCTCCTGCGCAAATGTAGCAGGGTCGGGGTTCGATGGGTAGTAGATCGCGGGGGTCTGCATGGTGGCAGGAAGTGATGCACCATGATTAGTGTAGGCCTGGGTGAAAGCCTTGACAAATCGCTCGATAGCGCCCTTGTCGATCTGACCTCTGCTAGGCACAACGCAAACTCCCCAGGTAGTGGTGGCGAGAAAGGCAGCCGGAGGCACCGAGGCGAACTTCTTGCCCTTCAGGTCCCAGCGGCCAGTGGTCCTGGGATCGGCCTGAGAGCTAGCACCGGTACCACCAAACTGCAGCTTGGGGTTGGTCAACAAACGAGCCTTGGTCACAATAGGCGTGTTCTCGATCTTCATGCCATAGTTGTGCAGGAATGCGTCCTGACCCCAGTTGAGCATGTTGACACCGCTTGAGATGGAAGCCCAGCGCTCTCTGGGATAAGTGACAGCCTTCTTGATCATCTGAGAGGTCTGGGTTTCATCGAGCTTGAAGGTGTAACGCGTGTTCTCCTTGACCTTGAGGAGCTCCAGGGGTAGGATGGCCTTCTTTGTCATCTGAACGACGGGCCATGCGGGATACTGCAGATGGATGTTGTGAGTAGTCTTGAAATAATCCGCAACAGTCTGGCTGCCCTCTCCGATCTTGATGACGTGAGTGGAGTCCTTCTTCATGATATGGTCGATGACATAGTCGTCGACCTCACCCTTGCGATGAGCGGCATAGACACGAAGCTTCTTGAAACGACGGAGGTTGAGAAACTTGTTGTTGTTGTTGGGCAAGAGCAATCGGGCGATCTCGGCCTCAGAACTGAGCTTCAACACATTGACGATGGCTCTAGAAACGGGACCAGGGGCCCAGAAGGTTCCGTTGGCGACGTCGGCGTTGACAACAAGACGGGCACCACCAGGATGGTGAGCGATGCGAAGAGACTGGTAAACACCATTGGTGTGCTCAACGTGACCGCCAAGAGAGGTGCGCTGAGAAGCCGGAGCATAGAAACTGCGCTTGATCGAGATGAAGCGGCTTGAGGGACTCTCACGCATGATGTGATCAAGCACGGTAATAGCCTGGAGAATACTCCTATCGTGACTGGCGGTACCACTGAGATAAGCGTTCAGGGTTGTGAAGTCGATGGTCGCAGCGAGGGTGATAATCACGCGATGGACATCGGTACGACCAGCACGGGGTTTGGCACCAGGCTCGTTGTCGAGGTTGACGTTGACGCGAACTTCACCATCCTTGACCTTCTTGTTGGACCAGGCAAGACTCTGACCGTCGAAGATCCAGCCCTCTCCCAGAGCCTCCTTGACGGCCTTGCTGTGCCAGACCTTCTTGATGAGACCACGCTTCTGCTGGTTGTTACCGACCATGACCGAATATTGACAGATAGGCTTAGTGGGAAGACTAGTGACAGGGAATGCGTTCAACTGGATGTTGATATCCTTGCCTAGCTTGGAAGCAGCCGGGCGACCCTGGAAGGCATGGCGGGCGCCGCGAGCATCGCCCCACATAGTGGCACCGACATCGATGTTCTTGACGTTGTTGGAGATGCCCTCAAGGATCTGAGGAGCGGGGCCAACGGGAGCGGGATCACGGTTACCATCGAAGCGGGCAAGGGAGAGGTGGGCAGCAGACTGGGTAGTCGATGGGGCACCACCAGACTGGCCCTCGCGCTGAGCGTTACGCTTGGAAGAGCCGCCGAGCATTGTGGTTGAGTTGAGCAGAGAGCTTGCTTTGGCTGAGACGCAAAGATGATCAGTGATGCTGATCAGAGAGGTGTACTGAGATGAAGGATAGATGATGTGATGATAGATGTTGGAGAAGGTAGATGAGTGTTGAAGGTATTGAAGAAGGAAGGGTGGAGTGGAGTGGGTGGAAGAGGAAGAGGTTGTGGTGAGAAGGGAAGAGGTTTATATAGGCAATGGAAGGTGTTGTTTGCTACGAGTAGCGACGACTAAGGAAGGTGTGAAGAGGTAAGGTGAAGAAGAAGGACTGGTGAATGAGAGCGATCGAAGAAGGGATCAGAAGCGAAGGCAAACATACCTCGTAATATCTGATGTGGTTGTAAGGAAGGAGCGTAGACTGAAGCTTCGAAACCGGTAAGCGATCTGGACTGGCAGCGTGCTCCGATTGAACGAGAAGCGGAGTGATTGCTCGGAAAGTCGGGTGAAGGGAGGTATGGTACAAACAACTGATAGTGATGGGTGATGTAAAAGGTGAAAAGGAAGGTGCTTGTGTGTGTGAAGATCTTCTTTCTGACAGAGTTTGGGTGGAGTGCAAGGTGGAGGAAGTTGGAGGTGAGCAGAGGAAGGCAACAAAGAACTTACCAACAGTAATGGAATCAATGCTAGGAGCAGAAGCAAAGTGGTTGTGGTGATTGCCGTAGACGGTCTGTGATGATGATGGTTAGATGGTTGAAGCAACAAGCGAAGTTTGGGTGCGCAAGCAAAGACTCACCAAGCAATAGAGCAAAGCGCACTCGGTGATGAAGGACTGGTTGAGATTTCAGCAGCAAAGGGATGGCGGAAAGGGTGATGGAAAGAAAGGATGAGTTCGATGCAGGGGAAAGGCTTTTGCGTTTGATCGAAAAGACCACAAGGATGGTGAATGCCGGTGTATAGCACAAACGCCGGCGGCTGATAAAAACAGAGCTTGCTGCGTGGGAAGCCGCGACGAAGCTAGCAATCAACAGGTACCGTCCTGCGCCCCCAGCTAGACGGTTTACACGATGCGATCGAGAAGACGAGCCAGTGCAAACTGTCGATACTTCCTTCCCTGCGTAAGAATTTCCAACCAAGCCAAGTCCTACCTATCATGCATCTCCTTTGGGTCCCTTACTGCAAGAAAAAGGCCTTTTGATTAGTCCAGTAACAAAATGCACAATCAGCTTCGCCTCAAACACTGATACAAGAGGCATCGAGCAAGCAATCGAACGAAGATGACGCCCAAACCTCCGGAGAAATGCAATGAACCCTTTGCGGAAGAACCGAAGAAAGAACTTCCTCCCAATGCGAGGATCCTGTCAAGCAGCCAGGTAACACGGGACCCACCGAACACAAGGCCTTTTCAGCTGGCAGCAAAAGACGTCCAACATCCTGAGACAAGCATCAGACCTGTACGACCAGAACCCCGATCTTACGACAGCATCAGGCTGTTGGTCCACAGCAGCACATACCCGCCGGGTACGCACGCTGCATACGTCAAGAGGGCAAGAAAGAGATGGGTCAGAAACGATTGGTCCTCTACTGCGACAACATTGTGTCCAGCCTTTTAGCAGGCAAACACGCGACAGATGCGATGGAAGCCAGTCTCGGGCTTCAGCAGACGGCCTCGGCGGCTCGGCATAGCCTCAGGGAACGAGCATTGTGCGAGACCAGACGACAAAACAGCGACTGTTGATTGTGCAGATGTGCGAAAAGAGAGCGGGACGTCGTCCATCGGCAAGGGAAAAGTGGAGAGCTGCATGGCGTTGCCGAATGTCTGCGCAGAGCCGCTGCCTGCAAGCGACATCCTCGTATCGTCTTCCAGGTAGGCAGCATAGTCAAGTGCATTCAATTCTTCAAGTTGGAGGTACGCAGATTCGTCAATTTTCGCTCTCGATTTTCGTTCATATATTACAGTTGTCAGTATGAGCGTCAAAAAGCAGCTATCTGCTTCCCTCGAATCCACAGTCCGTTTTACGTGTAGAATATCATATCAACGCCTTGTTGCTCCCTGCAATGCAATTGTTCCGCAGCCCACGTTCTATCATTGGTCTGCGAGCTGTCTCCTGCGTCCCCTCTGGGTTTCTGCATATGTATAGCAAGCGCGGTTAATTCAAGAAGTCATGTCATGACTGATCATTTTCAGCGGCCGTAGTTGTAGCCGCCGCCACCACCATATCCGCCGCCTTGAACCATGGCTCTGCTGGGATCAATACCTCTGATCAAAGCGACCATACTCTCAGCATTCAGCCTAGCTTGGGCTGGGTATGTTGAAGCGTTGGGAATCATGCTGAGAAGAAGAGTGATGTCTCTGGGCAGAGGCTTGGGCGGCGGGGCGACTACCTGCGAGCCGTAACCCTCTGCACGCTGTCGTTGCTGCTGGCGACGACCTGCTGCACCCTTGAGCGGTGACTCGCCGCGAGCAAGCTTGCGTGCAGGTTGCTCGGCATCAGAATCTGCATTGTCGAGCGCGCGCTTGGGTGACTGTACGTAACCTGTTGCGGCAGACAGCACAGCAGGGTTGGGTACCGGCTCGATCTCTGTGCTGGGCAGGGCAAATTCTGAGCCCTTGGGCCTGGTTTGGGCGTTGGGGCTAATGATGGTACGAACAGTGCAAGGATCAAAGGTAGGAATTCTGAAGCGATGACCGAAGCGGACGAGAGAGGGGTCCTCTGGGAAGAAATCGGCCATGCGCTTCTCGAGCTTTGTGATTTGTGCAAGCTCGCCGTAGTTGGACTCGTACTCGTGGATGAAGAGGAAAAGAGGCTTCGTCCTGGGGATGTTCTCTGGCTTGGCCGAGAGCTTGGAAACCGTGGTCTCGAAGACAGCACGAGCGTCTGCAACAATTGTCAGCACAGAAGATATTATCACAAGATCAAGAAACTTACTGGTAACGTCGTTGGTGGCGATCAGATGCTTGAGGTATTCCATGGCGAAAAGCTCGTCTTCAGGGAACAGTTTCATGCCACGCTCGAAAATCTTAGTTGCCGCTGGGTCCTTGTAACAGTGGTACTCGATAAGTGCGGTTGCCACGTAGACATCGCTGGTGATGCGACCTCTCTTTCTCGCGAGAGCGAAGACGTTTCTGAGACCTCCCACCGGTGCATCAGGCTTGCCCTTTCCTTGAATGCGACGCATGGCACGCATGAGAGCAATCCACACGAAGGACAATGTCTTCGAGACGGTCTTGACCTGGGCAGCGGTGTTCTTCTGCACTTCCTTGACCTGTCTCTGTTCCTCGGCTTCTCTTGAGTTCGAGGCGGGTTTGTTGTTTGACTCGTCCTCATCGTCATCATCTCTGGCTTCGGGGGTGGGTTCACGAGACAGCGGAGGTAGAGACTCGTAGTACTCCTTGATTTGGGCGATAGCTTTGGGCTCGCGCGCCTTGATCTTGTCCATGAGGGCGTATAATGAGTTCAGGCAATTGTCGTAAGGCTCCTTGACGGCGTCGCCACGGCGGACGAGGCTCTCCTCACCGTCCTCGACGGGCATCGTCTGCTCAATGCGGTCGGCACGGGTGAAGGCGAGTAAGCAGCTCTCAGGGTTGGCTGCAGCACCCTGTGCCAGGAAGTCGTTTGCTTCAGTCTCCATCTCGTTGTCGAAGCAGAACTCGGCGGCGTCGTACCAGATTTGGGGCCAGAAACGGAGAGCCATGGTAGCCTGTCTGTAGACATAGAGAACACGGTCGCGGTATGCCTTGATATCCTCCTCTTTCAACACGAGGGGGTCCTCTTTCTCCCATTTGACCCAGTCTTGCCAGATGGTGACTTGCTGTTGGTAATCGTCGTCGCCGTCGCAGCCAGGAGCAGGGGGCAATGTCGGAACGGTTCTACGCTTGAGGTCCTGGGTGATCTTCTGGAGGATGTTGTAAGAGGTACGGGCGGTCATGTAAGCGGGTGACTTTTCTTGGAGGAACTTGCGACCCTAGGAAACTGTCAGTGAAGTACTAGAATATGCGGAACAGCGACTTACAGTCATCTTGTTGAGGCCCATCTCGAATGAGTCGTACTCTTTCCACAGACTGGTGGTAGCCTGCATGGGGACAGTAATGGCGCGCTGATATGCCTTGCGCAAGAGATCCATCTTTTGAGCGTCCTGCCAGCCATTACCACCGGGATTGCCGGGACCAGACTTGATGAAGTTGATGTAGTCCTGCCACATACTTCCAGAGTCCTTGTCGTTGCCGATCAGGTTGAGGGCAAAGTCGTACGCCTGAGTAATAGTCTGGCGAGCCTGGCCTGTCGCGTCGGTCATGACATTGTTGCGACGTCTGATGTAGTCGAGGTAGATGCCCCAGAGCTGTACGTTGTAGTTCTTGAGGAGAGCCATGTTGAAGATGTTTTCCAAGCGGAGGAAGTCGTCCTGGTCTTGCTCCATGAGGGCGTATGCGACCCATTGTTCGGCCTCGAGGCTGGTTAGCTGAAACTGTCTCGGAAAAGGACAGGGGAAGTCAAACTTACAGCAGTGGGGAAGACTTCGAAGAAGCGGTCGTAGACGCTGCGAGCATCGTCGAGCTTGTTCTTGGATCTGTGCAGAGCAATCAAGTCAAGCCAAGCGTCAACGTCACCCTTTGGGTCATCGGCAATTCTGTCCTCCAGCTGACCAACACGGTCCTGAGGCAGACGGGGCTTTGAAAGGGCAGCAGAAGATGAAGAAGGAATTTGAGCAGTGGAAACAGGAGCACTGGACTGCGGCAGAGCCTGGCCTGGGACAGGAGCACCTCGTGTGGGAATGGCAGAAGGGGCATGGTCTTGTTCAAGTAGATCAGTAGGAGGAGGGTTATATACGGCTTGTACATTCTGTTGCTGCTGCACAGGAGTCTGAGCGAGTGAGCCGTTTGTGCCTGTGCCATGATCTTGCTCTTCTTCGTCTTCGTCATCATCTTCCTCAATGAAGCCACCAATCGTCTTTGGTTTTTGCGCGGCTACAGTCTCGGCTGTGGGCGAGGCGGTACGGGAGGAGATCTGGGAGGCAGGCTGAGCTTGGACAGCAGCAGGCTGAGGGGTGGCCGATGGCTGAGGCTGAGGCTGGTCGGGCATGAAGCTGGATGGGTCATAGTCTTCTTCGTCATCTTCTTCTTCCTCTTCCTGATCTTGATCGACGGTCTGATGGGCAGGGTCGTACGAGGTGGGGTCATATTCGGCGGCGTTCATGGACGCCAGGAAAGCGTCTTCACCACTCATGTCGGCCATGATGGCGGTAGGGTGCGAACGAGTAGATGGACGACGCGCGGGGAAGAGACGGATCCAGTGTCGTGTGCACGAAGCGCGGCTTTCGGAGGATCAAGATGGTACACCTGGTGTCAAGAGCGATCAAGCACGGAAGGGAGAGAAGGAATCACAAGCGAACAGGCGAGCAAAAGATGATGATGAGAAACGCGACAGCGAGATGAGGGCGATGAAGCAGATGTGAAGTTTGGACTTTGCGCGCACGACGCCGACACGCCAGAGCTCCGTCGCCCGAGGCTGCTCTGAAAGCCGCTAGCTGACACTAGCGCCGGGCGTACCCGCACTTGCAGCCTGACATCACAGGGCAGCTGAATGCGCTTCCATCTCTTTGAAGCTCCTTGTCTCTCTCTAGGTCTCTCCTGTCCATGTCGTCGACTTTGCACCCTCGTGTGGCCAGCATTCCCCCATACTTCCCGAGGACGTCATGAATCCAACAATAACCCTTCCGAGGAATAACTCCAACGCCTCGTCCTTCGGCCCAGTCTCCACATCACGTAACAAACATGGCCGTGTCCGCATGCCCCGGTTCTTTAGACGTCTGTTCAAGTTCCCGCAGATGGATTTCGAAATGGCCGTCTGGGACATGACAAGTCTGATCGTTGCTCCCAAAAAGGTCTTCCGCCAGGTCTATTACCACAAGCAAACCCGCAATACGTGGCACACAGCAGACCCCTCCTTCACCTACTTGCTCTCCTTCTTCCTGCTCCTGACTGCACTGGCCTGGGGTCTGGCCTACGCCGATGGCTTCTCAAAAACTTTACGCATAACCCTCGTCTTCATCTTCGGCCACTTCCTTCTTACTTCGCTGCTCGTCTCGACCGCTGCATACTTCCTCGTCGGAAAGCTACTGGGTCCTGGTGTCAAGGGCCTACCGGGCAGAAACAAAAGAGCTGGCTTGTTTGGTCCAGGAAGTGATACTGTGGAGCAACTCGAGTTTGGATATTGTTTCGACGTCTCGATCCGCGCTTTCTTCCCAGTTTGGGTATGGCTGTACGTCGTCCAGTTCCTGCTCATGCCAATAATCTCGCGCGACTACTGGCTCTCGCTCTTCTTTGGCAATCTTTTGTATCTGGTCGCTTTCGGCTACTACTTTGTGGTCACTTTCCTCGGTTACAACGCTCTTCCTTTCTTACATCATACTCAGCTGCTCTTGACGCCTGTGGTCGCATTTGCCATCTTCTGGGTCATTAGCTTGTTCGGACTCAACCTGCCGAAGCACTTTGCTCCTGTACTATGGGCTGGTGCTGATTTGCGCAAGTCTGTATGATCCTAGTCTGTGTATAATCTGTCGAACAAAAGCTGTTTCTTCCTCATTCAAACAATCATGCTCCATCTACTGTTGTGGTTGTGTTGCTGACGTCTTTCTACCTTGCATGCAATCAATCTTGCAGTCGAGAGTCGAGGGGTGATGCGGCCAATGTCTAAAGCAAAATAACGCCGCTGTACATGCCATGCTTTTATCTTTACATATGTACAAAGATTTAGTTCTACATCCCAAATATTCTTACACTCCTTTACCTGTTACGATGCTTCTAGATTGGCAAAGCACGCTTCTGGGTCCTCTCCTCGAACGTCTGGATCATATCACCGACTTCAAAGTCCTCCCAGTCCTCGAAGCCCATGCCACACTCGGTACCTCTGCGCATTTCTTGAACATCCTTCTTGACGTTCTTGAGACTGGTGACGGTACCTGTTGCATCAAGTCAGTAAATGTTTGCGCTTCTCGAAAAAGAAAGAAGGAGGAAGAAGGGGAAAGACAACTCACCATCATAAACCCTCTCTTCGCCTCTGGTGACTCTGACTCTGGATCCTTTAGCCACAACGCCATTCCTAACCTTCAATCCCGCAATCTTCATCTTCTTGCGCCCACCAACGCCAATCTCAAAACTCATGGCCACCTCCGCCTCACCAGTGACCTTTTGGATCTTTTGCGGCGGCAGTTTTTCCTCGAGCACAGCACGCACATCGTCAACAATGCGATAAATGACGTTTTGCTCGAGCAACTTGATGCCCTTGCGTTCAGCACGTCCTGAATTGTCGGGATCGTGAGGCAAGTTGAAGGCGATGATGTGGCCTCCCGCTGCGTCTGCGTGCTCAATGTCGAATTCCGAGACTGGACCTACAGAGGCGCGAAGAAGTTTTGGAGAGCACAAAGGGTTGGTCATTTGGAGGAGGTAAGCGGAGACGGCTTCCACGCTGCCGCTGACGTCGGCTTTGATGATGAAAGGCACGAATTGATGGCCAGGTGTTTCGTTATCGTCGTTACCGAGCGCGGGTTTGCGAGTAGCGGTGGCTTCGACTTCGGTGCCGCTTGCGCGTGCTGCTCTTTCGGCTGCCTTTTCGGCGGCGGCGGCTTCCTTGGTCATGTCGCGCTGGACTTGCTGTTCGCGGCGCTGAGCGTTGATTTTTTCCATGTCTTCGGCCATGCGGATGCGTTCGGCCAGCTCGGCGCGGAAGTCGACGACATCGGCGGCTTTTTGCTCGTTGGGTGCTTGGATGACTTCGTCGCCTGCTTCGGGTTGATCGCGCCAGCCGTCTACTTCGATGGGTGTGCCTGGACCGGCCGACATCTGGACGACACCAGCTTCATTGCGGAGACTGCGCACGCGGGTCCAGGTTTTGCCTGCTACGATAATGGTGCCTGGTTTCAGCGTTCCGCGACGGACGAGCACGGTGGCCACGCGGCCGTTGGACTTGGTGGTGGCTTCGATGACCCAGCCTTCCACTTGGCCTTCGGTGTCGGCACGGTGATCAAGGATCTCAGAAAGAGTCACTGCTGCGTCTTCGAGCTCGTCGATGCCTTGGCCGGTCTTGCCACTGACGGGTACGACTTGGGTGTCACCGCCAAAGTCTTCGATCTCGACTCCGTGGCGGGCCAAATCTTGCTTGACGCGGTCGACGTTGGCTTCTTCCTTGTCAATCTTGTTCACAGCGACAATGATGGGTACGTGTGCAGATTGAGCGTGCTTGATAGCTTCGATGGTCTGCGGCTTGACCGAATCATCAGCTGCAACGACCAAGATAATGATATCAGTGACAGTGGCTCCACGTTTGCGCATCTCGAGGAAAGCTGCGTGGCCGGGTGTGTCAAGGAAGGTGATGGTCTTGCCGCTCGAAAGAGCAACGCTAAAGGCACCAATATGTTGTGTGATACCTCCGTGCTCAGAAGCTGCAATCGAAGACTTGCGAAGGTAATCGAGAATGGTGGTCTTTCCGTGATCGACGTGTCCCATGATTGCAACGACAGGTGGTCTGACAGGCAAGAACTCCTTGTCTTCTGGTGCAGGCTCAGGCAGCGCCTTGAGATCGCGTTCTTCGGCCTCTGCTTCGTCTTGAGCACCCATGGTAGGATCAAAGTTGTACTCCATAGCGATCAAACCTGCTTCCTCAGAACCAAGAATATGATCGTGTGATGTGTTCTCGAAGCCGAGCTCCTCCATCTTATCGGCCATCTCTTGGTAGGTAACATTCGTCAATTGGGCGAGTTTAGACACACTGACGAACTCTGGCAGGTTAATGGGAGTCATGGCCTCTGCACGTCTTGCCTGCCTCGCGGCCTGACGAGCAGCCTCCTTGGCTGCCTTGTCCTTCTTCGCTTGACGGGCCTTTTTGCGTTCATCGCGGTTGTTGCGCATAGCACCGTAATTACCCTCGAAATCGTCGTCGTCATCGAATCTGCTGCGGCGGCCTCTGCGAGGCTTGTCGTCGTCTTCGACATCATCTACGTCCTCATCGAAACGGCTGCGACGTCCCTTGACGGGTGCAGATTTGGGTGCATCGGCATCGTCATCTTCCTCGACAAAGCGAGATGCTCTACGAGCGTTGCGTTCGGCAAGTCTTCTGGCTGCTTCCTGTTCGGCAGGATCCATTTCTCCAGCCTCCGCTGATGGCTCTGCACGTACTGGTGGTCCATATGCCGTCGCCATGTCCCGTCCAGCGTTCCTGGGTTCTCTAAAGTCTCTGGATCGTCGTTCGTCTCTGTCACCTCGAGGTGCGTTGCGATCGAATCGCTCACCACGAGTAGGAGGCTTTTGACCTGGAGCTCGATCAACCCAGCCAGGCCTTGGCGGATTGGGACATAGGCGGAACTCATGGCCTGGTTCACCACATCTGACACAAGTCACGTCGGTACGTGGACGACGAGGCGGTCTGCTTTCAACATTAAGAGACTCAATGTTGAAGCGACCAAACGTTGGTCGCCTTTGCCTGTACTCTTCAAATCTTGCATCAATGTCTGGAGCTGATACAGGCGAGAACCTCGAGCTTCCTGCGTTGTTGCTGTCCTGTCTCTGTGGTCTTGCTTGGGATTGGTCGTTTTGTTGCGATGTTGACTGCCTTCTTGACTTCAGAATGCTCCAGTTCTGGGCGTTCTCAAATGGTGTGTCATCTGGCTCTTCACGACTGTTAACCATGACAGTGGAGAAACGAGGCCCGCGCGAGCGTTCTTGCTCAGCCTTTCTGGCCTCCTGCTCCTGCTGTTGTTGAGCACGCATTTTCGATTCGTCGACAAGTGCACGTCTCGATTGTTGGTCTTGCTCATCGAACAAAGAGTCAAGAGACGATGCTGGGGGGGTTGACGGCAGATTGTTCTTGCGAGCCAATAGAGCTGCAAGCATCTTCTCCTCCTCCTGCGAGAGTCCACCGGCCGCGGCCGATAGTGATGATGAGGACTGCTGTTCTGGCTGAGATGCCGACGGTGCTGCAGGTGCCGATGGCCCTGGGCGTTGATCAATGAAAGAGGTGGCAAGGTCGGTAAAGTTGTTGCCTTGAGGGGCACGTTGCGAGCGCGATTCTTCTCTGCGACCACGCAGCTCGCTTGATCGTTGGCGCGTCTCCCTATTCTGTTGCCATGTCTTGTGGGTGTGTTCTCTGGTTGACTCAAGCCTGTCAGGATTATCTGCCGGTGGATCAAAGTCGTGTACCGCGTATCGTATCGGTGGGGGTGGAGCTGGGACTGGCTCAAAGGCCTTTCTCGCCTGCTCAAATTCGCCCGAAAAGAGATCCTCGTAGGGCGATGTTGCGAAAGGATCATCCGAGGGCTGTGGTGATTGCGCTAGAGAGTCTGAAGATCGAGCGGCACTTGACGGAGGAGATGCGGTTGATGGAGGAGCGGATCTGGCATTAATCCAGGCTGGAGCTTTGACCGTAGGCTTGGGTGGCACATTTGACTCGTTCTTGAATTGAGGTTTCGGGGCGGGATTCGATACAGGCGCCGGTACCGATGAGGGTTTACTGTCTCGTGTGGGTTTCTGCTCTTCTGGTCGTGCGTCCAGATTGGGCCTGTCGATTCCTGGGGTCTTCTTTTCAAGGTTTCGCATGAATTCGAAGTGGTCTATCCTTGCATGTCTGGGTCTTCCATCTGGGCCGCGATTCTCGCGCTGAGCGGTCTGGACGCGGTTCAAGGGGCGATTTGCCGCCGGGTCGACTGCTCGAGGAGTTATAGCAAAGGGCCGTTGGTTGTACTGGTTCGGCTTCTGGTTCCTCTGCTGGAGTCTCTGCTTTGCATTCTCCTCATACGACCGGGGTTTCAGCGGAAGGTGTGTTTGGACCTCGTGGAATTGACTCTGTTCTGGTTGCAAGGGTGTGTTAGGAGCGTTGAACAGCTTCTTTGCAGCGAGCTTCTCGCTCAGTTCATCGAGTTTGGAGCGGCGCAAGGCTTCTTGTTCCTCTCTCTGGCGCTTCGCCGCTTGTAGGGCTTTTTGGGCTTCCAAAGCGGCATCGGGCAACTCGAACGAGGAGAATGGATCGTTGGGATCGTGGCTTTGTGCGGCACTCGCGTGGAAGGCATTGCTCCGGGCTATACTCGTTCGGCGGGCGTGAGGTTCGATGCGACCAGCGCAGAAGCTGCAGACGCTCTGGCTTGATGACGCCTGTATTCCACAATTAGTCGGCGTCTCATAAATTCGATTCGATCACTTGCCCTCAACAACTTGGATCTGCGCATCCTGATATCTGTTTGCCCCTACACCTGCTCGTGTCTGACAGTGGCTCGGTGACGCTGGCTCTGAGAAATCTTGAAGCACATGCAATTGCGGCGCCGTCTCTCTCCCCCGAGCTCGCTCCGCCCGTCATTTGCTTAACTCCGCGACACGACCTGCATCATCTGAATATCACACAGGCACGAGACAAACCAAACAGATCGAGTAGTATGCCGAGGAAGCGATCGAGTCGCTGGCTATCAGATGCTATGCACATAACTTCAAAACCGGTCCTGGTAAATCCTCCGGAAACCTCGTTCCGGCAACCCTCAACTCGCTCTTCGCTCATCAAGTCATAAACCAAGTCCGATTACTTCTTTCCCTTGCCGCGGTTCTTCTTGGCCGCAGCTGCTGCTCTCTGTCTCTCCATTCTTGCCAACTGCTCGGCCTTCTCCTTCTCGTGCTCCTCCTTCTCGGCCTTCTCGGCGGCCTTGCGTGCTGACTCTTCCTCTCTGCGTTGTCTGACCAGTTGCAGTCTCTCCATGTCGTTTCTGGCTTGTTCCGTCTTGCCCTCGGCGTGCAGCTTCTCGTATCTCTGCTTGGCCTGCACAGCTTGGAGTGCCTCACGCTCTCTTCTGGACAATTGCGACATGTCGGCGGGCTTGGTGGACTTCTTCTTGGGTGCCTCGTCGTCGGATCCAGCAACTACGGGCTTCGCGGCCATCTTGGCGGCCTTTGCGGTGTGGTTGGGGTTTGCGGGCATATCGTCCTCATCTGATGATTCCGACTCGCTTCCTGAGGGCATGTCGCCGACCTGAACGGGTCCCTTCTTCTTTGCGATGGCTGCGGCCTTGCGTGCCTTGGCTGCCTCACGTCTCTGCTCACGGGTCATCTCCTGGTCAGCAGGCTTGGCTGCTGTCTCCTCCTCGCTCGACTCCTCCTCCGAAGACTCTTCCTCCTCGGAAGATGAGTTGTCCGAGTCGGATGCCCACATGCTCTTCTCAGCGCCCTCGGCGTCGGTGGGACGGAGATCTCTGCTGAAGTGTTTGCCGCCTGGAGAGATGGGTCAGACTTGTCGCATATCAATCCGGTGTACAGTCCTACTTACCACCTCGCTTGGGCTTCATGAACTTGCCGCCTCTACCTCTAGTAGACATGATTGCAGTTGTCAAGGTTGTTGCTTGGTGTATCTTTCTTTGTTGACCTTGCGGTATAAATCCTGAGATTCCTGGCCGATGTCCTTTGTTCTTGGAATTGCGATATTCTCAAAAAGTCGCAATAGAGGTTTTGTTGTGGTGAGTTGGTGACGAGCAAAATCCACTTTGGGCAGTGATTTTGGCTGACCCTCTCTCCGACCGCCGACTGGGTTTGCTGACCAGCGCGGTCATTCGTCCTTGGCGGCGCTTGTTGACGGAACGCCGGTCATACGCCAAGTTTCAACGACCCTCCACGCTCTCTTAGTGTCAACATCCTCACCGCGATAAGGCACAATAATTTGCAGTTTTGAGATGTTGCCAAAGAAAGTTGAAAGTAAGGTCGCTTCTCTACAGATACTGTCGTATCACTCGATACTGTTGTGCATATCTACAGCTACACACATCACACACTCTTGCGCATGGAGACTGGAGATCACACCTAGCATCAGACTTCACTTATATCTGACGCACCATCTTTTCGCAGCTGGCCCGTGCTTGATCCGTCGGTATAAAATCTCTGCTTCCCTTGGATCCTCTTTCTTCCGGTACATAAAACTATATCGTCTCCCATCTATCCGTCACCACGCTGTTCTCTGTTGTGAATGAGGGGGGAAAGGAGTCGTAGAATGAGCAATGTCTGCTTACCCCAAATCGGTCAGAAAAGTGACTGAATTAGGAAATATATTGGACATGACATCTTTTCAATTTTGTGAGCTCCCTCGTAGAAGAGCGCGGGCCTCAACTTGACGAGGCCGAGAGGAATGGCAAGTTGAGCGATATGCTTGCTGGCTGGTGCTCAGCTTCTTTGTCTTGTGATCCGTGTACTCGTATTATCTTCTACGGTGCTGAGTCTGGTTCTGATGTTGGACATTCATTTGCGCGATCCATCGAACTGGACCCGCTCCGCTCCTCACAACAGCCCTCCGCTGGTCTGCCCTGCGATCTACACCATTGCAGCCTTGTCTGTGTCAAAGCACAGCAGCAAAGCGGAACTATGTTCATTGAGAGTGCTTGCAGTCTGCATTGGATTGTACATGCTAATCTCCACGTTGTTGCCCACCACTGGCTTTTAAGATTCCACTGGCGGTCTTCCATACTCACCCAACAAAGAGCAAAAGATTCATGAGCTCTTACGCTCAATTGACAAAAGACTGTCGCAGCCGTGAATCGAACACGGGGCTCGTGCATGGCAAGCACGAATTTTACCACTAAACCACTGCGACTTTGATGGAGCGGTGATCAATTGTTAGTTATCAGAATTGCCAGCTCGCGTCGCTGCGTGCTCTATTGCACTGGCAGAACCCCACCCACAGCACTGGGTACCTCTTCCAGACTCTTGACAATTGCTGAAGGTCTTCCAAGCTCGCCTTCAATCATAGCATCTTGCCATCCATTGCCTGCCCTGTCCACCCAACACGCCTGCATTCCCATCGCGCGAGCACCGGTGATATCAAATGGGTTTCCGCTAATCAACCACATACTCGCCATATCCTCTTTGCTGTTAGGATCCTTGCCAACTGCTTTAGCAAGATGAGCATACGATTCAGGTGTGGGCTTGAATCTCTTGGGCTCCTCGACAACAACAATATCCTTGAAAGTGAATGCATGTTTGGAAAGCTCTGGCGACTTGTTGACGGAATTTGATACCATCGTGTTTGTGCCGTTCGAAAACACTACTGGGTAGAAGTCGTCGCGTTTTGCGATGGTCTCCAGAGCTGGACCCACATCGGGAAAGATGGAAAGAGAGTCGTAGGCTTTCATCAAGTCATTGATATCGTTTTGCTCCAGTGAGACGGAGGACTCGGCCAAAGCATGGCGCAATGAGCGCAGTGTAACTTTGCCAAAGTCTTGGTATTGATCTGTGGTTGTGTTAGTATAACAATTAGATTGAGGCTTGAGGAAGTGCATACTCATGCTGTTCAGACGCCAGGTGTATTCTAGCTGGTATTTGCGCCATGTTGCCGCAATCGTCTGGGCCTTTTCTTGTCCAAAATGTGAGGCTAGCTTCTTAGCAATGGACTCGGTGGAGAGAAGTGTGCCGTAGGCATCGAAGGCGAGAATTGTTTTGTCACTCATGATGTTTGTTGTTTGTGATTGGGAGAGAGAAGTTGGAGGATCAAAAGATAAACTAGAATCGTCTTTTGATGTATTTGAGAACTATGATGCGAATGGCAGTCAGGAACGGGCCTCGGTGATGCAATGGAGGGGCTGCTTGCTCTCCCATTTCTCCGCGCGGTGCTCTCTCGGGTATTCCTCATCTCTTGACAATGAGCAGAAAAATTATCAAAGTGTCAGACAATCACCTGCTCATGCTGAAGCTTCAAGTCGGTTGGAAGTGGAACACACGCATGGTCAATGGCCTTTCTGCCGCCGTCTCACTCGCGACTCAAGCCATGGCGTTGTCGGAAGATAACAATTGCAGAAGAGGCGCAAGGCGGATCTGTAGCAAGAGCTGTTCCTGGTCGACAATCTTGTTCATTTCGTTTTAAGTCAGCGCTTCGATGTAGCACAACGTAGGTGAGAAGGTAGGTGCGACTATGGGTAGTTGCATATCTGTTGAACATACGCGGCTACTGATCATCCAGCAACTCAACTCATACCTACATATGCCCATCAACACATCTTTTTGACTCTCATCGCAATTCCTCCCTATCCCCTTTCTCGTAACTATCCATAGCACGAAGCCTTCAGACCTACTCTATTATTCGCATTGCTCCCAAGGCCCTTCTTTACATTTGCTATACCTCCACTACGCAACTTTCGCCTTTTGCTTTCTGTTTCCTAAAACTTCGTGCATTCAACAGAGAAATGTTGCCCGTCATGACGACCTACCGCAGGACAAGAAGAGACAGTGTCCCGGCTACCCGTGCTCCCACTTTTGACCTCGGACCTCAACCGTCTAATGGAGAGAATAGTCCAGACGATAGCAGTAAGTCTGGACTTCTCTAGCAAACTACAAGCCGTACTGAAATACGTCAGATCAGTGGGATGAGTTGCAAAGATTCGTTAGTTCACCAAGCGCGCCAACAACCCCTCGTACCAAAAGGAAGATCCATTTTATCGAGCCTTCTCCCGAACATATTGCTCCACGACGATCCAATACAGCTCCTCCAGGCTTTCGAGTCTCGTCCACTACTACCCTGGAGCAGGAACAACCCTTTCCAGGAGGACCAGATGCTGAGGGGTCGCAACCTGATCTGATCTCATTCGAAGAACATGAAGAGCCGCCATCCAAGATAACGAGAGACTTGGATGAGGGTTCCACCAACAGCTACGAGAGCGATCAACCTTTCTACGACATGGAAGTCAATGTGGCGACCTACAATGATGACTCTACGCCAACAGAAGAGCTTCCGCAGGTCTCTCAAGATGAGAACGACGATGCAGAGGATGCAAACGATCCCATCTTCTCTGTCATGCGTGCAAAATCGCATTCAATTTCAGGCGCTTCGGCACTGTATCAGGAGAGACCTGCTTCAACCAGGTTCTACCGTACTTCTTCGGCATCAGGACTGTATTCCAAACCAGCTTATAGTCCAATCATCAAAGCACACGTCGCTGGCAGCCCCATTCGCTTCGATTTTGCTACGACACCTGGTGAAAACGATGACAGCGATGAGCAACTTGAGGATTATTCAAGATTGTCTCGAAGCCAGACAGCAAGCTCCAGATCCAGTAACAGTGCATACTCAGCAACGTGGGACGACAAAGTCACGGACAAGATGGCAGGCCCGTCAAGCGATACACCCAGTCCGCGCGCAAACGTACGAAGCTCATCGGGCTCCGGAAGTGAGTTAGCCTTGGAGGCGGTCAAAAGGAAGCTCTCTACTATATCACGCACGAAAAAGGTCAACATGAAGCACGTCAAGAGGCGAAGCGTAGAGCCCCTGTCGAGCCCCGATGATATCCCAGCTCCGCCACCTAACACTCTTGCAACAAGCGACACGTTAATGCAGAGTTATGGAGGATACTCGGCCAAACACATCCATCCAGGTAATTCATCGCCTGCTCCAGGGCAGATGACAGCGGATCCGGATGAGGCACAATGCCCGACACAAAGTGCCCGATTGTCACCGCATCTCAAGCCAGCCCTGAAACATGTCGGTCCTAGCACGCCCGCTATTGCAATAATCACGCATGATCGATCTGTAGCCTCGCACAAGGATAGTCTCGAGCTTGTACGCCATCGCTTTGGTGAAGAATGGCCAACAGTTGATCCTCAGCTATCTTGTACACGAGACTCGATTGTTCTGGCCAAACAACGATGGGAGAAATATCCTAGATCGCATGCCGTTATTGACAACGAGACTGGACACGTCAAGTATGGAGGCCTTAGTCCTATCATGGACGCCAGCCCTCCAGACCAAAAGGTGTACCTGGCTGCCAGACGTGAACAGCTGGCAAAGCAGAGAGAGATGGAATGGCACCGTGAGATCGGAGGGCACCCAGAGAACGATGACGACTGTCCTGTCTGCGAGGTGGAGAGATCTCGAACCAAGAGATTGGCGGCCTTGCGAGCAAGTTGAAGTTTGTAGGCATGATTGATGAAACAACCTAAATTCTCGGCGAACGAGTATGTGTACATTGACGTTTTCCCTTGTAGCGCCCTCTGAAGCCCTTGTGACACTGACGCCTGCTGTTGCGCCCAATGACGCCTTGTTATACCACTTTTCTCTTACAGCATCTAGTCCACCTCGACACCCATCTTCTTCAGATCTGCGCGAGCAATCTCGATCTCAGCCATGAGCTCCTTGTGAGCCTCTGGGACGTCGTGGAAGGTCATGACATTGTAGCCGAGCTTGCCCAGGAGGTATGCGCCGAAGGAGATGATGGCCCAGAAGGGGAGCTGGATTGTATAGTCAGAAATCTGCCGTTTTCATCTTTCTGTTTGGGAGTGGACGAAGCGTACGTAGGGAATAAGGTCCTCCTGAATCTTTGTTGGCAAGGGGATCAAGCCAAGGAAGAGGGCCAGGTATAGCTGTGAGGCATCGTGTTAGTACTCGGCTCGGCTCGGCTTACGAACAACCTTGATGTAAGCTTACAGATGAGACCAAAAGGAAGATGGAGATGGTTTGCGTGGCCCTTGTCATTTTGGCAATGTCTTGTGTCTTTGTTATACACTCGAAGAAGGGGAAAGTCAACGTTGCTGTTGTTCTGCTTTGGATCAAGCTCTCCTCGATCTGCTGAAAGTCCGGGGTCGCCCAAAGCGCCAGCCCAGCCGCCGCCCTGAATTGGCCTTGGCATTTGGTTTGTCACTTTCTAATTTCAGAGCATTCATTTCTGTTTCTAGACTTTCTACTTGTAAACTCGGTGTACACTTTTCGAGGTTGGAAGTCGAAGCCATGTCTGAGTTCGAATGGGCTCAGTCTGTCTTGGACGCTGAGGAGCGTCCTAGCTTGGACAATATCGCAAAGGCACTCCAGATTCTTGCTGATTCCAGCGCTGACCCTGAGTTGAGATCACGAATGCAGCATGTTTCATTTCAACAGCTGCTCTCGTTGTTTTCTGGGCTTGCGATGAGTAACGAGCAAGAGCCTAAGGACCCGGCGTTGTGGAGGAACTTGCTTCGCTGCATCGGCAACATGATCGCCGATAATGGTAAGAATAGGACGAAGCTTGTATCGAATTAGTGATGCTGACTGGTTTGTTGTGATAAAGACACTCGTAGATCTGAGATGATTGCGGATCCGACATATCTGAAGACTTTGAACTCGTTCTTGATATCTCCTTCAGCCATACCTGGAATCACCACGTTGGCAGATACTACTGTCAAAGTCCTATTCAACCTATGCACCGATTACAGTAAGTCCAGAAATTTCTCAAGGTAGGTGGATCTCAGATGTTGATCATCTCCAGCTCCTGGCCAAGAAGAGTGCTTTCAACAAAACATCCATCAATCTCTCGTCTACTCCCTCGACACACGCTTTGCTCCTGAAGATGGTGTCTGGGGTCTTGCTTTGGACCTCACGTGCATGATTGTGGAACACAAGCAAAAGTTGAAGCCAACAGAGGACTACCCAAACTTTGCAGAGAATGCACCTCGGTTACTCAGACTTCCACTTGCAGAAGTGGACGCAACAGCTTTCCTCGATGCATTGACACTGGTCGCTGCTCATCTTCTGGACAAGAATTTTGTACAAGCTCTGGTGGACCACAAGCAAATCGAGCATGTCTGGAAACTGCTGAAACGTACCGAACATAGGATGCTCAGCGATCGCGAAACAGAGGACGATGAAGATTACGACGAAAAGCAATATTTGCAGTTCCAACTCGTCTTGTCTCAAGGATTGGCAGATATGACTGCTCTACCACTCTACAATGAAAAGTACGACACTTCCGACACTTTCATCCAATCTCTCTACCCGCAAACAATTCCTGCGGCAGCAGATCCCACCTTGCGATCACCCATTGCTCCAGCAGCCTGCCTGATACTCGGGAATCTCGTCATATCCGACGAAGCAGCCATTGCCCTAGCTCCACACGTGCCCATCAAAGACCTCTTTGCCGAGTTAGGTCGATCGAAAGACTCTGCTTTCCTGAACGCAGCATCAGGACTACTTCGTCATCTCTGCACACCCATGCAAAACCGCGAACGATACTTCTCAGACCCCGAATACTTGCACTCAATCAAGCACCTCTATACCGACATGTCGCTCGAACAAGTACAAATGGGCGGTCTGGCACTCACACGTCAAATGCTCGCAAACATGAAACCAAGGCTAGTGGCCACGCTATCAGATGCTAACAATAATTTCCTCTCCACACTACTCACCACCTACCAAACCACCACTTCCACATCGGTAAAACTGGAAATGTCAAGATTGGCCGTCAGTTTCTTCCGCACTCTACAGGCATCTTCAGCTACGGTGTCGGAGATTGAATCCGGAGAGGAAGAAGCCACAAAGGCACTTTTCGACACTCCAGTCAATACAGCCTCGATCCTTGATCCTTTGATCTTCAGTATCAAGCATGCAGCTGAACCGGGAGTTATCGCTATACAGGCGGAAGCTTGGTTAGGACTCAATCTTGCTGCTCGCCTGCCTTGTGGTGCAAATAAAGTCGGCAATGCTTTCGCTGAAGACGAAGCTTTGTTCGAGATGTTCGTTTCGCGGTTGGGTGGGCAAGTGTCGCAAGCTGCTGATGGGGAGGAAGTCAAGGATTCGAGACCGGAGTGGTTGAAGGAGAAGGAGAGGGACAATGCTGTGCTTCTGGCTGCGGAGTTGATCAAAGCTGAGGATGTGGAGGAAAGCATCAGGGACAAGTTCAGGACTGCGTTGCGTGAGAGAGAGATTCGTATAGGCTAGTCTCAACAACTTGCTGAGAACGTAAATGGCAGATAGCGTGTGGTATGTCAAGATCTTGATATAGCCAGGGTGCTCCCCTATATATCTCTTCTGGACCCTGATGACGTATCAATGATCACATTCGAGTAAACAACATGAACTCATCTCCTAGTCTTCTCTCGATGTGAACCGAGCAATTGGACAACGACAAGACTTACCCAACTGACAATCACAGCCTTTTCACATCACAAATCATCAAAACTCCACATTTCAAGTTTCAGTAACCAGAATCACAAAGCACCACAACAAAATGTCAACCAAAACAACAGGCCACTGCCTCTGCGGAAAAGTCCAAGTAAAATCTTTCCTTGCCCCCGTTGGTCTCTTCTCTCGCACTTCTGAAACAACCAACATCAGGTAACCGTGACTTCTCAACCCCTCCTCTCATACCCGACCCTCTGCTGCTCCTGCAACAACTGCAAACGCCGCTCGGGAGGTATAGCCTCCTTCGCCTTTATCGTTCCCTCTTCTGACGTTCACATCGCCGGCTCCTCACATACTTCCTACTCTGACCCCGATACCGGCAGCGGCAAACCAATGACTAGGTCAATGTGCAAAGAGTGTGGAAGTCCGGTCTGCATCATCGAGGCTAGCGCTCCCGAGTCAAGGTGTTTGCAGTATGGGTTGTTTGCTGGAGAGGTGGAGTTGCCGAGACCGCAAGTCGAGTTTTTCGGCAAAGAGAGGGTGGTTTGGGTTTCGGAGATGGGAGGGGAGGTCAAGGAGACGCTTTGATGGGGTGTGTGTGTGTAGAAATCGTGATGAGCGATCAAGGCGATTTGTTGGACTTGCGTTGGGCGAGGCGAGGTTGCCTTGGTGGGAACATCATGTATTTGGAAAGAACCAGCAGCTGCTGCGTACTTAGGGAGCATCAGATGGAGACTGACCAAATACTTGAGCTTACAGTGTAAAGAGCCACAAGGAAGTAAGATCAAGCGATGAGGTTGATAGCTGATGCTCAGGATCTTGAAGAGTATATAGCATTGTAAACGAAAGCTTTTTTTATGCTGCAAATCCATAGAGTGTAGAGTCTGTTCCTCAAAACGGCATTACTGCGATCATCAACACCATGTTCTTCCACATGTGTTGTATCAGACCCTTTTACAATCCTTGATCGACATTTTCCAAAGTCGACCTGTATTACACCTGGAGATCAAGTGCTAGGCTCGAGCACTGCAAGCCTCAAACCCTCCATGAGTTCAAGCAAATTCTCAACCAACGGTGGCGATGACCTCGAGGGTCTTCCGTTCATCCTAAACACATCCATAAGCACGCCCATGACAGTGCCAGGATCTGACAACAGAACGTGAGTGCCACTTGGATCGCCAACAGTCCTTTTGATGGCAGCTTGTCCCTTGTTGAGATTGATAAATCTTTGCGCGCCGTTGCTGTCAGTCTCATCCAGCATTGCAACGCTTTCGCCGCGTCTTGCGTTGCCGATGGAGTCGAGTGCGCTTTCTGTGAGTGCGGCATTTGAGATGACGCCGTATGACCATAAAGCCAGACCAGCCTGTGAGTGGAGTTAGCGGATCGGTCAGATGAAGTATAGGCGCTCTTGTATGCGTACCTGATATAGCACCACCGCATGGAAGTCTCGTAGACATCCAGTTGGTATTTTTCTGGCTGCCGCCACAATCTGAGCGGCATGATAGACACCTTGACGGGCACTTGATGACTTGGCCCATTCCTGCAGTAACGGGAAGACTCTTCTTGCCTCGTTGTGCCCTTCAGCTCCAGCAAAGAGATGCATCTCCTCGAGAGAGATGTGTAGATGCATAAGTAGCAGTTCAAGCGAGAGGGTCATGGCGACATTGGTCTGAGAACTCATCTTTACACAATCGAGTAACTTGGTTAGTTCGGTCAGACGCGATGACAGAAGCAAGTTCGAATTGCTCCATGAACTGGCATGACCTCTGCTGATGGAACACATTTGTCGGTATTCCCAAATTAGTCGCCAGGCAGCACTGAGCAGTGCCTGGCTTGCCGTCGTCTCGTCGAACATATCATGTCCTTCGCCAAGAAGCTCAACGTCTTGCAAGAGATCGGTGAGAGATGGTTCTCGCTGTTTGTGTTGGTCCAGAGACATGTATGTTTGCTTCCACTTCTCAGCGGTCGCTGCAAGCCACAGACTCCCTGCTTCTGGAAGTGGTAGTCCTAGCTCCGCATACGATATTAAGGGATTTGTAAACAGCGTAACCGACTGTCGCGTATCATACTCGAACAGATAGAAGACCAGCCTCTTCCGCATCTCTTGCTTGGCCCAGGCGTGCCATTTGTCTTCGAGAACCTTGCCGACATCCGTAGAGTAGGGTACTATTGCTTCATATGCAGATCTGCGGAACCAGCCTCTGCGACGGCACATGGTAAGATATGGCTGAAGGAAGCTCTCTGCGATCTCCATCTTGCGCGAGTTGCCAGACCACAAGCCTGAGCTCAAGCCTATACCGAGTGAAGTGACGCACTCGACGTCGCCGATGAGAGTATTGTCCCTCTCGATGTTCTGGGGCACTCCAACGCGGACGACCTCCATCAGTGCGAATCCCATCTTTCTCAAACTGATATCGGGAGCTAAAGTAGCCCCACCCACGATCATCGCAGCTACCAGCTCCGGTCTCGCGTTGTTTGGTCGAAACGTTGGTAGATGGATCATTCTGTTCGATATTGCTGTTTTTGATGATAGGAAGTACTGCAATAGACTGTCCAGAAGTTCGAGCGATGGGAACGATTGCATTGTCTTTTGGAGAGTATCCGCGTTCGAGGAAGACATGAAAAGCGCCATGATACGATCACGCATGGTGTATGAGAGCATCTCGGAGGTTACTCTCCGTTGGACAGGTAATCGCTTGCTGGTGTCGCCACTGGGGAGGGATATGTTTTGCTGATCGTTCATACCATGGTCTTGGGACACTGGACGGAAACGCCATGTCGAGGACTTCTGCAATGACTCAACACCAAGAGCTGACGGTGGCTCGCTGGTTGACCCAGGTACTGATCGTGCGGTTTCTGGAGTTTCCACGAAAGACGCAAACGGTATCTCGTGGTTGTATCCGTCCAGGAAGTTGAGATCGAGGTCGTTCAGTTCGAGGTCGGTATTTGCGCCAAAATCAAAGACATTTCGTGGTGTCCATGTGCCTGGTACGTGTTCTCCTGGACCAGTTTGTCGAGGAAACGGGTCTCCGCCGATAATGCTTTGTAGGAAGTCATGCAAAAATCCTCCATCATGGTCGTTGGCTGGTACCGACACATGACCGGGTGTTTGTTGTGTCAGCGACGGGTCCAGCATTTGTTCATCTGACGTCGTTGTTATATTGATCATGGGCTCCGTCAAGGGCTGATAAGGTCTGGGAGGCTCCATGAAAGAAGCAGATAGACCTCCATCATCGTGGCCCGCACTGTGATGGTCCATCGAAGGGGTCATAGAAGTGTTCATTGAAGGGGTCATCGAATGGTTCATCGAAGGCCTGTGGTCCATCGAAGGGTTCATTGAAGGCATATCAGATGGCATGACAATGGGCTCACTTGCAAAAGCCAAAAGGTCTCGAGCGACTGATTCCTTGTCTGGAGGCGGCGGAGATTGCTGATAGACACAGGTTATCTGCTTCTTGTTGCACCTTGTACATGGCTTCTGCTCATCGCAGCGGATGTGTAATTCGGCGCAAGCTTCGCACGCTTTGCTCACGCGTCCTTGACGATTTGGTGCAGGGGCGTTTGCTGATTGTTCGCCTCGAGCCTCGTGGCCAGCTACATGGCGTTTGAGAAGGTCACTAACACATTGTCAGACTTGTCTCTATAGGTAAGGTGTGGTGATATGTGAAGCTATAGACTGCGTGATTCACTTGCCAGAGCAGAAGTACGGCCGTAGAGATGCTCAGAAGGAGTCTCTCCACGGACATGACTCCGTAATGGTAAGCATTGTGCAACTCTATAGCTATACATTGATGATCTTTGACATGTCGAGAGGATGAAGTCCACTTACGCTCTAGCAAAGCTCTTGTTGCATGTTTGACAGAGATATGGTTTCTCCTACAAGACAGATTGTCAGCATCGACGACGACATTGGACAAGTAGACGCGTCGTAGGCTTCAGCACACGGGAGAAGGCAAGACTGACTTTGGTATGCAGACGGACATGCCTTGCAAGATGGTCAACGCGTGAATAACTCTTCCTGCAGTCACCACATTGGAACAACTTGGACGACTCTGTTGGTGTCTGGTCTGAGGACTCGTCCCGTGGGCGTTTGCCCAATACTGATGGTGGGGAAGCGTTCTCCATCGGTTCGTCGTAATTGCAACAACCAGGAGAGATCATGTCATGTAGCACCACGGCAGGACAGGTGGACATGTGGAGATCAAAAGGTGATGCCCGACTCTCGCAGTCGGCTCTCCCCTCATCTCGCCAGTGGATTGGTGTGGATCGGCTGATCAATCACTCCGCCTGGAAGCGAAACGCTCGGGTTTGTGGCGTTCCGACGACTTCCTTCCTCCACATCCCGACAGACCCGCCTTTCGCAGACCCCGCAGCCGAAGCATGCATCACGAAGGTGGGATTGATTGTTGTTAAACAAAAAGGCAAGCTCCAACTTCCCGAGCCAAGGTACGTAGACCCTTCCTTTTATTTTTCTATACTCGTCATTGTCACAAGATGCCTAACAAGATCCAAGATCTCCATACCGTCGACGACAAGTCCTTTGACTATGTCTATGAGCAAAATGCCACTGTAACCTTGAGATCAAGCGAAGGCTTGGTTCGTGTCAATGTCTACCGACCAAAGACCTCGGAAAAGGTCCCTGTTCTGATCACCTATGGCCCGTATGTGGAAGAGACCAATTGCTCCTCATTGACAGCAGCTAAGAGCAGACAGATACGGAAAGGACATTCCATATGCCGATTTCCACGCAAAGAGTTACTCAGAAGTCAACCCCGAGCACAAGTCAGAGCACTCGGCATGGGAAACTCCTGACCCTGCCTTCTGGACCAAGAACGGATACGCAGTAGTTCGCGCCGATGAGCGTGGCTTGGGTCAATCTCCTGGTCTGCTTGACACCATGTCCAGAGGTACTTCGGAAGCTTTCTTCGATGTAGTCGAGTGGGCCGCAGAGCAAGAATGGTCCTCTGGAAAGGTTGGCCTCCTTGGTATCAGTTACTTCGCCGGATCTCAGTGGCGTGTGGCTGCTAGAAACCCCAAGGGTCTATCAGCTATCGTTCCCTGGGAGGGTATGTCAGATTACTACAGAGATAGATGCCGTCACGGTGGTATCTTGTCCAACCAGTTCATCAGGTTCTGGTGGAATCGCCAAATCATCACCAACCAATACGGACGACCAGGCCGCAAAGCAAGCAACTGGGGACCAGACACAATCGAGGGTGACCTCTCGGATGAGGAAAGAGCTGCAAACAGACAGGACCAGAACATCGACAACCAGAACAACTAGTAAGAGTCTTGACTTCGAGTGGACTGGGCAGATACTGACCTTACGTAGCTACCGCGATGACCCGTACTACGCTTCGAAGGAGTACGACATGGGCGATATCAAGGTTCCCATGCTCTCAGTTGCCAACTGGGGTGGTATTCTGCTCCATCTTCGCGGCAATATCGAAGGCTTCACCCATGCTGGCTCCGAGTTCAAGTACCTTCGCTGTATTACTGGACGGCATGATCTTCCATTCTACTACAACGAAGAGGTCGAAATCCAGCGCAGCTTCTTGGACGCCTTCCTCAAGGGCGAAGACAGAGTCGGCTGGGCTACCAAGGGCAAGGTTCCTCAGGTAGATATCGTCCTCCGCAAGGGCGACGTCGGCTTCAACGATGCCAAAGCAGAGCAGGCCTACCCCAGAAGACAAGAGAACGAATGGCCCATCGCCAGAACACAATACACAAACTACTACCTCACACCGGAGAAGGGGCTTGTCACATCTACTCCCTCAGGTACCGCCAAACTCGGCTACAGAGCCTTGGGTACGCTTGATAAGCCCGAGGTGATGCAGTTCACCACTCCTGCTTTTGAGAAGGAGACCGAGATTACTGGACACATCACAGCTCGCCTCAATGTCTCATTAACTCCTGACACCACTGGCCCTACACCTACCGACATCGATGTCTTCGTCACTCTCAGACACATCTCTCCCGAGGGCAAGGAAGTCTTCTACACGGGAACTGCCGGTGATCCAGTACCACTCTGCAAAGGCTGGCTCCGTGTGTCGATGCGCAAGACCAACCCTGAGCACTACAAGCACCGCTCTTACCTGCCACACAGAGACTACCTCAGCACCGACAAGCTGCCTGTCCTTCCCGGAGAGGTATACCCCATCGACATCGAGGTCTGGCCCACCAATGTCGTCGTTGACAAGGGTGGCAAGATCATCTTCGAGGTTTCCAGTGGTGATACTCAGGGATCTGGTATCTTTGGTCACAACGACCCTGTCGACAGATCCGAGGAGAAGCTTAAGGGTACCAACTTTGTCCACTTTAGCGACAAGTTTGTCAACTATGTTACTCTTCCCATCATTCCTCCCAAGGAAGAGTAGAAGCTTTGTGGATGAGAGCTTGGTTGGATGTAAAAAGCAGATAGATATACCATTTTGTAGCGTATCAACAGCGTGCATTTCTTCCTCTGATATGAAAAGCATCGTACAAATCTGAAGTGACCTTGACCGACGATTTGGTATCCGATCTGCCGCGAGGTTCGTACTACTCTTTTGTATACTTTCTCTTTGATTTTTCGCTGAATATCATAATCGAGCTCAAAAGGCAAGACTTCCATGGGTACCGATCATAGCCAAATGATCACTCATTGCTGTTTTGTTGTATCTGAGCCTGTGATAGCCAATAAAAGTTGGGGGGAAACTTGATAATGGAAGAAGAACATTCTTGTATACTGAAATATGGATATCATAAAAAATCGAACTGTCAAACATGTCTAATCATACTCTTAGGCTGCAGCGCGTACACTCCTGCTTCCTTGCCAGTTGCCAATGGTGAATTGAGAGTTGCACATGTTCTGCAGTTCCCAAGTCTCGGCACCCAAAACACCTCCTTGCTCTTCCAAATCCTCCCAGTCACCTGCAGCACCAGCACAGAAACATGCTGCCATGAAGTGATCATCCGTACCGTGAGCTTCACGGTAATGGTAGTGCTTCATCAAGCGTGTCATGGCTCTACGCAGAGCAGGACCCTGGTTCTGTGTCATGACATCCTCGACAGCCTGTCTGAACTCCAACAGCGACTTCTCCGGAGGAGCGACTTGAGCAAAGTTATCTCTGTGCTGCACCATAGGCCACCACACGTTGCGGTAGAGGTTGTGGACAGCACCTCCAGTGCCAACGATTAGATAACCTTCCTTTCTCAGCGATCGCAATGACGATCCGACTTTCATGTGGTAGTGAGGGTCGTAGAAGGCGTTCATGCTGACGATTGTGGTGGGAGGGCAGCCGTTGGGGAACATGCGGATCAAGATCAGGAATGTGTCGTGGATCCAGTCGAAAGTGGCGTCCTTTTCTGCGTTGAAGCCTGCTTTGAGGAGCAAGTCCAGTACGCGGTCGGATGTAGGTAGATCAGGGACGAGTTCGTAGTCGATGTATTTTGAAGGGTGGACATATGCTACGGGACTCTTGTTGGGCTTGGGATTGGCTGAGACCATGATCTTGTCGCCTCTGGCGTCCCAATGTGCTCCCTTAAATCTTTTGTTAGTATACAGTATTAGTGCGTTTTAATGCGAATCTTACCATCATGATCACGCCCTTGATTCCGTGTGCCAAAGCGTCATCGCCGCACTTCTTCCAGTAATCAGCACTGGTCGACTCCTCACCCAACATCATGGTCGAGCCATGGCTGAAGAAGTGAACTGGTGTTAGGCCTGCTCCTGTCAGTTTCTGTACAGCTCTCTCTCCCTTTACGATCAACATACCCATTGTGATATGTGCTTTGTGTTTGATGTAGGCGATATGCAATTAGTCGAGCGAAGGAAGAGTGGGTACAGAACAAAGAAGATAATAGGCTCTAGAGTACATCACTGTAGTACAAACATGCGGCAACAATGGGGTCCCGGGGCATGCGTTGTCTCCGTAGCGGATGGCAGATCTTCTCCTCATCGGAATGTGGTCCACATACCGAGACGATTGCCTTGTGGGGGACCTCCGTTTCCATTTCCCTGATCCACACCGTCTCTCGTAGATCCGTTGTCCGAACACTCTCAGGCTGGAGGAATTACCTCTAGCTATCTCGTCTGACCTCCGGTGCCATTTCGCCAAACCACCACACTCCCCCCTATCACCATCGTCGTCGCTCCCACAACCAACTAAACAACCATGTCGGTCACACTCACCGAAAACCGCACAGTCTACTCGCTGGGCAGAACGCTCGCCGACTACGACCTGCAACACAGCGGCGAGGAAAACGACGTCTCAGAAGCTCCCAATGCTCGCCCTGCACCACAAGGTGCTGGCGACAACCCAGCAGATTGGGTAGACAACTACCGCCGAGTCCCTGACTATCGCCCTGTCGACCACACTCTCGACTTTGCTTATCGCGATACTACACAAAATGGCATCGAGCGAGCTTTCATTTGGAACATGTTTAGCGGAATCGTTCTCACATCGGTATGTGAACATGTCTGTTTCGAGACAAGAGGCGTGACATACTGACCTGAATTTTGTAGGCGACGAACAGACTTTGGAGGGCTACTGGTGGAAAGTTGAATGACACATACTTCCGTTGGCAGGTTGGAGGAGAGCATTAAGTCGGGTTTCTTATATCGCAATGGTGCTACAGTTTTAACGGCGTTTGGATTCCAATACACATGTTCAATCAACACATCCCTACCATATTTTATCTCTCGACTCTTGAACACGAACAGTATTGTGCAATTGATCTCATCCTTTCGATGTAAATGTATAGTAAACTTGTCTAGATAACTTGTTGACATGTCTAGGACGAGCTACGAACGCCCTCCATGGGACCCAGGTCCTCGTCCAAGGGCTTTCCATTGATCGAGATGGGAAGCGATGGCTGGAGGACGTACATCATACGAGCCCACTCAGTTTTGCTTGTGTTTCTCCAGGCGTGGTTTGTTCCTCTCTGCACTGCAACATCTCCAACCTTCATGACTCTGGTCTCACCACTGTCGAGAACCAACTCCATCTCTCCGATAAGCACGACTCCGTAGTCGAGCGAGACTGTGCGGTGCATGGGCGAAGTAGATCCAGGAGGGCAATCCTAGTTGGTCAGTGTTTGAGTAGTAGCTTCTAATCTGGTGTGACATACCACAAAACGAAGGACTGATCCTTGCTTGTTCACGAGACCGGGTGGTGAAACCAAGTACTCCTTGTACTGTGCAATATCCTTGTCGTCGGTCATATCTACAGGCGTGGTCGAGGTTGTGTAGCCGAGAGAGAAGCCAACAGTGCCGCCGTTGATGCTGCCATCCCATGGACCAGTCTCATCTATCTTCTCAAAGACAGCTTTTCCTTCTTGATTGTGTCCGGTGATGAGTCTCTGGTAGAGAGGAAGTTCTCCTTTGTGTGCCATTTTGATAGTATTCAGTAAATATGGATGTGTGAGAAAAGGTTGGTGATTGTCAGATATTCTGAAGTTGAGCAAAGAGACAGAAAAGCAGTCTTTGTTCTGGGAAGTGAATTGATTCCCTCCTCATCTCGGATGATTCGAGCATCCATAGCCGCTGCTTGTGCCCCACAAACACCATACAGCACGATCCACATCAAGGTGAATTTCTCCTCCACATCTTTCTTAGTTGCAGAAACCCTGAGAATTGCCGACTCGGGACATGTGGAGGACCTCCGTAGCCCGGTATGCACCAACCGACATGTGATTCTGCTCCGGCCTCGAGCGCCCTTTGGGTTGCACGGAACACGGGATCTAGTATAGGTGCTGCTGTTGGCTTTGGAACGAATATCTGCTGTGTATCTCACCCTCCTCTCTTTCACCGGATTTTGCACATCACATACCTTTCAAAAATGTCTAACAGACCATTCGCACAGCTGCAAGCCGCTGCCATCGATGGCAGAACCAGAACTGTGTTCTACCGCCAGGCTCAACTTGAGAAACTACACAAGAAGCTCGTTGCAGATGCATCAGAGATTGTGGATGCGATTGTTGCAGGTTCTGGACTCAGCCGAACAGAAGCACAAGTTGAATTCTCGCTTGCTCTTACGACGGTTAGAGAGCGCTTTGCTGAGCTTGAGCCAAAGAAGGAGCTCGAGAACGAATATGCTGTTGCTCGTGGAGAGGATGCTGCTAGTCTGAGACTTGGATACGGCACCGTATACATCAAGGCTTCGTCAGACCACACTCCTTTCTACTCAGCTATTGCACCTCTGAGTGCAGCAATCGCTGCAGGAAATTGCGTGGTCTTGCAGGTACGCGATTCAGATATATTGATCCAGACCTACCACTGACAAGACGTCTAGGTTGAGAACAGCCTTCGCAGCCTCCCCACCATCCTCCGCAACACGCTTAAGTCTGCGTTGGACAACGACACATTCGACATTGCACAACAACCCGTACAAGATGCATCCTTCCTGAGCAACTGTCTGCAAGTCGTCCAGGACGGATCTGTCGACGGTGCCCCTGCACTGAACCAGCTCGTCTCGAAAGCAGGCTCAGTCACAGCAGCAATCGTAGACAGGACAGCAAACTTTGACGAGACTGCAAAGGCTCTCGTGAATGCTCGCTTCTCCTACAATGGCAAATCGCCGTATGCTCCAGACATCATCTTCGTCAACGAGTTCTCCAAGAAGGACTTTTTGCAGGCGCTGCTCAGACACTCTGTGTCCTTTGACGAAGTAGTGGAGAGAGAAAAGTCACCCACCCGCAGAGGTGGTCGCGAAAATGGCATCAGAGATCTGATCTCCAGTCTGCAAAAGGATGGAAACGGACGTGTTATTGCGCAAGAGTCGAACCGAGCGATCCTAGAGTTGACCAAGAGGTAAGTGAGACCACAAATCTCGAAGAGAAACAAGCTGACATCCAAGTGCAGAAGTACAAGCCTACTCAAGAACAAGATCAGCGAGCCCGTTCTGCTCGTACATGCCGTCAAGAGTCTCGACGATGCCATTGACTTCATCAACAACGGCGACAGCAACGAACTACTGGCAGCATACCACTTCGGCGAAAACGCCCAGTGCAAGTATCTCAGCCAGTTCGTCGCATCGCAAGTATCCTACATCAACCACATCCCAGCAGAACTTCTCGGTCAGTAATCTCCAAAAACTCGCACTTTACCTCAAGACACACAAGATCCAAAAACTAACACCCCACCTCAGTCGGTCCCGCCTTCCCAACCGGCCACCCCATAACCTCCACCCGCTACCCAACCTCCCTCTTCACACGCCCAACCCCGGCCTTCGTCACCAACACCACAACCTCAAAAACCGTAGAGGCAGCCCTGAACGGCGCTTCAAAGTCAGAGAAATCGACTGCGGTACAAACGCTGTATCGTCAAGCTGTTGCCGATCTGCCTTCAGCGCACAAGCGGCCAAAGCAGACTCGTGCAGCTTTCGGTTTCTTCGAGCAGAGTATGCTGTTGAATCTGGGCTTTGTGTTGTTGTCGACCGGAGCTACCATTGCGGCGACTGTGATCCTGGGAAAGCGGGCTAGGGCTTATTACTCTCACTAAGAAGAAGCTCGGATTGCCCGTGTAGTCTTTGTGGTGATTCTGGTGTGTTTATTGCGTCTTCTGTTGGTCGAGAGTCGTAGTTTGAGAGATTCTTTACGATTCCCACTCTTTTTGCAAGCGAAACAGGAGCGAGCTCCCAGTCAAACGTTTCTTTTGTGCCCTTGCTTTTGCTCTGCCATCAATGTGTTTTTGCTCACCAGCCATCTATCTACAAACAAAATCGAAATCAATTACACAACGTACGTGCAGCAAACGGTCTTATCGATTGATTGCAGAAAATTGACAAGACACCAAGAACCACACAACCCGCCAGAAAAATGCCTCTCGTCGAAAAATCGTACGTCTTGGGCCAAACCCACTCAAAAAACCAACAATACCCACTAAACGAATGCACAGATATCCCGCCATGATGAGCGCAATCAAAAGCTCCTCTGTCCCCAGAACTTCCTTCTTGGTCTTCTACTCTTCAATCGTGGATGGCAGGATGTGGTGCCCGGACTGCGTTGACGTCGAGCCTTCTGTGCGCGAAGCCTTTGACAGCAATGACAAGCCCGAAGCCATGCTCTTCTACGTAGGCAAGAAAGAGGAGTGGCGTACACCTGAGAACGTGGCTCGTGTGGATTGGAAAGTCAGTGGTATACCTACCATCATCAAATTGCAGGAGGGAAAGGAGATTGCTCGTGTTACTGAGACGGAGATTTTGGATAGCGGCAACTGGCAGGCTTTCCTCAAGAACTAATTTACATTTGTTGTCACATGGGATGGGTTGAGATCAAGATGCAAAAGTGTACGTTGCAAAAGATTGCTCAAAATTCTGGAGTTTACATGACAAGGACATTACAACATCATAGATCAATGCGCTCAAGCGCTCATTCGCCTCTGGCATATCCTTTCATCACAAGGTTGCTGGTAGCAAATCTCAATCTCTTGCCGAACAACCAGACGGGTACAGTGGTAAGACTGAAGACGCCCATGAGGAGAGCAAAGATTCCGAACGGCTCAGCGGGTCCTGCACTCTCGACCCAAGTGCCGACGAAGAAAGTCCAGGCGAAACTGATGACAGCACGGAAGGTGACAACCATAAGGAAGCAATCGGCACTCCAGGCACCATAGCTCTCAATGAGGTAGTTGAAGCCGATAGAAGGCACCTGCATGAGACCGAAGGCGACCATTCCATTGCCAAACTCGAGACCAATCCATGCCTTGGGTGTTGCTGCCTTGGCCGAGAAACCGAAGACAAGAGAGCCAGCGGTTGCGATGAGGAGGGCAGGGAACATGAGAGGAAGACGTGCTTCAGGCTCACTGAACCCGTGGCGCTCCTTCTTGGCCTGACGCTTGACAATGTAGTCGGCAGTGAAGTAGGTGTAGATTGCGCCAAGAACGGTACCGACCAGACCGCCAACGTTGATCAGACCGACTGAACCGCCCCAAAGGTAAGGTGGTTGAGCAAGGATCTGGGGTGCAACAGTCGAGATGGTAACGATCAGTCCGACGAGACCGGCGTAATGCAACATGACCATCCATGTACCGGGGAAGAGAAGAGTGGTGTAAGGAGTGATGCAGCGCTTGAAGAAGCCAGGTCTGTACATGCCAATCTTGAGACTTCTGGCGAAGGTGTATTCGGGGAACACAGTCGAAGCGACAGTCTCAACTCTGGCCATCTCGGCCTTCTCCTCGATGGGGGAGTCTCTGTTGTAGCCTTCAGGACGTACGACAGCCATGGCTGCCTCACGGTCGAAGAGCGTCTCGGGAACAAAGAAGAAGCTCAAAAGCATGACGGCCCCCGACAGAATAGCCGAGATGTACATGGTCCATCGCCAACCCATGTCGTGGGTGATGTAGCCACCGACTAGGCCGCCGACCAAGGAGCCAGAAGCGAGGAAGATGGTGTAAATGGCCTGGGTATGGTCAGCTCAACAGTTCTCACCCTTCAACTTCGTGGCTGACTTACCATAGCACGACCTCTTTGATGGACAAAGAAGATTTGACCAACAACATCAGGGGCAAGGGTATCGGCGGCACCACCACCAATACCTTGGAAGACTCTAGCAGCGAGCAGACTGTTGTATGAGTCGGCTTTGCCAGCCCATACTGATGAGGCAAAGAGGATGGCAAGACAGATAAGGATGATAGGACGACGTCCGAAGGCTAGCATATCATAAGCGTGTGCATGATCGATTGCATTGAGCGACACTTACTGTTGCCAAGCGGCACCCACCAGATGTTCGCAGCACCGAGGAACAAGTTGTTGACGGCAATAAGGTGGGTGAGCTTGCTGAACGGCACGATACCAGTGGGTGGTCCCCGCTCATGGAAGGTCGCAAAGGCAGTAACCAGATTGGGCAAGGCACTGCTGATGATCGAACTTGAGACGTTGGTGACGAAGGCATAGAGAGCCATCAGCGCTAGGATCGTGATCTTTCGCGAGTTCGAGAAGTTGAGGGGATCCGCTGGATCCGGTGATGGTCTGTTGAGATGTTTGTCAGAGAGGGCATTCTGGAACAATGGTGATGAAAGCTACATACTCAGGATTCAGGTGGATGTGGTTTTCTTCGACTTCATGATGACCTGTGTTTGTTCGTACGAGTTCTCTGTCTGTTGTCGATAGTTAGAGATGTTGTTGTTGATGTCTTGTTCGATGGTCCGCCACTCACCCATCAACGTGACAGTGCCAGGAGGCGCCATCTCATTGAGCTCCTGCTTATCCAAAGAGAAAGCATGTCTGAATTGAGTCATGATGAACGATATGCCTTGACTGGCAATTCTGGTGTGCAAACGATATTGCTGAAGAGGGAAGGACGTATCGAGATGAAGATGCCTGCGACAACAGAGAAGGAGCGTGGTTTATGAGTCCTGGGATGCTCGCCAACCCTACCCAATCAGAGATTGCATCGGCAGCGCATTTCGTGCCCACCTATTCAGAAACAGTCAGTAGATTAGGGCACACAGGCTCGTGCCCTTTTTCTCTCCACAACATGGCAGTTCTGGAGCGCACCCCCACACCAATGTGTGGTTAGTCTAACGATACTCAGAAACGAACAGATCTCCCATTGGATGATGCTGAGTAGCTCTAGACCCAACTTGTAAGGCCACGCAATTAGACTTTGTTAGTGCATCCTGTGTGTCGGAACCGCGTGGGGAAGTGTGGAGAGCAACTCTGGGGAGAAGAGTTGTGGAGAGAGACCGATGGAGACAGGTTGATAGAGGATAGCAAGGACTGAGGCTTCGTAATCATGCCCTAAACCACCGGATGATAAATGTCGATAAACAAGGTTTATACATGTGCTATAAACACGACGACATGTGTTCCCGGTGGACTCCGGGCAAGCATTCCTGAATGCAAGCACTGCGTCTACTCGCTACTCCACGTCTCCGTTGACAGGGCTGGCAACAGTTCTGCTCTACATTCACCAAAGCCGACACCCTCGCCGCACTTTCCTGTGAACTGTACGACGACGCCATCCGAAAGGTAGCCACGTTGCTCAGCTGGCGGAGGAAGGTTGTGTTCGAGCAAGCATCCACGCCCGTTCTCAGAGTCTTCTGATACTGTGCCGCAAGCGAGCAGATCTCCCGCCTGGAAACCGCAGCCTGCACTGCCCTGGTGAGCCAGTAGCTGCTCGAAAGACCAAGCCAGGACTTTGCTGTTTGCGACGCAAGCACGAGTTACATCGTTCTCGGGCGATTGGACGTATACATTGAGGTCGACGGACAAGCCTCGATCATCTTTCTCCACTGCAAGGTGGGGAGGCAAAGTATGCTTCCAGCCTGGGCCGCTGACGCGGAACGGCTCCATAGCATCGTATGTTACGATCCAGGGTGACAGTGTTGTGCCGGAGTTCTTCGAGTTCAGCGGGCCGAGCGGGATCATCTCCAAAATCTGGATGTCACGGGCTGTAGGCTAGTCAGTTTCTAGAACACTTGTACTTCTTCCTCGAGGTACTTACCACTCCAATCGTTCAACATCACGAAGCCGAAGATGTGCTCGCCGGCATTGTTCGCTGTGACAGTCTGGCCATATGGAACCGGCTTGCCTATCACAGCAGACAGTTCCATCTCGTAGTCCATTCTGCGACTAGGTCCATGGATGATTCTCTTGTTCTCGCCTTTCATTGCTGCCATGTGGTCCTCCCAGAATTGGCCGATAGGTCTTCTTACGGGAGTGCCAGAAACTTTAATGCTTGAGCATCTGCCAGCATAACCTAACCCATGTAAGTATGAAGCCTTGACGTATAGGTATGGGTGAGCCTACCTGGAGGAATAAATCCCCATGAAGGAGGAAGTCCTCTTCTTCCCGTGGCAGCATGGCCAGCGTTAAGGTTGTGGTACTCAGAACAGGAGAAGTCGGTAAAGTCTGAAACATGAACTGGAAGGTGCATCTGACATGCTGAAAGGTCTTCGGTGCTACTCTCGGGTAGCTTGTCATCCTTGATGAGCTTCTGGATGGCAGAGCGAACAGATTGGTGAGCAGGTCTACCGAGCGCTGCAAATGCATTCAATGTTGGTTGTGAGAAGATTCCATTGGGCAGACTTTGCAACTCAGAGACCGATTGCACGAGATCTGCCAGGAAGATGACCTTGTTCTCAAAACGTGTAACTGCTTGTTGAGATGTGTGTTTGTTCGAAGATGCGATGCCAAAGGGAATGTTCTCAATGCCAAAATGGCTACCAAAGTCGGATTGTAGAGACGTCATTGTGTGTGTGTTAGTATACAGTGAACGAGATCCTGGGCGGAGCAAAAGCTGTAGTAGTGATCAAGGTCGTAAGAAATATCTCGGGAACGGATCTCCAAGGCCAACACATGTACTCCTGATGAGTCTCATGCGTTGTGATTATCCTTCGGTTAATGCGGCGCTTGGATATTGAAAGACCCCACCACCCCGCTATCTTGCCCGTACTCTCGCGTCGGGTGTCCACATTCCGGTGGAGGAACGCTGGTCAGCAACCCCCATTTTGTGTTATTGTAGGGACCAAGCTTGATTAGTATCGTACGGCATGATTTTTAGGCCGAGTCCGGATCCTGTGAATATCCAGAGTCCGTGATCAAGGAGGGTCGTGACTATTTGTCTAGGTGGCATCCATCTTTCTTTCGAAATCGTCTACGTCCAGATTTCAGAAAGACACACGTTCAAGATGGCACTCAATGTTTTGATTGTAGGAGCTGGAATCGGCGGTCTTGTACGTTGCACTGAATAATTCTGAGGTCGCAACGACCAGTCTGACAAAACTTGTAGATGGCTGCGATTGCTCTCCGAGAGCAAGGACATGAGGTAACTCTCCTCGAGTCTTCCAGGTTCAGCAACGAGACTGGAGCAGCTATCCATATGGCACCAAACGCGAATGGTTTGCTCAAGCGCTATGGAGTCGATATCGAAAAAGTTGGCGCAAACGAATGCAGCCGAATTGCACAATACCACGCCGAGTCTGGAAAGGCACTCTTCCAAGTCGATCTCACAATGCCAAACAAGCAGTGGCAGCACAAGTGGCTGTTGGTACACCGTGCCCATTTGCACAACGCTCTGAGAGAGCGAGCCATCGGACAAGAGGGCAAAGGCAAGCCCGCAACTCTGAGACTGGCCAGCAAAGTCGCTTCAGTAGACCCGGAGAAGGCAGAGGTGACCCTGGAGAACGGCGAGAAGGTGTCCGGCGATGTCCTTCTTGGAGCTGACGGCGTTCACGTAAGTAGCAACGAAGATGCCCCAGAAGCTCTGAGCTGATGTTTTTGCAGTCGCTATGTCGTAAGGCACTCGACCTCGACAATGCGGAGAAATACACACCGTTCGATTGCGGTCACAGTGCTTACCGATTCCTGGTACCCAAAGATGAAGTCATGGCTGATCCAGTCTGCCGAGAATTCGTCGAGCAGGAGGGTATGCTCTGCATGATCGTTGGTGAAGACCGCAGAGTCGTTGTATATCCTTGTGTGGAGAACAAGCTCATGAACTTCCTTCTGGTAAGCACTACCATCGTATGTACGAGTCCCTCGACTGACCTGTGCATAACAGATCCACCCAAGCAGTGAATCACGCTCGGATGATGCTGGCTGGAACCAACAAGGTGACAAGAAGCGTATGCTTGCCAGTGGTGCCAGCTTGGCCCCTCAAGTTCGCGCTCTCCTAGAAAAAGCTCCCGAAGACAGCTTGAAGGTCTGGACTTTGCTAGACATGGAGGTGCTCCCTACATGGATCAAGGGAAGCATGGCATTGTTGGGTGATGCCGCTCATCCATTCTTGCCTCACCAAGCTCAAGGTGGTGGTCAAGCTATGGAAGACGCAATCTCGCTCGCAGCGATCTTGCCTCACGGCACCCCCAAGGAAGACATTCCTGAAAGACTGAGATTGTATGAGCAATGCAGACGCGAGCGTGCAAACAGAATTCAGGACGGTACCAGACTAAGTGGAACATCTCAGAAGGATCTTGCAAAGATGGGCAAGAAGTACGATGGTAAGTGTCTGCGGCCTGTCATTATAGTCCTGTTGCTGACATCAAGTGTGATTAGCTTTTGCCTTCACCAACTACAACTTCGGCCATGACGAATGGGACTTCTCAAAGAACGCTCTGAACAAGCATCTCTGGTCCAAGCAGCCATACCGTTTCCGTCAGCCAATGTCATTCGGTCCTAGCCCGGGTCCACGCCAGCCGCTCAATGCTCTGCTGGATGTGCACTCGATGGCTAAACAGAACCAGACAATAGCCTCAATCCGATTCAGGACCTCAAGGACCTATCTTCAGAACTTGTTGCCAAGCTCTTCGTTCTCCTTCATGTCAGCGGCAACGGTCGTAGAAGCCTCTATCGTGTGTTGCTCGCTGCGCAACATGACATGGCTCGGTAACACTGGTTACGACCACTGCGGTCTCTACATTCACGGAGTGAAATACACCAAGAAAGATGGCGAGATTCTCCAAGGAACCTTCCTACCAATTTTGTTCGAGAACCTGACCGATCCCATCATTACTGGTCGCGAAGAGCTTGCCGCACCCAAGTTGGGTTGCGACATCGACGTCTCAGCTTCTGGCGACTCTCGCAGCGTACGCATGAGTTGGCGTGGAACCACTTTTGCTGAGCTCGAATGGAATGGTCTTCGAGCAAAGCCTCAGACAAATGGTACCAGTGGCGCCAACGGCGTGAATGGAGCCCAGAGCAAGCCTCCTGGGCCACCTGGGCCTCCTGGACCTCCGATGCCCAAGATCGAAGACAACGGCTTGTTTATGTACCGTTACGTGCCAGCTGTTGGTGAACCAGGAAAGGCGGATGCCGAGTATGCCGTCTTTGACGAGTATGAGAAGAAGGCACAGTCATCTGCAGAGCCTCAGCAAGAAGTGCAAGACCAGACGACCAAGTCGGCATCTATCAAGTTCTCGGCTGGTGACTGGAACTCGCTTCCGACCCTACACCACATTGCTCAAGGCCTTGCGGACGTGCCGATCTACGGCATCGTGGAGGCCACTGTGAAGGAAGTACCATCGGTAGGCGATGTTAGAGGAGCAAGGAGAATTGAGTAGACCTTGAATTTTTGCGTTCTTCTTTGCATTTCAGCGAAAGGCTATTGGAGTTGGTGTTCGATCGGTAGATGTGCAGATTGTCATGCTCTAGCAATCTCGATAATCATGAAACAAGACATGAGATGTGTTCCATTATGCGCTGCAGAGTCTTTCGTGTGCAACAGTGGAGTTCCGTAACTGAACTAACAGTGCAGATTGTATATCGACATGTCATCTCGACTGCCAACTGTCGGTTGTTGAGACCAAGTTCGGATATGCGCCTGTGTCCGAAAGACGACGAGGCTCGAGCTCTTTAGAGTGGTTGCTCAGGAGATGTCCTGGCTGCCTGACCGTGAAACATTTTGTGGCTCGTTTGAGAGGTGTGGCATTCGTGTTACTCTTGGCCTCATCCACATTCATTGCTCTGGTATCAAAGCTCTGACACGCTGACAAGAAGGCAGAGCCGCGAACGAAGACGAAACGGTTTGCTAAGCACGTTTTGGAGTTCACCAAGTTGGCATGGCCAGACCTGGGCTAGTGCAGATTTAAGCATGACGCCTACAAATTCTGTGGTAGGCCAACCCGCGCGCCGAAGATTTACCTGTACATGAGAGCGAATAGAGATCGATATGTTGCTACCAGAAGACGGATTATCGGTCGATCTTGCAAAGTCGCGGGAGGCCTCGCCCACATGATTCGAGGGTCTTTTCTGATTCTGGAGCAGGAGACGGGCATGTTGACAAAGCGCAGTTGCAGGAAATGCACAAATGTCGAGCCAAACCCCTCTGCCGAGCTCCGTATCGACGCAGTGCAAAGGTCTCGATCGCCATGCTCGATCGCGAAGTAGACAGACTCAGTGGCGGGCCAATGACCGGTAAAGTCGAATAGGTAAATGACCCCTTTGATCGATAGCGCCAACAATCGAGTCGCTTCGCCCACTCGACTCGTGCATGTCATGAAGGCCCTGGTCGCCTCCGCCGCTGCTTCCCGGACACCTTACCCTGACTGTCTGAAGCATTCGACCATGTCATGTCGTGCTTGCGTCCTGCCTTGTTTTAACTACCCTCTCGCTGGTCTCGTTCGCTAACACACTATTGTACCTCGCACTATTCTCGACAACGTGCGCAGAGAAGCACATCTTCCCCAAGCTCCCAGTTCGGCACGTCTTACACCAACACCGAAGTGGTCTCGACGTCATCCGACAGCAAAGACCCTGGACATATTCCGCCTACACAGCCAAAGTCCGGCGCACTTCTACTCAGCACGCCGACAGGCGTGACTTGCAACACGCTGTGCTAGATGGACACGCACCTCTTTGGCGCGCATAGCATATGAACTTGATCAACGATAGTATCAGGACCTTGTCTATGCACGACGGCGAGGCCGGGCCGTCAGCCTTCATGGATATCGATCATCTCGTCATGGACAAGCAGCAAGCCTCTGCCTTGACTGCTCACCAAGATGCCCGCACCCTCATCCGCTTGATCCAGTGTCCACAGTGCTCCAAGCCCTACACCCACCCCGTCACCCTTCCCTGCGGCAACTCGCTATGCCGCACGTGTCTACCTCAAACCTACTTCCGCGAAGGCGTTTCATATCCCGATACTCCTGGACGACAACGCGGCTTCCTCTGTCCCTACGACGACTGTGCCGAAGAGCATGTCCTCGCAGACTGCAGCATCGACGTTACCCTCTCAAAACTCATGGAAGCCATTGCGGAACTCGTCCGTCGACACATCGAACTGGCTGGCAGTCGAGAAACGTATATGGAAGAGGTGGTAAAACAAGACGAAGTCCTAGGTCCCATAACATCGGTCGACCTGGACAAAGAGAGCCCTCGATGCTGGACCATGCCTGGCGCTCGTCTGGTCGCTACATACAACCTCGCCGGTTCCGGCATCCTCAAATACAAGACCGAGGTCACGTACACAGACTTGCCTGACGCAGGCGAAGCCGCGAAACAGACAGATCAGGCGCTGCTCGTACAACTGCTTGATACGGCGCAAAAAGAGGTTGACTGCCAGGTCTGCTACAACATCATGTTTGATCCTGTCACAACAGCTTGCGGCCATACACTCTGTCGCAAATGTCTGGCTCGCACTCTCGACCACTCGACCCATTGTCCCGTCTGCCGTCGCTCCGTCATCACTCCACCTTCGCTACTCAAATACCCAAGCAACAAAACTCTGGTCAGTCTTCTTGAGGGTCTCGTTCCAGACATTGTCTCCGCTCGCGCCGAAGCTGCCGCGCTGGAAGACGCTATCGCTACTTCGGATTTCGAAACTCCCTTGTTTGTCTGCACCCTTGGTTTTCCTGGTTGTCCGACTTTCCTGCGTGTCTTTGAGCCAAGATACCGTCTCATGATCAGACGCGCCATGGAAGGGAATCGACAATTTGGCATGGTTACATACAACCGCCACGGCCTGCCTCAAGAAGGGCTGGGCAACACACAATTTTTGGCATATGGCGTCATGCTTTACATTGAAAATGTGCAAATGCTTCCTGACGGCCAGAGTATTGTCGAAACCAAGGGCATGTACCGTTTCCGTGTGAAACAGCACGGTACTTTAGATGGCTATACTGTAGGCAGGGTCGAACGTGTCGAAGACGTCTCCCTTCAGGAAGAAGAGCGTCTAGAAGCCGAGGAAACCTCGCTGCCACCAGCTGCCGAAAATGACATGGAGGGTCAAGTCAACCGCATGTCGACTCGTGAACTCCTCATGCTCGGACTCGATTTCATCCTTGTCATGCAAGGCCGAAGCGCACCCTGGCTGCACCAACGCATCCTAGAAGCCTATGGCGGCCCGCCGGACGACGCCGCTCTCTTCCCCTTCTGGTTTGCCAGCATCCTCCCCATCAGTGAAGATTGGAAGTACCACTTGATGCAGACCACAAGTGTACGATCCAGACTGAAGATCACTGCACTTTGGGTCAAACACATGCAGACGCAGCGATGGTACCAAAGCAATGCATGCACAGTCTTATGACTGATCACGCATCTCGCATTGCGATTTGGCGCTCCCGTCTTCATCATTCTTGTTGCGGTTCGAAACTTTGTACGCGATACTTGAAGTGGAGCCCCTTGTTTCCCAGAAAAACGTTTCGGAGGCTCCTTTCGCTGAGCATTCTTCTTTTTTGACCATTTCTTCTTTTGTACATTCTTTCTCGGGCCTGGTTTTTTCCTTTTCTTTTACTTGCTTTCTTTCATAGCGGTCGCCATATATCCGAGCTATTAGGCTCACCACCGCCAGGCGTCAAGGGTGTGAGATATATAGGACAATAAATGCTTCCATTTGCTTGTTCTTTGCTTTGTTGTGCAGATTGGGCAGACGAGAGGTATGTCAATTCTTGTCTTCATCTCCTTCAAAGCTTGGATCTTCTGTATCTGTAACTGTCTGTGAATCTGTGAACCGATGGTACAATCGAGGATTTGGTATAGGAAGTTGTGTGAGGTTTCGCGGAAGGTTTTGAAGACCGACTGCATCTTCACTTGGAAGTCGCAAGGCAAGTGCCTTCCTTAAACACTTTTCGTCCGTCACTTCTCGGCATCCTGACTTCTTCATCTCGCCATCGTCCAACCGAAACACAACACTGCTTCGCTCTCATCGAGTTGCCTCCACTTTCTCTCCGATGTGCTGCATCAAGCATTCGTCTTCGTTATCACACACCAGGAGTCTCATATCTGCTCGTTCGTGTGTACACTCTCCCAAAACTTCATCTCTATCAACGATCGTGGTACACAACAAACCAAACACCATCTCTGTTCCCAGCAAAGTCACGAAACTATCAGAGCCACCATCATGGATCTTCCGACTTCTTTCTCTTCACTTCCGCCCGAACTGGTTGACAAGATCTGCCGCAACTCCACCCTTGAGAAGGAAGATCTTATTGCTCTCCGCTTGACTAGCAAATCTCACGGCATTCATCTCTCGGCTTCCAAGGAGTTCGCCAAACGTTATTTCACAGACATTTCTCTCATTTACTCGCGCTACAGCCTACAAACGTTCGCGGAGGTCTGCAGGCACTCTGTCTTTGGCTCTGCAGTGCGGAAAGTTCAGCTGTCATATGCTCGGTTCATGCCTGAGTTCTTGGGAGAAGAAAGCAAAGACCTGTTCGAACGTCTTCGGCTCGGAGCAAGGTCTCGAGGACGGTTCGAGTACTTAGACAACATACGACTACTCGTCAACCGTTGCGACGAAGAGGAAGACCTTCAAAATTCTGGCGACGCCGAAGGCCTTCTTGCTGCAGCTTTCACCGCGCTGTGTCATTGGCATCATCCTCTGGAACTCGTTGTGTCATCTTCAGAGACTCGTGCATTGGGCCTGAACCGAGTCTATAGTCCCAACATAATGCACAGCACACACTGGAAGTGTCATATATTTGGCACGATAGCACTCCTCTGCCGTGCGGCCACCTTGAGCAGATGCGTTGTACAAAAGCTCAAGATTTGGGGTGATATCTGGGACAACTTGGTTGATAGCTCGGCTGACTCACTGAGCGTGTTAGCCCAGCTGCCCGAGCTTGAGCTAGACACATGGTGTCCAAGTGGACCAGACACTCCACATATCCCACGCCTCGAAAACATGGTAATCAATATGCTAAATGATGCAGTCAGCCTGAAAGAGTTGCACCTCGGTTCTTTGTGTGTAAACAGATACCACAAGTGTCTTCGCAGAATCTTTCTGGTTCTATCAACGATGAAGCTCGAAAAGCTCACGCTATCAGGGATCGATCTCGACGGGTTCGAGCCTTTTTTGGAGAAACGAATCGAGTCCCTGCGTCACCTGGAAATGGACCAATGCGAACTTTGGGACGGAAGTCTGAAGAACGTATTGATATCTGTCCAGGAGAACCTTCCTCGACTCGAGTACTTCTTAGTCCACGGCATCTCTAGACCTTGGATCAACCAGAAAATTGAACTCAAAGGTGTCCAAGGAGTTCATGATGGCATCAACAAGCTGATACAGACAAGGCAGATCTATCTCCAAGATTCAGAACACGATGCTTGGAATAGTGACGGATACTGAAGCAACGAAAGAAGCAAGCGAAATGAATGCTTGTGACTCGAAGATAAACCAGCAGAAGACAGATCGGAGATAAAGCATGTACGTTAGCGGCAAGTTTGGCCGGGCGTTCACGAAGCTGCAAAGCTGCAGTCATACCTAGCTTCGACCAATCGGTCTAGCATAGCAGAATCAAGAAAGTCATTTGATATATCATAGCTGAACAACGGGCGAGCATTGTAGTGTGTTTTTGCAACGTGAAATTTGTATGTGTATATCAAGACGCACAATGGTGATCTATTTTCCATCACCACCGCCCATGACAACCTGGACGAGTAGGAAGAGGCCGATTGCCCACCAGTACCTGTTTATGGTTAGCAAAATGATCCGCGAGTATGTATATCGAGGGGACTGACTTTTGCAAGAAGGACTTCTCGGGTTCTTTGGCCTCGGGCTCGCCCTGTTGGTTCACGACAATCGGCTTGTCAAAGGCCACCTGAGGGCCCTGTCGCAGCGGCACAACCTCGATAGCAAGCGAACCATCCGCAGACTTTCCAGGCGCAGTGCTGAATCCAACATGCCACACATCTCCGGTAGAATCGACGAACAAGCGCAGCGCAGGCTTCTTTGACGCATCGAAATTGGCTCCTCTTGTCGATACACCAACCCAGTCGCCAGCACGGTGTACGCCTACTCGTACGAAATCATCTGATGTGACTGCAGGTGCGGTATATGAGTCTACGGTGGCATTCAGGGCGGGCCAGGAGTAGGAGACTTTGGCGAGGGTGAGAGGTGCTGATGCTGCTGAGGGCCAGGCGAAGACGTCGACGGTGCGGAGGGAGTCTGTGGTGGCTGCGGCGATGGCAGAGGTGGCGCACAGCAGAGCTGCTAGCAGGTTGCTTGCTCCTGTGAGACGCATTGTGTTTTGTCGATATTGTTGCTGGTTACGGTAACGATGCGGCTTTGATATGGCACTTGTCCGACTTGCTTGGAGCTTCAATGCCAAGAAATTCGGAGGAAGGTTGACCGAGAGAGTCTGGACCCTGACTTTCTGACTTTCTACACGTCACTTTCTGTGTGTCGTCGAATGGGAAAAGCGTCCTTCAGCCATTGTTGTCCGACGCCGCTGAGAGCTGCACAGCTCTTGTTGATCGATAAATTGTTGAGACGAAAAGATGGCTCTCCTGCGGCTATCCTCTCATGAGGCGACACAATGCTGTAAGGTATCACGAATGTATATCAGAGCCAGCTGCTTGTCTCGAATTGAACCGGCGAGAGAGCTGCATTTATCCATGCCTGAGGTGCTTCTCGACCAAACTATCCGGCGGCAAGCACAAGCTTCCCCGTGTCTCCTCGTTGTTCTCCACCTCAGCGTCATCAGGATCGACATCCCCCGAGCTCCCCAGAGATAAGTGACACGCCTTCGACATCCTTTACCTTTACCCTTCAAAACTGCTGATCTGTTTCTTTCTCTTGCTCTACATCCTTACTTTCCTCGCTCCTGCAATCAATTGGCCCTCAGTCCAGTGATTACATACATCTACAGCTCAATTCATACAATCGTTCAATCTTCAATCCAACTCTCGGCTTTACCTGATCTTTGACGAAAGGAACCACATTCAGCATGTCTTCGCTTCCCTTCCGCCAGCCTTACAGGCAGGCTTCTCGTCAGCAGTCGAGACAGATGTCTGTTGACCCTCACAACGAGCTCCACACAATCCAAGACCACTACATTGGCATCGATGTCGGTACCGGCAGTGCCCGTGCCTGTATTATGAACGACAAAGGCGACATTGTCGGTCTTGCCAGCGAGAACATTGGTCTCTGGCAGCCCGAGACTGGTTACTACGTACGTCGTCTGCAGCCTCATTGGAAGAACTTGTGCTTACACTCAATCAGGAACAATCCACCACAGACATCTGGAGATGCATCTGTAACTCGGTACAGCGTGCCATGAACCAACACGGTATCGAGGGCTCCACCATCCGCGGTATTGGTTTCGATGCCACTTGCTCGCTCACCGTCTTCTCCAACGACACCGACGAGCCCATCTCCGTCACTGGCCCCAAGTTCGACAACGCCGATGGCAACGACCGCAACGTCATTCTATGGCTGGACCACAGACCCGTCGAGGAGACTGACAAGATCAACGCTACAAACCACAACCTGCTCCGCTACGTCGGTGGTAAGATGAGCATTGAGATGGAAATGCCCAAGGTCCTGTGGCTCAAGAACCACATGCCCAAGGAGCTATTCGATCGCTGCAGATTCTACGACTTGACCGACGCTCTTACCCATATTGCCACTGGCAACGACGACCGCAGCTTCTGCAGTGTTGTCTGCAAGCAAGGCTTCGTTCCCGTCGGTGTTGACGGTAGTGTCAAGGGTTGGCAGGAAGACTTCCTCAAGGAGATTGGTCTTGAAGATCTGTGCGAAGACAACTTCAAGCGCCTGGGAGGTGTAGACGGGGTGGTAATTACCTGAACTTCACTGTTTGATTCGTGCAAAGGCTAACCCAAATCCGCAGAGCGGAAAATACCACACTGCTGGTGACAAGATTGGCACTCTTTGCGAAAAGGCTGCCGCTGACCTCGGTCTTCCTCCTGGTATTGCTGTCGGTGCTGGTGTCATTGACGCCTACGCTGGTTGGATCGGTACCGTCGGAGCCAAGGTCCGCCTGCCCAACTCAACCCTCCAATCCGGCGCCGACAAGAACGATGTTTCGCAAGCCTTTACTCGTCTGGCTGCTGTCGCTGGAACTTCGACCTGCCATTTGGCCATGTCTGAGAAGCCCGTCTTTGTCGACGGTGTCTGGGGACCATACCGCGATGTGCTCATCCCAGACTACTGGATGGCAGAAGGTGGACAATCGGCGACAGGCGAGTTGCTGAAACACGTCCTCGAGACCCATCCAGCTTTCCAGCAGGCAATGAGTGTTGCCGAGACCTTCAACGCAAACATCTACGACTACCTCAATGAGCACCTTGCCGAGCTGCAGACAAAGGAAGACGCACCCACAATCTCATACCTCGGCCGTCACTTCTTCTTCTACGGCGACTTGTTCGGCAACCGCAGTCCCATCGCCGATCCCAACATGAAGGGCAGCGTCATTGGTCTATCAAGCGATAGAAGCGTGGACGGTCTGGCACTCATGTACTACGCCACCATGGAGTTCATCGCCCTGCAGACCAAGCAAATCATCCAGCGCATGAACGACTCGGGCCACGTCATCAACTCCATCTTCATGTCAGGAAGTCAATGCCAGAACAGCATCCTCATGGACCTCATGGCAACTGCTTGCGAGATGCCCGTTGTGATTCCTAGATACGTGCACGCAGCTGTAGTTCACGGTGCAGCCATGCTGGGAGCCAAGGCCGCTTCTGCCGACAAGGATGGCAACACGGAGCCCCTGTGGGATATCATGGACCGCATGAGCAAGCCCGGTAAAGTCGTGCTGCCCGGCAAGGACCAGAATGAGAAGAAGCTGCTCGAGGCAAAGTACAAGGTTTTCCTCATGCAGTGCGAGCAGCAGCGCGAGATTCGCCGCGAGATTGACGAGGCTGTTAGTGGCTGGAAGTAAAAAGTAACGACTTGATGGTCTTGGGACCACGAGGGGGTCCTGAGGAACGACGATATGCTACTATAGACATGCGATAATGGATGATCATTTGACTTTGCTCGACCAAACATGTGACCCAGTGTTGTTGTTGTTTCTCTACCTTTCTCTCAACCTTTTGATCTGCCATCTACTTCTTACCCTCCTCCACCTCCTCCTTGACCTTCGCATCCCCCCTCGCCGGCCTCTCACCAAAAATAGTAGTGCCGACCCTAACCTCCGTACTACCCTGCCTGATCGCCGCTTCAAAGTCAGAGCTCATACCCATACTCAATTCCAAGTCTTCCTTTTGCATGCCCAGCTGCTCGGCAACATGATCCCTGCATTTCCGCAGCGTGTCAAAATCTTCATTTTCCGTCTCTGCAGTCGTTGCCTTTGAGCGTGCGATGGCGCCAATGGTCATCAAGCCACCGAGTGACAGATGAGGACAATCATCGCGTATGTGTTTGCAAAGCTGCACCGCTGCGGCTCCGGGCTCGACACCCGATTTCTCGGTCTCGCCTGATGTGTTTATCTGTACCAACACCCTCAATTTGCTTCCCTCTGCTACCTCTTTGCCTTTGTCTCCTTGCAACAAGTTCACCCGTCCCTTTTCTAGCTGGTCTGCTTTTTTGCTGCTGTCGACACTGCTGACGCTGAAAAGGTTTGGAATCGACTCGGCTAGAGGGCGACATTTGTTTGTTTGGAGGGCGCCGATGAAATGCCAGTTTATGGTGCGGGGTAGCAAGGAAGACTTTTCGAGCAGTTCTTGGACGTAGTTTTCGCCGAAATGGGTCTGAGGGGATGAGGCAGAGGTGTGCAGGGCGAGGATGTCGTTTGCGGGTTTTAGTTTCGAGACTGCGATCAGGCGGACCTGTTTGTGAGGGTGAGTGTTGGTTGTGAGTAGAGAGGAGAGAGATGGGAGCAAGAGGAGAAGAGGGGTAGACGAAAGGGAAAGAGGCATTTACATTCTGTCCACCGGATGTGTTTGCGGATTTTATTTGAGAGAGGACGTGGCTGAGGTTTTCGGCCAGTTGCTTTGCGCGGGTGGGGTTGATTGGCATTGCTTGTTCTTCTTGTGCTGAGGACATTGGATTGTGTGTGTGTTGGGTGGGAGGACTTTGGTTTGCTGTGTGTGATGTTTGTTGTAATGTGAATTGAGGATGTGGGCGAAGATGGAGAGGATAACAGAGAGCAGCTTGCTATGACGATGTGTTTCTAGGCCTCGGCTGGAGTTGCTTGGTATGGAGTCAATCTCATGAACATGTCGATTTCACTATGGATATCCTACTAGCTGAGGTGATATTGCTATGTGTACGTTGTACTACCAGTCTCCGTGTATAGCCATCATCTATACTCTTCTGCTATTCCTTCTTGTCGAAGAAAGGGATACGAGTCGACTTCATCGAGCCAGTTTGCTCGTGAATATAGTCGAGCTTCTGAATTTCGAATCCTAAGAAACGTAAATCACGAATAGCCACCACAATTCAGATCGCAGACTATTCACATTGATACCTGTGGAAGAGATATATTAAAAGCACTATCTGACAAGATTTTAGCTCAAATGATGTCGTTGATCGCTTGATATACTCAAATTATTGAGATTATCGCTTGTCTGGGGTATGACCCTGCCCCCAGCCACAATTTTCTCGATCACAACGTGGTATGTCTGACGCTCATCGTGCTTCGACAATGGAGAAATATATGGTTATTGCTTCAGATGTTTATATTGTATTATCTATATATGGTATCAATCATGATTTCAATTGTCGTGATAGATGTTGAGCATAAGTCACAAAGAATCTCGCGACGCATGTGGCCTCCTGAAGCAGGAACTCGTCTCTCTTCGTCGTGTCAAGCACTGCCGACGACCGATCACCATCCAATGTCAATTCAACAGCTCGTCGTGTCAGGAGTAAGAGGTCATCGATCAGCTCTTCATCAGCATGAAGCACAAGACCGCACATCCATCTTACCAATCTCTGTACTAGCTTCTCTGCTGGAAGATCCCAATTGCGAACCTCGGATGTAGACGAGACATGTTGCTTCAAGACCAATGAGGTAGCCCTTGCTTTGATGTTTGGAAAGCGGGTTATATCTCCTCTTTGCACAGCCAGACCGTAGGCTACCAGCATCGTGTAGAGTTCATGGTCTTCATGTAGATAAGGTCGCAACCTTTCCATACTGCACAACCAATTCACAAAAGCTTTGTGTAATGCGACGTTGATATCTAAACGACCGTTCGTCAGTGGGATGGGTTGAGTATCGAGTAATAGTGGTGGACGTTGTGAAGGTCCAACGCGTGGAGAAAAAGGGGGTCCAAGCGGAGGCGAGTCAGGGGTATCGAGTGGATCCAACGAGAAGCTGCTCGCAGCGCATGAACTTTGGTTCAGAGGTGTCGTTGGAACGATTGAGCTGCCATCCCTGCATTTGACTGAACGTGGTGTGGCTGCGCAGTCGCTTGCTGGCACCTGAACTTGTTCGTATGCTGGTGGTGGAGCGTCGTCTACTGCAGCTCGTGGACCCTGACGTTTTGCTTGTGGACCCTCGTCTTCTCCGTACTGTTCCTCCTCTTCTCCTTGTTGAGACCTTGCTCTTCTCCTCTTGTGGGCGTGGCGGTGGTCCAGGTCGACTCCAGCGTTGGTTGCTGTGCGAGCAGACTCTGTATCCAGGTAGTCGTCCCACAGGTCAAAGGCTCCACCGTTGTGGCTATAGGAAGATTGCAGGTCGAAGGATGGTATCGTGTAGTTGGAACCCAGAGTGTGTATGTTTCGTGTCAAGGCTTGATGCGCGTACGTGCTGTAGCCCATGTGGACCTCGAATCTTTCGGCCGACTTGGCTAAAGCTTGCATAGAGAGCATAACATGCTCAGCTGCGCCTTGTACAGCTCGTGCAGTTTTGCGAATGGGCATCAGTGTCTGACTCGGGATGGTTTTGGACAAAGACAGTCGCAGGAAGCGTGATTTGGACGATCCCTCGATAGCTTCGAACATGCGAGAGATGTCTTCAGCTATGTCGTCGATACCAAGGACGGAAATTTCATTGCTGTCAAGCTTTAAGCTTTCAGGCACCGAAAATATGTCAAACTTTTTTCTTTTTCCCTTTGTATAGTGCGTGACTGTAAGTTGTAGCATGACCACAGCTTGGTTACTGTCAAGACCAAGCCATAGCACAAGGCTCGCATCCTTGTTGAGAGGAGACGGCTCTCCGAGGTGCATCGCCTGATTGTGCTCATTCTGCCATGTCAAAACGACTCGTTCTTTGAGGTGCCATACAGGCTCATGCTCAGGCTCAAACGCGACAGATGGGGGAGATGGATACATGGTTGTATTGGGATATGTACTGCAAGATAGAAATCAATTTTCAAGAGAATGCCCTGACACAAGACGCGTCAGAAACCCTCCCACCCGGGCTTTCGTCGACGGCGAGCAGCCCTGACTCGGCAATACAGAAAGAAGAGCGCACAGTATCGCGATGAAAAGAGGAAGACGTGTGTTCTCCCAGGTTCGGACGCTGTGGGCTTCCAGTCATACAGATACCGTCAAACAATTCTTGTAGGACACCACGAGATCGCAGATACCAGGCGAAGAATCGGACAGACACCGTACAAAAGGTAGCACGCAGAGACAGGCCGAGCAAGAGAGGTATAGCGCGTGATTTCGATGTTGGAGTTCACAGCGGTATGGGCGTGTGGTTAAGGAAGGAGTGGTGCGCGTGAAAACAGCTTCGAGGATGGACGTTGAACGGTCGAGTCATGCGCGTATCACTTTCGCGTTCGCGTCTTGGCCAACGATTTTGGCAAGAGCTCCAGGGAAGCCGAGAACAAGCTTGATGCTTTGTTGCCATCAACTATTCCCAACGCCAGCAACACTTTTCTCGTACCAAGGACAACATGCTGCATCTTTCTGACACCCAGCATCTGAACGATGATAGATCATGTTTCAAGGTAGTGCGAGCAGCTGCTTATATTGAGCATACCTCCGAAAGGTTTCACAATCTTCAAACACAAGAACGAGAGACTCGAGCGTCTGTTCATGCAATGCTGCCAACCAAAGGAGCCGACAATGAACAGGGCCGAAGAGTCTCAGATCAAGACCACGCGGTGCGTCTCGGACCAGACTGCTGGTGGTGTCCAAGCAACAATCCAAGCCTGCGAACTACTCTATCTCCACGTCTCAAACAAAGCCTTGAACAATCTACCTGGACGCACCGGAAGTCTGGGATGTCTCGGACTCGCGCATATTGCAATCAGCATATCAAATCTCCAGCCATCGATGCCATCCAAGACCAACACTACGGTATCGTGTATGACGATGGTAACCAATCAGGGTAGAAAATCTTCGCAGGAGCGCAAATAAATTGGAACTTATTGTGCATGACAAAGCCATTGCATCTGAGAAAGCCATGGGCGGCCCTCTTTTCCAATTTAAACCTGCCACTCGGGCTTGTGTTCTGCACTGCACAGTGGATCAGCTGGGGTTATGAGACAATGCTGAGATATGAATTGCGGTTGCATGATTTGAGAAATGGTAGCTGGAATATATTGCGTGCATTAGCCTGGGATCCTATCGCGCGTCAATCCCCCTGACAGCAGCTAGCCCACTAGTCTGCGGCTGTCCGTCCACATTGCGCAAGTCTCTGATTTGCGAGATTGGTGGAGGCCCTCCTCACAAACACCAAATTTGGACATTACTGATCGTCACAGCCTCTATGACCAGTAGTCGCAACTGCCGTCGGCGTAGGCGTTATAGTTTTCTCGTCAAAGGCTGTCGTTGCTATGAGAAATCCCCTGAACCCGTCGTTCGTTCAACATGTCCAACAGGGGTCCGCCAAGCGAGCCTGTCACGAAAACTGCGGAAGCTTTGCAAACCTTCTAATCAGCTTTTTGCAACGTCAAAACAAACAAAACCACAGTCATACCATATATTAGACTTGAGAGCCTGCAGCAGGTGTACCTCATCTGTGCCTCAGCAAGGATTCTCGACCCAATGACCGAAAGTTGGGCTGGCGTAGCAGCCCTGCAAGAATTACATATTGGAGGCTCACGGCATCTTCGATCCGCACAAGCCTCGCAAATCCACATCATTCAACTCCAACTCCAAGTCCGACATACTATATGCGAACAGACCTCTCCCGTGCCATGCCATGCACAAATCGGGGCACTACGCCCGTATTCCAGCTGCCATGTGTCCCCGGACTCCCCGTATGTGGAGGATTACAGGTATGAACGCCGAACACAACGAGACTGTCGGTCAGCAAGTGCAGACATAAACCGGGCACCAAAGCGTTGGGTCTGCCCATGTTCAATCCACCCGCGTTCACGAAACACGTCCATGAATGATGATGGCAGCAGTGCATTAGGTGTCGCGCCTTTCATGCAGCAGGTCTAGACAGGTCAGGTTCGGCGCATCGCCGGTGCCCTATCCCAATGCGTCGGCACTGGCGATGGCGCTAAGGCTGTTCGGCGCGGCGCGCCCGAGTGTCGTCTAACCTTGTTCCATCGCGCGCTCGCAACGTTTTCTTCCCTTTTCCTCCTTTTACGATGGCGCGCGTGTTCCGTGCCGTGCAGCTTGCATCTCTTCCTGGATGCTTTCTGGCCTGAAGTTGGAAGCTGCAAAGGCATCTTTGCGCAATGTGCCTTTTTTAATCTATCTGGCATGGGGTGCCTGTATCTTCCAGGTACCTGGGTTGCAATAAATGATTTGAAACTAATATTGCAATGGGCGTCATGGTGGTGGGATAGGTGGTTGTTGCGTGCATATACACATTCAAGTTCATGCTTCCTACGAACGTTGGAAGACGTTGATAGCATAGGTGGGTTCCTAGCTTGCGAGTATAACAACGTTTCTTCCCCCTCCCCTTTCCCATCATCCAGACATCTAATTCCTTCCACGTTCATTCCAACTTACCCTCCTTTGCTCCAACGTTGTGTTATCAGGTACCCCTGCACGACGATAACTACACATAACGCGACTCTTGCGAACTACTTTTGTGAACCCTTCTCCGCCGTCATCGTTCATTTTTCACAAACCGTCAGATCGTGATGGATACCTCACTGCTCTCATCATCGAGATCGAGTGTCCAAGGCATCGCGGGCGCTGCCATCGGACTCTCAAGTATACTCGTCATCTTTCACATTGTCTCAAGGCGCCTAGCAAAAGCCTCGGTATGGTGGGATGACAGTTTATTATGGTTGGGTGGTTGCATGACTCTTGTGATGAATGCTCTCTTCATCCATGGTAGGTCTCGAAGCATGTTCAAGACTTGGAACAGAGTGATAACAATATGTACAGGAGCACAACTGGGTCTCGGTGCATACGAAGACCAAGTCTCGTCATCACAACTCGAAGGCATCTTCAAGGTTAGTACAGACTACAGCGTGGATCATAACACAATCTAACCTGGTATGATAGATCCTTTTCACCAACAATTTGATTCATCTATGGGCTCTTGCCTGCATCAAGGCTTCATTGCTACTCTTCTTCAACCGCATGTTTGCCAGCTCCAACAACACTCTCCGTTGGACTGTCTACTTTTCTCTCTGCCTCATCTTTGTATGGGTCATCACTTTCACTGCTATCTCAATCTTCCAATGCACACCAGTCTCATTCTTCTGGGACAGTAGTGTAACCGGAACATGCATCACTACCAGCTGGACTTCAAGGACAGCCATTGCCATCTTTGACACCATCTTCAACCTGGCCACTGATTTTCTCTGCTTGATGGCACCTTTCCAGGTCCTTCGCAAGCTGCAGTTGACCGGTGGTAAGAAGGCTGGCCTGGCTGCCGTCTACCTCCTCGGGGGATGCAAGATTGTCATCACTGTCATTCGCGTCCTCTACCAGATCGACACTCCTTACCTGGCCTCGTCCGACTCTCTCTACTCATCTTTTGCTCCCACTATCTTCCTCATCATTGAGACCAACATTGCCATCGCTTGCGCATGCTTGCCTTCCCTCTCCGTCACCGACGGTCGCATCATCTTCGTCAAGAGCAAGCTCACCTCTCGCTCCAACACTCCCGAGATCCTCGAGCCACCCATGTCTCCTTACCCCCGCCCCAGCTACCAACAACAACAATTCTCAGACACCTCTCTTTTCCTGACTGAATTCAAGCGCCAACCAGCAGCTGAATTCCCCATCCTCACCACCATCACCAGCACCGTCTCGGAAGAGCCTGCTCGTCTACCCAGCCTTGAGCTCGGTAGCTTCGCTCAGTCTTCTGTCTTCGACATCCTCAAACCTGCCGGCGCCATTGTCAAGACTTTGGACGTCGAGCAGACTATTGAAGAGTATGACTCTGTTCGCCACTTGAATGTCGAGCAGAGCATCGAAGAGTACGACTACATCATGAGACAAGCGTCCTTCTCAATCGTTTGATTGGATCTCTTCTCCTCATGATCCCTTCTTGTCCATTCTTTAATTTCGTTTCTGTTTTCTTATCTCTTTTCCGTTATACCCCCTTCGTTTTTTGTTGTTGTTGTTGTTGTCGTCGTTGAAAGGCCTATTTGGGAGCGTCGGTGTTCTATCATAATGATCAAGCGCGGTGTTCCGGTTGGGATGGCATGGGTTGTGGTGTATGGCTGTTTCATTGACCCCTTTTTCCTTTGTTACTTAAAGACCTTTAGATGAGAACGGTATACTCTGTATAGAGAGTAGTGATGGAAATGTATGACGATGCTGTCGGTGTGGTAGATAGGTAGTTTTAGTTACAAACTATTCTCGCCAGAGGATGTACAGAAATGGAAAGAATATCAACGATCAAACAGTCTTCAGTCGGTCCTCGTCACTGCAACTGTTTTCTCCCTGCCCGCTCTTGACCCGTCTGTATTACACCCACGTCCAGGTGGGTCGTCCCTTCCCTGAGTTCTACCTTGCCTTCTTCTGTTTTCAAATACCCTCCTGCCTATCTCACAGGTGCTTACAGACCTTTTCTCGCATCAATAATTTCTGACAACAACTTCGATCATAATATCTGTTTTGTCTTTGACTATGATTGTTCACCTCGCGACAACTATTTGTGAGTGTTTACTAACGACAGAAATATGGTGTCGGTAAATGCTGACGAGTAATGGAAAAAGCCGACCAGTACTGGAAGAACACGACCATTCCAAACGCTGACCGATCATTGCTGAACCCGACCATTCCAATCGAAAGCCGAAAGCCGACCATGCCAATCAATAGTCCGACCACTGCCAGAAAAAGTAGACCATTCCAAACAGAGATTCGACCCCTGTCAGAGATATTCAGAAGTCGCTCCATGCAATAGACGAGCCAAAGTAATACTGCAACGACAGTGAATCGCCGACTCTGTCAGAAGGCTGATGCTGACTTGTTCGAAATGCCGACGGTGTTGAACATTGCTGACCTGACCATGTCAGAAGCTGAGCTGACCACACGGAAACCCAAGCTGACCATTCCAATCAACAGCCCGACCATGCTAAAGAACGATTCGACCACCGCCAGGAAAACCCGACCATTAACGAAGCCAATCTGACCATTCCAATAATCAAGCTCGCCATGCCAAACTGGAGAATCAACCAACGCCAACAAAAGCTCGACTGATGATTATCGGATGAAATCTCAGAGCAAGGCTTGGAAGAAGACTTGAGTAAGGCCAGGAAAGAGATTTCTGAGTCGACCTGGTTGATCGAAAAGCTGACCACTCCGAAAGTTGAGCTGATGGTCGAGAAATTGACCCGACCATGCCAAACGTTGACCTGACCATTCCAATGGAAAGCTGGCGCGACCACCTGAAAGACAACGCGACCACCTGAAAGACAACGCGACCACCCGAAAGACAACGTGACCACCCGAAAGACAACGCGACCACCTGAGTTGCTAAGCCAACCATGCCAGATGTTGACCTGAGCATGCCAAACCACCACATACCGATTCGAAAAATCCATTTTTGAAGCCGGACTCGGCTATTGCAATGGAGAGCCTTTCTGACTAGGTCCAGAATGAGTGATATAGTGGATTAAGCAGCTAATCGGGCCATCTCAGACCAGATGAATCGCTCGGAAAAGTGACCTGATGGTTGAAAAGCTGACCTGACCATGCCAAATGCTTACTTGACCATTCCAATCGAAAGCTGGCGCGACCACCTGAAAAGCCAAGCCGACCATCTAAAAGACAACCCGACCACCTAGAAGCTTACCCGACCATACCAAAGATAATATTCGACCAACGACACTGCTTAGTACGAATTCTAGAAGCAATGCTACTAGAGAGTGTCTGACGCTGATATGGAATAAATATTTGACGCTTGATATCTCTGAGCAATGTTGAATTGATCGAAGAGCTTGCCCAACCATTCCAATCGAAAGATAAGCCGACCATTCCAATCAACCCTAGAAAGCTGAACCGACCATCTGACTCAACTCCGCGACCATCAGCTTAGCTTTGGCGACCATCGGGTGAGCTTTCACGACCATCGGGCCAACTGCCCCAACTGAATCTTTTTGGCTAAGTCGAAATGACAACATTTGATGCTCATGACATGACTGACAGGTACCGTATCTTACGACTGCCTGTATATTGGAAACTGGTGCTAGTCTGGGTTTTCTCATTGGAATGGTCGTGATTCTATTTGGCATGGTCGGATTTGCTTTGCAAGTGGTCGGCTTGGGTTTCTCAGATGGTCGGGTCAGCGTTTCGATTGGCATGGTTGGCTTTTGACTGGAATGGTCGAGTAAGCGTTTTGGCATGACTGTTTCCATTGGCATGGTCGTCATCAGCAACTGTGCGGCACGCTCAGGTGAGCTTTTCGGATCGCTCAGATGAGATCCCGAGTAGTCAGATGAGCTTTCGGACCACTCAGCCGAGCTTATCGGATCACCCCAGCTCAGTTTTCGCGAGCATCAGATGAGCTTTTTTTCCTCCGAACAGTCAAGCCGAGCTTTGACGACCAATCATTTGAACTATCCGAAAGATGTCACAACAGCAAAGAAAGATCTTGCCGTTGCTGATTCTAATACGTTCTTGGCGTGACTAACTCGATTGTGGTCCTAGAACTATAACTGTTTGCGCAGGAATTGGATGTTGGTCAGCATTTTCGATTGGTATAGTCTCTCCCGGGCCAGCGTTTGACATGGTCGGGTAAGCTCTTCAGATGGTCGTGTCAGCGTTTCGATTTGGAATGGTCAAGATTGTCATTTGGAATGGTCGGGTAAGCATTTGGCATGGTCAGCTCAGCCGAACTTTCGGATCACTCAGCCGAACTTTTTGATCACTCAGCCGAACTTTCGGCATCACTCAGACGAGTTGCCCGAACTTCTCAGATGAGTTTAGGTTTTGCAATGATCAGCTCGACTCCCTGGAGTGCTCAGCTCAATGTCTCGAATGTGCATGTCTATCTTCTGCAAACGACGGAAATTACTGTCATTTGCCTTCGATGGGGGGAGTATAACTGGAAATGGTTAGCTTTTCTATTGGAATGGTCGGATCCCCTCATCGGAAATGGTCGGGTAAGCATTTGACATGGTCGTGTCAGCTTTCCAAATGGTCGGGTCAGCTTTTCGGATGGTCGGCGGGTTGTCTTCTCGATTGGAATGGTCGGGCCAAAAGTCAGCGTTTGGCATGGTCAAGCTCATCTTTTGCAATCATCAGTCGAGCTTTCGGAGCGCTCAAGATGAGTGTTTCGAATACTCAGGTGAACTTTCGGGGTGCTCAGGTGAACTTTCGGGATGCTCAGATGAACTCTCGGAGTGCTCAGATGAACTTTCGGAGCACTCAGATGAGCTTTCGGGGTGCTCAGATGAGCTTTTTCAACGATCAGATGAACTTTCGGCACCATCAGCTCAACTCCGCCATGGTCGTGTGAAAGGAAAACGAACAGATGGCGACAACAAAAGCAGACCAAAAGCAAAGTAAACCAAAAATCACAATCGTGCAATGGAACAAGCAGAAAAGACAGATGACAATGTCCATCAATCGTGAATATATCCTTCTCATTAGCATACACATACATATATATACATATATTCTTACATTTCCATGAGTGAAACAGCTCCTTTGCAGAGGAAGCTGTCTCAGTTATCCTGCTTGTTGCCCTTGGTGTCAGCGGCAGGATAATCGGCAGGTTTTTGGGCCTCGCCTAATGCACGCTGGTCAGCGGCGCGCTCTTCGAGCACATCGTCTTCGTTATCTCCATCCAAAGCCATTCGCCAATATGCGTCGACAACATCGCCATCGCCGGACCCGGTGGAGGTAGGATTGGTGGAAGAGAGCTCATTGGAAGCGAGCTCGGTGAAAGGAGGCTCAGTGGAAGCGGCCTCAGTAGAAGTGGGCTCAGCGGGAGAGAGCCCAGTGGACAAGGAGTCGTCCAAGATTTGAGATTTCATTGTCGTTGCTTTCGGTTGCGGACGCTGTGGTGCAGGTGTAGGTTTTTCTTGTGCCGCGCGGACTTTGAGGGAGTGACCCATGAAAACGGCACCGTCAAGCGTGCGCACAGCTCTCTCGGCATCCTCTACCGAATCGAACCTGACTCTGAAATACCCCGTATTTCTGCGCCCAACGACGTTCGATCTCAGACGAGTGATGTTGAAGCCAGCGTTCTTCAAATAGTGCCCTACTTCCTTGGCTTGTACTGTGGGCGGAAAACCTTCGATAACGGTGCGCCTGTCGAGCGTGTCTTCTATCGAGACTTTTTGATCTGATTCAGGAATGAGCTTGACAGGCTGTGCACGCTCCAGAGGTTCCACGTTGGTCAATGGTATCTGGAACCCATGAAGTGAGCGGTATCCGGCTTGGGCGTAAGCAAGGAAGGTACGTGGGTGTTTGGAGCTCTTTACGCTCGTAGCTCTCCAGATCTGGGTAACTCGGGCAAAGACAACAGTGTGATCACCAACACCAAGGGATTTGCCGGGCAACAACTTGCACGTGAAGCGGGCAGGAACGTGGTCGCTCTTTATAGCTGGACTAGCTTGGTCGTCGAAGGACTCGGCCCAGCCTGAGGCCAGGATGGTACGAAAAGGTTGGGAAGGGTCGTCGTGAGGCTTGGAAAAACTGTCGGCAATGGAAGCGGCTGTGGGGTGGGTCCCGAGGAAGTTGACAGTGAAAGGTTGGCCGGCGATGATGCAGTCAAGCGTACGGCTCGGACCACGAATACTGAATGAGACGATGGGTTCCGGTTCAAGAGTGGTGGAACTCAAGGACGACAAGGTCATTCCACGGAGCGAGTCGATGTTTGACTCTGCTGACGGAACACGAGTGGTCAAAACAACAACGCTAGAAGGAACGCTACGCATGGTGGCCTTGTAGTCGTCCTTGAGACTTGGCTTGTATACGTCCTCAAGAATCGTGGGTTTTGGCTGAAGACTTGACTGAGAGACGGATTGAGGAATTGGCCGAGGACTTGACTGAGTTGGCGGCGAGGGTATAGACGATGGCTTAGGTGAAGTCGCGAGCGGTCTCTCTGGCTGGTCTGGTTGGGATTGCGACGGCTCTACTGGGCCAAGATCAATAGAGTTTATAAAGTCTCTGGCGCGGGATACATCGTGACCAGTGTCGCCGGTGATGAAGGCGGTGGTTCGCGGTCCAAAGCTTCGGATGTCCACTTCCACTGAAAAGGCCTTCTGGATACGCAACCTCAGTTCGTCGTCGTTGTCCTGGAGAAAGCGAGCTGTAGCGCTTGGCAGATTTAGGTCAAGGTCGGTGGCTCCAGCTCGCGCATCGGTGCAAGGGTTGAAGACGAAGTTGTCCAGATCTTGCATTTCCTCGAAGGGGCGCCGCAAGACGGTTCTGACATATCTGGAAGTATGAGACGACGGCGAATCAACGAGAATGTGGCGTTGACCCTGTTCTGTCGGCCGTTCGGCGGGCGTGAGTTTGATGTCGAGTTCGGCTTGCATTCTGTCGAGGAAGGTGGGATGCTGTTGCATTAGAGCAAAGCGAGGCTCGCGAACATAGACATTTTTTTGTTTTCTCCCATGCCCGGTGTTCTGAGTTTTCTCTGGCTCCAGGCCGTCTAGTTTATCCTGGGCTCCAGAAGTCCGCACCTGTTGGGCATTTTGTCGCCAGTCGGCTGGCCGGGCGTGGGTGGCCTCGCAGACAGGACCGGTCTGCACAAAGCATCGTCGTTGTTGGTGAGAGACGCTACCGAGTCTCGACCAGGCATGGAAGGTCTTGTAGAAGCGAGCGGCCGCTGGCCCTCGAATTGCCACTGCCATGGTCTATACACGGAATAAAGAAGTCGCAACTCACTTCGACTTCAAGCTTCCCGCCGCAAGCAAGCAACCAGCCGCGGCGGAGATATCTTGGCACGCTACTCGCGGAGCGGAGAGGAATCCCGCAAAATCGACATTCCATGAGCCGTCCAAGTCGCATACTGCCCGTCGTGAGCATAGCATTTGCGCAATCATCAACCACACATCCGCTTCACTCGCCGAAATGCTGCTCAATCACACACCCCGCGCGAGTCTGCGCATCGTCTCTTCCTCGACACAACAGGTCCGCCATGCCTCGTTGATCCGCCGCCCCAAGCGACCATACACCTTCACCCAGCTCGTCACTCTCTCCGACGGCAGCACCTTTGTTCAGCGCACCACCAGCCCGCAACCCGTATACCGTAGCACAAAGGACGTGCGCAACAACCCGCTCTGGAACCCCAGCAGTCAGAAGCTGTTGAACATTGAAGAGGATGAGGCTGGTCGTTTGAAGAGATTCAGAGGTCGTTTCGGTCGCGGTTGGGATGCTGAGGCTGTTGCTGATGCTGAAGAGGTTTGTTCTTGTTTGGTCTGATGTTGTATGTGTCCACATTCGCTGACTTTTGTCTCAGGTGAGAGATGGCGAAGAAGCTCTCGCCCCGGAAGAGTCACAGGACTCGCTGCTCGATCTCATCTCCAACTACGGCAACGAAGCCGAGGCCGATGGCAAGGCTGCTGGCAAGAAGGAGGAGGTCAAGTCAAGTGGCAAGGGCAAGGGTGGCCAGAAGTAACCTCCCAAAAGCCATATTTGTGCCTTTTGGTCGTCAATGCATAGCGGGCGTTTTTGGGGTTGATTTATATGTACAAAAAGCTGGGAGGGGGGCGGGACCGAAAGGCTCGGTATATTGATACCCCTCGTGTGTATTCTACAAGTCTGTACAGCATCTGTCTCAAGATGACAGATTTTGCCTAGATTTTCTATCATGTTCAAAACGGGTATATCTACACCACCTCGCTTTCGGAGGCTTCGAGCGCTTCTGATCCGAGTGGTCGAAACGGCCATTCAATGTACGCTTTTGTCAGGGCGACCAGCTGCTCCCGCGTGATGTTTTTGGTCAGCAGATGCTCAGGGTTCAACATTCCGCCTGTAGTCGAGTCCCTGAATTCTGGCGGAAGGATATCGCGCGCTCCTGGTCCAAGTCTATCAATCGACTCCATTAATGGCGCCGCAGGGTGCGTGAACAGTGCTTTGAGCAGGCCCCGCTTGATGTGCGTGGCTTCGGTCGGGTTCATCAAGTCGTCCCCGAGTGCTTCTGACCGCGGCTTGAGGTCGAGCAGTCGCATAGGGAAGCGAGGCCAAAACTCCTCAATCGCTACCGTCATGGGCTCGAAGGGTCGTCGATCATACTGCATCATTGGATTCGGCTTACACAGCGCGAAATACTCGTCAAGGAGGATGCGCAGTTGTTTTATCACCTGAACGTTGAACAGGGTCTGCATAACAGATGCAATATTGTTGCTGGTTTCAACAAGTCTCGCCTCCAAGTCCTTCCGTATTTCCTCTGATAGTTTGGTTTTGGTTGTACTGTACTCGTGTTCAAGGGCAATCTGTTCGCCCCAAACATCAATGTAATATCTAACGGACTCGTGTTCGGTAACCGTGATATACTCCTGGCTGACATTTGTAAGTTTGACTTTTGCTGGAATATTCATGCGTTTTCGTTGGGGTCTGGGCGTTGCTGCAAATTCTTGCAGCTTTCTGACTTGGCCTTCATGGTCGGCGAGAAGGGTCTGTAAAGGTTTGTCCTTGGGCAAGTGTATCGGGATGTAGGCTTCGAGGGCATCGCCGTCGGTGTCCAGGGCTTTCTGGTGAAAATCAGGGCGGCGATGCTCCGGAACAGACATGTCTTTGGACTGCATGCGCTCAAGGACTTTTCGGGCGCTCCAGACTTCAAGTTGATCTTGACGCTGCCTGTGCATGACTTTCTTGTGCGCATCGATACGCGAGAGCTGAGAGCGATCACTGCCAACAATTTCGGCAACTTCAAATGAGGAGTCGACATTGACCGAGAAACCGACCTTGTGTATGACAGAATCAGGCAAGGCAGCGTGTTTGAGTTCGTCGGGAATCCAGAGGAGCAAGCGCACCAGCCCGTAGCGTTGGAACATGGTATTGATCTGGGCGGCTTCGGCCATCTGGTGCAGGACCATACTCGGAAAAGAGACTTGGTTGCTGCCTCCACGAATTTCGGGATAGCGGCGGACCAGGCTGCCGATGACGAGTAAGGAATTGTTGGGTTCACGCAGGCGTGGATCCGAGTCAGGAAGAGGATCCCTCCTCGGCAAGAGGTGGTCGTCGAAGATCTTGTCATATGTGTCAAAGTAGCCCTTTGGGGCAGCGCCAGAAAGGGTGGTGTGACGGTAAGCCGAGTCCTTCTGGTCCAACAAAGGCTTGATGAAGGGTTCCAGGTAGCGCTCGTCGGGCTCGAGGAGGAGATGGCGACGGGGTTTCAGAAGTTGGTGGATCTTTTGCGACCACAGACAGGCGCCAGGATGGAGATCGATAATGTCGCATCCTTTGTGCTTGTCCAAGTCGTGGCCGATGTAGTTGATGATTTCATCGCACAGAGGCTCGCTCACGACGTCGACTCTGTCTGGGAACTTGTCCTTGCCGGCAGTGGGACCAAATTGTCTGCCATCGGGGAAGGCGTCGCTGAGACTTTGTCCGATGGGATAGTCCGGGTGGACATAGTAGGTGAGAGAGTTGCGGTAGGACGAGAGATTCCGGTGGCGAGACGAGTCTGCGATGTCCTGTTCTAGCACGGGCAGACCATCTGGACCCAATTCGTCTTGTTCGGCGTGCTCAGCGGCCTTGGTGGACTTTTTGGAAGCAGACTTGTTGGCTTTTGTCGGTTTGGCAGCAGTGTCGGCGGCCTTGGTTGAGCTTTTGGTGGCAGTCTTGGTGGCCTTGGTAGGCTTCTTGATAGCAGTCTCGCTGGCCTTGAGTATAGTTGTACTCGCAGTCTCACTAGGCTTGGCCGTCTTTATACTGGCAGTCTCGGTGGGATTGGGCAAAGGGCGGGCAGCAGTGTCGGCAGGGATTGATGATTTTTTGGACTTTCTCAGTTGGGCGACGGCGGCGGCCAATTCTCCCCTGTCGATGGTGGTTGCCGTCTTCTCGGCCTTCCTCGCAGCTTTGGCTAGTCTGACTGCTACTCTGGCGGCAGAGGACAGTGGCGGTGGCATGGTCCTTGTCGCGTTCAAGTCGAGGCGCAACGAGCTCGGAATCTCCAACCATCAACGTCTTTTTTGGTCGCGTCGCGCTTCGTCATTTGACAAGACCACCACAACATGGTCTTGTCAACAACCACCAACCTCCGACAGCCAACATGAGTGCACCCAAGAGCGTCGAGCAGATAGTCTCCGAGGCCTCCAACTTCGACCATGCCGCCAACATCCCCCTCAACATGGCCCTGCGCACCGCCCAGAACATGATCAGCCAAGTGAGATGGTCACACACTCCCTCGACCGACCACGCCGTCCTAATCGAGAGCCCACCAGGCCGCCTACTACGAGCGCGAGTCCAACCTCCAAGATGCCTACTACTTTCTCTACCGCCATGCCGACTTCTTCTTTACCCACATCTCCAAGCACCCGGATGCGAAGAAGCCAGAGTACAAGGCTCAGATGGCCCGCACACGCGACCATGTCAAGTCTGATCTGTCGCGCATGGAAGCCCTGAAGCCTGACATCACAACTCGATACCAAAAGTACCAGGATCTTGTCAAGACGAGGAACCAGCTCAAGTCACAGAACGACACGCCGGCTGCATCGCACGAGTCGTTTGTGCTGAGTGCTGCTGAGCACAAGGACATGGCTCTGCAGCTGGCCAACCGCGAACTGAGGAGACGGGCAAAAGATACTCGCGACGACAATGCTGTCATGGACGACCTGAGTCGTGGTATACAAGACCTGGGCCGCCGCATCGATGCTCCTCGTCGTTCATCTCAAGCTTCGTCGTCCTCACAATCCTCATCCGCATATCACTACCCTTCAGTACCCTCCACCCACGCCTCTATCCCTCAATCGTCAGTCCCTCTGGCACCCAGTCGACCTCCGAAGAACGACCTACTCAACTACGCCGCACCCCCACCACTCCCCTCGAAACCAGACACCTCAGTACCACCCCTCCCCTCCAAAGGAAATGTCCCAGCACCACCACCCAAACATGACCTCTCATCCACCACGCAATCCTACCAATTCCAACCGGCCGCCCACACCGAAAACGGCACCCCCCTCCGCACCCTCTTCCTCCCCACCTCCCTCCGCCACTCCTTCGTCTCCCTCGCCGCCCCCAACACTTCCTCAAACCTCGAAACCTGTGGTATACTCTGCGGCACCCTAATCTCCAACGCGCTGTTCATCTCACACCTGGTCATCCCTGATCAAACCTCTACCTCTGATACCTGCGAAACCACCGATCAGGGAGAAACAGACTTGTTCGATTATGTGGACGGAAAGCAATTGATGGTGTGCGGCTGGATACACACGCATCCAACCCAGACTTGCTTCTTGTCATCCAGGGATTTGCACACTAGCGTGGGCTATCAAGTCATGCTGCCCGAGAGTGTAGCGATCGTGTGTGCGCCTAGTAAGGAGCCCGAGTGAGTTGTTCTAACCCCCCCCTTTTCCCGCTTTCTCTTTCTGGTTGAATAGATGGGTGGGCTTTGCTGACGAAAGATCCCCCCCAAAAAACAGTCATGGTATCTTCCGCCTTACGGATCCACCAGGCAAACAGGCCATCCTGAATTGCAACAAACCAGGCCTCTTCCACCCTCACGATACAGATAACCTATACACCGATGCCACCAGACCTGGTCACGTATCCGAGTTGGCGGGCTTACAATTCCAAGTCGTGGATTTGAGAAAAGGAAAAGGGAGAACATAGATGATACGCAATTCATACCGCAATCCGTTATGAAGCACCAAAGACGATCGAGTTTTTGATATATATAAAGTAAAATGTTTCGATACATCTCTTAGCCCCACCCACCAATCCTCGCCACCAAACAGGGCAGAGCATCAGTGTTCAATTGCTATAGAAAAGCAAGAAGAAAAGGGGGGGTTACATGTATCGTACATTTCTCTCAATTCTATCCACCAAACTCCTTCAAAAAAGGAAATGGCTTTACCGTGAAAGGCTGGAAACCGAAAAGAGAAGAAAGATGTAAGTTTGATCTTCCGCGTGGAATACTGAGCAAGGATCATGACTCTTGAAAGATAAGACAATGCTCCACCTTGCAACGCGGGGTTTTGTGTGTGTTTCTGCACAATGGTTTCTTGTCGCAGTGTTCAGAGGATAAAAGGGAGCGAATATCGCGGCATGGAAAGGAGAGTGTGGAGAAAAGTGGTACAGACCTTCTTTGGGCCTTGAAAAGATTGTTTCATGATTGAAAACAAAGGGGGTATAATCATCCATCCGCGACAGACATTCCGTCTCGTCTTTCTCGTCCCCAGAACTCCTGATATCTATGCTGTGTGTCAGTGGTGTATCAGCCCCTACCCTGCAAATCCAACGCGTTTCTTGGTCGCCGCAGGTGCGAAACCATTCCTGCTGCCCATGCCGTCGAGCAAACGGTCCATGCCACCGAGGTCCAGTTCTCCGCGTTCTAGTAGGTGTTGATCGAAAACGCTAGGACCATTGCTCGATCCGCCTGTCGCTTGAGCGAATAGCGATCTAGATGGTTTTTGTGGCCGCATAGACTGGATAATGATAAGACTGTACTCGCCAGTAACTACAAAGTCGCGTAGAGACATGGATCCTAGGTTGATTGCAGTGGATCGAACAGGAAATTGCGTGACACCGTTGAGGATCTCGCCAGAAAGATCCAAGCCTTCGATGTGTGAGAGTCCAGGTCCGTAGAGGGATCCAATGTCCTTGCCGCTGCTGTTGAGACTGCGCTGCCAGAGGGCTGCAAGGCTCGGGATGTGGTATGCGTCACTGCCGTACCACAGAACGACCGAATCATCGACATGTCCATGGTTTCCAGCTGTTGCAACGGCACACACACCTCCTCTGGCTGTAGTCGTCGCTGGCGCAGCAGGCTTTGGTGCGCCAAAGAGTGATTCCTGTCGTTGCTGGCGAGTGTTGGGTGTCGATGGCGCAAGTCCCTGAGCAGATCTAGATTTGAGTTCCGAAGTAGGTGCAGCATCGGGACTACCGATAAAGCCCTGTATGACAAAAGTGTTCATCTTTTTCTGTGTTACACCGTCGATATCCCACACGCCCCATTCACCACGATCCAACAAGACCAGAGCAGCCTTGGCTCCCGAAACCCAAGCGACGTCTACGATCTTTCTCCTCTGGGCAAGGCCGGGATAGTTGCTTGTGGCTCCCTTGGGCATCTGGAAAGAGGTGTTGAAGGCCGAAATCCAGCTACCTGTCTCGGCGGACGAGTCATCGGCAGAAGCACGAGACGAAGGACGGCCTTTTGGCGCGAGCGGATCGTAGATCTTCAAAGCACCCTTTACGTCAGCAACAAGGAGACGTGAATGATGGCGCGAGGGGTATTGAGCTGTGCTGAAGCGGAGACACTGAGAGGAGGATGAAAGCGGTACGGCGTGGAATGGAATGACGGCGGTCGGGATTTTGCCGCCTGTCAATTCGTCAAAGGCGATAGGGATACGGTAGAAGGTAAGAGTCTCGAGGTGAACCGAGGTCGAGGAGGCAACCAGTAGATCGAGCTTCTCGTCGTTTGCAGTGGGTTGTTGTTGTTGTGGATTGTCGAGGTCCATCTGGTTATTTGCATCAGACAGACTTGAGCTGCTCGTCCATGTGAGGGCGATGTCCCTAGCCATAGCGGAGGACGCAGCAGATGGGCTAAGTTCGCAAATCTGAGCACCTAGGCGACCATTTCTCTTGGCGGATGCCGATGGAGGTGTCAAGGGAAGTGTGATCAGGCGCAATGTAGCATCGGCACATGCGACGGCCAGAACAATGCGTTGCCTGATTATGAGCGGTACGCGGGCCTTGGATTGTAGCGAGGAAGAAGCTTGTGGGACGTTTGGCAGGGCCAGACGAAGGACGGGACTGCCAAAAGACAACTTCAGCTCTTGTGTGAAGGACGGGTATGGCTCATCTTCGTCCAGCTCCTCGTCTTCAGCATCGTAGCGCGGCTTGTCCTGATCAGGAATGTCCTCGGTTACGGCAGACGTGGTTACGTCGATGGGATGATTCCACTCGGTGCGGTGTGTTCGGGTTCCTGCTAAGTCGTCGACACGCTCGCGGACAGTGCGCGAGGCGGTCGACAGCGGCCTGCCACCTCTCCAGAGTATGTGAAGACCATGATCGTATCCAGAGATGATAATGTCGGCACCGCGTGGGGTCTGTACAGGGTAGACTTTGGTGACGTTCAGTCGATGCGGGCACTCGTAGCTATACACATTTGTTAGGAACTCATGACCGAGGGGTGACAAGGGAGGCGCATACTTGAGGTGCATCTGCTTGCCATGGCGGGAAACGCGTGGCTTCTGCAGCTTGTCGGAGTCAGACGTTGTTGTTTTCATGGTTGGTGTGAGAATTGGGTGTGCAAAGAAACATGATCAACTCGCTGCTGCTGCTTGAAGACGACGAAGCTGTTGACGCGCCCAGGGAAGGTGCAGCCGAGCCGGCGCGTCGACCAACACCGAAACATTCAAGCACCAAAGACATGATCCATCTGCTCCCTACATATCCAATTGTCTGCTGCAACTTCTTCAGACATCGCCGATGATCTGGTAAACATCGTCTGCTCACCGGAACGTATCTCGTTGGCACTGCTATCTGTCCACTGTTGGCACACAACAAACAATTTCTCTACCGCTTGGCCTATGGACTTTCCGTAAACATCCAATTATTCGACAATAATGTGTATACACCCCGCCGCATTATCATCTGACACATGGCCGATTTCTTTCCACTGGGCATCCACCGCCCCTCTGCTCTGCCCTGTCTAATCTCCGAGTCTGTCCTACCTGAGAATCCAACACCAAACGACTACGTCTGGAAAGTATATCCAGGTCTCTCGGACGATGCTGAACACGAAGTTCTATACACATCAAACTGTGTTGTATGGTCACAGGATGGTCATGTTCGAAAGGTCTTCAAATTCGATTCAATAAAACAGCCTGTCAGCCATGCTCTGATAACCCGATTTCGCCATGACCCGCTACTCAAGCCATCTACCTCCTCTGCAGCGTCAAGTCATGTTATCTCGTATGCCGCAACAGCCTATGCATCCAGATGGGGTACAAGGCCTCAGCGTGATCCCCGTCATCTGCTCGCTTCAGGCAATAGCGACCCACGCGGCTTCAATCGTGCTTTGGTCATCATCTTGAAGTCTGAGATGCACATCCATTATCTGTCCGGCTCAAATCATGTCCTGAACGTGCCCTTCGACGTCGAAAAGGCCTTTCCTGCCATCGATGGTCTGGTCGTGCAGAGAAAAGCTGCTACGATTACCAGAGAGCCTCCCACCCCTACCATGCCTGCTCCGCCTCCAAACTCATTTGCTTCCAACCAGCCGTACTTGTTTTCTCAACCAAAATCTCCTGAGTTGAGGGCCAATCGCTATCGTCCAAGTGTTCTGCCTCCTAGCCCGTCGACTCACTTCAATCTCGACGCCTTATTTCAGGATCTGAATAAAGGCTCAGGGTCACAGATGACTGATGAGCTACCTCGGTTTTATTCTCTGGAGAATCCACTGTCAGATCTGGCCCCCGTGTCACATGCTAGCGTATGTCGCCAACCTCGATTCCCTCGTCCTGGAGCTCCGAACGGTCCTATTGTCGAGTATGACATGCTTGACCCTGCGGAAGAGCTTGTCTATGTGTCTTCTCAGGACGAGCTTGCTGAGACTGCAGACTCTGAAGATGCTCCACTCTTTCTGATGGTTACTGTCAACAGAGAATTGGGCCAAATCACTGTCTGGCAGGCATGGTACCTGCAGCCTCCCAAACTCTCTGACCTGCTATCACAGCGCGCAGCACACCAGGCAGCTAAGGCTAAGCGTCCTAGCTCTGTGATGACTGGCCGTACAGCGGGTGCCACCACACCCGCTCTGAAGCACCGTGATCATCGTGACAGAGTGCGAGAAAGTTTTGCTGCCTCTATGAGGTTATCTGTCGCTTCAACCACAAGACCGTCACAAGATGATGAAGAGGTTATGGCATCGCAAATGGATCCAGAGTATCTGCTCAAGAAGCCTGCTGGTGGTGTCAGACGGGTCAGTTCCATTCTCTCGCGTGGTGACGTTGGCAATTCAGATCCGTCGATCAAGCAAACCGCCCTCGGTGCTAGTCTCAGCGGCGCTGGCCGCAGGTATCCGTCGATGGGAAGCTTTACTGATCGCGACCGCCGGAGTTTTGGAAACAATCAGGTGCTCCGTAAAAGTCGGGCGTCAACACCGGGAAGCCTCTTCAGCAAAAGCATTGGGCCAGACGATGCCACTGAAATCGAAAATAGTCGAATGCAAGACTACACTGACGAGTACGAGAGTGCTGAACGACTGATTGGAGCTACTCACAAATCTGCCGGTACAGAGTCTGTGCTGGGCTCTTCGCCTGATGGGCTCAGAAAAGAGCTGGTCATCCGCAAGCTCGATGTTTTCATGACTGATGTGTCGAATTTTGGATCTGCCGCGATTGAGGATCTTATCAGGGTCTCTCCGCTAGTCCACCCCCCTCAATCTGACCAAAGCAGTTCTTTGATCTCACTATACATCCTCGACGCGTCATCAAAGTCCATGACAACAGTCAAATTGCGTGTGCAGAAGAAGAATGAATTAGTGCCGGGGAAAGATGCGCCAGCACGGTATATGCCTATACCTTTTCTGTGCGATCGCAACATAACACACAATATCGCCGATATCACCAAACTCCGGGATGGCCGAGTCACAGCCATTGCTTACCTATCAAGCAACTCTCAAGAACTAGGAATTATACCCGCGCGAGGCATCACATGGTCGATACCAATCTCGCGACACATACGCATTTCGCATCCTTCCGATGTTGCAAGCATCCTACACACAAGAGAGACCACGCAGAAGTCTATATCACTGCAATGGCCATGCAAGTTACAGCATCCTGGAACTTATGGTAACATTACCGTAGTCTCATCAGATGGTCTCCAGAACCGGTTTCAGGTACGCCTTAGTCCAAGGTCTATCCCTGTGCGCCAAATTCTGGAGTTGTGTCAGACTGTACTTCCGGCGAAAGAAGGAGGTTCAATTGCCGCCATTTGGTGCAACATACATCATCGATTTACAGCTGATGAGATACAACTGACCAGCTGTCTTGATGTTGAATGGGAAGCAATGATTGTAACGCTCTTCGCCTTTGCGGCTGGTTCGATTGGAAGAACATTGCGCGGCAACCCGAGAAGCAAGTCTTCAACGGCTGATGCAACACGACACGGTACATATGGAAGCCAGTTACGATCTCGTAACCTGAAGTCAGATCTTGACAAATTCAAATCACCTGCCTGGAGCTGGCTCGAAAAGCCTACTACAAGTTCGAAACTCAGTGCTATCACTCCGAGATCAAGGCTCAGAACCCCTCGAAGCACACATAAAGCTAAAAAGCACTCTTTCTCGTTGATTGAGTATGAGACGATGGCCCGTCAATTATTGCACGATATTGCGGTGGACGAACTGGATTGGCTAGTGTCTTCTGACTCTGCCAACTCACGATATCTGTGTTGCATTAAGATCATGCTTGTGTTATCTCTTTTCAGGGAAGAGCAGAAGCTCAATTCACTCGCTGACGATGTGGAAGGCATGGTCGCTAGTTCTCTCTCTGCCATCATCGCCCAACTTGGACACTGGCTTTCGCTTGATTCGTGGTCTCACAAAGCAGGATCTTACCGTGAGGCCGATAGCGAGATTGGTGACTGGGAGTTGTCTTCGTCTACGATGAACACAACTGTCAAGGCTTTGCAGAGCACCTGTCCTCTTCCTCAATCTGTCTTTGCTTGGGTCGAGAAGAACTTTATTCAGGGGGTGCCTGAACAATTCTTGGATGTCGAAACTGTTGCCTGTCTGTGGACAGATACGTCGCCTGGTCCGGCCTCAAAACTCACAGAAGAGGTTCTACCTCGATTGACCTCTCTACAGTCATTGGCTGCTCACTTCTCTGCGATCAAAACCTCGCCAAGTGCTTTGGTGGAAACGATGAAGCAAGCCAAACTCGGTTCCGGAGCCTTCGAAACCCTGCCTGAAGGCGTACTTGCTCCGCTCCGGGAAGCTATCAGCCGTTGTCAGACAGCCCCTCCGACAACATGGACTCCAGACCTTCTAGAGTTCGTCGCGCGTGAAGATTTGATTGAATTGTCGCAATTCAACAAGGACGCCAGTCGCCCATCCAGTCGAGGGGCGCCAAATAACGTGCTAGTTCCACATGATGTGCAGACCATTTACAGTTCTGCCGACCGTGCTCCTCTCACAGCCAAAACGCACGAAGCAGAAAGACACGCGGTGATATCGCTCATTTTCTCCGAAGATCGACGCTTTGTTGATGCTGCTCAGTTGATGAACCCAACTGCAGTCCAAGTCGCCGAATGTCCGCCTCAACCAGAATGGTCAGAAGTTGAGCATCTGGAACAGCAGAAGCGAGTCATGCAATGGGTGATGATACGTACGCTTGCGTTGTCCCCCGGCGATGGTATGATCCACTTCGAGAGTCAGCGTCCTCTACTCTCTGAGAAGTTCCATATCAAGGGCTTTAGTACATCATGTCAGATGAAGCCGATGGACAATACCATCAGCGCGGACCGAAGTGGTTTCACCGAGGAGAAGTTTGCCTGGACATTCTTCCACGCTGGTGTCTCTGCAGGGTTAAGCATCTCGCGAAATGCTACCGGCATCGATACTTCATGGATTGTATTCAACAAGCCTGCGGAACTCAACAATCGTCATGCTGGATTCCTTCTCGCTCTTGGTATAAATGGTCATCTGAGAACTCTTGCTAAGTGGCTTGCATTCAAGTATCTAACCCCTAAACACAATATGACCTCTATAGGTCTTCTGCTGGGGTTGTCAGCATCGTATCTCGGTACCATGGATACTCTGCTTACTCGGATGCTGTCTGTACATATCACGAGAATGCTTCCTCATGGTGCTGCCGAGCTCAACGTTTCGCCAAGCACACAGACTGCTGGGCTAATGGGTATTGGACTGGTGTACTACAACACGCAGCATCGACGAATGAGCGAGATTATGCTCTCTGAGGTCGAACATCGTGAGATCGAAGACCCAGGGAGCACAATGGACCAGTTACGTGACGAGTCATATCGACTTGCTGCAGGTTTTGCTCTTGGATACATCAACATTGGGAAGGGTCGAGATCTTCGTGGTCTCCATGGCATGAATCTACTGGAACGTCTATTGACAGTAGCCATTGGTCCTCGACCTGTCGAACTTGTTCATGTCGTTGACAAAGCCACTGCCGGTGCGGTCATTGCAATCACTTTGATCTATATGAAGACCGGAGACCAATCCGTGGCACGCAAGATCGACATACCTGACACCATTACCCAGCTCGAGCATTGTCGTCCGGACATGCTGCTTCTCCGGACTGTTGCAAGCCACCTCATCATGTGGAACGAAATCACTGATGAGCCCGATTGGATCCAGAAGAATCTTCCTAGCGAGTATGCACACCGTTACTATGGCCACAATTCAAGGAATTCGATGGAGATGATGACCTTGCCCCAACTACGAAGCAAGGATGTGCCAGTGTTCAACATATTAAGTGGTCTTGCCTGGAGTCTAGCCCTTCGATTCGCAGGTAGTGGTAACGAGCGAGCGAGAGACCAAGTCATTGCAGTTCTGAAAGCATTTATTGCTGTTTCCAAGCAAGATGCATTCTTCTACGATGCGAAATTGACCCGAGCAACGGTCAAGCGCTGTATCGATGTATTGGCTCTCGCTATGGCTACGATCATGGCAGGTACTGGTGATCTCCAAAGTTTCAGGTATTTACGTTCACTGCATGGCCGAGTCGACGCAGAAACAACGTACGGATCGCATCTTGCAGCTCATCTTGCGATTGGCACGTTGTTCCTAGGTGGTGGCACATACACGTTTGGCACGTCCGACTTTGCGATTGCGTCTTTGATGTGTGGGTTCTATCCCCTCTTTCCCAGCGATGTCCTTGACAACAGAGTACATTTGCAGGCGCTTCGACATCTCTGGGTCTTCGCTGCAGAGCCTCGTTGTATCGTTGTACAAGATGTCGACACGAAGCGGCCCATCCATGTCAAGCTCCGAGTCGTGACACAAGACGGCAGACAGAAACACATGACTTCTCCATGCTTGCTGCCAGAACTGAGTACAATCTCACGTATCAGCACAGACGATCCCACTTATTGGCAAGTCACACTCGACTTTGCAGCGAATCCAAAGCATCTCGCCACATTCCGCCGCTCGCAAACAGTCTATGTGCGCCGTTGCCCGCCAGGAGAAGCGTCAAACAGTGTCTTCAGCACCACTTTATCGGCACTGGTCGAGGCCCAGTCGAGTATCGGCGGTCGCCAGATGTGGGAGTGGATCTGCAACCTGCCTGCCTTCCAAGACTTTGATCAAGCAGACTTTGGCTTGGTCTTGCCTTCTGACCCACGCAGCGCGACGCACATGGATGAAAAGTTGACGTCTGTGGATAGTAGATTGGCGTTGATTCGGAGTGTGGACTCTGGAAAGGCGGATGCGCTGTGGAGTCTGAGGTTGCTGTTTGCGTGGGCTCAGGATGCAGTGGATAATGGAGATGGGAGACTGAGATGGTTAGGCAAGCATGTGGTTGATATGTTGCGGGCGAAAGTGGCAGAGAGGACGGATGCCACATAGCTATCTCGACCTATGTCACCACGTGACTGTTGTAGCTTAGTCACTTCGTCATCATGATTGTTATGATATGTCCCATTCTACTTTTGATGAGAATGCTTTTGTTCTTTTGTGGTATGCATATATATACAGTGTAAACGCTTTTCCATGGCGAGAGGCGGTAGAAGCCAACCAGGATAATCTACGAACAGCCAAGTCCGTACGAGGCTCTTCCAATGCGTCCGTTTCCCTTTTCACGGCGATTCAGACTTCGGTCTACGACAACGGGATCTCGCCGTTCGAGGTCGATAATGCATTGGTAATCCCAAAGGTGTGTTTACCTTGATGCGTGTTGAGTGTTGCTTCTCGTTCTCGGCTGTGCCAAGACAGCGGAATGTGTGATGATGAGACGTGATCGTGTCTCTTCTCTTCTTGTGGTCGACGACTTCACTCGCTAGGCTCGGAGGTCTTGCCCTCGGCCTTTTCCTTCCTGCGCATACCGACATCCCAGTTGTAGACACGAGCAGTAGCGACCTCGAGCGTCTGTTTTGTCACATCATCAGCCTCTTGTCGCGATCCACACCCACTGCACAACCCCTCCAGTGTCCAGCAGTCAAGAACAAAGGAAGAAGGGACTCACCGTAATCTGCTCACGCAAAAAATCCATATCCTCCTCTGCATTCTCCAAGCCACTCTTGGCCGCCTCCAACTTGCCCTCCAACAACTCCTCGGCCTCGCCCATCGGATACGCCAGCATGACATTAGCACCCAACCACAAATACACCTCCTCCGTCCTCGGCACCTTGGCCTTGGCAAACAGCGTATCATTGAGCTCAAAATAACTTTCCAACTCTTCGGCATCCGCATCTCTGCTCTTCAAAAACCTGACAGTTTCCAAAGTCTTTTGGACGTCTGGGATCTTTTCGCGCAGCCCGGCAGCGCGGCGAGAGGTGTTTACTTCCATGAATTGGTACTTTTGGATCATTTCGGAAAAGGACTTTAGGGTTGGTTCGACTTCGGCGCGGGTGGTGCAGTAGTCGGATACGGCGTCTACGAAGGGGGCGAAGGGGATGCCGCGGGGGTTTGTGGGTGCGTCGGATTTTTTGCTGGTGGCGAGAGGTGTCAGTTTGGAATGTCGTTGTGTGCTTGGAGGGTTTGGCTGTGGTATAGAAGGGTTGGAGTTGAGGGTGGTAGATTGGAGGATTGCTTGATTGTGCGCACCTTGCTGTTGTTGTTGTCGCCATGTTTGCGGTGTTGGGTGGGTGGAAGAGCAAAGGTGTGTGTAGGTTGTAGTGCGCTCTTGGTTTTAGAATTGTTTACGAGCTTGAGCACTTGGGCATGTGAATGTTGCTTCTGAATGTGCAAGTTACGTCGTGTTTGGGAGCTGTTTGCTCTTGCTTGCATCCGCTCTTTGTGCAGACTGTGCAAGCAATCGCTGCAAGCACAATACCTGCACAGGAAAGATATGCACGGTCACAATATATGCACATTCACAATCATGCAAGCCGCTGACATGCCGAATGCACGAGCCAAACCAGCCCACCTCAACCTCACCTGCTTACATCAAGACATGGATGATGCGTTCATGACGGGCAAACCTCAGCCCTTCCATGTTCCCTCACCCTAGCAACATGCATGCTGCTAGCCGAATATCCCCGACTCGCATGCTGCTATCCAACTCTATCTCTGCTTTGCGATGAACGAAATCCCAAGAGTCGAACGAAAGCAAAATACGAGCTCGATTGTCGTGACCCTCGCAGGATGCTGTCGAGGTACGCAGTACTTAGTGCTGATGCGCAGCCAAGCTGAGTCAAATTCCCTGGGGGCAATCCTTCTTTTCGTAAGATAGTAAGGAAAATGGATCCTATCCACGTCTTCGGTTGTTCCTTCTCTGCTTTCCTCCTTTTGCCTCTTCCTGTCGCTGGATCCACTGTAATATTTCACATGCTATTATTTCAAATTCCCTGGATCATGGCTTGAAGGCCTAGAGGTCCGGCCGTACACCGAAAACCACAGAGGTGGAGCCTGGCTGAAAATGAGCTATCTGTCACTGCCGCTGGGTAGTCCAGTGGTAGTCCGGCTTTGTCGGTGGACCTTTCTCCGACAACTTTGTTCATTTGTGGAGTGGTGGGGTTTTCCGTACGTGGCGCTCCGTCGCTGTTGTTGATGCCCTCTGGCATTCAGCTCGATTGCTGTCGACACTAAAGACTTTGTTACTTGTGTACTTGTGCTCTTGACATTTGTACAGTACAGTACTTGTGCCTTTTGTCATTC